GAAATGAAAAAAACTGAGTTTTTGAACGATACTTAGGGTGGAGCATCAGGCTTACTAACGACTAGCGTCTTGATTATTCAGTTAATTAATCATAACATAGGCACGCTATCTTCAAGTTTTTCACATAACTTCATGTATCATAAAAACAACGCCTTCTTTCTACACACCCGGAGTAATCAACTTCATTTTTTGCGGAACCTTTTAGCGGCCCCTAACCAATTTAGAGTGGTGTACTTTTATGGTCGGAAAATTGGCACTTTCATCGGGAGGGTCATATCCAGGCAGTCGCCTCGGATTTCCACAAGTAGCGGCACTCACAAGCGGCGGGTCGTGCCGTATTTCACGGTGCTCATGCGGAATGATGAGCTCATAATGGCTAATTCGAGGCGGCTAGAGGAGGTTCCACGCTGCCTCTCCGAAAATGGTTTTGATTGTGTGGAGTGAGTGCGAGCCCTCGTTGCTTGTTACGTGATGATGTGCCAAAGCGAATTATCCAGTCTCGGCGTTCCTTCTTGGATTTGCGCTCCAAGGTCCATTATTGACACTAAACTGCCCCTCACTAATTGTTGACAACCGCCACTTTTTGTTACCGTAATTTTTTCGGAATCATTCGGGTTTTTTCAACTTCAGAGATACTGTCGAACAATATGACTCTTTTTTTCTCACTATCACATTTTCGTGTTTTTTTTTATCTTTCAAAGGGTCCCAATCATTATGAAAAAGCGATCAAAAATGTTTTTTTCAGTTAGAAAAGTTTCTGTTAAGCTTTCTAGTTTTTTCTTCAAAAAAGATAAGAAAAAAAAACTACATTCACTGCGAGATTTGAATAAAACTCTCATAGAATGTCTTTAGTTAATCTTATTTAAAAAGTTAATCAAAAAGTATCCAAAAAGGCTAGTGGATACAATATATATTTAATAACTTGAATTTTGATTTCTTTTTTTCTTTAAAAGATTATTGCTTCTTTCAATTTGAAACCCAAACTTCTCAAAGACAATTTTTTTCTTTAGTCTCCTGAAATGTTTTCTTTCAGAGTTCCGTAGTTGACCAAAGTGAATTGATTTTCTGTAAGAGTTCTGATTTTTTTGAGTGATTCAATTTTTGTTCCGAATTTTTTTCATAAAAACTTGTTTTTGTTCCGAATTTTTTTTCATAAAACAGTTTTAACCAGACTTCTCGGTTTCTGCTTCTTGAAACTCAGGAATAGTTGTTTTCCTGAGCGAAAATTTTGAAAAAAGTTTTTTTGCCATGAAACTTCAGAAAGTTTATAACTAGTATCATATTCCCACAAAACACTCACATTGGTTTCCGACTTTATCTCATTATAAAACGCAAATTGAAGTACAACTCCCAACGATCAACCTCATTATTCTAGCTATCGTATAACTTCTATCTTTAGCAACTGTTGATTGTCACTTCCGCAGATTTTTTTCTCCATCCTAACTCTTTTTTGAAGCTCCCATAAATCAATAATTTTTTTGATGAGACATGCGTTGTGTATATCAAATTTAGTGCAATCCAAGATACTTCCTTCAGTTCTTTTTTGCCTTTGGGAAGATGAAGCGAAGCAACTGCGGCGAAAATCTCGGGAACACCCTTGAAAGAATTGAATTGGCTCCAAGTTGGATTCAGTCAGCAAGCGAAAAGTCGAGTTGCAATTGTTAATCCTTCGCTTTTCGTTGCTCTCGTGACTTTTTTTTCACATCCGAGAGTTTTCAAGCTGAAACCTCTCTATTTTGTTCTATACATTATGTAATGTTCAAAAAGACCTTTTCCGTCTTTTTTGGGAAATCCAGTACTTTAAAACGTTTTTCAGCAAAAAATTTTCTAGAGCGTTTCTTATTTACTCATCTAAGACACAGATTTTCCGTGGATTTGTCAGGAATGATTAAAGGGACAAGCCAACCGGGGGTTAAACCGTCATGATGCGCGATCGAGGCTGGCAGTCTGCACCGTTCGGAGCCCCTTAATCTGCTTAGATGAATTGCTCGTGTCAGCGGCCAATTGACGTCCACTGGGGGCCACTACGCAACTCATTAGCCTCTCATCACCGTATTTGAGCAGTTGTTAGGTTAGGTGCTCTGAAATTAGGTCTTCAGAATCTTCTGCTATGTGTCTTTTCAGGTGAAATACTTCAAATCAGTTTTTTGAACCAAGTTTCGATCAATCAAATTGCATTTGCCGTAGTTTTTTTTTTGCGAGATCAAAAAGCAGGATATTGTAGAAGTGATATGTTCTTTATTTAATTCCTGACGACCATTTGTCAGTCTCAGGAGGACGATTAGAAGATCTGATTGTTCAAATTCTTAGAATGAATAATTTAAAAAATCAGATCTTTCGCCGGATTTTTTAAATGTCTCATTTGGCTTTTCAAATCTTTCATAGTTTTTCTAAAAGTTACTCGCCTCAAATATTCTTTTTTCAGTTAAATGATAATGAAAAACGTCCGGGAAAAAACCTTGCAAGCTTTAATTTCAATCTTCCTTCTTCAAAATTTTGACAGCCTTCAGGTCAGAGAACCTTCTTGTTCTCACCCCAAAGCTCGACACATGTCGACCGATGACTGCCGATAATTCTTCCAAGCTCTAATCACTCTAGTTCCAGTTAGCTGGCAAACATGCCGGAAAGAGGTGATGACAGATGATTTTGCCTCCAGGGGATCGTTCCCTTCCAGAACAGTCATTTGTCATCCACATCTCATGCTGTTTGCATATTCGGCTGAACAACTTCAGCATCTCCAAGATAAATGAAGCTTAATCGAGTTAGTTCGAACTAGCCTCAAAAAGGAAATGCTTTTTTCAGAAATTTTTCTAGTTCCAACCTAAATTTTCAATATTTATCTTGTTTGAAAAAAAGTGATAGAATGCAGAACAATCTGGTTTTAATTAAAATATCCACTTATTATTTGAAAAAATTAGCATTTTTTAAGAGTCATAACTTTGTGAAATATAGTTTGCTTATACCAAACTTAACAGTCGAAAAGAGTAACGCTTCTTTTTAGAATCATTTCTGGTAAAACTTGAGCGATATCTTCGAATCTTTTGAATAATGGTCAAATTCGGATCTCTTTCCCGTTTAAGGAAAAGTTGGCGCAAAACTCTTCCAAGAGTACAAAAACTGCTATAAATCAAATTTATGATGAGAACCTTCTTAGCCTCAAAAATTCTAGTTTTTTTCTCACCTCTTAGCTTATCTTATCTCTGGTACATGTCGGATCCTTTTGATGTTGTATCATTACCAGACGTTTTTATTTTGGGAAACCTGATGCGATTTTGTAGCAACAAGCGTATTGTTTCACTCAGAAGTTTTGAAGGACAAGGCTTGACGTTCTGACAAAAAGGCCACGCCTCTTGCTCTCGTTCTGATTTCCTTGCTCCCTCCGGTGTCTCACCCAAATGTCCAGCCTTTTCCGCTTTCTCAGCCGCAAAAAACTGCATTTGTTCGTTGCTAATATACGAAGCTTGGTCCATGTTTTTTTGTCGGAAGTCAATGTGCTTTTCGTAAATTTTACGCATTGAGAAGTCGTACATGAGAGTCCGAGTCACGCCTACAAATGAGAGGCATCCCCTGCGCGGAATTGGCTAGGCGTCTCCGATCTTTTAGCCGTTTTGTTCGGCTTCTTGCCAACTTTTTGTTCTGCTCTTTTGTCACCGCCGCCGCCTACTTGTCCTGATTTACTAGATTCATCGTTTCTCTTTGAGGATTGTCGCTTTTGCTGCGGTGGTTTCTAGTCTGACATGAAAAAAGCCCGCAGAGAAGTTTTTTACAGAGAGAAAATTTATTTTCTGGGCATTTTATGATAAAAAATGTTTCAGCTTTTGACCAAAGTGATTTTACGATTGTAACTTAAAAACTAAGGAATATATTTTTTTATTAAAAAAATTCTTTTTTTCAGATGCCGCTTCTAAATTTCAGAGAACTGTTTTAATTTTTTTGTGATCTCAGATAAAACAGTTACCCATCTCAAAGTTCAAATTACGCTGAAAACGCTCTAACTTTAAGACTTTATAAATTTACCAAGAAGCAAACGGCAAAAGCTCTGATAAACAGGATTCAGGACTCTTTAAAGTGCATGTCTGTATGACCATAAGAAGGACTTTTTTTAGAAAGTTTAAAAACAGTCTCACGTAGATATGGTATTCCTTAACAGGTAAAACTTCTTGCCACATGCAAACCTCGGTTTGATTTCTGCCCCCTGTTTAATAACCATGACTTATTCAATAAATGCACTCGTCGTGAGGATTGAGCTAATAAGCGGATTGACAGGGTCCACTTGAGTAAATCGTGTAAAGCATGATGCGACGATTCGCGAGGTCGCGGTATCTTCCCGAATTCTCAGCTTGTGCTACACGGCCACTTAATCCCGACCTCTTCGACCTCTAAGCCTTTCCCACCGACGGCCTTTGGCCCCGTCACCAAAAGCCGACTTGTAGCACTTCGTTTCCGGCTTTCAATTCTTGTTTCAGTTTATTTGAACGGTTAAAAGTGACTTTCAAGAAATGAGGTCAACTCCTTGCGTTCTAAGTCTTTTCAAATTGTTTCATGGAATAATTTCGATTTTTTTCTTCGAAGAATCATAAGTTCATCTGACTTCAGTCAAATATCCACCTAATAAATTGAAAAAAAATATCAAGCAAAATATGAAAAGGAAAAAGTTGGTTTGATTAAACTACGGCTTTATTCTACCTTTTTCGAGTTCACAGTCTTTTTTTCAATCAGCCACTCATTATCTTTTTATAAAAAAAGACAATTTTTTTGCGGTTTTAAAACCAGCTTGAAAGGTTCTTTGACGTTTGTCAGCCAACAGACTTTTATCTCAAAGAAGTTCCTTCCAACGCCTTGCAGTTGTCGAACCTACTCAAATTTTGTGGTCCATTTAATAACCCATTTTTTTCTCTCTGAGAGCCGCGAGCTCGTTGTTCCCAGATTGTATCGCGTTTTTACAGCCCTTCCGTTCTCAAACTTCAAATTGCGGAATGAAAAAAAAGATCGTTTGCAGAATGATTCCGTGGCTGCTGCCACTTTTGTGGCTCCGCGTCGCCTCGGCACAACAAAGAATCGTCGAAGGCCCGCGCGACACTTTCTCCACGATTGGGGAAACTGTCGTTCTGACCTGTAAAGTTGAAAACCAGGTTCGTATGGTTTTTTTGAGATTCAGAGCAAAGTTTTAAAAGTTAGGAAAAGTAAAAAGTAATTTCCCCTGATCCCTGAAGACTTCAAACTTTTCTTCTAGTCACGCCGATGAACTTCTCGTGGAGTAATCGGTGGCAATCATGTTACATTCAGAACAAGATTAAGACATAAACATAAGAGTTGCGTATGGATATCTTTTCTCACACATTGTACCTTTAATCGCTCATAGAATTTTATAAAATTGCTCCATCTGTGGGAGAACTAAGTTTCGATTCTACGCCAGAAATATTTATAATTGTGTTAGTTATTTAAATCATGAGATTTTTTTGGGAAACTTTCAAATTATCTAATCATTTGAGTTAGTGAAGTTAGAACTTTTGCTTCAAAATATCGGCCAGAAATTCCATCGATTGTCGAAAAAAAAAGTGAACCATTTCTATTTTTATCGAAAAAGCTTTCTGGTCGCCGCCTTTTTCAAAAGAATGTCCTCCTGCGGAAAACTTCTGCACACTGTTCCTGGTGCCTTTGATTCAATTACCGCCTCGTAGGACGCTGCAACACGCGGCATTTGCATAGATTTACGGGCTCAGGCCAAACGAAAATGTTCCAAAAGCCGTGTGGCCGCTCGGACTTTGGAATTCTCACGAGACCATTTTCGGCAGATTTCTTGCTACATGAAAGCAAACTCGAGTCTCAAGATGTTACTGAGGATTTCAAGGAAAACTTTTCTGAGTCGACTGAAAGAAATTAACAACAGATAGGAAAAATCTGGATGAAAATCTGAAAAAAAAAAAACAAAAAGGATTTTTTTTCGAACTCTCATTGTTGTTACTTACAAGAAAAGGAGATTCAAATACCTTGTGAAGAAAAAAAAATTGAAAGATCAATTTTTAAGAGTCTACAAGAAGGTAATCAAATATTGTGTTCGAGGTTTCTTTTTTGAAATTTCCGACTGGCAAGAATAATTTGTCGCTGTTTTCAAGAAACAACTTCAAAAAAATTGTGAGCTGTTCAGGTTCAAACTTGTGAGAAGCTCCATTGTCACTTTTGTTGATTTTTTTTTTGTAGTTCAAAAGAGGTTGATTCTATTGAATCTTTTATTATTAACATGAACATAACATGTTTCATTCCAGCAAGGACCAGTACAATGGATGAAGAACGAATTCGGGCTGGGAACGGTCCGAGACAAGCCACTTCCAGGCTATAAAAGATACCGGATGATTGGCAGCACCGCTGCCGGAGAATATAATCTTCAGGTTTACCGATTCCGGAGTTCTTGTTTCCAAGATTATAGTTTTGCAGATCGAAAACGCGACGCTGAAAGATGACGACGTTTACGCTTGTCAAATTTCAGCCACCGATAATGATCCAGCCGTCGTTTCGAGAAGCGCCAAACTTACGGTTTTAGGTTAATTTTAGAAATTTCCGTTTCAGAAGAAAAATCGGTTCAAGAAGTCAAAGCATAGAGAAAGTTGTCTGCAACCAAGAAATATTTTTTCCAAAAAAAAAACTGTTACATTTGATTATTCTTCAGGGCTAGATTTTTTACTTGTAAAAATATTCACTCATTTTGTTAGCTTTATTTTTTCTCCTGCTATATGAAAGCAGTTGAATTACAAATCGCTATCAAAACAGGCATCAAAAAGCCATAAGAGGATTCCAATTGGCGTCTGAATAGACGAAATATTGAGGCCCCGGCAGTTGAGTCTAAGACAAATTCACTTCATTTATCTTGCAAGTGATGGTCGCTGATGTGGCCGCCAAATGCGGCACAGCTGCTGCCGGATGAGTTTTGCCGCCGCGCAGCCGAGATCTTTCCCCAAACGATGTGTAAATCTGTGTAAATCTCGAATTTTTTCTGATGGTTGATTGTGAAAAGTCTGTTGGTAGATTCATCGTCAAAATAATATGAGTTTTGTTAGTAAGGTCATCCGATTTTCGATCGACATGACAGGAAAACGACATGAAAAGCCCGTTTTCAGGCAGGGTAATATACTATTTGTTCTTTTTCGAAAAAAATTTTTGAGAGCTATTCGAAGAATGTTGACTAAAAGTTTTACTATACTTCTGAACGAGGCTTGAAAAAAGTTACAAAATTTTTTTTAACACAATATTTTACGAACTATGTGAAGTTATGATCTTCATTCTTTCTCTAATGACATTTATATAACTGAAATTTTCAGCGTCAACTCAAAACATAAATTTTGATGGAGAAACGGAGCTTTTTTCAGTCCATGACTCCCATTTTTTCGCTTTCTCTAACTGCTCCAAATCACAAGTGTTAGACGACTCTCATACGATCACAACGCAATTGACAGAAACATTTTGGATTTGTGTCCGGCAGTCCATCGGTCGGTGTAAATCACGTTGGCGACACGCATCTCCTTGACATAAAACAACTACGAGCCGTCAAACGGATTCGTCTTGCGGCTAATTGCAAAAACTATGCATCGCATCCGACGCGGCTCTCACCCATTTTCACGCCACAAAAAACCAATCTAAACGCCGACGTTTCTCTGAAACGCTTTTCTCGATTCTCGAAATGTTGTTTGAAAAGAAAAGATTGGATAAAAATAGCGGATTGACATCAAAAACTATGAAATGTTGTTTTATAGTGAAACCGAGCCCGCCAAAACTTAACAAGGTTCATCATTCTCTGAAAGCGATCGCAGGAGAGAAAATCACGCAATCTTGTGTTTCAAGAAAAAGGTAAGAAATAGGATGATAATTTTTTTGATGGGAAACGTCTTTTTTTGCTTGATAAAAAGAAAGCAAAAACTTCTAAAAGACATAGTGAAAAAAATTTTTTTTTCGAAAACATGGATTTCCAAGGTTTTATGAAAGCAATTCAAGAACCTTGAAGACCTTTCACACAATTCAAAATTTTCGAGCCATGCTGTTTCGCCTAAAAAATTAGCAACATTTTAATGGGCTCTTGAAACGATTTAAAAAATGATCTGAAAAAATGAAAACAAATGTTTACAGGAAAGCCTCCTCCGCGGCTTGGTTGGGCACTTGCTGACGATTCAAATGGTGTGAATATTGTAACTTGGCTCGGAGAAACTCGCTCAAAATTCGGGAGAATATATTGTGAGAGTCTTTTAGTTCTGTTTATCAAAAGAATACTTTTCTCAGCTAACAATGGAATAGCGCAAGAGTCTGTGATGGCGGACATAACCGAGTCAATCCAAGTAGAGAGCGAAGGTTCTCATGGGAGGAACGACTCCAACGTCTACAGTATCATCAGCAACATTTCGTGAGTTCAATTTCAACAAATGAAGTTTTCAATAATGAATTTCAGCTTTGTTTTGCGGCCTGAAGATGATCAAAAGTACTTGGTATGCATGAGTCAACATGAAACTTTCTCAGACACTGTAAGAAAAGTCAGAAAGACGAATTCCTAACTTTCATTTTCAACAGGCTCAAACGGATTCTCTGAAGCTGTCTCTTCGCTATGCACCTAGAGTGAACCTGACGATCGCTTCGAAACTTCCATTGAGAGAAAATGGATCAGCTCTCTTGGCTTGTAATGTTGACGCGAAGCCTCTGGATAACATCAAAATCGCGTGGTTCAAAGGAGACGATAAACTGAGGGATTCGACAGATGTGAGAATTTTTTTATTTTATGATCCAATTCAAAAATTTTCAGACACTTGCTGTGGAAACACTGCAAATGTCGGATCATGGAAAAGAGTTCCATTGCGAAGCTGCCAACGCGATCGGCAAAACTCGGGGAAGTCTCAAAATGAGCGTCGCATGTAAGTTTCTGCAATATATTTTGATATCCAGTTGGGAGCTCAACGAAACTCTGCTAAAATGTACTTCGTGAGCTTTTCGTTCTAACTTATGCCTTTTTTTTTAGTTCCGTTCAATCTTTTTTTTTACAAAAATCAAAAATGTTGGACTTTCTCCTTAATTTGCAACCCTCAAGGCTGTATTACTCAACTTGATAGCATATGTATATATACATATATGTGAAATAAACTTGCGAAAGGGATATATGGATACCTCAGAATACATTTTCACTGAATTTCCTCAAACTTTTTTTATCCGAAAGATTTAGATTCACAATAATTTTTTTGGAGTTTTTATTTACGAGGCCACACTGATACTGTAATTTTTATTTCGATTAAAACTAAATATTTCGGCTTGAAAGTTTGAGAATCGGATTTTATTTCCAAAACCTCATAAAACGCATTCCATTTGACAAACGCAAAAAAACGCATAGAATGGTATTACAAATTGGATTAGGACAGTTCTAAAGCGCGTTCGTTCGAGCAATCCATCAAATTTCTTGATAAACATACGTGTTGTGGGTGGATTACGCATAACTCATCAAATATTCATCTGTGGACCGCTTAAGCTCGAGTGCAAGCTGCAAATTGATGTAGGGTCGAGCCGAAATACCGAGGAACACATGCACGCGGCTCATTTATCTTGCGCGTCCAATTGTACGACTCACCTTGTGGATTGAAGGATTGAAGACCAATCACCCACATGAAACACAGGGTCATTTTCCACGTCGTTTCTCAAATGACAAGACCGATTTCGAGAAAAAAAAACGATACTCCAACTTGCTGAATACTTCTTAATGAAACAGATTGCTTCATGGTTGTCGCAATAACCTTATCCAAAAAAAATCAATCCAAGAAAACGATTACCGTTCAGACCGTTTTTTTCTATTCATCGCTACTTTGAGACATAAAATACTTTAGAAGCGTCTAAAACGCTTTTTTCACTTGATTTTTTTGTTGATCAAAAATTTTTTCCTTAATCTTCCAATTTTTGCGTTAGACTCAGAGCGATTCGCGCGTGCATAGATCGTAAGGCGTTTGATAAAACTGTTCAAAATCATTTCCAATGGAAATTTTTCCAGTTGGTGCAAGAATAATGTCGACGCAACAAGACAAGGAAGTGAACGAAGGCGACACAGCGAGCTTCCATTGTGCCACGGTAGGAAATCCACCGCCAACCGTATTTTGGACAAAAGGAGGCAGCGATCAAATAATCGGCCGAGGAGAAAAGTGAGTCCAAAAATGTTTATTTTTTGAAACAAAAGTTTTAGTTTGACCATCGAGAACGTCAGAACTTGGCAACAAGGAGAGTATATCTGCACGGCAGCAGTTGAAGGCTTCAAGAGAGAAGCTTTGTCTCACTATCTCCACATTCGCGGTACAGTTATTAAACAATAACTCAGTCGTTCTTTCTGATGCAGGTCCACCCACGGTGACAATGGGAGATGAGTTATCAGCCGCTCTGGACGACTCAATTGAGATTTCCTGTCGGATAAGTGGTCGACCGATCACTTCTAACATCAGATGGAGCAAAAACGGCAAAGAAATCAATTTCGCCAACGGCAGAACTCAGGTGGAAATATTTTGCTGGCTCTTGATCATAGAAATCTTTCAGGTTCATCAAGTTCCTCAGCCATATGGAGTTGAAAGCACTATGAAAATCAAGAATGTGAAAGAAGAAGATTTTGGAATTTACAACTGCACGGCTAATAATGGGCTTGGCTCAGACGGTCGTGGAATTCGAGTGAAACAAAGAAGTTTTGTAGACTTACTAGGTTTGATTTTGACCTTAAATTTCTGAAGAGGTTGCCAATTTTCTAGCGGACGTGGACCAAACGGTCGCTCTCGGAATTCTGACGGCAGCTCTCCTTCTGCTCATCTGCTGCTGCTGCTTCTTCATTTGCAGGAATGCCTGCTCCTCCAAAAAGTCGAAGTTTATAGGTAGGGAAAGCAAGTTCAGGGGAGTCTTCATTGATTCTGTGTAGGTTTAGATGATCAATCTGACGTCACCGTCAAATGCGAAGCTTTGGACGGTCAATTTTTCCCAGAAATGTATAGCAGCAGCCCAGTTGATAATGGGAACTTGGTTGGATCAAAGGTTGGATTTTTCCAATAAATTGAGAATAACATATTTTATTTCACTTTGGGGTATTTTTAAATTATAGCTTTAAAACAGTTCAAAAAAAGGGGTAAACTAGCCTGGGAAGATTTTTGTTCTTCAAGAAGAGCAATAACTCTAGCACTTAAAAATTGTGGCGACTTTTTGGAATAATCTCAATTTCGGAGAAAAATTTAGATTCCCCCTCCTCCCCCCATTCCTCCTCTATTGAGAACTTTCGAGAAACTATATAACATTAGACATCACAATCGTATATTTCCAGGACTACATCTCAATACCGCAGAACAATCCTGATCTCGACTACTTGGGTCCTCCATCAAGTTTTGGCGCCCCGCCTAATCTATATCCAAAGTACATCAATGGGTCAACCAATGAGTATAACGTCATGTGCGGACGTTACGATCACTCCTACGGATCATTCGGTTCTGGACTCTCTACTGGAGGTAAGCGCACCTCTTTTTCTTGGTCTTCCTCAAATTTTTTTAGGCAACTGTTTATTCAATTTTCTATTTGAAAAGTAAAGGGAAGATTTCAAAGTTCTGAGATTTTGTTGGAACAAAAGTTTGACATATTTTCGGGAGCCTTGAGTCCAACAGAAACAGTTTTTCCCACTGGGTCAGATTTTTTTCAATCATTCAAACAAGGTGCTCCAAATTTTCAGTTTTTCTAAAAGGCTGTGACCCTATCATTTCGTCACAACTTTTTATTTATTCGCAAAAATGAATTATTTATGCACTAATACCAGAGGAAAATTCTGCTTATTCGGACTTCATATAAGTTTGCTGTCTTCAAAATCAACTTTTTGAGAAACTTTTTCGAGACTGTGCAAAAATCTGAGACTAGAAAGATACCAATTTTAGTGGAAAATGTTATTCGGTAAAAAAGTATTTTGATATTAATCATTTGCAGGTTTCAAAGACTACAGAAAAGAATACTCGAAAAAAAAAATTAACTTGAGAGTGCTTAAAGATAATTTTCGACATTTTCAGGTCTTTCCGACATGTACGGCATTGGAGCGAGCGACAAGATGCCAGTAATGGAAACTTTGCAAGAAGTCGACACACCGAAGGCCTCCAATTACAACTTCCTCGCCTCGCCAGGGACCGGCCGACCTATGAGCCGCACATCCACCCACGTGTAAATTGTTTGCACAGTTCTTTTTCAACTTTTCTAAACAAGCGTGATATTTGTACCTCTCGGACGACGCTTTTTTGTTTCTTTGTCACCGAAACCTTTTTCATCAGCAATTATTTTTCAATGCCCGTGTCATTCAGTGATCGTTCTCACAAGGTTTTCATCTGTATTATGATCGAACTGTATCATATATTTTATCTATTCAATCGGGTATTTTCTTGCCATTTGTTTTTGAAAGTCTACAGACTTAAAAATATGTTTTTTTTTTTGCGCCCTGAATGTGATTCTCTAGTCATTGTTCATAAAAAAGCAATCCAATAAATGTTTCAAAGAGTTTTGAAGTTGCATCTGGATCATTATGGTAAAATTTTTCAGTAATTTGTGAAGATTGACAATTTTCATCACTGAATAATCTGTTCGGAAATAGATAATTTCTTAAAGCTCATTTGCCATTTTTTCAAAGCAGTCTGCCCTGTTTGGTTTTTTTCTCAGTGGTGGAAATCTCTTATAAAGTTAAGAGATTTGAAAAATAACTCCTTTCCCGGGCTCAATTTTTGTGATAATATGATAATACTATAAGCATCAAAATTAGGAAAAATTCATTCATACATTCCGAATCTAATGATGTAAGTTGAAATAATCCAAACTTCTCGAACTAAGAGAGAAACCCAAAAAAAGATTATAACCCTTCCTTTGTTAGGAAGAAAAGAAATGGCAACTGACGTAGACTTCCTGTGGCCCCAATTTAGGGTGTCCAATGCCAGCCAAGCAGCACCTGAAGACGTCATGCAACTGAAAAGGCAACGCGATATCCATCCTTGCGTGACATATTGCAACTCCTCGGCCACGGTATTACGTAAAAAAATCTTCAGTGAAGTGCCGGTGTACTTGTGTTGAGAACAAAGTTTTCAGTTGATTTGCGTGAAAAAAAATTCCCATGGAAACAGGTGATTCATTTTTACTGTTTTTCAAGTTATTATATTTTTCCACTCTTTAGTGACAACAGGAAAATTTTTTGTTACTTCCTGTCACGCATGGAACCAATTTGGTTTTCTGCACTCTCTTTTTTTTCATCATAACTTTATTTTTGCGGTGTCCATTCCTGACTCTAAATCATTTTATCTCTTTCATCGGCATCGTCGGGCGATTTCCTATAACAACGCGAGGAAAAACGCAAATTCAGACAGTTCAAATTTTCGGCAAATGGATCGAATTTTAAGATTTACCATCCATCCCGTATGAAAAGACATAATCTTCGCGTTGATTACTTTTTTTGAGTTTCGACTATTCATTCTTGAAAAAAATTACGACAGCACCTGCTAATAAATTTCCACACTCAGAAATCTCTTCGTTTTTCTATTTCTCTTTTTCTGATCAATTTTTGTCTTTTAGGGTTTTCATCTTCAGGAACTAATTTCTCAAGTTTTTCAATTTTTATTTTTTATGCAGCTTTTCAAAAGTGAGTCTTACTTAATAAAATTAAAATAAGTCGAGCGTCACATAGAGAATATATTGATATTTTCACTCAGAAGCAATATTGAAAATTCACATAGTTTTGTAACGCAGCTCTTTTATTTCCAATAGATTAAATCTTTGCAGCATTTGCAGCCCGTAAGAATGAAATTGAAGCTTAAACTCATTGCTGTTAACTGACCGCTCGAAAACCGAACTGCACGTTCTCGGTCAGCAGTTGTTTGATCGGTCCGCCGAAGAGGAACTCTACTGACGTCAAACCCGCTTTTTTTCGGGCTCTTCCTCGTTTTCCCTGCAAACTCAACCCTTTACTACCGAACTAAACTGGAATCAATTTGCGATCTTCATTTCCTTCTAGTTTTTAATGTTATTCAAGTGCTTCTCATGAACTTTTTCATTCGTCTAATTCTTATAGAAATAAAAAATCAACTTCTTGCGTAGGTGCATTGTTTTTTGAACGTTGATAAACTGAATAGTTTTTCCCCGATTCGAAAAAATGATCAATTTTCAGTACTTTTCGTTATTCCCTTCTTTTCATTGGTACTTTTGCAGAAAAACGTTGGAATATTTTTGTTTTTTCTAAAATAAAATGGCCGCTAAAGAAATCATGCAAATATGAAAGCGAGCTTAGAAGGGAAAACATTTTTATTTTCCGTTTTTTAAATGTTAATAGTTTATAAATTTCAAAATCTTTGCAAAAACTCGGATGGTTTTGGGAAAAAAATTGTGACTCAGTGATCGTGTATCGAAAAATACCGAAGTGGCTCAGTTTTCGAAGTTCAATCTCACCGATTTCTGTAAGGTTGCAGGTCTTCCTACCCATTTTTTTTAAATAGCCGGAATAATTTCAAAGCGACGTATTCGCGTTCAGAAGTTGCCCTCTGCAGTAATAATTCAGCACCCTAAACAACTCGCAAATTCCTGTGGCTACGTCATCAGTTTAAAAGAAAAAGTGAGCAGCCAGCGTTCACGTGTACGCCGCTGTTTGCTCTGATTCCACAGCGGTGGTCCTTTCCTCTCACAAAATCCTTTTCCTTCCCTTTTTTCTAATTTTTCTAACTTTTTGCGATTTTCTTTCGGCTTTTTCACTCTGAAGATCAAGATCATTATCGAACAGTTCCTAAGTGTCGGGAGCAAGAAGAGAAATACCGTGCAGCTTTTCTGATAGCTGGCTCTAGAATGAAAATTGTTTTATTATTGTCTCCGTTCGCACGGGGAATGGTTCAGAGCGTTGCGGTCGCTCTGTGGTTGGCATGCGGAATTTCTGTAGCCGTTAATTATTGAACCGTATCCCTCACCGTCCTAAACATTCATAAGCACACAGAAAAAAAAAACAGTAGGCATGAACCAAGAACATTTTTTGGTTTCTCAATCTTTTTTTTTTCTCAATTAACATTTCGCATACTTTCCTCCTTTTTTTTCTATATGTCGATTCTGTGAAAGTTATTGAAAAGGCATTAGTATAAGCGCAAGAATCATTGTCCTCACATCACTTCAAGATTTAAAAATAGTCGTTTTCAGCTTAGAAGGTTGGTCTGAGTGGGATTTGAGGCTTATGACCTACAAGCACATAGAGATTGCAGCCCGAAATTTGCTCCATTTTTGTACTCCTTTCCATGGAATGATCTAGGAAAAAGGAGAAACTCATATGTGAACCTCTTTTTGACCTAAATTTATAAAGCTCGCACTGCTGCTTTCTGATTGAAGATTGTTTCGTATGTAGCACATCTGAGTAAATTATCTGTTGATGGAGAAATGTGATCAGAGTTTGAGGAGAGTAGTGCACACGTCACATGCCTGAGGAATGCGACAGACATCTGCCAAAAAATTACCTTCTCTGTTCAAAATAATATTTTCCATTCTTTACGTTGTCTTTTTTATTCCAGTGTTTTGATTTTCGAATTCTTGTTACAGATTCTTCAATATTTGATTTTTTTTTTTTATCTAGTTCAACATAGAGGACGAGATTAGAGAAAGCGAATATCTTCGGAATTCTGGTTCTGATCCTTGAAAACCTTTAACTTTTTTGTTATTTTATTTTCAGAAAAACGTCCACAAAATATTAAGTTCTCCGCAATCATTAGCCAGGCCTCTTTTGGAAAAAGAGTGCGGCGAGCGCAGATGTGCGTCATAGGGCAGGAAAAAAGTTCCAGGCAAACGTCGGGTGCACTTGACACTTGCTCTGTGGCGACCGCTTGTTTTTTCTCATTTTGCAGCTTTCTGTACTTTTATATCAATTTTTGTTTCTGAAACTGAAACCAGATAACATCAAATTTCTCTTCAAAAATAACTTTTAAAAAAATACTATGAAAAACATTATTTTTTTGAATTATTCAGTGCATTAAAGCTAAAGTACAGGGATCGGCAGAATTTATAAAGCGAAACGCATCCCTGAGATCTTTTAATTTTGAAGATTACTGAGAATTTCGTTCAAGCTCTAGTCGATGGGAGATGCTGCAAAAAAACAAAAACAAAATTGATATAAATTTGTTAAGAAGATCGTCATTTATCAGTTTTTCCTTTTTAAATTTGAACTAATCTGATTATTTTCTATGCCCAAGGTTGAGTTAACGGTTCCAACTTTTTCAGCCGAAAGAAACTTTTGACGCAAACTTCCTAATAATTATGATAAGGAAATACCTGATGCGTTCGTTAATCTTATCGAAAAAGACTCGACGCAAAATTGACGTCATCGTTTCGAATTTTCGTGGAAGGGAGGCCACTTGAAACCGCGATTCGACATTTTACAACTGATTTGTCCACATTTTTGACATTCTGATGTTTTGGTCAAGAGTAAGGAAAGCATTAGTATTATTCGTTCTCACTTCATCCGAGATTAACCGCTTCTAACAAAAATCATAGTTCTGATCTTTTAACGAAAACACGTTCAAATTTTTCTCCAAGGTATTTTTAATTCCAAAGATCGCCTGAAAAAAGTGCAAATCAAGTCTTTTAGATATTCAGCTTTGACTTCTTTCAACTATTTTATTTTCGTTTCATTTTTTTCCGCTGGTTTCATATTTTTGTTTCTTCCACTGTTTTCCGAGTTCACTTCTGCTTGAAATTCGATTTTTTTTTTCTCTGAAATTTTCATCTTCAAAACCTTTCTGTTTGACGCAAATCGAGGAATTTTATTTCAGAACTGTCTGATAAACTCACTCCAAGGGGACAGGCGGCAGAATGGCCGAAGCCAAGGAGGACGATCCTTCCAAGGCTGTTCGAATCGGCTTTTACGATATTGAGAAGACGATCGGTAGAGGAAACTATGCTACTGTGAAACTTGCTAGCCATAAGGTTGTCCGTAATAAGGTGAGCCAGACAAATCAAAAACTCGTATTCATTTGTTCTTTTCTAGGTTGCTGTGAAAATGATTGACAAACGACGAATGGATGCAAACACTTTGATCAAAATTCGCCGTGAAATCGATATTTTAAAATCATTGAATCACCCCTACATCATTAAACTGTATCAGGTATGACATAATTTAAATATCTTCATCGGAATTATCTTAAGGTCATGGAAACTGAAAATACAATCTACTTGGTGACAGAATATGCTGCGAATGGGGAAATTTATGGTCAGTAATAATTTCCTAGTTGCGTGAAAATTTCCGCACATTGAGTAATTACATGTTCTATCGTGCGACAGGGGTCATATAGTCTGTTCAGATTTTGAATGTCAAGCAGCTGACTCCACCCCTAAGGCTACAATATCCTTCGCGTCAATGTTTTATATCCAGATGACGATGAACCTTTAATAATGCTGCATTTTTGACTTCTTTTTCTATCTTTTAGATCAAAAAAGATCAAAATTAGTCCCGCGCGATAAAACATCGGCGCGAAAAGGTACCGTCTCAGCAGGGGCGGAGTTAGCTGGTTGACATTCAAAATCTGAACAGACTATAATCGGAAAACCAAACAATGACCGGCGAGGTCCACTACAAAATGAACCCGTTTGAAATAGGCACATCAGCTTTGATAAGAGTTTTTTGATCCGTATTTTGATAATAAGAAACCACAACATTAAAAGAACGAAGTTTCACAGAATGACCATTTTTAGATCAAATATTGCAAAGAAAGAAGTTGTCTGAAGACGAGGCTCGCTGGAAGTTCTGGCAAATGATTTCGGCCGTAGAGTACTGTCACAAAAAAGGGGTCGTTCACCGCGATTTAAAGGTTGGGTTATAGAATGATTTGAAGATAAATTATATTTCAGTCCGAAAACTTGCTGCTCGATGAGAAGGGCCGTATCAAAATTGCCGATTTCGGTTTCAGCAATCATTTCGCTGAAGATACCTTGATGCAAACATACTGTGGTTCTCCACCTTATGCTGCCCCTGAAGTTTTCGAAGGCAAAGCCTACTATGGACCTCACGTAGACATTTGGGTTCGAGTCAAACTTGAGTCAAGTTCAGTCTCTCAGATTCAGAGCCTTGGTGTCGTGCTCTACGTAATGGTTTCTGGGAGTATGCCTTTTGAAGCAGCAACCTTGTACCAACTTCGTGAAAAGGTGCTTTCTGGTCAATATCGTGTCCCTTTTTTCATGAGCTGTGGTTAGTAAAATCAACCTTCGCATCACAAAAAACGATAAGTTTAAGATTGTGAAAATTTGATAAGAAGGATGTTGGCGGTTGATCCTGCAAAAAGAGCGAACATGGACTACATCAAAAACCATAAATGGATGCAAAAAGACAATATGCGAGAAAGAATCGAGTACGAGGTTGGTTGATAAACGATTGCTGGAAGGACCGTTTTTTTCAGGTACTTGCACACAATTATCTTTGCTCTGGGGAATCAGCAAAAGCTAGTGTTCGTTTGATGACAGACAGTGGGATAGATCACTTCCACATTCAGGAGGTTCCAATTTCTTCAGCTAAGTTTTTTCATGCTCAATTTCAGGCATTGAACGCACAAGGGTTCAATCATCTCAAAGGAATTTTTGCTCTTCTCATGGAGCGTTATCGCAATAAAAACTTGGACGCTACAATTTCCGCCTTTGCTTATCAAAGAGAGCAAGAAAAACATCAAAAAAGAGCGATGGATGAGCTTGTGCAATTCAAAAATGCACAAGCGTTAGAAAAAACCGAAAATGCATCTACCGCAACTATGGAATATCCATCGAAAACATCTCAGCAAGAAACAGAAGCTACCGAAGTAGCAAATACAGCGATGGTAATTTTTTTTGAAACTATGAGGATGAAAATGAAATGTTAAGGAGTCCAAAGAAGAGGACGCTTTGCTAGTTAAGAAATCGAGTGAATCCCTGGGAGGAATATCGCAACCCTCATTTCGGACACGACCGACTCTCCGTTCATTGCGTGATCATCCCCAGTTTCAAGTAAGAATTCCAGCAAATCACTTTTGAGACTTTAATTCAGACCAGCGACACTACTAGCGGATATGGATCTCAGACATCTAGTTTTAGTCGCCAGTCTACCATAGGCACCTTCTCTTCCATCGATGAAGGTTTCAAAAGTTTTAATATTGTATTTACCAGTTTTTTTTTCTTTGACACAGTTTTCAATAAGTTCGAGTTTCAGGTGTAGAGCCAGACTTGTCCGAGCCGTCCAACACAACCAGTAAATTTTTATTGAAGGAGAAAATGATTACCTCTCGTTCTCAAAAGAGGCCGCTAAACTTTGAGTATTTCGAAAACGAAGAAAACCCCGACGCGATGAGCTCCGTCACAAGTTGTCCGAGTAGCTCAGAACCCAATAGAAATGAAAAAAGTAAACGGGAAGTGGATGTATCGCTCAACGAAGTAGTTTCCTTAGGACCAGCATCGAAGTTTATCAGTATGGCAAGCGGACTGCCCGATGAGCCGACGTCTTCAACCGAGTCGTCTCCATTCGAGGAAGGCCTGCGCGCTTCAGACAACGCCATGTTCCGAACGACTCAAACTCCTTTCATCACAGGAAAACTGAGCAAGAGAACTCGTGTGGTAACTCGAATGCTGAGGTGAAACTAGAAAAAGAGAGCAACTTGAACGAATTCGTATCTTTCAGAACTCCGTCAACTATCGGAGTTGGTCAAAAGTTAGAAAACATGAAGCTCGACGGAGGTTCTCAGGAGAAACGGTTTCGTCTTCTTTCTACGCTTGGAAAACGAGTCTCTCTCCCTGAGGGCCTGGAAAATCAGGTCAGTTCCATTCACAGTTCTCAAACCATCTTCTTGTTTTCTCTAATTTGCTACAACCTAATTATTTCAGCCGCAGGAGTACTTGAACTACAAGCAAATGATTGAAGTCCAGCAAAAAATGGAAGGAAAGGACATTGTCAGAGCTCGCATTTCCCATCTCCATAAGAGGCTGGTGAACAAAGCTCGTCTTCAGAAGATGCGTCAACAGGTAACTGAATAGTTTTATACCTGTTAATGTCCACCTAACTCTTCAATTTGAATTGAGTCATTAAATAATGTCTGATATTCTTGAAGTTATTTTAGGCAGGGTTTAAGTTTTTTCTCGGTTCATGGTCAGTAAAAGGAGATAAGATTCAGCAAAAGTCGCTCAGAACAACTTTTGGTAATTCAGAACGCGTTGGAATCTGGTCACGGGCTGCCGCCACGCAGGGATGAGCCAAAGCTCACACCAATCTTCGTTTCCCCGTCAGATGACCTCATGGAGGTCGAAGAACCTCACGAACCTCTTCAAGACTGAAGAATTTAAACTAAATTACCACTTCATGTTTATGGTCCTGTTTGTAGCCAAATTGTTTATGGAATTCTGTTTAACTCGCTATTTGTCATTATTATGGGTGTACAACCATATCGAAAATCGGGCGACGTTTTTTTTTTCTTTAATATTTATTTGGATGTGAATTAATTTTCATTTTTTTCGAAAGCAAATAAACAAATGAATAAAATGAATAAAAAACTTTGGTTTGTAAGACTGAGAAATATCATTTTGAAGAAGAGAAGTTTTGAGTAGATGGGACAAAGTTTTTTTATTTCTCTTTAAACCGATTCTAATCATAGTTGATTGTAAAAAAAACGTTTTTTCAGTGCTGCTAATCAGGAAGGCGACCTCAACGTCATATTTTCTTGCGCTCAGGAAATTATTATTTTTGCACGCAAAGAAAACATTAGAGAAAAAACTTACGAGTTTGTAATGACTGAAAACAATTTCCGATTCAGAACGAAGCATTTTGAATAATTCAATATTATTGTGTTTGTGATTTTTTTCGAATTAAATCAACAATCCGAAAAAAATTCAAGAGCTTTTTTTGATTTGAAACGCAATAAGGGGGCTGCAAATTTGAAGTTTGAACCTTTGGCTAGTTTAAACTTCAATACTAAAATCTTAAATAGAAATGAAAATGAATATCAGCTGAATCGCATTAGAGTAAATGTCGGTATTTGCAAAATAATCTCATGTTAAAGGATCATCTTGAAAAAACCGTGAAAATATGACGAGCTGTTTTTCCTGATTGAAAAACAATGTTGGAAAAATATTCACAGGGAAAATCGTGACGGCGCAAACTTCGTTCCGGAAAAAAAACAATCATTCTTAGAAAAAAGAACCAATAGAAAGGCGGAGGCGGATGTGAAATTTTTTAACTTTGATTTCTTTTGATCATAGTTTTTCCATCTCCAGTTTTTTTGAATTTTTTTCTCTAGATCAAAAAGGATTACATCCGAAGCCCCAATAAAGTCGAATAATATAATTAAACTTAAATTTGATAGTATATTTCTAAACGAAAAACAAGAAACGTCTTTTTAACAGAAATTATGGCTTTCCATGTAGAACAACACTTAAAATTATCGGTTTGAAGCTGGAAAAAAAAGCAAGCGTTTTGCCACTCTCTTATGAACCTACTTGCAAGTCACACGAAATTTCCAGGTGAACCGCTAGAATGTACTTTTACAGTACTGTCGATCTGATCACGACAATTTGCTGTTTGATCGTCGCCATAATATCTGTGCCTGCATACACTTATGTTCTATATCTTCTTATTCGTGAGCGTCAATCCAAAAACTTTCAAAATGTTTTTTTCTCAATTTGGCGTTATTCGGCCGTATTGGATCTATCTTGCTTACTGGTCAATTACGTCGGCGCCGTGATCCCCAAACTGGGAATGCTTCCAGATTTCCCGGTTTGGTATGGAAAAGTGTTGATATCAGAAAGAATAAGTTAGTAAACTTCGGAGTTCAGATTTATTTAGTGTTAACCTGGGGAATGAAGTTCAGCCAATCAACGTGCTCGGCTGCTGTTGCTTTAAATCGAATGTTAGCCGTGGCTTTCCCGCAGAAAAAGGTTCATTTTTGTTTTCTGATTATTAAATACTTATCATTTTCTAGCTCACCACCTCTTTCTATTATTCTGTTCAATCGGCTCCTGCTATTGTGGCCGTTCCATTGATATTTCAACCATATTACTGGGAAATCACGGGAACATCACATATAATCAGATTTGGGTTAGCTTTATTATATTCCCGTCTCATCGTAATTATTTTCAGAGACGAATCTTTCAAAAAAGTTTTTTACATGGTCTGTGGAACGTATTTTTCGCTCTTAACACTATTCATAATAACCTGCTACGCTATCATGATAGTTCATTATCGACGAGTAGTGGTGAATTTTTGAAGCAATTTTTCCACCTACTGTTCTGGTTAAGAGAACAAAATCTTACAAGCCGAGAAGACACCAAGAACGGAGTTTCCACGTCATTTCTTTTGTTGTCTCGCTTCTGGAAATTGGCCAAAACGTCATAATGTTGTACAAGTCGTTTTTTGGCGGCAAAATTTCTTCCGACAGCTTGTACAATTCAATCAATATCACTCTACATTTATATTGCTGTAAGTTTTTTGATCTTCCATTAGACAAAATTGAACTTCTTTCACACAAATATTTTATTTTTCCTAATCAAAATATAAATCTGCATGGAACGACTTATGAAATTGCAATCGCGACACGTTCATTTGGCTTCGAATACAGCTCTTTCTCATTTTGGACTAGAGTTTTCAAAATTTTGAAGATCCAGAACTCCTTGACCGGTAGTGTCGCTCGGCATTGATATATGCCGTTAAACGACCTTTTTGATTAGCTTCTGAATTAGTTTTCAGTTTGAACAAGTCAATAAGATTTCTTCAATTTTGAGACTTTCTCTTTCAAACATTTAGAGTAGTTTGAATATTCCAGGAGATCTATTTGATATATTAAAGTCATTCCTTAAAAAGTTACAAAATAATTTTTTTTGATTTATCTGATATCAATCTTGGCCGACTTCCTCCTATGTTTGAGAGTTCTAACGAAATGCGGAAACAGTGGAGAACTTCTGTAAAAATTGATCATTTTGAGAAAGAGTGAATTCCCAGAGTCTGCGACGTAATCTTTCGAGAACTTTTGGCAAAAAAGTAGAATCTAGAGTTTCATGTATTTCATGTACGAATATAAAGAACCATTTTTGTATTCTCAAAATTAAAAAAGGGCCAGTATGAACCAAAAAAAATGAAACTTCAGGTACAAGTCCTTTTCTTCTTCTCATGTTCTCCAAATCACTACGGTTGAAAGCTGCGAGCCATACCAACAAGCTTTTCACAGTTATGAACTCCCACAAAACTCCCCCCACTTCAACTCATCGAAAACCCGTATTTCGTTCAAACGGCACACAATCTGCTATTATTTAGTACCTTTCATAAACTTTTTATCAACCTTGTGGTTTGTGAAATTGGAAGAATTTACCCGAAAATCGAGTTAAAAAACAGCACGATCGTAAAACAAAAAGTGAAATGAAGGTGAAGCGTAATGCAGAAGGCAAAATGAAGGGTCAGAAAAGCACCAAAATGTGCAAATCGATTGAGCTTCAGGAAGGTTTAAAGCTGGATAAATGATTTTTGGTAGTCGAATTTGAGAAATAAAAGAAGTTGGCACATCACTGATATAAAATTATTAGAAGGCGGATGAGAAGGCATTCAATCAATCTTTACGAAAATGTGTATTTTTATGGAATCTTCAAAACTTTTTTTTAGAATCATGTTTTGTTTGTTAAGGAAAAAACGTCGATTGGTGTAACAATGAATTGAAGATCTTTGGTTTGAAGTTTTGAAAGGAGGATATGATCTCTATACAAAGGCAGGTTCCGGGGCGCCAGAACAGCAGGAAGTGAACTTGCTTTTGTCGTTTTTGATGACCCCGTCGACGTGGAAGGCAGAAGAGAACTCCTGGAAGAAAATAACATTGTCTTCGAACTTCCCATTTTAGAGAAGTTAGAGGTAATTTGAGCATCGAAGGACATTGACTTGCAATGAAGAACCATTTTTTTGTTCTAGACTTCTAATTTCGCCTGATAGTTAGGCCTACTCTCGCGCCCTCAAAAAAATCCCTAAAGTCCAAGCTTTTCATATCGAAATAAAACTGTTCAAAGCTAAAAAAAAACATCAAGTATAAAAGTCTCACTTTGTTCAAAAAACTTTGAACTGTCAAACCCATTTTTCCCATCCAATCAGAAAGGCGGCAAAAGTAGTTTGAAAACTTGAAAGGGTGGAAAATGCCAAACCTCGTTATCTTCGGATTCGTCAGAATGAATGCTACCCGTATTCGCCCTTTCTCTCATTGCGGCAGCTAGCGTATGGAACGCTTCTTCGCAGTTTATACCTGAAGAGTAGTCGAAATGAAAAAGAGGAATATAAAAAAATTCGAGTTTTTTTCTGTGATTTTAAAATGAAAGGAAGACGATTCTAATCAAAGCTACATAAGATTTTAAAAAAACTGATAAACTAATTCTAAATTTCGCAGAAAAAAACTATTTTCTCCGATAGAAGTAAAAAAATTTTTTTCCACTGTCTATCGTAGCTTTTTTTGTCGAGAAGTACAAATTTAAATTTACAATAAAAAGGTTTTTATATTTTAAATATTCTCATTTCATTTGAAATTCCAAATTCTTCGATAAGGAAAAATTAGTATAAAAATATTGATAAGAGCAAAAAAATGATGAAAAACTCTGGCTATACTCTCAACTCGTTAAACGACTACCTGTTTTGAGCTTTTTTTTTGATATTTCGAAATTTTTCCAGATTTCTGAATGATAAAGCTTCCCTCACCAGTCTTTGCTGAAACCTCGTATAAAGACACGCCAAGACGTGTGGCGAGCTTTTCCGCTCTGTCGAAATCGACCTGAAATTTTCTAAATAATTCCGTTCAAATTGGCCTCTCGTAAATGAGGAGACGCAAGAGCGACATCTATTTCACTTGTCATTTCCCTAAGAGGATGGCTATTACGCATTGCGAACAACCCATCTATTTGGCCGACGGGTCGGTCATGCGGAGGCAAAAAAAATGGATGAACTCCATTTGGGCCGGACCCAAAACGCGCCGCCTGATGATTTATTGCTTCTTTTTCCCATGGTACATGAAGCTCGAGATTTTCTTGTCTTTCGAGCTTTTTTGGTGTTGCGAAATCAATATTTGAAGTCCGAGGAATTATGAAAAGCTGCCCGTTCGCCAAACAAGAATGAAAGCTCCGAAAAGTTTATATTAAATAATTATAAACGATTCAAATCTTGTTAAAGGCACCTTGGGAAACATTCGACATGAAAAAAATTTGAAATTAATACAAATTGAGTGTGTTGGCTGTTCTTGCTGGGGCTCTATTATCTACTCATCGAAGACTTGTAAAACTTTGAACAGCGCAAGATTTCTAAAAATTTTTAAAAAGGGAAATTTTTTTCATTTCTATACTTTCTATACTCCCTTTTTTTCCGAATACCATCTTCCTGTAGAATACCTTATGAAAAAAATTTTTGAGGCGCCCAAACAATCACTTGGAAAAAAAGAAACAATCATAATTATTTTTTTGAAGGGCTCTGACCATTATTTGGAAATATCTGGGTTTCCTTATTTAAGTTGTTTTTTTTTCCTTCTGAAGTTTGCTGTGATTTGGCAACATGACTCGAGGAAAAAAATGTCTGAAATTAATTGAATGGCAAGAGGAAAACTACCATTTCCATTTCTCATGAATAGATTGAGGATGCGCAGTATTACCTCTCGCGTTTGGCAAGAAAAAAAAAACCTCTAGATGTCAAGAATGCGAGACACCAGCAATTTGCATCTTTCTAGACAATTATCTGTTTTTTTCTGCTCCCCAGCTGAACCCGTTTCGGTTCCGCGAGGAGTTTGAGGCGCAATCGAAATTGCGGAGAAAGAAGATCTTGAAAAACACGCATCATCTTCCAGGATCTAACCAGAGAAGACGGAAGATGGATCTGCAATTATGCGGCGCATCAGCGCAAAAGTAATATATTGTTTTCGGCGAAGTACAAAAAAAATCGTTTTTATCATTTATGTTGACGGTTTAGATTCTTATAAACTGAAGAAGATCAAGCGGTCGAACCCATAATCGAGTTTTCGCAAAAAACTCAAAAAAATTTTTTATCAGGAACTTTGTGACTAATAAATCGAATTTTCTCTTATCCCGTGTTTCTACCGCGGAACGCTCAGATTTTCCAGAATCCATTCTTTTTTCGAAAGTCATATCAGATTTCGTCCGAGCCGTTTCTCGGTTGGAAAATAAGAAAAAAGGGCTAGAAAAATGAAACTCTCATCTTTTCCCGTACGCTCAAGTCAAGCTGTTACCAGTTTTTGTTAGCTACAGTTTGAGCTTTCAACAAATAGTTGCCAATTTTTTGCTCTATCAATGGAAGATCCTTATTTCTTTTTTTGAGAAATAGAATATTTTTCAATGTACCAGTTAATTATTCTAAAGCATTCATAAATTCGAGAGGTCCTTGAAGAAAAATTCTCGGAGTCAAATTTGAACACCACGGGCTTATCTGATCTATTTCAGAAGAGAAGATTGCAGAGGCCGATGAAAATGAAAGCTTTTGAAAATTTTCAGAAAATAAAAAGAGCTTCTTTTCACCCCTCTTTCGAGCAATCAATTCGAAAATATAAGCTGGGTGCAACGCTTCGTGATCGTCAATGGCTCTTTTGCATTGTGCCGCGCAGTTTTACACCGCACCGGCGAATTTCCCGCAACAGGAACAAAAGCCTCGAAAGAGCACAAACAACGTTGCTCGTCCTCGCAAACGGCGAACGGCCAAGCAGTAAAATTTGCGCAGAGCGTAAATCGGATGTCCGATTAAGACGTTTGTAGCGTGACATGTTGACGAACACGCGGCGCATCTCCAGCCTTTTAGGCGACATCTGTCGTCCACAAATGAACTCTCCGAGAGCCCAAGTGAGCGCTTCAAGAGGTTGATTTATACATATAGAGCTCAAATTGGTTAAAAACTTCAACACTTTCTTGTAAAATTTATTCCTGCTGCCGAGCAATTTTTTTTCAAAATCAAACGGTTTTTTTATTGAACAGATTATATTGAACTTTTTCAAAAAGCTGCTAGGCTTTTCAGATCAATAATTCAAATCGGTTAAAATTCTTCAATTCATTTTCTACCATTGCAAATTAATGGGTTGCTGTTTTAACATCGCTTTTGCTTTTAAGGACCTTAGGGAAAGTTTTTTTTTGGAAAAATTTTAGAGTTCAACATTTTCTTCAAAAAAACTGATCAAACAGACGCAACAGGAAAGTTTTAAAAAACCTACAAAAAGTTCAAAGATACTTTTTCAAAATTGATTGAAAAATCCAGGTTTCGAAGTTCTTTAATGAACTAATCATTTATAAAAAACATATTAGTTTTTACATGACTATTTAAAATTTAAAAAAATATTTTGGAAACGACCAAATGAAATTTTTTTGGCTCAAACTTGGTGAAAAATTAAGCAAACGCACCGGCTATATCAATAAAGCAGAAAAGATACGGGGTTCTCAAAGAACAAACAATACAAATTGGCTGCCGTTCATTTCTAGAACTTAATCATTGCTTCCTACTCAGAATCAAGCATGAAAAACAGTTTGAAAAAAATAATCAAATTTTAAAAAAAGCCTAGGTATCCAGAGTGAGTCGAGATTATACAAGACTCCTGTTTCTCCTAAAGATTTCAAAGTGAATTATGCACATATTTGTTTTTTTAATCCCACGAAAGACATTAATCTCCGTTATATTCAATAGAAAAGTTCTTTGTAAGAATTTTTTTCAAACTTTTACCAGTTTTTCATTCGTCATTATTCAGAATAGTTAAACTTTGTCGGATCTTTTTTTTCCTACACAGTCGAGATCGATGAATATAAAAAAACATCAGAAAAAAACTAAAAAGGAGAACACAAAAAAATAAGTTTCAAGTCGGGGAATGAAGTTGAGATCAGAGTTCGCCAGATTTCAACCCATAAAAAGTGTTTTTTTTTCAAAGAAATTTTTTGAAAATTGATTTTTGTGAGTTTATGACCCAAACCGGTTTTTTTCCAATTTTCAAACCCAGAAAAAAAATTGTTAAAATGAGAAACCTTGCGCTCGGCTTCGAGGTCAGCCTTGTTGCCCACAAGCATGAGGACGGCGTTTGGCGGCGCATGTTGCTTGATCTCCTTCAGCCAATACTTCTCCAGGTTCTCGAACGATTTTTCGTTCGTCATGTCGTAGACGCACATGACGCCGTGCGCCGAATGGTAGTAGGAGTTGTAGATCGTCCGGTAGCGCTCCATTCCTGCCGTGTCCCACAGTTCCAAACGAATCTGCAACACTTTTGATTGCTTTTTATGGTTTTGAGCTTCACATGAATGAAATCATGTAGCAATTTAATGAGAGTAATTTGCCTGACTTTTTTTCGACTTTCAAATTTTTCGAGGCCTTCTGAGTTAAAGTAATAGTACACAGTTAAAATTGAGTCTAATAACTTAGGTCAAGATCTGACGTCTTGATCAGCCAGTTCACCCCGGCATGAAATCGCTATTTTTGAAAGTTTCTTCTGCAGTAGTCGGCCGTGTAGTGTTGTGCATGCCGAGCCGAACCAAACCAAACATTCGAGTCGCGCAATGCTTGCAAACACACACGGCGCAGCGTAAGTAAGGCCAAAAACGCAGGAGTTTTCCGTCACCTTGTCCCTGTCCAACTTGATCGTCTTGAGTTTGAAGTCAACGCCCAACGTGCTGATGTGGTCCATTCGGAAGTTGTTCTCCGCAAACCTCAGCAATATACATGACTTGCCGCAGTTGTGGTCCCCCACGACGACGATCTGCAAACTTTTGATATCGCAAAAAAAATTCAAAAAGAGATATTTTCAAGAGAAGAAACAAAAGTAATTTTTTATTAGATCAGGTACATGAACACAAAAGATTTATGGCTAGAAATTATTGATTGAAGACCGCTTGAGAGCAAAATGGACTTTGAATTTCCTATTCTGAGCATTTTTTTTTTTCTGTTACGGTGCTTTGAAGACACCAAAAACCTGCTTTTCATCAAATTGAGCGCATAAAATTCGAGGCTTTAGAATCCTCTTGAGAACTTTCTAAGAGTACAAAAAAGGAAAATAAGTTTTTTTCAGCAGATTTGAGCGGCCAGTTGACCAAGTTCCCTAGACTAAAAAATCTGCTTCTTCTCTTTTACTTGTATAACTACAGCTGCACCGACACTCCAACATGCGGAAGAAATTTGTTTATGCGAGCACCGCCTTTGGGATGATTCAGCAAAGGGCGACGGCCGTAATCAGGTACAAAAGGTTAGGGAAGCGTACGATTTCCATTCATCGCCGTACAAATGGCCCCTGTCAACCGTGAATGTGGCACTTTTCCGCAACTGTCTGTTCTCGTTTCCGCTTCATTATTTTTGACAGAAAGAGAGATGTTTGAAGTGACAATAGAAGAGATCAACTTGCCGTTTCACACCAAAAATCTGACAGATAGAGCGAAAAAATATTCTAACAAGAGTTACTATCAGAAAAAGTTAACTTTCTAGTTTGGATATGAAAACGGCTCAATTTTTCACAAAACTAAAAATATGTGCGCGTTTCGACCTTATTTAATACATGAGAAGTTAATCATCTTGTTTTCAAAAAAATTAGAGAGCCTGCCGAAATTACCGCCTTGCAGAGTTTTTATGAAAAAAATTCACATTTTTTTAACATTTTCAAAAAAAAAGAAGTTATTGAAAAAAGGATTTTTAAAAAATACTATTGCTATCCTTTTCAGAGCAAGGTTGATTGTTTTGCTCTTACCTTCATTATTTTTTCTTCTGAGAGAAATAAATAAAGTATAAGGCTTGAATGTGTACAATCAGCCGACCCTAATTCATCGCCTTGCTGGTTTGTGTCGAATCAATTTGTCGGCAATGGCGAGGTTGTTCGTTTCTTTTTGACACTTGCGGTCGCGCCACATTGGATTACAGAATATCAATTGTACGCTGGGGTCGATTTGGCCATCCGCCAGAAAAAAAAAACGAGCAAAAAAGCTCGCAGCTGCATGACGCGCCGGCTGGACAAGTGTTTACAATGATGGAGGTCAAAATTCTCACTGAAAAACCTCGTCTGCGAGAAGTGTAAGGACGGCGAGCTAGTGGAAACTGCGTAGGTTGGTGTGAACTGCAGTAAAAAAATGTGTACGATGATTTACAATGAGTGAGAAACAGGGGAAACCGCAGCAAAACTTCAAAAACACAAGGTCTCCTCAAATTCAAGAACTTCAGAACTGATGAAAAAAGGACCCATTTGTGAACTTGGATGACTTCTCTTGGGAAAACTTCGGAATATTTTAAAATTCACTGATATCAAATTTTTCAATTTCTCTTTTTCAGAAAATTTTCATCTGTATAAACCCAGCGTAAAAGTTTAAAAAATGCCAGAAACAATTTTTTGTAATCCTACACTACGAAGGCTCCTGGAAGATGTCCAAATCGATATGAAAAAAGGAAGAAATGTTTTTGCTTTCCGAGCGACCTGCTATTCAAGCTCTTCTTCATAAGCTGAAAAATTCAAGCGATTTGGACTGGTTCAAATGAAAGAGCTGAATAGTTGAGATCGACCTGGGGATTTGCGCTAAACCGGTGAAATGCGTTACACGAGGGGCTTCTTTGTGCTAATGAAGTGCGATGAGGTTTGCGAATAGCAGAAACGCGTCAGAAATGTAGGTTCGAAAAACAGAATTATGGTAATATAGGGAGCCTATCGGATGAAAGGCAATAATGAAACAAAATAGAAAACCATGTGAATATTTCCACAGGTATTACAAAGAGATTTAACAGAATTCAAGAATTTCTTGAATATTTTAGCGTTATGAACTTGTGGACTTTTTGAAGGTTTTCTTCGGATACATTTCTTTTTGTATTTTTTTGTCTCAGAACATGACGAAGCAAATGTTAAATGTTAAATTTTAAATCTCCGAATTGGTTTTCATGGACAATATGATAACTTTCAGAACGCTTGGAATAAATAAAAGTGGTATCTTCAATAAAAATTCAACAACATATAAACATTTTTCGAGGCCTATGAATAATAACTGGTAAATTAATTCATGAAAAAAGTTAGAAATGAAATTTGTTCCAAAATAAATCCTAGCAACAAGATTTCCAGAGCAAAAATTCGCAGAAAACAACGAGAATAAGAAAAATTGTGAGTCAATGAGATAAAATAAAACGAACCTTGAACAAATGATTGTAACTCATGTAGCTCATCGTGACATTGACTGCGTGATCGGAGGGACGGCCGAGACCAACTCTAATCGTGCACCGTCAGTAGGAGGACTATGTGGCAAGTGGGCGGCGTCAAAGCGTTTTCGGGGTCTTTTCCTCGTCTCGCGTCTCTCGCAACCATTTTCCTTCTTTTCTCCGCTCTCACACCGTTTTTCCTTGGTCATCATGAATCAGAGCGGTGTGCGACGACGCGTATTTTCGCGCACAACCATTGGGATAGAGACCCGACTGACCACAGACTTTGTTTTAGTTTTTTCACTGATGGCCCAACGAAATCAACGGAACCTGTTCTTAGAAAGTTTAGAGTTTTGTTTGATTTTTTTTTATGATTGCGAGAAATGGAGAATATATAATTTTTGGGAAAACTGTTTGAATTTCTCAACAAACTCTAAATATGGAAACTGTTACTCCATCAAAGGTTCTCTTTGCTGTTGGCGTTTAAAGGTTCAAAATTGCCTCAAAAACCAAAAAAAAAATTTTTAAAACCTGAAGAGAGTTTGATGAAAAGTTTGTCATAATCAATCAAGCTCGGAAAAATCAAGCAACTTCAAACGCTCAATATGATCATAATAAATCAAAAAAAGGGCGGAAATTTTTTTAGTTTCAAATTCTGTAGATACTTTATATTAATTTTTTTCAAAAATTAATGTATAAAAATTATATCGTTTCAGGTCTTTTTAAAAAAACTTTGCTTTGAACACAAATCAGCCGATGATTTCAAAAAAAAAAATTTCATAAGCAAACTGAGAATATTACTCCTAAACATTTTTGATAGATTGAAATAAGCTTTCAACTTGATTCTATCTGAACGTATACATTGAAACCAGTTTTATAACGTTAAACACGAAAAAAGAAAAAACTTTCCAATTTTGGACATGGATTCAATACAAACTTCCGGTCATTTCTAATAATGAACTGCACTATCAACAAACTGATAACGATTCTATATGATAAAAATTTTTTGCTGTCGCTCACAAGGTTGACAAGAGGGGAGTGTATCACTTCCGAAAGATGATTCATCTGAAATTTTCACATTCCAACTTTTTTTTCGAAATCAGTAGATGAAATTGGGATACCCTCCAAATTATCAGAAACAAAGGTACAGTCTGTTTAAACATCGCTTTTGGGATTTTTTTTTATGTGGATAAATCTGATTAGGACTTTGAAAAAAGTTCGTAAAAAAAGAAGGTTTTTTTGGCTACAGCAACCCAAATTGCATTTCTATCCTTTTTCATCTGCTCATGTGAGTGCGGAAAAGATCATATCCCTCGCTTTATAGTCAATAAAATCCTATATCTCGCCGTTTGTTGTGGTTCTCAATGACGTACTCGTTTTCCAACAATGTCGCTTTTTTTATTCAAAACTGTACGATTAGGTGATCCGTGAGAGGAGAAATAGACACATTTGATATGGAACGGAAGAAATATCATCTTCTCGAAAAGATAAGATACTGTAAGATATTTTGGTTGATACACGTTGACAAGCACTGATACCATGTCGAGGCTTGATTTTGTATCCGAATAAATTAAAGTAGAGAAATAATCTGAAGGACTAGGGTGAAATAAAGTCAAAAAAAGTTGAAAGTTCTCAAGATCTATCCGAGCTGAGTTTTTGAATCTCGAAAAGTTTGACATCAGTGTCGTACCAGATTGGTGGGTCCGTGTTTCTGAAGATAAAAATCAGTTTTTGAGATTGATTTTTTTTGACTTAACCTCAAATAGATGACGCCCCACATGTAGGTTCTAAACCAATGGTTAGTTCCGGCATTGGCTTGATATTTTCGAATTAAAATCGGATGCGGAACCGGCAAAAGTCCAACAAGTGTGCCGTGTTGAAGGAACTTCAAAATTTCACTTTCGTCGGTGAGTCCTCTGCAAAAGAAAAAACATCATAATCCGTTTTTCAACTTTTTTTTTTGTGAAACCGCGGATTCACGTGAACTCACTTGTCAATGCAGATTTTCTCGACCTGTGGGACCAGAACTTGCAGTAAACGAGTGATCGTTTGCAGAGGAAGCTTCGATTTCCATGATTCGGCCCATTCCGAAGTTGCGACCCATTCAGCTGACATTTCCATTTGAAACAGCAAACTAATTTAAAGTAGATACCTTCATTTGTGACGGCTTTATCTTCCCACTGATTGCTGTTTTCTGTCATGCTTGAAACAGCTGGTGTGGCGGCCAGTCCAGCGGTTGTAGAAGCTGAAAAAAGTATTTAATGAAACGTCAGGTTTCCGTTTTTGAAAATGGCTAAATCTCAATTTTATAAGTCACGAAAAATCTAACAATAATTAAAGCACTCAAATATTTTTACAGTAAACGCAAACGTTCCGAGCAAACCTAAGCGCCCCAGTAACATTTCTTTTTTCAAGAAGATTATGAAATTTTAGTAATGAAAAATGGAGAGTTTGGTCATCACTCCACCTGAGGCTGATGTTGCAGGAATTTCTGGAGCTGATGCAGACGTAGGGCTCTTGAGCTGGTCCACCATTTCGTCTCTATTCGCGGCTGCAAACAGCTTTTTTTCAAACGGTCGTTTTCTCACAGATCGGAAATTTTCAGAGATCCTTTGAAAAAAATTTTCAAAAATAAGATTTGACTAACATTTATTCTTCCTTCCTGACAAGGTTTTTGCAATCGAAGTAGCATCCGTGGAAAGATTAGATAGCTGATAAAACACTTGACGCTTCCTGATGATTGTGTATATCAAGTTGGAATTTCCTGTAATCTTAAAAGTTGGATGGGTATTAAAAACTGAAAGGCACCGTCAAACTGGTATTGGATGACGTTGTTGAAGACTTCAAGGAGGAAGAAAACGAGGTGATGATTAGTGGGAGACGAGAATAAGAACCAAGGCGTAGAGAAAGCCTCGACGAGGTGCAGCAACTTGTTGGAAGCGACCATCGAGATTGATTTCAAATATGGGGATACTGTAACCAAAAAATTGATTGGATTTAAATCAAAAAATCAGGAAGCAATAGAAATCTATATCTTTTTCAAGACTCAAAGCGCATTGTTGTAATTTTATGGAATTTTCATTCAGCCAGCAGAAATAATTCACACAGTTTTGGAAAGGTGTTTTTGAACTTCCGAAAAATTTGGATATACACTTCAATCCGTTTGATGAAGTCCTAACTATTCAAAAAGCGTTTTAAGACGTCTTAGAGAAATTTTAAAGTTTTGTTTAGAATAATCTTTATTTTTGACTGCACACCAAAAATATATGAACAGTTCAATGAAAGGATCGAAATCGGTGATAAATTTCCAAAATATTCCTTTAAATCGAAAAAAAAATCACCGTTGACAATGATTGTCAGGAAGCAATCGAACAGCGACTGGAGACGATAATTTCCAGTGGTAATAAGTTTGTGGAACACCTTAAACTTCTTTCATAAGACTCTGAACCCTCTTCAATTTAATGAAAAAGTTAGAAAAGTGATAGAAAATCTCACAATAATAAGTAGATCCGCATGGGTTCCGGTGAATGATGGGATGTTTATTGCAGCCTTCGCGACGTACGGCTTATTCAATCGAACTCCGAAATTTCTTTCTCCACTCAGCAAAAGTATCAAGAAGACTCCCATGTGAATGAGACCTACTCGAGCTGAAAAAAAAAGATAAAAAATCATATTTTCAACCGAATACCTGAATCATTTCGAGCATCAGAGATGTGATACAAAATTGGAACTAGAATTTCTAGAACGTCGGATGTTTTCAGAACATAGAACATAAACTTCTGAATATTTTTACTCTTATTTTTTTCCATTCTTACGACCAACCTGATTGAATTCACAGCATTTCCAGAGTAAAACTAAGAGCTCCTGATGGAAATTTACGCGTTTGGTAGAATTTGGCAAATAGGAGGAAGAAGATTGGAGAGGGTTGCTCAGCAATCGTGTGATCCCCTAGAACTTTTTATTCAAAAAGCAAATTTCGTTTCAAACCTTGAGCATGAAATCAAAATCTTCCTCGCGGTGGACCCGACTCAAATAGTTGATGAAGTAATTGTCCAAATATCCAGTTTCGTCACTTTTCGGTTGACTATCTTTGTCCAAGCAGACGATCAGGACCTTAAAAAATCTTCTGTTAATCCACCAAAAATAAAACCGACCTGAAGCGCCACTTCAACCAGAGGCTCTCGTGAATCGTTGAAAAGTAGGTAGTTGTACGGAAGGCCATATCCAACTGGGTCGTAGGCACAGACGACATTCAGAAGAGAAGTGAAGATGGGCAGGACATGACGGTTGGAACTTGATGTGAAGTGAGCAACCCACCGGAGCCGGTTTTCATCTGCAAACTATCTGATAGATTGATAAACATCATTAAAAACAAGATTTTTTATGCGTCTTTTTCCGGATGTTACGAAGTTTAAAATTGTATAAAAATCAACCTCCAAGCTTCTTCATTTCAATACGTGAAACATTATTAAGCTTATCAAAATGTACTAACCCGTGATTGGAGCGTATATGACTTCAGAAAAGCATGTGAGTAACAGCTTCAAAATTTCGGATCTGTTCTGGTACTGTTGAGAAACCATCGGGGGCTTCGTGCCAAAACCCACTCCGGCTTCCCAGATATATTCACACGAGTCGATGGAAGAGAGGTCGTCCACACGCTCCTGAATTCGATAAATTCAAACTTCAATTTGAAGCTGTACTCACTGCGGAAGTATTGAGGTTGCTAACAGTGAAGTCGGGACAAAAAAGAAGATCCGAAAGAACTTCCAAAAGAACAGCGGCAAGAGGTCTCTGACTATCTCCCTGAAAATTTGAGGATGCAACCGAAATCACGAAGGATGAAAAACTGACATGAGGAATCGGCGACCAAAAGTATCCCCTCCATTCGGCTTCTTCCAGCATGTACGGCATCAGTCGCGTGAGTAACCGCACACAATTGATTACCTTCAACTTTTTCCGTTCGAAAAATCATGTAAAAACAAACTTTTTTCTGATTGATTGTTGCCGGGTGGTCTCTGGCGTTCTGAAGCTTTTCCAATGCTTTATAACACAGAGTCGCCAGGTTTTTGGGAGCATCTTCTCTGAATTGAAAAAAATAAACAATTTTTCTTAAAAAATTTAGAAACAAAAATTTTTAAAAGGTTCTCTCGAATCGTTGGAGTAATGTTTCAAGGCAGCTTTTTGAACTTGAGCGATTCCTTGAGAAGCGGTTTCAAATTGTTAGGAACATTTCTGATAAACTTTTTTCGGAACTTTGTGGTACCATTGTAAAGGCGAGTTAGCGTAAGATGTATAGACTGGACTGTTCAGAAAACCTCAAACGCCGAATTTCCTCAGAAGGGATCATTGCGTATACGTCGTTGACTGAATTGACCGATTCGGAAGACCAAAGTTGATCCCAAAACGTGTCATCATCCTGTTTTCAATTGATATACATATTCCAATTCCTAATCTAACCTGCTTTCCCGGTTTTGAAGTGAGGTCCATAACCGCCTGACGGAAGTTCACTTTGCTTCCTTGAGCACCCATGGCTAAACAATAGAGTGAAAAAAGTAGAATGAATACAAAATGAAACTTGACAAATGTTACAATATCAAAAAATGAGAAGTCGAGTAGTGTGCCAGAATTTTAATTGCGCCGGCAATGGGCTGCGGAATAGATATTAGGCGGGAGGCAAAAATCGATATTCGGCCCTGCCCTTGCTTTTTCTGTTTCTTCTGCAAACGTCATTCAAAGTAAGACATCTTTTTGAGACGTTTGTAGTAAGCGAAGAACAAGTGAAGTGATAACGGGCAAAAAACTTTAAAAAAAGGAAAAAAAAACGGACTATGTTAAACTCAGTCAATTTTTCATCAGAACATTTGCCACGGTACAAACTTATATAAATGCGTAAAAATAGTTCAGAAAAAAAAAACCTGGAAAAAAAAACTAAAGTAAAAAGATTCCGCAAAATTAACAACGCATTATGTTTAAAAACTTCTCAAACCAACTTCGGCGAAATGTCTTTAGCTTCTCAGAGAACTCAAAAAATCGATCCCAATAATATATATTCAGATCAAAAAAAGAGGGGAAAAAAATTGAAAAAAGAGCTCCGATTTAAAAAAAGAATCTATTAAGAAATGCCAAATATTTTTTTCAATTGTTTCAGCTCACGAGAAATCTTGCGCCAGGACTGTGCTATAGAGCGTATTTGCTTTTTTTGCAGTCTGCGTTTTGTACTATCATGAAGGTAACTTATTTTACATTTTATTAAGAACAAAAAATTTTATTTTATTGAAAATTGAAGTCGGAGGCAATTATTAACATCTATAAATAACGGATAATTATTAAAAGACGACATTTATGAACATAATAAACAGATAATGAAGAGTTTGTGGAATGTATTGTTAACAACGTATGTACCCTTAATATTGATTAATTGAGGAGTTTTCTGGAGAAAAAAAGAAAAAGAAAGGAATTACTGCTGGTTGATGAATTGCATCCGGGCAATGTTCGCTTTTTGCTCCTCGTCAAAGGTGTCAACATCTTCAAAAAGTGCCTTTTAATGGTGAGCTGAGAATTTGATAAAAACCTGGGCGGTAGAAGCGTTCGTCATACGGCCATCCATTCCTGATTTGATAAGAAAGGAGTTGCTGCGCGATAGCGTGTTTGTCCTGAAAGGAATCCTTCAAATTTGTTTTTGTATTTTCGGTTTTCTTTTAACATTATATACTATAAGATAGTCAACTTCACTCATTTTTCACTATTTTTCACTTTTTCAAAGGCTGTAGAGTAGCGTCATAATCATTCGAAGAGTTGCCTCTTTAGAAAATGTAATTTTGTTTTCAAAAATAAACTACTTGAATCTAGATTTCAATATCTAGTAAGAAAACACGAACATTCAACCATTCCTTTCTTGAATTCGACTCATTTTAAAATTCTAAACTTTTTGGATATTTTCGCGTTACAATTTATAACTTGAAAAATTCCAATTTCACTTGATTTTTTGAAGTGTTTTCCGAAAACCAAACCTGTTGGTTCATTGTTTCCGACCGCAGCGTCGCGGTTGGAGGGCGGAATTCAGCATCCCCACTCGTTTGGATTCCATGAAGTCTATTCCGACGGATCACTCCCTAAAATGAAATCTTTTCAAAGTTAAAGAAGTACTCTGAGCTCACGTTTGGAACTGGTTTTCTGCGAACTTCTTGAGGTACTTTGGAGAGTTTCGCAAGGCTGCTACGGTACGTCGCTGCAGGTAGAGGTACATGTGTCGTCGTTGTCGTCGTAGTGGTGGTGGTGGTAGAAGTTGTCGTCGATTTGACAGTCGTTGGAGCTTCGGTTTCAGTTTCAACCGACTTCCAAACCGTTGCGCTGTCCGTGTTCTTCTTGTTTCCTTCCGTTTCTCTCGAGTTATGAGAGAATCTTCCGTGAGAAATCTTACTGAAAATCTCGGAAGAAGTTGAACCTTTTTTCGATGTTTCACAATTCAAACTCAAAATTTTTCACACTCTTGCTTTCCAAATATGAAACCATGTATCTTCTTCCAAAATCAATCCAAAATTTCCAATGAAGGTGTGCCGAATGAGAAAAAAAACTTGAAAAAACCTTGCTGTTTCTGAATTGTGCGGTTTTTGACGATTGTTTCCAATCTTTTCAGCGCTGTGAATGTCTAAAAAAACGAAAAATTTTCTAGTAAAAGTTTCAAAAAATTACGTCTTGGCGGCGTTCTCATCGCCATGCTGATGCTTTTCGGTTTGAAAGGATTTCTAGATTCTATAAAAGATGCCGCTTTTTTCTCTTCTGGAACTTTCTCGGGCTCTTCAGTCACGTCCAATATATCTTTGGCGAAAAGATACTTCTGACAGCAAATGGAGCGTTTATATTCTCCATGGCAAAAGGTGTCCGACTGAAAGGTTTGATGAAGTTTAAAGAAACATAAAAATTGGAAAAAATACTCACACCGGGGCATGATTTTCTGGAGTTGCAAACGACTCGAGAGCCGTCAGCTTTAAGTAATCCGATCGAATTTTCTGGACATTCCAGTTCCTCCTCGGGAGCCATAGTTGTAGTGATAGTAGTTGTAAATTTCATTTTCCTGTTTTCTGGTCTAAGAGTCGCTTTTGGCTCCGAAAAGCCCAAATCTTCACAGCAGATGTAGCCCAGACCGACATCCGAACACGTCATTCTATCCTGAAAAAGTTTCGTTCAATCAATGGCAAACTAAGAACAAAAAAATGTCTGAATATTTTTTTTATGCACTCTCTTTTGCTTGTCTGGCGAATGAACGGCTTCTTTCTTTGTTTTTTTTTTTTTGAGTTCACAGTGAACCGAAAAACAAGGAACTCACTCCAGGACACTCTCTTGTCCTTGGGCTGCATTTCAAAGGTAATCCATGAGAATCTAGAACAGTTATGCGAGGATAAGGACAGGTTGGCTGATTATCAATCGACGGCTCATTGCTCGGACAGCACATGTAGTTCAGGCCAGTGAAGTAGCAAGTATGCGTATTCCCACATATCAAGTACTGTGATGTCCCTAGATGAACAGAATTCGAACGAATCGTCAATCTGAACCGAACCTGGTAAACACTGAATGGGGTTCAGGTTCTTGTCAAGTTTGGGCACTTGTCCATTTGGGCAGGTCGGTGCTTGCCCTAAAGGAATCTCATTGAGTGAACGAAAATACTAAAACAATACCGGAAACAAAATACAAGCAAGAAAAGTAGAAGAGGAGCCTGCAGATCATCGGAATATCGGAATGTAGGTCGAGAAGGAGTGGGCGCAAGAGGCAGAGAGAAGAACAAGGTCTGAAGAGATCCGTTCGTTCGACTAACCTCCTTAGTTGGTCGCCGTCGAGTAGTGATTGCGACGTTCATTATCAGCGGGTACTCCAACAAAAAGTTTATTTATTAGTCTCACCCCTTCAAGTACCACCTCTACGCGGTGATGGGGAGGCAACGCCATTTATGGCGGCTAACGGTACACCGGTCACGCAATTCGGCTTGCTTCTGCTAACAGAATGGGCGGTCTTTTTTAGCCCTGGCAAGGCAAAAAGGATAATAAGACCACAATTATGCTATAACACGTTCAACACCACGGATGGAACTTTTTCGCAAGAATACCAGTCAACCAGGACGACAACACTGGATGACCGATTGCATAAGACCTCCTGGAAAACGTGTGGTCCACGCTTCGATCAATAAAAGGCACTAAAAGGCAATAAAAGGTCGAAAGCGAAGATGGACCATCTAAGTATCTAAGTAAGTAAGTATTAGTCTCAAATTTGAGAGAACGATAATGAGTCTGAAAATGAAGAATAATAAAAGTCCGCTTTGTCATCCGATGGTTCCAAAAAATTGCAAGTTGATTTTTATGAAGGTTGCAGCCGACCATAAAACTACTTGCACTCGCCTACCTTGGCTGGAAAAAAAGTCTTGAAATTTTATTTATTTTTTGAATTGCAAGATGAACTACAGCGCGACGGTACGCGTTTAACCACTCAAGATAAAAACCCGATAGTTTAAATTTTTTTAAACTTACTGGCAGTAAATAGTTTTTTTGATGCTTGAAATATTCGAGTTTTTTTCAGCTTTCTTGGAAGAACTTGAAAAATAAATATTTAAAATCGCATTTTTTTAATAATTGGCTTTTTACTGTCGTTTTTTTGACTTTTTCTGTCAATCAATTTTTCTAACTTTTTAAAAACAAATTAAAAATAATTTTATGCCCGAGTGAAATATGATCAACCTCTGAATTTGCATAGGGTCCGAGCAGGTAAGACACCGGCGCTCATATCGATTTGTTTGCTAAACGTACAGATGCAGCGGTCATGAGACTTTTGGCTTTTTTTTCCATCTTTCTCTGTTTTTCACAAACTTATAGTGCTGATCGAGAAAAACGACAATTTTTTCAACAAACGAGGTCAGTTTTTCAATTATTGCTTCGGAAAATCTAGAAAATCCGCTTTTTATCTGTGTGAGCTCACCTCTTTTCCTCGATAGTTTCACGGATTCTTTCAGAAATGTTTCATAAGCTCCTGACTCTCATTTTCAGTTTTATATTGTCGAGAATAGATAAATGACAACATTCCTCTCGTTTAGTAGCTCGAAAATGTATTTCAAAGAAGAAATTTCGGATGAAATATTAAACTGCTCAGTTTTATTATGAATAAATTCCTGAACTGCACCCTTAGCGCAATAATTTTTCATCATCTTCGAAATTTTCCAGGTCACTCTCAAATGGTTACGCAAGCGACGGAAATCCTTTATTGAATGAAGATGTGTACAATATTTTCATGCAAACCATTCTGCATGGATTCAACGTGTTCAAGATAAAAATGTACAACGATCGAGCCTTCATTTATCGGACGAGAAGAAGTTATTGGCTTGGAGATCGTTACTATTACATGGTTTTTTTTTCTCGAAAACAATGAAAATAATCATACTAAGGACAACCGCTACTACTTGCCGACTCGGGACACCTGTGCTTACCGCATGAACGAAACCCAAAGGAAAGATTTGTACTACGAAGAAGACAACACTCCGATTTTTGATATTATATATCAGTGAGAATTTTTCGTTTCCAAAATTTTTAAGGGGATTTTCCAGATGTCAAAGGTACGTAGAGTACTGTTGCGGTCTGGATTGCTGCATGATCGATCAGATAAACCGTCCTCCTGATAGGCCACATCATATGAAATACCCCTGGAGCGATCCAAACGGCTCTTCTGGCTTACGTTTTGGTATTATATTTCTGTCTTTCATGTTATGTGTCTTGTATTCAGAATGAAGTTTTTTTTTCGAAGATATTTTGGAAGTAAAAAAACAGCCGCTGTGACTGAAATATCGTTTTTTTATGACTTCAAGCTCGTGTTTTCTGAAATTAGGAAGATTTACAGGTTGGAATTGGCCTGATCTTTTGTTGACATAAAACATTATTTGTGAATGATATCTAACTTTTGCTCTATTTTTATGCACTATCTCCGCTTTCGAAGTTTCCATCAAGTTTTAATATGCAAAAAAACATATGAAATAAGTGAAGAGCCTTATGAACACAAGAAAAATTAGAAGTGCTCATTGGGAGCTAATTATTCTCAGAATGAGAGAAGTGTTTGCCGCGCAGTGGGAGGGTATTCTTGTTTTCCATTTTGCGTTGTTTCTCACTTCAAAATGCAAATCTTCAATTAAATTTTTTGACATTCTACCTGAAGCCTGAACAAATCACCAGACTAAAATCGTCGCTTACTGCGATTGGAAAAAATGGACAAAACGATCCTGATTGAATTTTCTGCGCAAAAAAAATTTTTTTTTTGGTATTGAGAAAAAGACCTACAAAACTTTTTTTCAAACAACGAATATACGCTGTTCTGAGATTTTAGTCATTCTTACAAAGTATTTTCAATTATTTTTTCTTGATATTCGTCATGCTGGTGTTAGAAGTTCAAACAGAAGTTACGTTATGACAATAATATAAAAATTTTTTTTTGAAAGTCAAAGTATCCTCTGTTTCCGAAAGCTGAGTTCTCAGCCGTTCCGGTAGTTTCAGAATTTCTCGTCTTAGAAGGCTTTTTTTTCCAAATCATTTCTTGTTCTCTTTTTAGAGATTTTTGGAAACCGACTCGGAATGGTCTAATATAAACAAAAATGTGATTCTGAGCCCGGACGGAGTCCAACTGCTCGTGTTGCTTGTTAGCGCGCGGTGCATCAAATTCACTCAGAGCCTCCCACGTTTCCCTTCCTTCATCTTCCTTATTCTTTTTCTTTCTGCTTCGTTTTTGGTGGAAGCAGTGCACGCGAGGTTTTCGTATTTTTGTCTCTGCAAGTTCTTCGACATGTTTACATCTGTCTAAAACTACTATTTTAAAGCCTGAGAGCAGTTGAGTTTTGGTTTTTGAGGTTATCTTGTGGAAGTTTCATATCAATCGTTTTTCGGTAGGTTTGATAGGTAGGTTATCTGAGTCTGCGATCGTCAGTTTAATGAAAAACGTCAGAAACTTTCTTTGAAGTTACAAATGAAACTCCGAAGACTTTGCTTCATAACGTTTTGATTTTTGAGAATAAGGACCTAGAAGTCGAACAAAGTCGAAAATCGCTGATAAAAACTCCAATCGGAGACTTTCGATCTTTTCATCTCGAAAAAAGAAGTTTCACAGGCTTTAAATTGATTTATAAAAGATCAATGTGAATACTGTTCAGAAAATTCCTGGTCACAAAAAGAATTTAAATTTCCTCGTCACAGGAAGTTCCTTATACTTTGAGGCTTGAAACCTTTTGAAAATTAAGCATAATCGGATATGTAAACTTTTGGGATCGAAAGTCCATCCAATTTGAGCTTGAGCAAAAATAGTTTAATGAAGTACGAACCTTACATTTTCCCGCATTGGTTTGCTATTCGTGTGAAATTCTTCATGAATAAAAGTTTTGATTTCTGGATGGTATTATAAATAAATTGAAAAAAAAAATGGAAATTAAAGCAAGCAGAAAAAAATATTAAAAAGAGAAAAAAATTTAAGCGATTAATCTATTGGAACATGATTTGGAGAAATCGTGGATGTACGGAACCACAACGTGGGAACATTTGAACTAGAGAGTTGACGGGAATTCGTTGTGATTTCAAAGGTTTCGCCTTGCCTCATAAATTGCGTGCCGTTTTTCAAAGTTGTTGCAAAGAGAACGGCCTTAATGACGACACCTTGTGGCTCTCGGCTTCTCCGGATAACTTAAACTCTCCGGAATCTCACCACGTAGGATTTTTCCCTGAACGATCCTGGATATTCTTTTTTTTATTTGTTTCCGCTGATTTCCAGCAAAAAAATCACATAAATTTAAGTCTTCTGGTTCATCCGTTTGCAAAAAAATTGTAAATTAATTATTTTTTTCTGATTGGAATGAATGAAGAATTTTTTTGTGAAAAACCCTTTTTTTAACTTTTTTTGATTTTTTTATTCTGCGGTGACAGTTTTCGAATCTTGAGCCCACTTTCTCATGAAATCAATTATTCTGAGTGTTTTCTTTGGGCAAAACTAAATTTGAAGTGCTTCCCACTTTTTCTGTTTGAATGCAATCCAGCTCTTCTTTTTCAAGTGAGAAAGCGGAAGAAAACCGTGAAAGAATTCTCCCGGAAAAAAATTGGAACAAAAGTTTTTTTTAATTTTTTTACTCCCGTTTAGATCAAATGTTTTTTTTTATTCTTCGTCTCTATTACTTTGATCTGTTTTTCTTCGAAGATTTCGACTTTTGTTATCTTCCGAGTTATCTAGAGTCGTGCATTTCTGGATTTCATGAGAACTTTCATTCAAAACGTCTTTTGGAAATTATTCGTCCGCAATTTCGATGCAAATTGCAGTGGGTTGCATTTTTGTGAAAGGTGGCGGATGGGCGAAAAATAAAAGACGGCCGAAGACACTGGAATGTGCTTCTGCCGCTGGTGCGACAGGCTCCGTCCAAACCCGTTGCTCTTCGTTTTCTGCGTCAGTTTCTGCTGTCTGGCTTTCGGTCTTTGCATCGCCATTTACGACATCAATCAGTACGGCAGTGGTTTGTACTTGGTTGGTGATTTTTTATAATCCAAATCAACTAGAGTATATTTTGGGTACCTAAATTCTTGGAATGTTCTCATCTATTTTTTAAGAATTTTCGAGTCTATTTTTCTAAGACGCCAAGGCGTTTGTAATAGTCGTGTGGAACAAGTCTTTGCCATTCAAATTAAATTTTTGAATTTTTCTTGTTGGGGAATGAAGTTTGTATCATGTACACAACAGTTTTTCCAGAGATTTTATTGATATTGATTTTTTGATTTTTTGATCAACGATACTGCGTTGATTTTTATATTGGCTCCAAAAAAGTTTCACTTCGCAAATTTCTGTTCAATTTCGACCTTTATAAGTTTTTACCCGCTTTCAACTTCCGGCATTTATGTTGATGCCACGAAAACTTCGGAAAAGCGATCCCACGATTCTTTGCATTACTTGAGTTATGGAACTTGAACGGAAAACTCATAAGGAAGTTCTGAAGCTCCTTCCACTTTCATTATTTCTGATTTTTTACCTAAATTAGAAGCAAGGTACTTTGGTAAGTTTGTCAATGATTCATAAAATATCTCCTAGCCCTGTCGAATTGTCTAATCCCAGGCTCTCGTGTCAGTGGTGACGGTGGTCGTCGTTTTGGCGTTTTGTTTGGTCGGAACTGAAGAGCAGGTTTGTTTTGGCGGCGTAACATTAAGTTGTTTCGTAGCAGTAATTTTTCAGTTAGTTTCATGCTTGTGTCGAAAGAAACTGATGAATCTTTCTATCATTAAGAAGTATTGTACATCAATAACATTTACCGGAAGAAGTAACTGATCAAATTTGAGTGAAATTCAAAAAAAAATAACTTTTCCTTTTTCAGTTTTTTCGATTTGTTTAGAATTTATCAATCATTTTGTTTTAATAGATATTTGATGAATTATATTTGAACTGATTTCAAGTATAAAGAAAATCTTCAAAAAAGGTTTTTTGACGAAGAAAACCAGGAAATTTCGATCATTGCGAGATTATAAGAGAAAAAGTTTTATTTTGATATAATCTTGCCGGGTAAAAAGAACTTTTAGCATGGAAACTGCTTATTATGGAATTAAGATCGTTGGCATTATTCAATCATCAATTCGTCGAACCAATTGCTCAGAATGAACTATGAAATGATTCGAAAATGAAAAAAATCACGAAGAAAATGTTTTTATTGTTAGAATAATTTGAATGAAAACCCTTCTTTCCCTTTTCCAAGAACATCGCCAGAGTTTTCCGGGCTTCAATTAAATTTTTAACTTTTAGTCACTATATTATCGAAAACGTAGCCCATCTGTGTTTTTATCCCGTTGGATTGACTAGTCTTCTTGTACCACTATTCGTTCCGTGTGTGATGTCCGGCGTGTAACTGTAGCTTGCCACGGTACCCAAGCCATCACAGACCGAACCGACGGTGGCCAAGAAGGTCTGGTCCACCACGCGTCAAACAATGCGTCGTTTCAAAAAGGATTCCCCTGGAGGCGCCGGCGTCGAGATTCGCATCGTCAACATCGACATCGACGCAGAAGCGGCCAGGACAAGCAGCAGCGATTCTTACTCTGCTCCTGATTCACACAGGGCCCTCGCCAATTGCGAAGTCTCCGTCTGAGGTTTTTTTCACTGTTATACTTGAAAATCATGCCAATAAAAAAATTGAAAAAGATCAAAAACGGTTAAAACAGTTGAAAGCATTCAAAAAAGATCTCATGCGCCGTTTTAAAAAGTTCTTAATTTTTTTATTATATTTTTTTCAAAGTTTGTTTTTTGATAAATAAAATTTTCAGAATCTCACTTTGAAGTATTTTTGATTCCATACCAAAAACTCTCCTTCTTCGGATTCAAGATTAATCTTTATTTTTTTTAAAGTTTGTTAGCTATCACTCAAGAGAAAAAAATACTTTTACGGCGTTATATAAGCATCATAACCCGTCTAAAAAAACTAAGTGAAAAAAAGTTTTGTGATCTGAAACTCCTATTTTGATGATTTTTTTCATATTCTCAATCAGAACGATTATCGAAATTCAAAGGAAAAAAAAATGATACTAGCCCTTTTCACACTTTGAAGATAGATAAAACCTCTTCCGGTGAAAATTGGAAATTCAAAACATTTTTGGGTAACATTTTCGAAAATCTTCAACACGGCTGTACGAACGTCAACTTTTTTCCTGGAAACGCTGCCATTTCTTCAATTTACAGATGCTCCTATGTGCGCTCAACCTTCTGAAGACGTTCCATCTCACACGAACGACTTCCTTGTAAACTGAACGAGCTCAATTACTACGGGTTTTATGTTAATCGTCAGTGCTTCGAGTTTTCATTTTTATAAAAAGTTTTCAAAATTTGTTTGAAGGATGAACACAGTGCAGCTCGAAAAAGTTCAACGGAAACGAGCGAGTTTGGCGGTAATCCAATGACAAAAGTAAAAGTGGTTTCAAACCGGTAGCCGCTGAGTTTGGGCTGTTCCGTTTTAGTTTCTGTGACAAAAATGATCAAAAAATTTCACGATTTGGGGGATATTATAAACTACTGGACTGGTAAGACTTCTCTAACGCGTCGATATTTTTTTGAAATATCATAAATTTTCTTACAACAATCATTCAAGAAAGAACGTGAATCCGCCTATAACTTATTTGAGTCTTGAAAAAATTTATCGAGCTTTCCATTTTTTTCTAGAGCTTCAAAGGCTCAAAGAATGCTGAAGAAAAGGAAAAAGGCAGCAAAAATAGTCCAAAAAAAGGCATCAAATAAGGAGCCTGTGGCCCACTAAAAGGAAAATTTCTATAGACTGTTTTTCTACCTTTCCGACTTTGACTATAAAAAAGGAGAAACTCTTTTAGCATATGTTTAAAATATATTTCATGAGCCTCTAAAATTACATTTGAAACACTTGCCTAGTCATGCCAACGCAAAATCATTGGCAAAATGCCGAGCTTACAATAATCCCAATACCAAACGCCAAACAAAAGAAGCGTGTCTCGTGACTCAAGGGATAAGCCCTCAGCTACGAGCTCTTTACCGGTTCTGCGGCACAGACGTTGAAAAAATGGAACATGTCCGATTCGGGTTTTCACACAAAACCGCTGTTGGTCACATCAAACGGAATCAGATCGTGGCTGGATTACCAGAGCCGCTTCTCTCCTCCCCTTTTTCGGACTCGCGGCAAACTCGCATTTCACTCTCATCTACTGTAATAATATGTACGTACGTCGAATCGTCGCTACTGCTGCTCTTGTTTCGGCTTGTACGTTTCTTTCTTTTTCAATTTTTTTTTCAAATACTATCGTAAATTTCTATCCAGTTTTATGGGTGAGGAAAAATCAGTTGTGAGCAAGAGATTTCATTTGCCGAGAGAAGTCATCATTTGTCAAATTTTGAAACTTTTCTGTAGATCATCTTGGGCTAGTTTATTGAAATTCTGGATCTTCGTACCGTTAAAAATCATAAATGCTTCAGCATAGAAAAAAATGAAAAAGAAAGTTCTAGCCGACAGTTCGATGACTTATTTTAAAAACTTTGTACATTAAAATGAACAAGAAGCTTTCCAGACTGAGATTTTTTTAGGTAATCCATATACTTTTTTTCAACTTTTTTTCAACGCTTTTTTTAATAAGAATTTATGCGTTAATCTTGGGATTTTGAGGTTTCGGATGTCTCCCCAACCCTTTCTACGGCTACAGTCCTGGATATGGAAGTGAGTCGCTACCAGAAAAAAAAAACTTTAAATTTAAATAAAACTCTTCCAAGGAGTCTACACTAATCCAATGGTTCCTCCGGTTGTCCCGCCAATGGTGCCGCCTGTGCCTGGCTACGGATATCCTGGAATGGTCGGTCCAAGGGTCGGCCCTTTTCGCGCTGAACAGCGCGGCGGCGGAGCAGCGAGCGCATCAGGAGCACCTCAGTTTTCTGCTCAAATTGACGAGGTTTGAACTTTCGCGCTGAAAAATCTAAATGCCGTTCAGATGCGATCTGTTTCGACATTAAACTGCGCGAACTTTGCTGAAAAGTGCCGCTGGGCTAACACAAACGAAGAAGAGTTGAATTGGAGCACCCTACAGGAGTCACCTCAAGCTACTTCGTTTTTGCAAACACTAGGAGTTCAAAACCTTCCTGAGCAAACTGCCGGAGTTCTTGTCTCGACGCCTCGAAAAGGCTGGGAAGGTGGTCAACTAGTTTCTGACCCTCTTCCATGCATCGGAAACTCTTTGAAAGTTACTGCCACCGTCTGGAGAAGTCGTCTTGGTCCAAACAGTGAGCAACCAAAGCTTCAGGTGCTTTAGATTCACTTTTTTTTCACTGGTTTGCAATATTCAGTTGTGTTCAAAAAATACAAACGAAGAGAAATTTCCTTTGGTGAACTGCAACGAGTTTGAAATTCGAAACGGCGTTCCCATGTCTGTCGATGTCCCTGCACCCAACACTCCAAATTCACCGGCACAGGTATGAAATTAAAGTTTCAAGCTCTTATTCGTCGTAAATTTTCAGATTGTGTTTTACGGAAACAACTTTGTCGCTCCAGAAGGAGGAGCAATTTTCTTGCAAGACATTGTCGTGGAAGGATCTCTGCAGTGCAATGGAGAAGTTTACGACAGCCATCCTACATTGATTGCGGATCCGTTTCTAAAACCCAGTGAAAAATCGTCGAAGAAAAGTTACTCGGACTCGATTGGACCTTTGAAAGTTTATAGACAGGTAGAAATATGAAATAAAATTGCTCTAGGCTATGGAAGGCGTGAGTGGATTGGAAGCGATCAACGCAGTTCCAACAGCTCCGGACTACGACGAAGGCCGAATTTCTCAGTTCCAAACTTATTCAAAGGGCGTCGTGCCAGCTCTTCCGCCAGCTCCAGCTCAACCTCCCGTTTTGGCACCAGCGATCCAGCAACCGGTCGTTCAGCAACAGCCTCAACCGGCTTCCAATTCTTTCGCCGCTCAGCCTACTCTGTTTGAGAGCTGTTTGTCTCTTTCTTGCAATCCTTCTGGTGAGATATTTTTTTTTGGAAAGAGTATGAAATGATACGATCAATCAAAAAAACAATTTTTTTGATAATACTGTTAATATTTGAAATAGCTTACATCAAGAGTTTGAAAAATTGAAGCACTTTCAGTTGAAACTGAGGTTTTTGCGCTTTTCAAAAAATCATTACAATCCTCAAAAGGGAAAAAACCACATGAAATTCCTGTTTTCAGAGTATTTAAAATAATTGCCAGCAAAAAACAATTTTTCCTTTCTCTTCTAATACACCTTTTTTTTGTTTGATACGTCAAATTTGATCTAACATGTTTTAGTTGTCGACCCTTTCATCTAAAAAATTCGAAAACCGAAAAATTTGCCTGAATAAAAGTTGGTTCAAAACATCTGAATTGATAAATTTCGAAACTAAATTTTACAGACCTTAGCTGCAAGTTCTGGAGATCAGCCGGTAATAACAGATGGGGAATCGCGATTTCAGGAAGAGTTTCGAATCCTTTAACGGGCATCCAGTTACCACCTGGCACTGGTCCGTTCGATAAATTTGCAGAGATTAATATTTTTTCCTTTTCAGCTCAGAAATTTTTGGTAGCGCCGTTTTTTGATTCCCATATCAGTAGCTATACGTTGGTTTCCGAGCAAATCACGATTCCTTTGATGGAAGAAGTTTATTTTTGTTTCTACGAATACTACGCAACACAAGGACTCTCCCTCTCTGTTTGCACTGACAAAATGGATTGCTTCTACAAAAAGAACTCCTTGACAATGGGAGAAGCTGTCGAGGTTTGCAAGACGAACGACATTAAGAGTAAAAGAAAAATACTATTTTTTCTTACACGGATGAAAATTTTGATGCTGATAAAAATCGTTACAGGACAACAAGAAGTGGAACATCCGTTGCGCCAAAATGCCACCTGGAAACTACGAAGTTGGTCTTTTTTCGAAAAACTGCTGTAATTTCAGTTGCAGATGCGAGTGATTGCTGAAAACACGGGCGAAAACAAGGGCGAAGTGGGATTTCTGCCGATACGTCTCTCGCGAGACGCCCAAGGCCAGCAACTCGTCTGCTAATGACACTTCGTCCTGAACTTTTGTCTTTCTTTTTTTGCTCTTTGTCTTTCAAAGTTATTTATTTTTCTTTTCATTGTGCTTTTTCTTGAAAAATCTCGATTGAATTCCAATAAACTAATTTTTTCTGAAATTGAATGAAAACTGTGCTTGAGTAGTCTCTGAAAAAATTTTTCACTTTTCAATGATTTCGAAAAAAATTCTGAGGGTTTCACGTGGTAGAACGTCAATGAATTTCGAAAAGTTTCAGCTCAAGTTGAACAATAATTTTGAATTTATTTTAATTGAAAACAAGAAGTTGATACTATCGAGGTGGTGATCTCACAGAACCTTTTGAATCCTCAAATGGGACATAAGTAAAAGTTTCGAAGACGAAAAGGCTGTGTCAAGTTGAAAAGCTGCAAAAGACCTACAAAGAGAGGAGAAAGGTCAACACCTGCTCTCCTGTGCAGATGTCTCATATTCAGCTTGCTGCCTAGCATTGTTGCCTTTGCCTTGACCCTCAGCACTTCCCGTTCCTTTTTTACTAAGAGCATATATTTTATTATTCAAACAAATTTTTTTCAGAAGAGAAATGATTTTTCTTTCACTGGCTAGGCCTACTTCTTTCTTTCTGCGGTCTGGTTGGCTGCACACCAAGCTACCCACTGGTCGTTGCAACTTGGGGAGGGCCATCTTTCCAAAAAGCAGCTGCTGAAGGTAGGAAGTTCGGATTGGAAATTACGCTACGATTCATACCGATTACGCTATATAAAATTTTATGATTTTTTTCACATTTTTTTTTTTTGGCTTTCTCTCACTTTTTCTTGATCTCTGACTTTGCTGGTCAACTTTGAAAGATGCCCAACTGCTCACGTCGGTTTTTTTTTTTCAAATGATTTGAAACGATCTGCGTTCTCATGCTACTGTAAATTTCCGATGTAGGAAACTTAAGAAGAGCAAATCGAAGTCGTTTGAAAAGCTCGAACGTTGCCAAGCCAATATAAAGAACAAATTTAAAAGTAATACAAGTGCAAACAATGATTAAATCTTTCAGCTTATGAAAACACTTTGAAAGTGAACAGAATGTATGGACTTGTTCGCGGATTGTCTCGATGTGAAGATCTCCAGTGTGACGGTACCGTCGGGTATGGCGGCTCGCCAGATGAAAGCGGCGAAACCAGTCTTGACGCTTTGCTCATCGATGCGTTAGTTCAATTACTTGTCATTTATCCTAAACTTTTTTTACAAACTTTCTTGCAGATCTGACATGAAAGTGGCCGCTGTAGCAAATCTTCATAGAGTCAGAAACGCTGCAGAAGTCGCATGGGCTGTGATGAATTTCACTAAACACACGTTTTTAGTAGGGGAATCTGGTAAGGTTGAGCTAAAAACTACAATTTATAAGAAATATTGAAGCAACTCAGTTTGCTCTGTCAATGGGCTTCAAGGAGAGGAACCTCACTACAGAAGCATCCGGAAAAATTCACACAGACTGGCTGAAAAACAACTGCCAACCAAACTTCTGGAAGGTGAAAATTAAGAACTGAAACAATTAAATTTTTTTTTCTCAGAATGTCTACCCGGATCCGAAGACGCAATGCGGACCTTACAAGCCATTGAGTCCGAGAGAAGTTGAAAAGGCCGGTAGATTCGTAGAAAACAATTCCCCCGTCCTTCTCGACGAGTTCAATCACGACACCATTGGCATAGTTGTCATGGATGACGACCAACAGTTCAGTGCCGGCACATCGACAAACGGCATGCGGTTCAAAGTAGGTTATTTTGTTCGAAAAACAAATATTGATGAAGTGAACTATCAAAAGCTGAAATATTTTGTTCAAAGCATTTTAGTTGTTCTTCAATGAGAAAGAAAATTCAAGCAAGTTGAAACATATTCTTCAAAAAATCTACTGGTCAATCTACCATTGCACGAGATCCTTGTCTTCACGACTCAAATGATTTATAACTGTATAATTTATTCTCTTAATTTCTAGATCCTAGTGAACTCGGGTTCACGCTGATCTGTCAATAAATTATTATTATTATTTAAAAAAAAACATTCGAGATCAATACCTGGTGCCCCACGAAAAAAACGATTCTTTCTGATTTTCGAAAAAAATCTTAACTGCAAATTGAGGTGATTTTTTTTCTTATAAGTTTCAACTTATAACAAGATTTTTTTGATATTTCTGATGAAGAAAAATAGCGAAAACCAAAAACTCAGATCCCAGGACGAGTTGGCGACAGTCCGATCCCAGGTTCCGGAGCATATGCGCATAAAAAGCATGGAGCAGCTGTCGCCACCGGCGATGGAGACATTATGATGCGTTTCCTTCCGAGGTTAGTTCGAAAAATGCATTATATTTAGTGGTCATGACCTTGTTTCAATCTTCTTATCTAATTCTATCCGAGGGCAAACCTGAAAAGTTTGAGCGACAACAAATTGAGTTTTCAGTATCTAAGTAAACTTTGATAATATGCTGAAAAACTCCATAAACATCTTCTAAAATTACAATCTGAGAGCTGTCTGGACTGTTTTTGGCCAAAGTTTTTGTGAATGTTCGATTTTCAAAAAGTCTTTTAGTGTAAGAAGTATCTTGTTGAGAATATTTTTCAGTTTCGAGGCAGTTCAATACATGAAACACGGCAATAAACCAACGAAAGCAGCTAAAAAAGTCATCAATCACATGTTGACCTACTTCCCGGACTTTCAAGGTTTCCAATATGATTACTTCGAATTTTAATCAAAAGCCCAGGAGCCATTGTGACGGTCAACAGATACGGAGAACACGGCGCGGCTTGTTCGAACTTCAAGAAATTCATGTACACTTCGGTCTACAAAGGAGTCACAAACACTCACGCTGTGAACTGCACAATAAAAGCCGATTGAATGATTCCACATGTGAAAAATATCTGAAAAATTGGGAAAGAATGTTAAAGTTAATTTATTTTTTTGATAATTTTGATGAGAAAAATCAGATGAAAGTTTATTGTCATTCCTACAAAACCCAATTCATTATCTTTCATTTGGATGCTTTTTGAGCTTTGCTTGTATTTCTGAAGATGATGTAAAAAAATAATAAAAAAATGATGTTCAGTTTCTGAAAAAAGTCTTTTTATTCCATTCATTTCCCAAAAATAACCTGGGGAAGTTTTATCAATATTAAACCAGTTCACAGAGATAAGTGAAGGCATTTTTTCACAAATAAAATTCTTTCATAACAAATTCGAGTCTTGTTTTCCCCTCAAAAAACAAGAAAACGTCGTTTTTCTTCCCGTAATGAGCAGCTACCAAAGTTCGGGAAATCGAGCGCACAAAAGTGAAACTTCGCCTTGGCGGCCAATTTCTAGTCAAACTCCTTTCACCGGCCAGGCCGTCGGTCATTTCTGCGCCAGTCGGCCGTCTTATGAGCAGGGTCATTCGAATTATCCGCTTCCTTCTCTACTTACACTTTTAAAAAGAACTTTCTCCTACTCTTTACATGATCGTTACTATCTTCCTTTTGCTGTACTTTGGTTCTGCAGTATTTCGAGGTTAGTTGAAATTTTGTATGATTGAATTTACAAACTATTTCAAACTATTTTTTTCCTTTTAAATAAAGAACAAAGTTTCTTTTTCTGGTCGTTCGCAGAAATTTTTCAACTTTAGAGCGATGCGAAGCCATTCAAACTTTTATTCTTGTAACACTTTTTTCATTGACTTTCTATTCATTTTAGTCCATGGAAGAAAGTTGCAGCCAGTTTGTTTGAAATCACGTTTTTACGGTTTTATCGTCTTTTTGATTGTATTAAAAATTCCTAATTGGAAAAAGAGTTCAAAAATTGCTGTATAACGCATATTATTATTATTTTCTATTCATTCAATCAAGATTATTCAATAAAAAAACGTATCTTTGACGTCCGCTCATGTGCTTCTTTGAAGACAAGAGAAAAAAAAAATGACTCAAAATCAGAAATTATTCAGAATAAAATTCCTGATCGAAAATTGTTCAAAAAGTTATTTTAGTTTTGTCACAGGAAAATAATTCACAGAACTTTCTCCATCGAGATTTTAAAATAAAACCGGTTTGGAATAGAATTAAAAGTTTGAGAAATCAGCGCTGAACACAACCAAAAGTGTCGCTAAACGAAAGTTAAATCTGCGCCGCATAATCGCCGTGGCGAAGGGCAAAACGAAAATAATCACTTGCTGCGATCTCAAGATTTATAGCGTTCCCTTTCTCCTATTTTTGCACGGTGAGAAAAAATTTAGAGAGATTTTTAGCGTTAAAAAATTTTTGAAGTAAACTTCTGGGATCTGTAAGAATCGAGAGATCGCAAAAGCATTTATTCATTCTGCGATTGAGAACTCCGTTGGGAGCCTAATATTCATGGGTTGCACTAAGGAGCATTCGATCGATTCCATAAAAGCATTCGAATACTTCTTCTACGAAATTTAAATTCTGACAGAATCTATTTTTTTTCAAACCACGAGCCTGATTTCAGTTGATTCATGTATGTCCAACCAGCGTGGTTGCTCTGTCGCTACGTATCGATACAGCTCAGAATGCAGAGCTCAAATGGACCGCCCCACCTACAGCTACCCGCAACAAAGTGGGAAATATGAAGGTTCCAATTCCTTGTGTAGAAAGTGAATGAATCGAAAACGCTACTACAGGCTTTCTTGGTGCAAATGTTCAAGCGAGAGCTTATTCTGAAAAGCGGACTTCATCGGACTTTGCGAGATCCGACGTGGATTTACGCTGTTTCTCTGCATTGGACTGCACCTGGCAGAATGTCGACGATGACTATTTAAATTGGGTTGTTGGCCTAGGAAGCGTGGATCCAGCGAAGTTGGCTCTGATCACAGGATCTCAGTACTTACCTGGATCTTTTGGTTGAAAAGCAAATTTTTCTAGGGTTACTAAACAACTACTGATTCAGACACTAGTTTTCTAATATTGGCTTCTGATCCGAAGCCCTCACCTCATGATGGACAGTTAGTTTCGATTGCTATTGGTTGTCAACAGTCTGCTGGGATTTTGAGTTTTCGCTTTTGGAGAAGGTTTGTATTAACCGTTCATTTTAATTTTCGATTTATTCTGAAGGCTTTTTGAGTTTTAAAAAGTCACTAAATCTGATTTTCAGTCGAGCACGAATTTTCGGCAACGAGCCAAAACTTGACGTTTGTACTAGAAAATATCTTGAAGCCGAATTGGAAAACTGCATGACAGTAGTTCCAACAACAAATCACACCATTGTGGCTAGCGTGCCGCCAATTTTAGAGCCTTTTGTGGTTTTTTCCTAAGTTCTTACTCCCGAAAATCCTTTCTCAGATTGTTTTACGCGGATACAACTTTGAAAATGAACCAGAAGGAGGTCTTATTATTCTTGACGAGATCGAGTACTCTGCTCATGTGGATCAACCGGAAAACTGCGTCAGCAAAGTTATTGATTCGGATGTCATCGAACCTATTTCTGCTGAGGCCAAGTTCGAAGAAGCCCCACGGATAGTTTCTGGGGACACTGGTAAGGATTTTCTCTTTTCGAGCTTCTTATTAGTGAGGGTGTTAGTTGAATGTTCTTGAAATCTTCTGAAAGGTCACTCATGCTCACAATTGCTCACAAAGCTTCGGAATATTTCTTATGAAAACAATATTTATCATCGAAAAAAACAACTTTTCGAATATTTAATCTCCTTGTGAAATGCCTAGAAAAGGTAAGAAGCTTTGAAACTGGGAAACTAAGAACTTGCGCAGGTAGCGTATTCTAGGAAATATCATCCGAAATATCAGAGAGCAACGGAGAAAATATAGTCAGGCCAAATTTAGAATGTAAGAAAAATAAGGTCTATTTATTAAACGGAAATGTAGAGAATTCTTCCTAAAAATAATGTAAGTTATTTTTGCGGTTGCAGAAAATAACGCCGAGAGTCAAATTGTTTCTCATGAAGTCGTCCTTGGAAGTGTGAGCAGAAAATATTCTAGGGCCTTGGCCAACGAAACATCGTCAGATCTGGTGGTACTGAACAAGGACGCAACTGAAGGCTCTTGCGAGTATTGCTTCTTTCATTTTTTTTATTCGATTCGAATTTTTCAAGATTTCTTCAATGCCTCGCAGAGTCGTTAGATTTATCTTGTAACTATGAGCGAGCAGGAAATGGCGCCAAAGGAGAAGGATTGAAAAACGGCTGGAAAGTAACAAATGCTCATCACAACTTTGCAAACAAATTAACAGGAATACATGTTTCTCCTGGAAATAATAAAAAGCAAGTTTTTCAGAGATTAATGATAAATCAAGGCGTTTCAGACACAAATTTTTCTTACCGCCAACTTCGGCGGTAGGAAAAAAACACTTCGTCTGAAGACCGTTACGTGTTGGAATCTGTGGAATTTACAATCAGTGATTCACCGAGAGCTTACTTGGGCTTCAAAAAGTATATAGCAACAAAGGGACTTCACTTGTCGTTGTGTGAAAATGGCGAAAGAAAAAAGTTCGTTTTCTGGTTTTTTTTTTAAATTTGAAACAGTATGTCTGCACTGGCAGAAATAAGATGGAGATCACGTTAAAAAATAACCCGCAGAGAAGTCGGCCTATGCCGTACATGAGAAAAGAAAATCTCTTAAAGGCATAGGGGCAGTAAAAAATGGGGTTTCAGGTGAAAGCAGTATCTTATATAGTTTTTCATTGCAAATCGAATGGTGTACTCAAAAAAATTAAATATGTGACCACTTTAAAAGAAAAACGCGATTTTACTTTCCCGCCATTAATTTTGAAAAAAGCTTTGGATCGGCATGCGGACAAATGTTTACAGTAGCCGTGCACGCGATGTTGCGGACGTCTTATTAGACTCGTGTTTTGTGAGAAATAACCGGCTATCTGCTTCAAATTAAGGGTTTCTTCTCTGAAAAAAATTGATTAAGAAAACCGAAAACACACATTGATAATAAAGAAAACAAATAATCGCTATCCCATTCGAAACCTGTGTAAAATCATCATTTTTCACCAGAAAAGCGTTTTGGCGATCAAAGTTTGCAAATTTACCATGAATAGAAAGCTTTTGTGACGAAAAGAACTTTGGTGACAACAGAAAAAATTGAAAATTGAAAGAAACGAAGAAAAAAGCAAAAATTTGGAAGATGGCGGAGCCTGTTGTCCATAGAGCAACTTTACTGCAAAGCGCTCTTTTCGCGGGAACTCAATATTTTTTCTCTCCGACTTTGAATTATTTTTTCCCCAAAACTAGGAACTTTTGTACGTTTCCAAGTTCACCGTTTGATTCGCAATGAAAAGCTCTTCAAAGTAATGTTTTGAACTGAAACACCGTTTTTTTACTGCTTCTATACCTTTAAACAATCAAAATCTAAATTTGCAGATGTTTTTGGAGCACTTCGGACAAAATCCAGAAAAATTCTGCTAGAAAGTGGAAGAAGGAAATCGTGTTTCTACCTTCTCATGTTTCAAAGGTGTGGAATCAGATGTAAAATGAAAATTTTTCGTTACAGTTTTTTTTCATTGCCTGGCAAGCGCAGAATGAAACGTTAAATCACGGACAAGTTGGATTGACAGAAATCGCGATTTTTTCCGATTCGAAAGCAGAAAAACCTCTTTGTTGACCTATCACCTTGTATATATTTCAAAACGTGTTTTATCATTGCGTGGTCCTCCATCTCATGAATATGTTTGAATTTTTATTCCGAATAAATTTTTGATGTCTAAACTTGACACTTTAGATACAGTATCCATTTTTTTATCTGATAAAAGTTCAGAAAATTTTTTCAACTTTTTTGTGTTGTTGTTGATCCGCTAATCCGCAATTTGGGGGCAGCAGGAGAATAACTTATATTGGTTCTTTTTTGGGTTACCTTTTTAAATTTTGAGAACTTTCATTCAATTACATTCAGATTTTTTTCTGTAATACTTTTTATCTTAGCCTGCTCAAAAATAAATGTTTAAAGGCTCCAAAAATGCCGAATTTTGTTGTGGTCGGAAATTTGTAAGGTTTACTCCGACAGATATTTGCAAGTTTGTAAAAGATAAATTTATTCTTGATTTAAAACTGAACGAAGGCCGTTGAAGCAACTTTTTTGTTTTTATTGAAACACGAATTTTTTTATTATTGAAACACGAATTTTTTTCAAACTCATCACAAAGTTTCCCATTTATTTCGATCCAAGTTGTCAAGCGGTCACGCCATCGTAATCTCTCCCTAGTATGCGTGCATATAATTTGTGCAAATTCTGTGGGATCACGGGAGCCGCGAATGCATAATGTAACATTCAGTCATACAAACACAGAAATTGCTACATTCAGAAACGACTGAGCTCTTTGGAATATGCAATGCGAGTCGTTGAATTATACGCCTCCAACACGCTCCCAACTTTTTTTCTTTCGGTTCAATTTATACGGCCTACATTTTTCCCAAGACACGGTAGCAGGCTTCAAAAGTTTTTTGTTCTTTCGGTCGCTAAATCAGCTAAAGTTTGATAGTTCCTTTTTACTTAGATGTGGAAAGTCGTTCATGTAGAATCTTCAAAAAGGCTTTTGCAGGCATAAAAAACCTACCTCATTTATTGAGCCTTTTTAAAGCTTTTTTGCGAGAAGGATCGGTTTGACAGCATCTCAATCTACCTCTTGTTATTTTCAACTAGAACATCAAAAAATCTTCTAGTTCAAAAATATTCAGTATTTCTGATTAAAATGAAGGCTTTTTTGTGTAGCCATGATTTCTGAGATGATTTTTTTTACACATCCTAACCAGAAAGTATGGTCAGAAGCCAACCTGACATTCTTTGCCCGCACGTCCAGATGTCACTCGAATGAGCTCAAATAGGAGCGCGGAGCCTTAATCAAGGTCGGAAAAGACGAGAACGCCCAAATGAGCCGCCGTCATTAGTGATCAGTCAGTCGCAACATTTGTCTCCATTAAAACTTTTCGGGCGCCGCATTTCGAATCCCTTATATTTACGCTTTTGTGTTAAATGATTAAGATATTCAGAAAAAAAAGCGAAATGTGAGAAATGTTTATTTTTAGTTTTTGAAATGATGCATTTCGTAAAAACGAAAATTTTTGATAATGATTTTTTGCTCGAAATTTGCGGATGCTGTGCAGAACTTTGTTCAAAAGCGCGCCCCCACTACGAGAAATTTGTAAACCCAGGCCGATTCTCGGATTTCTTCTGTTAATTATTTATGATCGTTGAAAAAGAAGCCGCGAGTCTTTACTCAGTACTCGTTATTGCTATATTCATATTCTGCAAAAGTTCTGGAAGTATGGAGACTTACTATTACACGGTTTTTATATTGCTTTCTTCCGATTTGCTCAATTTTAAAATGCCTATATTAAAATATTTTCAGTTTATGAGTTTTTCGAAACGCATCCTACGTTCCGAGTTGATAGTGAGAAGCAAAGCTCGGCAGGTTTCCAAGACCTCGCCGCCATTAGAAGAGCCGGCTCGCGGAGCCGCCGAGTGCTTTATAAGACTTGATTGAATTACTCGGTTGCTTGCGTGCGTCTTGCACTCTTCTTGTCCCAATCTTCCGTCCGCTTCCTTTCCGTTTCCCGATTCCTTCTGGTAAAGACATCCGGTTGACTCATCCACAAATCAATTCGAAGATTTGTGCTCTCACAGACGTCAACGACCCGTTCTATCATTTTTGGTATACGTTTTTTCTAGATGAAGGCTCCTCATAGTCGCTACCTGCGCAAACTTTTAGTTTTTGAGAAACGATTTTTAAACTAGCAAACTCTGGGTTTTAAGCCTAAGGTTTCAAACTTCAAAAAATTATTTCAAAAACTAGATGTTGAACCAGGAAACGAGGGCTTTCATCTTCAAAAAGTGTTTGAGCTAGTTTGTAGAAAATGGGAAATAGAGTTCTTGTTAGGCTTAAGTCTGTGTTGAACGCGGGTTGTGAAAATTAATATCTTAAACCTTTTTGAGCAGGCAGAGACTATCAGAATTCTTCTATAAAACTTTCAGAGGATGTTTGAGAAAACTAAGGGTCAAATTCCGAATCGCAGAACAAAATGACTTCTTGTGTGAAACAAAAATTTGAGTAACTTCTTGATATTTTTATGTATAATTTAAAGCTGGTTGCAAAAATGGAGTACAGATCGAAAATGAGAGTCGATGATAGGGACTCTCAAAAGCGCCGGCTTGACGGCCTTCTGTATTTCCCACGTATCTCAAGTGGCGTTCTTAAGATGACATCGGCATCTTCAATCGCTCAGAATATTTGCAAATAGTCTTATGTGTAAATAGTGAAATATGAAAGTAGGGAAGAAGGCTCCTACTACTTGGAATGTCGAGAAATGAGATACGTTGCAAGACGCGTCGCGTTGTAAGAGGGAACTGCCTGAGGGGATGCAGCCGAGTGGAAGGAGAGCATGTGACAATGCCGCCGGACAATATTCCAGGGCCAGATTTCCGCCCATTTGTGCCGCACGTCCAGGCCATTTCCTGATCCTTTCCACTCGACTGCCGCTTTCAGTAACCTTTTTCTCATTCAGTCGCTTATTGCTTCGTCGTGTGATTCACGAAAACTGTAGAAATCTTGCCGTCGAAGTCGGTTTTTGGTTTATACCAAAAACTCTAGAGAGGATCCCCGTTCTCATAAACTAGACCAATATAATTTATTCCTTCTCAGACATTTGATAAGATGAGAAATTGAATACAGCGTTTGCTTGTTTGTGATCAATCCGAAAAATTCGCCTAAAAAATGAGACAAAAGCTCTCGTTCAATTGCCAAGTCGCAAGTTTTCAATAACTTTGTATTTCTATGAAAAATAATTTTCTTACCTTTTCCGTAGTAACATCGGAAAATAATTCACAATATTCATCTTGTCATTTCGATGATCTTTCACAGCGAAATTATTTCAGAACTCTTTGTTCTTTTTTATCTAGAAAAACTAGTCAGGGTGTGAATATTTGACAATTTTGCTTTTTTTCAGCACTCTATAGATTTTTTAATTTTGATTATTTCTTTAAAAAGTCTTTTTCATTTCGAAAGAAATTGAAAGTTCTATTTTCTGGATTATTTACAAGTATTGAAGCTTTCTTCACACCTTTTTGCTCTGAAAACTATCAATTCGCCTCAGAATCACAAAAATGAAAAAAGCCCAGTTGAGGGAATTTTCTGAGCAACTGCAGTCCTTCTTGTAGAGAAGTGTTCTGAAAGCTTTCGAATACTTCGGCAAATCGTTCGCCACGATTTGAACTGTTTGTAGCCTTTGATTCTTCTTGAAGTAAATTTCTCATAATAAGGCAATCTTCTAGGTGCGGATCTTTAAGGCGTGAAAACTCTCAGGCTCAATACCTCACGGAGCGATCGAGAGCAAATCGGAAATCGAACAAAAACGCCAATAATTGTCGCGGGATAGACGCCTCTTCTCGACCGCCGCTGTCATAGGAGATGTTGACTCAGTCAATCCGGCAAATACGAGCTCTCGACCTAGAGCTCCTCCACGGGAGCTCCGTCGAGTACTCGAGACAAGCACCAGGAGCTCCGGTGAGATCCGACGTGCACTCGAAGCCGGCTGAGTCTCCCGCTCACTTTTGCAACTTTTACCTGTTTGTTCTCTAGTTTCGAGCTCGTTCCAAACTTTTTTCTGTCTATTTTTTTAAACTCTTTTTCGATTCGTTTCGACTCGTTGAAGTGGTGGAACCGCCAAAGTCTAACAGTTCAAGCAAAATATGCTCGTTCAAAACTTCCTTGAAGTTATAGATTCTCCAATTTCTACAAGTTTCAAACGATCAATAGTTTTTTTTTGGACCGAAGCTCTTTTTGAAAATGTTACGAAATCGCATTCAAAGAAGTTACGAAATCCAATTCGAAAATGTTCTCACACGAATTACATTGAAATGATTGAAAACAAGAAGTTGAGAAATAGAAAAATACGTATTGATTGAAGGCTGGGAAGACCGACATCATTTTTTCCCTACTGCCATTTTTCAAACACCGCTGCAAATATTTAGAATTGTATTTCATAGACACGGCGACATTTGTGATAATCTTTTTCCTGTGCTCCGGACTCAGCTTTTAATTTTTTTGTAGTTAGCGGCTGTTGCCTACGATTATTTTCTTTTTGTACTCCAAACACCCTTTTTACAATTATTTTTATGACAAGAGATAACCCGGCTTCTATCGATCCTACGGTTGTACATCACTGAAAAACCAAATGCAAGATAATTCAAAAAAATTTTTTTCAACTAGTTTATGCATAGCTTACTCTTGCTTCGAGCTAATTCCCGACGACGTCGAGGCGTAAACAAAATGAAACGACGAGATGTGCCAAAATGCCGCAAAATTAAATCATCGTAGATGAATCTTAATGAGTAGGCGACATCTTCCCGCCCCAGTCTTTGCCACGACAAAGATTTCCTGCCAGAGCTTTGCCTTATTTCCTTTTCTGAGTTTTTTGTCCCGGTTTCTTTTATTTCAAAGTGAATGAGTTGTTAAGGAATTAGGGGCTCAAAAGGATATTTATCGCAATTTTATCAGAAAGCCTTTATTTTATATGGAGCTCTATACCGGTAACGTGAAAATTGGGTTGAGATTGAGATCTGAACAAAATATCTGTCAGAGAAATTCAATGAGGCAAAGTATTTAGCCCAAACTTTTTTGAGATTTCCTGCACCTCGATATCAATTTCTTATTTTCGAGACCATGATTGAGGCCAAACTTCGTCGCGTCTAAAGACGTCGTCTACCTTTTGTGAATTCAAATTTTATCAATGGACTTCTTAACTGTTTATGATCATCACATGCGTAGGTAAACGAACCTCTTCCCACTTTAGTCAAAATGCTTTATTTTCTTTGATCATGGCTGGAAAAGTCCGTGAAGCTTACTTTCGAGAGAAGTTGTTTTCGATTCAAAAAATCAGCTTCCCAGTTTTTTTCCTACTTTTGATGTCTCACGACGCTTTCTTCGTTTTGAGCATACTACTTTGAGACTGTCTGCCACGAATTTTTCCGGACGGGGAGTGCGATGTACATCACAGAGACCTTTCCAGTAAGCGCATTTTTTAGCCAACATTTTCTTTGCGAATGTCCTTCCCAAAGAACTTCACTCGCAAATGAATCACGCTGAGAAGTGCTCCGAAGACGTCAACGACGGTCCGAAGTAGCATCTGCCGTACGTGTGGTTCGCTGTAATCCCATTGGCGCTGAGGACTTAGTCGTTCCGCCGCCCATTCCACTGTTTTTGTGGCCGAGGCTCGTAGGCACCCAGGGCGCTCGCCTGGATTAACCGCCATCCTATTCGATTACACCCGTCCGAAACACTCACCCACACGACACATACACGTCTGGATTCTACTTGCTCCACTTTCTAAGCTTTTTTCGTTTGTTGCTTTTTTTGAGGCTTGATTTTTCTTTTTTTTTTCAATTTCTTTTCCTTTTGGATGTTTACTTTGTTTCTTGAACTCAAATGAGACACATCAAACGTCCCAAAAAGATCAAGCTTTGTTAGCTTGATCAGGATGTGAATGCTCACTTTTTGAAATCTTTTGATTCAATTCAAAAAGGAAGACGTTAAGACATTTTTTGAGCAAGATCTGTGTAGAAAAGCTTACTTCATCCACAGCTGGCTTAAGACTCAACATAAATAATGAGACTTAAATCTAACAAGAAGATTTTCGAAATCCTGTCTAGGGGCTTTTGTCCAGACACAGTAGTAAATGCAATATTACGGACATGTTATTTTCGTCTTCTATCTCATCAGACACTTCTCAGCAGGAAGAGAGTTGTCAAACTTCATCAAAAAGGAAAGCAAGCCAACTTCCCAACGAACTCAATTATGAAGTCAGCACATCTTCGAACACTTTGCACGGATTACTGTAGAAAGTTTTTTTCGCGTCAAGGAACTCGAGTGTGAGAACGAGTACGGCGAGACGACGGCTAACCTTGAGAGCCGGGCAGCTCCTCTCAATTAATAAGCCTTGTGTTGGCGCAAGCCCTCAAGCGAAGACGGCGGAAAACGCTCATTTTGTCGCATCTTTTGGCTCACGAGGGTGAGAAGTTGCTTCGCGGCGACAGCGGAAGAAGCCGCGTGTGTATGCCGTGCCGATGAGGCCAATTGTGAGCTCGAAGCAGCACTGACTGAGCCAATCGGACACGACCGCCGTCCGGCAACAATCATCCCCATCTCCTCTTTTCTTCTCGAATCTCACGAACCATCTTCACGCTCCCCTCTCTGTTAGTTTGGCGAGAAGCTCCGAGTCCTGAGCAGTCAGACTATGGCTGATATGTTCGACGAGGTGAGAGCTCGGTCTGCTCACATCGTCTCTACCGAACAAGCGGCGGTTTCCGAGGTGAGACTTTTTATGGCAACTAATCAAGAATGAATATTTATTGCCTTCATCATATGGTTCCGGTTGCGATGGGAATATTTTCAGAGCATTCGATATGCCCACTACAGCTTTGTGTCACGAAATTTTCGAACAATCTTTCTTTGAAATTATTTTCTTGAACCGATAGTTTTTTGTTCTGGACCAACTTTTATAGATTTTAAATTGAACTCGAAAATGGAAAATTTGTACAGGGTCCCTTACTAAAAGAGATTTCTCTTCTGGCAAAGTTATAAAACTTTTCATAAATGTACCTTTAGCTTATCTGATCCCAGATGATAACAATATTCGGGCTTTCTAGTTATTTTATAGAGCCTTCAACTCTATTTGATGTCAAAAATAGAGAGCAATGAGGATTTTAGCGCTTTCAAAACGCCAAAAATCTACTTTAAAAGGAGAATTCCTCTTTTCAACAGTATAGTACTGTAACATTTCCTTCTTTCTTTGCTATCAAATTTTCAACCTTATTTTTCCAAACTTTGACGATTTCGAAACTTGAAAAAGACTTATCACATGTCCTCTGAAGAACAAGAATTTTGATGAATCGCGAAGAGTTTTTGAAACCAGACTTTATCTATTTTCAATTTTTTTTTTTCTCTATTCACTTAAAATGAAATAATTTTGAAGCACCTCGCATGAAGTTTTGAGGAAAATAACAGAAAAAACGGGCGCGAGCAAATGTCATTTTGTCATGCAACTTTTCGTGTTTCAAATGTCAAACCTTGGTAACAAATGGCATGGGAAAATGCTGACTTTTGATTGTTTGGCTGAGGTTTAGTTAGAACTCTAATGATGGGCTATTGTGACGAGTCCTCGGGACGTTTTCGCAAATTAAATCCACCCCCGAGCTGGCAATTGAGAGCTATTATGGCATAGCGCGAGTGGGACGACTCTTGTAGTTTGCGACATTTGCTTCGCATCAAGATTCCCTAATTCGAGAGGAATTCGAAAGTTTTTCTTTGTTAAATTATTTTTTTTGTTCACGGGAAAGTTTACCATCAAATCAGATTTTTTTTTTCGAGCACCTAGACATGGGAGTACAACAAAAAAAGTGTTTTTCCAGAAATTTTGAAATTCAAAAACGGGAACAAAGTTTGCTTTGCAAAAAAATAGAAAAAATTCTATGAAAAAAAGTACTGTGCGGCAGTCCGAAGACAGAAAAAAAGGGATATGAACATAATTTAAGATTTTCAAGAAAAAGTTCGTCATAAATGAAACTTCTTTTCTTTATATTTCATGCCTTCTGAGCTCAAGAATTTTTCATTTTTACATTTTACCGCGTGCCAGTATTTTTTTTTTAATTTCGCAACGTGCAGATTCGAAATTCCGATAGTTTTAGTCGCACTCTTATAAAACTCTTCCTAGACACTAATAGGTGCCAAAAATGCCCGAAGGCTAAGTTCACACCAACTAGGTCAAAATTGTTGCGGTAGTTATAGATCGACAGGAGAACTAGGTTGTTATGTATGGAGATGTGACCCCGAGGAGTGAGGCGAAACGAGGCGAGTCGTTCCCAGCGGCACGGAAACCTCGCAGCAGCAGTGGGGGAAAAAACAGTCGCCTCACATGTGTTGGCCCAATACCAGATGTGCTTGCCCCGCCAGTAAACCGACGTCTTCTTGGACACCTGCGTGGTACAGGATTATACCACATGGTATCCCTGCTCGCCACTTTCATTCCTTTTTTTTCTTTTTAGTCGGACTTTCCAAATATTTTTTTCACTTTTATTGCCGACTTTGACCTTGATTTTTCTCTTTTTCCACTCGCTGCTTTTTTTAAAATTTGAAGGCATTTCCGCATTCCTGAATAGAGTTTCTTTCTTTGAGACTTTATCGACGGCTTTCAAATAGATTTTGCTTGATTTTCACTTCAATCGTCAAAAAAAACGCGTAGCGCTCAAATCGGCAAATATCAGAATAATGGATTTTATGAGCTATTTAATTTGGGGTTAAAAGGCTGAAAAATGCACTGTACCTCAGCTTTTTCTTTTTTTACGTGTGTTATGTCTTATTTCTCATTTTATGAAAAACTGTTAATCATATCTCACGGAATAATTCATAATTCTTTTTTTTTTTTGCTCACAAATGTTTACGAGTTTCTCAAATAAAGTTGGTCACGAAACCGGCCGATCTCTGTGATCATCGAATTTATAATTTTGCGCCCAACGAAGTGCATTGTTTCCAACTTTCCATCGTTTCGGAATCAAATCGCGCTCCGTTTCTGGCAAACTGACACGATACCCTTAGCTACGAGTAAAATCATTGAGTATTCTGAGGCTCCTCTTTTCCATCCAAACAGCATTTGTCGCAAACAACTGTTGTTCATTTTGTTCCCCGTCCGTTTTTCTCTTTTCGATTCAATGCTCTCATTGATTTTTAGCGTTCTTCAGAAACGACATTAAAATGGTCGAATCTGTGGCATTAAATGCCGTTTTCTGAAATTTCGCATGAATGTTCGCTCGATTTTTCAACAAATCGGGGGTTGTTTTTTCAAAAAATCTTGTGTAGTTTGAAGTTTGCTTGAAAGTAGATAAAGCTTAAGCAAAGCCAACCTAGGCTTCCTCACCTCTTTCCTTCCTGCTTGTTCCTTTTTATTCTTCTGAGAGCATTCATTTTTTTTGTTAGGGAACTCGAGGAACTCGTCAACATCACCGCGGAGCTTGTCTCAAAGCTTTTGCCAACCCAAATTAATTAAGAAAGGGAGAGGAAAAAGACAGCGGCGCCCATAGCTATTGACTAATTAGACACGGGTTGAATTTGCATTTCATCAAAAATTATTCATCAGTTGGAAGCAAATCTAATAGAGGCGATTGGTGAATAACAAGTCAGAAGAACGCGATTGTTTTCAAGCAGCCCATTTTCAACGGAGAAGCGAGTGTGCTTGACATAAAGTTTTTGAAATTTCGAATCAGCGAAAGAAAAAATATTTCCCTTTTTAACATCGAAAAGCGAGAAAATTATCTTTTGGCGGTATCGTGCATGTCGAACACGTAGATGATATCTAGGCACGCAAAGTTGTGTCGCAGATTTTATCAGTTGCCCTTTTCAACAAACCAAGGTCTTTTTTTGGAACCAGATGATTGGAGAAAAAAGATACTGTAGTTGTGAAAATAACGTGCTCATAACATTTTTCCACCCGTGCATTTTTTAAATCGCCCTAAAATGATTTTGATTTAAGAATGGAATGTCTGAGTATAACAGTTTTGAAATATTGAGCTTCTGAAGACTGATTTCTTAGCATCATGGCAGGCCGAATCCTCACTAATCAAAGATCTAATTTTATCATATAATGATAACTATTTGTTTGTGATTGCCTTTCATGTAGACCGTGTGTTTCGAGATAAGATAACAACTTAGAGGCGCGAAAAGTTTCTGATAACACTAACTTCTAGAACCAGCCGCAAACAAAGCTTCTGTCCGCGATTCTCTTTCAGATAAAGCAGGTCATTTGAAAGGTCAGGAAAAGAGGAAGGCGGCTAAGGAGCTAAGGGAACATTTTGCGATAGTCCATTAACGCCTCTGTAAATACAAGCAACGGAAGAAGCGACGGAACAATGGGCAGACGAGAGTACCCAAGTAGCGAAAGTTGAAAGGAGGAGAGCACACTTTGTTGAACAAGGGCGTCGCGTGCGTGCTGCGTCGCGGCCAGTAAGGTCAGCAGCGGTGGCACAGCGCTTTCCCATTCCCACGCAGCTGTAGGTAGGAGCAAGGAGCGCATTCCCTACGGCCAGCATGGTTGAATCACGAAGTACGCTGCTGCTTCCCGTTCTTCCTTCCAATGTCAAGGTAAACTTTTCCTTTTCAACAGATGTTTTTCTTCTATTCTATCTGAGCTTGTCGCCTTTTGAACTTCCTTCTTTAATTATGTATTTCTGAAACTGATTCCACTTAAACACTTATGAAACAGGCGATTAAAATGTAATTGAAGGGTTCAAGATTGAACTTGTGTACAAATGGAAAGAACCTGGTTATGATACGTCTTATTTGTAAAAAATGTTACGAATTAAATAAATCTGCCTTTTTCTGAACGAAGAGTTTGTTTCAAAACAATTTCAATTTTTTCTGCGGTTTTTAAACTTCCTATTAGAGTTTCAAATTTAATCAACGTGGTATTTCATTAGAACTTTCCATTCCTTGACTATTTTTTTCAAGATTTTTTTCGAATAAAAATAAAAAAATTCCTCCTGTTCAAGTTTTTTTCTCAAAACTGATAAGTGATCGTTATCTATCCATCTGTAAATAGGCATCTTATCTGTCGATTAGAGCGGGTCGTTTCAAATATTCCGAGATCTGTTGTGAGTCGAAACCCATTGCAAATTGGTTATAGAACCGTTTTTTGGGTCGTATAGCCAAAAGTCACGGAAAATTATCGACAAATACCGTGATGCGGTAGTTACGTTTTTTTGCATGATTCTAAATTTCAAAGCTGTCTTTGACATGCTATAGAGCTAGGATCAACCGAACATTTTTAAAACAAAGAAACCATGGAAAGACGCTTTAAAGGCCCAAACATTCAAAAATAGAAAGGGACGACGAGTATTTTGAGAAGGTTATGAGTCAGGGGCAACGTTCTGAGGCGGTCTGTCAGCAATAAATTCTCACGACGTCTCGTGCTCGCTGCGGTTTCTATGGTTTCCTGGTGATATCTGCGGGCGGAGCGAATAAAAAGTCCTTCCTTATCAAATCCAATCGGCTTCTTCGGTCGCCTTTCCATGCTGATTCCGTCGAACAATGCGTTCTTCGTGAGCCCGACAAGAGCCGCAACGGCGATGAACGCCTCGTTGCTCCAGCAGTATTCTCCTGTTTTCCACCACCAAGGGGTCGTGAAGCCGCAGCCGACGCAGTTGCCACAGACGCATCACGTAAGGCTCGATTTAATTAAAACATCCGCTTGCAAAGTGCCTGAGTTTAACGAGAGACAGGCCTCTCAAAATTGTCCCTCGAGAATGTGTCTTTACCGCTTTCAACCGTTGGAGCTTTTTTGAAGCCTGAATCACTGACGTCACTCTTGTTTCATCTCCAAAATCTCATATTTACTGCGCTGTTTGCGTTTATCCAAGATAGTCTTCAAGCAAACTGTTTTAAGTATTCAAATTGCAGAAAACCGCAGTTTCGTGTGAAATATCCCTTCTTCTCCTGGTTTTTAAATTATTGTCTCTTTTTTTCTATAACCAAACATTAAAGATTTATTTAAATATGAACGAGTGAAAACAAATCTTACGATCCGATGACTCCTTCACTTTTTTTTTTTCAAAAACGACTCAACAAAATATTCAAAACTTCCAATGTTCCTTTTTTGGATCTTTATTACTTGTTATCTTAAGTTCGTTTCTATTTTCTTGTGGAAAGTTTTGATGTAGTTATTGGAATTTTGCATAATATGCTTGTTAAAGCCTTAGATAGTTTCCATTATCACAGTTTTCTCAAACTTTGGCAGTTGTCCAACAACTTAAAGATCTATTGAGCACCTTTTTTTTTGGGAATAATCATACTTTGTGAAACGTTTTTGATTGGACAGCGGAATCAGTCTCATAAAAAACGTAGGGAACATTTGGAAGCTCATCATTTGACTGGCTGCCTTTCGCGTTTCTTCGCATTCGGAGTCGGCCACTTTGAAAACAAGAGACTTGTGAATAATTCATGCTTGATCTCGTTTGAGCTGCCATCCGTCCTGTTTTGAAAGCGATCGTACGTGACGCCCTACTGTGAGGGTCTCTTGTTTTGTTGCCTGAATGCGCGACCCCATGGCGCGGCAGGACGTGATTGATCGGCGAAAAGGTGCACCGGGAGCGGTGACATGCTTCTACACTCACGCTCACGGATCCACCGCTCACACTCCGTGTGAACTTATTTTTTGTGCCTATGAAAGAAGAAATTCAGAGAAAAATAATATTCTGAGGCCTCGCTCTATTCCCGGGGCTGACAAAGACTCTGTCATCAAAATTTCTAATTTTTCCAAAAATTTTTTCAAGTTCTTTCGAAGCTTCTAATGAAAGTTTTCCATAGTTGCTACGTTTATTGACTTCGAGAATATCCTCTCCAGCCTTTCTGTAGACGAAGTAATTGAGATCTGCAGTAATAATAAAGAAATTAACTAGACTGTCCTGATTTTTGGAGGACTTGCTCTTTTCGCGACCTTCTTGATTGAAAACAGTTACGAAAACCGACCGATAGTTCTTCCATAATCCCATAATATGAAGGAATAATTGCTCTAAAGACTGAATAAATGTTTAATTTCACATAATATAGAAAGCTCAAGATCTTTTAAATTTCCGAATCTATGTAAAATCGCTCCTTTCATGTCGTTATTGAAAACTTCATCAAAACTTTCATTGACAATTTTACAAAAATTCCTAATTCAGAATATGCAAGCCCTCTACCAATTGGCGGGCGCTTCGGCTCAGTCGTTCCACGGACAGCCGCTGCAGCTGAGCCAGCTCGTCCAAGGCGGAATGCCGCCGCTTCTGCAGCAACTTCAGGCCGCCCAACAGCAGCAGCAGCTCGCAGCTGTCTCCGCAGGTTCGTTCCGAGTTGGATAACGAGTTTCCCCTGTCGTCGTTTGTAGAGTGTGATTTTTCTTGTAAGCTATCCGTTCTCGGAAGTTGTGAAATATACTTTACTAAGAGATGTGGAAAGATTTTTTTTATTTTAGAAAAAAATCAGAGAGAGTATGAAATTGAGATCAAAAAGTAATAATTTAGAATTTACTGTGACTTATCAGAGATTTACTTCATTATCTGATTTTTTTAATTTGAAATTTTTCAAAGACAGAAAACTTTTTGGATTGGAATTAGAGTACATAACAGCCAAAATCCAGCATAGTAACACCTTTTTGAATTTTTTTTTGTTCTTGTGAAGGTTCCAAAAATTTTTCCGATTTTTTTAATCTTCAAAAATTTTCGAACAGTTCGATCATCATATTGAAATCTTAAAAGATAAGTTCCGAAGGCTATAAAAGCCTCAAGGTTGGCGATTATTGATTTCGGCCCATTGGATCAAATGGTAGCGTTTTCCTGCTGAAAATGTGGAACAACACGCGAAAACCGCTTTGGGTTGGCTTCTATAGGAGGAGGCCGTCTGGAGGGGAAAACGATGCAAATGAGGAAAATTCGTCAATTTCTGTTCTCAAGCACTGCAAGCCACCTGTTTTTGCCTCGTTTTTTCCTGTTTTCGTCGTTTTTTTTGTCTGGCCAGGTCTTTTTTCACCAAAAAAAGTTTGAGTTCGAAGGATGGTTTATTATTGCCCCAAGTCAAAAAGGATGAAACAATTCGTTATCAATCAGGTGTTTCCGTTGTAGACAGGAAATTGTCAAAAGGCATGATACGAGCAGCTTACAGTAATCTAAGTTAATTTGAACGTTGAGACGCGGTTTGAAGGCAAAAAAAAATGTGGCCGCTCAGATTTCCGCCTTTTTTCTCTCAAAAGAGCGCCATGTGTGCCGTGCCCGACCGTTCCAATTTGCTTTTGACGGCCCCACGTGTGTGCGGAGCACGGCGCAACTGTGGGAACATTTCGCAGCGCTCCGAAATATTCGAGTTTCTGAGAATTCACTGGAAAAGATTGCCCGATTTGTAGGCCAGACAGCAGGCAGGAAATATTTGTACCCAGCTTCAAAATGAAATTGAATTCTAAGAAACCCTCCAGTGTCACAATTCGCAACACTATTCTAAATCTAGTTCTCAAGAGCAGGAACTACAGAAAAATAGTGTTTGAAAAGTGAACAAGGAAAATTGCTCTAAACTTTGATAGAAACTAATGGTTTTTGCTGCTTTTGACATCTTTTCTTATCAAACAAAGCCAAATCAAAATTTAAGTAAACAAGTTTTTTTCTTAATTTTCCTTCAACTTTACCATAAAAAAAAAGTTTATTTCAGACAGGTCTTTGTATTAGGAAAAAATTGTATTGAAACAGACCCTAAGCTAAAAACGTGGGAATATTTATGAATAATCGTTAGGAAACTTATAAAGGTGTGAGAATAAGTGCAGCGCTAGCGGCAACATGAAAAGTGAAGCGAGGCAGGTAAAGGTGTCTGAGTGTTCCGATAGGACTCTTCCAGGCCGGTTGCCCTTATCTTCCGATCACAAATGTGTAAGATCTGAAATTTCGCGCGCCGTTTTGGTAGATTTGCCTCACGATTAAGTCGACCAGACTGCACCGCCGCTTGGAACAGCCGCCCTTGACGTTTCCGTCCTTTTTCAAGGTTATTTCTTGACTCGAGGTTTCGCGAGGGCCTTTAAAAGTATGGCCTTTGAACTGATTTTCGTGTGAGGTTTGTTGATCCAATCAGCAAAAAAACGGATATAGTTCTCTTAATTCAGACTCAAAAAAGAACAGCAATCCTTTTCAAGAGTTTTCTCGTAAAAATCTAGGAAGACCGCAAAAAAAGAATATCAAAGACCTCCGTATCACTGGAGCTTCTTATCCCATTAGGAAAGCTCCCAAACAAAATTCGTTCTTCTCTTTCAAACAAGTTCTCCTGTTCTGAAAGCCGCTGAAACTAAACTTAAGGGGAAAAACAAAGAAAAAGCGCCGATTTTTTCAAAATTATTTCTTTCAGGCTTTTGGCTCAAAGTTTTCGAAGTTTGAAAAAGTTCCATAGAGAACCAAAGCAGAAGTCTATAATTCCATTAAAGTTTTCTACAGTATCGCTATTACTCTTTGTACTTTCTTGTAATTTTTTCCCCTTCCAAGTAGATTGGTCGATTTAAATTTTTCTCTGTATAGCGAATAGATCTCCCCTAATTATTTCACTAAACAGGATGAGACCTAAAACGGCGACTGGGAAAAAAACTCGTATCGAAAGCGTTGTTTTTGGTGGACGGCGCCACGAGATCGTGTTCTAATGAGGATCGAGTTACAGCGAACCTGCAATCTTCGCAGCAAATGATGATCGCGGCGGCCTCGGGCATCGCCTTGGGCAACCAGCTGGACAGTCAAGCCGTCGAGACGAATAAAGTCAAGGTTTGTGACCCATTCGACCTTTTACGACGGTTGTAGCCGTTCTTTTTCTCCTTTCCGACCATCTGCCTACTTTTTTACGTTTTTGTAAAAAGAAAGGTAGGTCGCCAATGAGGGAGCTCTTGACAATATAAGTATATGGTTTCCTACACTAAAAACGAAAAAATACATAAATTTTCGGGTGAAGACGCTTCCCAAATTAGTTGCCCCTACCTCTCTATGGCTGCTTCTCTCACGGCTGCGCTCATTTTGAGAAGCTTCAAAGCACCAAAATAGTTGTTTCCTCTCAATTTATTTTCATCTTTCGGGAAAACTTGATCGAGAAATCCAATGTGAAAATTTTGCATCCATAATCAGAGTAGTTGCTCATACTTTCTCAGTTATAGTAATTCCAGTTTTTTGGTGTTAACTGTTCGATTCAGCTACTAATTGCACACAGATTGCTTTCAAACGATTTTCGCACATTTTCAACTTTTATCGACTTTTTTTCAAAATGTTCGATTTGAAACTTTGGTACGACTAGGATGGTGTGTGAAGTGTGAATCAAATGAGAAATGCGGACTTCGGAAGGATAACAGACTCAAATGAGTTCCCTTAAGAACAACTAGTCTATTCTCTATGCATTATATAATAGCAAGGTAGTTCATACCTGAGAGATTAATTTTTTACCTGGTTTTTTTTTTGAAGCAACTCTGAGTTCTTAAATTAAGCGAAACGGTTATTGACAGAATGATTTGTGAGTTTCTTCGTCGAAGTTCATTATTTCTGATACATTTTGTTGAAAACAAAATTCAATGAGAAAGCATTTTTACATAACTAAAGTCGCTTGAAAAAAAGCCCAAGTCAACCATTTCCTGAAGTATTGATTATTAATTCGATGTGCACCTCACACACCTTTTTAGGGAGAGTTACTGGGTTTTTTATATTTTGCACATCCATGTGTAGTTTAAAATCAAACCGGAAATTGTTTGAGAGTGCATTCTGTGTCGTCCTACCGCTCTAGATGATTTTTTCGAGACAAAGGTAGAAGCGCCGCATGTTTGAACCAATAGTAACATTTTTCATCTCGGCGAAGCTGTCCTCCAAAGTGCCAACTAATTTTGCTGCTTTTTCTCTCTTAACGAACTTGCGTTCGTATTTGGTTTGTACTTTCCACGGGAAGCCCGTTTTATGTTTAGAAAAAGAGTAATTAAGCTTTTATTTTTCACCTTTTTTTCACCCTCTTTTGATTCACGTTTGTCTCTGAACATGGTCCTTTTCATTTGCTTAATTTCATTGGGCAGTCAATGTTTGGGTATGGGGTTTGACTTGTCATCAGGAATGGTGGGCAATGACACGTGTGCTGCATCTCTCAAAATGCTCTAATTTTTTGAAAAAGAGATCGTAAAACTTGTATTTTTTTTTTGGAGCTGTGTTAACTCACAAGGTGATAGAGTTTCAATGTCAGTTTTTTTCTCACTCGGCTTCAGAAAGATTTTCCGACCATAACATGCTCTGAACTCACCATGAGAACACTGAACCCTTCCACGTACACATCGCAGTTTTTCACGTTGTCTCCAAATCTCAAATTAAAATAAATTTTGCCATCATACATATACGATAACTGTTTTGGCCGCTCGATGCTGGAAAAATTTATTTAACGAAGACCCCTCTGAAAATTTCGAAAAATTTAATTTCTTCTGGAATAATTTGTAGGAAAAAGATTGAAAGAACTTCGGGATGATGCCCTGTGTATCAGCTTCAAAAATGACATTTTGAATTCCCTCGGCTTCAATTTTTTTTTTCACAGACCACCGTGGCACTTTTCAAGTTCAAGTTCGAAATTGTTCAAAATTATCGAGTTCAGCTCATGGTTTTGTAAATCGAGTTCTAGTTTTCCATATACATCGAAAACTTATGTAACTCTTTTTTTTTTCAGCTGAGAAAGCCTTGAAAACTTGTTGAACTTACTTTTTGATTTTGATAAATCTGAAATTGATCAAAAAAGTCAATGTAGCCTTGTAGAACAACTGAAATGAGCCTTTTGAGAGATGTGTGCACGTTTTTTTTTGTGAAGGAGCATGAGAGCCTTATTCTCTAAGGCGCATGCGAGTATGAGCGCTTTTCGTTTTACAGGAGGAACATCAGGCTGAGTACGACCTGCAGCTGTCGATCCAACAGCAACTGGCGGCTAACGCTGCGGCGGCCGCCGCAGCCAATGGCCTCAGCGCCCAGATGTCCGCTGCTGGTCCGCAGCAACCGCAGCAGACGGTGCAGCCCACGCAACCCGATCCGAGCACTAGTTGTAAGCCTTGCCTCCTTTTCTTCCAAAGCAAAACAGTCTCGCAAACGAGCAACTTTCTTCAGTTCAGTTTTTTTTCGGACGGATTCTCCAATTTTTTCGTGCTGTTTTAATGCATGCCAGACGATGCAAGAGCAGTTTATCATTAACCTTTACTATGGGCGGAGTTATAAGTGATTTTGAGATTCGATTTGAAATTTTTCATAACTATTATTGAACAGTAATACCAGGTAGGACATAAATGAAATGAAACTTTCCATTGATATGCATTGAAAAAATTTCTGTTGAAGATCGAAAAATTTTACAAGATAGGGGCGAATGGAAACAATTCGAGATTTGCTGAAAGTATTCTAGCATAAAGTAACATTTTTTTTTAATTTTTGAGTCGATTTTTTTGGCATTTCAGACATGCCGCAAAGTCACTTCTCTGCATTTAGATGTTAGAGCTCGAATTCAAAAGAAATCGCAAAAATTAATTACGATCACAATCAAAAATAGTTGAAATACGTGCCCATGTGCTTCAATATTTTCCATTCTCAAATCAAAAGTGATTTTTAAAAGAAAGTTCGATAAGGTCAGTCTCAAAATCGCTTTTTGGGATGGACAACTCTACAGGTGCTTCAAACGTGCAGAGATGTCTTGTTTAAATATACTTATGATTACTGTACTAAACATAACGTTGTCCATCCTTGTCCTGCCAATCGCAGAGTTAAGAGTACCACCCGCATCGAACGTTGACCTAATCGATTGTCGATTTATTTGTGTTGCTTGTGTGAACGAATTACCCACGGTCAGAACTGCTTCGTTTTTGATTTTATTTTGCAGTTTTCAGATCCATTTTCTGATTCGTGTCGTGAAAAATAAGAACCGAAAAAGCTAGCAAAAGTTAGAATTGTATTTATTGGGTTTTAGACTGACGTCAAAACTTCTTATAAAATGCATCAGAGATGTGAAATTGACGAGAATCGCAAAAAAATAAACCTTAGATTTTGATGGCGCATCGTTTAATCTTCTAGGCGGCCCGGACTCAGCACCAAAACGTCTTCACGTTTCAAACATTCCTTTCCGTTTTCGAGATCCCGACTTGAAAACAATGTTTGAAAAGTTTGGACCAGTCACGGATGTTGAAATAATTTTCAATGAACGGGGTAGCAAGGTTAGTTTTTAAAACTAGGTGAAGGACTGATCATTTTTTCGTGCAGGGTTTTGGATTTGTCACAATGGAGCGACCTGCCGACGCCGAAAAAGCTCGTCAAGAGCTTCATGGTTCGATGGTTGAAGGAAGAAAAGTCGAAGTGAATTGTGCGACGGCACGAATTCATTCCAAAAAAGCAAAAACAACCCCAGGTGAGTTGAAATTTGAACGGTACACGTGTTTGAAGTGTATTTCATATCAGGAAATTAGAATTTAGATGATCACTGTTTATTTCCAAAAAAGGTTCTTTGATGATTTATGGAATATACCCTACGCCGCTTATAAAATCGGAAAAGATTGTTTTTTAAAACCTATGCCTATCCTCAAATCATCCTTCAAAAAATTCTAAACCCTTTTCTGAAGTACATCTAACCACTCACGTGACTTCGAACGCAATTTCAAATGTTTGCAGGCGTTCTGGAGCAGCTGAATCCTCTGGTAGCCCAAACAGCCTTAGCTGCTCAAGCTCAAGTGAATCGCGCTTTTCTGATGCGCAATCCTCTGGTCACGCAATCACTACTCCAACGCGGAAGCTTGCTGTCTGGACTGCAGCCGGCAGCCTTCTCTTTGGGAGCCCTGAATCCTCTGGCTCAACTCCAAGGACAGCCCTTCTTGCTCAACCAGGCGATGCAGACGACGCCGGTGGCCGCGGCAACTGCTGGCCTGCCTCAGGCCTATCAACTCGATCAAGCAACTCTCCAGGCTCTGATGCATGAACAGGCTCGCATCCAAATGGCTGCAGCAGCCGCTTCACAAGGTATTCCAATCAGTTCTTGCGACTTATCTTCTGAGTTTTCTTTGCAGTTTCGAATAACGTCCGAAATCAAACAGCCGCGGCAAGCACAGGTACTTTAGGAGAGCAGTACTTGGGACAAGCTTTGACCGCTGCCATGCCGGCCCTTCAACTCAACCAGGCCTACCGCACCATCAACCGGTTCACGCCGTATTAACTCCCCCACGCTTCTGTTGCCACACTAAACTAAAAACTCCTCCCAAACTATCTGATTATTCTTGATTATAATTTTAACTTTTGAATGCTAGAAACTCTTTTATGTGGTTAATAACTTTTTTTGTAAAATCCTCTCTCATTTTTTTGATTGTTAGTTTGACTTCTATCTGTTATTCGCTGTGAATTAGATTTGCATAATAATGTAATAACCGATGAGCCGATTGCTTTGTCGAGGATCTCGATAGCAATATTTGAAGGTTTTAATTTCTTTATTGAAAGCTTTAACTTAGCGGATTACTCGCTGCATGTCGCCGGTCGTCCAGCAATTTTATTTTGTTCTATTTTCCTTTGTAGTGCACGAGGCATGATCTTTCCATTTCCAATATATCAATTTTCGTTTTATTTTGCGGCACAATATCCATGATAATATCAAGGCTTTGTATATCTGACAAGCACGCTTTACATGATTTTCTGTTCATTATCCATTTCTTAGAGTCCTCCAAGTGTGTTGCTAGCGCGAGTTTCTAGGTTCTTGACTGGTTACTGTACTCCACTCTTTTTATGATACTTCGACAGGAACAAAAAAGTAACCAGTTTTTGAAGCACGGGACTACGTTTGCTTTTTTCACTGATTAATTTGGATTTCTCATCTACCTATCCCACATTGTCCATCTTTTAGTTACGGATTCGCACCCATCTCGCATAACTTTAACCTTGAGTTTTATCAATCGATGGTCTCTTATCCGGTTGGATTTGGGCTTTTGGCTTTAAAAACGGCATACTCGTATACATGTTTCCGACATTTTGATGCACTAATACTTCTCTGTGGTCCTTCCCAATTTGTCGTGTTTCATTTTCTTTGATTTGATTTTACCAAGAATGACACTCGCACCGCATAATAATAACGTCGTTGTATATGAACATGTTTGGCGATTTTTGTGTTTTCGATTCTGTGTTGAAATCATTCACGCTTTTACTATAGTCTGGTGGTTGATGCTGGAAACAACTTCTTTTCGGGATCAATGTGAAAATAGCCGATTCCAAATAACGGACCGCTTTGTTCAAACGCAGCATGGCGACATTATATGATTCGATGCCACAAAAACTGAAAAGAAAAAACTAGAACTGATATAGATAGGAATGATTTGATAATTTAAATCTATAGATAAGCGAACTTTCTTTGTTAATTCCCAATGGACTTGATATATTAATCGAGAAAAATTTTTGACTGATGAGAAATGAAAAAATCTAGGAAGTTTAGCACTGTATGAAGTATTTGACTTGAAACAAAAATTTAGGATTTTTGCCGGAAAGAAACAGAAGAAATTTAGATAAAATTCTTGTTGCGGTATTCAAAAATGAGTCAAAAATGCGTTCCGCGCCTCTGAACACTAACAAACATTTTCACACAAAATAATTTTGATACACAGAACTTTTTTCGAAGATCAAGAAATCCCGAGAATCGGTTCCGACCCTGGCTTTCCTGCCTTTTTTCAAATTTTTTAATGACAGTGTAAACCAAAATTCTCAAATTTGTGACAATTTTAAGCTTTCGTGTCAAAAACACGCAAATGTTTTCGGTGAATTGAAAACCTGCAGTGTCATTTCCTAGTCGCATGGTCACCATATACTCAGTTGGTTGTGGCGGTATGTGAAAAGCTGGCAAGGGATGCGCCCATTGTTTGGGCGGATTCTTGCGTATTCATGACGAAAAGAGAGATGCACTCAACTCTCGTGCCAACTATGCCTAGCGTTGGTCGTGTCCTTTTGCTTTCGCTGACGCTATTGTCGTCCAGCTTGGCCTTGCGGTGTCGACTGTTCCATGAGATCTGGGAAGACGGACGTCTTCTCAGCATCACTCCGGACACGTGCCACTCGTCAAAGTACTGCGTGGCTGCCCGTTACACCGATCCTGATTCAACCAAGAAAAATGGCTACTCCATGGGTTGCGACCGTGTCGATTGCGGCAGTATTGAGATCATCGGCTTCACTGGCTGGCGTCGCAAGTCGAACGGCATGACCTGTCGGAAAAGCCGAGACTATGGAAAAGACGGCGAAATCTGCTGCTGCACCACGGATATGTGCAACGGTTCCACTCCTCGTTTTGCTTTACTTGCCTCTGTTCTCAGCTTCTTTTTGATTGTTCATGTTTTATGAGATGTGAGAAAAAACTTTAGAAGTTATTTTCGAATTTGGCATGATTTTTCAAGCTTCGAAGTGGAAATCCAATACTAAGAAGGCTCAATCAAAGTCTGATTGGCTCATTTAAACTTTCTGACTCATACATTCTTTGGACTTGTAACTACTTGGTCATTTCAACTTCTTAAAGAGCAAAATATAAGTCATTTCCTTCAAGCGACGCCAATTGTCTTTTGCTTCCCGGTCATATCATGGGAAATAATTTTGTGTGACCTGCATATTATATGGTGCTTTCCGGTTTCGTGTACAAACTAACAAATGATTCGATTCAGTGCATGTCTTTTGAAATCGCGAATTTAAATTATCAAACTCTCCTAGTCATTTTTTCACTCATGTGCAATTTTTTTTGACCTTAATCAACACAAAAGTTCTCTAATAAAACACGGGCCCAATTACATCGTAGCTGCGCAATGACCTCCCACCTCTCCGACTTTATTCTGTTTTTCATTTTGTTTTCGACATGTCGAAATGAAATTCATCAAAGCCTGTCAACAGTTTTACAATACAATCCAGCCACAAACCAAGCTCAAACAAATCGACACGAAAAAACGGAGGTTTCGAACAAAAATTGAAAGTATCAAGTTGAAGCCGTCACGTAATTTTCTGAATCGTCTTATCAAAATGGCAAGATTTTGTCAGAAGCCAGACAAAAATCGAAGTGAAAAGATTTTTGGTATTAAATATATTCTCTCAAGACTGGCTCTCTATCTCAAACTTACGGAGTCAAGTCTTAAATATAACAAACATTTACTCAAGTACGGTTCTCGTCATTCTGCATTAGATATGCTATTCGGAAAGTCCGTTAGAAAATATTGGGCAAATTTAGAATAATCGAGCTTCAAAGTAATTTACTAAATTGCAGCAATTTGATTTCCAGTCAGGTTTGACATAATCTTGAACAACAACAATATAGTTCTTTATTCAATACTTGAGTAATTTTTTGTCGTATTCTTTGTGGGTTTTGAGAAACTTTTCCCCTATCCATTTTTTTGCCACATAATTATAAACTCCGAGCCAAAAAAAAAAAATACAAAAACATGTAACATCGAGTATGTCTTTTTATTTTACTCATTCTTAAATAATTCCTATTGCTTTTTTTCGCGTCATGGCATTTTTTTCGCAACAGATGGCAAGCACTTGGAATGCATTCGTAACGACGAAGATGACGCGTCTTTGGCTTTTTTTCCCTCGGAAAAAAAAGAAAAAGAAATGCTCAGCTGAGAATCCAAACTTTGAGAATTCATGAGCATTTCTGAAAATAATGGAGTTGGAAATTTTCCTAAAGAAAAATTAATCAGTAGTGAATTTTGAAGCCAATACAGCTTGTGACAATTTTTCGTAAATTTTTTTTTCTTTTCGAACGCTACCAGGAACAATGCGTCTATTCAACTCTGAAGTCTTTGTTGTTTTTTTCCTACGACTTCCCGTCGTATTTTAAAACTTCCACGCTATAAATTTTTTTTTGTGTGAGTTTCTGTTGATAGAGAATGAGGGATCAACTTTTTCTAGATACCAGTTGAAAAATGGAAAGTTTCCATCATCAGAAAAAAAATTAAAATACTCTACGACCATTGATCTTAAATATTTTGGAAGTCTCAGGGTAATCGGGACTTGAAAGAATATAAAACAAGAAATTTTTAACTTATCTTTGTACTCCTTTTTTTCTTCTTTTTTTAATTTATTATTCAATTATGAAAGGAAAATGCTTTAACTACATCAATTTGCACATAACCCTGTGAAAAAACCCGATGAGTATAGCTTTAAGAGGGAACGGTTTTTATTCTACCGCTTAAATTATTGATGAAAATGTACTGAGGTCTACTTTGGGCCTTCTGATTCTAAAAGGAAAAATTTTCCGTCATAGATCTTGTTTCCAATTTATAGAGCTTTAAAAGTTTGTAAAACATGAAATTTATGACAACAAACGCTATTTCAAGCGTTTGAAGCGTCTTCACTCAAAACGCAGATCGATCGCGAGAAAAATTACTTTTTTTCTGGAATTATGAGGTCCTGGACTAAACTTCAATCAAGTTTTCAACCGGGGGCTAGAAAAAGGTTACCTAGGTAGGCTAACAAAAAAATGAACTGAAGTGGTAGAGTATTGAAAAAAAATTAATTTTTGAATTTAGAAATACCAAATATTATATAAAAATCAGTGAGAGCCTAAGATGAGGAGGAAAAATTTAAAAAAATCAAAAGAATTGTTTATGTTTTAAATTACAAAAAGCGGGAAAAATATGAGCGCAAAAAAATTTGAATAGAATCACAAAAAGCCGTTTATAGATAAAGAAAAAAATAATTAGATCCTGGTTTTCGGTCTGACTCTTCGCAAAGGATCTTACTATTTTTTCCCATGTTTGATTTTGTTGTTACAAGGTTCATACATAACAGGCAGTCATAAATATCAACTGCGAAATTTCAAATATTCATGGAGAACAATAAAAAACGACTCGTTTCTCGCATTGCGGCAGCTCTATTAGTGGACATTAGAAGTACATGATAAAGGCGATTTTCTTCTTCATGTACATTTATTTGTCTATTCTCCTGCTCCTCTCTTGAAACACTAGACATTGTGGATTGTTTCAAGCGAAACAAAAATTAAGTTTTCAAAAAATTTAGTCTATAAATTTCGAAACACTCGGAGTTCCGTGTAAAATCTTCACTCGAAGTGGTAGCTCTCATTCCGATGCTTCCACCTAGAGCACGGTCTCCGGGCTCCAGCACAACATCCGCTACATTCTGAGCTCGTCAAGGCGAAACTGGATGGACTACGCGCAGAGGAACGAGACGAAGGACCGTAAGACCATGCTTTCAACTCTTTCGACTACACGTTTATACTTCTAGTTCGCCAATAGCGGCTGTTCGTTTTAGCTTTAAAGTTCTTGTCCACCCCTTAGTCGACTATATATATGGCTAAAACAACAAAAATAAATGAATTGTAAAAATGAATTGAATTGAATGCGCAAAATGGCGGACTGCTTTTTAAATCTTTTCTTTCATGCTTGATGCTTTTCTCATTTACTTTTCTTTTTATTAGGGTGGCAGGAAAGAAACGCGTGTTTTGATGTCATTTAATTTTATCATAAAAAAGGTTATCACAAGTCAAATCGAAATGTCACTTCCATCTGTATTAACACCTCGTCAGCAATGCTCACGCAGAGAATGGATACTCTCTCTGACAAACTGGGCCGCCTACGAGTCAAATCAGCTGCACCCCCAAATTTGGACTTCATCAGAGTTTTTCAATTTTTTTTTGGCTGTTAAGCAATCCAATGATTCGGACAGATGATAAATGCGAAGAGCCATGTCTGAGCAATGTAGCGGAAAAAGCAGAAATTTGCAGAACAGTTTTTCTGATTTTGGGCTAACACATTTTCGCAAAAAAACGGAAAAGCGATATCGTGAGGCCATTTTTCATTTCTCATTTTTTGCACTCCGTTGCGTAAAAAAACTGTTTTCTTTTGCAGATATGGGCGTGTAATAACTTATGAGCCAGTTTCACAGGTGTCTGTTGTGGATCCAGTCTAATATCTTTTTAAAATCGCCTTTATCATCGATTTTTTCGTGTTTTTTAATTTCAAAGGTCTTTTCGCCTAGTGACTAGCGCTAAAGCAATTCAAAATGTTAACTATCAAAAAAAAGCATCAATGGTGATCATAATATTGAAAGGTGCCAAGCTTCTGAATTTGATTTGTACTTTTTGAAATAACGCGAAAACTAGGTCCGCGAATACAGTTTTTGAAAGGAAGTTTTCAGAGCTATTTTCTTATAGAAAGGCGGAATGAACATCAGCAAATTATATATCCAATGACGCACAAGCACAAGCCCTTTTCGACAAAAAATACCGTTTCAAATAATATTGCTTCTTGAATGAATTAGAAGCCGACAAAAACGACCCGCATTTCTTTCATGCCAACCTAATAGTTTGAGAACATTCAACAAATGAAGTTTTAAATGTTGAAAAAATGAAGAGTTTAATTGATTCTCAGGGTAAGGCGTGAACTGATGGTTATCTCTTGGATTTCATAAATGTCAAAAAAAGAAAACGTTGAATAATAAAATAATAACGATTGCTTGAAAGCGGTTTTGGAACAGGATAATATTTGTCAAGTTGAATTAAAGCTAAAGAGTTTTTGCCCATCGAAAAGTACAGTATTCTTCTTATATTAATCCATAACTTTTTCCAAAAAGCAGTGGAAACAACTTCTTCGAATGTTTCCTAAGGAAAACATTTTAAGTAATCGGGTTCGCAAAAAATTTTTGATTTCTGATAGCCGATCCAGTTGAAACAATTGCCAAAATTTATGTGAAAACGGAGAGCGAGAGATACTGAAACACGGTGGAGAGGGAAAAGAGCAAGAATGGGTCTCGCCGCGACGCTCTCCGCGGCACGGTATTTCCTCGGAACAGCTGATCGATCAGATGTTCTACGTTCTTAATTGTTTTTTCTTTGTTGCTGATTGTTTTTCAATTTGTTTGAAGTTTGCTTCATGCTCCTGAACAGCTTTTACTTATAACAAAACATCTTTCTGCATTTTTTCTTCATTTTCCTTCATTTTCGCTTGTTTTTCTTCATTTTAATTTGCTAATATATATTTCTCAGAGAGGGAAGCATTAATCCGTTTGAATAATAGAATTTCATAATATGATTATCAGTCTTTTTAGGAGAAAAAAAGATTATAATTGAGTGTCATTGAACTCTCACTGAAACGTTTTTTTCTTTTCAATAAAAAAATTAATTTTATTTTTCAACCAAAAACTTTAAAAAAACTCTTTATTTAATACTTCCCGTTTTTTTCAAAAAAAGAATATCCATTAAAATTTAACACCGAAATCTTTTTGTCTGGTTTGGTTTTTTTCTCAATAGAACTGTAAGTGTTTCTCTCTTACTTATCATCAAAATTTTCCCAGTTTTTCGTTTTTATTTTCAGAGAAAGTTTCCAGAAAAAAACTTTTAAATTTAAATTAGTTATTTTCAAAAAACCTCTAAAAAACTTGCAAAATTTAAACAAGGCGTTAAATGCATCAATTCAGAAGTTTGCAAAGCAGAAAACGATTTCTTTGCTGAAAAGGGTGAATTTAAAACTATTCCTGAGGTATTTGTGTAGACTGAGATATTTGTACATTCATCAGTTTCAATTATCTGTTTTTTTTGTTTTCAATAATTTGTGGTATATTTTACCATATTTTACTCCAAAAAAACGAAACATTTTTTGAAACAATAATCCCCTCTTTCCTTTATTCAGTTGCTTTCTACAAGAAAACAAGTGAAAATTTGATGATCAGTTGCTAAAATTTATTTGTGATCTCTATCAAAGTTAATATATTTTTTTCTTGCCAAGTTATAAAGCCAACAGATTCAACCTAATCATCCCAGTAAAAAAGTTTTTGATATTTTCGCGGTACTATAATTCAAAGGAGAACAGGAAAATTGGCAGTCGAGATATATCTATTCGGTTTTTTTATTCATCCCAATTCCAGAATTTATCGAAAAAGAAGTTTTTTTTTTGGCATAAACATTAATTATAACGCGTGTTCCATTTTTTGAAGTGAATGTGTTTTTTGACACTATGAAGAACTTTCTTTAAGGTTTTCGGAATCAAGTTCGCGAAAAAATGTTATATATGTTTCTCTTTTTGCTATATTGATAGCGCAAGAGCTTGTAAGCCCCTCAATTTGGCTGGAAATCAGAGATTCGTGAAAAAATTTCATTATTCTTTTTTGGATGTTGTAGTATTAAGTCTAAAAACGTCAGAGTACATTTCTGCAACGTTTTTTTTTTGTAGATTGGAGAGCGACCGTGATTTTTTTTTTAGCGAAACGTGTGCATCAGAAAGAAATTGTTTATGGTGGTGATTTTCGATGCCCCTCTATGATCGATAAGTTTTCCATCATTTCCGTTATGTTAACAGTGTGTTGATGGATGAAACCCGAGATGTTTCGATGACTTTGTGCAACGCCGGCGAACGACCCGTCAGCCGGCTGCATTTTGTACACTGACGGCTTTCTGCCTAAGAAGAAAAGCCGAGTCTTGAGCTGATTGGCAGTTGCTTGATTGCACAATTGATCTCTAGCAATTTTTTTCCGAAAGAAAACTTCCTCGAAAGTTTGTCAGCTGTTCCATCCAACAGGAACCAGTTGAATTTCCTTCTTCGGAAACTTTTTTTCAGTTCTGAAAAGTGTTATCGAGGATTGGAGAAAGTTCAAAAAAACATTTTTTGGAAATCCATGATTTTAAGACATAATATGAAGAAACCCATGAATTGAAAAAATGCATTAAGAAAATCCAAACTTCCGAATTTAGATCTAAAATTTTTGAAACCGATTCAAAAAAAAAACTTCAAAACTAGCACTGAAGGTTTCGAAATATTGAATCATTCAGAAAAGGCACTAATGTTTTCTCTTTCCAACAAACAATATATCTCCTTCAAGGACTAATTTTCGAAAAAGAATTTTGTATTTTTCTGAGCTTCCCGTATCTTGAGCGACGCTTTTTTTTCACATTAAGCTGGTTATAACAGTGGAAACTTAATGAGAGACTATAGTTCTAAACCCAATCGCTTATTTTATTTCGCTAACAGCGTAAAAGCAAAATAAAAGTCATGATTTAATCTTTTTTTCACTTCCAACTAAAAATAAGAACGGAACCTCAAAAAAGTTCTTTTTCGATAAAACATTGATACAAATTCTGGTTTAGTCATTTCACTCCCCTCAAAACTATGACGGCCGGTTGAGAGGTGTCCAATCGATGGAATGAGCCGCTCTTGCGCTTTCGTATGGCACGACGACAAACGAGCACACAAAAATGCAGTGTGCGCGCGGCTGTAGGCAAACACTCATACTCGCCACATTATATGATGCGAACAGCCGATTTGCGCTACTGTGTCTACTGACGGAGAGCATTTGAAATATGCATCTTCATTGCCTCCATTTGCAGAAAAAGTTAGAAGTGGCTAAAATCAGGCGGAGTCTCCCATTGTCTAGACAGTTTTTTGGCCACGAAAGGTCATTTTTTTTGTTTGAAAACTGACTAAAATCACCGTCAAGATGAAGGTCATTTTACCCGAAATTTTTCGAAAGTTATATTAAATTCTCATTGGATGAAGATCCAAAAATTAGCTAATTCTCAAAAAGAAAGAACCTCAAAAAATCAGCCGAACTATCTTTTTAAAAGATTTGTATAAAAAAACTTAAGACTCTCTTTTTAAAAATCAGAAAGGATTTCGCCGATTTTCACGTTCTTGTTGCGAGGTATGAATATTTGAAAAAATGATATCTTTTGAAACTCGGGAATTGCTTTTTTTTTTGCATTTGGTTATTAGATCTATAAGTATGCAGGCTTTTTTGGAATTTCTGATTAATCGAAATTTTCGACGATATAGGTGGAGTCCACGAACTCCTTGGGTCAACCGCTTTCGAGCGGAACTCTTTTTTGAACGTTTCAATAAACCTCTTTGCAAAGCCAATTCAAACTCTTTCTATTTAAGACCCTATATTTGCTCAGTATTGAGGAAAAGGAACATATTTTCGTCCCAAAGACCGCGAATCTCGTGCAAATCGGCGGGTTAAAAGTACACGCTTATTTACTGTTTTACCAAGTCGCCCCGCTGCATTCTTTCTTCCCACTGAGGGCGCCAAATCCAATTAAAAAAACTTTCACGTAATTAGAAGCGCCCACGATTTGAGCCACTTTCAACTCGATGGAATGAGCAAAATGTTGATGGAGATATTTTTGATCTTAAACATTAGGATCATATCTTTTTGGAAACGGGTAACTTAAAATATTTTGCTTTTTCGAAAGAGCCAGGGACTCAGCCAGGGACTCTGATAATTAGCCCCATCGTTCAAATCAGTCAGTCAGGAAGAACAGAAAAGTTTTATCGTAGTTAAGGTCCCTGCGCCTTCAGATAGCGAAGGTGCAGTGGTTCGTGATTCGGAGGCAGCTGGTCAGGGACGCAGCGTAGGCGACGGACCGTACGTCGTGGCCTCCGGCGACTCTGGCCGTCTGACGGGCGGATCGGACTGTATGGTGCCGCCCATCGCGAGGGAGGCAGGAGTCGCCGCGTCTTAGCCAGTCAGTCGGCCAGTAGTGCTCTCGTTCCGCCGTGTGTCCGCTCCTTCGCCGCAGTTGCTGCCCACGTGTCTTGGCAGTCGGTTTTCACCGTGGTCTGCAGAGACATGTCACTTCTGAGATCATTGTGAAAGCCAATTGCCTTGTACACACACTTTTCTGTTCCAACTGGAAGCCGTTCTTGAACAAAGGGTATTTCTTGAAGTTTGAGTGCCTCGGACTGATAACTAATAAGAACGGAAACTTGTAAAGCGTGAGCTTTGACTATCTAGAACAAATTCATAATATTTCAGAAGGAGTTTTGGAGAATCCACTCCTGGAAAACTTGAAGTAAAAAAGGTTGAAAAGACCTGAAAATTTCTTATTGGATATTTTCATAAGCTTGTGATGAATGAACCAAATTGCTTTTAAGTTTCACAACAAATTCACTGTGCTTCAGGATATTTAAATTCTATATTTCCGTATTCATGATTTTTTGCGGTATTCATCTTTTTTTTTAAAGTGAGATTGTTCAGATGCAACCTCCTAGGCCGGGAAAGCTAGATCGGAAAAAAGAGCGACCATACAAGGCGATATCAGTGCCGGTGGAACGTCTGAAAACCGTACTTGAGCAATACGATAAAACATGGAAGCCGAACATGAGGAAGCTGCGTGCCAATGCTCAAATGATTGACAACGAACTATTTGTACAAAATCCGGAGGAGATGCCGGAAATGTCGGTGACAGCTCAGCTGATAATAGAACAGTCGGCGAAGAGAGCCGTGAGTTTGGCCGAGGAGAGCATCCGACAGCACAAAGACCTGCACAACTACGTCTCCAAGGTGGGGAAGGCCGTGGACAGAAGCTTCGCCCGTGACATCGTCGGCATTTTCGCGCACGAGAAGGATATCGAAAGCGACAAGGACTGCCAAGTGGCGGCCCTCGGAATGATCTACGACTTCTTGCTTGCCGACGGACGCGATGAGATAGCCGAAACACTGCGCAAGGTAATTTTCTTTTACCAATAAGACGAATAAAAATTTTGAGAGGCATTGAAATCCGCGGTAATTCAAAACATTATTCAGCAAGAACTAACGCCCAGAAAAAACTTTCTAAAATTGAAAACTTCAAAAAAAGTATATCATAAAATCTAAGCTCTTTGCAAACATGTTCTGTCGTTTTTCAAACCTTAGATACTCAGTTTTATCGGCTGTTGATGAACTGGCCTCTCACAAACTCTTATAAACACGTTGAATGTTTTCGTCTTCATCTCCTTTCCAATGTCACTTTTCCAAAGAGGATTCGTACAAAAAGAAACAAAAATTGGTGTTTTCTCGGGTTGCCAGAGAACTTCCTAGGCGTGGCACACCTGTAAACTTTCTCCATAGGAACCTGGGAAACGGTTAGATGTATCGCTGGCAAATTGATGTGCGCCAGATTAGCTGCACCAATCGATTCTCTTACACGTTTCGGCATTGAACAACGTTTTGTGTTGGGAGGGCCTCGTCCTTTTGAGTCGGCCGGTCTCTCTGGCCCTTGTCTTTTTTGTCGGATGCAAACCAGGCAAACGTGGCGATGAGTGCAAAGCTGAATAGGGTAGCTGCGGAGAATAGTTCCTTCATTGCCTCTCGCTGTGCGGATGAACTTCGATTTCTCATAGCTTAGGATTCGCAGCGTGTCTTTAAAAATGGAGAAAGAATCTACTCAAAATTTTAGGTCAAACTTTTGGGAAAGCTGAAAAAAATTAAAGTTCATAGCGGTCCTGCGTTATTTTGTAATTAGCAAAGTTTCTGCATTAAAGTTGAAAAGTTGCTCTCTTTCCAAGTTAGGGCTTCTACATTGAAATTTATGATTTTTTTTTGGAATTTTTTTGCACAGCCGCGTCGCTTTTGTACTATCAGTCCCTCAAACTTGTATCGAGCGGGATGATAAGCGGCTCATCGATTTTCGCGCGTTTTGAGCTGAACTTTTTACGTTTTCATGTCGTCAGACTCGTCCGACGGCGAAATAAAGAGGCGCCAGGGTGGCAGATTCTGCTAAACTGAACAACATGGCTCCGCCGTCGCATCAACGCGAGTGTACTGTGGTGTCACAGAACTATAGTTTTCCATTCACTGTTTCCTGTGTGAGAGCAATTATATGCAGAAATCGCAGTTGTTTCTGGAAGAAATAAAATGTTGACGTTACTAAAAATTTTTCATGAGAACCAATCAAAATAACTTACAACGCCGAGGGAAACACTTGGGATTTCGAAAGTGTGAAAATTGAATGATAAAGGACTAAAGATTTGAAATTAAAACATAATGTGATGGAAAAAGAGAAAAAAATTGGATTTGTGTATTATCTCCCAAAATAATAGAATGAGAATAAATACCTTCTCAAAAGTTTAAGGTCCCTAATTCCCTCGGAGATGACAGCAAATCAGACAAATTGTAGTAAAATGAACCCAGCAGGGCAATGAAATTGCACTCCTTCTTACATTTACGACCTTCGTTAGAGTCATAAATTATCTCTTCTTCTCATTGGACAAGAGGAACCGTTTATGTCAAATTTGACAAACCGTTAAAAGGCAGGAAAAAAGTCAAAATTTTTTTTTCAAAGATCCTTGAAATACGAATTTTACAGGAAGCCGGAACACTTGATCGTGAACCTGCGAAACCTCTGACGGACGCGGAAAGAACAGTTCTAGAAGAAATCCAGAAAAAAAACATCTTTCCTGCAGTAGAATGGCTGATCGAGCACGCTCCCGAAGAAACGAAACTGCGTTACGATTTGCACAAGCAACATGTTGTTGAACTTATTGCTAATGGAGGTGAGTTTTCCGAAGACTCATCGGAAAAAAAAACAAAGCAGCGAAGAATTCGATCAAAGTTGTAAACGGTATATCTGATAAAGTCTGGAATTTGAAAAGGTAACCAGCAGGAGGTTGCAAGGTGGGCTTGAGAAGGACTTAGGTTGGTGTTCAGAAAGTCTTTGGAAGATGAGACATTGAAATGCCTTTTAGAAGGCTTCTGGAAGGTAAGTAGAAGTTTTGGAAAGCCTCTTCCAGGAAAGCTTTCCGAGGAGCCGAAAGCAGAAGTTTCTCAATTTTTACCTGAGAACTAACAACTCCTTTGTTTCAAGAAAAATTAAATTCTGAAAAATGTACAGTTACTGGTCCACTGTTTGCTTCGATTTTTTTTCTTAAAAAAATGTTGAGATAAAAAAATCTTTGAAATATATGATTATTGTTTTCAGCAAAAGAAGAAGGAATCATCTTAGCGTGCCGAAGCTTGCGTTTCCTTGGAAGCGACTGTGAAACTCCACTGGTCATGGGTGCCCTTCTTTACGGTACTGCATCCCAGGAAATGAAGCGCTACAAGTCGCTTTTCAATCCAGTTCTGTGGGAATCCCTTTTTGCACGGCTTGTCGACGTTATTACGAACCATCGCTCCTCGCTCACCGATCTGTACGTTTTTTATCTTGCAATGTTTCAAAGCGCTTCTCACAAAAACGTTTGATTTATTGGATGGCCGCGCTGAACGAAACGACGTTAAAAATAGATGCTGCGTGGGAAACGATTTACCATCATTTTCCGAGAAAAAATCCTCGCAGATTCTTATCAGACATTTGGAATCTGCTTTTAATCGCTTTTAGATGGTACAGTAAACCATTACACTTTTCTCCGAATGATAATTTAAAAATAGAATTGAAGCTTTGAAAGCTCAGCAATGACCAAAACTTCTAAATAGGGAAAAAGTTGACTGAAAAGAACATTATTGAAACATTTCGAATGAGGAAACTATTTTAAATTTGAGTGTTTTTCTTTTTTTGGCAGAATTTGCACTCTTGAGAAATTTCACCTGAGTTTTTTTGATTTTCCAACAGAATAGGATATCTCAAAACTTTCCCAAAATTTTTTGAAATGCAACTTTCTTGCTCTTCTGATTCAAGCAGATAAATTTTCATAGACCCTTCAACGTTTTTTACGTCTTTGGGGGCGAAATCTGTGTTCATTCGATTATTTATCATCGAAATGAATTTTAGCCATGATCAGTTCAAGCATTTCATTTCTATGAAAAATTTTTATTTTAAATGAAATCCCTGGGAATTAATTGCAGCCACATTCAGAATCACCGTTGGAAGCACCGCCTTGCCGATGCTCGCCTCACTCCGAAGACAACTGTCGAATCCAGGACTTCTGTACGATGAAGAACTGCCGCTGGAGATCAAAATCCAAAAACACGCACATTCGACGTTTTCGTGCCCGATTTTGAAAGTGCAAAGCTCGGCTCGTAACCCGCCGATGAAGCTTTCGTGTGGACACGTCATATCCAACGAATCGCTTCACAAACTCGCTGCGCAGTCCAGGTGGGACCCAAGAAGGTTTTTCAAGCTTTTTTTATTTATATGTGCGCTTCGTGTCGTCGGACATCTGCTGTGCAAAACTGTCAAAAAAAAACTGAGACGGGCGTTTTGAAAAAAGCTTGAGTATGCTAGAAAACCAAGCAATTAGAATTTATGGAAAGATAAAAAAAAAATGCATCTTTGCTCACCGAGAAAGGCTTTCAATTAGAAGTTGAACAAGAATAAACTTCACCAGAAGCTGATTATTGTCAAAAAAGCGTGTGTCCTTGATATATTTAGCTCAATTAATTTTGGAGACTGCGCAGAATTGTCATCAATTTGTAGGCGACCTGCTACAAAATGCGACGGAGAAGAGGAAAACAAATCTAAAAAAATAGAAATTTTCTTCACAACTCTTTTAGAAATAGTTTTTTGGAACTAGAAAGCTTCAATTTTCAGTCATAGAGCTCAGGATAAATGAAAGTCTTTTGAAATATTTATTGGGCCCTTTGTTGTAAATTGTGAATACTAATGCCAATAAGCGATTTTTGAGCTCAAGATCTTTTTCCCTTAACTTGTTAGCTCTTTTATAGATCAGAAATACGTTCAATCAAGCGGAAAATATTTTCAAATTGTTTTTCCTGCTAGAAAAAATGAGCACGCTACAGTTTTTCTTTTCAAAAAATTTCGTTTCAAAACTTTTTCGCCTGCCAAGAAAAGTACGCTCACTGCATAGTTTTCTTTTTTTAGCTCCTCGAAATGTTCTTGAAATAAGCCCATCTCTTTGAATTTTCAAAAGAAAAAATTATAAACTGATATTGAATTTTTTTTAAGTGTTGGAAAAATATGATCTGAATTTGCTCTTCAAAAAACGGTCCGAAGAAATCTTTATTAGTTGAAAGCGAATATGATCCTGAAGTCCCACTGGGAAGACACTTAATGTCAACATGTGTGACCTAATTGACCTTCGCCGTTGACCTGCCGTCTGAGTTTTGCACATTGCTCCTCTCCCTGCAAACTTGCCCAGAGTAGTCGAAAGATAAGCAAAGATGCTAAATGTTCTCTATTTACGATTTTCCATTACGAAGTTAGATAATAATTTCATGATTTTTGGCAGGAGTTGAATGATAAGCGTTAGGTATTCTTCCTGAACTTGAGAGCCTTCGGAAATGTGTAGTCTTCAGAATTCATTATTGTTTTGAGATTGTTTGTATCCTCATTTCTAAATCTCATTCAAAATAGCGAACGGTATTTTTCAACTGCTCCCGTAAGTCCTAAGATTCCCAAGTTATTATGGCGAAAAAGATCGCTCAGCATTCTTATTCAAGTTTTCAAGTTTCTGGTATATCATTGCTTCAAGACGCGCGAGCTCAGAAATTCTCGAGCACCAAAAATTTAAAATTTGAGCTCAAAATTTTCAACTCGAGATGAAAATTACTAACAAGAAATCTTAGGCTCTTTCTGCATACTTTTTAGTTCATCGAAAACCGTATCAAGCTATTTCAATATGCTTTTTCATTTTCCTGCTTTATGTAAATTCTGAGTGTGCCCATTTAAATTTCGACAAAAATTTTTGAAAATTTTCTTTTTGAAAAAATCTGCCTGAACTAAAATATGAAAAAATGGTTTTATTTGGAAAAAAGGCGACACTTACGTAGCTGTTGACCCACTTGCTCGTCTACCAATCGATCAATACGCCGCGCCAGCCGGCAGTCAGCACAGACGCAGGCGCAGCCAAATATTCAAAGAGAAAAAAAAAAGCCAACACACCCGCAACTAGCTTTCACGATGATCTCAGAAGTGTTGCAACTCTCAGATCAGGGTGAAAACCGATTGCGAGTGGCCGGCTGAGAGGAAAGGACGGTAGGGAAGGCGATGTGCTGCTGCTGGTGTGCTGAGCGCTGACTGACTGACGAGGCAGCCACGCGAACCGGGAGGAGTCCAACCGGAGGCGTGGCCGCAGTTCCGTACAATCGATCAATCAGCGACGACCGACGCCCCAAAGCGCCGCGCAACGCGAACACCGCTTTGTTGACCTTTGCTCTTTTGCAGGCACATGCGGCTCAAATGTCCATACTGTCCAAGAGAATCACTGGCTGCCGAGGCTCGCAAGATCTACTTTGGAGAACCCTGAAATCACCGCAAAATTTGAAACGGAAATGTAGATAACTTGTAAATTCGGGATTTGGTCATGACGGAATGAGATAAAACAACCAAGTAAAAATTTTAGTTTATTAACCACTTCCATTAGACGTTTTTTAATGAAAATAATCACAAAAAAAAGAAAAAAAAATGTGAAACAAGAAAATTTTCTATTGAGTTCAAAACTAGCAGTGAAGGGGGTTTTTTAGTCCCAAGTATAAAGCTAACTTTTTTTCATGAATTTTTTTATAACTTTTTAAAACAAGTCAGCGCAGGTCGCTGCTTGAAAAAAAGGTTTTTTTCCGTTGGAAACCTTCTAAGAATGTTTGGGAAAAATCAGATTTAGTAAATTAAATTATCTTAGTAGCACAAAAGTTTATTACTTCCGTTTCAAGCTGTAAAGTATTCCTGACTCCTAAATTCAAATGACTCCAAAACTCAGTTTTTCGAGAAGTTTCAAGTTACATATAATAATCACTTCATGGACTTTTTGAGTTCCAAACTCATTCCGTCAAATTCTTGTAATAATGTTTTTTTTTCATCCATAGATACCATATATATATATTTATTTTTGTGTGGCTGTACTTAGTACTCAAACGACTTTTATTGTCATTAAATTTCATCTTCTCCGGGCTTCTGTTTTTCCCAAATTTTCAATTGTCCCTGAATTTTCACTAGTTATGAGACGAGAACATTTATAATCCTCTATTTTTGATCAGCATTTTGATGTGACTGGCCAATGTTTCCACTTGTATAGTAATAAACGTGTCGACGCGAATATTGTTCGATTTGCATCTGAACGAGGCCTGAAGTGGTTCGAGTGCAGGTTCCCACCGGTCAGCGGCGAGCAGCCACTCACCTCGGCACCAGATTTAATTTAAGGGTCGATCCGCACGGCTTAGTGACGATCCATTCGATGACGTGTTCGCCAGCCCAAGTTCTTCTTGGATCGTCCTTCATAATCCGTTGCATTTAATGGCGGCCCTTTGAAGTCCGACGGTCGAGGGTGCGATAAACGCTGTTTCCTAGTGATTTCGGCACAATAAACTGTTTGTACACGGTTGGTGTGAAACTGAAGAAGTGCTTGATATACTGCTTTGTTAAGACAAAAAAAAAACACAGAGTTGCCTGCCTTCTTTTTGCACATTTTCGTAAAGCGTTTGAATTTCTCTGCCTCAAAATTGATGAGCTTGGGAAAGTCCAAATTTAATTCAGTTTATCTTGAAAGCTGTTTGGGCAACTGCAAATTTGCACAATCGAGATAATTGATTTTTGAGATGCTCAAAAAAATAATAAACTTTTCTTTTTGAATTAATTTAAACTTTTCCTTTAGTATCCTTTAGTGTAAGATTTTTGTTTTAAATCATCAACAATTTTTTGCTGTCATTTTGACTAACCCGATAATTTTTTTTTCAAGATCGATCTGCAAAAGCTTTGATGTAATCGTGTGAAGGTTTTTCTGGCGATGTTCAAGGCTACTCTTCGCCTTGGACAGATGAAAAAGCAAGGAAAAGACGGCGATCTGAAAAATAAGGATGGAAGGTCAGATCCAAACAAGATGAGCGGCCTGCAAAAAGCGGCTCTCGTGTTCCCGTATTGCAAGGTCGTCGCCGGCCCAAATGGACGATTGGAGCGAGGTAGCGAGAGCGAGAGAGATGTAATGTTAAACTGATTCTGTGTTTGGAGTGTAGGGGAATGAACGACTATTTAGCAATGGCGCCAGGAGCCTAGAGACTGCGTGCAAACGGAGACGCAGACATCCGGAAGCACCGTCGATACGGGTCTTGAAGGAATCTCCGTGAGCTTTACGGTACGTGTAAGTCGGAAGTGATTTAGGACCTCCGGTCCTTTTTAATCTCGTATTATCTTCTGTTTACGAGGCTTAGGCTTCACCTTATTGGGTGCAACCAAAATAAGAAGGGTGTGGCTTGTTCTTGGGAGCTTTAAGCATTTTTATTCCTGGTTAAAGTTATGAGAGAAAAATTTGAAAATGAGAAGAAAGCAGTCATTTCTACCCCTCAAAACTGGCTTTAAAAACTTCTTGGTAAGTTTTTTACAAAAGTGTTTTCTTGCTATTGAAGAGCCACGGCTTATAGACCTCTTTTTTTTTCAAACCGAGGTCACATTTATTACTCAAACTAATTGATTTCAAACATTTCTCGGAATCCTTCAAACAGATGAAATCTCAAAGCCTTTTTTAACTGAAAAGTGGGACACTTAATTTTTTTTCTTTTCGGTCACTGCCCGACACCTCTGCTGTACAAATCGTCCTTCAACTGTGGTGAAAAAACAGTTTAAGGACACTAACAATCAATTTGCTGCGCTTGTTGTGTATACGCTCTCGCGCGACGATAGCCGCAATCAATCGAAAAACTGGGCAAACTAGAGAAGTTTAAACACCTTTCTGGTAGGGATCCATTTTTTTGTTTCAGTGAGTGAATAGGCAATTTTCATCTTAAAAATCAGAATTATGAAAATTCTTGGAAATGAGTTTCAAGGATTTTGGAAAAGCTTGAAAAACATCTTTTTGGAAAAACTTTTTTTGCACAAGTTTCAATTCGCGTACTAGTCCAAAAAAATAGTAAAAAGTGATATAACGGCTATAAAATTTTTTTTCTGTAGTAACAATTAGTTTTTTTCAAACCTTCATAAACTCTCGAAGAAGCATGAAAAAATATCAAAAAAGTATTAAGGCTAGGAGCCTTTTGCACAGTTTTCTTGAGTCATGAAAAAATATTTTGCGGCGACAATGAACTAACTCATCACAAGATATCCTTTTCTTTATCCGATCTTGGGAAATTTCCCCAAACTTTAACTTTTTTGATTTCGACTTTTTCAACCAATGAAATCTGAACTATTTTTAACGACTGTTAGCTTTCTGAAAATAGTCCATCTTCATCAGCCCTTCTCTGAGTCAAGTTGAGCCGATTTGTTTATGCTGAATTCTAGCTCGAGACACGCACACAGATGTGTTTGATGGGGAGACTCGACGATCTGCCCAGTCATATATCAATTACGACTTCAAGTGGTCCAATAAATGCAGTAATGTTGCGTTGAGAAGAAAGGCCTAGGTGAAACCTACGGTTGAGTTTGAAATTTCATAGAATGAATGCGACTTTTTGAGTTCATAATCTTTTGAAAAATTTTAGAACCTTATTCCTCTGAAAGAACCACGCAAAAAAAAAGTTTCTGTTTCATCTTCTGTCAATCCTGAAAACTTATTGTTGGGGAAGTTTCCACTTTCGCAACTCTGAAAGACGAAAAAGATAAAAAGGGCCTGCATTTTTTTCAAAACTATCCTTTTAAATATTTTTGGAGAATAATGGATTCGAAGAAAGAAGCCATTTAGACCCAAAAATAAATCGAAAAGTGTTGGGTGTTTGAGGTCAAGAGAAAAAAAAACCTGTTTGCCGCAAACAACGGATTGCCGTGCAATTTTTCTCAAAACGCGTTTTCAAAAATTAGGCAAAGGATCCTTGACAAAATTTTATTTTCTCAAAGGGATTGTTTCTTCTATGAGCAAAATTCATAACATTCTGGAATTTCAAAAACAATGCGCCGTTTTTTTTAGACGTTTCTTTCCCAAGCATGTCTCATAAACATTCTAGGAAGGTTATTTTGATTAGCGGTTGAGATTTTTTTTCAATTTTTTTGGCTAAAAATTTATCTTTATCTACTAATTGAAAAATTCATCTTTCAAAGAAAAAGCTCAAAAAAATATTATATTACATGGTATTGAAATTAACATTTTTAGCTTTTCTTTCTCAAAAAAATGAGATTTTAGAAGCTTGAAAGGTTTAACATCTTCATCTATTGCATTAAATTTTTCGACGATTTTTCAGGTTATTCTTAAACTTAAAATACTATCGTCTTCCTGGTGATTTCCTGCCGTCTTTTGAGATTTTTCTCATCTGGTCAGAATCCTCTAAATTTCGGCATTTCAAAGCTAATTTGTGAAGGAAGTTGACCATGGTTAGAAAACCGATAAGGGAGAATTTTGAAGGTCATGCCGGCCTTCGCGGCCTAGGTGGGTTCAGAGGTCATCGGCGTCGATAAGGATTCCAAGAGTTGCCGAGATACGATTCAACGTGTTCCGCCGAGGCTCATAGCGTACCGCTCCGCACTCCCCTAGATAAGAAATGTCACTCAACCGGAATCAGTCTTTTTCCTGTCACTCAACAGACTTTCTTATCTAGAATTTTCGAATAGCGGTGTTCTAACACATCGTTATTTGTTAAAAGGAACGGTAATAATTGAAGAAAAAAGGGTATTGACAACTTTCAAGATATGATTCATTATCCGCCAGCTTTGGGCAATACATTATTTTTTTAGTTCATTTTTTGAAAAAGCTTCAGGTTATAAAATCTCAATACATAGTCTTTCTTCTTTTTTTAAATCCTTTTAGAATCCAAAAAGCCAGAACGTGACCAATCTTACAATTTATTGTAAAGTACTCGTCAAAATGTTCTTACGGAACGACTCATCTTGCGGCTGGCACGACAAAACCTTTCAAGACGGAATGTCACACTTACGGTTTGGAGCGAAAGGACAGAAAGGCCCAAATGGAATGACTCATTTTTGCCAAAGCGTGCCATTTTATTAAAAGCTGTTTAATGGAGCCTTGGGAAAGCTACAACAGTTTGGTTATTTCTGGGCGCATCTGAAAAAAAGGACTTTACGAAATATTTTGTTACACACGGGAGGGTTAGTTTTGTTCCAATTTAAGTTCCATAGAAATGGAAGAAAACTTTGAGACTGGGGGAAAGTTTTTCATTTTTTACTTGCATATACTGCGATCATAAAGATGTTAACCAAAAAAGTTTGAGCTAATCGACAAAAATTTTTTCGAAGATATTAAGGGGCCTTCATCTATGACTTCGAATGTCAGTGATAACGCTATTAAAATTTCTGAATTTTTAAAAGTGTTTCTTTAAAAAAGTCCAACATTCATAAGAAGCGTGTTTTTCGTTTTGTGAAATGATCAAACTGCAATCTTCCAAAATTTTACCCAGGAATCTTTTCAGAAAAGGGCTACTTTCAGAGTGAGATCACGAAATAATCAAATGACTACTTCGAATTGTTTTTATATCAAAAGTCGCTGCACTCAAATTTATTCAAAAACTGTGGACCGCTTTCCATCCATAAGAATGCACCCGCCGAACAACCGTGACGAGAGTTTTTTTTGCTTCTTTAGCCTGTGCAAAACCGTCAGTCGGAGCGGCCTTGTAACCATTGGAAGGAATGCGGTCCGTCGCTTTGGACATGACATGACGAATTTGCGTTTTGGACGGTCGCTATCGGCCAGTCAAGGCTAATCAGTCGCTCCGACAACAGCCAAGGCGACTGACCGCTGTACAGTTTATTTTTGGGGACCTTGAAAAGTTAGGTTTCAGGATGTCTCTACGAAAATGAGTTGGGGTGTTCAAATGAATGGCCGTTTTGGATCTATCGAGAGAAAAACTTGGTTGCTTGGCCAATTCACCTTCGTGTGGCCATAACTTTTTTCAGAGGTCTCAACAATAATTTCTGGATCCGAAATCAATATAAAAAATTACTTGTAGAAATCCTTCAATGTCAAAGTGTGATTTCAGATCATTTTTTTGAGAAAGCCATGAATTGAGTGAAATTTCTGAAAAATTCAACTGAAAGTTTGAAGAGAAATGCTATCAAGTTTTTTGGTGAGTGGGAAGAGCATGGTCGGCGCGAATGGACCAGAGGAGTCTTGCGTCATCGTCTCACTGTCTGCTCATTGCGCAATACACCCGTTACCCAGATTTGCGGTCGTGCTGCTTCTTCCTCACAAAAAAGTTCAAATAGGCCGGGTCTGAGAAACTGTTGGGATTCCGGTGTGATTTACCCGGGGCACTCTGATTTCTACTCGGATTTTCTTTTTCACTTTTGCCTTTCAGTTATCAAGCATAAATAAATATGCTATTGAGGTGGTGTCATAGATTGGCTTGAAGATGGAAGACAAAAAAGTTCTAGCAGAAGAAAGGATCAAAAAATTTGAACTTCTGTTGTGAGAAAGAAGCATACCCACAGAAGCAAATTTTTAGCCTTATCAAAACGCGATAGGTTCGCTGAAAACAAAAGGTTTTGAAAAAAAGAAAGAATCGGAGACGTTCAGTACACCTTAGCAAATTTCCGAGAAAATCTCAGAAAAGGAGCATTTGAACAACCCTCTTCACATTTATTTTTTCGAAAAAAAAGCTGACTTTTTTGGGTTCAGAAGAAGAAAAAGTTTCTCATTTGAAAACCTGATTTTTTCCTTAAAAAATTCGAAAAAAGTCCAGATAATCCGATAATTTTCGTAATTGGACCGACATGGTCATAAAATTTCCGTTTTTCAGTATAAAACTACTTTTGTTTTTTCTTTCTTCCAAACGCAGCGGTAACCTCTCGTTTGTGACCATTTGTGACATTTTGCAAGGACAAATCATAAAAGAAAGCAGCAAAGAGGACGTTATCAGGGCCGGTCATTGTCCCGTCGATATGCTGCCTATCACTCACATATATGCCGTCGTAATGAACCGTCTTTGACAGATCGGCCCACTATATCCGTGGTATCTTATCGCTGGAGACGATTGATAGGTTCATTGTCAGTTCATAGGAAAGTCATATTTGTAAGAGGAAAGTCCGAGAGGGGCAAGTTATTTCAGATGGGGGCAACTGTAAATTGTCGCATTTCTTTAAAAAAAAGCATCATTCCATAAAAAAATTTCTGAATTTTTTACTGAGATCTGCTCATTCGCGTGTTTTCAAATCCAATTAAAAAAATGCAGTTTTGTAGGTCAGTATACCTAGGTGAGAGCAAGCGGAAACAAAAATCAAACTAAGCTCTCAAAGCTCTAGAATTCCCAGAAATCCAGCCGGAAATCAATCAAATGAGGCAAGGCTCTGAAGATTTCAGTCGTTTGCGAGAGGATTTTTGTTTTATCAATTGAAACGGTCCACTTTCTCAAAAATGCATAACATGAAGAACAAAACACTATAGGGGAATTTAGAGGAACAGATTTTGAAGCTGACAATTCTTTGAGTAAAAAACTGCAAATGAGTTTACCGTTTCAGAGCGTTTTTATTTTATTTTCAAGTCAGCTGTAAACAAATTATACCTTTTTTATGACAAAAATAACCTTCATTTCTCGTGCCTCGTTTTTTTCTGTTCCGCGCAATATCCTGTAATCGGATCCGCAGATTGATGTAAAGGAAGCCGAAATTTGAAATAAAGAAGAACGCGTGAATGGATTTCGGGTGCAGATCCCAAGCCTCCAGGCATTGTTTCCTGCAAAGCGTAGGTTGAGTTACCTGAGGTAATCCGATATTAGTCAAATAGGTAAGCCTCTATCCATAATTTGCCTGCTCGCGCGCTTTCGGTTATGCCTGTTCGACGTCCGACGTCCGATGGCCCAAGTTTCAAAGGACTGATAAGACTTCAAGACGACAGAAGATGGTCAGGCGACCCTGGCTATATTCGTCCAAATGTCTTTTTTCTTTTTTTCGTATTCGTTTTGCTCCTTCCCCGCAAGGTCAATGGAGATATTATACGTAAGTTGAATTGCTTTTCTGAACCTGAAAAGTTTCCTTTATTTTTCAAGTCAAATAATTCTTTCTCAATTTATAATGGAAATTGAGACGGATCTTATTCACTATTTATTAGATTCCGCAAACAAAAAAATTAAATCTTTTTTTATTTCATAATTTTGCGAAATCCTTCCCTAAAGACTGAATAAATTTCTAATTTATCATATTCAATTCGAGCCTCAAATGTTTTGATAATTTTGATAATTTTTTTGCACGGCGTTTAAAAATTTTTTTGAAAGTTTCACCGACAGAAAAAAATTACGAAAAAAATTAATTTTTAAACTAATTTCTTTCCTTTTTTTCCGACTTTGAGTTGCTGAAACCTCCGTGGTAGCTCTTAAAACCAGTTTGGAAAAAAATCGGAAATATTCATTATTAATAAGTCGTCCTGTAAGATTATACGTGAGCCCTGATTAAACTTGGAATTTTTCTAACCAAAATCAAGTAGGTGATCAAAATCCTTACAATATTTCAGTTTATTTCAGTCATTACTCTGGATGAGAACGACTTTTTTGCTCAAACTGCTCTACAACATTTGAACATTTCCCGGATGTACTTCAGTGATTTGATAAAAGTGGAAACTGTGGTTCTACAGCAACTAGAACTGCCAAAAGACGCTGAAAATTCGATTTGTGAGCTTTCGTTGGAAGATATTTTTTCATTCACTTTTAAGTTTGCGATAAACTGGCCAATGTCAGCTTTGTCATCAGCATTTGTCGCCTGGAAAGGTCTATAAAGCTCGTGGAACAACTTACGCGGTCTGTTGGAGTGCCCACGATTCAAGTGGATTTCAATTACTGGCCCTTACCTCTCAATTTGACTGGTTTTGGAAACAAACTCACAAATTCAAGCAATGACGTTCGGAAAATTGCAGAGCCCGTTATTCCGGAAGGAGACTCATCCAATTATGTGAAAATGATTTTATCGACACTTGTCTTTCAAAATGTCATTTCTGAAATATTCACAAATTTGGATGTCCTCCCAAATGCAACTGTGTTATATGACAACTTATACGGTGAGTTTTATTGATTGTTCAAAAATATTTTTTTATATAGAACCTGGATTGACAACTTGGAAAGACGCCTTCTCTGTCATTCCTGGAATTCGATTTGTTGCATTGGAAACGACTACTCAGAAAATGCGAGCTCAAATTCAAAAAATGAAAAACACCGTGAAAAACATCATCATTGTAGCTAAAACGGAAAACGTTGAGAGATTTACTGTGGAAGTAAGACTCACACTTCTCATCCCTTGCAAGTTCAATTATTCTTGTTTTTTTCATTGCAGGCGGCACAGCTTATCGAAGAACGAGCTTTCAGTGTAGTGGTACTGACCAAAGTGAGATCACTCTTCTACAATTTCAGTCCTTATTGTTTTCCAGGACATCACGGCTTTCAAATGCGACAGTTGCCTTTCTGCCTTCATGTACTGGATAAGACCTTACGCGCCAGGATCTTTGCTGGAAGTTCGAGATCTGGACGACTTTTTGTTTCGCAATGAGATAGGACTCGAGCTGGACTACACTATCAGCGGTTGGGACGAGGTTTAACTCCGAGCTCAATATGAAACTAAAATTCAAATAAATCAAACTTTTCTTTTTTTTGTGATTATTCTTGTTCCATTGGAATTAAACTTCCCACGCTTTCAAAGCTATCGAAGATTAGAAAACACTTCAGCTTTGCAGGTGAATGTGGCGTTTTACATGAGCGTCATGGGTTTTGCGTTCAACACGATATCCCAGTTCAATACTACACTTGAAGTCATGCCTTCCTATTCTTGCTATGATAACTTTTCCGAGCCCGAAACAAACGTCACGCTTCGAGACGTCATTTTAAACGATCCAGTCCATCAATACGGAAATTACTGGGAATACGGTTCAAACTTCTTTTATCAAGTAATCAGATTTTTTCTAATGCAGGAACTATAGGGCTTTTACAGAATGTTCAAGCAAGAGTTTACAAAATCGACAGGCTAAAGGAGCTTGAAGATGCGCAAATCAATAAACAGGTATGAAAAACGTTTGATTTTATGACTTTATGAAGTAATAAATCAATGATTTCTAGTCAAATTTGATTTGGCCTCAGTTCAAGACCAATAAACTTTCAAACCATAATAACAGAAAAAAAAATTCAGCCAGAAAAAATTTAACCTTGGCTCTGGGAGCTAATTTACTTTCCATTCTCATAGACTATTCCCCTCTTTTCATAGGCCCTATAAAAGAAAATATTTTTTGCCAGTTTTTCAAATTATTTATATCCCTTCACATGATTCCTACTTTTTCCGTCATAAAATTTTACAAATCGCTCAAGTTCAGTTTTTTTTGTGATTTTTTAAACCTGAAATTGGATTTCTTTCAGGTTGGTGTCTGGCAGCCAAGAGAAAAGTTGTCGGTTTTCTACGGCACTCTCGACGTCGATGTCCGAAGTCTTGATATTTATCGCGTTGTTACTCTCATCGTTCGTTTCAAAACTCAAAATTTTCACTAATCAAGTTTCCTGTTTCAGCAGCCGCCTTTTGTTCAAAGAACTCAAGATCCAGACGTTCCTTATGAAGGATATTGCATTGACTTGATTAATTTGATAAAAGACGAAGTGAACTTCACCTACACTTTGTATGAAGTTGAAGATGGAAGTTTTGGAACAATGGACGAAAATGGCAATTGGAACGGCCTCATAGGAGCATTGGGTGAGTGGAAAAAGTTCCAGATTTTTTTTTCGAACTAGTTTTTCAGTTTCTGGCTCCGCCGACATCGCTTTGGCTCCTTTGAGTGTGATGGCAGAAAGAGAGAACGACGTTGATTTTACAGTACCGTACTACGATCTCGTCGGAACCACCATTTTGATGAAAAAAGCGGACGTTGAATATTCTTTATTCAAGTTTATGAAAGTTCATATATTCATCAATATCCGAAGAAACTAAATGTTCAGGTGTTGGAATGGCCAGTTTGGCTATGCATTGTTGCTGCCTACCTCTTCACGAGCGTTCTTCTTTGGACTTTCGATAAGTTTAGCCCGTATTCATACTCCAACAATAGAGAAAGGTTTTTTTTTGAAAAGAAAAACTAATAATAGAATTGGTCAGATACAAAGATGATTTGGAAAAGCGAAACTTCAGTTTGAAAGAATGTCTTTGGTTTTGTATGACGTCACTGACTCCTCAAGGTTAAAATTAATTCAAAACAATGTGGATTACTTCAAATTAGGGGGCGGTGAAGCGCCAAAAAATATTTCTGGACGGCTGGTGGCTGCAACATGGTGGCTTTTCGGGTTCATTATTATTGCTTCGTATACTGCCAACTTGGCTGCCTTTTTGACTGTTTCGCGTTTGGAACAGCCTATCAGGTAAATCTCAATAAAAACAGATATATTCTTTGCAAAGTTTAGTTCTTTGGACGATCTCGCCAAGCAGTACAAGATCGAATACGCTCCAATCAAAGGCAGCGCTTCGGAGACTTACTTCCGAAGAATGGCTGAAATTGAAGAAACTTTCTACAAGTTATTTTGATATGTCAATCAAATTTTAATCAATGTGATTTGAGAATTTGGAAAGAAATGTCGCTAAATGAGAGCATGTCACCGAGAGACCGTGCAAGGCTTGCTGTTTGGGATTATCCAGTTTCAGACAAATTCACCAACATGTGGAGGTAATTTTCTTTTGAGTCATAAAAAACTCTCCTTCAATAGTCCCATTATTCAAATCAAATTTGGTACCAGGTACATGCAAGAATCGAAACTTCCACCTAACATGGATGCTGCAATTGAGAGAGTTCTTACTTCTGTGGATGGCTACGCTTTCATCGGTTAATTTTCTCTAGAAGCACAAATTAAGTTGTGAATTTTCCAGGGGACGCAACTGAGATCAAATACGCAGCATTGACAAATTGTAAGCTGCAACAAGTTGGAACGGAATTTTCCAGGAAACCATATGCCATCGCAGTTCAAAGTGGACATATTTTGAAAGACGAGATCTCCAGCGCGTATGGAAACATGAAAAAGTGTTCTACAGAGTGATTTAAGGATATTGATGCTTTTAAATCAAAGACGGCTAGAGACGTTAAAAGAGAAATGGTGGACTGACAATCCGAATAAGGTGCGAAAGCTGTCCTTTATTCTGAAGTCTTCATATTCAGGTTACTTGTCCGGACTCGTCCGATGAAAGCGATGGAATTTCCATACAGAACATTGGAGGAGTTTTCATCGTCATTCTGGCCGGCATAGCGCTTTCTATAATAACCTTAGCGTTTGAATATTTCTACTACAAGTAAGCTGATTTAATTCGAAACTTGCGACGCACGGGAATAAAATTAAAAAAAATGATTCATCCTAATGCGGAAGCTTTCAGAAGGAAAGCCAAAAAAGCTGCAGAAAAGTTAGAATTGGAAGTAAAATCGGCTGCAAACGGGACGAACGGCGACCTTTTCTCTCCAGATCTTCCTTCAGCAACTCCGCCAAGACTGGGAACCCTCAGAAGGTCCAATTCCATGTTTACCTACGAGAACACGGCTTTTCAGTACTGACCTGCACATTTTGTACTGATGGCTTGTAGAAGTTGTTGCGTACTGTAGAGGAAGCGAAACTTTGAAATTTGCGTGTGTTTTGGGTGCTTTCCTCACAGAACGGAATTTTAAAATCTGTGCGGTGTGCAATTTTCATATAATACTTCTCATGTATGTTTTTGTGGTTTAACGAGGCAATTTTTGCGGGTTATTTTTGCGTTTTCCTTCTTACAATAAAGCTATATATTTTTTTCCGACTTGAAATAAAAAACAATTTTCTATTTTAATGGAGAATTTCCAAAATTTCGAGAAGTTGCTGGAAGTTGGTTGAGATAAAGGTTAGAGTACTATTATTCAAAACTAGGAAAATTTTACGTCTACTTCTTTTGAGTACAGTGATGAAGATTCAAAAGTTTGAAAGCCCTTTGAAAATAGGAAAAAGAAAAAAAAATGAGTTGACATTTAGATAAAAAAATATCAACTTTGTGGGCAATAAACTTGACTGTTTTCCGTTAAGCCTATAATAGAAAAGTCAAAGACCCACGACGGGAAAATACCGATTTTTTTTTGCTAGAAGCTCTTGTGTTACTGTAAACAACAATAATGCATAGTTAAATTAGGAAAACAATAAGTAGGTGAGATTTGGAAGGCGCCGGCGCCCATATGGCGATTGTGCAACTCAATTACCAAAACGAGGCAATAAATTGGCGCTATCTCAGCCGCAAGGCTCATCACTTTGTCAACAGCTGGCTGCCGTTCCCTTTCGCGGCAAATTTTGCAACATCCCTTCCCGTACCATTCATGCACGATGAGCCATCCTTCGACATAAATTCTGATGAATATCGAAGACTTTCGAAAGCCGAAAGGAGAAAACGAAGACGTGCCACTCCCAAATACCGTAACCTGCATGCCACGCGAGAAAGGTGAGTTTCATTATAACTTTCTCATTCTTTTCAGTTTTTGAGCTTGTCTTGATCCGTGATGATGAGTTTCTGACCCATTTCTTGATTGATCGACGGGAATGAATGAAAATTCTCTATGAAATACTAAAATAAAGAGTCTTTTATTCAAACATTGTCTTATTCATTTCACACTTCCTAGAGGTCAACCCAGATTTAAATTTAAATTGAAAGTTTTTGATAATTTTATTCCAATATGTAAACATTCTCATGGCCTTCCCAAAAAAATAAAAAAACTCGTTCTCATGATTTACTTTTGGCTCGGTTTTCAAAGCTTTTTTTCTTGGCTCTCACCATTCTATCGAAAAATTTAAAAACAGAAAAATAGACAGTATAAAACCGTTTGAAAATTTTTTTCGCATGATTATCTGAGTTTCTTCTGACTTTTTCTGGGTCTATTTCACTTAGTTCTTTTCAAAAATTAGCCAATTTTTAAAAATTTGAAATACATTCAAACAGTGAACCACTGATGAGAATAATCTGAGTCATTTTTGAATTTCCATTCTAGACCAATTTTTTTTGTAATTTTGCTTGGATTTACAATGCTTTTTCTTTAAAGAGTCCAGATGAACAAAAAAAAGGGTTTCAGTTCGAACGCCAACTTGAGAAATGCCTGCTTTACAGAATCCGCGTCGAATCGTTCAACCACGCTTTCGCCGAGCTCCGTTCTCTACTTCCGACAATTCCTGTAGAGAAAAAATTATCGAAAATTGAAATACTCCGGCTATCAATAGCCTACATCAGTTTTCTTGACAGCTTGTTAAAAATGCAATAAAAATTTATTTAATACGTAATCATGCCTGTTAGTAATAAATTATGCTTGTCACAACCATTTGCACCATTTTAATTATGCCCATTATGAAAAGGGGAAAGTAGGAACATGAGAAGATTATTTCAACATGAAAAGGAAGTAAACATTCAGAAACATAAGTAAAAAGAAGTAGTTGTACATATGAATAGAGATCGAATGAAAATAATTATTTCTGATCAGCTTCGGCTTTTTCCATCATGGCGTCTTTTATCACTGCTGGGACGCACAATTCGGCTGTTGTTTTCAGATTTGAAAGCATAGGTCCACGGAGAATCTAAATTAAAAGAACTTTCGTGAAAAGGACAGTTATAAAATGTATTCAAATTTTTTTCCATAAGCTTTCTTTCAGAGATATTTTTAAATCAGGTAGAAATAAAAATAACACTTTTTTTGGTCGTTGTAAAGTAAACTATCAAAGAAATTATTATAAAAAAATAATCAAAGTCAGCTTTGAAATAAAGAAGTCTGAATAGTTTGAATCTCTAATGAACAAAGAGCGTCCACTAACAAATTTTTTTCAAGCCCGCAATTGAATTTTTTTGATGAAACTTTTCTAAACTTTACTTTAGAACCTTTTTTTGTATTTTTGAATTTTGAAAATATGAAAAATACCCCAATTATGACAAAAAGCGCTACTTCAACCTTTTGAAGCATCTCAACAGCATCTTAAAAACCAAACCTACTGCGAGAAATTTTTTTTTCTTGCTCAGAAACCATTCCGATGTGGAGCGTCTAAAGATCGCCACAACTTTTTCTCTGACACACACTATTTCGACGTCATCTAGCTGCAAGAAAGCGACGATATAGTGTAAGTCAGAGAAAGAGTTGTGACGATCTTCAGGCGGCCCATCACGGGACAGGAGGTCCTAAAGTACGCTTGAGTAGAGTTTCATCAAAAATTCAAGAGGCGGCTGGAAAATGTATCCTAGTCAGAAAATATGTTTGTAATTATTTGTACACAAAAAAGCACCTTCTTGCTTTTTCCGAACATCTCCACGGCTTCTTTCGCTTTTCCAGCATACAGTAAAGCGATTGCTGCAGTGTTCACAACCTGTGAATCATGGAAAATATTATTATGAAAAAAATTTCGACTTACTCTTGGTGAAAGATTTCCGGTCGAAGTGATTTTTTTGATATTTGTTCGAGAGCATGACTCGAGGCACCCAGAAAAAAGACTTCGTAATGTCCTGAAACAGAAGTTCATTTTTTTATTCAATATATTTCAGATTGTAATCCAATTATTTTCGTAATAACTTTTTTTGAGATAGACTAATTGCAGATCAAAACTGTCCCACTCTTAATCGTCATATGCGCCTTCAAAAGCAGAGGACTTAATTAGCAGTGGACATGATTAGTGCACATTTTGAGATTTTATAACTGAACATTTTTTTGCGTCATCTGATAACAGAAGGCTTTGCGGGGAATTTCTTCATAGGTTGATTAAATTTCAAGCTTTCAACCAGAAACTCCATTCTAAGTTTTAAAAACTCTCAATTAAAACATACATTATGAGCAAAAGGTCAATTCTTTCAAAACTCGAAAAATTGAACTCGTATAAATACCATTCAGTTTTTTATGTATTTCTCATTCAAATCATGTTAACCAGAGCTCTGTAAAGCCAATGTGCGTTGAGTAGGACTCAAGCTCTTGTGAGAAAATTTCTTCAAAATAACGTTCAAGAAATGAGAGTAAAAAAAAAACAAACTTGTGTAGAACCGCATCTTCACTATTATTGTTGTCTATTTTTTCAGCGTAGTAATTCATCGCTTTTTCGTCACCTGCTTGCATTGCCATCCTCATCAAAGCTTGAGAAATAATTGCCTGAAATCAATTTGCAGGTTTTAAAAAATAAAAGTTCACCTTTTCTTTGATGTCATCAGTTTCAACAACAACTTTATCGAGAACGTTCACAGCTTGCATATATTCCTGAAATTTTCAAATTCATATGTAAAAAAAAAGAGATTGTCCAACATACTTGTAGACTGTACAGAACGCGAGCTTTCAGAAGTTGAACGCTTTTTTTCTCGTTTTTTTCCAGTCGCAAATATGAGCACTTGATCGATTGGAAGTTTCGAAAAAACTGATGACCTGAAAAAATCTCTATTCAATCTCCCAGAAGATTTGGATAAATATTTTGCAAGTAACAACCCAAAATGATTTTTTGAGAAACAATCTGTGAATTTTTTTTTTTTGAGCACTGTGACGGAAAATCCGATCAATCATTTTTAGTATAGACTTTCTAACATTCATCTCTCCCGCTGTTTTCATTACTTTTTAAATTGAGAGTTTATTGATCAAATTCCAAAAATTTTTCCTAAATTCCGAATAAAACATTGTTTTTGTTGAAAAAGACTACATACGTTTTTAACTTGTTGCTCCAATCGATTGATGCGTTCGATCGATTTCCAAGGAAACGGAGAGAATCTCAAAGCTTCAGCGTGTATGAGGCGCAAAGTGAAAGGAACCAACGATCCTGCAGAAAAACATTCTGAAAAAAGAAAGATTTCGAAGTGCTTACCAATTTTCCCAGGATTGGCGTATTGATAATATAAATCCGGAGCGTCAAGTTCTTCAAACTGAACTATTTCCGCCAGAAGATGTGTGTGCAAACGGAGTGCAAGAAGAAGTTGGAATCTAACTGCCCATACCTGAAAATTACATAAATGTTTTCACTAAATAAAATTATATGAATTACTTGCAACACAAACTGGTTTAATTCGGAAGGTCGTCCGGACATATCTTTCCCTTGACCCAACATGGTCAAAATGTCGCTTGTTGCATCCACAGCCAACTCAAAGTTTGCAACTTTCTAAAAATTTCATTCACAATTATTGTTCATAAGTTATTTCACTCACGATGAGTTGGGCTAAACCTGTTTGGTTGAAATCAGAGTCGACTTTTTGAGAAATGATTTGTGTAGAAACTCTGAAAGTTATTGGGGAAAAAAATTAAAAAAATAAAAATACTTTCAAATAAATGCCGAAACACAATTTGAAATCATTTTTTTTGCGATAAGGGTACATGAAGATCAATTCGAAAATAACTGTTTTCGGGGTCCCTAACACCGGAAAACTCCTGTTCGTGCTCTACATTGAAGATTGCCAATATGTATCTTCTTTCAAAAAAATAGAAAAACTCACCTTTATTTTGGGATCGAAATGCGTAACTAATTTGTCAATCTTTATTCCTGGCATTGTATAATTCATCGTTCTCTTGTTATCCTCCTTTATTGCCTTTAAAACTCTGTTGAACTCAGTCTTTTAGAAAGAAAAAACCTTCATTCGATTGGATTCCGGCCAGTAAAGCAGATGCTCGTTTTCTTCATAACTGTAGGAGAGCATTTCTTATTCGAAAAGAGCTCCTTTTCAAGTTGCCTTGAGGAATCTTCAAACTGTTCAAACTTTCCCTTCATTATGGACGTTCAAAAGTAATTTGTATGCCCTCAGAAGAAATAAATTTTTTTTTATTTGATTTGATTTGATTTGATTTCGAAAAGTTGAAAAAAACATGTTTCATATTGTGATTTTTGATAAATTATTAAATTTTTTTGCTTCGAAAAAAAATTTTTAACACAATCCCCACAGAACAAATAAGTGCGCTCATACGCTAATTTTTTTCAAGTTTCTCAAACAATGACTTTGAAAAAAGTTTTATCAGAAGTTAAGCTCGGAAAGAAGAAAGAATTGTGTCTAAAAGCGAGTAAAATGCATCGGAATACTGTAAACACGTAGCGACTTTCGATAGGAATGAAAAAGCATAAGTAATTAAACTTCACAACCGAATAAGCAACACGGTTCATTTTATCACTGAAAGGCGAAAGATAAGCGCAAATAAGTTAAAGCAGCCACAATGCAAAAGCCCGGTGAAGAGAATATATGAGCGAAAATGAGTAATACTTTTTTTAAAGACAGGAATAGAGTTTTCATTTAAAGAGAAGACAATTAAGAGACGAGAAGATTGCGAATTTCTTGGTTCTCGGTGCATTCGATGAGAGGGGTACCGTCTGGAGCCTTCACCTCACGAACGGCTCCCTGAAAACTTCGTGGACATTTTTTTAATAGAAAAGATGGTTGGAGATCGGGGGAAAAATGCACTCACATTGGAGAGAAGAACTTTGGTTGCCTCGAGATGACCTTCCCAGACTGCGGCCAGGAGCGGAGTGATGCCAAATTTGTCAGGAGCCTGTAAAGGGTTTTTTATTGTTATTTCGAGAAGCAGGGAACAGCATCACGTAATTTAATAAAACTAGTGCCGTGTTCAAAGTGATTCCGCGGAATTCAAATTAGCCGTCAGAGAAAGAGAAAGATAACTAAATTTTGGAGGGTCAGAGACCATTTTGCATTTCGCGGAAATTACTTTGAACACGGCATAGTAGTAGGTCCCTGTTGAGTTTTTGTATCTACCTAATCAAAGTATATCAAATTTTTTCAACTTCAGATGGCTAACAAGGCCGGGAAACTCGATGAAAAACTAACATTGAAATCAGCTCCAAGAGAGATCAAGTACTTGATGACTTCAGCTTGACCAAAGTCCGCAGCAACGTGGATTGGGGCACGGCCGTTGACAAAATCGTGGACGTTGGAACTGTTCTGAAAAGTTGCGATATCATTTTTGTCTTATTAACATAACAAAAACTTACAATTTTTTCTTTGACCGCATCCAAATCTCCGTTCTGTACAATCCAGTTTGTACTTGCCATTTTTTTCGATACCTTTTTTTATTTGATTATGATTAGAAGAAAAAGAAATCAAGAAATAATGGATATGGTCCGAAAAACCATCAGATTTCCAAATATCAGAAAAAAATAAATAAACCAATTTATTCTTAATACAAAAGGGTAATACGGAATACATGGCAATTACAAGGCAATAAAAGAATTCAAGAACGAGAAAAAAATACAGTTTCTAAGGCACTAGCGGAGTTATCCGTAAATCATGGGATAGAAGAGAAATTATGCCAATTGATTAGTTTTGATTTTCTTGAACTAGAATTGATAAAAGACTAGAAGTTGAGAAAAATTCCCCCACCATATTAGAACAAAAGATGAAAGTCGACACGAAAGAAGATGAACCAAACTCCCAGTTTTTTTTTTCTGTTTTTTCAAACTTTTTCAGAATATATTAGAAAAAGCAAAGTTTGATTTTTTTTTCAGCTTTTGAGAGATTGGTTTACGAGAAGAATCATTCCATAGGTTCGTTGGATAGCGCAGAGCTTAAGTTCGCCGAAGCGCCACCGATCTGAGGCTTTTTTAAGAAACCTCACGCAATTGATTGTAGGAGTTTTTGAACTCAACCCATCTAAAAAAACAAATTAGTTTTTTTAAAAATTCAACAAAAAAACCACAAGCATATTTGGGAGCAGCGAGCCAGCTAGGCGGAAGGAAGTAGTAGCATCTGTTTCCGAGGAACTTCCAGAAGAAGAATCTTAATAATCATTCTCAACTTTTTATTTTTTTGAGATAATTTTTTTGGTTATTATAAAGTTATAAGCCTCATTTTTTGTTAAAATTAAAGAAAATACAACTTCAGCGTGCTCAAAAATGTGAAGAAACCCGCATAACTATAGAGCAAATGAAGTCGATATTTTGTTTCGAAACACGGAAACGTCAACCGCGATTTTTCGAACCATTACAAGCTTTCGCTGACTTTCCAAATAAGGAGAAAACTTTATCATACCCGATGCTATTAATTCTGTAAATTTGGCACTTGTGTTCCTGTTCCTCAAGCTCTTTGATAGACGGAGGAGGGTTGGCCGTGATTTGGCGGCACAGCGCGATGGCGTTGCTCACTCTGAGAAAGTTTAAATTCAAGACGAGCATGGGTTATTCGAATAAAAGCTTGAAAAATCAATGTGATCCGGTTTTTGCGGAATTTCTAAATAATAGCCAAATAGTATACCGCAATCTCCATTCTTTACAAGTTGTGGCAACAAGCTCGTAGAGCTCCGGCGTGAGATCGACCAAGTTGTTGATGGCGACACAAACGGATTCCAACTCCACGCTCTCGTTCAGAATCTCAAAAAAATCTTTGCTTGATAAAAAAGCCAAGAGACATACAGCTGCTTGAGCTGCCTCAGCCTGGCTAGGAAGAAGCTCCTAAAACATCTTTTTGTTTTCAAAATTTCTCAAAAACGTTCTACCCAGAGACGGTTGAAGAAAGTCACAACGTACGGCGCATCGTGCGATTTTTTCTCTGTTCCGATAGAAAAAGTGGCGAGAAACTGAGAAATAACATTTCAAGTTTAAGATATAACGCTTCTTGCCATGTAGAAGTTTTGACGCTCTTCCACGCCCTCCAGTTCTATGGCCGAAAGTTTCGAGAGCATCCACTCCGTCATGGTGTTAAGGTATTTCTGATGGCCAAATCCCACCTAAAAATTCTTGATTTTTCTACGCTTGAAATTTGTTGAAAGATGAATTCTTTTTCTGTATTTTCCACAACTTAGTACAAATTTTGATACTTTTAGAATTTTGAATTTAAAAAAAATATATTTTCATCAAAATTAAGGAAAAACAATGTTCTTCAATTAAAAGTCAATAAAAGATGAGTATCTCACCTGAGCCAAATAATGCACACGGTAAAGCTTCTCGACAAAAAGGTCGAAGTTATTCGCCATGTCTTCCTTCAAAACATTTTTTTCTCAAATGGTATTTTTTTCAAAAGCTACCGAGAGCTGTTCAAAAGACGTTTCGGCCAACAGATTTGCACCAACGCGGTCGATTTCGAATCCGGAAACGACTTTCGCGTCTTCGAGATAGTGCAGCATATCCAACATTTCGTCGGTCGGAACAACTCCAATGATCTACAAAAAAGTTGGATTTTCGACGGACAGACAGAGTCACCTTTTCAGCGATTTTGTTGCGATAGCCCGCAAACTCCTTGTCGTGTCTCATATTTTTTGGCATTCGGACCATTCGGTTTTTGAGTAGGAGAATGACTTGAGCACAGGGGAACCGGCAAGGGTCCCCTACAACGATGTCGGCTATTTTTTTCGAGCACTCGATCGAGTTCAAGAAATGAGTTGTGCTCAGGAGGTGAAACAGAAGGGCGACGTCTTCGCGCTCAACGTCATCAAGCATCTGCAAAATTTTCCTTGTTTAACATGTTGATCTTAGAAAATAAAATCCGAGATTGGTTTCTGGTATAGCTTTGATGACAACGGGTAACTTTATTTTTTATAAAGGGATTTTTGAAAATTCGCTTGAACATATTCAGATGAACTAGATGGAGTTTCCAAGTACTCGAATGGGCATATTTTTTCAGTTTTGGCTGGAGAAATCTTTTTCTGATTAGGAGACTTTGATTGACGCTGTTTGACACTTTCACTGAAGTCAAAGATTATGAGAATTTTCCAATATCTTAGAAAATGAAAAGGTATATTGCTCACCTTTATGTACTTTTTTGACAGATCTTCAATGATGTGCTGGTTGAAAGTCATGGATTTATTGCGTTTTTCCTCGAAGAACCACAGAATTTGCAGGCGTTCGTGTGTTTTTGACGCTTCGTTCACGGCGTTGTAGAGCGCACACAAACATTCTAAACGCAGCCAATAATTGCAAGAAACATTCAAGATATGAGAAAACCTTTCGGAAAATCGTTGTTCAAGTGCACCAGAGCATTTCTCACAAGATTTAACTCTTGCGGATCTTTTGCGATAAGAAGTTGGGACAAAATGTCTACGACCTTGAAAATACAAAACTTTTACTGCGAGAACAAAAATTATTTCCAAAACCTGATTTACGAAAGTTCCATTTTTGCACAAAGTTGGCAGATCCTTGATAACTGCTTTTCGGATCTGAGAAATTTTCCAAAATTTTCGAACATTCAATTTAAATTCACATTGCTGTTGCGATCGGTCAGAGCAAAATAGAGGATTCTTTGCGACTCAGTTTGGCGATTGAAATGATGGAAATAGCTAAAAAAAAAAAAGAGTTCTTTTATAGCTGAGGAAAGCATGCGCTGAACTCACCGGAAAAGCATTCGGATGCCAAGAAGTTTCACTTTTTCTGATTGGCTGCTGGCGGCGCGCTCGAAAAGCAGATATTTTTCGTCTTCCTGTGACGGAAAAATAAATCCGGCGGTTGGAATGTCAAATCAAATGCGTCCAAAAGGAAAAAAAAGGTCATACCGCATTCAACGCGTTGTCGATGGCTTGCGAAGCAGCGTAAATTTCTTCAATGGTTTCATCGCCCATTTCCTCGTTTGGCATCGCAATTGCGACTCTGCAAAATGAATCCTTCAATATTTTTGAACAAATTTATCTGTTTTTTGTGAAACAAACGTCAGAAAAATGTTTTTGTCAGCCCATTCACGGCTGTTTGGGGACACCGAACTGACGATTTAATTTGCGCGGCAAAAGTAGCTGCTGACGATTCCCCCTGCGCCTTTAACGAAAGCCCTATTTCATGATTTTTTTTTCTTTTTTTTTGCAATTAACTTTTTCAGCTAATTTTTAATTTTTCTGTATACCGTAAAAATGGGAAAAAATGATTCCTTAAATGAAGATTTTATCAAAGACGTAGGGGAAAACGTTGCGCAAGTTAAGTATACCGTTGGCCGTCCCATGATTTTCGTGAATGAGCTGTAGCCTGATGTCTTGCGTAAAAGCGAAAAATAAAAAAACTTCATATCCTCATTTACAATCCTTATTTCGAAAAGAATTCCAAAAAAATAAAAATACAGAGCCTTTAAATAATTTATAAATTTCTGGAAATTGGTAAGTGCTCTGTAGACGAATTTCGCCTGGTAACTATTCAATTTATTGACAAAAAAAGGATCAGTATTTTTTTCTATTATGTCGGTTGAACCACTTCAGTTAGAGAAAGAGGATCAAGAGCAAAAAAAGAAAAAAAGTTTTTTTATAACGTTCAACTTTTTTTCATATCCGGATAGACAGAGTCCTCCAACGAAAAAGTCAAAAAATGTGAAAGAAATGAATGAAATAGAGAAAGCCCAGGAGACCTGGAAAATGAAGAAAAACTGTCTGTCAGCTTCTTTTATACAGGAAATCTACATAAACAAGCATGATTCATACAACTCTAATTGAGTTCAAAGAACGTGTTTCAGGCCCACAAACAATCAAATGCATAAGTTTCCTTTTCCAACAATTGAAAATGCATATTTTCTATCATTTTTTTAAAAGCCCTAATGGGTTCTAAAATGGATCGAAGAGGTTTTTTGATGTTTCATATGGAACTATGACAAACAGCGCCTGGTTAACTCCATTTCGAAATGTCGAATTTATGGAAAAAATGATTTTTCATTTGGAACATTTTTTGACAAAGAGACGGTCGTAATTAGCAAAAAAACTAAATTGAAAAAAATGCTTGGTCATGAGATTTTTATGATACTTTTTTTACTGGCATGAATAACCTTAATCCTAACAAATCATACTTGTGAAAAAAAAAATGAAAATGAGAAAAAATGTATGCGAGGTCTCAGACAGCTAAAATAAATAAACATTTTTCCTCTTTTTTTTATACCGATCTCGAGACGCACAAAAGATTCATCATATCTTTTTGGAACACTCAGATCACATTTAGAAATAAGAAATAATCATCTTCGAATAAAATCGTTTTTTCAGAGAAACAGACAAGCGTTTCCGTGTTCAAAAAACAGAACTAATAAACTTCGCGAGTTTTCGCAAATTCTATATTTTTTTGCAATCAAAAAGCTTTGTCGTCTTTTTTTAACCTTCTTGAAATATTTTATAGTCAATTTTTTTCCCGATCTGAAACGCTAGGGAGACAGAAAAGGAGGCGGGAAGCGTAGCGTTTGCGTACTTGGTTCTTGGCACAAGTTCAATTCAACCGCAAGCGGCAATTCCGAGATATTTTCATTCAAACAATTTATTGAACTTTTTTCCCTTGAATTCATAATAAAGTTGACTGACATGCCCCTATAAAAACCATCAACTAAAACCCCTCTGTGGCCACTTATGGAAGTTTAAGTAGCTCCTACAGAGGAAAGTAAAGTGTTTCTAGAGGGTTTCAAATTTGTCCTTGTAGGGATCACTTTGGTATTTCGGAAAATATCCAGTAAAAAATGAGTAAGTTTTTTTTTCGTTTTTCGTTCTTAACTATGTCAAAAACAATATTATTATTTGAATTCTTAACCAATTGAATAAAATCATGTTGTTGACCATTTCAAATTAGAAACAATTAAGCAAAACAAATTTATTAATCCGCAGCAAATTCTGTGAATTTGATAACAGCCAGCCCTGCATCTTCGGGGAAATAAATTTGTCCAACACGCATTCTTTTTTTTATTTTTTGAGATTTCAGCTCCAATAAACATTTTTTAACAAAAAACGTCTTTGAAACTTCCGATCAAAACAATCGATTCAAAAAAAGTTATGAACAAAAAATCGAAAAAAAGAGGTCGACCAAGCATTTCCATCCCTCCGGGGTAGATAAAATTGGGAGCTGCATGCAGCGAAAAGGCTCAATCTCTGTCATCGGCCTTTGGAAAGCCGGCATCGTTCTTCTTCCTACGACCTCTCTTGTACCTGATGTTCTACGAGCGAAATTCACAACTTCTCTGCCTAAGCCACAGCTCCTGCCGCCGTTTAAACACAGTCAAATTAATGAAAGTCGATTGCACATGTATTCTTACATTGGAGATGCAATAAACAGTTTTTTATGAACAAAAATAAAAATAAAAAAAAACATTCTAACCTATTTTCATTATTGTAAATAAAAGCCGCCGGTTCTAAATCATATAAGCGTTTCAAAAATCATTTTCGCGAAAAATAAAAAGAAAAAATGGAAAATTTCCGACGAAAACAGTTATTTTGGGGAAAAAACAATACGCATCGGAAAAAAAACAAAAGTAGCCGGCGGCGTTCAATTTGGAGAATCTATTATGCGCCAAAACCGGCTCAACCTCTAGGTGGAGCGAACTTTCTGCTCCTTCCGCCTCTGCAGTTCTCCCTTGTTACCGCGATCGATGCCCATCCACTGCGCTCATCTCTCTCAAATTTGCCCGTTCTTTTTCTAGTCTCTCGCCGGTCACTTTGTTGTACCAATGCGGGCACCTTTACACATCGGAACATTTCTGAGCACCTAAACACTTTTTTCGTTCATGAAACTGGCTGACTGGAAGTCGACGACGCAATAATGTGTTTCAAAGGTAAATTCGTTTCATTATATTTGTCGCAATAAAATGTCCAATAGAATTTTTTTGATGTTCGAAACTTATCAGAAAGTGGTATAGTTTTGTCGTGGAATTTTTGAACAATACCAAGATGCTTGGAAAAAATTTTATTTTTTTTTTGATTGAAATTAAAATCTTTCAGAGAATTTCAATTTTAATCCAACTTTCATTGCTATTTGTATTTAAGTCATACTGTAAAAGTTTAAAAGTGCATACTGCTATACTGGTTCAAAGTAAACTGAAATATCTAGCGTCAGAACAAATAAGAGTCGACAAAAATAAAATTTTGGTATGCCTGGAGGAAAATTAACGCTGAAGCACGTCCCAGCAAATTTTCCTTACGTTTTCAGAACTTGTATGTAATATCTTTAAAAACCATAAACAAATTACATGTTTTTTTCTAATTCAAAGTTTTTGATGTTCTTAGTTTACTACTATTATTAATTCGGAATTTTTGCCAATTTATCGATAGATTCACAGTTTTTTCAAGAGAGCTCTTCTGCGGTGAAATTTTTCTGGTTTTTGTTCACAAAAGTCAAGGAAACAGAACAATGCGAAAAGAACAACTTACCCACTATTCCGACGACTTTTTCTAAGTACTCATGGAGTTTAATAGACTTCAAGAGGTGTCGTGTAAATATTTTTAAGAGGTTTTCTACCGATTCAAAAGTTCGCACAAAAAAAAACTTACTATATGAAAACGGCGCTGTGGAAAAAAATGTGCCTTATTATTCACATGCATATATGATAGTTTTTTGGAAAAGTCCCAGGGGTATTACGCCTTTCTCAATTTCTCATTTTTTGATCAAGATGGTGCGAAGCCACAGAACACTCAATGTCACAGAAAAACATTTTTTTTGAAAAATTTTTGTATTCTGCATTTTCTGTCAGAAACATATTTCAAATGAAATTAATTAAAAATGTTTGCTAATTAGAAAAAAATTTTTTGTGCATCTCTTGTATGAATTAATAGGTTTTTTAGTATTGACGTTATTCGAATTTTTTTCATTCTGTTTTTTTATCAAGTATCAATTCTCATTTTTTTCAGAAAAAAATCAATAAATTGTGTGATTTGATCGACACAAAAAGTAGACGATGGATCTTGCATCCCGTTCATAAATTTTGTCAATAAAGCTATCAAGGGAGTTGGAAAGGTAATTCTCCATGTTAAATTGACCTTTGCTTATATCTTTCAGGCTTTGGTTTACGTCGTTTTCTCTTTAACTTTATTTCTTTCCTTCACATCTTTCTTTATCATCCTCCCGTACGAGCAACTGTGAGCTTTTATCCAAAACTTAGGTTGCTTATTCAAACTTTTTGCAGATATAAATCACCGTATTTGTTGATCATAATATCCATCTTTGGTTTATACCTTTTGATCAACATTCAATTTCATTACTACAAAGCAAGAACTCTTCCGCCTGTGGCCAATCCTGGAGTGAGTTCTTTGAAACTGCTGGTTTCCGCTAAGATGATCTGGTAGATTAAAGCGGATTTCAGGCCGAAGGAGACTCTTTTTGTGAAAAATGCAACTATTGGAAAAGTACAAAGACCCATCATTGCGCCGTTTGTGGGAAGTGAGTACCTTATTTTTTAATTGTGGCTTTTCTTTTTTAATCCGATCCAGTGTTTCACAGTCGCTAAAAAAAGCATGTGAAAAAGAGATTCAATCGCCGGAAATGAGAAAAAAATCAGTCATTTCTTTTTTTATTTGTTTTTACTTCATAATTGAAAGATCATTCTTACAAAAAAATCTTACCTTAATCAAAATTATAAAATAGAATAAAAATTAGCCTTTTTGATACCATAAAAGATATTTTTTTCTTAATCAACATCAGTTCTTTCAGGTGTATTCTGGGGATGGATCACCATTGCATTTGGATAAACCAATGCGTCGGATCTCACAATCACAGACATTTCTTTCTTTTCATTGCGAGTTTGACCTTGGCCACTCTGATTATACTTATGGCAGGCTTCAATTCATTTTACGATCACGTCTTCAATGTAAGTTTTTTTAATCAAAAAGGAAACTCAAACTTCCATGTCTTCAGTATTCCACTGACTACACCTTCTGCTCTGCAAATTTACACATGGCGCCTTTGCAACCTTTCATTTGTGAATATGACGGTCAGACTTTCTCGAACTCGAGAAATAAAAACTTTTTTTTTCAGGTTTCGCCAGAAACGCAGTAATATTTTGTTATTTGTTGAGTGCGGTTCTATTTCTGATGGTCGGCGGGTTGACGTTATGGAACGTTTATTTGATATCGATCGGATGCACTTATATTGACTATTTGGTAAGACCTCCATATTCAAACTTCTCTGAGAATTTTCTCTGTTTTTTCTTTCTGGGCTACAAAGTAATGTCAGGCGCATGTAGTTCGCTTTCGGGTGCGCCGAAAAAGTTTATCATTTTCAAAATTACGTTTTAAAAATTATGGGTCATTTTTTTGAGTACGACATGTGCTGCAAAGAAAAGCGAATGAAAAGCGACTTTCAGCAAAAGAATGGCACAAAAAGACCTTCTGGGTATCGAAAGTACACAAGCAAAGCGGCAAATTGGCGCAATTTTCTGGGTCTCCGTCGTAACAGGACATTCCTCAAATACGTGCTGCTTCCTCGGGTTTTCCCGCCAATACTTTATGAAAATATTAGGAGAACGGAAAGCGATAGTTCCCAAATTGTCTAGCGCAAGCTTTTTTGGTTCACTGTGAAGTTTTAGTCATCGATTCTGGTTCATTTTCCCCTTTTTTTCCTCTGGTTCCAAATATCTTTTCACGCAGAAATGTGATGATCTTCGTGTCAAACGGGTATTCAGGTTGTGATACTGTTCAACAAAAAGCATTTATTCTGCAATGTATATTGATATAAAGTTTCTATTAATTAGTTGGCAGTGATTATGGCAGCATGGAAGGATGAAGGAAGTTTTGAGACAAACCCGTGGATAATGAACAGACAATTTGACGTATTCAACTTTGAAAGAGTAATTAGCGCTATTCTACGAACTAATTGGTCAGCTTTTGGCGTTGCTCCAAAACTCGTCGAGGGAAATGGCGGAGACGTTGTCGAGAACGTCCATTCGAGGTCTTTCGAAAAGCTCTTGAGTTCGACGCGTTTTCAGGAAACTTTCGTCTCTGAAATTGGAAAACTTGAGAACTGAGAAAAAAAAATAGGATGAAATTGGAGTTATAAATGTTTGTTGCCTTTTCCAGAGCTAAGCTTGATATTTCAGAACTAATCTCAATGTGTACTTCAGCAGTATCCAGATAGAACTCATTAACAAGAAATCAGGTTCGAGGAATCTCTAAGTACGGTTTAGGCAAGTTTCACTCTCGAAATAGTATTTTTGTAACGCTGTAGTGAAAAAGTCATTAATTTTGACCTCGTATTCAAGCTGTGGAAAGTAGACTCCCGTATCGGCAACGGAGGCAGAGAGCGAGGAGCTGGATGAGGTCGGCTGACCAGCTTCTGGTAGTCAGCGTCTCCTCGAGGCAGCTCTTCATCCAGAGTCTTTTGGACCGTCTCTGGCGCAGTTTTTTCGTTGCTATCGTCCGAAGGCAGGTCTACTTCTTCGGATATCCGATTTTCACTTGTGGGACGAGTGGTCACTCGGCGCGGCGAGGTAAGATGATTTTCTATTGTACGAAATTCTGACAACGGCTTTGGAGGAAGGTTGATGGTTTCGGGAAGTTTCGGAGGAACAGGAACAGGAGCAGGAGCAGGTGCTACTACGTTTGTTGATGCTAAACAGTTGCGACAATTTTCGGATATGTTAATTTCAAACTCACGTAGATGTTGAACGATTTCTGACCTATGACTGATTGGTAGAACTTCTGAATCTCTAGGAGGCGGCAGTGCTGACTCGGCTGCATGAACACGCGCTCCTTCTCTCTGCTTCCAGCAAACTGAACGAAAAATTGAAATCGAGATGAATAATCGGTAAACCGAAGCAGAGAAAAGCCGTTATTGTAATCATCAATAGTAAGATCAAAAACAAGAGAAGCCACAAAGTGAACTGTGAAGAACTTGAGTTGTATCCTTCTTCGATCGTTTCTTCATTTGGGGGATAAATCGTGGTTGTCCAATCTGGAAACAAGATTGTGTCAGTTCTTGTCTTTTCTGTTCTCACCTCGCTTCATTTCACAAATGAATGGTAGTTTCAAATTGCATGGTTCAACAGCAAACGGCGTTGGCTCTGTGTATTTCACCGTCACGCAGTCGCTTTGATCATTGTTCGGCATCATCATTTTTTTGTTTGCCGCGCTAAAAAAAGCTTCGAAGTTCTTCCAGAAAATTTTCCGAAATACCCAACTAGTATTGAAAACCCTCGGTTCAAAACTTTAGTCGACAAAGAAAAGATTTAAATTTGATGACTCACAATGGCTGCAGAGAATTCGCAGTCTCATCCACGCCTGTAAAATTATCTTCTACTTTTGCGTCCGTGTATCCGATCCAAATTTCTTGCTTCACGTTTTCAAACCATTCTGAAAACGTTTTTGAAACAGTAAAATTTGCAAAATTTCACTTCGGAACAGGCTAAATTCTTCTTCTGTTTCGATCATCAACAAATTGCCTTTTCGTTCGTTGCATATCTTCTGAAATTGAAAATAAGTCTTCTCATCCAAAAAAAGATATTTTTTAAATTCACATGTAGTCAATTATTCTCGCCTCGAAAGGCGAAATCGGTTGATTGATAAGGATGAAGTGTTGCGTGTGCGAACCGGCTTTTGCCGGGTAACTCGAGGCAAATGTAATAATGAAAAGTATTGGAAAAATTTTTTTCAATACGTTCATACTTTCATTCTGAATCTTTTTAGAACCCAAAAAAATTTCGTTAAATGAGAAACTTTCAAAAATGGACAAAAAAAGGAGGCCCATTTTTTTGCCTTCGAATTCCCCATCAAAAGTCGCGTCGCACACGCAACGCTTCGCCGTTGCCAGTCAACCCATCTCGCCTTTCAAGTCGGGAAAGGTCGATGTTTTTTTGAAAAAGTTTTTTTAAAAGAATTTTAAAGCAGAAAATCTATTTGAATACGGAACAAAAAATTCTATATTTTTTTATCTCAAAAAAATCCAACCTGCGCGGAAATCCAATCCTGATCTTCTTCCCATACGTACTGTATACAAGAGCCAAAATTGGTTGTGTTCCACCCTTCGGGGCAAGAATCAGGCTCTAGAAGCAAAAATATTTCGAACAAAAAAAGCTTTCAAGTTACCGATCAGTTGATAGCTTAGTTTAGCTCCTCGGTATTCATAAGTGTCGTCGGATTTCAGAAGAATGGTCAGAAAGTTGTTTTGAGAAACAATCTCAAATAATTATTTTCAATATTGAGAAGTACGAAAATAACTTGCTTGTCTATGACTCAGACTTGCACAGTATATTCCTATAAGCTCTTCGTTTCGAGATGAATCTCCTGAAAAAAGCTTGATTTCAAAAATATTAATGACTACCCGGATAAATGTCCAGAACAGAACGTTTTTGGTAACAGTGTAAATTCGCAGTAACTGGTTTTCTTTGAAGAAAAATTGCAAGAATTATCAACTTGTAATGCAATTCTTCAAATTTCAAAGTTTGAAAGCAAGGGGTTTCACTCAAAACACGAATTTTAGAAGAAATTTTCATCCATTAAAACTGCATAAAGTTTCCATCTTCTATATCGAAACGCGATCCGAAACCGAACAAACTCTCTATTTTTTTCTAAACGCGTTTTGTATCTGGAATGTCTTTTTTGTTGCACTCTTCAAACGTTTTAAAGCCGTTTAGTAGCCTGCTGAAGCTACGGAGAGCAATTTTTTTTTTGCTCTCTGAGTTTCCTTAGTACAACTCTCAAAAAATATGAGAAACAATCAACATTGTTTAAAAAAAAGGAATACTTCTTATTTTCTCATGATCAATGCATCAGAAGTCATTCTAGAATTTTTGAAAAATCATGCATTTAAACAGCTATTTTTTTATCATGAAGTTGCCGAAAATTGAAATTTCTTACTTAGTCAGAAATTTTTTTGAATTTAAAAAAAGAAAGCTTTGTCAAATCTCTGTAACAACTTTCAGAAATGTTCACACAGAACATTTTTCATCAGATCAAATGAAAAATTTTTGCAGATGACTGAGTTATTTATTATCTGTTGAGGGTCTACGAAGCTTGCGTGCCAAAGTGAAGTTCGCATGTTTTGAGATCGCACAGAAATCTACAATTTATCAAAGTTGCGCGGTTTTAGAGAATTTGCTGTTTTATACTATATAGAACAGACCAATTTCAGAAACTTAATACAGCATTAAAAAAATTATTCAGAAACCTTGCAAAAAGTGTTTCAGCAGACGGTTTCAAAAAAATACCAATATTTTTTTAAAAACCGGTAAAATTGAAAAAAACTTGAGCGTTTATCTCAACACCCGATTAAACTATTGATAAAAAAATGGCAAAAAGCGTAAAGATCCAAAAAATAAACATAGATCGAGAAAAAAAACCAACCTTCAAAAAAAGCAACGTAATCCCGACAGTTAGAAAAAATGTTGGGTTCTGTTTGAAGGTCTTCAATTTCAATGAGAACTCGATGTTTGTCCGGCGCTTTAATTATAAAGGTGCAATCCATTGACGGCGGATAGTTCTGATTTTGGTCATAATTTGGCGTAGTTACATACTGCTTCATTTTTGTTGCCGTCAGAGTTCGTTCGCCTGGAAGTTGGCTGAGATTAGAAACTAATTGGCACAAAAAGACGTTTTTGAACATGAAAACATGTGGTTTTTGCAAATTCTGATTAAAAAAATGCAAAAAGATAAAAGATACTTCAAAGCCTGAAGGCCTAAATCAGAATAATAAACGAGAACATAAAAAATGATTGTGAACACTCTCCTATTAAGTAAAAACTGAGAAAAGCTGAAAATTTTTTTCACCTGAAAGAAAGGACATTTTTGTGGCAGTTCGAGAATTTCAATGGATAAATCTTGACGCAATTTTTTTTTGTTTTGAACGTTCACATTCGTCCAATTCGTTAGGCTTTGTTCTAATCCCTGAGCGTGATACTCAAGTGACCTTTATAAGACATTTTTATCAGTTTTGAGATTAAAAGAAAGAAAATCAACACGTTTTACGTTTTCGTTTTCCCACATTTTAGCTGACATAGCCATTTTACCATTGTCATATGAATGAAAAAATTAATGCTACGGAAAAAAGTTCAACATCTCAGAAGAAATTCTCAAATTCAACCCTACATATCGCTTTCAAACCTTAGAAAACGCTTATCAAAAGCCAAAAAGCCATTCGGAAGCCATTTTTGATCTTTCGCAACACACCACAAATGAAAAACTACATCTCAAGCGAGAAAAGGTGGGTAGGAATTAACGGCAAAACAAGAGAGTAGTTTTAAAAAGATATAATTGAACTCACCTGAACAAATCTCCGCGGAAGCACTGTCCAAGCAGACGAACAGCAGCAAGGCCCAAGCGAGGGCCCCGCCTGGGTCCATCTTGGCGCTCGGCCAGCTGCTATAATTTCACTATTTTAAGCCAGCAATGACCCCACTGAAGCAGGCAGCGAGCCAAGTCGCAGACGTGGTTACTTAGTAACCGCTGGAGAAGGCGCCGTAAGTGGACAGCAGCACCTGTGATGGTCACTCTGCGATTTCCTCAGGCGTTTCTCCTCCAATTGCTATGTATCATTACTGACGGCGAGCAAAACGTGCAATTTACAAGAGTTACTACGGCTTTCGAACTTTAGCACGTTTCGGGAATAAGAACCGCAAAGAGCTTTTGAAGCCCATTTTTTTCTAAAGCAATCTGTCCGTTTTTTCTGTTAGGTGAAAAGTAATAAGAATATTTCTCTACAATATTCTCATAACAATTATTTTTCAAAATGAAGAATGTCGTAAAAAAATGAGTTAATTTTCACTTTTAATATGTTCAAATGGATCTCAAGGGTCTGAATGACGTGTTTTTATAGCCGATTCCTTCGCGATATTCTAGAAATCAAGCCTTGGAATTTTTTTATTCAGCTTAGTCACCTTAACCAAGTTGATAATACATCTCTAGTTCAAGTTTTCTTATCTTTCAGACATTTCTGAAGTTCGAAGAGACAACATAACCACCTGGAGTCTATAAAAGACACTCCGATCTTTCAACTTTATATTTAATCATGCAAAGAATGTGTTCTAATGAACGATCACCATGGTAATAACTCATTAAAGAAACTGCACTTTCTTAAAAAATACCACACTTTTCGAAGAATTCACAGAAGTATAACGTGAATTTGTTTGGAAAAAGTCAGGAGAAAACGTGAAAAATGGAATAAGCAGAAGTTATCAGATGTGGTGAAGAAGGATCTTGCCGATGCTCAAAAATTCCACGGCATCCACGTCGAAAAAAAGGTACGGAGCCTGGAATGTACGAATGTGACTCAAATATGACTCGCCTGCTTATTTCGAAATTTTCGTTTATCTCTTTGATAACATTTGAAGATTCATTTTTGAATTTACCTCTCGAAGCGATTCTTCATTTAAGAAACCTCGACCGTAAAAAACCATTTTTGCCCTGAATGCAACTATAGCGTTTTTCTGAGCTTTAAAAAAGCTTTTTTTGAGGTTTTCAAGTCGAGAAATGGTCAATTCGGTACAACTCATATAAAACAAGGCTTTCATCATTTCTTTTTTTAATTCTCATTGTCACCTACACGACATCATCATAAGAACTCTGAGCTTCTGGTCTTTTAGTCTGTGCAGCCCTGAAGAGCCATCCGATTATATAAAATTGAAAATAAAATACTTTTATGCAAAAAAAAAACGTGAATAAATGAGTATCAAATAACCGAACATTTTGTTTCGATCGGTAACAAATGGTGAGAAAATGTGGCATGTTGCGATATGGGCAATGCCAAAGGAGCAGACAAGTCTTTAACTCATTCAGGAAGGAAGTGACTCTGCCCGCGTCCGGAGTTGACGAAAATATCTCTTATTTACACGTTTTGAAATACATTACATTGGTTCCATTTGATGTACACGTATAATCACCGAAAAGACAGGATTTCTACAAAACAAAACGATGGTCGTGATTCTTACAACATTCAAAAAGTTGGGATAGAATGACTCTATCCACACAAGATTGACTTTTCAAAACTCTTTTTTTCCCCCAAAAATCAGCAGTCGTTTCAGACAAAAAAGCTCGTCCAAAGTGACAAAGACCGAGGAGTTTAGGACTCTCAGGATTTTTAACTGGTGGATCAAAAAATGTTCTTCCCGATTTTCGAGAAAATTCATACAACGAAAATAAATTACCTTTCTTGGGATTGGAAATAGTCGATAATATCGATAAAATAAGATTGAAGTTCTCACGTCAAAGGTTTGTCACACGTTGTATCAATGAAAGAACTGCGGTCAAATAATTAAACTGACATTAAATATTAACAATAAAATCAGTGGCAAGAGGAATTCATGAAAAAGAGAGAAAGAAGAAGATTGCCGTGATGTGACGTTGTTTGGAGGTGAAGCAGGTCTACCTGGACTTTTCCTTGAATCTCCGCCACAAGAAAAATCTTCGTCATCTTTGAATTTTCGTGCTTCCATGTCGAACAGCTCGAGAATCATGGCAAGTTTCTCGTCTTCTTCTGTAAGATTTTTTTTCTTTGGTGCAATTCTTTCAAATTAATTTTAAAAACTGTCAAATCTTTATTATTTTTTTTTATTATTTTTCTTGACTCTTCTATGAAGAGATGATCGTGAAAAACAAAGTAGCTGGAGCTCTTAAAAACTGAGAGCTTTCTCAGACAGCGACCCAGAATGAGCGGAAAAATATTTTAGAATTGTCCTCACCTAAAATTGTAATTCGATAGATGCTACACCGAGCTTGGAAAAGCTCCCGAGTGTAATCGACTTCGATCTGAATTTAGTTATTCATCGGCTTCTTATCAAGAAAAAGATCAACCTTGTACAGTTCGATGTTTGCCTTCTTTGCGACGGCCGCTTGTATTGCAGACAAGGACATGTTACTCGACACAATCCATCGAAAACTCGCCTGCCAAACTGTTTTCAAAAACCGAATTCTGCTGGTTCAGACCTCAGTAACTTTTTTCAAAGGTTCGCATGAAATCAGAGCAGGGTTTCGTGTTGACTTCAGTCTTATCGACTTTCCCACAACTGCAAACTCAACTAAAGAGACATTTCTTGCAAAAAAATCACCCGAATATGGCCCATTGAGAGGTAGGTTTGGTGTGACGACATGGTTTTTCGAGTTCGAAATCAGATTTCCTGATTTTTTTGAAGTACTTCCAATGGGACAAAGCTCATTTTTTCCAGGTATACAGTCCGTGTCCTTGAATGAATCAGTTCTTTTTTCTTTTTCTGAAATACTTCTCCCAACTCACGTTCACTTGAAAAGGATTGAAAACCAAGGCCGTTCTGCAAGTCATGTTTTGCTGACTAACGACTTCCCATTCGACTGGCTCCTGAATGTTGCAAAGTCACACACTTATAGTTGATCATAGTTTTGAAAAATTCAATCCTTTACTCAAAAGGATAGAATTTTCTATCAATCTAGCAAACTCTTTCAAAAACTATTCAAAGGTCTAGATTACCACCGTATATGATAATTTATATAACCGATAGTTTTCGGCGTTGGTTTAGTGCAGATCGAAACTTCGAAGATGTGTTCCCTAGAAGTTTTCGCAGGTGCAAGTTATGAAGGACTGATTTAAAAAAAATGTATTCTAAAATTGGGAGGCATAGAGACTTTTTTTTAAAGAACATCGTATATGACAAACCGAATGCATCGTTCTTTGGTTCGTATTTGCCTGTTGAATCGAGTAGTAGACTTCAGTAGGTAAAAGGTTTTCATAGTTCGTTGAAGTGAATTGAGTCTGAACTTTGCTTTCCATGGAAGTTCCAATAAACAGAATAACCAGTTTGATGTATCCAGCGTAAGGCTCAGTGAACGTCGCGAAAGCAACACTTCTCTCACTGAGAGGCTCGAAATGTCCGCAGAAGACCTCATTTCCTTCACTGAGCAGAATCGAGGTTCCCATTATGCTTTTAGGTCCGGTGACCAGGTTCTCGTTCACAATGACACTGTAACAAGTTTTTTCCTAAATTTATGAATAAAAAAAGTTTACATTAGTTCGCAAATTGAATTTAAAAGGTGTGTGAAAAGAGGAAAGTTCGCATGTTTCTGAACAAGAAAAAAAGCTTAACCAAAATGCGAAAAAAGCTCGAAAAGTGTCGAGAATTGAAATTTGTGCGCTATAAATTTAGTGAAAAAAAGGCATCTTTGATTTTTTTAAAAGTTCCTTAATCGACCAAAAGCAAAAATAATTACTTGTTGGTCAAAAAGCCAGGAGAACTAAAAAGTTGATTTTTTTGCAACTTTTTTTCAATCTCTGAATTAGCTATCAAGAAGGCAAATTTTTTTCAACTTCTTATTTTTTTCCAGATGCTTCCTTCAATTCATAATTATACTTTTTGTATCTTCAAAATTTTTTTAATTGAAGCAAAAAAACCAGCCTAGAATCATTTTTTTCTTCCCGCCAAGCTTGGTCCGAATGCTGTTTATCCAGTTCACCTGGAAACGAGATTCGAGCACATTAGTGTATTCAATGTTCGGATTCCTACGTTTTTAGTTGGTCCAAGATTTTGTTCGCCGCAAGGAGGGCCGTTGGTGACGCTTCTATCAAGAGGACGGAAGTGTGCGGCTGTATGAGAAAACTTCTGACGCTTGTTTATGAGAACCTGCAAAAGCGATCTGTCGAATGACTGGAAACTGGATAGAGATCACTTCTGTATAGTTATTGGCAGGGTACTCTAGGGCGACGATTGACGCGACAGTAGGCGCAGAGACAGGTGATATTCTTTTAATCAACGCGTGCATGGAAATTGCTCCTTGAGGCAGTTGAGTGAGGTTGGCGCAGATCTGAACTTTGAACAATGAATCGAAAACTCGAAAACACAGAAAATATCAAACCATGTACTTTTCAATGAAAAAAGTGAAAATTTTCAGTCGCTATGGTTTTAAAATTGTTCACCTTCTATTAGATCAAAATTATGACTAAAAATAAATATGATCATTGATTAATTGACCTTCAAAACTATTTGCAACCCATTCTTTCTCAATAAATGTAAAGTTATGATTTTGAAAAATATATATTAAGCATCCGTTTTTAAGAATAGGCAAAAAATACTCTAAATTAAAAATTCTCTGGAATTCAGCCAACGGTAGTTTTTTTACCTATTCTTAAAAAAACGGATGCTTCAGGTAATATTTATTCTTCGAAATCATAATTTCACAGCGCTATTTTTTTAAATTTAAATACAAATTGGAACTTTGCGGATGCTCATGCCTTACAGCGAAATCCAGACAAAGAGAATTTCAAATTTGAGGAAGAACAACCAAAAACTTCAATTTGCATTAGAAAAATACTTTTTTTCTCGTATTTTTGAAAAATTTCTAACCTTCATCCATTGCAAGTCTACAATAACCGACCGCATCAGTGTGATATCAAACCAGGGAAACACTCCCATCAAGGACACTGAACGTTGAAAAGTTAATCACAAGAAAAGAAGTAAATGATTCACCGTCAGGTTCATTTTTTCCAACAACAACTGCAGCATCCTGCACCAGGAAACAGTCGTCACAAGACGCGTGTGAACAGACCGTAGTTTCCGCGAATTTATCGGATACCTCAAAGTAAGAACAAAAAAATGACAGAACAAAAAAATGTTCAAGAAAAAAAGTAAAAAGGCTTTCATTTTTTTCAGATGAAAACGTTTTTCGAATTAGCTTCGAAATGTTTCTGAATAAGAATTTTTTTGAAATTTCAAAATGAGCCATCTCCGTTCGGATGAAAAAAATCATGGTATAACAGAACACGTCGCAGTTGCTCCGCATTCTAGCAGTTGAAAAAAATTTTGTGACTTTCTGAAGGAAATGTCTGACTTCCAGGAAAGTTTTCTTTTTCACAGTAATTCTCAACTTGTGTCCTTTATCACTGGAAGAATTTTAAATAACAACCATTATAAATATTGATTTTTTTTATTCAATTAACCTGCACAGTAGCCCTGGTCGCCATTTCATCGAAAACATTTCTCAACTCGCCGGTCAGCAAAACCTTGTCGCTGGTGTCCACAATGGCAATTCTGAGAGAGAAAAAAACGAGATGGTCGAAAAACGTTGGAGTATTCAAGCAACCTGCCAATAATTGGGTGAACGAAATTGGCGAAAGCGGCCGGACGAGCGAATTGTGGCCGAAGTACGCTACACGTTCCTTTCGCTACAAGCGACTGAAAAACTTAATAGTTTTCTCAATTTTAACGGTTCCTTCTATAGGTGTTGCAAAAAAATGATTGTATTTGAGTGAGATTTTCTCAAATTTCAAATACTTTCCGAAAATTCAATCGAAAACTTTATAAACTAACGGAATAAAGCATTCATCAACTGAACCAAGTAAAACCAGTTATCGTTTTACTTTAGTTAAAATAAACCGTTTTCCCATCGCATATAAAAACAAAAAAGAAGTTATAAGCTCAGTATGATCATTTTCCTTGATCACATTTGAAAACAAAAGAGAAACATCTTTTTTAAAGTATTCTTTGGAAATGACCAGAAAAATTGAAACGGCAACCTCAAGATTTTTTCGTTTTATTATTTTAAAGAAACAAAGCTTTTCAAGCAGGAAAATGTTTCTGCACTGTTTTGTCTCTAAAAAAACATTATATCTCACCTTCAGCATAATTGTTTCTGATCCAAAAATGTTTATCGACGGATAATAAGCCTCGTAGCTCTCGTGGATAACTTCAGTAGAAATGTCAAGGCAATCGTCTCTGAAATTAGTTCAGTTTGAAAATGAAATCACAGGAAATACCAACCGGACATGAAGTTCGGAAGGTGCAGGGTTGGTGATAGTTCTAACTGATTCGAAATAATGAGCCTGAAAAGTTTTAATCTCACTTTTACAAGTTTTCCTTTGTTTTCATATGAGATTTGAATTTGACTGGCATCTTCAAAACGGAAGAAACGGATATTTGTTTGATACACACCAACAAAAATGGCTTAATTTCAGAATGATTTTGATGACGAGGAGCCAGTCAAAAATAAATATCATGACGACTATAGTCTGTGTGCCACGATTTGAAATTTCACGGAACGACATTCCGCTGTTCCGCTGCGTGCGTTCGCGAAGCGACTTTCAAATAAGTCACTCTTTCAATTTATTGTTATTGCTGTGCGAACACGTGAAAGTAGAGTACCTTGATAAAAGAAAAAAAAATTAAAAGCGCGACCGAGGTTCGCAAAGGCGCGCAGCGGCACAGCGGAATGTCGTTTGGTGAAATTCCAAGTCGTGGTACACACACTATACTAAGCTTTTATCTGGCTTAAAAATGAGTTTGATTACAATAAACTTATTATTCCAATTAAAATTTTAAAGACCTGCGTGAGGGTCACTCCTAAGGCTTTTATAGTCCTGGGCTCGACGTTTTGAATTGAGGCACAAGCAAAGGGTTGACCAGCGCGCAGAAGCATCAGCGATTGAAGTGAGTAATTGGCTGGGAGATCTGCAATTTCCGTTGATTGGCAATTTTCTTTTTTCAAGGTATGATCTAACTTAGGCCTTATTCATTTCCCGAATCTTTACACTAAGAATATCTTTCTCGTAGATACAGAAAAGTAATCTACGTCCACAATAAAAACATGGTCAACTAACCGTAAACAAATGTGGCGCGAGAATCGACTCCGATTTCGCTGCCATCGGAAAACTGTTCGATGGGTTTTTCACAGCTTTCCACAAAAGCCCACGTCATAATCACCTTGCTCGGCTCAATATCGTCATACTTGCGCATGTACTTGAGATCCGGCAGTAAACGAATCTTCAAAACGAAAGAAACTCTAGTTTGCGTCGTAATCTTCCCACTCACCGTGTTGTTCTTGACGGGTATGATGTGAACGTGACCTTCGATGGGTTCCGCGTGAAATGAGGCGTGCTTAAGCTCCTGTCCTGGCAGAATGACCGTCGCGCACGCCAGGACCTGTTAACGCCGGAAGTTTGTCAAGTGGTTTTTTTTTTGTCTTTTCAAGTTTTTGGAATGTCGAGAAGTTCAAGAGAACATCGGTAAGAAATCGAGAAAGTTTTTCGTAAAATAAAAATATATGTTTCCTTGTTATCAAATATTAGTGTAAGAATTGTTATTATCTCTTTGATTCACGGATTGACCTCGTTTAACTTTATTTCTGATACTATCCCTATTTCCATCTGAACTGGATTGTGTGAGAAACATTGTTCACATCACCGAACAAAATTGAAAAGTGTGTCCTAAAATCCAAAAATTCTAGCATTTATTTAAACGTCAACAATGCCTTCGTAACCACCACTCGAAAAAAAAAACTGACCTCGCTGTTATCGCCAGAAATGACGACGGCGTTGCCTGCAAGGCCGGCGCCGGCAATCGTCGAGTCGGCAAGCGTGACGTTCTTGACGATGGGCGGGCTCTTTTTGACCCTCTTGCAGTTGTCGGTCATCACCGCCATGTCGTAGGGAGCCGAAGACATGTGTACACCCCATCGAAGGTTTCCAGGCGGCTTTTGCCGTATGTCGAAGCTGAGCACATACATGTCACCATGATCATCTGCTGGAGAGATCTAAAAAAAAACGTAGGAGAAACATGTTTTTCCACTTCTTGTTGTCAAATAAGATCTTAAAGCGTGACTTTATGAGAATTTTGTTGATCATAAGCTAGTAGTGTGACTTTATAAAAAGCTCTCAAAAAATATTTTTTAGAATAAAGATCACTTTTATCAACGTCTTCACACCGTAACCTTCCAACGAACTTTTTTTGATCACTAATATGATGCCAATCACAATTTACGGGCGCAATCTGAGAACTTAAAGCGTCAAGAAACGAATTAGACGACATTAGACAGGCCAAATCCCATTGAATCAAATCCACCCGGACGGTTCCTACATCAAATCCGTCCAATTTTCTTCTAAATCGGTTTTCACGGTCGTTGATCAACGGGATTTGCCTCGAACCATAGCGCAAAAAAGCACCCCGCTGTCATTATGTTTTCGAATCTAACCGACGTAACCAGATCGAAAAAAAATCAGTGAAAGGTTGAAAAACAGTATTTTCGATCAAACGAAGAACTTTATTAAGTGCAGTTAGCACTTGCGGACAAAAAAGAACTCATTGAAGGAAAAAGAGGTTCAGAAGTTCCCATAGTTTTTTTGGCCTCAGCTAGCGTTAAACAAATTATGTCCCTTCTTCCTAATTCAAGTTTCAAACGTTCGTTGAATTCATCGAAACATGGGTGAAAACTCAAGATTACACTGTTTAATCTGTGAAAACGGAGAACTTCTATCACGACGATCTGTCTTATTGTCCGGCGTTCCAAATCTGTGAAACTCCACCATGTCTCGTCTATTGCCCATTTTTCTTATCAGAATGAACCAAATCGCTTAACGGAAGTTCCCCATGTTGCCAATGTGAAATTTCGCGGTTGTCATTGATGTTAATCGCCTGAGGACGGTAAAAAAAGTCATTGCATGCAGAAAAATTGCCGGCCGCAAAAACTACAAAACTTCCATTGGCCAAGTGAAAAGAAAAGTCGAAAAATCAGTTCCTGGTTCCGTTGAGCGGTACATGATACGCACCTTACAACTTTCCTCTGACAAAGTTCATATCCCATAGCAGAAAAAAACATTTTTGAATAGGAGCCAGTGCATAATTTTTGGCAGTATTTTTTTCAGGCTAGCGGCAAATAAAGTATTATTTGAAAAAAAAAAACCTTAGCCAAAGCTAATATTTCATTCTGATAACTTCGGAAACATCCTAGGAAGCTCATCCGTTTTGGATACATGTGTCTCAAATTTAAAAACCACTACAAACTTGCTTCAAACAGACTGGACAATGAGTGAAAAAAATTCTCGTGATACACTCGAGAAAAAAACCAACCGTAAGAAATCCCTTGAGCTTTTCTCCATATAGCAAAGTCCGATAAAATGGGACAGTAGCAAACGCAAAATCAGTTAATAACACAGAAAACAGTACTGTCAGCCAAAAGCCGACCATGACTGCTTCTGGCAGCTTGTGATGGAAAAAAGGCTGAGTGCAAGGGTTGTGACCGGAGAAGAACAAGAAGACTTGGGAGAAGACAACGAGAAGACGTCAACAGGCCGACGGACGCAAGATTCGCCGCCCCCTGTTCATCTGTTCTTCTTCTTCCTTCCCCACTTTCTGTTCTCTTTCTTCTCTCCATATCTCTTCTTTTCTTCTGCCTAGCTGGCTATGAAACTGTAATGTAATGTACCTGCCGCAATGTCTCTGGGATACTTAGTTTTATTAGTACTAATCAATGCCAATAAACACCGGTGCCTTTCATTTTGGCTTTGCCGACAGACAGCCAGTTGGTCTTTTTTTCTGGTTTCATGAAAAATTTCAGATACCAAGAAAAAAACAATGGGTAAAAGAGTTGATCTTCACTTCAAAAAAATTTTTAAAAAAACTTGAAAAAAATAACATTGAATTCTTCTAAAGAGCATTTCAGCTCATGTTCTTCATATTTTCTGTAGCTCATCGAATCATTTTCCGATCCGAAATATAAACGCTATTTACAAAAAGTTACGGTTTGGAACCAAAAAATTAGTGTGTTTACCAGACTTTTCTGATGAGTCAGAAAACACTCCCGACAAGGCAATAAAAGAAGAAACGCGAGAAATTTCAAGAATTCGCGTCGCGTTTGAAATTAGAATTGCAGTTCTCTCAAAGTGAGAAATTCTCGGCTTTTCGTTTTCTTTTCGGCATTCATGTTTTCCAAAAATCAACATCACAGTATAAGAAAGGGCTTCATTTACCCGTATCAAGCAGAATCGGAGAAAAATGATACAACAGCACAAAAAGAAACCGTTTTCTAAGTGACAGATTAGAGAAAAACAAATTAAAAACTTGACAAGGATTTTGCTGTGCCTAAGCAATAAATATTTACAAAGCGTAATCGAATTAAATTCAATTTGAAAAAAGGTTTTTTTAGGTATGGGGATCGGGATTCAGTAAATATTTTATAAACTGAGAGGAGTTTTTTGACTTATTAGCAACCCGTCAGGTTGATGGAAGGCTGATATTACAATTTGACATTAGAGATATGTAAAGAATTTGATTCGAAAATTGGAATTAATAAGGAAACCTGATAGAAATTGATTGCATAAAAATTTAAAACCCGGGAGAAAAATTAAGGGGTAGATTACTTGGAACTTTACAGAAATTCAACCAGAAAGAGAAACGCTGTTTTCTTTGTCTTTTACAAGGTTTTTTGATACAATTGTAGCTCCGGAGTTGCTGTCGGAGCTTATCAGCGTCATTTCAGGTACGTCTGGAAAACGACGCAATTTTCGGATATTTCTGATTTTTCACCATCATCAGGACCATCCTCAACAGCGCTATCGACGTCGCTGCCAATGACGTCCTCCGGAAGATCGTTCAGCGTGAATCCAGCCGGAATGCAAGACACTGAAAAAAATTCTAGGAGTTTTGCGTTTGTACAGGGATCGGCTGTGCTCTTGAAAAAGTGATTTGCCTTGAATGGTCCGAATTTATCCAAAAGTAACTCAAACGCTCTTAGAAGTGTATATGGATGTTACTCGTGTGCCCGTCTAGAGTCCATATGGTCACAAGTTCGATCTCCGCCGCGACTCAACCAAGGGATTTGAGAAAATTTGATAGTAGAAAACTATGGCTTCTCAACATTTAACTGTCCCACTCAAGAATCGATAGGTCACTTTTGCCAGTCTACTAATTGTTACTGATATCAGGATCAGAGGCCGAAATCGCTCAAGCCATAACACGGCAAGAGATGAAGAAGAAGAGTTTGAACGTTTTTTGTGGAGCAAGATACTCACATTCTTCGTCCTCGTCGTGCAAATGAGCATTGTGATCGGAAGCCGACGTATAGCGAGCGAGCCTATTGGCATACCTAAACGATGAAATTTTTGGTTTAACATTTTTTTATTGTGATTTTTTTATGTTTATCACTTGAAAACATTTGATTTTGTCGAATTTTCTCAGCGTCTGTGGTTTTTTTCCGTTTTTCAAAACGTAGGCAAAGTTTATATTTTCTTGAAAATAAAAAATGCCTTTGTTGTTGTTGAGCGACCATTTTTGGAGGCACTCTGGAACGTTTCAAGCCGCCGTCCCACTCCAGGTCAACAAGCCCTCCTCGTTTCGCAATCGTTTTTTTCACGCGATTGGCAAAATCGATGGCATTCTCACCGGGCTGAAACAAAAAAAAATGGAAATTTATACAGAAAGCAAACAAACCAGCCGTTCCATAGGAGGCAAATACCAGACGTTGCAAATGATCGCCCATGACGTCATCACACGCATTATGTAGCCACACCAAGACTGCTCGGAACTGTTCCAGAAGGCGTCGCCAAACCTCGAGTCGTATTTCATCGCGATAGGGTAAATAGTTGATCCTATCTGAAGAAAGAAATAATTGATACTTGATCCGTATTCATCTCAAAATCTTTGATAATCAATGTCCCAAATCGGATTATTTCCCGTCCTTTCAGAGAGTTTAGAAAATTTGAGTGAAAAAACCTTTCCGACGGTTCAATAAGATTTGGTCGAAAACACACCTCAAAGCAACCTTTCTTGAACATCATCACCGAAGTGTTATTGATACAAGTTCCTTCTGGGAAAATCAAAACGGGCAACTTGTTCGGATCACTACAGTGCTCTCGGAGTCTGCAAAAAGCATATGAGAACAATAAGTTTCTTATAAAGACTCACCGGTCAGCGACCTTTTCACGGTCTTTGGCCTCACTTCTTTCAAACCAAATATGGCTACTTGCGCGGGAAAGAGCACGTTGAACAAGTCCCAGGAGACCTTCGTGTTTCTGTCCGATCATGGCGTAAACATTGCCGATTGATAGAATCAACGCGTCGATTGGGGAAGTATGGTTGGCGACACAGATTCCTGGTTAAAACAAATCATTGCAACCAGGATACTTTTTCTCTTTCATAAATCCTACCATGTGACCTAAAATATTCCTTTTTCTATCTCAAAACTTTTTCAGTAAAAAACTTGCGTTTTCTCACGTTTATTTTAAATATGAGCTCAACCTCTGTTCCGAAAAGTTGTGAAAAAGATAAATCCAATTGCTTTGTTCAAATTCTGCAGTTGACAGGTAAAGATCATTCTAATGTTTTAACCAACCAGAGTTTTAATGTAAAATTACAAATTTGATATTTGTACATTTGAAATATCGACTACAAATACTTGTATATTTTTTGACTGTTTTTTAAAGATGTTCTCAGAACAATGAATAAGCTTTTCCGCATATATTGCGTTGATAAAACTGGAAAAAAGGACAACCAAACCTCCGTTTTTGGCCTTGTAGTGCTCATCGTGGAAATATACCACAGCTGTGAGACTTCTGGAGAGGATTCGGTAGCAAATGAGCATGCATTTGTGGTTGAGAGACCTAAGTTCAAGAAAAATTGAAAGCTATGACAAAAATAATTACCTTTTGTAAGATCCTTCGGGCACCATTCCGATCACAGCCGTTGAACTGACTAGGAAAATAAGGCCGATCGTGAAAAGAGTGAAGCGAAGTGGAAGCATCACGATGTAGCGGAAAGCAAAGCCAAGGATCCATAGGGTGGAAAGTTTCCAGCTGTAAAATTGAAAAAAGGTTAGGTGGAAAGAAAAACTCTACTCCGCCTTACTCCTTTGTTTGAAAATTGGCTTTTGTTTTTGTACTAAGTGAAATTTTTGAAAGTTTTGAAGTCACAAGATTTTCACAAAAAACACCTCAAAATTAAGGTTTGATTTAGTTGGCTATGCAAAAATTCTAAATCTTGAAACAATCATCAAATTTGAAATATCAGGATCTTTTCTTGAAAAAAAGCTGGTAAGGAAATTTTCAAAAATCGCTCTGAAAACTATTTGATGTAGCCAATATATTTCATGAAAATTTCCGCCTGCATAACTTCCCAGTTTTTGAAAAAAGATATCTCCCGATTGAAGAGAAGATGGCAATCTATTGAAAAAAGCTATTTCCAAAATTTGAGCTCTTGTAACAGAAAAAAAAGAAAAGAGCGCAGGGTTAAAACTGTAAAGCTTTAAATCCGATCTACAAAAAAGTCCTGGTCAAAATTGTGCAGATTCCAACCGTGTGAAAGAAATTTTTCTGCCGAAGTTATCAAAAAGTTTATCGAAAAACTAAGCAACTGAGCAAAAATCTATCCATTGGAGTTGAAATATCTCACTTGACAAATTGGTAGAACCTGATGCTCGTACGAGTGAGCATATTCCAAGACATGAGTTGTTCTGCCTCAAATCTACTCGTGACTTCATCTTCAATAATAGCTTCGATTCCGGCCTGAAACCAAAAGACGTTCTACGAATGAAAAAAAAAAGCCTGACTTTGACAAAATCAACAGAATCATGAATGGCGGCCCATCCACGGCTTCTGACGAAAACCTCTGATGGAATGTCTTCTTCATCATGATCATCGAGATGAATTTGAGTTTCACGCCGAATAATTCCCACTGCAAGAGAGAAACTGTCAATTTTACAGCTCGAGAATTTTTTGATTATCTCTCACTCCACTCTAAGGATAAACCCAAAAAAATTTTTTTGAATAAAAAAATTTATGCATGAGTTTTTTTGATTCAAAAACTTAATGCGTTCTGTTTTGCACTCAAAAAAATTTACTAAAGAGGTTTTTTTGACATTTAAACGTTCCAGATCAGAGAATAGAAGCCCAGCAGAAAATTATTTAGAAGAAAAGCCTCAAATTAATACCATTTTTTTTGCTACTTGAAACCGAATATCGCATGGAGAGCTCATGATGATTTTGTGATAGCGCCAGTTTTCAAATGTGAATAAGTGACTCCGCGCCAGCTTTTCATGTTTTTTCTTTGCTAACAAGACCTCATACAAAAAAAAAAAAATCAAACTTGACCCTACTTCGCTTAAAGACCTTTGGTTTTCACATTCTTTTTTGCAGTTTTGTAGCGCAAAAGCTGTTTCGGGCGGAACGCGCTCTACACATAACCCTGTTTTTCGTTATCGAAGCGTTTCAAGTTTCAAAAAAAAAGGTACTAAAATGAATGAAATAACGAAGGGCATCGGACCAACCAAGGAAGAAATAAAAACGACCAAAACAACACAACATACAGTTGCTACTTTCGGATTCCCTGCGACTGCGTTTGCTGCACACCGAGTTGATCGAAACGAGACCTGGAAGTGTAGGAGTTGCCGACAACAAAACAACCATAACTGCATGCTTTTGTGGGGCTGGAGTCTGATCAAAGAAGTTCGCAAAAAGTATTTTGATTTTTTTCAATTTTCCAGTTCAAAAAAATTCATGAAAAATTCACATCAAAAAAAGTTTTTCATTCTTTTCCAGTGTTCAGTGGTTCTAAAGTAAACGTTTTTGCAAAGTCGAATCGAATTTTCCAAAAAAATTTTTGATTTGCAAGTGTTCTCAAACAACTTTAAAAGCAAAACTAAATTTCCAAAAATCATTCTACTTCATTTTTTTCAAATGTTATTTTTTAAACCTGAAATTTTTCATATTTAGCTGTCTTTTCATAGTTTTGGCGTTGTAAAGTAAACAAAAATAAGCAAAACATGCTTTATCAGTGGACATTCCTATCGTGTATTCTGAACCGCGAAGAGGTGTAGTAGATAAGAATGATCATTGAGTTTTCGATTTTGAAAAAAATCGAGATTTTCAAACTGACTGGTCCCTGATCCATAGCGACGTCTGAGACCGAAGGTACTTTCGTCGCCAAAATCTGAGTCGACGGACCGGATCTCGTGCTCCGACTCGTCCATTTCTGAGTCCGTCGGCGTTTTCAGGGGATAAATCTCCGGGTGGTCGTCGATATCTTCGCCCAGAATGAAGCCAATTTGACTTTCTTTCCTTTTTATCATCTCGGTCGTTTTGATTTGTCCGGCGCCCCACTGCAAACAATTGTTTTGAATAATATAATTTATTAAATTTTAAATGATAAATTGATTAGCCCAAAAGGAAATGCTTGTTTGTAGGTGAAAGATTCTTTCATGTTCCGTCTATTATACAAGTCATTGTTGCTTGTTTTGCTTTCCTGAAAGCTCAATGAAATTTTACATATATTTTGGCTTTAACTGGAGCTCTTTTCTAACCACTAAAATTGACTTTTGCGACATTTAGTCAAGAGTTTTACACGCATTAAAAAAAGTTTCAGAAGAAAGCAATAATAACATATTTTTTTCTCAAGATTTTGCTCGAAATTCATAATCAAAAAAATATTACCTCAAATATTGAAATCAAAGTGTCGACATAGATCTGCCTCAGCCCGAGAGATTTGCCGAAAGTAGCTAACAAAATGACCAGGATGACAATGGTAGCCACAGGTGGAAAAAAGAACGTCGACAGCACGAAAAATGCATGTTCAAAGGCCACCATCAGGTCTTCGGTGCCAGATTGGCGACTGAAATTGAGGACAATAGAATCGGTTAGAAGCAAAAAAACGGAACAAAAATTATTGAACTCAAAAAGAAATGCAACTGTTAATGAAGAATTAACGATTCCGGGGGTCAGTGCAGAGAAAAATAGTGGACGGACGTTATCAAGTGACCTAATGATTATTACGGAAAATTTTTCTACAATTGCATCATAAATTGAAAAGTTGAATCTGAAATCATCTTCTGTATTGAAGTTATAGAAGTTTCAATTTTTTTGATTCTGATTTGGCATGAAGAAAGTAGGAAAAAGTCGTTTGAAGCTACTTTCCTAAACGGAAAAGATGAGTTTCGCAGGATTTTTCAGAAGTTTCAGGAATTTACTTCAATGAGCACTATGGACGCTATTGAAAATTAATACAAACGTAGAAAAGCGACTATTTTTAAAATGACAATCCGAAAAATCTCCATCTAAAGACTATTCAAAGTTAAATTCAGTTAATAGAGAAAATAGTTTTTTTTTTCATTTTGCTAATAAAGAAATTCCACCCTTGTTATTGTGATTAAATAATTCACAAAATTAAAAAAATAAACGATTTCTGATTTAAACGCAAAAATGATCAGACCATATCTCTTTTGGGAACTTATCTTTATGAGACGGACGAAAGATCACCGTGATAAGGCGACCAAAAGAGAAAATCCAGTATTCGCTGGGCAAAGTTAGATGGAAACGTCGATAACAATGGGAAACGGCAAAAAGTAGCGTGTCCGTCACACGTCTGCGGTTTTTCAGCATTGAAATAAAATTGGCCGAGGCAGGTTAATTTTATCACAATGTGCACTTTGTACCCAAAAGTCTGAAAAATAAAGCACACGTAGCAAAGTGTCGATATTTCTAGAGAGAAGAAACCTGTCAAATCCCCAGTTCCAACACGGCAAAAGATGGAACATCACCCCATTTTCTCAACTTTCTTTTCTGCTCTTATCTTTTACCGCCATCTTCCATGGATTTTTCAAACTGGGTCAAAGTAGAAAATGCAACGTTTTACGATGCTGCTAATGAAAATTATCGGAAACATGAGAGTGATTAACAAAGCATTTTATTTAAATGGAAAAACGCTCAGAATTCCAAACTTTGATCAAATTATATTAATTCTCGATCGATGAATTCTGAAAGAAAGATCGATTCCAAAGTAGTTAAAAATTTTATGATTTTAGGAAATCAATTAGACCGAGAACAAATAGTTTTTTTCATCAGAGAAGGATGGGAATAAGTTTTTTTGAGTCGAGATCCTGAACAATTTCTAATTTTTTTGAGAAAAAAATAGAAACTATCTGCGCCAAACTTTGCATAAAACAGATTTACTTACAACTATACAAGAAAAAAATCGCTGGAAAACCTTTTAAAACCGAACGCTAGTTGATGTAAATCACCGTTTCTCATGTAGTAAATTATCGAAATAACAACCAAGTTGACTTCTTTTTCACAAGAACAATAGAAAAAAAAAAGTGAGAAAGAAAAGCAATAAAAAACAAAACAAAGAAAACAAAAAGAGAAAAGAAAAAGCGGACAAAGTGAACGCCGTAAAATCACATGCTGGGCGGGTGAATGCACGGCTCACAATACACCTCACGAGAAATTGCACAAGACGCCAGTTTTGATCTCCAAATTAATTGTATTTTTTTAAGACGGAGATGAAACTTTTAATTTTTGGTGATTATCAAAGAGAAAGTATGAGAAGAGAAAATTGCGACAGTTTCAAGAAAATTTCGAAATGCTTAGTTTTTGATTGAAAATACAGGTTATAATAAAAATCTGAGCTTACTAATGAATTTTTTTCAGCCCCCAGTTAAACTGTCCATGAAACTTTCCAGAAGTGTACTTTAAAAACTCCTCGTTCCAGAACAAGAAAAAAAATCTTGCAATAGATATTGTTTCCAATTTATAAAACTTCAAAGTTTATCTTAAAATTAAATTGGAACAAAAAACCTCATTTTCATCTTAAGAAGCGCCTTAACTCGAAAAAAAAATCTATTTCGACAGTTTTTTTTACTTGACATGAATCAGGAGTTTGCAAACAATGCATCAGAAATATCTCATCAAAATTCTCATGAAAGATAAAAAAAGATAACTTGTTAGTTTATCTGTTTTTAAAACGTGTTATAGTGTAAAGATTGCCAGGTGAAAAAAATATTTTTTTATTGTATTTTTCCGTCTGATATTTTTTTCTATCAATTTTTTTTTAAAATTGTATTGTAGTTGAAGTTGATAACTTCAATAAATCGTATGACCACAAAAAGTCATAAATTGATCACAATAGACCCTTTCAACATCACTTGCAACGAAGTTTGGTCATTTCTCGAAAGCTTATCAGCATTGGTCGAGCTTTTTATCGATGTAGTTGGACACTTCGTTTCGACAGCCAGAATAAGCGTAAACAAGTCTAAGTGCAGAGGTTTGTTCTCCGAGGATTTTTATTCGTTTCGTAGGCCTGCAAAATGCGCAGCTTACGGCTGTGTGGATTGCTCTCCTTTGAATAACATATGTTTTACAGCCTATTGTGGGCTTTTTTTTAATTTGCCGCTTTTCCACACTCCGTTATTTTTTGAAAAAAAAATAGCTGTATAGTATTCCAACTAGGAAATGAAAGCTGCTTCATTCTGGATGGAAGGCTTGTGCTGTTTCAACTTTTCCAATCAGAAGTTGGTTTTCTCATTTCCTTTTTTCACCGTAGAAGCGCATCATATGAAGAGATCTACCCGAGCTTTATCATCGAAATCAAATCTTTTTAGTTTCTTGTAAAAATGAGAAGAGTCTTTGGAATTAACAGGTTATGCGTCAATTCTTCAATTTTAGGTTTTTATTATTGAAAACACAATGAATATTGAGAAAGTCAAACAAGTTCAATTGAGCAAACATTGAGGCAAATTAGAACCTCCAAGGGGTGATTATTTCTTTGCCTGACCAAAGTTAGTCGTAATAAAACGTTTCTCAAATGTCTCCTCTTTTGTCCGATTTTTTTTCATCCTTTCAGACAGTGGATCATTCAGCTTAACAATGAACGCGGCTTCAAAAACAATTTGAAATGAATATTAATTCTCCAGGCTCAAAACTTAGACATTTTCGGACTTCAAATTAAGAAATCAATGTAAACAACTTAAGGTTTTTCGAAAAGGACTGTTCTTATCATATATCTCTATCATTTTTTCTCGTTTTATGAGCTATACATTTCGAGTGAATTTTAAGCTTGCATCTCTGAAACCAACGCTTGAAGAAATTTGCGCCCCTTTTTTGAAGGACGCACGTCCTGTTGAATATTTCAAGCTTCCATTCTGCATCGAACGCCCTTTTCTCTTTACGTACATTCATTTTTCCTCTTGTTGAATTTGTTTTCTCATGTGAGTTTTGCACAGATTTTGAATTTAAAAACGAATTCAACGCAGAAAATCTTGTTTGAGGTGGAAAGTTTGTAATGAATTTCGGGACTTTATAAAAAGGCTCAACTTACGTTTTTGAAGTCGTCAAGAAAGTGAACTATACATTTATCGGGAAAAAAGCTCTATGAAATGGAATCCGAAACAATCTGTAGTACATTCAGCAACTCTCCAGTAATTGTAAACTGAACCAATACTGCGAGCTTTGAAAACATGTTTTCCTGTGAGAAAAAAAATCTTCGCAGGAGCCTTTTTTGAAAGCTATTAGTGTATTTGTACATCGGACGCGGCACTCCTTTTTTGCCCAGCCGCAGCTATTTCTGCCAGCTGCATGCACCTGCTTGTACAAAACGGCCGTACTTCGAGGAGAAAGCGGTACGAAATTAGAGAAAAGCCGCTCCTTTTTTTCGATTTTCAGCCCTGACGCAATATTTTCCTTTTTCGGTTTGTCAAACACCGGTTTTCATACCTGTGAGTTGTTTGTTCAGTTCAAAAAAAAATGCAGATCTTCATGAGTTCTTATCTTCGACTCAAAAACTGTTTATAGAGATTTGTTTGAAGTCTTTTCAGTAAAATTTGTTATTTTATTTAAGTCTCCTAAAATGAAAGTAACTTTGTGTTACACAGACCAATCATATCAAATTCCAACCACAAAAAAAACTCTGTAACACGTTTCAAAGAATCGCTGAACGTAGGCGTCTTGAGAAGTCTAATTAGAATGCTCTTCCAACGAAAAGTAACTTCACACGCTATCACTTTGGCGTTTTTTGCCAGCAATGCTGAGTCAGCTGAAAAGTGGATAATTTCATATTTTTATCTAGAGCTTTCAACTAAGATTTTTTTGAGGACTCAATTCATTTTTAAAAGAAATTTAAAAAAAAATTTAGAAAATTTGTTTAAATCTGTTTAAAACCAAGTGATTCATTGAAACGCTTGCGTCGTTCGATAAAAAAAAGTTTTCGCGATTTCCGTGAAACGAGATTGCCTTTTTATCTTTTACCATCGTTCAGTAGTCGAAGAAATCAGAAGCAAGCAGCGATAAGAAGCTTATCAAGCATTTTTTGACAGATTTCGGAGCTTTTGACAGCTTCGATAGCTACTTTTTTTCCAGATAAAGGTTGGCTCCTCCAAACAACCCTGCTAGCCGTATTCAATAGCGCAGCATCCGTCGCGATAAACAGCATTTGTTTGGGCGAAATTGCCTTCAAGCTTCCTCATTTTTTTAATGCGAGTTTATTTTTTTCATAATGCTGCAATTTTTTTGTATATTTCACAAAAAAATTTTTTTCAAATTTTTTTTAGTGAATATTTATTGTTTGTAGTATGGTCAGTATGTGCGATACTTCAGAACTTTTCCCTACAAAAATCAGAAAGTTCGCAGATTTCACTTTGACTTTTAGGATACTCATCGAAAGCATGTCACAAGAAAAAAATTATTTGCAGTTTCAAAAATAAATTTTTCGAGAGAATTTAAAGTTATAAGTTACTTTTTTTCCACTGTTTACACTTTTTATAGATCAAATAATTTTGTTCTTCTTTTTTTATGTGAGTTCCAAGGGTCAACCTATAAGAAGAAAGAGTCCAAATCTCTGTTTTATCCGCTTGCTCTTTTTTTCCTCAGTTTTTTTCCGCTTCTAAAAAAATAAGGCTAGATAAATAATTTTGTAGAACTAAAAAAATTTCTTGAGTTTTTTTGTTGAAAAACATATCTGCAGCTTCAAATCAGTTTGCCAATTTTTGATTCCTTTTTCTTGAACTTTCCGAAAAATCTTCTTGAAAGAAAAAGAATGCATATTGCGTAGTTTAAAATTCACAGCTGCCTTTCAGTTGTTTGACTTAGAATAAAATTCTGCCCGCAGGGATTTCAGCGAAGGGCTTTTTGGCAACCCTGTGTTCTGACTGGTTGGCTCAACTTTCTCTTCTTTTCCAACCTATTGTACTGACCGGTCGCAGTTGCATTACGAAGTTTAGGCTTCGAGACGTGTTTTGTGAGTGCGACGAGAGCGTTGAAGTGCGCACATTTGATCTGCATGCAGTTGCTTCAGAGCAGAAAAAAGGCTCAGGGGCGGACGCGGCTTGTCGCCGTGCCGGATTCACTTGGTTTTCCACGCTTTCCTGCCAATCTTCCTGCCTTTCTACTGACTTTTTTTTTTAGAACAGGGCTCTCTTCAATTTTTACGCATGAAAAGTCTTATGCAAATAAAAGATATTTTGCCGTTTTGGCGCACCTTTCTGACGATCCTTTATTTTCTCCTTTTCAAGCTATTTTAAAGCTTCATTTGTTTCGTGTCACAACTCTTTGAAAGAATGTCCTTTTCAATAATTTTCAAAAATGGTCAAAATGTCAAAATGCGCTAGAAAAAGAAGCGGTCGAACCGGTCGAAAAAAGTGCGCTAACAATTTTGTTTAGTAACCATCATAATAAATGGATCAATCCGAGAATCTGAGATCCGAAAAGTATTTCCAATTCTAAAAAACTTTGACCTTTTCAATCTTGTGAATGTACTGAAAATCAGTATTTTCAGAGGAATCTTTATGAGAGATACTTTGTCAAGTAAGATAAAAGATGGAGAGAAGGAGGAGACAACCATTGTAAGTAAGCATCGTAATCAACAAACTTCTCCTCTATTTAATGTTTGTCAAGCAGTGAATGTCTTAAAGACCATCAATGTATCATCATCGTTTATCATTGAACAAACTTTGTTCTCTATAAGACAGGAAATTGCAGCAGGAACTAAACAGAATCAAACCGATATATGAATTAATTAAGTAATATCAAAACTTATCGCAAGGCACACAAATAATAACAACAGACAACCAAAACCCTTCAGTCAGAACGGTCAAGGAACCACGAATTGACGCTGGCGGCTAAATTGAATCGTAAAAAAGATTCAGCCCATGTTCTACCCCCAAGAGCGCAGCCTGCTCCCCAGCACTGGCGCGAGATCCTATAAAACAAGACAAATTAATTTCTGTAATCAAAATGGTAAACCATTATTCTGGTGCGTAATTCTTGATAGTTTTTTTTCAGGAGGATCTATTTCTTCTTCTGTTGTCTTTGGAGAGCTGGGATTGCAACATATTATGTTATACTTGTTTATCTTTCATCCACAAAAACAGGAGAGATCCATAACATTTATCAGTGATGAAACTGATTCCCACCAGCCAGGCCAAATCTACATTTGCTCCGAAGTTTTTCACGTTTTCGTTCAGAAAAACCGGCGTTCGCCGTTCATCAGATTATTTTGAAGGCAATTTTTGGATATTTTTACTTTCGCCTTACAGTGATTAGCTATGGCAAGGATTTCAGCAACGACGATTTTTCCACTTCGAAAGTCCTTCTGTGGATCAACTGGTCGTGTTGGAATTTGAGGTCCTCGAAGGACCGGAGCTAGTGTCTGTCTGGACACTGGCAGCCAGTGGTCAATGCAGATGGATAATACATCAAATGTTGTTAACTGTTTTCTTTAGAAAAAACAATAAAAGAAAAAAAAACTATCAAGAATTACGCGCCAACTTAATATACAAAAATTCTAACAATAAAGATACCCAGGTGAGCAACATCCGCGAGAATACTTGCAGCGTCTACATGTCATGTCAGTCGCAGTAGGATTGTCTTTACCGAGGAGCGCTAAATACAATATTCCGTCATTAGGTGATTATAAATAATCAACAAGTTTGCATCGATTGTTCTAATATTATAATTAATTGTTAACGAAATAAAAAACGTACTTTGGTATCCTCCGGTGTAAGAATCGCCGGATAGAGGTTGCCACGCACGAAACATAAAAATCTGGTGCTACGCCAATCTCACGCAACAAAAGTGTAAACACAAAAAGTGCATGCACATAATGTGCATATCCGCGTACAGTACTCTCCGCAAATGGAAACGTCGCTCTTGTCGTAACACCCAAGATCTTTTAATAACTCTTAGAAAAGTTCAAAATTCATCAAATCGGAATTTTGTCTTTGGAATTATTATCAAAGAAAGCAAAAAGTTTCGAAGTTTTGCATACCTGCTTGTTTTCGTCGTAGAGAATCGATCTTGAATATTTTGGATCTGAGTGTCGACCAGACCAGTATTCATTCAATATATGTATACTCTTTTTTTACTTGGAGTCCCTGGAATAAAAAAACCTAATGAGTTTCCTGGATTATTGCAAGAATCTGAATTGAGATAATAGTCTCTATCTTTATCTCACTTAACAAAGAATCTCTCATAAAGATGCCTCTGAAATGTTTGATTTCCAGTACAATTAAAAGATTGAAAATGTCAAAGTTTGTTAGAATTGAAAACATTTTTCGAATCTCAGATTCTCGGATTGGTCCATTTATTATGATGGTTACTAAACGAAATTGTTAGCGCACTTTTCTCAATCATTTCGACCCTTTTTTCTAGCGTAGTTTAACATTTTGACCATTTTTGAAAATGATTAAAAAGGACATTTTTTGAAAGAGTTGTGACACGAAATGAATGAAACTTTAAAATGGCTTGAAAATGAGAAAATTGAAAATGTTCAAAAGGTGCGCCGGAACGGCAAAATATATATTCTTTATTCAGGAACTAGCGTAATTCCTTAACAATAATTTTTCGCAAACTATCATACTACTAGTGAGGCTGCTATCTCAATCGCCTCTCCAATTTCGTGGTGTGTGGAAAAAATAAATAAATACGCCAAGTCTGCGCCGCGAACTAGTTCTGTTTCAACAATTATTGGAACCCAATGTGAGTGGAAACGCATTGAAAGATCGAAAAAGCTCACTTTTTCTCTCAAATTAATCTACAAGTTTTCTCACTATAATCTTTCAACGACGGGTGCTATAAGTTTTTGAAGTTTTTCATGAAGGCTGTTATTCCATTGTTGTGATTCATTAAATGAGGATTTTTTTTTGTCTCTGGAGAAATTTAGTTTTTTCAACTTTCATGCAGAGATTCCAAGAAGGTTCGTAAATCAAACTTTTTCTGAACTCTGAAAAGGAAGTTGTGAGCCCCAGACAAAGAAAAACGCTGTTGACGAAAGACGCAAGCAGAAAAAAACAATTTTCCGGAAAGCCCGTGTGAATCTGTGAAAATCCGAACTTTAAAAAAGGACGTGAAGAGAAGTTTGAAGTTTAGCATTGATTCTTCCGGAAACGCCAAAAATCAACGATCCACATTTTTCACTTTTTTTTTTTCTGTTCGGCGGACTTTTTATTCGAAACCTTTTTTCTCTAACAGAAAGGGTTTTAATGCACTAGTTTAAAGAAAAATTTTTTTCTAATAGACGAGAATAGCTTGAATATCGGTAAACTCAGGGTTTAGCCCTAGTTCCTGCACAAATTGCTTTGGACATTTTTTCAATTCGTATTAATGACTTCTTTTTCTTTCACCAAAAAAATAAGATTGTAAAAAAATCGAAAAGAAATATTTCTTTACTAGAATAAAAATTCAAAAAATCAAGGTCTACATGAAAAAAATTTGTGATGTTTTCATCACTTGAAAAAAAAAGAAAAACACTCTTTATTGACATATTGTCGATTTTTTGGCGATCGAAAACAATTCTACTAAAACAAATATAGGAAAGCGGTTTTATTATTTAGTTTTCACCCTTCGTTGCTGTTTTTCTTTTCACGTTCTTCAGATTTTCAAAAGTTCCAGCTATAGCTCATGGATATGTTATAGATGTATATTATCGCGTTTTTTGGTAGAAATTCCAGGAGAAGGAAAAGCCAAATGTTTTCTCAATTCGCCGGAGCTGTGGAGAATGAAAACAGAAAAAAAATCCACATGCACGAGATTGAGCTTTTTCAATGCGCCACTCCTTGTCCGCTTGACGTTTCCATTATTTTTTTCATTTATTTGGCTAGCTTCATCCGTTATTCTTCTGAGATTAGCTGCGTATAATCCAACCTTCTCTAATGTTGATTTATATCCAGCCCACACGGTTCTATAAAGTCCAAACAGCTGAAAAATTTCATTTTGCTTTATTTTTTTTGTGAGCAGGAAGTAACCATGAAAGTTTAAAATGATGTTTCAAAAAGTAATTTTTGAATTTTCGGAAAAGATGGATTTTTCAAGAAAAGCGGAATTGGTCAATAAAAAACAAATGGCGCTATTTCGATTTTCTGTCATTTTGAATTCTCGGATACTTTCAAAAAATCTCATGAAAAATCCGGAATAAATCAATAAAAAAAGACTGTCGTTCATTTCTCGAAACAAATCTTTGCTCAATGTCCTGGAAATTTTCATTTTTTGCGATGCGTTGTACGTCTCGACTTTTCATTTCAAAAACAAAATTTGAAAGCAAGTGTTTATTTTGCAGCGCTTTCAACGCATAATGGTGACTCCGATTCCTCGGCTCCGTATCGACCCCAATCTCTCCTTCGTACCAGCATCGTTCATCTCAGTAAGTTCTCCTTTTCCCTTTTTTCTCCTGAACTCGAGTTATAATGAATCATCCAGACGGATGATGAGGATGAGGATTTGTCGTCTTCATGTTCACCAGTTAGCGAAAACTCTTACTTGGATGGCGTTCAATCGGACGAAAACGGGTACAAAGCCAGCAAAGACAGTAAAAATCAGGTACTGTGTCATTTTTGAGGTTTGTAAGAAACATAGAAGATAGAAAATTGTCTGATGCAACCGCGCTCTAAATTTTGTCATCGGCGAATCATAAAAAAATCAGAAGATGATAACAAACGTGACGTTGTAACTTGACGAAGAGTCGAAAAAAGTCGGACTAAAGTGAGATCTCGTACTTTGAATTTCATCTCAACCATTTGGCGTTCATGTGTACTAACTTTGATAACCTTTCAATAATTTGGGAGTTTGGCTGCAAATCTTGAGGTGTATTCAATTGTTATTCAGACCAAACTAGACGATTCGGGAGATGAAAGTGAAGAAAACGAAGACGAAGAGTTGGAGAAGGAAGAAGAAGATTTAGTATTCAAGGAAGAGCCGGATCCCATCGTGGCGAAAATTTTCAACATGATGCAGAAGAAGAGTCCTCCTGCTGTTGTTCAACCCAAAGAAGAACAGAAAACAATTGTAGTGTTGTCTAATCACTGCAGCGCTCCTTACAATACGGATAGCGAAGAAGAAGAGCTTCAATTCGAGCTCGAATTCTGATCGAATCAAATTCGCCGTCAATTGCCAAAATGGAAAACAAAAAATGAATCATACTCGCTGTTTTTAAAACAATTCCGAGTTAAAACTCACTTTGAAAAATACATTTTCTTTAGTAATGTATAGCGTTCAGCAGACAAATTCGGTTATACGATGTTACGACAAGTGCGAGTTTAATTTTTTCAAAGACTACTGTTTCTGAAAGTCCGCATTTTTACGTCTACACATTGGGTGTATGCACTTTCTGCAAATTCATTCTGTGGTTTTTCGATTTCTAGTTCTTGAGGTACCTTTTGTTCAGAAATAAATGATCCAGAATTACGGTACCTTCAGAAAAGATACGAAATACCGCTTTTTTGAAAAAAATAGTGAGCTCCATACGAAGAAGTTGTGAGCAAAAAATCTTTTTCGTATCTTTTTCTGACGGTACTGTAGAGCTAATAGTATAAAAACTTAAAAGCTAGACTACTCAAAAAGCGTGTGCACACCGAAGAGTGCGGACTTTCACAAAAAGTGCTCCTTGGAAAAGAAAAAAACGGCTTTATCGTAGCTTCGCTTTTACTCAATGCTTTACTTTTCTTAACTCGGCGTGAACCGGACTCTGTTCAAGCCAAAGTGCCCGTTATCAACGGAATTTTTTTTTTCAATGAAAAATACAACTGGAACGAAAAAAAATGTATTAATAACAGAGCAGACATAAAACTAAGATTATACCCTGAAATTATGACGTAAACTCAAAAAAAAAAACTCTGTTCTATCCTGATATTTTTTCAAGCTTTCTGAACGAGTCGAGTTTATGTGCTATCATTTTCATGTTGAAAATTGATGCTTTTGAAGCTTGATCCTTTGATAGAAAAAGCAAAATGAGAAAAGATATTTTCGGATTTTTCCCTGCCAAGCTTCGACGTTCGAATGTTGTATCTTTGCTCTTGCTTCCCGAAAGCTTGCTAAATGAATCTACAACTTGAACTGAGAAAAAAAAAAACCGTATATTGTTTCTTGCTCTTTCATAAACAATACTTTACGCATTTCATTTAACCCTCTCTACATTATAAATATACGAATGTGATCTCGACGTTGCGGTTCGCCCTACTGTTCATTTCTTTTCATTGTCGACGGTTATTCACTCGTCTTAGCATTCACATTTATGTGTTCTGTTTTGTGAGAATAAAATGTTGGAAAAAGTTGGACAGAGTTATAATATCATTGCTCATTCCGCGCCAGCTTGTCACGGTTTTCGTTTTCCTCTGAAAAGTGAGAAATTCCTGAAAACTGGCCAGAAAACTTCTTGATGCGCCAAAAGTAGATTCAAAAAGTCTTAACCTGCAAAACTTCTTATTTTTGAGAAACAAAGATAGAAAGTTAAAATACAGCTCATTTAAACGGAATTTGAAGGTTACCTTTGACTATAGATTTTTTTTCTCGAAAAATAGAAAGTTGTGCAGGTTTTTGAAACACACCAATCTTGAGCCTTTATAAACGATTTTAAAAAGTATTTTTTTTGAGGATTCAAAATGAGCATTTGATTATTAAAAAGACAAAAAAGTCCGACCAGAAACGCTAACGCTTAAAAAATGTGTTAAAAGACCTATTTTTGCAAGGAAAAAAGCGCAATTTCCAATGAAGATTTTTGATTGTAAAGCTGATGTACAAAAAGAGTTTCAAGAAAAAAAAAACTACAGAAAACCGAAAAAAAAAAATGAAAGTTCGGCTTAGGCGCTCAAAAAATATGATGTTTGCGTATCGGGAATTATAACCAACGGTAATTTTTTGACCATTGCAAAAGTTCCTCATTCATATTTTTGTCGTGCGTCCATATGTTTTGCTAGAAAACTCTAGTAAACTTATAAGTCCTTCAAAAATTTTGCTTTTGTAGAGGTAAAAATGATCTTCATGATTTATTTTATTTCGAGCGCAGCTCAAAGAGTCGGTTGTTTGTTTAGCCCCTCTTGTCTTTTTACTCTTTCGTTTCGCAAACTTTCTGCTCATTTAAAGTGGATTTTACGATTTTCGATTTTGATATCTCCGACTGCTTTTTGCCTTTTCGCTCTAGGTTTTTTTTTCAAAACGTCGCGATCATTTTTGTTTTTCTGAAAGTCTGACCAGCAAAACATATTTATCTCTCAGATTAGTAGGCCGGAAATCATGAGACTTAGTACAAAATTTGGGTTTTTTAGCCTTTGAAAAAGGACAATCGATCTCATGTCGCTGGGTCGAGGGCGCTTTTGCTTTTGCATTTTGAGTGAAATCTTCCCTTCTCGCTTTTTGGATTTGCGCATCATTAGTTTTTTTGAGCAACTTTTTTTAATTATTATGGAAAAAAAGGTCTCAGATTGCATATTTTACAGCAAGTTCGAAAAAAATACTCGAAATTGGAGTTTTCGGGTAATTCATTCAAAGATTAATTTTTTTATTTGTTTTTTTCTTTGCTCAAAAAAATCGTTAGATTCAAAATCGTAGTAGCTCTCTGAAAGGAGCGAAAATGAAAAACTTTATAATCCCATAAAAATTGTTGAATTCGTTCCTTTCCTAAAAAAAAACGCCATTAAAACTCCTTTTTCTGAAACTTTTTGTTGCTTTTTTTAGTTTTTTTCCTATTTCCACAGTGGACGAATTGGTGGTGAATTGCAATTTCCTGCAGAACTTTTTTTAATAGATAAGTGAGAAGTGACATGAACATTTTTCCTATTTTTTTGTGTTGAGTTTGAAGAAAAAGCCGATGAATTATATGAAGTTTTTTTTTTATGCACCTTTTTTTCCCGTGAATTGAAAAAAATGGCCCTTATCTGAAATGCAATTTTTTTGCACCATAATTTTGGTTTGGCCAAAGACATTTTCAAGGACATCATTATGGGTAGTTTCCAAGCTTTGTTTCTCAAAATGATGATGTTAAGTCAGAAGACGTCCTCAACGATTCCCACGGTAAAGGCACGCTTGGTGTTTTTAAAGCGTACGACGAGCGCTCTTACATGTTTCGTGGACAGCGCGACATCGCGCTCGACGCGACTGCCGCCTCGGCTTGTCCAATATTCAGAAGTCGAGTCGACTTCTGAATAGACTGGGTTCACATAAAACATATTCAACGATGAATCAACGTAGCTCTAAAAAGAAATGTTTCAAGGTTAGCAAAGTGTGTGCGAGAAAAAAAAAACGTATTATTTTCTACCGAAGCATTTTTCTTTGAACTTTTTCTTGCTATCAAAGTTTTTGCATGATCTAGAAATCTTTCGAAATCCGAATTACTGACAGTTTTTGAAATTGATAGAGACACGAGAACCGAGAAAAATCGGTTCCGTCCGTGGAAGATTACAAAAAGTAAGAGATAGGAGACGGCGGCTGTGCACCTTCTCGGGAACGTCGATTCCTGGTCCCTGACCCAATTTCTTCCCACGAATCTCCACGTCGAACCATTCCATACGCATAACGCCACGTCCCTTCCCAATCGCTTTTGTCGCGCTTTTAATACTTTTGTTTAATTTTATAATTGATTTTTCAGGGTAAATGAAGGTCTTACTTCTTCTGGTCGCGGTAATTGCCGTAGCTTCGGCAAAAACTGAGAAAAAAGAAGATAACAGTCATGGTATGCTTATACTCTTAAACTTCTTTAAATGATGGTCCTGGTCGCGAAATTCGCAATTTCTTAGAAAGGAAGCCTTCAAGCTGAAACAATCGGTTCATTTTGCATGATCCTTTTTTCTTCAGAACTAGAAACTCAGAAATTTCGAAATAATCAGGATTCATTTTCAATACGCCAAAAAAAAAAATCAGCAAACTTCGATTAAATTTTAGATTTAAAAGTAATTTGAGCGTATATAGAGCCAATCTAAAAAATTAGCTGAAATTTATACGCCTGCTTTCATGTGGCAAAAAGTCTCAATTCTATGAACTTCCTAACCAATGCAATAAATGAAACATTCTCAGAATATTGAACAAGTATACGAAAACAAAACCCTCGATAGAAATGTTCAGAACCGTTCCAAGAGCTCTAATGTTTTTCAAACATTCTGAATTTCAGGTTTCCGAACTGACATCAACTGGGTGAAGTTGGACAAGGCTGTAGGAATTGCTAAAGACCTCAACCAGCCGATTATGCTTCTTATCCACAAAACTTGGTGTGGTGCTTGCAAAGGTGATATTTTATTCTAGATTATTGAAACAAAAAAAATTCAGGACTGAAACGAGAGTTCCAAACTTCTTCGAAAATCAGCCAGCTGGTTGATCTGTCGAAGAAGTTCGTCATGGTCAACACCGAAGATGATGAAGAGCCTGAAGACCCCAAGTTCTCCCCTGATGGCGGATACATTCCCAGAATATTGTTCCTAGGTATGATTTTCATGAGATGTTGTGAAAATCTTTTCAACTTCAAGATACCGATGGAGAGCCGCTGAAAACCAACAACGAGCAAAAATACAAGAACAACAAATACTTCTACCCACTCATCCCTCAGATCGTCGACGGAATGGAACGCGCTCTTGTCGAATTCAAGAAAGGCGGCGGAGAGACCAAGGTTTGATCATTTTCTTTTCGCAAAAAAATGCTTAGCTCGGCTGTCATTATTTGCAGAAAATCTATAATATCGCATTATAAAAACACGGAAAATTCAAAATAAAGCAATGTCAATAAAAATAACAAAAATCGAACTTCATGGAAAAAAGCTCGGGTCACCGAGAGAAAAAAAAAAGCTCGCAGATGAGCCAGAACATGCAGAAAATACCAAAAACTTTTTTGCGATTTTGCAAAACAATTATTGGATTCGCATGAAAATTTAGAAGTTCTGGCCTGGCTTCTGAGTTTCTGCGATTCATATAAAAAAAACGACGCGAACTTCTTTTCTGTGAAATTTTCATCATCATTATCAATGTTTCCAGGATACTGATGCGACAAAAGAAAAAGAAAAAACTGAGAAGAAAGAAGTAAAGAAGACCAAGAAAACCGAAGAGGAGAAGAAAGAAAAGAGCGAGAAGAAGGAGAAAGAAGAAAAGGAAACCAAAAAGAAGGAAGAGAAGAAGGAAAAAGACGCCAAGAAGAAAGATGGAAAGAAGAAGGAAGAAAAGAAGAAGGACGACAAGAAGAAGAAGGATGAAAAGAAGGATTCTAAGGTGATTTCAGATCTTATCCTTCCAAAAACGAATCATTTCAGGCCAAGAAAGAAGATAAGAAGGAAAAGAAAGAGAAAAAAGAGAAAAAAGAAGAAAAGAAGTCTAAGGTAGGCTTAGTAATAAAATCCACCAGAAACTACATTTTTTTTTCAGAAATCTTCCAAGGATGAGAAGAACGAGCTGTAATTCACTTGTTTAATCACGAATACGCGGTCGTTTATCATAACTTTTTTTTTTCATTTCTTGCGTGTAGCTTTCTTTATTAATAAATGGTTACGCAACTTGGTTTCGTTCCACATTTGAACATGATATGAAAAAAAATATCTGTATTGTCTTCTAAAAGTCATTTCAATCTGGGTATTTCGCTTCTTTCTGAGTTTTGTACGAGATGTTGTTTTGAAGTTTTTTTGTGTGATATGACAAATTGGCCGTGTAATAAGCATATCCCCAACAGCTAAATAGTAATTTTAAACTCTTCATTTGGTATATCTTGGAATATACTGGATAATTTCAAGAAACGTTCAACCACTGACTCAAATAATCCTCCGTAAGGCAGTGGTCAAAACTTCCAATGAAAAGCTCTGACTTTTCACGTTAAAATACGATAGATAGTTTTTACTTTTGAAAAGGTACCCTGGCTTACCAATTTCTGCATTTCTGACTGAATAGAAAAATCAAAAAAAGTACAGATTCAATATAAAAAGCCTAAAAAGTATTGCGTATTTTCTCAGAACATGACTTATTATGGCATAACCAGTATCAAGCCTCCTTTTCCATTTGGAAAATGGCTAGAGCAAATCGGCTTCGGCTGTTGTGACGTTCAAAATCCTTTTCCAGCCGATTAATGTTCATCTGTCGAATCAACATTTTAAAAGCTTCTCTTTCGAGATTATTCGATTTAATGTAAAGCTGTGGAAAGTTTTTTGAAGTTCTTGTTGATATTTTATAGGGAAAGTCCGACGAATGAATTTCGAAAAGATTAAGATTTGAACATATCTAGCTGTGGTGATTGTTAAATAAAGCTTTTTTTCTTAAATTTTCTCCTTTTTTTCCAAGATATAAATTTATCCGAGAAACTTTCCCCGTCATTGTCGTTTCTTTACAGATTATTCAAAAAAATGAAAAATAAATGATTATTGAATATGATATTCATAAGAGTTCCATAACACATAGAAATGACCTTGAGAAAAAAGAAGAAGTCGTTGTTTTTTCGTGAGTGAAAATGTCTAAAACACGGACAATTTGAAACGCCCGTTTCTGACACACCGCACAAACCTCTCGGTTTCACGATTTTGTTAAACGATGCATAATCGTGTTCCTTTTTTAGAACTGAAAGCGTCGGAAAAGGGCCCAGAACCTCCAATTGCACCCTGACACACAGTTCCGACGCCAGGCCCATAATTAGCACCACTTGATATGCGAGCCACTTTGTTTTTTTTTTTTGGAAAGAAAAGCTCGCCGAACGCTCTTCTCGCCTTTGTTTCCCCATTTCATTCCGTTGGGACTGCTCGAACAGAATTTATAACCCTTAGAAAATTTTGAAAAGTAAGGCTCTTGTCGTTTTTTCCCGAGTTTCTGATTGCCTCTTTCTGGAGCTTCCAAATCTAAAGGTAAGAAAAGAATTTGCTGCCGAGCAGACAATAAGAAGCGGTATCGTCTACTGAAAACCTTTTTGATATTTTCTCTGAAATGTTGCCTCGTGAAAGAAAATCATGGAAACGATGGAAGTAACGTCTTGACGTGGGACTTCAACTTCTAGTTTCCGATCGATTAGGAAGCCCTTTTCCAGCATCAAATCCTATTTAATAAAAAATAGCATTTTTCTGTTCACCAAATTTATATAGGAACTCAAAAATTAATTTCATTTTTTTCTCCTCGTCGTCGTATTTAATTGTAGCTTTACTTGCTGGTTGCCTTATTTTCTCAATGATGCGGGAGGAAGCTAGAAAGGCAATTTTCAAAATGGACAGTCTAATTTGAGTGAATCTTCCAAAGCTAAATGTGTACTGAACAGAATTAAGCGACTGAGGAGAAACCAAATTTCTCTCTGTTTTCGAGTGAAAGTTAGGCTTCGAAAATATATTAATTTACCTACTTTCCGCTTCCTAGGACTTGTATACATTTTATCACTTCGTGAAAAAACCAATCTCAAATTGCAGGAAAATCTTTTTTCACAAGAAGCTTCGAAAATTGAAAGACTAACAGTTTGTTTGAAAGAAGAGAAAGCTCTAACGAACAAAAGATTTTTGAAAAAGGTCAATAAAATTCGCATTACTTCTATTACATCCGTCTACCGCGCTGACGACTTTTGCTATGCTTACTTCTTTTTTTTTCAAGTAGCTATGTAGTTTGAGCATTTCACTATTATTCCAGACGTTTTCGGGGATTCAGTCTTCTGAATTTTCAATGATTTGATGTTTTTTACTAGGGATTCTTGTGGAAGATCTAAGAGATTAGACAAAATGGGTGTCATATGAACATCGGCTCAAAGCCATCATATACCAATTGATGAACTGCGAGATGGACTTTCGAACTTTACTTGATTAATTAACTATTCTCATGGCGAAATCCATCAATATTAGAGTGATTATTTAAGATAAGTATTTCCAGTATTCAATTCAAAAAAACTAACTTTTAAATTCTGAGTTTCTCACACTTTTCAATAGCTTTTCAAACTAATTCAGCTTGAGAAAATCCGCTGTGGATCAAATTCAAAAGGAGACGTCATATCGATCTCTAACTTTTTTCTTTGTTCCATTTGCCTATTGTCCGTTTCTCATAATTTGTGACCGCCTAATCTCTTTAATCCGCCGTGTGCCATCCATAACGTTTAGCCCGCCGCTATATATTTTGACAAAACTGCAGGCTCCAGAGATGCACAGGAACCACGTCATGATAAAACGGACTGTCGGAGTGCCAACCACTTCCGAAGCGACCACTATCACTATCACCAGCACATCTGCTCCAACGACATATCCTCCATCTGGCAGTGGGATCGGTGGGCTTTTTCAAGGGTTTCGCCGAAATTTGGACTCATGTCTTTGAAAAGAACAAATTTTTGATGATGGTTCAAGAAAAGAATGTAGATTTTTGAAAGAAAGTGTATGGAGTACATTGATTCAAAATCGTGAGGTTTTTTTTTTTTGATATTACTTCACAATTGAAGCATGGCGCTTCGAAAACCCCCACAAAAAGGGTTTTTTTTAATAATAAATTCTAATCGGAAACTGAAACTCGGCTGAAAAGCATGGACGTAAAACTTTATAAGTGCCACCAGAAAGTTTTAAGTGGATCTCCGCAGAACTACAGTACCTTATAAAAGTTACAAAAAAAGGCGACTTTAGTCGCAATTTTCTTGTAAGGAATTCAGTCATTCTGAAACTGACGGTACTGTATACCAACTTCCCTATTTTCCAAAAATACTTCTAACAATATGACCGGGCAACCAAAACAATTTATTTCTATCTTTTCGTTCAATTAAAAACTGAATTTTAATTCTCAACACAACATCATTTTTCCGTATTCTTCATCATTTTACCGGAAAATTCTCGACTAGGCGGCAGAAACAAGATAAAAGGCTAACTTCTTGAAAGCATTTTTCATTTTTCTCTGGCGATGGGAAGCTCATCTGGTCGTTTATCATATCATAAGCGGCGGATGATGTTCTACTGCCATAGTAACTACTGCATGTGGATTTCAGACGAGACTTCTGACGTCTTCTTCCTTGTTTCCGTTGTCGCGCCACTCCTCTTCTGCTGCTTCGCCATATTCGTTTGCGCATTGAATAGCATTTGGAAAACAAGAAGCAAATTACAGTCAGTTTGGTTCTCTTTTTCGGCTTCAAAAGCAAGAGTTCATCTAAAAAGCATAAAACATAGCAGTATGATCATTAAAAGAAAAACACATAAGCCTAGGGACCGCAGACGAACTTTCAAAATTTTTTTTTCAGCATTGAGCTTTGTATGGTTTGATAGCTGTTTCGAGTCCAAACTCAGAACCGTTTAGTTTTTCGAAAAAGGTTGAGGATGAAAAAAGTTATGACGAAAAATGTGGCGCGCCGCGCACCATTTTTTTAGTACTTAAATTTTGGTATTATCCATTTTGAAATTTTTCTCGATTTTTCTTCTAGAACAAGTTTTGATACTGGTCTATTATGATGTAACAAATCATAATAGAGTGCTAAAATGATGAATATTTGCTAGTTTGCCGAAAAAAAGTCAGTATTTTCCAGAAAAACAAAAAAACTGACGCTTGCGGGCATCGAACTCGCGACCTCAAAATGAAAAATCGCAGCGCACGCACTGCGCCAAGCTGTCAGGTCTAGCGCGGGGAGCTTCCATCCGCCATACCCTTCAGCCGTTTAAATAGCACAGATTGTCTATTTCAAAAATAAAAACTTGAAGTAATTAAGCTATTTTTATCAGAATATGTTCGCAAATCTTTACTCAAACTTTCCGTGAAAATTCACTTCGAAAAAACTGTTTTTTTAGTGCTTTTTGCCTCTTTTAACGATCGCTGCCTTAAAACGGCCCCGTAAATTTTTTTGGCAAAGACGAATTTTTTTATTTTATTCTTTTTAATTGAAAGATTTTTTTACTAATAAATGTATATAATCGTTTAAAAAACCTGCGTTCGACCGTTTTCTGTGTGATAAACGCCGCTAATTTTATTCTCTATTTTCAAGAGCATTTTTGCGTAATAAACAACTTTTTTTCAAGCACATATTCTGTGGAGAAATATTTAAGTAAGCCCGTGATCTAAATTTTTGAAAAAAAGAAAAAAACTCGATTCTATTCGCATATTAACGATATTTTGAATTACGACTTTCGGCACTCCCTAAAAATTTTTTTGGCAAAGACGAATTTTTTTATTTTATTGTTTTAAAAAATACCGTTACTTGAATCAAAAATCATTATATAAAAAGAAAGAGTGCGTTCGACCTGAAAAACACATAAAAAAAGCAAAAATGACAAATTTTTTTAGTTGCATTCACGCTTTTTGTACGACATTCCGCGAGAACGCATCAAAAAAAGCGTAAAATTTTTTTAAAACGAAAGAGGAAGCTTTTTCTGTACATGTGTGTCAAATTTTATTCGCCAGTTCCACATATTTTGCAACTACAACAAAATGAAAGTTGAAAACCAAAAAAAAGCCACTTTTTCTATCGCGAAAAGGGGCGTGGCTTTGCGGTCCCTACATAAGCCGTGTTCCACAGGAAAAGTCCAAACGGTCTCGAAAAGGTCTCAAGAAAACGAGTCTTTTATTTCGAAGTTTTTTTTTCAATTTTATTTGATAATTTTTTTCACTTTTCGAGCTTCAGAATGATTTTCATGACGTCCTGTTTTGAAATCTATTGTATATTTCAGAGCCTTGACCCAGGTTGCGAAACAACGAGAGCCAACCGAGTATACAGAATACACAATCGATTTGACCACAAAACTCGATTCTTGCGTTGAATTGTCATCTCCGCAAATTAGCTCCAAAGAAGTTATCAAACTGAATATTTTTATTTTCAACTTTTGGCGTTCAGGAATCGGTTTTGCTGTAAAGTCGACCAGAAGACGACTCTTGTGGATATTTTATACCGGTTTTTTTGGGTCTGAATACAATTTCTGCTTTTTTTAATGATTATTTCTATAGGCAAATCGTTTTCTCTGCTTTTTAGAAGCTTCTACTTGTAAATATAATGTATGAAATGTATGAATCGCGCCTGAAATTTTGAATCGAAGTTTTGTGAAATAATGGATCGGCTCAATTTTATTTCACGTCTGTAATAAACCATTCAAAAGAAATGCAGCAAAAGATGCTTTTATGTGGTCTTTCCGTTCACAGATGCTTGCTAAGATTCATAAATGTTATTGTTGACTTTCTGAAGCGAGTTTATGAGAATCGTAATTGCTGGGAACCGGTCGGTGGAAAATTGCTTGTCGACTCGTACTTCACTCTGCGCGGTCTACAGAACAACCTTTTCAGAAATGTTCACCAGTTTTTTTCTCGTTTTGATGCATTGAGTATTATAAATATGTACTGCTTTTGGTGTTCTCTCATAGGTTCCTTCTTTTTTTTCAATCGAATGTTGGATTAGGCTGTTGAAAGCATATAGTCTGTTCAGATTTTTAATGTCAAGTGCAATGACGTCATTCAAAAACACTCTGTGGATGGCTCGCTCTCTGATTGGTTTATCGCACCATTATGGGCGGGACTTGAGCGACGACTTGACATTCAAAATCTGAACAGAGTATGTTCATTTATAAAAAAAATGTTGTTAACCGCTGCTAAAAAGATATTAAAAATCCATTCGTCCCTTTTTTGTTTCGGTCTGATGTTTTAAAATAACTTTTAGAGGTATTTTCAAGAAGGCTGAAATTGCACTGTTCGAAATTTCCATGGGAAATATTTCCATTCTCTTCATTTAACGCATCATCGATTTCCGTGATATATTCATGAAGCAGAACAAAAATGCAGTGCGAAAAAGAAGAGCAACCAAAACCAGAGAGATTTGTCGTGTTTGCTGCGATTTCGAGCTTAGCGAGAAGGATCGATCTTTCATTACACGTATCTATTTTCGTTGTTCCTCGTTTGGCGCTCCAGATATCTCTTGGCTTGATTCAGCGGAAACGTATCGATTTTTAGTCCTGACTGACAGCTACTGACATTTTGGGCAGAAGGAACATTTTTGCGAGTATCTGCTTTTTTTCTTCCTTCATTTGCTTTTGTGAGGCTCCAAATATTTTTTTTTAGTTTTCAACTTGAAGTTCAACTTGCAAAAAGGCAAAACTTTAATTTCATTTTTAATAAATCTTGGAAAAGATATCATAAGATTTGGAAACGATCTGTAAAAATGCGTTCCAAGAAAAAAGGGATTTTAGAAGTTTCTTTCATAGCTACAGCCTTGAAGAATGAAATCGATGTCCCGAAGAGGCGTGAGAGGTCTTCTCATAATTCAGAGATTTCCTCCTTATTCTTTCCTCCACTTCTTTCAAAGCTGCTCGAAATTTTTCATATACTTTTTGCGTATTTTGATTGATGAAAAAAAGCCGATAGATCAAAATTGAAAAAAAGTCAAACTGCATTTGACGGATTTCATTGCATTGCTTCAAAAATTTAATAATCTTTGTCATAAAAAAATTCTTGCTTCAAAAAAAGATTAAAAAACATTGATCCTTCAGCAAACAAAGTAGCTGAGATTGACAATAACAGAAACGAACAGAATAATTCTCAAGTATAAAAGAAAAATTGCTTTGGGTTTGACTAAAAGATACAAGCCTTCAGTCGTTTTTTTATAACGTTTTGATCAAAATTTTATTTTTCACGAGTTTCGCCTTTTTGTTTCCAATTTGGGAATGAGCTTGAAGAAAATGATAATAAAAGCCACGAGCAGGAAAAGCTGCAAAGGGAGACGAATGGGTTCGATTTTGCATGCATTCCATGTGGCTCTCCGTTTCCACGACGTTTCGTCTTGGAAGAGCTTTTTCCTCCACTTCCCACTCTTGCACTTTTTCTATATTTTGAAGAAACTGAAAAATTTCAAATTCAGATGGCCGACAATCTTTTAGTGCGTTTCAACGTTGGCGGCAAGAAATTTGCGACATTGAAGACAAATTTTCCTGCAGATTCGATTTTTTACAAGTTTTTCATGTCCAGGACGGCGGTAGACGCCCCGTTTTTTATCGACAAAGATGGAAGTTATTTTGTGGATCGTGATCCCGATTCGTGAGTTTTAAGATGTGGTTTATTCTAATTACAGAGAAATTAACAATCGATTTCTCATTTTTCAGGAATTTTCTCAAATTGAGGATGAAAGTGAATTAGCATTGGCAGAATAGTTTGAAGTCTGTAATATAAAAAAAAAATCTCTGACTTCTTTCAAAGGCCAAAAAATACGCTAGAGTTTTACGAGTGAAAATATCTGGGTTCGAAATTCGAGCATTCAGAGCAAACTTTGAAAAGGTTCTGAAGTCAAAGCTATAATAACCGTCTGAGGCACATCTTCTGAACATTTTTACAGGTTTAATGTTATTTTGAACTACTTCCGCTTAAAGAAATCGAAACAAATTTGGGAGTCCTGTCTACCAAAAGATCCAGACCGTCTAGCTCTCCTCACACAGGAGGTTTTGAAAGACCTCTCTCAGCAAAAGTTTGTTAACTCCTTTTTTCAGGCGGACTTTTTCTGCCTACCAGAACTAACAAACCAGGCCATTTATTTGCTTCAAGCCTGCAGCCAGAAGTCCGCTACAGAATCGACTTACGTCAGTAAAGTTAGTTCAATCTCTGGCTTTTCTGTTCTGAAACATATTTGCGTTCAGGTCTTCGAAAAGAGCCCCAGCATGCCAACTGGCTTTCTAACGTCTTCAGACTAATATAATTCATATAATTCCAACTTACTGCACTTGAAAAGAGATAAAATCTCAAATAAATCATTTTCATCTACAAACATCGGTTCATAAGTAACAAATTTCACAATTAAAGCGATTGCGGGTTTTTTTCCAAAGTACAAAGACAATGATACCAGTAGGGATTCGGGAAAGAGACGGTTTTTGATTATTTTTGAATGGCGCAAAGGGATGATAATCTTTCGCAGATGGTTCCGACAGGACAGTCGTCATCAGATTTGCAGGGCTCGCCGATCTCGTAGATTTGATGATTTTTTTCCGGTTCCCACTTAAATCCATTTATTAGACATAGGAAAAATCAGTTGGTTTTTGATTCTGATTTTTTTATGGATAGTTTATTTATATTTCTAATAATTTCGATAAATCGATCTTTTTCAAAAACTAATTCATGAGGATAAAAAAATAAAAAGAGAATGATTTCAAAAAAATTATTAAAAAAACATCATATACGAAGATAATGTGAGGTTCTTAATCAAAGTTTTATCTCGCGATATTTCAACAACGTTTTATTATCGATTTTTTTATACTTTTTCCATACTTTTTTTCCAGCTTCTTTTTTTATTTAAATACTCACGCAGGACTGTAGTGACACACAACAAAAGCCATGTGAGGGCAAACTGTCATAGCACAGCCAAGTCGGAAAGATCGTTCCCAGGCCATCTGAACATTATTTATTACTTTTTTTTTTGAAGTCATGGAACTGCGTCTGGATTTTTATTTGGTAAAAAAATGGTTTGATTTTTTTGTTGAACAGTTCTATAAAGTTCATTTTCGATACCCTTAACTTTTTTGATCAAAGAATTTTGGGGAGAGTTGGCAACCCAATAAGGTCGCTTGTATGTCGAATTCGAAAAATACCACCTCTGGGTAAATCCTTTGACAGCCGCGCACTGATTTGAAAATATGAAAAATCGTACCTGCGTGTAATGACCGATATCTTTTCCTTTCTTGGCCCACAAATCAGCTGTGAGCATGTTGTCTTCTGGTGTTCCGAATTCTTCCAACTCTTGCCACCATTTCTCGATAGCCTGAAAGAAGACTGGTTCTTATTTCTTCAACCTTCATTTCCTAACAAAAAACACTCAGTATACTTTTTTCTGCACGAACCGTGTGAAACAAGCCTCTAGGGTCCGGATTTGAAAAGGATGTCATGTAGAGGTTTTGTCCTTGGTTAGGCCTCTCGTAGTTGTTTGAGTGGGCGAAAACGCAATTGTTTGCCCATTCCTGGGCGTACGCTTCGAGTTTGCAGTCGTATTCCTGCATAATGTACGAGATTCCAAAGAAACGGGAGCTTTCTCACCATTTTCAGCATCCGAGCAGCTTTTGGTTGGCTAGTGTTGGTTTCACCATTCCATTCGAGACCGCGAGCTATGCGAGATCTGTGAAGTAGTGAGAGTCGTTTAAGTTCTTTATTACTTCTCATCATATTAAAAATATCGAACTCGAGAGCAATAATTATATTGAGCAGCAATGCTGCATACTTATGATTGTGAAATTTAACGTGTTTTATTGCGTTGAGTACGTGAACACATGACGCTCGGAAATCAGCGAAAAACAAAAAGCTCATGAAATAATCTTGGCTTTTTTCAGATTTCTTTCTGGATATCGTGACGGTTGTTTGTTGATAAAGTTGTTTTTGAGATCACAAAGATCAGCTTTTTTTTTTAAATCTGAGATCTTCAAAAGCTGCAGAAAGATTATTTTTTTTCTTTTTTTCCAGCATCGTCTCAAACCGACCTGTAAAAGTTATGTTGATTCAAAGTCCAAATCCTCGACGCGTCCGACATATTGTCATTACTACACATATTGCTTGCTCCGTTGTCTGTAAGAAGTTCACGTTTAACCATTGAAAAAAGAACGGAAAGGCATGACGTTTTTTGTGGCTTTTGAGAAATTGATGAGAACTTGCAAGCATGTACTTTCAGGTATACTTCACAAAAAAGATAATGAGACGTTTCAAAATTTTTTTGAATATCTGAACAACAAACCTAATGTTTCCCTCCAAAACTCGATCAATCTCACAACCGGCCACCAAAAACCTATTTTTGGTGAGATAAAGGGATTAATTCTATAACGTAAGAAGTGAAATAAAGTCGGTTCTTTTCATCTGTTTTCGCTCACCTTTTTGATTTCAGCAAGCTTGATTATAATCCAAAATTCAAAAAATCAGAACCCCCAGGAAAGTTTTTAAGATTTTTGTTCCAGAAAGCGAAGAAATCGAATCACGTTTATTGAATAGACTTTTTGGTATTTCTCAAAGAACTCAAAAACTTTTTTCCATATTTCCTATAAGCCAAGTGAAAATTTAATTCCGATGAAATGTATTCAAAAAAAACCTCTTAAAATTATCGGCGCTTCACAAAGCCCTTCAGAAGTGTCACACGTTGATCCAGGATACGTTGAACAGTCTTCATCTTTCTTGCAAGGCTTTCCCGGTTCATAAATCATTTCTTCTTCACACTGAGCTCTGAAATATTGAAAGTCAAAAATCGATGACAATAATCGAACTTTTCATTGTAGAGACACGTGAAAACAGCTGATTGGTTGTCAGGACAAGTGACATAAGAACATCCTATTCTATAGGTTTTTCCTTTCGCCATCTGAAAAACTATCTGCATCACAAAAAATAAGTGGATTCTTACGTTAGCCCAGCTGTAGTAATTGTTCTTGTAAGAATATCTGTTTTTAGTGTCGTTGTTTCCCCTCTCTTGACCTTGAGACCACCACGACTTCAGTGAAGTCTTGATGTGCTTATTCATGTCCTCGCCGTCAAAATAGAAATAAAACCTGGAAAATATTTCCCATGAGTCATGATAGATACAAGAAGGAGGAACATTTTGTAGATTTGAGAATGAGATCCCAAAAGAGAGTCGGGCATGAAGGTTCTTGGACAGTCGGCTGTCCACGAAGCGGCAAGGTCTTCAAGTTCGCAGTCCCATTGCTGAAGATTAGATAATAACTGAATAGTATAAATCCATTTCAAGCATGAATAAGAGGTAAATGTCTCAATCTTTTAAACCTTTAGGGTGCTAAAACTGATTAATAATACTAATAAACAAAAGAAAGCCCAAAAATTGTTTTCTTAAAGGAGTTTGACCGTGAACTTTGATAATCATATGGAAGGTGGAAAAAATTTTGAAAATTCAAGAAATTATGAAGAAAGAAAACCTCAAAAAATACCCCAGAAAGAGATGTTCACTTAAAATAGCCGGATGAAGTGACAACTGATCTAATGTAACTAAACACGGCTTCGAAAGTCAAAAAAGGAGAATGTATTCAGGCGGATTAATCGAGATTATCTTTTTTTAATGACAGCAAAAAAATCAAATTTAACAAATTTCTGGAATTCTAGTTACCATAACCTTTTTTTCAAAAAGGTTTATATTAAATATAAAAAGTGAATCGAAACTTTTTTTAAAGTCAAAGAAGCTTTTTCAGGCTTCTTTTTCAAGCCTGATTCGGAAAAACTTTCATATTATATAGAAAAAAATTTCTAACGTACCAATTTATAAATATTTTTCCCGCTACGCATCAGTCCTCGTTTGTTTCTCTGTCGCCCGTTGGCCAACAGTCGCCGCAAATCGTTGTGAGTTTTCAGGATGAGATCCCGTTGGAACGCGGCCAGAGTCGTCCCGTTGCAAATGTCATCCGTAAGTAGTTCTGGGATAATTTCAAATCGTATTTATCAAATATAGTTGGAAAACCCCCGTCTGTTGAGTTCAGTGCCTGCAGAACTTTCTCGTCGTTATCTTCCCATATTTGATTGTTCTCAAAAGGATCTTCAAATGGGTCGACGCCGCTTCCCTCGTTGTATATTGCACTCTGAGAAATTAAAGAAATCATTATTCCAGCTTTTTTTTCAGTTATAATGAAAGCGTGAAGAGAAAAAAGAAAAGAGACTAGGTTAAAAAAATTTTCGAGCATTGCTGTTTTGAATAAAAACTTGGAAGTTGTGTCTTTTTTGGTTGTTTTCATGAAAGTATTCTAGTGTTGATGTGTTAACTCATTTCTGTTTGCAGATTTTAATTTTTTTAGATTTTTACGATTTCTAACTTTTTTTAATGTACTAATTTTTCCATCTACCTCTCTCGAAGTTTTCGTTTTTGAAATTTGAAAAAAATGCTAATCTAATTATTGAACAAAAAGAGAGAAACACGATGGATGAAAAATCCAAAAAGGTCTAATCAATGACTTGAGTTTGAAGTTAACTAGAACGAACATTTTGAACCTTGCAGATAATGTGATCAAAGAGACAAAAGATACTCTAAAAAAGAATCCAAACCTGTCCAAATCGGTAGATCAGAAATAGAAGAGCAATAGTGACCAAGGTGTTCATAATCTGGTAGACCGCATTAGGAAAAAGTTCAACAAGGCGACCTGGGGAAATGTGTCGATTAATTGATGCGACCGACGTCAAAACTTCTCCAGAAAAAAACGAGCGTGACCGGTGCTTTGTGTTTTTTTTTTCTCACTACGTTTCGGCTTCTGTTATTGATATGGTTCTTGGAACTAACTGGTTTTCTTTTGATAGTGTAGGGCATTTTATTTCAGATCTTTGAGAAAATTCAAAAGTCTTTCAAATTTGATGGTTTCGAAAGAGAGTGAGAGAGAAATGAAACACTTCAAGTGTGCTCGACCAGAAAAACTGCATAAATTTTAGAAAATATTTTTTTTCAAATTTCCCTATTTTTTTTGTCCAAGTAGACATCAAAAGCACGCGTTTGATTCCTAAATGTACTCGTGAGTATATATTTGAGCAAAAATAATCTAAAGTACTGTAAACCAAATTTTCGATTCTTCTTCAGGCACACAACGGCTCTTCTCGAAATTGGAAAAAAAATGAATTTTGGAACGTGCGATTTATAGATGTGACTTTTTACACAAACTAACGTACCATGTCTAAGCCTCCAAAGTGAAAGTTATAGAAAAGTTGCATTACCTCGCTTTTTCGACAACAACATCACGATTCGAGGAGCTGGGGGGTTTTTTTTTCAATTGGCTTTCGCGCCTCTTTAGCATTGTTGCAACCAATCAACCTCACTGAACCTGTTTCTATCATTTTATGCGCGGCCGCATTCAAAACACCTCTATATGCAAGGAGAAAACCAATTTCTATGAACTGACACCGGTTGCCGTAAGAGGAGAAAGTCCACGATTTTTGAAAAACAAATCGAGCGAAAAATGGGTGAGACTTTGGAAATTGAAAAAGAGAGGTTCTCTTAGAAATGGTGTTTTTTTTGGCCTGAACATTTCAACAGACAAGCGTCTGAATTATTTCCTTTTGTACAATTTCATATATTTGGAGTTTCCGATAGTAGGATTCCGAAAAAAATTTTTTTTCGAATTTGGGATGTTGGGCAGATTAAAAAAACCCTACATTTCGAGATTTCTCATTTACTAGTGTTTCAAATAACTTACATTAACTATGAAGAAAGAATCAAAAAGTTTTTTTATTTTTCGATTTATAAGAATCCGAAACCGGAAAAATTGAATATGTGACATCATCCGTTTTCAATCAGTTTTTCCGTTTTGATTGAGCCTTTTCCAATCAAAATGGGAAAACTGATTGAGAACAACTATCAAGAACTTTCAGGAAAAGAAGGCGAAAAAAAAAATCAAATAAAAAAGGAAATCAGTTCTACGAAGAAAACTGAACCATTCACTGGTTTGCTACCATTTTATAGCTTTGATTATTTTCAAGTGCCCTTCCACAACGTCCTCAAACTGTACTTTTATTCCAGAATTTTCAAGTGGTTTCTGGAATTGCTGGTTTTTTTTCTGTTACCGGTGTTGTTAAACGTCACGTGATATATTTCTGTTGAGGCTCTCGTCACTTTATTTTTCGTTTTGATAGTAATTAAAAAGCCATTCAATCGATTTGAAGTGGAATGCTTTATTTTTTCAATTGTGAAAACGTGATGAATTTTTATTTCCATGACAGATTGGAAGACAGCTCGCAATGAATTTAGCTAAATTGAAAAAAAATGTTCGAACGAAGAAGTTGACGGTATACCTGTACAGACAAAGCACATCAAGGCGCGTTTGGCAGCTTACAAATCCGCATCCAATTTTCTGATACTTCTAAAAAAATAAATGTCTCTTAAAAAAATAGGAAATTTGAGAAAAAAATGAGTATTTCACTCGGAACGGATAATTTTTTTGAGAGTTGTTTGCATAAAAAAAGAAGAATAAATAGTACATACAGTTCCAGACTGATCTTTGCTGTTCAAATTACTGGCGGCCAACTGCAGAGCCTTTTGTTGTCCCACCAGAGCTGATTTCGCATCTCCCTCAGCAGAAAGTTCAAAACTGCAACATTTGAATCGAATATTTCAATTTCCCCAAATTTGAAGATAGGCCAAAAATACAAACCTGAACTTCAATGAGCCCTTGCCAGCTCCAGTATTGTCCACCGTGCAGAGTTTCACGAGTTGAGTTGCTTTAGTTTCAAGATCGCAATCCCATTTCTCAATTTTATGTACTTGATTGGAATTTCAAAATTTTTTTGATTGGTTTCAATAACTTCAGAACAACCCTTTATTGGTTAATACCAGCTCTTAAGGGGATTCGTGAGTATTGATTAAGCAAGAACTTTGCCGCAGAGATCTTCCAAAATTTTCAAAAAAAGATTTGCAGTGAGCCTAAAGAACTACATCTAGTATTTCTAGCCTCATTCAGAAATCCTGGACACTTTTTTTTGACTTTCAAAAGTTCCATGGAAATGTTGATTCGTCGAGAAATATACCATGTTTATGGCCACAGAATTTGTGAAAATGGCAACGACGTCACGAGGGGCGCCGTTTGGACAATCAGCTGCAAAAACTTCGTGGTTGGGAAAATTTCAACTTTTGAAACACCATCACGCTTAACACGATCACTTGTTGGCTCGGGAGTTTGTTTCTTTGGCACTGAATACGCGTTCCTTCTGCAAAAAACAGTTTTCAAAAAAGTATTTTCGAACCAATTTCTTTTCAGATGCAAATTTTATCAGTTTTTCTTCATTTTTTCAGTATTAAACAGTTCAGAAAACCATATGAATTGATAAAAACCACGCGATTGCGCAAAAAAGGGTCCTAATACAGGAGAACAATAGATATTCAATCTATCAACTCCACCGCAACCGCAAAGTTTTGCGACGAAATATTTTTTTTTAAAGAATATTTCGATTTGTAGGACAGAAGTAAAAAAATAATGATTTCTAACCGAACAAAAAGAAGGTCGTCAACGGCGTAGTGTCGGAAAGTACTTTCGCCAGCGTCTACGAGACAGAAACACATGATGCAAATGAACAGCAAAACAAGCTTTCCCATCTTTTTCGGAATAACTCTCTTTGCCGGGAGAAAGCTGATCGGTAAAAGGATTCAACATCATCCGCTGCGGGTCTATTATGCTCTTTCTGTTTGTTCAGATGCTTCGTTTTTGGGAAAGACTTTTGTATATTTCATGATTCATCAGTCTTGTTGGTTGAAACTCGCCTCGTTGTAACAGGATTGGAAACTTAGGAAAAAAAAAGGAGAACAGAAAGGATATTAAAAAAAGGTTAAAAAGGAATTTTGCAGTGCAGCAGCGAATGCGCGCCCTACGGCGACCCTCAAGTGGTAGAGGAAGGGACGAGAAACCGCTTGCGACGGAGCGGTCAATTCTAATTGGTTTTTCTTACAGATAGGTTTTTTTTTTTTGAAAGAAAAGAGCGGGAAATAAACTGAGAGGTTTTCATGGAGAATATCCTTCAGTCGCAACGTTTCTTGTTGCTTGACTGGCAATCTCGTTCAGTGTAGAGTTTTGGTTGAGCTTCGCTCCCATGTTTCCCGCTTTTACTTTTCATTTTCTGTTGTTTGGCAGGATCTCGGTTTTTTTATTTCAATACTAGAGCCTAGGTTGTTTTCGGATTCGAAACCCGAGTTTATGTTTTTTTTTTGGAATTTACCCATGCTGGCCGAGAACAAATTCCATTTAGATGGAAAAAGTTCTCAGGGTTTCAATTCTCATTTTAGTTACTTCATACGGAAACTAGGATTAAGATTGATCAGGATTTTTTTTTCCTTTACTAAGTTTTACTAATGTAGCTTGTAGTATGGCCTCCTAGGTGCACGTGTTTTTTTCCCATTTTCTGGTTTATGGGTTTTTTTTACACGTGTATCTCGTACTTCCCATCATTTCTTATCCTCGGTTTCTATTTTTATCCCCAGAACATGAAGATTTGTATATGAAGCGTTTGTTTGATGATGTTGAACCAAAGTTATCTGGGAGCAAAGCCATCTACCTCGGAGTTGTCCCGCTTGAAATCCGTCCTTTTAGGGGAAGCTCCGTGGAAAGTAGGCGACATCTTCACTCTATGATGAATAATCGGGAAACAACTTGTGTAACCCCTTTTGTGAGGTTTTATGTCCGCGTCGTAATGTGAGTAGGTTTATGATTAATTCATCGCTGCGTTGAGCCAAATTAAAATAAAAGTTCGCAAAGCTCATAATGTTTTTTTTCTTGTAGATTTGTAAACTTACCAATAAGTGCAGTCTCAAAACATTCTCAGAAAAACGCAAAAGAGTGTTGTCTCAAGTTTTTTACCATCACACTGAAAATCTTGCATAGATCAAAAGTTTTTGCGTGAAATTCCGTAGAATTCTTTTTTTTCAAAGAGTTTATGTTTCGCAATGTTCAAAAAAAGTTGAAAATCTAGCAAACGAAAAATAGCAAAAATGACATCGGGCGCAGCTTCGGTGAAAAAAAAATGCCAAGAGTGATCTAAGCGTTATAAAAAAAAATAGGTTGATGATTTTTTTGATTTTGACAAAATTAAGAGAGGAAATGAATTGGTGGAATGACAACGTTGGAAAATAGCAAAACAGATTCGAAAAAAAAAACAAAATAAATAAATACAATAATAACAAAAATTATGAGCGAACATGTTTCGAGAAACCCAGTAGGAAAGAAGTTTGAAGTAAAAGCCGGAAAAAGTTTGAAGGCTTTTGGCCTTTTTACCAGCAAAAAAAGAACTAGAAGTTTGGAAAAAATTACTTAGGACCGGCATCCATGGTCAGCGATTTGCCAAACCGCGAGATCCTGCGCGGCAGGCCGATGGACCTGACACTTGCGAGGGAAATCTTTCTGGATGTCTCACCACGCTTACCCTGGAATCGACAGTTGCTTAGCTTCAAACCCAGAAGAGAACAACTGAAAGGAAAGAGAAACAAACGAAGATATGCTCAACAGCGGGCTCCACAGTGGAAGTATCATGAAACGTCTCGAACGCATTCCGAAATCAGAATCAGAATGAAGAAAAAATTAAGTCATCAAGGTCGAAGTGAATAATCGAAATTACCAAGATTACGTCGAATAAGCACAAGAACGACAGAAAAAACACGTGCTAGACAATTACAATAGACAAATAGAGCCTACAAGTCTTGGTCAGGAAGGGAGCGATAGTGAATCATGTAATACACCAAGTCTTTTTCTGCTGAGACGCTCGACCGCAACGTTTTTGCCATTTCAATAAATTCCTTAAAATGGAAGCGTTGAAATTCTATCGAATGCAATTTTCGGGTTAATCACCACTTGTTAGTTGTGTTTTTGCCGGTCAGTTGAGCTTTTCGTTAAGACCCATTAAGATAGATAAAGATATGGTGTTAAACAAAGAGGAGACACGTTAAACCTGTGCAACTGAGGGGACAGGCAGGTGTCAGAATGATGAAGAAGGAGGTGATGGCAGGTCTTCAGAGCTCGCCGTGCTCAATCAGTCGGTAGGAGTGCTCATGCTCGCGGCGGCTTCGAGTTGCGAAATGAAGGTCCTCACTTTCTCGAGAGTCGCGTGAACGGTATCCTTCCGATTTTCCAGAACGAAACGACCCATGCTTTTCCAACGTGACTGTGCTTTCCAGACGTTGTCATTGGAACCAAGAACTCGACTGACGGCCCGGGAGTTGCCTGCGTTTTTCGTCGCTGTCACTGCAACTAAAATTCATTAATGATGACAACCGTTCCATTTTGTAGTTCGAAAAGGAAGTTGTTTTCTATAACTATCAAGATAGTGAGCAGAAGAAAACAATCACAATGATCGTGCATCTCATATTTCAGAATCCTACGGTCATTGCTTCTTTTTCGGGCGAGTGTTAGAGCATGAAGCATACTTCCGCCGGTGCCGTTCTTCACGTCTTCGCAGGTTTCTTCCACAAGGACGTACTCGCTCTCGTCCATGTTTGGTCGACGAGCTTTCACAAACACCTTAACAAAACGACGTTTGAAACATTGGTATAATGGAAATTACGGAACCTGTCGGATGATGTCTGAAGCAGTACTGTTGATGCTAGCTCGGAGAATCGCATAGGGTTGATCTTCACTGACGTTGTGAACGCACACCAGGAAGGTGTCGCCCATCGATCTCGCCCTAGGATTGAGCCCTGCAACTCCGGCTCTCCCTAATCTCATGATGACCGAGTTCTCCTCACACTTGCCTTCTCCAACGTCCAAGTGCTCAGCGAACGCCTCCGTATCAAGCGATCTTCCATGAAGTTGGGTGCTCGACGCGCTTTTGACATGGCCATCCTTCGGCACTGGACAAGGAGATACGGAAGTCGAACTTCCGCCAGTTCCAGATTTGATGATTGAAGTAATCCAAGCTCGAGAAGACGGATCCTGAATGAGGAAGTTGAGGATTAAGAAAAAAGACTCTATAAGCTCCATACAAACAGAAACGGCCCATTCAGTGTGGAAAATTCCAGAGTCCCTTGTTGCAATTAGAATAAGACGCAATCAAACCAGTGCAGACTTAAGGTGATATGTTAGATCCGTTTAAAAAAAAGTTCGTGCAGTAAAACGGACAAAATCGAAAAATGAAAATAATGATGTAAATTCGTCCTGCTAGAAAATTTTCTGAGGAACTCTTGGGAGTTCGCGTCCGAAATTTGTGGTAAGGTAGTCGTAAGAATGGCTTTTCAAAAAGCTCTATCTGTCATGCACCGAGGTGTATCATCAGAAAGCAATAAAAATATACTAAAAAATCTTGGAAAAAAGAAATCGTTTGAAACTTCCTAAAAACAACTGTATTTTTAAAGTGGGGATGCAAACAAAAAAATTGAATTGAAAAAAAAAAACCCTTTCTGAGAAGTCCCTACATAAGTTTCACAATTTTTTTTTAGTACCCCATATGGCGCGAAATTTATATTTTAACTGAAATTACTCTCACGTAGATCTGTATACTTTCATTTTTATTTTAGTTTTCCAGGTAAAAGGCGATATCACTCTGAAATTCGACAGGAAACTTTCACAGGTTGGCATAAAATCAATCAAAAAGTGCAAACACAAACGAAACCATGTGCAATGCATCCCCGCCGCTTTCCACCAAAATGAAGCCAAATCATCGTGTCATCCTCACAATCTCAAAGATTCCGTTCAGCGTGGCGAGCATTCCTCGATCATTCTCACTAATCTCACCTTCCACGCCTCTCAGCCGCTGAGTCCCTCTCGTCGCCAGTTGACAACATTGTTTGGACGCGTAAGGGAAAATCATCTCTTTTGAATGATGCCAAGATAGTGGGAAAAATAGAAGATAGACCAAACAGTAGGAACAAATCAAAACAGTTTTCTCGGGTTAAAATAAGTGAAGGCACAAATACTGGATCGGAACATTGAATTTTCATGATTTTTTTCCAAGTCAAGCTTTTTGTCCAATCCAGAGTTCCATACGTTAATCAATACATTAAAATGGTTGTGATCAGAAAGTTAATTAGAAGAGGACAAAGTGGATGCGTCAAACGTGGCCGCCCAGTTCAGTCTTCGGGACGATTTGCTTATTTTTCGCTGGCGCCGCCGGTCGTCGTAACTCACACTGCCTTTCTTGCGAAGTACGAATCTTCGCATCGAGCCGTTCCAACAGGCGACGGCGTCCATTATCGGCTCGTTGAGCGGCAGCACCTTCAACTGAGAAGTTTGTTTTCAGTTTTGCGTGTTTAAGGTACTCTTTGCTCGACAGGATCTTCTCCAGGAATCGCCGGTATTGACTCTTCTATGAGAACGTATTCCTCGACTTGGTCGGCGTTTTTGCCGGCGTTCATCAACGCCTGCTGCATCACCTTTTTCACGGTGCTCCCGCTCTCGCTGTGAACTGTGATGGGTGTTTCGTCGGCAAAGGCGCCCGTGATCCGCAGCACAAAGATCTGCTTCTTCAGAATCGGGGACGGAGACAGGTGTGGTGTCTGAATAAAAGTTCACAATTTATTTCGTGAGTTTTCTCACCATATCAGTTCTGTAAGCCAAAGTGTGTTCCAGGTTACAGTAAGAAGCGCTGTCCTCGTCATGCAAATAGATATGTTCTTCTTGCTCGAATCGAGTACTGCAAAAAAAAAAATTGCGGAATGAAAGAAAAGATGAAATTACCGGATGAAGATCATTGCGTTGTCAATCGGCTGATTGGTGCTGGTGCGCAGAGGCAAATGTCGAAATCCGGGTCGTATACATCTGACGGGGACAACTCGATGAGCGACGACTCTCCCATTTTGACCACTGTCGCAGACGGCAATTCGGAGGAACGCAAGGTCGACGCAAGCAATGCGCAGTTGCGTTGTGTGGTTCCAAATAGGATTCACAGAATTTCTTTGGACCACTTTTGACTTTTCCTGTGAAACAATAATCATTTCATGAAGAAACAATTGGAAAGCTCACTCTTGCGCAGTCGATCGGTACACCGATCACCTCGACTTCAACGTACAAACTAGCATAATGAGTATTGGGATACACGTGTTGTCCAGAAATCACCTGCAGAAAGATTATTGAAGGAAATTGATAAAATGCTGGCTGACAGTGAGGTTGAGCAAAAGAGCAGAATGCCCTGCAACGTCTTTGGTCAAAGGATAAAATTTGTTATACAGAGGGTGAGAATCGTCCCAAAGGCAGCGTGGCTTGAGTTGATAGCTGGAAAAAGAGAAAATTTGAGGTCTGTTGAAGATTTTCTTTAATCTGACCCACAGTTGCTGCTTTGCTCAAACATTGCTTGGTTCACAGCCATGATGACGTCAGGAGTTTGAAAGTTCAAAGCCACCATCTTCAATTTTGTATTTTCATGTATCATTCTTGGGAAAGGAAATGAGACCTGCATTCCGTGCGCCCAGCAGTTGATAGGATTGAAATTCGAAGAGTCGTAATGCTTAGCGGAAGGATATGTTCGGATTAACTAAATTTATCATGTTAGGTTGAAGACTTTTTTTCCTGATTACATGGTCACGAGTGTAGGAAATGCACTTGAAAGGATGCCGTTTCATCAGTTTTTTCGCTGCGTTTTCATTCAAAGACGTGACCTGAATGAATCATGTTCAAAAAGAGAAAATTCTTTTTTTCGAATTTTGCCATTAAAAAATGTAGAAAAGACTTGTAACTTGGGTATTTTTTGCTCTGGGGGTATATTGAACTATTTTATGTTTAGGACTTTTTTTTCGATCGGAGTTTTTTTTTTTTTCAGAGACGTGACCCAGATAAAAGTCAAAAGGAGCTTCACAGCAAACTGAGATTAGTATCAATGAACTTCCGACTCACCTGATAACATGTGGCTGTGGCGTTTGGCCTTCCTGTACTCACAAAAGGAGAATCCGCTCCGAGGAGCTCCTATAATTCAAGTTAAGGCCTTCAAAATTCACGAATATCTTACCTGACTTAGTTGAGTACTACTTCTCTGTCTTCTGGGCGGCGTTGGTGTATTCAGAAGGTTTGACGGTGTTCTGGCCCTCGAAGAAAACGACAAACTTGCTGATGACGGTTGTTCGTCAGTGATCCTGGGAGATTGAATTCCTTCGACCACAGGAAATCCCTGAAGATCGCTTCAATTCGGAACGGCATAGTTTTCATTTTTACTTTGAACTTGGTCGCCTGAACATAAATGACGATGTCAGAAAGTTCTGGAGCAATTTGCACGCCAGTGTTCATTTTTCTGAGTGGCGGACGTGGTCCTCCAGGAACAGACACGAGTTGAGCGTAAATCGGATCGTCTTCAATTTTCGGCTCATTCACCATCTGTAAACTTTTATTTTCCTCAAAAAGCTGAATAGTTTTACCAGAGTTTTGCTTGTAGTCGGCTTGTTCTGCTCACTATGCTCACTGCTCATTGAGTCTTGCTTCATCGTTTCTGACGTTTTCGGTGCTCGTTTGACTGGCTTCGGACTGTCCACCAGGTTCTTATCGTTTCTCACTGGGTCATCTGAAGCTTCTCAATTGCGGGATAAGTTTTTATTTGTTTTTTCTACCTTCTTGATCATCATCTTCGTTATCCTCTTCATCAAGGAACTCGTCCAAGTCGTCATCTTCCACTTCATCGACCGTACTGAAAAGTGAGATTCCCTACGCATATTCACAAAACACAAATGTCTTCATGCGAAACAGATAACCAAAGAAAATATATCCTACGAGAACCTAGATTCGAAAAATAAGAACACAATTTGCACAAGAAAACTGAGAAGTGTGTGAGTGAAAAATAATGATTTCGTGCCAAGAAAAAACTTTAAAAAGCACACCTAGACCGGTACATGATCGAATTTGAATTGCTGAAAAATTTTATTTTAAAAGCTAGCTCTAGATACTTTAATATGGACCAATTCGAATTCAACATAATATTTTCACTAATAGGTGCCCAAAATGAACCTGTCATAAATTTAATCAATTTTCTACGACATTTTACACCGTTTTTTTGAACTTCTACAATTACGGTGAATTCTCGAAAAACTTTCGCAATCAGATTTTTTTTTTTCTGACGTTTTTTTTCGCGTTATTCACCTGCTCTCGTAACTGTTCTTGCTCTGCTTTCGATGCAAAGCCAGTTGAGTTTCCCCTCTAGGTATCGACCGGTCCAAAATAGGCAACGGCGTTGGTGGCTCGACTGAAAACGTTCAACTCTCTGTTTCGTCGTTGGATTATGATCAAACCGATCATTTTCTTATTCTTGATCAGAATCTTGTTTCTCAGTTGCCATGGAGAAGGTAACCGAGGCAAATCCGAAAAATCTGCTTCGAAGAGGAAATTCGTCACAAGAAGATCACCGAGCACCGTCTTGAAATTAATATGAGTTTATTTTTATTGAGTCGCACTACCTTGAACATTTGAGCCATTTTGGCCTGTTGCTGAAGAGAACAGTGATTTTCGATCGACAAAATGACTGGCAGATCCGAAGTCACAAATGCTGACTTCTTTATTATTTCGACAACCTTGAAGAAGATTTGAAAGTTGACAAATGAGCGTGGAAACCTGTCGGAAGCCTATTTTGCTGACGAGAGTATGTCCGTGGTAAATCAAAGGCAAGCCGTCGTCGCCATCCCAACAGTCCAGTTCTACGCAACGACAACCCGTGAGAAGAACCTGAAAGTTTATACATTTTTGATTTTTGACCTCAAGGATTACTGCGAAAATCCGATTCTTCATTCCTGTCCATTATAGGATTAAACCTAAAAAGATCTTAATTTCAAGTCTTGAGGGAAAAAAAGAAAAAGCAAACAATCATGAGACTTTCTTCGCGAAACACCGTTTCAAGGCATAATGAGGTGAAGAAATGGCCTCACAGAGAGCTAAAATATTTAATAGGATGCTGCAATTGACGTTCGTCAGAAGCTAAGAATCCTTAATTGGAATGAAAAGAAGCTGCTCCTTAGAGAATAATAGGAAAAGAAGCCAAATTTTGTTGTGCAATTCAATATAGAAATTATTGAGGGGAACGAAAAGGAGCAAAAACGGGGAGGCATCCTTCTTTTTCAATTTTTTCGCTAAACTCAGATGGATAAAATCAGTATGAAATTATCCAGTTGAAGCATCCAGCCATGAAATGATGTATTCAGAACTTTATGGCGCTTTGTGATCTTTGGGCCAGTCTTAGTGCGTTTGTTTGCGTTCAGAGCGAGGCCTCATTAATAAATCTTGAGGCGTACGCTTCTGAAATAGAAAAAAAAACTACTTTGATACTTTCCAACTGCCAAAATTTCTTACATGTAAAAAAGGATTTTTATTTGTTGCTCCGGGATCTTAGGAGAAGGAAGACAACATTTTTAAATTTGAGTCGTTGAAGTTGATGAGTTGTTTGGAGTTTACAGCTTTTTTTAATTGAAATGGAAACATAAGAAAAATCATTTATCGAGGAGATTTCTCAGAGACTGACCTGTCGATACATTTCCGAACTGCTCGGCCCCTTGAGCTGATGGCCAGTCAGGTACGTATTGTGACTGGAGTTGATGTAATAATGCGAAAGCGGGAATTTCAGCTCATCCTCTTCCGGCTCGATTGTTTCAGGAACAAACGCGAAATTGATTGGATCGCAGAGGAATCTTGTGAAGCCCTCGAACGACATCTGGTTCTTCTGGCGGCAGATTGGGTCCGGCTCGTGGTCCTAAAAATCATCAGGATTTTTTTCTCGAATTGTTTTTTGAAAAAATTATATTTACATTCAAACGCCCATACAATCGGAAATATATGAGTAACTGCTTCTTTTGCCCACAAGCTGTGAATATGGTTTCTCAGTTGTGTGTGTATTTCAGAAAAAAAAGTCTCATTTCCATATTTCCAGCAAAATCAAGATTAACGGAGCCCTTGAGCACAGCGTTCTGCCATTAAAAACTGGAAGGAAAAATTCTCCTGGGAGTTGCAGAGGTGTTTCCTTTTTTGACACTCTGACATTCATCGAACGGAAACGTCTTTTTTCCTGAAAGATGCTCCGATCTTTGGCTGAACTACTGTCACTAAATATTTTAATGTTCCTTATCCTTTTACTACTAAGACAGTTTTACATGGAGAAAAAGTATATTCTGTTCAACTTTTCCCAAAACTGAAAATCTTCAAAGTCCGAGATTGTTAGTTTCCTTCATTTGAATTTTCGGAAGATATTTTGGAAAATTTAATGAAATTTCGAAAATCTATGTCTTTTGTTCAAAAGATACATTTTTTTCTTCTCCAAGTCAAAATTTCGAAAAAGGCCAAAAATAAGCGGCTTCGTTGCACTATTTATTACAGCAGTGTGCGTGAGTAATTTGCATAGATCCCAATGGTTTTTGTGGGCCATTCGACTCTAACGAAACAATATATCGTGGCCTGCGAGGGCATAAAATGTTTTTTTTTGTTTCTTGTATTCGTTTTTGGCGACGCGATGCCTCTTTGGGCCTGCCAGACGCCATGCGTGAGCCTCGGCTCCGCCCATCGGAGGGTTTGTCGTGAGACGGCAGGCCGCACACCTCGCAATGGACCATCTGCGGCCGTTGAGCTCTCAGACCTCCACGAGCGAAGCTTCGAGCTCTACGACGACGGGTCCAGCTCCCGTCGTTGTCTCCACGCTACACCCCGATTTCGCCTCCTCGTCCGATGGCTCCTCTCCCATCAGCAATACTCAAAAGAAAGTGAGTTTTTTCTTTTCAAGGACCTCTTCTCGAAGAGATTTCCTTTTCTAATGAGCAAGTTTTCGTTCATTGTTCCATCAAAAACGAGCTAATCGGAAAAAAAAATCTTCAACCTTAAGATAAATACAAAAAAAACTTCAACAAAAGTATTCTGGATCAAATTTTGAATTCAAGGTGTCGTTTGCGGCGGAAGTAGACGAACAGCAGCAGGCCCAGTCAGAAAAGCATTCGGCTCAGGATTCCTGCTGCTCACTTCAATGACCCACAGTCCATTATTCCTCCTTGGGCGAGAGTTTTCTTTCAAGATTTGTTTCTCTAAAATTTAACAGCAAGCCTCCCAACTGAAGTACCTTCACGATTTAGCGCTCTTTTTTCTTGCCACGGGAATTCATCAAACTACTTTAAACTACTATTTTCACAATTTTACTGCTGACTGTGTTTTGATTTACGGTTAATATGAAAAAATATGATTAAATATTTCTTTCGAATAACAGATTAATGCTATAAATAAATTATGCTTTTTTGAATCAATTTTCCACGTTTGTTGTTAGGCTACTAGGATTTCTAATATCCTGTTCTCGCCATTGTGATAATAAAGTGATTGTTCATAACTTGTATCGCTTGACTTTATTCCCAAATTTAAACTAGGAAAAGTGTCCTCAAACTTTATGGAACGTATTCGTTTTTGTGCCATTTTATCTCGACACGTTTTGCGTTCGGAATCATTGAATCAAGGTTTGCAGAAACATTTTTTTGTCATCTTTCTCGCTCAGCTCTCCGTTCTATTGAACCCATTTTTTCTCCTTTTAAGCACTCTTGCTGAATGAGACTTCAAACTGGGCTTTGTCGACTTTCACTCAAAATGTGTCACCAACATGAGATGTTAACGTCGACTCGAAAGAAAAGAAACCAAAGCCAAGGTGTTGACCTACCTGAATGAGCTTTATGGCGTAAGCTTCATCGATCATTTCCATCTGATGCGTGTTCACAAATGCACGAAGCATCTGGGGAGTGAGCATTGAAGACCGCGACGTGTCCATAAGTCCGCCCATGCTGTAAAAAACCTCGTTACTTCGGTTTTTTTTCGTTTTAGTGCAGCCGGAGTAGGCATAAATAGCCATTATAACACAGATGCGTCCTACTGTAAATGGAGATTAGCATTATGATGATTGTTTTTTTTCATTTCTGAATTTCTGAAATTTTGCAACAGAAGATAAAACCCCAAGAAAAATAATGGATAAATTCGATCCCGAAGGTCTCACATTTGCGTGAGTCTATTTTTCGCTTGCCGCTTATTCTCCGGCCCTAATGAGAGTTAAAAGAAACAGATCGTGAGAAAATGGGTAATGGCGAAAGCTCGTGTGAGATCTTGTCTGAGATCATTCTGAGCACCTCCAGATAACTTTGCAGTTTTTGCCAAAAGAATGTGTGTGGCAAGTGGGAAAGACAATAGTTTTGGGATGGTAATACTTGTTCCTGAATTTTCAATCAACTACTAACTACTTTCATTAAAACCATATAAAAAGATTATTATTTGGAGCCCTGAAAGTTTCTAAACAACTCTCGCTTCAACATGAATTTTTAAGCTTATGAAGGAAAAACTCTGAAATTTCAATTCTATTTCTGGATTCAGGTTCATTCTTGGAAAACGTAGAAGTATCAAAATCTTCGTTTAGTTCCTCGAAAAGTTTTGAAATTACTTCTCGAAACACAAAGTGCAAGGACCTCTGTCAGCCTGAAAAATTATCTTCTGTTTCGAATCGCCGCAACTAACTCAAAAGTAGGCTCGAGTCTGGCCGCAGAAGCCAATTACTAGGGACGCTCGTAGAAAAAAAAAGAAACAGGAGGTGCAGAAATTGGAAAAAGTTGTTCCCGCCGTCGTCTACCTGTTGACGCTGGCTAGAGCCAGAGCATTGTAGATCTTGTTCTGCTTGTCGCTGATGTGATGTGCCGCCACCGTTGTGTTTCTCGTCAGAAAATCTGTAAATTATGAACTTATATTTTGTGGTTCTCTCTCTTACAAATTTCGTTGAATTTTTTTCCTGTGTCTCTCTCATTCATTAACAAGAAGTCAACTGAAAATTTTTTTTTCAAAGTTTTTTTACTTTCTTACAAACTTTTTTTGTGATTGCAAATTAATGATGATTTGATATTATACTGGCTATTTACTGGCTTTTACAGGCTTAAAGAAATGATGTGAAAACAAAAAAAGTTCGGCGTCCTTAGTGTGTTTTTTGTCTTAACCTTACGTCAAGTTAGATAAAAGATTTCAAGATTTTTTTTCTTGATTTTGTCCCACTTCAATTTCAAATTTTGAATGAAAATTATTAAATATTTTCCAAAATAAATTCAAGAGTAACCGAAAATTCGCATTCTCTTTTTCGAAAGGGCAATGTTTGAAATTTTCATTATTGCTTTGACCGAATAGGAAGCGAATTATTGGCCCTGGGAGGCGCAAATTGAATTCACAAGAATTTGTAGGTGGAGCGCAGGAAGTAAATGTGTTTCTGCTTCAGATCGGCTTACGCCAGAAATTGAAGACGTGGCTCGCCCTTCCTAGCGCATTAGGAGGCCAAATATGTTAAGCCGAGATGTTTTCACTGCTTAGCGCCGTTTCCGAAAAAATAACTCAATTTTATTTCAGACGATGAATTAGAAAATCCCACAAGATTGGATCCAGTATTGGTTGAAAAAGCACTTTTTCGATATTATTTTTTGAGACTCCTGTGTATTTACCACTACATTCAGTTCATGAAGAACTAAATCAAAGCCTTAATCTCTGTTTTGTAAGCCCTCTTATATCTTCATTGATATTATTTCATGTCAGTGGTGATAAAAGATTTACATTGCTGTAAGTGTTGCAAGCTCCAAAAAACATCGTATGACTTATGTTTCCCAGTCGTAAAATTTTACTATCCTTATTCTTTGTTCTCGTTTTTCAAGAGTTTTCGAGAAAAATTTTGAAGTCAAAATGGGAGGAATAGTTTCATACATTTCCTAAAAGTTTTCGAAGTTTTTTTTTTCGTGAGCAACACAAATGGAGTCGGAAAAGGAAAAGCGCATCATGAGAAAAATCAATAAATTTACTTTCGAAGCTTTTTTGATGTACATATTCGACATATTTTTCGTGGGCTTTAGTGGAGAATTTTTATCTTTTCCACTTATCAAAAAAGTTTGAACTAAAGCTGCCATGTGTACCCCAGAAAAATCGTGTTGATATCTTCATTTTTTAGTTTATGGTGTTAGTTCTGACATAACGTTCAAATTTTTGACATTGACGGATCCTGGAAAACAGTTCTGCTGAAATTGCTGCAGTCGTAAATTTTCTATTGCTCCAATCTTTCAACAATGCCGTGCTTTCTAGAGAAAATTATACCGTTGGGCAGGAAATCGGCATTGAAAGCGTTGGAAACGCTGGTAAGTCTCGACTGCATCCGAGGGCTGTGCCGTTCTCTTTCGCGTTTCTGGCAGTGTGAAGGCGTCGTCGCCGTCGAGAGCACGTCATTGAAGACGTCTCTGAAATTCATTCGTTGGCCTCATATTGCAACGTTTGATTGTGCGTGAGACGAGGAAATTCGAGAGCGAGCTGATTTTCGCTTTTCAGATATTTGTTTCAATTTACACGTTTGTGACGAGAAAATATTTGAAAAGCTGGAAGTTATCTACATTCTATCAAAAGTTGAACTATTATACTGAAAGCAATTGAGTCAATGGTTCTAGAAAATGCCGCTGACTTCTAGAGGAGAAATTTAAGTTTAGCTTCATAATAAACTTCGAGCCTCTGACAAAATTGATCTTCAAGATAAAACTGCTCAAACTAAGCATATCGAAAAGTGATTATTTCAACTTTTTCTTGCAAGTTCTGAGTATAATGGTGTAATTTTCATTTCTCTAGGAACCCTTTGAACTGATTAGAGTCTCAAAAACTGGCGTTGACGTCAGTGAGAGAAGTTAGGGGCGCTTAAATTTTGTAATTAAAAAAAATACATTCATAAACTTAACTTAGTTTCACGCAGAACTCTCATTCTGCGCTGAGACCGCTACTCTTTGTTTGACGGAATTTACAGCACAAAAAATTGATACGGACTTTCTAAGAAAGTTTAAGCTGTGATCAGACAACTAGGAGTTCATTTTTGTTCCTTAGGTGTTTGCGTATTGTTAGGTTTAATTTTCCGTTCTCTAAAGAAGTCCTTTCTCTGAATATCTCGCAGAAAAAACTAAAAACGAATCTTTATTTTTTCCTGGTTTACCTCAGGTCCTTGCGCATGCGAGTGTTGAAAAGTCGGAACAGCTCAGCAAACTCCACCAATGTGAGCGGCTTTTCTTGAAATTCTTTACCCGATGGTCCGCTCAGACCCGAAACTTGGATGGACATCTTGAACAGATATTTCGCAGGAAGGAAAATAATAATGAAACCTGTCCGCTGCTGCTGATGGACCCGGAATTGGGAGTTTCTCCTCCACGCGATCTCCACGACTTTGTAGACCTGCCGCCTACTGATCGACCTGAAAACAGTCCGTCGGGGTTATCAACCGAAAAGATCGTAAATTGAGCATTTTTGGTTATCAGTGAAGATATTTTTAGCTCTTTTCTGACTATGCCGGCGTGTGAATCAATATAACCTTTTTTTTTCACATGTGAACCGAATTAAAAATATCGAAAAAGTTAAGCTCATGCTTGACGGACCTCCATAAGAGCTGCTGGTTGGAGTGCGACTTCTGGGAGTGTAGATGCTGTCAAGATCTCCGGCGTCGCTGTTGGCTGGCTCTCCTCGTGGTTTCAGAAGGTATCCAGGAGAATTCGGGCCCGGAGGTCCAGACTGAGAAGATATTTGCGATTTAATAGATGGCGGACGTACCTAAAGATTCTACTGACTTTTTTCAAGACACTAAAGTTTGCTGACTCATTCAGCGCATGAAATTGAATTTTTATTAAATAAAACGAACTTGTGGCAGATTTTATAGTTTTTATTTTATGTCTATAGGGGAACATATAATTACTCATTTCTTTTCATTTGAATGAACAATTTTTCAATCTTTGTTTTGGAATTTTCGTTTTTTTTTAAAGTTTTAGATATCCACTAAAAATTCCTGAAGAACAAAGTCCAATGAAAAAATTCAACATCATTTTTTGAATGATTTGAAATTACCATTGGTGAATGAGGCTGCGGACTTTGCGATCGACTTCCATCTCTTGAGCCTCCACGCAACTTCTTCTGCATCGCATTTTTCAAATTTTTCAACCTGAGTCATCTTTTTGTGATATCTTTCTACTGACGCGTCTTAAACCTGCTCTTAGCTCCTCCGGGCTCACTGGAAAGAGAAGAGTCGTTGGGTCGCGTGGCATTGCTGTTCGTTTGGCTGAGGCCTAGAAGCGTCAGAGTCGCCGAAATGTACATGGTTTATAAATAAACTTCAAGGCCTCTAAAGGGAGCTGCAAAGATTGAAAAGATAAGGGCAACTCCCTTATTATCAAATATTGTTCTCGATCGTCTGCTCAAAAAACAATCGCATGGTCTGCTTGGTCGTGTTTGCATATTGTTGGAAGAATATTTCAATTAAAAAATATAGAAATAGACGCTTTTTTTCTCCAATTCGTTTAATACCAAAAACCGATAAAAAAAATTTTTCGGATTAGTCGCTGCCTTTCGTCCCATCAAAACTCTCAATCACAAAAAGTAGAAATTGGAGCTGATACGCTAAAAGAAGAATGTTAATTGATACCTTGAAAAGCTATTTCTTAAAAAACGTTCAAAAGTCTTGAAAGTCGACTACAAAAGACTACTTTTTTCAGACCTTGAAGTTTCAACGAATCTAAACGCACCAAAACCTTTCCACCGCTCAACGCGTCCGCCGAAGGCTTGAAGAGCCTCAAAAGGCCGTGGTCCGTAGTTGGGCTCGACCGACTCGAAGAGCGTCAAGTACACGTTCTTGATCCACAACATCCGCCGATCGGGATATTTCTGCTGCCTTTGTAGACTTCGAACGACCTTAAAATTTTTAGACTGAGCATTTTTTCTAACGAAAAGCTACCGATTGAAGTCCGTTGGTCCAGAACTGTGCGATTTGCTGAGGGGCGAGAAAATAGATGAACTCGTTGTCAGACAAAAGTTGACCGTAGCTGACTTTCCAACAGCACACGGGTACAGACATTTCTTCTGCCGAATGTCGCCGATAAATTGCCTCAAGAGGAAAAGTAAGAAACACTCTCAAGAAGCAGATTATTGGAGAGTGAAAAAGCTGAAGGAGGCTCAAAAACCTCGATGTCAATGTCGTAGCTATCGACCGGCTCAACACCTTTCACAGAGCTCAGTCTCAGTTCGCCTTCTTCGACACCAACTCCACTGGCACTTGCTTGTCTCGGAGTCGGAGTAGGCGTCAGTCCGCCGCGGATGCCATCCATTCCGGCTGGTTGCAAGTTCACAACAGAAACTTTTGCCAAATTGTCCTGAGAATTCACATCTTCACAAAAATAATAGAAGCTGAGGAAGCCACCTTTTCTCTGGGATCTTTGTTAACGGAATAACTGATTTTGTGCCAATTGATCTGGCCGCAACTTGGGTCGAGGCGCAGTAAACATAACGTGCTTCTTCCAGAGTCTGGCTCGTAGTGAATCACCTAAAAAGGATTGGTTTCAGTTATGTGCCTTTTTTTAAAGAATACTATAAAATTTGTTGTACTCCTCATTGATCAAAAAATCAAGGTTTGCCGGAAAAAAAATGAATAAAAAACGCTTTGATAATTCGTAAAAATGAGGCGCAAAAAAAGATGGAATTTGAAAAATTTTTTTTTGTATCATTCTTTACCGTAGTTCCGTGTTGTAGTCTTTGGATGATATCAAGATCAAACATCAAAGTGTCCAATGGAATCAAAGAAACACCATGAGATGATCCTCGAACCGGTTGAACTGGCTCGTAAACTGAACTGAACAAGTTTAAGAGGCCATCAAACTTTTCTCAACTTGAACTTTTGACATCTTTCGTTTCTTTCTCTGCTTGTGGGACGCTCTGCTCCTCCAGTTGTTTTATCATCGTTCGGCTATGTCGATGGAACAGCTCCAAGTTGTCGAGAACTGAAATCAAGGAAGTTTTCATGAATTCAGATCAAAATTACCAATTGCAACAAGATTGATTTTGTCTGCGTTCAGAAGCCCTCCAACGCCGATTCTTGAGGAAAAGTGATCTTCACCGTTCGGATCATTCATGAACTATAATCGAATATGTTTTCAGTTTGATATTTATCCTCACTTCAAGCTTTTGAGTTTCACCCTCATGTCCGATAACGACGATGTTTGGTAAGTCGTTGACAATGGCGTACAGGTCTCTGAAAAGCTTTGTTCGCAGAGAAGTTTGTACACGTTGCATTTCTGAGTCTGACATATTCGCGTTGATTCTAACAGTGCTGAGGAAAAGAAAAGACCGCAACTAATAATTATTTTCAAGGAGTTGAGAATGGACTAGTCCTTACCGGAGAAAAATGCCGAAAAACGGAATGACTCGAGACTGAGTCATTCGCAGAGCTCTTTGAACAGCGTTGATGTAAGCTTGAGACGGAAGTGCTTGATTTGCCGGGAGCAACGTGTCACAAAACTTGATAAAATTTGAATACTTTATGAATCCGGGGCTGCAAGTACCTGTTCGTATTGTTGTTTTTCTTCTTGTCGGAGAGAAAGCCAAAACGGTCGCAATTTCTCGCTTTTCAAACCCATCAATATTTCCACTGCCGCATTGAAGTTTCCTGAGGAAAAAATTAAGGCTTCTGAAGAAATTGTCAGTATTAAAGCATCAGAAGAGGCAGTTTTTGACCCTTTTAGACCAAAGAATCCGAAGTTTATAATTGAATAAAATACCGATGTTCCAGCAAGTCTCAATGATGCGAAGAATAGCAGTCAGTGCAACTTTCCGATCGTCGTGAGTTGGTTGGCTGACAATCACGTGGGTTATCCAGGAAGATACCTGAGAACTACAGGGCTGAAAAGTTCTCGAAAATTTGAGAAACCTCGCTGAGACGTTTGACCAAATTTCTGACGGGGCTTGGGTTTTCAGACACAGGAACGGAGGTCAAGTCACAGCTGACATATCGAACGTAGTCCATCGGTTGGATGGAATAAAATAACTGGTATTCAGTTGAGGACAGCTGAAAAGGTGATCGAAATTAAAAATGAAAAGAATACATACCTGGAAAGCAACTTCTTCCGGGAAATGAAGAATGTATTGCAATCGCTCAAGTTCGAGCCGGAATAAAGTGATGGGCTCTTCATTCAGGATAAATCCCACGGTCGCTGATTGGGTTGATGACGTTGAATCACTTCGCGATGAAGCTTAATATTGTCTGTTACAGTCCCTAGTTTCAATGTGTAAAAATATTATTTCTCAGATTCAGATTATTTTTGAAAAACTGTCATTAGACATTATATTTTGCCCTTTAGAGCAAGCAAAAAATATTTTTTTGAAAATCTAAATGAAGATACTGGACTTTTTATACTAGCACGAACTTCTCTTCAAACTGAATAGTTTTTTTACCCTGAAATGTATCCAGCCTTTAACAACAAATACAAGTAAAATATGCAAATCTCGCTAAATCATTGAACATGTAACGAACCTTCAACTTTACATATTCGATTCGGAAAATTTCATACTTTTTTGAAAAAGACATCTTTTTTTAAAAGCCACATTGAAAGATGATAGAAAAAAAAGGGAAAAAGCCTACTGGAAAGGGATAACTAAACCCCTAATTTTACATATAAACGTTGAAATAGGAGATCTGATCGTTAAAAAACCGGAAGATTCTTAATAAAAAATAAGATTCAATTTAAAGTTTCGATTTCCTTCTTTTCATCACTCGAAGAACGCAAAAAAGCTAGAAGAAGTTCTCGGAAATCTTCAAGAAAAATCCAAAAATGGCAGATGCGGAAGAAGATAAATTGCTTAAAAGTTGGCCCTAAAAATATGGAGTTTCGAGGTTACCGAAAATATTTAAATTTTATGGTTAGCGATGCAATTTTAAGTTTCCACGATTTCTTTCGGAAAGTACATTATTGAAAGAGAAACTCCTGTGGAAGAACATTTTCCAGAACTTCATTGGAAAGTTGAGAGCTTTGAAAACTTGTTTCTCATTCAATGAAAGAAGGCTTTATGAAACTGACGTTCTTTTAAAAACAAAGGTTGAGACTTTTGGACGTCTTCATAGAAGGCTTTATGTTTGAAAAAATTTTTGTAATCTGACTAGATAGACATTTCCCGGTATTTCAAAATCTTTTGTCGATACAACCGGTTGTTGAAATGAGAGTCAAAAAGTACCCATTTACTTGCATGAACTTTTCGTAAGTACTGAATTCTTTCTCTCTCGAACTGAGTCAAAATACTCTCTGACGACAATCAGCCGAGCATTTCACACAGAGCTTTTCTTGCCAATTAGATGCAACAACTTGGCTTCCAACTCTTCCCTGAAACTTTTCGCAGACCTCTTACGTCATCTGGTTTGGGAAAGGAATATGGAAATATTCAAATTTTTGTCTGTTTCGAAATGTCCCCATTCATAATCAGATGGATGAAAATTTCTTCCAGAAATTTTCTTTTGTCTCACAGAAAATTTTCAACACCAAGAAAACAAAGCAGGCGTTACTAAAATTTGTGAAAATATCCGTTCCGTTGGAAAAAAAGTTCCAAACGCGACTAAATTCGAAGAAATTCGCACAATTTGCAACGTGAACTCCCCAAATTTGGAAGGGATTTATTGGTTTAGAGTCACCGTGAGACACACGGAAAACGAGCGCTGATTGCAAAAAAAAGAAGTGCGAACAAAAATATACAAAATGAGCAGCTCTGAAAAATGCCGTGATTGAGGTAAATGGACATTCCAGAAAGAAGATGATATGTTCTTTTTTGATAAATTATTCTTATTGTAAAACTTTTGCAATATCTCTCGAAGTTAGAATAAAGGAAGTATTGTGATGAAAGCCGTTTTCAATGATTGTTTATTTCGTGGGAAGATTTTGCTTTTTACTTTTCAAAACCTTTGCCAGCATTTTTGAACAGATGTGAAGTTATATTGTGTTTTCCACAGAGAAACTTTTTTTCAAAATTTTTCTTCAAGAAGAGAAAAAATGAAGCTTCACTTTTCAGAGTTTTCCAATGATTTTGGACCCACCGAGATTGCAGACATACACGAGCAAACTGTTAGGGTCGGGAGGAATCTCAGGCTCGTCATTTTGGTCTGCAGAGCGGCCCAGAGCATGGAGCAGCCGCGACACGACCGAAGTCATCGTGTCGACGCCGCGAACCCGGTCGCAGGTATCTGCGTCGACTGGCTAGCGGCCGAGAGTGGGTAAAACAAAGCAAGATGGCGAAGCCGAAGAAGACGCGATCAGCATTTCTTTGCTTCGTCTTTTCTGTCCCTCCACTCTTTTTGGTAGACGGCACCGCCTCTTTTCTCCCTTCCCGAGCCGCATCCTTTGCCCCTTGAGAATTCGCTCATATTTCGAGCTGATTGGCGAGAATTCAATGCAGCCGCCATACGCTATCACCAAGTGCAACATCAATCAGTTGCCTCAAATCTGTGCTCTCTAATCAAGTTAAAAATTAATGCAGGGCTATTGATCCCGATCTCATTTTGAACAGGAAAGTTGTGCTAAAAAGTAAAGCGGAAAAAAACCTAATGATTATTTTTTTATTTTTTTAAAAAGTTTGGCTTTTCAAATTATGGCCGAGCTTTTAGCATTCACTAAAAATTTGCACTCCCTTACCGCTATTTGATCAAAAAAAAAACCAAATCATCTCGTATGTCAATGTTTCAAAAAAAAATAATTTCTATCGCATGAAACCTTGAAAAAGGGAAGAGTGTTTTTTTGAAAAAAATTGATATAACAAAAGCTTCGACTTCGTATTTTAGCAGTTTTCAAATTTTCTCCGTCATTAATTGAATTTCGCATACAAATTCTCCTCGTAAATATGTTGCCTAGTACTGCACACTACATAAATTTGGTGCCAACCTGAACTTATTGCTTTTTGTCAAAAAGTAAAAAAAAAGAGCTAAATCATCACTTTTAAAAGAATATTCTTTGCGAACTCGTTGATATTTGAATTCAACAAATGAGATTTTAGTGAGAAGCAAACCACACTCACGCTATCAACAATTTCAACATCCGTGCCTCATAAACGTCTCATGTTGCCGTCAAAATAACAACCTCCTACAACCAGACAGAATGTCGTTGACTATGCAAAGCCATTTCCATTAGGAAGGAAATTCGAGGAAAAATGGATGGGCATAAAATTTGTGCTCTGAAAAATTGTTCAATAGTGTATTTCCTAGTGAATGATGAGATAAATCTTTTTTTTTTGAAAAATTTTTTTTTAAAAGAGTATAATCTTTCCCTTTTTTCGAGTAGACTGTTTGGAATAAAGGGAAACAACTATATTAAATGATTTTCAAACTTTAAATCCTTTTTTCATTGGTAGAGACCAGCTTCAAAAACTCACGAAGGACATACGGTGGAATAGTTCTCTTCGCAAAACGACGCAGCTTGAGAACTGTTTTGATGCTTTCCCAATTCATGACATCTCAGCTGTTGAATGAGGAAATGTGCAAAATTATAAATACAAAATCGAAGTTGGACAAAAAACGAGCGATAAGTTTTTCCGAAATCGATGAACCATGAAGAAGGGCAATGAATTTAACTTCAAACATTTTTGAGAAATGTGTTTTGAAAATACTTGTGCAGAAGTGATTCTCATCTTTGTTTGACAAAAATAATATATCTAAGACTAAAAATTTCTAAATTTTGAAAAATGTTTTTAAATTACTTTGTTCGAAAGAAAAATTTCAGGCATGAAATGATTTGAAGTCAGGTGATTAAACTTGAAAAGGTACTACCGTCCAGAGTGCGATTTGCGCACTTTTTTTGGTTTGAAAAAACGGCATAAAACTAATATCCCAATTTTAAGCTGTCGTCGCGAAAAATTATTTGCATTCGAACTGAAAATCAAAAAATTCTAGGCAACAGGAACTTTTGTGAAAACAATAAATGGTTTTTCTTTTTAGTCAAACTCTCCCTTTACTATTTTGCGTACAGAAATGAATTTCTTATTCTGGTTATAAACGCCGAGGAATCTTGTCAGTTTAAAATATTTTTGAACGTCTTCTATTCTCTAGAAAAAAAGTAATTTTCAAATGATGGATTTCTGACGGAAAAAAATCCTGGAACCTCTGTTTGATCGAGTTGTTCCGACACTGAACAACTCCAAATCCGAGATTATTCATGATGTTATTTTTACTTTCTCTTATTCCAAATGATCAGGGAAACAATTAATGACCGAAAGACTGATGAAATGAAACATACAAACGGTGGCCTCGGTGTGAGACCGATGCATCGACTGGTTGAGGCTGCGTTGGATGCTGCTGCTCGCCGAATTTTGCATAATCTCCCACAATGTCATCGATATTGACTTCAGTGCATTGTACGAGGGCGCTGAAAAAACTGTCTGACTCATGGAAACAACTGTTTTTAGAAGTACTTCAAAGGCACTTTTCAGAGTTAATCTTCCGCCGCCGCCAAGCAACGGGGGAAATAGGAAACTTTTGCACTTGGAAAAACTTTTCAGACGCGAACCATCAAAATGCATTTATTTTATAATAAGGAAAGAGAATCAGTCTGAGAGTTTTCCGATGATCCTGGCAAATTTTGAGTTTACAGGTCTGTAGTTAAATAGTCTATTTAAAAATCAGAACACCTAAAGACTATTTATGGAGTATTAAAGAGCCTTCTAGCATTTTTTCGGAAAACCTTGACTACAAAAACTACTTTTATGTCAACTTGATTGAAAGAAGTGAACTATAATCGTTTCATAGCATAAAATAATCGAAAGAATCCAACAACGTAGTCGAAAACTGAGATTCCGAAGAGAACCTCAGACTACGGTATTATGAACCTTGGGAAAAGGCGTGAAGGAGAAGCTGTAATTCCGCATGCAGACGACACCGGACGTGCGTCGGCATTGCGGCGTTCAGTTTCATAGATCAAACTAGAGGTCAAATGAAAGCGCATTTTCACGTTTTAATGCTTTTGGCATCCGGCAGATGCTTTTTGCCCCCGCCGCCTCATTTTCTCAAACGATACTTTTTTGAAAAAATTTGAAAATGACCGAAATCTTTGAAAACACAGCGTATGTGGGAGTTGGAATGAGGTTATCAAAGTTTTTCGATCCATTGCATCGCACAATTATTAAAGAAAAAAACCTCTTTTTTTCGGATTTTTTTGGATTTTTTTCCTTGAACAACTTCCATATATGAATGAAATCATGTTTTGTCAAGAAACATGGTTTTTAAAGGCATAGATTATTGCGGTCAACACTTTTGAGCATCAAAACTTTATATCTTCGAAAAAAAAAACTTTTATAGCATTCTCTAAAAATCTTCGTCTTGAGCGGGAATTGAGAATAAACGTAAGAAAACGCCCTAAATAAACCTTATCTCATTTCAAAACTCCTTTTGTGCCAAATATGATCACTGGACGAGAGAATTCTGGAAAATGATAAAACGAACCGATGAGCTGCCACTTGGTTCCGCGGAACTCGAGAAGAAGCTGATGCTTGCTGACTCCTCCACCAACTCGCCACTGCTGCAAAGTCGAAGCGTGCTGCTTCTTGAGCACGATCTTCGTCGTGCCGTCCAGAAGACAAAGTTGGACCGACGACAGACAAAGCAGCCGGAGTGTCTGAGCGTACCACTAATTAACAAAGTAATCAATTCTCATAAACGGCAAACTCAAGGCTAACCAAGGAATGCGACGTCAAAAAACTAATAACTGCACTTTATCATTATCAAATTGAGTGTAAAATAAAGATCTCAAAAGGAGCATATTGAAAGGGAACTTTTGATATTTTACATGTTTTTGGAGTGCTGTCACAATAAATGATTTCGAAAACATATACAGAACGTGAAAAAAGACACAATTTGAAACCGAAAAGTCATTCTTTTGTTCAAATTGAAAAGAAACCAGGCGACACCAAAAATGATGGAGGGCGTTCGATCAAAAAAATTCCATCGAAAGCAACTAATTGAAAAATTTTACCTTTTTTTGAATAATAAAGAAGCGATCGTCTTCAGAAATAAGAAAAAAAAACCCCAATCAAATAAGGTGAGAAAAAGTAGTGCGCCAAAAATTGAACGAGAAAGGCAAACAAACTGAATTTTAGCATTTGTATGACTATTGTGACTCATATTTTTCGGTCCACGACAGTTCAATTCAGAATTTCGAATTTCAGTTTTTTTCTAAAAATATTCTAATTTGGAACATTCAATAATTTTCAATGTAACCTTTTTCACTTTTTGCACGACAATAACAATCACATGCAGAACAAAAATGAGTTCAAGCTTTCTGGGAAATTCGTTTCCTACTCGATCAAAGCTAAAAAAATCAAGTTGTGACACGTCTTGAAAAAAAGTTTATCTTTAAGTTTTATTTTTTTATCTCGTATGCAAAAAAATTTAAATTCATCTAAGAAATTGATATATGAGCGAAATCAATGTGGATTGCGTGAAATTTTTCTCTCAAAAAAACGTTTCTTCCAAAATTTTTTGGCCGATCTTATGGTCAACACAAATCCTATAAATATTTTTTTACAATTAATTTGAGGAAAAAAATAACAAAATGACGGTAAAAAAATATCTTTTTCTTCGAAAAGGAGAACGTTGAAAGAAATCACGAAACGATCGCGTAACATTATGGCTTACTAAAAATATAAATATGTTTTGGAAACATGCGAGGAATAGAAACTTTTGATTTCCCATTTCCCCTATATTTTTCACAAAGTTTTTTTAATATACTAATATATCATGTAAGAATGAAAAAAAAAAACTAAAAAAAAACGAGCAGAAATGTTGCGAAAAAGACACATTGTGCCGAACGGTATCATTCAGTTCCTTGCCAGGAAACTGAAAATAAAGCGCTCATTCACTATTTGTTCTGTCATCTCAGCAAAGCTCAGAAGTGCGGCCGGCGAGCGCAAAGCACAGAATGGGTTGGAATGGCTTCATGTGTAACGCACGTCGTTTCTTTCTAATTTAACATCTTTTTTGCTCTAGTTCGTTCTCAAAAATACAAAAAGCAATGGCGAGATCGGCGAGAACGAACTACCGCTCGCTAGGTAAACGTAGAGCACCACTGGTTTGAGTGCCCCTTCATGAAAACTCTTCAAAGACAAAGCAAAAAAAAAGTCGGAAGAGCCAAGTTCTGAAGGAACGAAACACGGAGATGACAGTTTTTTTCAATTCCTAATGATGATTGAAATACTAGAAATAAATGGAAGTTTTTTTTCGAAATTTCGAAGTAGTAATCCAATTTCATTCATACCGTTCCTTTAATATTTTCGCGCAAATTCAGGGTTGTAGATGGCTAGAGAATGCGAACTGTTGTGATATTTAAAGTAAATTTTTTCAAATCTAAAAAAAAGTTGGGGTGACCGTTTTGCCTCAGAAAACATTTTTCACCGGCCAACTTCTTTCAAAAAAAGAAAAAAGCGGCATTCAAATTACTTGAATATTTGTTTGCAGAACTTAAATTTTTTCAGTTATTTTGTCATAACTGAATACATTCAGAGAAAATGATCACCTTGCGCAATGTCCTTCCATGTAGAAGCTCCTTCACTTGGAAGACTTTGCACCCGAAAGCGGCAAGTTTCTTCGCAGTCTGAAAAACGCAATGAGATGAGCAAACACAAGAGTCGCCAAAGTTGCGTCCGAGAAAAGAACTAATGATTTTCTATCTTTCTCACCTGGATGTAGAGCTTTTTCATGCCAATCTCGTTCTCATAAACTTGGCTGTGAAACAACTTCCGTTTCTTCTCCTAAATTTATCAAAATTTTAAGGTGGGATTCACAAGTTTTTTTTCACAAGCTTGCTGTGTTTAAAAATTTTGAAGTGAGAAAATGGTTCGAATTTTGCAGTTGAGCCACGGCGGTTTTGCGCAATTTAAGGCGAACTATTTGGGCGCAACAGGTTGTGTGCCTGTTTACGGTCTACAGGATCACAAGTTCGATCTTGCCGCAACCCAACTTAGGGGTTTTTTTTCCAGCCGTCACACACTCGGATGATTATCACTGATATCAGGATAGGACTCCGATTCATCGACTTGGGCTACCGAATCTGCTCAAGCGGTACAAAGGCGTAGGAAGAAGAAGTTTGAACAATACGGAACCAGCTTTGAATCTTGCTTGAATTTTTTTCTGCGGCATATTAAATTTTCCCCGTTTTGGTCCTTATTGCCATTTTCCCATGTAGTCATAGTCTTTTTTTTCCAATTAAATTTTGCGTTTTTTTTTTGGATTTAATTTTTCTAACGCTCCGACTTTGAGCAAAAATTTTAAAACGATAGTTCGAAGTGCAACTCAACCGCAATATTTCGAATTATTGAATTCTTACTCAAAAACGCTTCTTTTCTTATAAATGTTAGTTTGCATTCTTATTTCAAATTTTCGTTCAACCTTGACAAGTTTTATCGTTCTGCGATCTCCTCTCAGATCAACTGGAAGACATTGAGCTTGCATCTGAAAAATACTTGATTCAAGATTTTTTGTTTTTTTACAAACCTCTTCTGACATTAGACCATCTGTATTCGTGATACATCTCAACAAGGTCGGCGTTCTGTTCCTATGAGGAACTTCTTCCACAACCGAGTGCGTACGACTGAAAAAACAGTTCAGATATTGGTGATTCAGATATTCCATTGAAACTCATGAATAATCTTGTATTTACCCAAAAAGTAAAAGGAAAATCACCTCGTTCAAATTTGAAAAAAGGATATATAGCAGATTTAGAAGCGGTTATTATGAATGAATTGGAAAATATTAAAAAAAAATTGAACCTCGCAGTATTAGACTCGTTCGGAAAACGAGGCGGCGTGCAGTACAAGTTCTGATCAACTTCCCAAGGGGTCACCATTATTTTTTGAGCAAGATCACGTATTCGACCTAAACATTTATTGTTCAGAAAACTCCTTGAAAAAGGGATCTCTACCGAATTGTCCTTTGAGCAAGTGCCGACGAATCGTTTGCGTCCTTTTGTTGCTTGGCCACTGTTCTTCAACGCACAGCTGTATACTTGCCAGAAGAGCGGCGTCTTCTTTTGGACATGGCAAAGATCCGGAAATCACTTGGTCTTGGAACTGAAATAAAAAATTCCCTTCAAAAATGAACCGGAATATCTTTTTAATGGAAACTAACTTTGAACGCTTCTAATGAGCATTCTTCATTATAGATGGGATTGATAATGGCCGCAATGCTTTCCAAGTCTTGACCGAAACTGGCGAGGCAGTTAATCCTGATCAGCGGCGCCGTTGTTGACTTGAACAACCGTTCAAAAGTTTCGGTATCAATAGTGTAATCGATCGACGAGGAAAGTTGTTTGGACGAAAGCGACTGTCTGTACCAGACCGTGGCGCCCAGTCCAGCCAAAACGGAGTTGTTGAAGTTTGAGCAAGTAGATAATTGACTCAAATTGTTTGTAGTTCCATAGTCCTCATAGACTTCGCCTTCTTCAAGAAGAAATTCATCACTGGACGTTGTAGGGAGCTGCCTCAGGAGGTCTACGACAAACTCGTCGGCATAGTCCAGCCGGAGGAGATGGAACTTTGGGTTGACGCGTTTTCTCCGACGCTGGGTTATGTTCTGATTCTCGTCGCGATTCAGGAAAAGATAAGGTAGTTCATGTACGTTGGGTGATAAACTTTCCGTCATAGTGATTAGGACTGAATATAAAAAACAAACAGGAATGAATCAGGGCTCCAACCACGCACACTGAAACGTGATTGCACGCAGATGTTCAACCGAGTTTGTTTTCTTTCATTTCTTCACCATGAAATGCGATAACACCCTCTCGGAAAAAAAGGAAACGCGTAACAATTCACGCTGTGAGGTGGGCGGAACGCCCCAGGGCTAGCGAAAGGTGAAAAGATTTATTTGTCAAGCATAAAACATCAGTATGTTTTCAGAGGAGGCTCCACTTTTAGCAAATCATCACAGGGCTTTTCTCCTTAAATTACTTTTTCTTATTTCTTTTGAAAAATTTGACTAAAAAAATTGTGAAAGAAAAAAATCATAGCTTGCCCTGACTTTTATTAGAACCTCAAAACGATTTTAAAGCACAACCAAAATAGATTATTCATAGAAATATTTCACGAAGCGATTCGGTCAAGTCGTCCATGTCGTAGAAACGTTCGTCACTTAGGCGTACAATGTTGACAGGAGCTCCCTTTTTTGGAATCAGGAGGTTCTCCAAATGGTCCCTCGTGAAAGAGCGAGTCTGCCGCACAAAATCGGCGTGGCAAACCGAAGGTCTTCGGCCGTCGAAAGTGTCTCTGCGCCGCGCAGAAGAAACGGTTCTTGTGGAAAACCATTGCTGGAGTGAAGATCTTCTCCCGTTGGTCTTGACTTGAGGACTCGAGCTTTTCTTCAAAGATGAGCTTTTTGAAAGAACTTCGTCTTCGTGAATTTTGAGGTTATCCGTGGAAAACAAATTGGCGATTGACTTTCGCGCCCTTTTCTTCACGCTCTGCAGTTCCAACTCATCAAGGGACATTGATTTCTCTGAAACGTCGAGCTCTTCACAAATAGATACACATGCAACGCCCTACTTCTCTGACTGATGTGGTAGTTGCTCAAAACTGGTTCTTCTTCTTCATGAATCACGTCATCAATAATGTCAGAGTCAAGTGAAATATTCCCACTAGCAGATCTGTGGTTAATCAGCGAGCTGCCAAACTTCCTAGACCTCCACAGTCTACTATTCAGAAGAGACGAGAGAGTAGCTCGACGAGAAAAGCTTTCGGAAGAAAAATTGTCTTCGACATCCGACATCTTGACGATGGTTTTTCAGAAAATGCAATTCAGCCTTTATTTCTCTCGTTTTACGACAAAGGCATCCGTTTTGTTTTGTTTTGTTTCGGTTGCAAGCAATATTGAAATTCCGTCCTCGCGTCATATTTGCCAACTTTTTTTTGAGCAGAAACAATCGCGAAATTTAATAACAGAATGATCGTACTGTCGAAGGGAAAGAAAAGCTACAAACCTCCAGGTATTCGTCGTTGATGTGTTCATTGTTCTCGGCTGTTGTCGGCTGTTCCTCGTCCTGAAATTTTGGCTGAACTTTGTGTGAGGTACTAGTTGGTTCATGAGAACGCATCATTATCATTTGACAGTTGTCCTAATACTTGTAGAAATTCTCACCACATGACTGCTGACGACGTGAATGATTTCAGCACACCAATTCTTAACAGTCGGATGTTGGGGCGAATTCAGAATTTGACGCAAAACGTCTGCGCATTCTTTCATGGTTGAGACGACGTTGTCATTTCTGAGAGAAAACTTTTGAGATCGGCTCAAAGCTGACTCTGAAACCTTTTTGTATAAACGTTTAGTAAGTTGAGAATGAGTTGCCGTACGCATTGGAAATCTGGGTTCATCTCTGTCATGCTCACAAGGTGCAAAGGACTCTGAATGAATAAAATGATAGGCCAGCAAGAACTTCAGTTTCAATTGCTTCCCAGGCAGAAAATGAATTAAAATAATGTGATTTTGGCTCAAGGATGATACTGAATTTTTGGTCTGTCATGTTTGTTACAGTTTTGTTAAGTAAGCGCCTCAAGTTTACAATAAATGTCATAGAAAACTTTTCGGAAATCGTCGGAGAGCCGACTAAAACATAATTTTTTAATTTCTTTTAAGCCAACAAAAATAATACTTCTCGATCTGGAACACGAAGGCTGTCGCCAGAAGAACGTGACAGTGCTCTTCTTGGAATAGGAATCCTGGTCCCAATCGTGGATGCTCTTTTCCGAAGCACGAAACTGAAGAGGAATGGACCGGAGTTATCAGAGGCAATGCTCGTTCCTGAAGCTGTGTTTGAAAATATTCAACGGTTCAAGACGCTGAAGCAAAGCTTCACACTTACCGCCAGAAAACGTTGAGAGCCGAAGACCTACGCTGGATCTTGAAGACCTTTGGCTCATCACAGAAGAAGCTCTGCTAGACCAGCCGCCCAAAGATGTTTCTGAAATCAACAAAAAAAAAATTATTCTGGACCGTTAACACGCGCTTTTTGTTTCCGTCTTTCAAATCGGTAAAACCATACCGTCAGAACTTTTGCGACTTCCGCCAATCTGCCCACTGCCAGTTAGAAGAAGTGGTGCACAGTCTGAAGCTTCGCTACCACTCAGTTCGGGGGAATTCACAAAATATCCAAATTCAAATTGTGACAACGCTGATGGCCTTCTGATTTCGATCAGTGGCAGTCCAGGAATTGCTTGAGGACTGCTTGGACGTCGAGTATCCAACAGCAATCCTGTTCCATCATCCAACGATGTTCCAGTTAGAGGACCAGGTGATCTGAAAGCATCATTATTAATCGGTTACAAACTCACTTCCAAATTTCAATTCAGCCACCACCCCAAGTCTTTAAAAAATTTACTGGTCAATCTACCATTGCACGAGATCTTCTTGTCTATTCCTCCACGACTCAAATGATGTATAACTGTATAATGTATTCTCTCAAATTCTAGATCCAAGTGAACTCGTTAGGGTTCACGCTGATCTGTCAACAAATTATTATTATACCGAAAAATCGGTTCAACTTTTTTGACCCCTTTTTGGGTTTTATGTTTGTTTGAAGATTCGGAAAGCAACTTCCTTTCTTTTCTTTCTTCTCTTTCTTCAAAAAAAAAAGAACCAGGCAAATTACCTTGGCGGACTTGCCCCTTGAATTTCAAGTTCCGGCAGATAGGTGTAACCCAATTGTCTAGCCGTTTGTTTCGAGTCGTTAGAGTCCTGCTGTCCGTTGCTCCGATAAGTCAGTCTCTGTGCTTCTCTTCGCGTGAGCGGATAATTTTGGAGCTTCCGTGTAAATTCCAGGACGGCATCTGAGCCGCTGGTGTTGCTCTCGTTTGAATCTCCTGAGAAACATTTCTATATATTTTCAAATAACAAACAACGAAAAAATCATTCGTATTAGAAGTATTGCTCCACACGAAATATAGATTTGTGTAGTGATCATAATGGTTCAACTTGAGTTTTTCGATATTTGTTAAACAAGTCTTGATCAAAAAAATAGTGTTGTAGATTAATCAAGGTATATACTAACGAAAAAAATAACTTGACTTCAAAAACAGGAAAGATGTCTCTAACTTTGCTTGTCGAAAAATGTTTGTGCTCTTGAGCTCAGTAAATTATAGAAAATCTTGAACTTTATTCCTCTAAACTTAAGTTTTCAAAAGAGGCTTAAAGTATGAGTATTGACGGAAACTGTAAAGTTTTCCTATAATTAAAACCCCTATAGATGCGTTATAGTTGCAGAAGCCAGTAGGAATTGCAAGAGACAGACTTGCTCGTAATGCAAAGAACATGAAAAGGTGAAGAAAAGCTTAGATTGAGCAAGTCTGAAGATCGCCTGAAGAAGGCGAGCGTGCAGAGAAGTTTTAGTAGTAACACAACGTAAAAATCACTGTGCGGCAGGGTGGATTCACTTCTCGACGTCCGTTTGCACGGATCCGTTCCCATCCTGCTTCGGAATAGCGACTGAATATATTTGGGCAGGTGCTTTTGCACAGAAGAAGACGAGGAGTTTGTTTTTTTAGAGCGGTTTGATCCGCTGCTGGTATCAGTTCCGAGTCTGAAAGAAATAATTGAGGTCATGACGAATGTTTCCCTCCTCTATTGAGTTCCCGCATTTTTGATACTCATCAAAGCTTGATGAGTAGCTCAGAATAGGTCAAAATGATAGCCGCTGCGCAACCGCACGCGTCACGATTATCGCACCTATTGTTACAAAATTAGATTGACTGCGATGAACCTTTTTCTCCTTTCTCGATTCTTCATATCTTTAGCTCCAGAGCTAAGCCGCTTGGGTCGAATGATCTCCACAGAGCTGAAAGGCATTTTTTTTTTTCTGCTGATCGTTTTTCTTTTACCTCGATCTTCTAATGTGGACTCTTTTGGAGGCTCGAGATCCTTGGTCCACACGGAGATAGTTTTTGTCTTTTTTACTGTCTTCGCGTCTGAGAAATAATTTCACTCGAGTATTCTAACCTATTATTTAGAAGCCAAACCTTGTAGCGCCCAAGCTGCAACTGGAGTGAGCTCGAGGATCAGTTATCGGCTTGTACACGTGATCGACAACAGCGACTCGCTTTTTGGTAACCAGGCCTTAAAATACAAATCAAAAGCTTTATATCTGATTAATTGATACCCAAATCCCACGAAAGCTTGTGGAGAAGAAGACGAAGGAGAAGGACCGAGTCGAGGACGAGCCCTAATTTGCACAGGTGAGCTTCCAACTGCTCCAGAGAAATCAAAATCTGGCATCCAAGCTGACTGAGATGCTCCTTCTTCTTCTCAAGAATCTTCGTCTGCTCGGCACTGTCCGGCAAGATTGCAGGAGGCGAACCGGCACTTGGTGACTCTTCAGTGATAGGTTCACTGGCCGATAAATGTTGACTCTGTTTTACGAGCTGAAAAAAAGCTTGCATTGAAATAAATGTTCCCTTCAGTATTTTCGGAAAAAACATGCTCAAAAACTTTTGATGTACTACAGGAAAAATGTAAAAAAATAAAAACCAGTATAGTTTCTTATTCCGAAAAAAAGTTTTTTTCAATTGATGCGAAAGATTTGTTTTATTTTTTTTATCTGTAATTTCAATATCGAAAACAAAAACCTCAGCAACTTCCGCCAAAACCTTGAGCAGAACTCCTTCTACAGACACAGCGGAACGAGAAAATGTGCTCATACTCCGAGGAGTTGCACACGTTTCACAAATGTAGTCGTCTTCGTTTGGTTGGGAAGATACTTTGTTGGCGGTAGTTGATGGTTCGAAACCTTGAAAAATATCCTTGATTTCAAAACTCCAATTAAGAAACCCATGGAATTGAAGACATTGACCCGACTTCCGACTCTGTCGCCCATGCCCACATAGACAAGAACTCTAGCAGCATGATATTTGACAAACGTCCCGTATTTTGTACTATGGTTTGTATAATACCTGAAGTTTGTGATTAGATGTGAAAAACGCTTTGTTTTACCAGTCATCAGCAGGAAGGAGCATTTGAATGAGGACGTCGTCAATTTGAACGTCAATCAATGTAGAATGGGTAGAAGGATCCAAGGCGATCAGGGCAAGGCATTGAAGCAAGAGACATAATAGTTGCTGAAGGTAAAAATTTGAGATTGTTTGTCAGAAACGACGTTCCGCCTGTTCAACAACTTCGATGTACACTTACAGGCTCAAGAGTAGGCTCCAACAAGGCGACTAAGCTTTTCAGCTGATGTTTCTCCGAAAGACGTGTGCGAAACTTTCTGAATTATCAAACGTGAGGCGATTTTTCACTGATTAACCAACTTGGAATGAGTGAGAAAGAGAAGCAAGCGAGCAACTAAAATCTGCGCGCAGTGCGAGCAACACTGACGCCATCGATGAGCCGGACTACACACTGAACGACTTCCAGCTTCTCGGTTCTGCATGGTTATTGCGTTGTGCAGAGTTATGATCACTGGAAAAAAATTACAACTTTTCTTATTGAAAATCAGAAACCTTGACTAGGCTCCATGTCGCTGAATGCATTCATTAGGTCAGCCTTGTGACGGACCGGAGTTATCGTCGGCGAAGGAAGCAAAGACTGGTCCCTTTGAAGAAATGGGCTATTAAAACAATAATATATTCCTATACATTCCTTGCTTCTTTGTTTATTATTAGTGACTGGTTTTTTTCAGGTTTTGTTTCAAGCTTCTGAAGTGTACATCGTGAATTGAAATAAAATTTTTGTGATTGAGAAAGCTGGAGATTAATGTAGTATGACTGCCTTATGGTTTTTTATTACAAACTTGTGGTTTAGATGTACTATGATCGCCTCGGGGGATTCCCAATGAAATTTTCACAGATTTTGTCTGATGCTCACTTGTATCCTGCACCATAGATGAAGACGTGATCTACCGTAGAGCTCTGGTCGGCGTTTGAAGCAAAAGATTCTCCCGCTGAAAACTTGTTCCAATAAAACATGATTGTTTTCTTACAAGGGGTTGGAGGTTCATCACAATCGAAGGCATGTGAACGATTCAAAATTCGTGAAGAGTGAAATATGACATCGTTGAAGGAGAAGAGATCGTGCACAAGACCCGCGTCAATTATCTTAATTTTATCAATAAAATCAGTCGCTTGTTAACTTTGCCCCTAAACCTTGTTCAAAGTGTTGAGGGCTGAAAACTGTCGACTTGTGCCGCTTTTTTGAAGGAAGGTGAAGCAGAAGGATGCTATTTGGCTCAGAAGCCAGGTGAGATGGAGCTTTTTTTGTTTTTTGTAGGTTGGCGTGGATGACTCGTATTCTTCTATGGCCGTCTGAAAAAATTTTATAACTCTTGAACCAAAAATTTAGCGTTACATGCATCATTTTATGCAGCAAACCACCCATATGTGAGTCAAATTGTTCGCGATCTATGCTTGCCGGTGTATTTTCCATTTGAGCCGAAAATTTGGACAACGAACTCTGTAAAATATTGCTTGAAAAAAGACAAAATTGAATATCCAACTTTCAGTCAGTTGGGAAAAATGCTGAAACTTTTTTCGAGAGAAGCGATACATACAGTAAATTTTATTTTTGCAGCCAAATAGCCCTTTTTTTACTGTGTTTTCCAAAGACTTCGAAATTTGGGATGAAGAGTCGTTCGAAATAATTACCACAATGTTGTCGAGGCATTCTGGGTTGCAGGCCATCTTCTTGAGTAACTCCCACGCTTGCTCCCAACTGACGCAGTCGATGACGGGGTCTGAAACATCGGCTTAAAATTCCAGATTGTCCATTTGTTTGGCAAAAAAGTCCCTGGTTGCGAAGACTTGAAAAAGTGGCAAGAGAGCCCTAAAAGAGGAAAAATTGCCTGGGAGCCGCCATCAGAGTGTTAATTGGATTCCGCGTTTGTGACTTGCCTTGCGCTTCCTACTTGACTCAAGTATCGGTAAGATTTGTGACTTTTTGATAACACATCCTTTTTTTAACACTTGCTTTGATTGTTGAAGATAGAAAACCATTTCATTTATTTTTTCTGAGTCCAGAAGAAAATTTCTAACTAGTGTTCATAACTTAAAATGGTATTTCTTTTTTTCAAACCAAAAATAAAAAAAGAGAATTTCTTCTGACTGAGAAAAACTTACTTCAGTTCCCTCGAAATTGCAAAATGACAAATGAAAGTTACGGACTTCCTTGGAAAACAACAGCCTTGATGTGAAAAGGAAAAGAACGTCTGCTTTTGGTGTAGTTGCACAAGGAATATTAATTTCAGCTGGCTTGCCAATGTTCTATCAATTATTCTACCTACTTCCTCAAATAATTCCTAACTTGTTTTTCTCAATTTTTTTCAAATTTTTTTATCTCGCAAAAAAATAAAAAAATAAATTTATGTGGATTATAAAAAAATTTTTTTCCCTATAATGTAGTGAGGTAATTTTTTTAACATTCGATTGAAGATTTCTTTTTACGAGTACAACTTTAAATAATTCCATTTTTTTGCTAACAAAATAAAGCAAAAAATTATGATTTGAAAACACAAAAACAGGCAGGCCACTTTTTTCAAAGCTTGAGCATAATAAAAAAATTCAAAAAAAAAACGCATAAATTAAAAATTACGAAAGCAACAGCCACAGCCAGCATGATAAAATTAATAAAGCCATTTTAAAAAATCAAAAAAAAAATGACACAAAAGCTTGAACGCTTCGAGATAGTGTCTGAGGTCGAGTTGCAGATCTGTGTCGAACTCTTGTTTCAAATAATCATAATCAAACGAAAAAATCCGTGCTAAGCGCCATAGAATACCGTAAAAAAGTATCGAAAAGGCGTCACAGAAATTTTTATTTCAAAAAAAATCTTCTCAAAAAGTCTGACGTTTCCTTTTTGATACTCTTAGTGAACTATAGCGCTTCGAAAAAGAGTCTTTTTATTGAAAAAAATTTTGAGCACATTGTGTACGTCAGACACTTTCCGAAACGTGATAAATAAAAAATCTTCTGTATAAAAAAAGTTTCAGCTTAATTTCAACATACACGAGCGAAATTTCAACAAAAGCGACTCACACTCTTTGGAGGACTTGGTCTTACGGTGAAGCTGAAGAGAAACGAGGCTTTTGCGACGAGCACACTCCTTGGCCGACGATGTTTCCAGCATGCTGCAGGTGGAGACGGACGCCGCAGCCGACGGCCGCGGACTGAGCGGCGCCTTGACGAGGTTCCGCTCGCCTTGAGACACTGAACACAGGCAACAGCACAATGAACCCAAGCACGGCATGTCTGGCCGCCGAGTGGCGACAGCGCCTCTGGCGGTCCTGGACACGCCTTTCCGGCCTTCTCTTCCTTTGGGACACGCTTTTCAAGCAGAGTAAGCACAAAGGTTAGTTTAGCGCTGTGTGTTTGGAAACAGATCTGTGCGCAAGCTGTTCTCCAAGCTCAGAAAAGAAGAGCTGAGACAAAGCGGACAAATGAAGCAAAATACTTTTGAAGAATTTGAAAAAAAGTTCTATCTGCTTGATCACGTTTTGAGACGTTTTGAATGGTTTGCAAAAAAGTTTTCACGATGATCAGGAAAAAAATCTACGTAAAGAAAAGAAATTTTTCAAATGGCGATCAGTGTAAATTTCTACTTTTCAAAAAAGAACAGTTCAAAGTTTCAAAAATATTTTCCGAAATAAGTTTGCGCATGTCGTTCTTATAAATACTTTTGAGGAATTCCTATTTCTCCTATTTTATTCAGAAATTTGTCCCAGCCAAAAAGAAGAATTATTAATTTTGAATTGGAAGGTTACGCGTCAGCTTGCGCACAGGCTTGCTAGAATAAAGCTGAAAGAAAAAAAAATTTTGCTTCGAAATGATCAAAAATTGAAGTTTTTAAACTCCAACGGGAACATCAACAGTAGAATGACGTTCGAAATGATGAAAAACGCGGAATTTATTTTTGATTTCTTGAAGCTTTCAAAAATATAAATGACGAAGGTTCCTAATTTAAGCAACTAACACACAGCACCAGCCCTAAAAATAACTCAAACAAACACTAAGGGCAAAATTCGCAACACCATTCGATCATGCTCAAATTAAATGAGCTATTTTACCAAAAAAGAACGTCATTCGCGTCATCTTGAAACAAAGGTAATGCAAATGAACCAAAGGCACAAGGTTTGGAGAACGGACAAGTCGAAACTCAATTAGGTTCCTTCCGAATAATAAGATCCTCGCTCTTTTTTGGGCCACATGCTAGGGCAAGGAACATGTCCAGAAGGAATTTCTGAGCAAAAATTAACTGACCAACTCTAAAGTCCTCCTAATTCAAATGACAAACTAACCATTATCAACCTGTAGACGGTTCCATTGTTTGGAAGCTGCACCCGGAGTCGATCTTGAAGGAGGTTCGCTATCGCCAGAACAAGCGTTTTTGAAAAGTTCTTCGACACAAGTCTGTTGCAATTTTTTGAGTTCTGGCGCCAGGTCGAGTGGACAGATTCCTCTCATGTTTTTCTGTTCGATTCTGTAAAGAAAACCGGTTATAGAGATTGAAGAAAAGTCAAGAACGAAAAGCTTTCGAGTTGCCAAACTCCGATAATGGTTTGAAATTTGGCGGTTTTCACTCAGAAGAATTGTAACCAAAGAGGAAATAATTTGATTTCTTTTTTCGCTTATTCGTTAAACTAAGGCTCTACTGAATCCTGATGATTGCAATCTTGAGAATAAAATTTTTTCGCCCAGGCATTCAAAAGTTGATTGAAAAAATTGGGAAATTTTAAAAATTTCCCGTTCATTTTTGACTTTTTCTCACGAATCCCTTTTGATAAAATTTTTCAAATATAGCCTTCTTTCTTGATTATTGATAAACTTATTAGAGAAATTACAAAACTAACTGAGCTCCAAAGAAGATGAGAGTGTGCAAGCACGGCCAGTTGAGTGGAGATTCTCGAACAGCGAGCATCAAAGGTGTGTTGCCATCTTCATCGCCTGAAGGAATAACTCATCAATAATTAACAAAAATGTGCATCGCGTAAAGTCATTTCTACTTGGATAGATTGAGTTGTAAAATGAAAGGATCAAAATATGAAAAGATGGAACATTTTTGGTGATGTGACTACGTTCATTTTGAACGACCAAGAATAAACTTTTCTTGAATCATACAGTATTGTTAAAATACCTTGTTTCAAAAACTTAAAATTAAAAAATCCAACTTTCCTTGAAAGTTGTCCAAAAGTATTCTTTTCACAGAAAACAGCTTGAAAAAAAAAACTCCATCTATGAGGGACTTCTTGTTGGTAAACGATAAAATCCAAGAGATGGCCTTTTTCAAACGTTCCAACCTAGTACTGAAGTTAATCTATCCATCCTATCTTCGAAACCAAGTCCAAGTAGATAACTACCCAATTCCTTTTTCTGAGAATAACTTGCCGAGATTGACGTCAGCTCCGTAAGCGATGAGCAGAGCGATGAGCTCACTGCTCTGAGCTCGAACCGCGACGCCGAGCGGCGTTTGGTCGACGATGGAAACGACTCGCAGTTGTGAGCAGGTCGAGCACAGCTCAGGCGTCATGGAATGTGTTCTGAAAAGGAAAAAGATATTTATATCGCACTAAAAAGTTGCGAAGCCGCTCTACTAAGGACAAAGCGCTTTGTGAAACAAGAGCTTGAAAAAAATATAACTTCAAAGTGTTTTCTCTCTAAAATGCATAACTTCTTTCACAATGCTTCAATAAATGTCCAGAAAATAGTTCTTAGCTTTTAAAAATCAGTTCATTCATCTCTACCATATAAAATCAGTTGAATTCTATGGATTTCACCCGAATTCCATAATAATTGATGTCTTATTTTGCTTTTCGAACATTCATTCAGTTTCGTGATTACGAGAAGATAAATGAGAAGAAAAACTCATCATTCATCGAATTTTCCCTTTGTTAGCAAAGATATCAAACGGCTCATCCATTTTTGAGCATTTTGTAGTGTTCCAGTTCAATTAATTGGTTGTGGACTACAAATGGGTGATAAGGAAATTCGAAACAAACAAAAATATAGACGATAAATGCGAAAAAGACCTGGGAATAATGGAAGTGAGCGGAATATTGCCGGTGGCAGTGCAGTTGCCCTTGCAATGACAACTCGCTGGTGTGTTCGAATCGTAGCCGCTTTTGAGCAGGAGTTCGACGATGTCGCGTTGCTTGTGCGCCACCGCCATGTGCAGCGTGTTCATCATGGCACATGTTGACCTGAAGACTCGTGAATGGAACAATCAGTATGAATTTCGGAAAATGCTCCTTTGAAGCCGTCCTAGAACTCTCTGAGAAAGTACACCAGAACATCGCTTTTCATGGCTTCATTGCCTCTGAAAAGTCCAGCTGTCCTTCCTGCACCTTGACCAACTTAGTTGAGATGAAACTACGTAAAAAAAAAAACAAAAAATTATAGCCAAATTTAATTAGTATCAAATCATCTAATAAGAAATATTTTTTTTCGAAAAAACTGCGCTCTTGAGTTTTCTTTTGCCCATCATGTCCCTCAATTTTTAGAGGTATCTCAACTGAAGCTCTAGTTATGATACTTAATTCAAGATTGAACGCTTAGTAGTTCCAGAATTTGATCGCTTCTTGTAGGTTCAAGTTATTCAAAAATTACTCGAATTTTATGCTTTTCTGTGATATTTTAATGAAAAAACCAAAAAAAGAGGCTGTGAAATACAAAGAAAACCCAATGAGTTTAGATAGTGAACTTGATTTTATCTGAAATCTGTTTCTTTTTCATTCTAAAAACTGATTTCTATACAAACCTGCCGCCCGAATGAGTAGAGACTGTGCTGCTGGCGTTTGACCTTCGATGTGCTCCAGCTCCGTGTCGCCGTTGAGCCAACTCCGTGAGTGTGTTCGTACTTCCTGAAAATGAAAAATCCTTGTAACTCTACGTTTTTAATAATTTAGAAGGTGAACGAGACCGCATATCCGCTTGCGTGTCGTCTCTATAAGATCTTTCCAGGCCCGGAGTATTTCGATACAAACTAACGCATATTCGAAATGAAAAGCTTTAAATTGGTGATTTAAATGTACGAAAAGGAAAAAAAAATTGAACCTTTTCATTCTCTTTTTGAATCATTCTCTTAAGTTAGAATTCCTTCAAATTTTCTTTTCGACTTTCGAAAACTCAATAAGAAGCTTTTCAAGATGACCATTGGATCAGAGACCTTTTTTACTAGAGAGATGCCAAGGTTTGTAATGAGATAAATCGATTAAAAGGCTAGAACAGGACTTTTTCAATTCAAGATTTTGTATATTTATAATCAGCGCTCAAAAACCCTTTTCCAGCAAACTTCGATGAATTTTCTATACCAGTTTCCAAAAAAATAAACCTCCCTTATTGGGAATTATGATCAATTTCATCTCTGAGAATTCATTTCATTCTGAGAATAACGCCCAAAATAACTCACCAATGGACGGAGACGTGGACATTGGCTGCTTCGAATTGTGGGCGGCTAGAAGACGTTCCACCAGACTAACATCTTCATAGTGTATTGCCTGAATCGCATGCCAAGTTAGGACTTCTCGTGTAGGACGTCGAAAAAGGGAAGATTGACGAGTTTTTGCCAGTCTAAGCGTCAATTAGCCAAGCGCAATGAGACGAGTGGCGGATTCCGAAAGACATGCTCTCTGCCCATAACTGTTGTTGAACAGCTATTCAGAGCAGGTCAATAGGTCGAAGTCAAAAAGGAAATGGGAGATTAGCGAAAAAGTAAAGTAAAATGCTAATATATGAATAATTTAGCTGCAGCTAATTTTTTTGCGAAATTCGGAAATTTTCAATTATTCATCAAAAATAACTAAAGCCTGTTTCATAACAGATTTGGGTTTTTGTAGTTTGAGATTGCAAAAAATTTTTTTCAGTTTCTGCGAAAAAAACTCGAAATCGAATTACAATTCAGATGATCTTTCAGAAATTTTGCGACTTTTTTTCAAAAAGTAAAAAGAATTGTGGACCTTTGAATTTTTAAAAATTTGTTCAATAAATGTAAAAAAGTTTTTTTCAAAAAAATGAATCGTTTAAAGAAACAGAAAAAGATATTGCAAGAAAAAAAGAAGAAGTAAAAACCATTTAACGGCAGTTTTTTTCATTCGTAAATTATAGAAAAAAATAGCGAGGAATAATTAGGATGTTTTTCAGGGGAAAATTAGGGGAAAACCCACCTCTAGCATGATTTCAGAGAGGTTCTGCGTGACAGACGGCTTCCGGTCATCCCTGAAACGACGAAAATGAACAGATCGCCGGCTGCAGCGCTTCATTTTGTACGGAATGACAGCTTCAGGACACGAGATCGCGTATTTTGTCAAACAAGAATCAGAAGCCTCAGCGGTCATCTAACTTGGTTTCAAAAAAGGAATTGCTGTTAGTTGGTTCTTGCACGCCTTGGTACGTTTTGCCACGGCAATCTGATTTCCAGGAAGCTCGTGAGGCATGAGAAATTCGGTTTTGGTATTGGATTGTTTTCGTACATTTCCAAAGTACAAACCCCATCTTTTTTCAATAAAACTTTGAAACAGAAAAAAAAGGTTTCCATACTGTAGCCCTACTGTCAATAAACAGAACTTTTGGAGCTTGAACTTCAAACTTAAATTGCACAAAAAAACTTGTGTCCTCGTCTCAAGAGAAGAGAAAATGAGTTTGGTCATTAAGAGCGCTAACGGGCCCTTTGTGGACTTTAAGTTTTCAATTGAATGAAGAGTTTTGTTTGGCCAGAGTTCAATTCGGCGCCTAATTAAACGTATCGCAACATTTGGCCCTGGCAATGTTGCAATTAAAAAGCCGCATCACTACATTACTAATGTGAGGGCCATCAAAAAGCGTGACATTATAATAGTTTTTTTGGTTTATTGGAAATTAAAAAAAGTAGGAAAAAAATTGAACCTTTCTCGCATGACCCTCTGTGCTGCTCCAAACGTGAAGGAACGGCCGGTGTCTGTGGGAGTCCCGACCAAAGAAGAACACTCGCTGCTCTCCCCAGTGTACCGGCGACCCGATAAACCTTCAAAATATAAGTTTTCTCAATCAAAAATAAAAAGGTTTTCAAAAAAAGATGAAAATGGAAATCTCCGAAAGATTCACAACAACTCATTTTTTCAAAAATGGCACATTTTGATTGAAAAGCCATATTATGGTTTAAATAAAATCAAAACGCCATGATAAAAATTATTTATGACTGTAAATTGAATTTATGATGTATAATATTTGCAATTGGAATGTATGAGAAACAGGTCGTGTGCATTTTTGGCACAAAGTCAAAAATGCCGTATTTATTTAATTCAGTTGCCAGAATCCTCATCGCATCAGAAATTTTGGATTTTCAAAGTTTTTCACCGTTTTAATTTCTTTCAGCTGCCTTGAGTATTTATCAAAAAAACTTAAAAAAATCAAATCTCATATCTACCCAAAAAAAGTTTTTGTTGAGAAATTTGTTATTTCTTCAAAGCTCATATTAATTCTCTCTGGAATTTTTTTAAAAACTGTTCCCAGTCGTCCTTTACATTAACCTCATGGAAACCAAAAAACAAGAAGCCGTGAGATATGACTCTGGACTAAAAACAGCACACAGAATGAATGTAAATGTGAAAGTGTCACGGACATACTTCGGGATGACAAGGCGGAAGAACGAGTTCTGCCGTTTGCACTACCAAAAAAATAGAAGAGCATATCGGGCAGATGCATCGTTCTGATACTACTGTTTATACAGAAAATCTCTTCAAAAACATTGAAGATTGGATGAGAAGTCAAGTGATTGAAGAGGAGATCCATCTAACAAGGGAGGTGTTTATACTTCGCGGCTTGGAACTTTTTAAAGTTTTGCTCAAACACTTTCTGAAGGTCCAGAGGAAAATTTCTTATAGCCGCGACAACTTTTAGTTTTTGAAATACGGTTTCTCAAAAGTTTTGAAATAGGAGTTCTGAGCTTGACTTTTCACATTTTCATAATCTCTTTGAATCTCATTTAAACCTTCAAAGAGTTTTAGGCAGAGTTTGAAGAATTTTGAAACCGGGAAATGAAATGTCTTCCTTGTTAGGCATAATTGTGTGTTAACCGCAAACTTTGATGGACACCTCAACAACCAAAATTTTCCGCATGCAGAGATTATGAGGGATCTTTTACTAGGAATTCGATAAAAAATTGAGCCAAATTTTCGAAAGTCCAAGCCGATAAGTGGATTGACTTCTCTTGTTAGTGAGGAGGGAAATGTTCAAAATTTTGCTTTATTTCCTTGAACTTTTCGTCGAAATCTTCAGTAGCTACTCAAACTTCTAGTTTTCAAGATAAATGTTGTCAAGCTTTCTCATCTCATCAAAAGCGTGAAATTTTTTGAGTGCAAATCTTTTTAGAGTTTTTCCATCTCAAAATTGATAGGAAATTGAAAAAGAACTGATAAAGATATTCCTTTTGAAACATGATTTTTTGAAAAGAAAGATCCCAAAAAGATTTGAAATTCACACTTCAATGGAATTTTTTTGAAGGAAATTGAAAAAAAGCACACTAAAAAAACTTAAAAGTTGAAATAAAGATTTTTCGAAACTTAAAATAGATCATTGTTTCGATACATACTACAAATAATTCAATCCGAGAGTGAAAACTAAAAAACCTCAAAATTTGAATAACAAGAAAACGGAGACTGCGTTGGAAATTCCCGTTTGCAGCTATAATTGTGCCGAAAAAATAATCAAGTTACATAGGGCGCCATGTAGATTCATATTTGTCTCGCCTAGTATACCCGATAATTTCAGCACTAATCAGTAGGTTTTAACGATTTGCTGGTGCAAAACCGGAACTTGGGTTAAAAATTCCAATTTTTTCGAGAAATGAAATATGTTTTACCTGACTGGCCACTCTGCTGTCTTTGCAACCGCTGTCTCAGCCGCTTTGCCGTACTGGCCGACGGCTCCGCTCTTGTCAACTCCGTCGTGTACCCAAAAGGGTATCTGAAAGTTTAACTTTTTCCTTAATGCAAGTTATGGTAACTTGCAAAGTTAATGTACTTCCATTATTTTTCTCTCATCTTACCATTATCAATAATTATGATCCGAAACTTTGCAGTTATTTGGAATGGCTGCTCAAAAAAAATGTCTATAGTGTAAACCTTGGAAAGGAATTATTCTCATAACAAACAGATGTTTTTGTTTCGCACCGTCTCTGACGTGTTTCAAATAGATTAAAAAGTTATTGAAAATTGAATTTGATCCAAAACCTAGGAAAAAAGTATATAAAGAATCAGGAACCTGTCGGTGGTTTCCATGGAAGAGTCGCGGCTGGTCGGCATCGAGTCGACCTACGAATAATTTTGTTAAAATCCCCGTCGACCCACAATTTTCATGCGCTAAAAAAGGAAAATGCACAACAAAGTGAACGTGAGCAGCCGAAATACATATATCAGCACTCGGTTTCTTTGCGAGGAAATTAGTGGTCGATATTGGTTGGCTGCCCGGAGGATTATGTGAGATTTCGGATTTGTTTAAGCCTCGTCTCAAAAAACGTACCATTTTCGTTTTTTGGCTTGAAAGTTTAGGCCATTTTCATAATTTATGACTTAGCAACTTACTTCCTACAATTTCATGTTCACAGATGAAAAAGGTTTTCTTAAGTTCGCAAAGTAGAGATTTTGTGATCACAAAGCTGGGAACTCGGAAAAAATTGCAGAAGTAACTTCAAGATCCAGGTAAGTCATACGCTAGGGTTTTGCACCCTTTTCAGCTCAAAATAGCGGAAAGCATACGAAAAAGGCGTATCAGAAATTTTGCAGATCGCTCAAAACTTTTAAGCAAATTTTTTTCTTGTTTTTGTTTTAGGTTCTTAATTAACTCCCGAGAATCTTCTTAAGAGAATATAAACTGTTCCACGCCAAAAAGGTGATCACTACTTAAATATTTCGATACAAATTCTTTCCTCGAAGCTCTGAGCTTCTTGAAAGGTTTTTTGTGATTCTTCTCTTGTTGCTTCATCCCACGTAACTTTAAACAACGGGAGCAAATCACAATTGGAAACAACTAGTAACAGAAGGACAATCAACGGAAATAAGTTATGGAAGCCCTAGATGAAAGGCAACAAAAATGGATGGGCGTAGGAAAAAAGATTTTAGTGTTGACGCAATTTCTATTCGACAGATGCGAGTCAACGATATCAGTTGGGATTGGGGCGGAAAATGGCTTGCCGAGAGGATTAACGGCTTTAAATCTTCCTTTCAAGATCCGAGCACTCCCAGCAACTTTCCCACTCCACTGGATATTCATTGTTGATATGAGTCTGGACAAAAAATTGAGCAGCCACCTAGCTTTTCTCTCAAATTCTGTTCAAATGTATAGTGGCTCGGAAAAATTTGCTCCTGACGAGAAAGCTTCTGAAAATCTGCTCGAATAACCTGTGACGTGATCAAAAGGGGTTTTATTATACAGGAAAAAACCTCATCCTCAAATGAACCTCATACCTTTCTCCCGATAATAAATTAAAGTTTAGCGATTTTTTTTCACTTTTTTTTTCGATGAATGTCCCTAGGGTGTCTTATGAAATTTGATTGAACTTTCCAGAAATTTTGCGTAAAGGTGAAGCAAGTAACACGATTTTTTCCTTGTGATGTAACGTAGAGAAGAAAAAAAAACTCCAAAAATGTTACTCGCTGAAAAGAGGCTATAAAAACTAGGCGACAATTGTTTGTGGGTGGAAAAGCGACTGGCCGGTGATCTGTTTAGACCCAGACAATACGGAAGATTGTAACATTGAGGCAGATCAGCTGGATGTCCACACCGCTCTGCGGACATACGACGCTTTTTGTTTTTCTGATACAAATTGCTAAATTTTTCTTATAGTCGTACCAATAACTTTGGAAGATAGAAGATGAAAGAATTGCGAAACTTAATGGAGAACATAATTCTCTTGAAAAATGTCACAAAAAGGGCGCTTAAAAGGAAGTTCATTTTACTTTACAGATTGGAATTACCTGAAAACGGATCAAAGCTCTTCTTGGTGTACCAGAATAAGATCGTGAAAGTTCAATCTGCAAAACCTGTTAGTTTTTGAGAAAAGACACCACAAAATCGAAAATCTTTGAGATCCGTTAAAATAGGTCATTTTGAGGATTCTAATTATCTCTTAAAAACTAGAATAGTGTGCAGGTTGAACTTTTCAATATACACTTTCCTGGTACATCCTGGGTGTTCTTGCCAAAGTTGAGGTCCCAACCGCAAGGTAAAATGACTTCTCAAGTAGATAATATAGCGATATTTCAATCTTCAGCTTTGTTTTTGGCTTTTATAATCCGTGGAGAGAGAGAGAAAACAGAATCGAAAGTTTGGGCAGGCATACTTCTGACGGTTGTCGCAAACGCCGGAAGGAAGTCCTAGTGCACATTTCTCGCCAGTTTTTATAAGCATTTGATTACTTTATCAGGGCGGTGTGAGCCACGTGCTCGCAAAAAAGTTTTGCCGGATTATTGAATATTTTTAACTCTGGATTTCGTGTTCTCATCATCAGAGGCATGAGTCTAGAAAAATTAGGGATAGTAAAAAATCTGCTCTTTTATCTTAAAAAGGGGCTACGTTGATAAATTGATTATAGTGTTTTTTTTCAAATCTCATTCTTTACAGACCTCGAGCTTTTTTTTATTTCAAATTTACAGAAGTTTTAAGCTTGATAACTGGAATCCAATCCTTTTTTCTCTTTTTCTCTGAAAGTTTCTGTAGCAAAGGCATGGACAATATAGTCGAAAAATATATCTGACATCTGCTCAAGCCGTCAAAAGGTGTCGTGTAAGAAGGATTAAGCGGATAAATGAGATATAAGGGAATCACATTGTAAGTACTCAGAATCCGTGTGATTCATTTGCTTCGCCTGAAAGATTACAAAACTAGAACATTTACTTGAGGATGAAAACTCGAAAAATTGGGAAACAGAACAGAAACCTCCGAACTTTTCCTTTTTTGGAAACCTCACTTAAAAGTTCAATCAATATATTCAGTTCGATGAAATTGATTTATTATTCGAACAAATCTTATGAATATCTCCTTTTGTTTAGTTCTACCAAATTCATGATAGATTGAGAGCATTTTTTTCTTTTTGCTATGTAGTAGAAACTTTGTATGTTTGAAAAATTTTAAGAATGTTATTTTTTTTAAAGAGAACTATTTAATAATCAACATCCAACTTCTAAATAAAAATATAATTAACTTCTTCCTTGGAGTTCCATACTGGCAAAAAAACACAAAAAAATCACTTTCCTAAAAGAAGGCTCAAGTTGCTTGAACTGTCCTATAAATTCATCAAAAATTATTTGAATGGTTTATTCTAAGATTTTTTTGAGAACAGGAGTTTGAAAAAAAGTTTTGTCGCCATAGGGAAAAACCTAACTTTTCTCACGAGAAATTAAAAAAAAATTTTTAATGAAAAAAATATTGCGATGATTACTTTTTGACACTCGTCCACACATTCATGCAAAATGAAAAAAATTACCGAAGGAAACTTGACGTTGGTGATTCTGAGAGACATGTCGAGCATCCGATCCGCAAGACAGCCACACAATAACTTGGTTGCGTACATTACGGCGATGGGAGCTATATCATCAGCTTTTCATTTCGGCCTTCACATTGTAGACGAGGAAGATCTCAGACGAAAAGTCGGCGAGTACGCGTCACCTATTATGCAGCGATGAGCACTTATTATAATTAAAACTTTTGGCTGCCAGGAGTCTTCCCATTGCGAACTTTTATGGAAGACTTTGCAGCGAAACTTGTGTTTGAAAGTCCATTTCATTGAAATTTTTTGTACCTTATGTAGCCCTATGATAAATTTTGACTAGAATTTTGTCAATACTGGCGGATTTTCTGTTCTTTTAAAGAGAACAAAGCATATCTATCAAGAACTTTCTTGAAAAAAAATCCAACTTTTTTCATAGCAAAAAAGAAGTATGATTTTAATTGAACTTGACTTTTTCTCACTTCAAAAATAGAACCAATTTTTTTGAAGCCAGAAAAGAAAGTTTGCGATAGAGATTCTGTCCTCGAAACCCGTTTCTTGATTTTTTTGCCCATAAACTTTGTAGAAGTTTTTTTATTATTTCCTTTTTGGCATATCGTACAATAAAAATCGATATCATAGAGGAAAAATTTCGGGCAGTTCAAAAAGTTTTTTTCAATGGAGCGAATATTATGAAATTTTTTTGAACGTTACCCATGTGATTCAACAAATAATGAGTAATCTTTGATACTAAATTGAAATTGAAAAAAAAAGTCTAAAGAATAAAACAAAAATTCACAATTTCGAGGATCGAATGACACAATTTACAAACAGCATTTCACCTGCCGTACAATTTGAAGAAAGATTTGAACAACTTGCAAAATAATTATTTAGCATTATGATTGCACTAACAAAAATGGGGCAGAAAGAACACCGTTTACCGGGTTACACAGTTAAAGAAAAAGCAAATAGAAATAATGACAATTTTTTTCCAAATAAGTTTCTAGAAGGAAAAATGTGTACAACAGCTCGAGGTACGTAAGTGAAGAAGGGCAAAAAACACACGTTGATGGCACTAGATTTCTAGAGAAGTCGTCAAAGCAATGGAAACCTTGAGAAATTCGAGAATAATAAGATATCAGGAAAACTTCGATTGAATAAATTTGAGAGAGAAAAATACAAGCAATCGTAATCTGAGAAGAAGTATTACATACACGGATTGCGATGGATTTACTCTTTAAGTAATGCTTCCGGAGTTTCTCGCTTTCCAGGTCGATATGCTTGTTTGCGATCTGAAAGAATTCTGAAGTTTTTTTCCAGTTATTCTGACAGAATCAATGATTTTGATAGTTCATTTGAGTGAAGGTAAAAAAAAAAGTATCAGGCCCTTTTTTCTCAATGTTATCTGAACTGGCGGTGAATGGAGTGAATCAAAAACATATCGATTCATTTGTTTAATCTTTCAACTTGGGCCTCATCAATTCAGTGAAGTGGAACTGGAATTAAAAACTCATCGTGGTATTCAAAAAAGCATTTTCAAATTAAAAAACTATTTTACGATACCTAAGCATTTTAATAATGTTTTTAAAAATTTGCTTTGATGTTTAAAAAATCGGAACTTACTGTTATAAGCTTTACAGCACATAATGACGATAATTAAAAGAGCCAAGAGGAAAATAATAGCGCCAAGGACGATGACAATGGCGATGGTGCTGAACGACGTCGTCGCGGGTGCTGGAGCAGTTCGGCTGTTGCCGATCGAACTTTCCAAAAGTACTCTCGTGGTGATACGAGGCGTTGACGTCGCAAAAGTTGTCACCTGAATATATACTTTTGACATCAGCACGATGATAGCCGGAAACTCATGAAAAACAGAAGTTTGAGAATAAAATTACCCACCTTCTGTTTAAGTACAGTAGTCGTTGGCCGAGCCTCCGTCGTCAATTCTAATGATTCTTCAGAATTTTTCACTTTTCCGACCGTTGTTGTACCAAACTTCGATCTCACTGAAGGTGTCGTTGCGTAGTAAGTGTCCGGAGGTAGGGAAGAGCCCTGAAAAAATCATGTCATTTTATTACTTCTGAGAATTTAGGGTGTCGATAAGGATTTTTTTTTTGACTTTCATTTCTAAAAGTGGATTCAGAAACACGTAGACGCCACGAAAAAATATACATTTTCATTATTTTCTTGTAGATGTGTCTGAGTTTTTTGAGAAAATCATTGGCGAGGGTCTTTTTTGAGAATAAATTGTATTTTTGACGTTCCCAGCTTACAGGTTTCTATTTTTCGGAACTTAATTATCCAAAGTGAAAGAATTTCCGAGTTATTTTTATAAATGATTCGAAGCTGTAAGCACGTCGAATCGAGTCAGAATCATTTCGGTTTCGAGAACTTTGAGGTCCGAGATGAAACTTCCAAGGGCTCAAATTTGAAAATTTCAGAACCGAACGGAAAGTCTTGCGAATGTTCGAAGTTCAACAAGCGTGTAGTCAACAATCCCGCGCAGTCGTATCAAGGTCCTATGCAAAGAGACAAAACGGTACGAGTCTCGCATGCAGGTCGAATCCAAACACGTTTGACCTTCCCCCGGTGCCTTCGATCTTTGTTATCGGCCTCCGTCCACACTTTCAGCTTGCTTTGGAGCCGCCGATGAGACACTCGAAAAGCGACTGCCGGCTACCGGTGGGTAAGCCAAACACAAGCGACGCACAAAGCAAGTGAGCCGGAACATGTCGTCTTGCCGGATTCTCACGCTTTTGTAATTTCAAGTTCAGGTAAGACTTCCCGCGAGTCGGGTCCGATGAGAACCTCAAGCTGAACTTTTTGTGCATTACTCAGAATGCGTTGAGCAGTGATGGAATGGCAGTCAGCAGAAAGGTTTTGACTTTCTTTTCTTTCGTTATGAAAAAAAAAATGAAAAAAAGATTATTATGAGAGCGCCGGTAAGATATCAAGAAATGAGAGGGAGCTTACGTTTTTTGATTTAATAAACTCGAGACGCTATCCTTGCGATTTAAAAAGGGTTTTATGGCGTTTTTGAGAAGGATAAAAGGTAAGAAGTTCGAAAAGCTCAATTTTTCAACATTATGTTGCTTTCGAATCCTCAGAATGTGTCTTCCAGCCTTTCCCTCACTGAATATCTGATCTCAAACCAGATTCGAACTACAGCCGCTGCATCTCAAAGTTTGAAACGCATCTTGTCTTGACTAAGTTCCTTGAAAAAGTCGGCGCATGACGCTGGGGACAGGATGTGAGGCAAAAAACAGACAAACCGTGGCCATTACTCGTCGCGCTGGTTCATCGGTACGTGTGCATGCGAGTCATGATGCAATTGACCGAAAGTATTCATTACGCATCAACCCACGCAATCCCGACCACACCAGGATTGTCTCAAACGTATTTTCTTCTCCGCGACGCTTGACCTGCCGCCCACCTGTCCGCGCATCATCTACTACTGTACTATAATTTGATGCACTCTCTTAGAAATATTTCGGCGTTAAAAGAGACACGTGGAGCCCTTGCGCAATGGAAACACATTTTTTCAAACAATGAACTGAAATGACGGAATTAGTCAGATGCATAGAACGAAGAAGAAAAAAGGACTGTACGACTCGATTCAAAAAGGCCTCGATGTTGAAGTAATGTGAAAAAAATGAGTGAACGTTTTCTGGAAAAATTATACAGATATTTTTGAAAAATTCTTTCTGATATTTTTTTCAGAAACCTGTCTTACCCCGGAAAAAAACTTTAATAAAATGTATCTCTAAACTGAAACACTATCATTGAAAAAAACTTTACTTCAATCAGAAAAAAATGCTGAGCCTAAAACCAGAAAAAAACTTTTCATCAAAAATAAATTCAAACAATTCAAAAAAAGTATTCGAAATAACTTAAAAATTTAAAAATTTGAAACAGTTTTCTCTATGAATCAATGATGAAAAAAATTTCTCTTTAATAGCACTTTCAAACCCAGCAAGAATATGCTTTGCCTTGCTTGCATGCAAGATTTCTATCCTGTCACCATTTTATTTTTAAAAATAATTTTTTTCGACTCTCGGTGGTACAGTTGAAATATATTTTTGATAAAGTATTTTAGATCAGGGGTGGAAATAAGACGTTTACTTAGGTCCTATAGATCGCTTTTAAACGACCTAGCAAGCTGTTGGAGAATAGACTATAACAAAAGCCCCATCTGCCGACATTTTTTGCCTTTTTCTCGCGCTCTTCTGATTCTGTAGCGCGCATCTGGCTCTTTTCGTGAAGGATAAAATCGTTCCCAAGAAATATATAGTTTTTTCAACTGTTGAAATCTCTATAAAGCACTTTATCGTGAAAAAAAAAATCAATTACCAATTTCGGAAAAAAAAACTAACTTCAACGTCTTCATCGTCTGGAAGAGGACTTCCGCTTCCTTCTTTCCCTCCGACATGAACAGATTCCTCTTCATCGATTGATTGCGCAGAGATGAGTGATCCCGACAAAATGAACGTCAGGCATATGAGAATTATGGACTTTCGCCACATCCTTCTGCAAACGAAAAGCATTTCAATTCCATCAAAAAATGAAAAGGTTTTTTTCGGTTACGAACAAGTAGCAAAAATGATATCAAAGGAACACGATCTGCGAAACTTTACAGAATAAAAAAATTCTGAGGTTCTATTTTTTTAGAAAAACCTGAAAAAAATGACTGATAACATCGAAAAACTTGACAAAATATGAAAGGTTGATAGTTTGCAATTACATCTTTGTCATTATATTTTATAATAAGCACTGACCTATTTTTTTACGTCGAATAGCTTTCCAAAAAAACAGCTCAACTGTCTGATAATTTTGACTTTTCGACCTCATACGAAAAACTTTCGAAATAAAACACGAAACATGAGCATTTGAGCAAAAATATTCATTTTCTTGACATAATTTAATGGTTAATTTCTAGGTCCTTCTTTAAAGAAAGACGAAAAATTCTTTGAAAATTCCGAAAATCAATAGAGACAAGCCAAACAGATTCAACTTTGCATAAGTCGCAACAATTTGCGAAACCGCTGGTATAAAAAAGAGAAAAAAAAAGTTGGAACAGAACAGAAACCGTGAAGAGGAAGGAAAACTGTGACAGACCTCCACAAAATGATGGATCGACATTTTCCCGTGATTGTCACATTTGTCGAAAAAAAAAGTAGAGGCAATTCTTTTGATCTTCTTGAGAAATGGCGACGAACACGTCATTTCACACCAGTCCAGCCAGGCGCCATTTACAGGCGCCAAAGAAAAAAACCTTCAAATGGGCTGAAAAACAGAGGCATCGCGCGTGCCGGACATGCCGCCGTTTGATGACTTGTCCTCCTTTTTTTCAAAAAGTTTGGCGAGATTTTGAAATGCAAGACGGAGGAAGAAAGAGAGAAACACACAAAAATTACGAATCGATTTGAAATCATCTAGATCGATTTCAACAGCAGTTTGAGACATGAAAGTTGAAGCTTGCGGTATTTCGTGAGAAAAATCATTCGAAACGAAGACTATGTTGATCTTTATTTTCTGAAAACTTTTCAAAAAATTTCAAAGTTATAAGGAACACTTTTGAATGTCACCACGCTTTTTAAATTTTTTCATTCCTGTATTTGAAACAATCACCGGCTCAGCTGCTTCAAAAAGATCTTTAATTTTTGTTTTGTACTCGATAAAATTACTCCCTTGTGTGATCAGCTGGAGCCTTAAACTCAAACAAATTTTAAAAAAACCGAAAAAAAATCGAGTTCTTTTTGAACTCATATTGATCGACTTCTAGCCTTTTAATGTCCAGAATAAAAGTGAAATTTCCCAGTTTTTTGCACGTTTTGGAGTTTCTTTCGGACAAGGAAAGAAAAAATGAATAGCGTTTCCGCCCCAATTGGGCGTTGGAGTGACAAAAAAAGGAAAGCGCTAAATGCGTCACCATAGCTAATAACAACATCATTGAAAGTTTCTCGAGAGCTCAATTTTCTTTATCGTTGAAAAGTAGTAAGTCTAAACTGTTTTTCGAAAAGACCCGAAGAAAAACTGGGAAGAAAAATTTGAAAACAAAACTTTTTTTGAATATTTCAATTCTTGGAAATTCTCCGAAATCCGGCCAGACATTTATAAGACGTACTAGAGAATATATCTAGAAAAAGTTTATTTTTATTAGAGCGTCGGATTTTTTTTTCAAAAATCGGCTTCAATATGTTAATGTTCTCGATAAGAATTGGCTTGTCTTTGTAAGATAGAAAAACTGAATATTCATGCAGAGGGATGTTTTCAAAATCTAAAAAAAAAAAACAAAAACAGCTAGAACTGAGATCGCTCCAGATTTTTGAGCAAAAAGCTTCGAATTAAAATTTTCAACGCAATAGAAACGAAATTGAGGACCTTTCTTGGATCAGAATATCTGATCTAAGTGCAGAGCAGCTGTTCTACAAGCGGATTATGCAGTCAGGTACTATCAAATGATGTTGAACGAGAGCCAAGACAACGAAAAGTAGTCTGTGCGACGGCAATGAAGAGAAGGAAGCGTCAGGTCGTTTACGCAAACACGCACACGGTTCAGCTCTCAAACGAGGCTTTTGTGGAGAAAACACGTTTGCGGTAGGAAACGCCAAATTTGCCTCATGTTTATGATATAGCGATAACAGAGGTGTTCAAAATACTGATGTTGGGAACTTTCCAAAAGTTGCGAGCCAGTTGATTTCCGAGGCAAACAGAAACTTCGGTAGATACGAGCTGTCTTGTACTTGAAAAGAAATTATGAGAATGACCATACTAATTTTACTTCTCTATTATTTTTGAGATAAAATGGTTTATTTTTCCTCATTCCATTTCTTTGAATAACATTGATGAGATTAATAAAAGCGCTAAATTAAAAATTGAAAAATCGTTTTACGATCAAAAAAGGATCCAGAGTCTTTTCAGGACTTCTAGTTTATTTTTATCTCAATTTAGTAGATCAATCAAGAAAAAGACACCACGCAGAACATAAGAAAGACGATAAAAGGAACGCAGCCGAACAGTCGGTGGCAAGCTGCACGGTCTTAGCGCGCAAGACAAAGAAGTCGTGGATTAGCGTCTAAACCGAATTAAGCGTGTACCCGCTGTTTCCGGGGTGTCGGCTCTGAGGCAAAGAAGCAAAATACACCGGGAACAGTTTGGATACTAGCACGGAAACGAGAATATTCAGATGAACTCTGGAAAAAGATTCTGAAAACTTTCATCGAAAAAAATTTCGACATTTTCTCCATAAAGGAAAACTTGAACAAAAGGTTGGAAGTTTTATGAAGATAACTCAACAAAAAAGTCTCTCAAGTTCAGAGACTTGATAAATTTAAATCAACTAGAAGACGGGACTTGTATTTTCGGATCAAATTGAAAGTTTGACCTGCGGAAAACATAAATTTAAGTTTTCGAAACCGAAATAAATTCTTTGTTTAAAAAAAACTGAACACCTAAAACAACTCATGAGTAAAATGAAGAAATATTTCAACAATTCAAATAGTATTATTGCTAATTTCGAATTTTCTCTGAAAATTTTCGAAAGGCTTTTTCTGAGTGACTGAATAACGTCTTAGAAATCTCTTTCTGAGAAAAAAGTCTTCGAGCGAAATTAGAGCCTGATCTATAAATTTGAGCTTTAGTGGTTCTTCAGGGGGGATGGAGAAAGTTTCAGATCAAAAAAGAAATCAGGAAATGCAAAAGAGAAAGAAAAAGAAAAATTATATGAGAACGAATGAAATGATAAAGGAGCCATTTTAGAGAGAAAAAAAGCTGCTCATAATCACTAGAGAGTGAGAATTGAAATCCCAAAAGCCGGCAGAATACAGTAAAGGTAGCGAGGATCGTGCTGATGCGGAGTACGGAAGAAAGACGCGTAATTAGGTGGTACGAGAATGCAGGTGAGGGGCATGGAGGCGGCGCCTGGGCGGCGCTTTCTTGCTACCATTGCCGCCAATTCGTCCTTCACAACCAGTTAGCACGTCCGAGGCAAAACAGTTTCGTTATCCCCATGCCAAGGCGCGATTCCAGAAGACAAGTCCAAACGACTGAGCTTGAATAAATTGCACTGAGCAATTTTGGAATGTCCCTAATTGAAATTTCAGCGCAGTGAAGGGTTCTTTCGACTAAACTAGCGCGTGCAAAGTGGAGCTGTCAGAAATTGCTTGAGCTTTTTCAAGTCAATTTAGTACACGTTTCCGAAAAGAAAAAAAAATACATATGTCAAATTGGAGTTTTTGATCCAGTTTGCTGAATTTTCGGGAAAAATAACTTTCTAAATGCAAACTATAAGAGTATCAGCATGCCCGAAATCATATTTTGTCCGAGTTTTATCCGTTTTTTCGCCCTAACCTCACAAAACTTCTTTTTTTCAAGATGAAGCTCAGGAACTACGCATTTAGACAATTATTTTCTGTAACCAAAAAGCTCACCGAAATCAAATTTTCAAGCTTTTTTTCAGACCCTCCTTTCCTTTTCTCAAAACAACTCTTCCAGCTTTAATGAAATCACTAAAATTACGGTATTGGTAGAGTTTCCAATTGTCTTATAACAGTCAACGTCCGACCAATCAACAAATCAAAGTTTTTGAGAGTGACCATTTGTTTTGCTGCTCTTACAACTACCACATAGCCATTTTTTCTAGAACACCTGGTAGAATATCGAAAATGCGCCAATTAGATACGTACGTGGCCTTACAGATTATAGGCTTAGCACGGCTGTATGCAAAACAAGGACACACTGAAAATTCTAGCGGTTCGTCTAAAAATGAGAAGATGCTTCAAAAAATCCTTATAAAGCATAACTAATAATTTTCAAAAACTTGGTGATTTTGATATAGAAGTTGTTGAAATATAATTATTGAAAAATTAGGATACATTTACAAAAAAAGATTGAAAAATAAAAAAACATGTAAAAATAAAAAAATTATAAGATAACTATTTGAACTGAATATAAATTCGAATCTACGGATTTTATGCGAGTTTTCCATGAAAATGTGCCGCACGATTGATCTCATTATTGCCTTAAAAAAATCCATTGTTTGGTGGTTTCATTTTTTTCTCAGATCATCTGACTCATAATTTTTTTGAAGTTTCCATGACTATCCGTTTCAAGTCATGTATTAATGAAAAAAATCGAGGTCTCAATTTTATTTATATAAAAATTGCAGAGAATTTTCGCAGTTATTTCATCCAGAAAATTTTGGGAGTAACCTAGTAATTTACGCCCAACAAAACAACACTCCTTTCTTCTCCATCTATAATGCACTGATATGGTTTTTTTTCAAGCGATGAGTCATTTCCGCACAGTAAAGTCATGCAAACATTGGACACGGAGTGTTCAGATAATCTGTGAAAGAAGAAAGCGAGAGCGTGAAATTGACGTCGGTTTGGGTCGGGAGAATGATGAAGTGTGGGGAGTCTCGCCGGAGACGTGTAAACATTACACCTCTGACCATTTCGGTGATAACAGTCGAATCAGGCAGATTGGCTGGAGTCGATTCATCGGAAGAATATGTTGCGATGTGCGGCCCCTCATCCATCATCGTCGCTTTGTCGTCATCAACTTCTCGTCAAAAATCAACACCACCTTGTTTAACCGCTCCAAGGGCGGTATTCATACTAATTAACATCAATTCGCTGTTTCTGAGAGCATAAAGAAATTCAGAAAAAAAGGTCATCATGAGTGAAATTTCGAAGGCTCGTTAATTATTTGTAAAGGTTATGGTAACATAGTAATTGTTTTTCATTATTTTGATTAGCGTCTATGAATACTGGTCACGAGAAAAACCGACAGATTTTGAAGCCTTATTTCTTCGAAAAAAATGGATTTTCTTCGCGAGTCCAAACGCTTTATTTGGAATTCAAGAAGAGGGAAAGATTATATTTTGTAAAAGAAAAAAGAAAAAATAATTACGGTGATAGATTTACAACGCGGTTCTGACAAACTCATAGACAGTGTATAGTGAAAAGAAAATTGAAGACAGTTATACTTTCCGTAGTTGGAAAAAGAAAAGTATGCTTCGAAAAACCAAAGTTGAACAAGAAAAGTGAGAAAAGTTCTGCAGAGAGAACAAAAACTTCGAACGAATCCCAAATTCTCGAATATTTAACTGCTGAAGCGAAGACTGAGACAAAAGACTTGAAATGTTGACTAAAAGCAAATATGGCGTTTGTAATGGAAGAAAACGTTCAAAGTGGAAATAAGGGCAAAAAACCAAAACGAATGCTTGGTCAGATAAACAAAATGGAACGAGAAGCCAATTTTAACAAGTTTACAATGTTGACTCAGCTTCTCATCATACTATTTTCCCGTTTGGAATTTCTTGTCAAAAGAAAAAGCCAAAAAAATAAGCAAGCGAAATGTACAAAATGGGCTTGGAGAGTGGTTCGTTAAGTTCAGGAAACAATCAGCAGAGTTTAAAACTTGAAGTCGGAATGGCTAGAATTCTTGATTAGTCTCGTGCGAAGACGCATTTTGTGAAAGAAAAAGCTTTTCGGAATCGAATTTTGGTTTCAGATTATTTTGAAAGCAGTCTTAAAAAAGAGCTTGAATATTCTTGATTTCCGTAATTTGAACAGCGTTCTCTTTTCTTCATCTACTCGAATTACTATTTTTTTTTCTCTAAATTCTATGATAGGAATGTCCATTACTTCCAGAGAAACAGTTTTGGAATACAATTTCAATTTTATGAGGATAGTCAGAATGTTTGATTGTGTTTATCATTTTTTTCTATTATTTTCTCATGGATGATAAAAAAATAACCAAAAAAATGCTTCACGAGAGGAGAACAATATACTTTTTGCTCAAGATTCTCTAAATCCTTTCTAATTTCAATATTGGATATCTTGAAATTGTTTCATACAAACGGGTAGACGAATTTTAAAAGTCTTCACCCTTTTCTATTAATCTGAGAGTTTTGAAGATTGAAAATATTAAATTTCTCGTCCAGAAAAGTATGGCGTCTAGTGACATTTCTTCGAAAAAGGTCAAAAAGAATGCCGCGGTGGAGAAGTTTTAATAACGAAGAGCATTTTTCAGAGGTATCAGTCGCCACAGCTTTTGAACACTGTGTTAAATTGATCAGAGAAGAAAGATCAGGTCGTAGCTCAACCGTGCGTTTATTGGAGATATGATACAAGGCTGCGTGGTGCAACAACATGCGTGACGGTAGGTTGCGTAGAAACTGCCGGGATCGGCGATTGGCGCCACCGATAGTACCATCCTTGGATCCGACCGCTCGCCGCAACTCCATCAAACCCTCTACTAAAAGTTTTATGGGTGGTTTCGTCGTTATTCTAGAGGTGTTGACGCGGCGCAGAGCTGTGATTATTCCTTGCGTTGTCTGGTTTGGAAAAGGATTTTGAGTGACGAAAAATTCGAACCCTTATTATCTTTCTGCCAAAAGCGCTCAATAAGTCTCTAAGTAGAGAATTTTGAAAAGTTCAGAAAGTTTTGAAACTTGACTCTAAAAAAGATGGTGTTCTGAAAAAAACTCACAACCTTCGTAACTCTTCAGTTTTTACTAACCGCGGTCAACAAATTGCAGTCGGTAAAACGTTATAGAGGGAATTTCACTTCAAATGGTTGGCTTTTAGAAAATGGGAAGTTTTGCAGGTAAATTCAAAAAAATATCCTGAAATTTTTTTTAAGATTTGAAAATCAAGAACTACCTAAGAATTTTTCCCAAACTATCGGTGCATAGAAAATAAGAGCTCAAGCGCCGTATTACTGTTAGAATGAATAACCGTTCGGCTTTCCTAACCGTGTCTAATTTGATTCGCAATGTAGGTTACGAAATGTTGCAAAACATCTAGTCTGAGCGGCAGATCAAACGGGACGATGGACAAAGTAACGACGCATGAGGAAATAGTCTAATAGGCGGAAACGATCTAAGTTATGCGTAAAAAGACGGGTCAGTTTCAATCAGTGGCGTTTTCGCTTTCACCGCGCTTGCCGATCCTTCCAGACAACAGGAGATTCCGGCTTGAGAGATCCACAGAGTGAAAAACGGCCCGATCCACCGGTACGATAATCTAAGCGTTTGAAACGTTGTGAGCGCCATTGCGGCCCCTTTGATGTCGATTAATTGCCACAAAAACTTGAGCCTCATGCAGTGTAGGACATGATAGAGAACTCTCATTTCAGGTATTGCTTATTAAAGGATGACTTGAGCTGTTGTAAAAAGGTCTTGACACGACTAGAAAAAGTAATAATAGAGGGGGTGGGGTGGCTTTTTAGGAGTTCTGAACAATTCATAAACAAGATAAAACTTGTATTATTTTTGTACCCAAAGAGGCTGGTCGAGAAAAAGTTCTTTTTCGAGTAAAAATAATGGTAAACTACACGTTTTTTTCAACTGAAATTTTGAAAAATATTAGTGAAACTCTGGAAAAAATTTGCTGAAGCGGCCGCACATTTTAAAAAAATAAAAAAACCAAAAAGTAGAAAAAAACCAAAACAAAAAAATTTTTCTGAACTACAAAGGCAGTAAAAAAATATTTTTATTTGCAAGTTCAATATTTCTAACGTCTTCAAAGTGTTCTCAAAGCAATTATCAACCGAAAAAGCAATGAAGATCCCACGCATTTTATCAAAAAGGCGAGCCCTGATAATAAAGGAATTGTTACTAGAAACAAAATTGACGAACATTGATAAGAGTTTATCTTGTTGCGAAATTTCGAAGTGCATCGGAGCGGTAAGGGAAAAAATTTAGAAGTAAAGAAAAAATATACAAAGTTTCAAAAGGAAGATCCTCGACTTTAAAAAAAATGTCTACAAAATTCAAAAAAAAGTTGTTCAGGTCAAAGCACCAAGCAAAAAAACGCAAAAAAGTAAACCGGAACGGCTCACTCCTTCGGAAAATTACACAAGACGATGGCAATAATTCACTACGTCAAAGGCTCGGAAAGCGAGAAAAAAGGTGATTGGAGAACGGATCAGTAATCGTTGTCAGGAAGGCGGCAGAAAAGATGAGTGACAGGTCAGATGAATCGCCCGCATATCTACTGTTATCAAATATCGATTTGGGAAATTCGCGATGACAGATTTGGGGTCGAGCCGCCGCCGTGACCTCCACTGCTGCGGTTCCTTTTTTGCTTGGCCTTTTCGGTTGGAAAACTGTTTTGACCAAGGTTTTGTTTTCCAAGAACTGGTTTTCGAATCGTTCGAAATTTTCGATTTTAAATGAAAATGAAGGTCAAGAAAAATTTTAAAGAGATTGAGACTTACGAGGGAATTTCAGAAATTCTTTAGTTCGGCAGAACAATATTTGGCATAAATTTGGAGAGTCTCAAATTTCAAGCGGTTTGTTTTGTTCTCAAAGTTTAACGTTAATAAATGATTCAGACTATCCGACAAGGTTTTCGAAAATATTGACTTTTGCAGGATTTCATTTGTTAAATTAGTATTAAAAATTGAAATTATCACAAGAAAAAAAAACCTTGCAAAAAAAGCTCAGAAAAAGGCTGTGCCCTTGTCCCAAGAGCTCAAATTGAATATATGAAAAATTGAGTTGAGCCAAGAAAACTTTTGGCATGAGCCTTGAGGGCATTCCCCAGCGAGGAAGAGCAAGACAATAAAATTGTCGACATGTAATTGCCACACGCCTCCACGGACACACGTAGATATGGACTGGAGAGCATGGAAACTCGGGAAATTTGACAAATGGTGGTGGGTCGCCTCTAGCGATCCAAACACATAACTCATAGGATACTGAGCCCAGTACTCAGAATCCGGCTCTGCGGCGAATGGAGTATGAAGCGCTTGGAGCAGATCAGCGAATTCTGCGTTATCAATGCGGGAAAGGTGTCAAGGAACCGTTTTCACTGATAACTCCAATCAAAACGAGTGTAATCTTTTCGAAAATGTTGCCATTTGCAAATGCGTCATTATAGTTATTGGAAAAAAAAAACAATCTTATTACAGCAGAAAATCATCGTCTTCAAATATTCAGCCCTTCGTCCTTTGAAGAAATGCATTTTCACAGAGATTGCGAAAACTAGTTACTTTGGAGGTTAAGCAAGTTTCAGAGAAACACTCAAAAATACAAAAAAAGTTAATATCCAAACCAAGAAATTCCTTCATCGGAAGAAAACAATCAGAAAATTCTTTTAACTTCTCGAAATGAGCTACACGCCGTTATTTACAGATGTATTCTGAATGATGAAGTCATCGATACAGACATTTTAATTGACATTCGGCGGGGAATAAGCTTCTCAAAGCAGTACAGTGGTCAATCAAGATGCAATAATCATTAAACGCGAGGTAAATATTGCTGCCAGATGGAGAATAAAATTAATTACACACGGCCGCGGTGCGTTTGATTTCGTGACAATATCAGGAGAGGCTAAAAGTAAATTTTTTGGCGCTTTTGATTATTTTTTGATTGAATTGCGAGCTATAAAACACAGTATTTTTAGTGTGACGTACAAGAGCATAAAATACTTCCTAAGGCAAAGGTCCTTTTTGAAAGTTTTTCGCAATAAATGAAAGCCTTCTCTACCATCTTACATCTCATCAAAAATTTTCGGTCGAGCTATAGAAGCCTGGAACATTGTTTGAAGTTTTTTTTTTCAAATTCTCAAACTAGCAACCCTTGAAATGAATGAAAAACTGTTCCGAAAGGCGATAAAATGGAGTAAATTGTTACTACAGCCACTAAAACGCGCATAAAAACAGTTGTTTCCAATCAGTTGGTTAATGAAAAAACTGAAGGGAAAGGGGGCTAATCTTGGAATGGGCAATAAAAGCAGGCCGTAGTAGTGATGGTGGTGGAAGCTGTTGCACGGCGAACCAACTTGGCTTACTTGGCAAATTTGCATATGAGACCCAATGTGGATTAAGGTTGGCCAGGTCGCCGTGCCGTGGAACACCTTGGCTTGCTCAAGTGTTTGTTCTTCTACTCACGTCCCACATGGCCTTGCTTCATCACCTGCTGCTTCTGACGGCCTTCGTCTTCTTTTTTATGACCGCTGGTCGTCTAGTTGGACTGGTTCAACAAAACGTGTGAAAAAGTAAATACACTTCTTAAATTTTATTTGTTTATAGTTGGTCAGCTGTTAAGGAAGTAGGAGATCTATACGGAACAGATAATCGTTTTCGTTTTTTTTGCTGAAGATATAACCAAGGAAAAATGCAGTCTGGACAGTTCGGACAGGGAAGGCCCGAACTCGTCCAATCGCTGAGACTTTCAAACTTCGCTTAGGAAAAAAAAAATAAACTTCACATCATTTAAGAGCGTGACGATGCTTCTTTAATAAGGCTTCGTTTTTTGACTTATTTTTGCTTTTAGAACAAAAAAAAATCAAAAATCATCCCGCGCGATGAAACATCGACGCGCAAAGGTACCGTCTCAGCAGAGACAACGTTAGCTGCTTGAAATTTAAAAAATTTAAAATCTGAACAGACTATAGCTCAGTTTTGAGCCACAGCGCGCGCTTTCATACAATGGAGAGTTTTAGAAGCAAAGCGATAAACCTTTGAAATTTTTCTAGTAAACTGTTGTGACTTGTGATTCAAAAAATTTATTTGAAAAAAATCATGGCTAATTTTAAGAAAGAAATGAGAACGATTCAGAACACAACGGATCAGTTTTTGTCTTTTTTTTTGAAGAGCTGTTTTCTTTTGACTCAAAAGTTAGCTAAACTCTGTTTACATAAGGATAGAGCATACCATACAAGGCACACCTGCTGCTTCTCAGTTATCCGCGGCTCCTTTACAGCTTGAATGGACCATATGGACAGCCATATTCATAACAATCACCCCAATACCGGCTGGCAATTTCTGTCGGCTTGATTGAAACACAAATTTATGTGAATCATACTCATAATGTGAAAAACTAAAAAAAGTGAGAAACGTTGGAAACATAAAAATGAACAAAAAAATTTTTCCAGGAAAAATCAGAGAATAGTCAACTGATAATGATAATAAAAAAAGTTAAACGTCAAAGCTTGTAATATAAAGGCTAGCAATATTATCTGCTCAGTTAAATCAAACGCTAGAAATTTGCATCATTAAAATGGTATTAAAAAAACGGCTTTACGCTCCGAGATTTGTTTTGAAGTTTTCCATTGTGAACAGCTTAAGAAAACGCTGAACCGTGAGAAAATGTGACCATTTGGTTCATTATGATTTAGTTATGAAATTAAATGATATAGAACGGAAAATAGCTGCCAAAAATCATTCGAAGTGGCAATGCATAACATCCGTTCGAGCTCGTAATTTCAGCATTTTTTTCGCTTTGAAAACAGGCAGAAGTATTCAAATTCTCAAGACCAGCCTCATTTCTGAATATTCATACTTGAAAAATGGGTCAATTTTATTTCTTATCATTTCGAAAATTTGAGCAGTTAATCCAAACTAATCGAAATTCTATTCGATTCAAAACAATAAATAATAATATGAAAAATGGCAAGAGGCGAGGAATTTCGAAAAAAAAATGAATCAAATTTGCTGGAGACACTATTTAACATGATCGAAGAAAAAGCTGAAGTTAAAGCAGCTTCGAGTGCGCAAAAGTAGAGTGCAAACAGAGCGTGTAAGTTTACTTGCCGCCAGTGCGATCGTACATTCAGATTTCAGAGTTTTATCAAATAGACATGAGTTGAAGTGGATGTGAATCCTCAGAAAAAAACGGCAATTTCTGGAAGGAACTGATTTTTGGTGATGATATCGGTTAGAATTCTTTATTTTTCAACTTCTATCGAAAATGGTTAGCGTTGGTCAATAATTCTCTAACATTTCTCAAAAACCCTCATGTAAGGATGATTGACAGGTAGACGATCAAATAAGAAGATGAAAAATTTTTCCTTATCTTCTGAAAATTTATAGAAATCGATCAAACTGAAAACCACCTCTTCGGCTATATTTTAAAAACCCTCAATTTTTTCAGGCGGTGTGAAAAGATAGAAGCATGAAAAAAATTAGCAAAGTTTAGTGAATCTGAGAGGAAGACGACCTTCTGTGGCTCACATTAAAGAATTTTTGCTTCCACCAATGTGATAATTTCAAGATTGTTTCTCATCATCACTATGAAAATAGCAAAAGAAAAGTTACTGAGAATATTAGCTTTGAAAAAAGTAAAAAAAAATTGGAACGCAATAAAATGTGATGAATTTCACTTGAATCAAATAAAGAAAGTTTAGTACATACTTCCACTCGTTTTATTTATATTTGGTTCAGTATTATATTTTTAAAGAAACAATACGACCAAAAATTTAACGCATTTTTTCTATCGAAACCAGGCTTGGTAGTCTCTAGATATTGCAAAAAATTGTCGAACTCGGGAAGGATTTCTTTAAAGGTTTGAAACAGCTGAGAAAAAATTGCACTCATCTTAACATTCAGCGCAGTATAAAAACAAAGATGATAGTCGTGTTGACAATGGAAACAACACGAAAACGACAGATCCGAACGAGGCGTCGAAAGCTGATGAAGCCGGAGGATGACGGGTGTACGCGAGTCAGGTGTTTTCATTCAGGACCGCTGTCCGCGTTGAAGATCGCTCGTTTATTTTCATCACACCCCTCGCCTCAGCTGCCTTAGGCTATCAATCCATCGGATCAGCTCTAAACTACCTCCGGGCTTCGTCTACCGCTTCTGTTCTTCTCGCTTTTTTCCGAGCTGTAGCTTTGTCAAACACACTGCATGTAAATCGCAGGGTAACTGTGTTTTTTCCTAGCAAAAAAAGATAAGAAAGACGTCGTGGTTATCGTATGAACTCTCTTTAAAAAATGTATGTAATTCATAAAAAAAACAGTTTTGAGGTTAGGACTTCTTTAAAATGATTGAAATGCCAAACGAGAACAAAAATAAGCCATATCCAGTGAATTTTTTTGTCGAATGATTTTACTTAATTTTCTTTTATAGAGTATTCCAGTTACTCCGTGATTAGTACAACTATCGTCAGTTTATGATCATAAATTTGTAGTTAATGTCGTCTTTTTTAGAATTTAGATCTTCGAAACTCAATGAAACATTTTTATGGCAAGCTTTTCATTCACTTTCTAAAGCACAATTGACAGTTCTTAGTGATTAATGAGCTGATTTGTGGGAAATCAATCAAGAACTCATCATATATCTTTGGGATTTTGAAAAAAAAATTTTTAATGGTCTCTGAAAAACCTTGCTGACCTACAAAGGCAAAAAGAATTATCACCTATTAGTTTGACTCAATTCTCATTGAATCGATTGTCTTTTCGGCTCTTTCACGGAACATTTTTCTTTTTTCCTGTCACATAATTTTTCTTTACTGCAATGAATAACTTGCATTTAAACTCTCATTTGTGATTTTATTTCAATTTTATTAACATTGCAACAAGTACAATGACACAAAATAAATAACGGGATTATGATTGACATTTTCATGGAATAAGGTGAGGTTCATACAAGACTTTTTTCTTTTTAGAGAGAGGTAACTCGAAAAATAAAGGAAAAAAGATTTAATGACAAACGTATATAATTATTTGGAATAAGAATAAATTATTACTCGCCCATGATTTCTGAGATCTTGGTGAAAAAGCAAAAAAAAACATCACAATTGAATGATTTGAAAAGTTCAATAAAAAGTGCTCTGCACCGAGAAATTTGAGTAAATTCGAGATTATGATGCGAAAAGAAGAATTTTGAGGTTATAGGTTGTATTTCTGAACTTCCATTGGAGATCCATGTTAGTTTGAACACGACAACGGGGAAGTTTTCGATTGGGTCTTAGGTCGATCTCAGATCAAATTCTGCGCTTGAGCCGCTAGAGCGCTGTAGTTGAAGAGGAATCTGGCGGCAGCGCCGGGGTCCATCTGCGGTGGAATGACCGGGTGCAGGTTGAGCGGATTCGCGACCGGTTGTGGCATCAACCTAAACGAATGGCTTCCAATTTACTTCTTCACACTTTTCCGATTATTCACGCTTTAAGAGTCGCGGTGGACAACTCCTGTCTTGCACTTTGGAAAGCTTTCAAAGGTTACCCACCGGAAAGGTGGATAAATAAAATATTTTTAATGCTGACATGAAATTTTCCATTTTGAAAGTTGGCAAATTGTAACTTTAGCTCTTGAAGTTCAACCAAGACAAGGGATCAACTATTACTTCTTTTGGACCACGAAAGCATCATTGACTGTAATTAAACCGTTCTTATCTATGAAAGATTACTGAGCAAACATTTTTTATTACTTAGTATAACTTCTTCTCGACTCTCAAAATTCCCTGATACCGATCGGTGACTGTGTGTTCCGACGTTTCATCAGTATTTTTTTAATTTTTTTTTCAATTCGGAAACATACGAGTTCTGGAGGCAAGGAGCATTCTGTTGCATGGCGAACAAATTGGCGCGGTGCATTTGAAGAGCTCCATTTGGGTCGTCGGTCTGCGCTTGGCGTTTGTATTTGTTGCGACGGTTTTGAAACCAGATTTTCACCTTAAAAAACTCGTGAGCTCAAAAAAATGAAGATCATTACCTGAGTTTCAGTAAGCCTGAGCTTTTCTGCAAGGTGCGACCTCTCTTGGCTGCTCAGGTAGCGCTTCATTTCAAACGCCATTTCAAGTTGGGACACCTGGAAATTTTTTGATCCTATAGCTCTTATGAAATTTTTGAATTGTGGATGCCAAAGGAAAAATTATTCACTTGATTTCTGCTGAAAACTGTGCGCGTCTTTTTCTTGCGGTTGAGCAGAGGATCACCGGCGTTGCCATCATCGTCAACTCCTAAAAAGTTCTCTTGTGAGAAAGCTGATTTTTGTGGTTTCTCATGCCTTCGTCGTCGTCCTCCACGTCGGATTCCATTGGGCTTCCACCAATCGAGTTGCGAGCCTCCTGAGCAGATTTCCCATCTCTTTTTTCTTCTTCTTTCCCATCCAACGACGCTTCGCCGGCACTTCGAGCGAAATCTGCAAAAAAGGGCCTTCAATGGATATTCCTCATAAATGATCTCATCGCGAAAAGAAAAGACTGGCGGTTGAGCACCCAGCGAACACGTTAATGCGTTACGGATATTGTTTTCGGGGTTGGACGAATTTGACACGCTCATCTCCCGTCTTGGCAGCCAACAATTAGGTCTTGACGCTCTTCCTTCGAGCCACCATACGCCAGTGCTCAACTATACGCCTAATTAGCCCAATGGGTGGCGAGATTACTGTATGAGCTAACATAGAAGTTGAGATAAACTGGAAGGATTAAGAAACTATTTAATTACTACTTTTTCTAATTTACTAGTTGCGCTGATGAACAAACCTCAAAACGAGTGCATCCTAAGTACAGAGAACTTTTTTCAATAATAAAATTTTATTCTTTTTCATATAATTTTCACGAAGTTAATAGAACCAGGTTGTGCTGTGATAACTATTTAGATTTCTCAAAATGATTCAAGATACCATTGGCGATCGACAGCGAAACCAAATGAAACATGTAGCTGGTTGCAAAATTAGTTGCAAAATTTAAAAGACAACAGGTTTATTCCTGTTGCATTTTTTTTCGAACAGATGGTTATTGTAATTTGAGCTTTATCTGCAAGCAAAACGACAGTTACTGCTTATTAAAAACATTCCTCAAGTCGCCTTCTGCGAAAATGAGTTAAATCATATCACAATATAAGAAGAGTTCAATACAACTTATTGAGATCCTAACATTTCTCTTCATTTTTCATTTCTTTTTTTCTGTTTCTTTTTTTGTTTTTTTCTGTGCTCATTTTTCTTATTCTGTCTAAATATTTTTGAATAAGAAATTGAAGTATTAGTTCACCCTTTTATGAAAAATTTGGAAGCTTCTGAAATTCAAAAATATAATAACTGAGTTAGTTTGATCTTAAACCATTAAAAATTCAGAATTTTGGTGCTTATTTGTGTTCACTGATTTTCCAAAAAAACTATTTTGGGTTTTTTTAGCTAGAAAGTATCTTTGTGAAAGATATTTTAGAAATCTTTTCATTTATTGGATTAAAAGCGAATACTGCACCATATTTCCGCTGTCAATGTGTTTTGCCAACAAAGACAATTACAAGTTCGGCCCTTTTGAGGAAACACATGGCCGCCCTGTGGGAATCCAACGCACCGCAACAAAAAGACTAATTGGCTCATCGCTTGATCTTATCCTAGAACAGCTAGCCGCTTTCTTTTATGGTTTTTTCACGCTTGACTTCTCTATTATGGTATTAATCGAACAATCTGCATTTTTTTTTCTGGATTGTTTTGTCCACATCAATTCAGCAATTTTCGAGATACCGTATTCATTTCAAAAGCCCTCTCAATACCACTTTCGGGACTTGCTTTGATTCTAGCGACTAATTTCCTTTTCAGAAGATTCGCCGCTATTTCTGCATACAATAAAGGTCAAGATAATAGGATTTACGCACAGACCACCGTAGCCGCACTTGCAACACGACTCTATGACTTATTAAAGATTCACGCCTTTTTCGGATGCGTCCTTAATGACAGACCGGTAAAGTTCTTCACCCGACGGACTCTTACACAATCGTCCACCCACAATAATAATTGTTGTAAATTATGATGCTGACTGACCTTGAGCGTTGTGCGGCTCCTGGAGCTTGAGATGAAGCATCGGATTCTGAACGGCGATCCACGGCATGATTGGCAAGGAGGCCAGAAGCTGAGACGGTCCACCGTTTGCAATCAAGCCTTGTCCGAGAAGGAAGGGAAGAGCAAATCTTGGATTGAACGGGAGCGGGATCATTTGCTCGCTATCCTGGTTGCTGCTTCCTTCTGAAGAGCCAGACGGAGAATTATGAGCGAATCTGGAAACAAAAAAAGTTCATACGAGTTAGACTACCGGATCCCGCAAACCTTTTCTGATCATCATCAAGAATATTCCTGATACTGAATCTTGTTTTTTGAGACTCAGCAGTAATCGTTTCTTCAGAAGAAACTTCTTTCTTCAAGTTGTCAGGAGACACGCTCATCTGAATAAAATAATGTAAGAAATGAAATTGAAGGAGCTCGAAAACGGGACGTTCAGATTGGTTGATTTGAGGTAAAGAAGATGAGTCGGCTTAATCGCTTAAGTGGCAGCCACGCCCACGGCGCGAGAAGAATACGGTAGCGAGGTGCGAAACCAATCCCTCCTCTTTCTTTCTCTCACAATTCTTTGGTCTTTCGCAGCAAAATAGACCAGAAGCTTCAAGGATATGTAGGCTTTTAACTCAAATGGACGAGACCAGCGGTAACAGGACCGAGAAAAGAGAAAAACCTTAAAACGGTCGCCGATTTGTTTAATGATTTTCCTGCATTGCCCGCCTAATGTGTTAAGTGACAGCCAGCAAAACCAGCAAAACGCATCTCCGTGAAGTTCTACGCTCAATTTTTTGTACTAGAAATCCAGAGGCAACTTGGGGTTCTACTCACGAGTTTCAAGAGTTTTTTTTGGAAATGATGAATTTCAAAAAGAAAAAGTAAGAGGATACTGGAAAATTCTAAGATTTTTTGAATAGTCAGGGCTTAGTAGAATTAGAATTTTTTTTAAAGTGCTCTTGAAAAATTGAAATTAGAAGGAAGAAAAAAGCCTTGAACAAGAAGGAAGATCTCAGAAAAAAGGATTTTTGAAATTTGAGGTGAGAAGGCGCCCTTCGGCCGGGTCAAGCGCGGCTTATACAGTTGGTGTCGTATTCTAACTATTTAGCCTGGTGATCGGTATAATGAGGAATCTCAAAAAGCAAGAGAATCAAATGGCAAAAGGTACAAAAAAAGCTTTAGACTTGATTTTATTTGGCCTCGGATAAAAATGTTTCAAGAAGTTTTTGTAATCAGCTTGCAAAGTGAGAAAACAAAGAATTCAAGAAAATTATTCTGATAAGCCGGGAGCAGACCACTCGAAGGTCGATGGTTTGATGCCGGATGTGGAAGAGTCGAGGAAAGTTATTGCAAAGGCTCATAATGAGTGTCGAGCCACGCCTCTTTTCAAGAAGACGCGCTCCATAACAATAGTCCAGAAGATTACGGTAGCCAGGCAATGGTCCAAAACAGAATATTACAATCTCATTAAAAGCGGTCTGGCTCAATGAACTCATCGAGACGGTGTTCAAATGAAAAATAAACAGTATTTGTTAGACGTTCGTTCAAGAAGAAATAACTTGGAATTCCGTTCCTTCCAAAATAACTTGTTATGGTACGGCAATGAGGTAAGAGACTAGGGATGAGTAATGATTCGGCTGTATTCTGAAGCGAACGCCTACATACCAGAGAAAAAGGTTCGGAGTAGAATAGCCATCTATTCGGTTTATCATTAATCAAGCGAAATTCTTAACCGAGAAACGAAAAATAAAAATTGTTTTGCTTCTGGGTTTTATCACCCCGGAACCTTTAAACACCGTCCAGGCATGCAAAAATTAGGAGCGCCGGAACGGAATTCCGAACGATTGCTTAATGTCGACGCCGGACATTTTGTACAATCGGAACAAATCAAAAGAAGGAGAATGCAATTTTCGCTAACAGCACAAACATTTTTCTTCTCTTTTGCTTATGAGGAAAAAGATGTTTTGTGCAAATGAAAGCACTAAAATTCATAATTGAATTTAATGGGGAATCGGGAATGACTTGATTTTTAAAAAGTTGAAGAATAATATAAATAAAGTCGATGAGAATAGCGATGAGGTACAAGTTGAAGAGTGTTCCTTGCTGAGAAAAAAAAGCCTAAATTAAAAAATACTCCCAGAAAAGTGAGGAAAAGCTTTTTGCAACTAATAAGAAAGGCCTTTTTCAGAGATTCTCAGAATCTCAGCGTGTTGAATCTGCCATCTCTGAATAATTTGAATTGATAGTTTTGTTCAAAAGTTTAGGAAGCTGGGCGGTTTTTGCTTTACATTTCACTTTGAAAAAATTCTAGATTTTGGTAGATGATTTAAATGATTTTCTAGTCGAGTTTTATTATTTTAAGCAAGTTTTCAAATAAAAATGACTTTCTGAGTGAGTTACAAATAAGAAAATGGACCGAAATCGAAAAGAACAGACATGAGAAAAATATTGGATCAGACCTACTTCCGGTCATAAATCCATAAGGGGCGTTATTATCCGCTAACAGACTCAACACCACACAAATATGGAAGAGCTAGGTGCCGAAGGCAAACTCGTGACCGGATGCTGTTTGCCGATCTCATCGCAACACGGAGACAGTCCGAAAGTGGTATATGGGAACAATGATTCCAGACACATGTGCGTCTAATCTCGACCATCTTTCCTAATTATCCGAGTCTGTCGGTGACTCCTTAGACTTGTCCGGAGTTGGCAAACACAATAGGACACCTTGGCTATTAATTAAAGATGTCGGGATGGATTTCCGAACCACTGACCTTGGATTTTGTTGCCAGTCTCAACTTTCTGATGTTTTTTTATCAATAAATTATATTAATAATTGTTATCTGATATTGACTTTGAATCTGAAACCAAAACTCTGGGAAACACTGGTTCAACCAGTTTTGTGTCCGAGATAATCTTCTTTTCCCCCATTTTAGTTTTTCTGACGTCTTGGAAAGATGACCACTCTCGTCAGTAAAATTAAGAATTTTTGAGACAAGGCGGAACAGTTTTTTTTAGTTTCTGTATTTTTCATGAAGTGGCGTCGAATTAGGCGCCAAGTACGCAAACAGCGGACCTGTCGCACAAAGAAAATAAAAAAGTCATGTTTTTGTCGGTTTTGTTCTTGTTTCTGACTTCTGCATTTGTTCGCTTATTCTTGAGATTTTTTTGTTTCATCATTTTTCTTCATCAATATCTGAACTTGAGACAGCGCAGTCAGTGTCCATCCACAAAAAAAGCTACGTCAAAAATAATTAGAATCGTAAAAAGAAATTTAAGTGGAAATAAAACATTCAGATAACTTCCGAGTGTTGATAGCGTTTCCTTCAGGTGTGTGATTTCACTTTCTCTATTAGTATAGGTAAAATTATACGGAAAAATTTTTTTAATACGATGCCAATATAATAATCATATCTATGGCTGACAGAAGTTAGAAAATTCTTAAAAAGATAATTCAAGCTTACTCCTCAAACAGACGTTAGAATGGAAAAAAGAGTATTATGAGAAAAGTTAAGCTAACAGAACGTCAAATGGAAAAGGACAAAAATGGTCAGACAAGGCGGCGTTTTATAAAATTTGGGGGCCATTGTCCTTCAGTCAGAGCCTTTGTCATCGGGTCGAATTGTGAACAAACTTTTAGTGCAGCTCCTCTAGACGATTGTCGGCCTGGTAGTTGTAAAACGCTCACGGGACGGTTTGAAACCTCTTTTGTCCATCCAAAGCGCCACATGTACATGTGTCCTCATAAATCTCATATTTTTCGTGGGAGTTATAAACTTCTGTTTTCTCTCAAATTTTTGAATGATCTTTTCTGATCAAAGGAAATTCAAACGGTAGTTTGAATACTGAATCACTTTTTTTCATTCATGGCTGACAACAGTTTCCTACTTTCAGGTGATTTCAACATTTGAACAAAAAACACGCTTCCAGAAAAATATTTGCAATTTCTAAAAAACAGAGTATACCCTCTCCTTGACGAAATCCATTTATTCTTGCAAAACAAAAATTTTTCTGAATATTCAGCAGACGATTTTTCAGTGCATCAAATTGAGATCCTGGAACTTTTGACATCAAATCTCGAAATTTTCGAAGTGGAAACTTTCATGAACTTTCACAAAAAAAGTATATTTTGATGAGTTTCGAGATGAATAAAAAATCCAGATTTCGAAGTGTACTGTGCTTTAAAAAAATTACTTCTCTATAAACTATGGTTTCGAGATAAAGTTATCAAAGTAGGTGGGTCTAAAGGTGCTTTTTTTTGCATGATTACCTTTCTTCATGCAGCTCCGATCATTCATCATTTTTTCAGGATTATTCTCTTTTTGCGAGTTTTTTTCCAAACTCATATGGTTAATTCAACACACGTTCCGTTTATTCATGCGTGCAATATTACTCCGGCTCGAGTTTAATGATGTGACGTTCCGCCAGGTAGGTTCAGACCTCATTAGAAGCGCCTGGAACACGTCCATTCAAGCGTTTCGTTAACCGCTGATAATGATCTCCTCTCATTAGTGAATTAATCACCAAAGCTTACAGTATAACGACGTGGGATGAAAGACAAAGGTTCATCGTAAGGAGATGATTACATGCTTGACCCATCGTTTGTGTCAGAACACATCGAAGATTAGAAATTTATCAGAGACAGGTTTCCACATAAATAGGGGAGCAACGTAAAAGAAAAGAAAGTCAGTTGGTAGTGCGATTTCTTCGTGAATAATCTATGAATGGTCTTCATGCTCAAAAAATTGTTCATTGAAGCTGTTGCAAGTTTCAAAATGTCAGAAATTAGTAATGCTTAATTAAGAGTCAGCTACAAAATAAAGGAAGAATTTGTGATGACCTGTTGTCGAGTTTAGAAAAAATCAGTCCACAGTGTACTGATTACAATGAAAAAAATCTCAAATTTTTTTTCATTCAATATTGAATTTTTAAAAAAACGCTGTTTCTCCAGTGATTAAACAAGTTACTGGGTTTTTCGAGTTTAAAAAAACCTCGACTAAAAGAAGGAAGCAAAAAAAGACATCCTAGATCGTATTAATGTATCGATCGCCTATTGAACACATTTCTTTGTAAGTTTCTTTTTTTAATGTCTTTTATTAAAATAATTGAAAACAATTATTTCCGAAATATTTGAAGGTGGATGTTTTCAAGAAAAAATTTCTGCCCATTACAGTAGTTAACTTAAAATTCTCTTCTAAAGTTTAATTGCCTGCTGAGTTTCATGGTTTTTTGACGTTCTTCTCATGCTTGTTTCAGTTGAAATCAGCCGAAAAAGAGGTAAATGTTCCCGCAAACATAACACTGGCGAGAAGATAAAAGGACTTGTGTACGGTGCTCGCACACAATGGGTAATGAGTTGGGCAATTAGGTAGAAAGGCGCACATTGGCGAGTCTTCTCCTCGTAGCGACTCCTTGGATAAATGTCAAATTAGCTTTATGGACAGCGATGATGAGATGCTCTTTGCATTCTTTGCTTATGTTCCTCCATCAAGACATACAGCCCCAATTACGCGCTTTTCCGGAAGGGATGAGCGAGTAACAACGAGATCTTCAGCGCTCTAAAAGACCAAATACAAGAAAACCTACTCGAATAAGGTTCTTCTCAGATCAAAGTTGATCTGCTGGGATTTACAAATACGCTAAACTCAAAAACTAAATGCACAGACCAATCAGATTTCTTAAGCTAAAGCAATTTTGCTCGAGGGAATGAAAAAAGTTATTTCGAATTCGAATGGTTTCGATTTCTTCGAAAATTGTCATTATTTGAGCATTTTTTTTTTGAATTTCTGAGTTTACAGCTTTAAAGAACGATCAAAAACGCCTGTAACCCTGCTGTTTTTAACTTTTGTTTTTAGTTTTTAAATCCTTCGGTTACAGAACACAAGTGAATTATATGGATCTGATAGTTTAGTTAGAGAAATTTTCCAAAACTGAACAAACCGAAAAAAAAGAATAAGTCATCGCTGACCTCTCATGGATCCGAATGCCAACGAGGATGCAAAACGATCCGATGACCTTGAAAATCCCGGATCAGCACAAAATAACGCTATAACTCTCACTAAAATTACACATAAACGGAATGGATAGAGATTAGATGTTTGCAAACGCCTGATTGTTCAAAAAACTTTGAACTTTTTGTTTCAAAGTTGCACTTTCTGCATAATTACTCTCAGCACATTTAATCAACATTTTTACAGTTTTTTGGTTCATCTCACTAGAAGGGTGTGTGGTTTACATCAAAGATTCGACCTGAATTTTTGCTTTAATACCGTAAAACCGTAAAAAGGGTGTCTAAAACGTGCAGAAAAAGTCAGTAGCCTTTTTTTCTTTGGTTTTAAAAAAATTGTCTCGATCTTCAAATTTTTTTTCTGCACACTTTCGAGATCTTCAGGAAAGTTTTGAAAGACATTTCGAGAATTTAGAATTTATATGGATGAAGTCTTCATTTCTTGCTTGAAATTTTTTCAGCCAATATCAGCTTAAAAATCTGCAAAAGTAAACAGCAGATGGTTTAAGTGACAAATACTTACTTAAGGTGGCACTCGAGTGTCAACTTGTTTCGTCACGCAATTGCCGGTTCAGCCAGGCGCTAGACATGGGAAAATGAAGGTGCGAGATGTGATTAAACTTTATTGTCAGGACGGCAACTCAATGTACATGTTTTTGTGAAGAAATCACATTTTTCAGCGATATGACGTTTCTCAAAACTTGAAGCTTTTGGAATGTACGCGAAAAAAGTCAATGGTAAGTGGTATACATCAAACGAAAGTATCATTCGCGTTGAACTCGATGAGCAACGATTTGGACGGAGTGTCCCTGAAAACGAATTGTTAATCTTAAACGATTGCTGAGCTACAAACTCTCTAGTTATTGGAGCCGTTAAAAATCCATTCGTCGTGATCGGCGGCAGAGGGACTGATTTTGGCTCTGAAATTGATTCATTCTGAGGTTTTTTCAAAAAGAAAGAAACTTACGTGGAGAGGCTTCGCTTTCCGAAGGTTTGGGCAATAAGGTCGTCTTCGTAGCGAGATTTTTATAAGCGGATGCTTTAGCGTTTCTGAAAAACTGTAGTTGAGAGCTTTGGAGAAATTTTGAATCAAAAACATTGCTTCTATTACTTTCCAAAAACCGAATTTTTGTTTTTTTTTTTCATTTTGTGGGATAATTCTTTTCCAAAGTCTTCATAGTTTAATTTTTTTTTTGATTTATTTTTTGCACACTATCTGGCAGAAACAAATTACAGCCAAACTTCTAGTTTCTTTCATTTTCACTGAAAAAGGCTATGGGAAAATTTCGGAACTCAGCTTTTACCTCAAAGGGACTTCTGAAGTTTATTGATTCAAAAAAAAAAAAAACAATGTTCGCAAAAAGTTTTCGCATTTATCGTAACATACCTGCCACCATTATGTTTATGTGGGAAGAATGTTTTAACAACAAGTACGCGGAAGGTAGGGTTGAGCCAGGCGTACAATACCGGATTCACAACGTTGTTTGACATTGCGATGCTGAACTTTTTTTTTTTTGAGATGAGAAATAATTTTTATTTTCATGTTTCTCTTATTTTTTACTCGGATTTTTTAAAATTTCATCTCATAGCATTGGAAAACTGACCAGTGGGTGAAAAGGTTGACAAGATAGCTAATGTCCAAATCTTCGCGGTTGAAAAGTCGGAAAAAAACTTTGAGTGTCGTCGTATTCGATGATGATGGAGACGACGTTATGTGGCAGCCAAGTGATGCCGAACCAGACCACCATCGTGACAAGAATCGACGTTGTTCTGTTCAGATAGATCATTAGGAAAAAAAGTGGAAGCTGAATTAATGATTTTTAAGTGGCTTTCTGGCACTTTTCAACAATCCTAATTTCTATCATTAGAAATTTCATAATTATCGTTTCAAACTCCGCAAACACAAGCCTTGAGAAAAATCTGAAACTTGGTCGAGTAGTAACTGTAGCCCAAGCTATACGAACTTTTTCATCCTCGCAGTCAAATTTTAGAGAAATCAGCTGTAGATTACTGACAGAAAAAAGATTTCACGTCAGATACAAGATGTAAATGCGTTTCAGCCGACTTCCAGCAATCAATCAATCTTTGACCTCTCAAACTTTACTTGCAAAGTTTGGTTCACTATATTACTGTTTGACAGAACCTTTCAATCTTGCAGTTTTCACCCCACTGCTCAATGAAAACCACGAGTAACTTCAAAAAGATCACCTTCGGTTTTGCTGGAGCAGCCTCTGCTTTTCCTTTTCCTGCTTGTCGAGAAAATTGTTCATCTACGAAAAACCCGTGAAAATCTTATAAGATTAATTTTTAAAACCTCATTCCCATTTGTGTTAATTTCGTTTTTCAAATTGCACGGCATGACGCATGAATTTTCCAGCGCAATCGAACGCTCATCCATACGCCTTATTTTAACCTTAACTTCTTATTTCCTCTAACCGTTACCGCAGAGGTATCACCTGTGCTCGCCGATTCAGGACGGCGAAAATGTGAGCGTAGCAAATGGCCATGACGGCAAAAGGGAGCACGAACTGAGAAAGCATTACACCCATGGTGTAAGCTCTTCGCAATGTTGGTGACTGCCACTTCTCCGTGCAGAACTTTCCACATATTTGGTGATCCTACAACATTTTTTTCCAATTTTTTTCTTTGCAAAAAAATAAGAACTTGTACTCAATTCTCAAAAATCAATACAAAGGTTTCTGAATTTTGCAATTTTTTTCAAAGAAAGAGCGACTTAAAGTTTCAGATTGAACAAAGCTTTTAAAAAACCAATCTAATGTGTTTTTCTTGGAAAGCTGAAAATTTCAAGAGATTGCTTTATCTTATAAGTCGAAAGACGTTTCGCGAAGACGTAAAACAAAAAAAAAAACCTCCTTAGGAAAAAAATCCTTTTGTAATTGAAAAACCAAGGCAAAACTAACCTCGTAAGTTACGACCCCCATGTTGAACGCATACGGCAAAGTTACTAAGAAAGATAGAGTCCATAGAATAATAGTCGCCATCACAGCACCTTTCCGCGAAAGAGGCTTAGCATGGGGTTTTACAACCTAAAAAAAAGGTACTTTCAAAATTAAATTTTTTACTTCTCCAGTTTTTGGTTATGAAATATCGGCTATGATTAACGAAAAAGATCTCAAAAAAATGAGCTTATAAACTCAATAAAAATTTGTTAAAACGTAGCTGTGTAATTTTTGAGAGTAGGCCAGAGTACGCTTTGATCTACTCGATAATAATGTTTTTCCAGCTCGAAAACTTACCAAAATGTATCTATCTAATGCAATGGCTCCGAGACTGAATGTACAAACAAATATGCTGACACCTGCAAGAAAAGCTTTGACTTGTCCATTTTTTCCGTTTTCGAACCAACCTTGAACGCAGGGAATTAAATGACACAACAAATCGCCAAAGTACCAGTTCTTATACACGTTAGAAACGGGAGTTATTGGTAGCGACAACAAACACATCATTATGTCGCTTGCTGCCAAATTCAGAATGAACATGTTCTGCACAGTCTGAAAGAAATCTATTGATTAAATAATTATTTTTTTATTTCAGTTTCAATCCCGAAGTAAGTGTGTCTCCCATGGAAGGGAGAAAAGAGGGTTTTGACGATTAAAAAGCGTCATAGCTTGACTAAAAACCAGAAACACAAGAACTCCTCATGAATTGGAAAATGAAACCTCAAATTACTCTTTCGCAGAGTTCTATTAAAGCTCCTAAGGACATTTTCTCTTTCAACTTTGTATGAAGAAGTGCTGTGCTATTCTTGAGCCTTTTTTTTTTAAAGGTTTGTTTGAAACGCTTTGATCGCGTTGGATGTAACTCAAGCTTCACTGTCGTTTTTCGGTTGAAGAAGGCTACCGTACTCTTTGAAACTTGAGCCATCCCACTTGTGGCCCGGCATTTGTATTCAAATCGAGTTCGCTAACATTCAAAATGAAAATTTTTTCTTGAGGAATGAATCCTCAAATCTTTCTATCAATCTTGAAGTTGTGCAGTAGCTCTCAACACGCTTTTTCTTTATTTAAAAAAATTTTAATTCTGTTTGAAGTTCAGAACCATCCAAATCTGCCTCGAACCTGCAGTAAAAATCTAATAATTTACATTTGGCTTTTGATTTCTAAAATTAATTCACTCGGTTTTAGAAAGAAAAAAATTTCTATTTCACAATAAGCTTTTTTTTGAAGAGAAATGAATCAACTCTTGGGACTTTGTTTGATGTCAGTTGAGCTCATTGTGTAGGAATGTCTCACTTCCTGAAAAAAGAGCGCGAGGGCAGTGACTTTTTTTCAAAGCTATTCGATGACAAACCGCTCTCATTTCCTAATTTTGATTGATAAATACCAGTCTTTCAAACGAATCTGATTAAAGTAATGTCATTTTTTTCAATTTCTGATGCATTTCACAGAGGTTTCCTTCACCAATGATAATCAAGCTGTGAATGGCGTAGAAAAATTTTTGAAAAAAACTTTTTGTTTTCATTCTGTCTCAATTTTTTTCACGAAAAAAATGCTTAAAAAAATAGATTTCTGAAGTCACTTTTTTTGAAGACCAGTTGTGAAAATTGGAAATAAATGATGTGTTTGCAAGTTTTTTTGAAACCTTGTTCATTATATTTGCAGTTTGTTGAAGTTTTTTTATTTCTAAAAAAACTTTTCTGGAATAATATATGAGGAAGTTTTTGAAAAAAATTGGAAAGAATGATTTAAATTTAATCCGAGAAATCTGTTGGATATTAAATAAATTAACTTTTCAATGACAGCGAAAAAAAGTTTTCAAGGATCAAACTTCGACAAAAAAATTTGAACGAGATAATTCACTCTAGATTCTGCAAAAATCCTCTGGACAGCTCTAAAAGTTGCAATTGAATCGAAAGAATCCTCACGGAACTACGCAACCCGACCTGGGCCGGCTTTTACGATTTCTCAGTAAAAGAAACCTGCAGAGTTTTGTGTTTGCAAGTGACGTATATGAGCATTGAGTTGCCACCGAGACCCAGAATGAACAGAGTGACGTAGACAACCGAGAAAGGAATGATGGCATAAGGCGATGAAGCTGGATCCGGGTATGCCTGCCAGTATTTGCTGCACTCCGACTCGTTGCTCGACTCTTCCATTTGTCACCCGTCTCTGAAATTTCAATTCAAAAACGTTTTAGAAACGATTTGCAAATTGTGATACCATACTCACGTAAAAAAAAAGTTATGGAACTATAAGTTCTATGGTTCTGCGAGTTCGATTAAATTCAAGTTTGCAGCAAATCCTCGGCTTCAAGGATTTGAAAAAGTATCAAAATCATGGATAAAGTAGTTAATATCACTTCTGAAAATGAAAATTCACTAGAAAGTATGGATTTTTCCTCAAACGCAAAATCACAACCCGATCAAAATTTCATTTGAGAAATAGGAAATTTCCAGTTACGCAGGACATTCCTTCGCTCAACACAGATTTCAGACATGCATACTCTAGAGAAGAACATTTTCAATCAAGTAGGATCTTCATGGTGACCGCTGAAGGTCATTTGAACAGACTTTTCAGAGATTCTAAACTACTGAAAAGTTGACCTGAAATATGAAAAAAGTGTATGAGTCGCTCGAATTTCGATACACTAAAAAGCATATTCCTTCCGCTTTGCACCGTTATGTTATGGCTCCTAGCAACATGGTTATTTTGAAAGACGACAAAGAAATCTTTGAAAAGTTCAACAAAAAGACAAAAGTTTGTGAAGACGATAACTACACAACTTTCACAAAACAAAAAGGACTTTGCATGACTTTTCGAGAATGAAACAAATTCCTTTAAGAAGCTTTTGTAAATTCGAAAAATCAGTTATTTGAAAAAAAAATAAATGCTTCTCTAATTTCTTATGAAAAAAAAGGTTCGATAACTAAAAATTTCTTCCAATTTGCCATGCCAGCAAATAATTATAAGACTCTTCTGTTTTGAAGTTTTATTTTTAAAAAAATAACTGAAATCTGAGCATCGAAGTTCACAACCTGGTCTTTTAAAAACTGAAAATAACTTTGGCGGGCTTTCAAACATAATTTTCGGGATTGAGTCCATGTTCTCAAAATATGATGAGGATCAATTCTATAGCATTTGAAATGAGTCAACCATAGTGAAGTGATTTTGGTCAGCACAAAGGAGTGGACTGAGAAAGGCAGAAGTGTGAAGGCCCTTTAATGACAACCGCAAAAGGTTGAAAAAAGAGGGGTTGAATGGCAATGACTCCTTGACGCGAAAAAAAACCCCAAGCGGAAATAAAACGAGTAAGCAGTAGGAAGCGCGACATCTCATCAACATATACGGACACGATGAAAATGAAAGCGCCTAATGAAACACGAATAAAACTTGATGAATACGTTTTTCCGGACAAGCTCGGAATCGACATAAACCATTTACGATGCGGACGGTTCCAGGCTATTTCAATTCAAGCGTTTAGTTCTATGAAGGAATAGAAGTTCGCCCCTGAGCTGCAACCAAGACTTTGTAGTTCTAGTTGAAGATCTGTTATTTCGAGACAGCTTTTAAGACTTGTGACGATGGTCTGTAAATAATCCGATTACCATTAAAATCTCATATCGGAACTGAGCAAAATAAACGGAAATTTAGCTCTTTTTTTTTTTGGAAGCTCGGCCTTCAAAGAACACTTCTGCAGATTATTTTGTCGAACTTCAAAGCCTAGTCTTCTGAAGAACATATCCTTTGATTCACTGGTATGATTAAACAGCTTAGTTTTGAAAAGCAAATTTTGAAGAAGAAGCTACTTTCAAAGAAAACCTAACTGAACTTCAAAAAACATTTTCTTCATTATTTATTAGCACAACTAATCATTTTAAATTTTTTATCCCAACAGTGAAGAAACAAAAAAAGTGCGATACTGCGTGTGTGAAAAACGGAAGTGTACTTGATGGACCGAACTGAAACGAGTTGCAACTATCAAAGCTTGTTCTCTTCTTCATTCACGCGACATCAAGAGCCGACGGGAAGAAGATAATTGAAAATGTTCCATTAAACCCGACCTTTTGCGTCAAACCGCTGACTACGTTTCTTGGTAGCCTTTGCATTCAAAATACAGCTGCAAAGCTTTTTCTCTGCAGAAGAGTTTCGTAAAACTGTCTGAAAAAGGTTCTGAAAAGACAAAGAACTCCAAGCTATAAAATTTTGAAAGAAACATGCAATTTCCACGTTGAGTGCATTTATTCTCTGTTAAAAGTCAAAACGATGAAAATTTGCCGAAATGACAAAGACGGCAAAAGAACAAAAAGAAGCCCTCAATCGAGTTCTGTCAGAGCGTATTTGAAGTCTTAGTTGATGAAGATAGTGAGTCAATGTTGTATGTGTTTTCGCAAAATTCAGAAAACTTGTGCATCGGAATAGCGGATTAAATCTAAAAGCTAAGGATTCACCGTCGGAAAGTTGGGATTTTCGGTGAAGCTAAGCCGAAATGAGAGAGCTACAATCTTCTGATAATGTTTCCAGAAGGAAGCTTGTAACAAAGATAATAATAAACTTTGTTTTAGTTGTTGGAACTAAGCTTGTCAGCGTATTCACTGTCCAAAATTCGTATGACATCATCATAGAGTTTCTAAGAAATTTAAAAAATGGGCATGCCCTTGACCTCGAAAACTAGAAAAAATGTCTAGTTCTCAGATCTTCCTTCAGTGTCATCTGAGACTATTCTCAATAGCAGGAAACTGAATGTTCATGTTTCAGGTTGCATTTGCAATAAATTGAACCCTTCGAGTGAATGAGGAAGATGATGACATGAATCTTCGCTCCATCTCAAATTCAGATCAGATTATGAAACGTTTCTGTTACATGATTTCTGCAAGCTTTATTGGCTCGACTAAAAAGATATTATTTGAATTTCAGGCACCTAGAGTTTTTTATGGTTTCATCCGCCAGTTTTGAAGCCTAGTTTCTTAATCAGCTTGATAATTCTCTTCTAGAGAATCGAGTCTTCCCCAAATCCAGTTTTTTTCATATTGAAATCAATATACAAAGAATTAGAGTGAAGTTTTGAGCGCGTAGCACAAGCTCTGTATAAAGTAAAAAGTAAATAGCAGAAAAATTCAAACGAATCATATCGAAGAAAGCTGGTGATGGCTAAAAAATGCATGGCAACTGCGGAAAAGGGTTAGCGCCGGAAGACCATGATGGATGCGAAGCGAATTTCAAAAGCCATTCGCCAAACCGTGACGAAAGGCCAACGGCGGTGCAGAATGCCGTTTGCAGTCAGCAGCGCCGAGTCCCGAGCGCCACTCGAGTATTTTCCAACATCATTCTGTTTGAGAAACATTTGCGAACATTCTTCTCTAACACGAGACTTTTCGGTTTTAGTTCAGTTACCAAAATCTATGATTAAAGAGTTCCTGAAAATTTTCTATTTTTTAATGTGTTGAAAATTTCAGTACCTCATTTATAGAATACGAGATTTTCCTACATTATGCAACTGAAACATTTTTTGAACAAAGGAAATTGAAACAGGCAAAAAAGTTGGAAAATAACTTTAAGGTGGAGCAATGATTATAGTGATACGAATATGCACAGGGAAGTTTTTGCTCCGGCTTATAGTTCAATGAAACAAAGTTTTCAGAACTATTCCTGAAAGCATGGCTGTTCATCTGAAAATATTGCCCAGAAGTGAGCCTATGAAAATTGAAACTTTAATTACTCTACTTTAACTCGATGGGTCATATAAAAAATCAAAAAACTAAGAAGTTGAGTTGTTCTATCTCAAAAAAGAGCGCAGTATTTTTAAAACGCACTCCCAAAACGGTTTTATTATTCAAATTCTGGTGGCGCCGAGAAAATCTAATTTTTCTCTTGGGGTCAAAGAATCGAACAAAAATAAACGCTTTGATTTTTCGTCTTGTCAGAGAAGATGAAAAAAAAATTAATTTTTGAATAGGTTAGTCAAAAAAGTTTTCAGAAAGCTTTGCTGAAATGAGAAGAAGTGGCGGACAATTTCGAAAAAGAATCCGCCTGAAGTACTGAAAACAACTATAAAACATCAAGAAGATCATTGGAAGAAACACTAAATGATTCTGACACGCTCCTGACGTTAACACGCCCCTTATCTAACGTTCCAAATGAGATATGAGCTTACAACGGCACGCCACATCTTCCGAGGAAACAACACGACGACGTCTTTAAATTTGACTGGAAATTGGAGATGAATTGGGCTGACGCATGCGAGTATGCAAATGATACCAATGTAGAGGAGAATTGCGACAAATTGGTTGCAGGTAGCCTCAAACTCGGCGTCTACATCCCCCGTCGCAATAAATTAACGCAAAGATGCGATTGCACGCATCTTCTTTTCCGTGTTTCGGTGAGCCTTTCGGAGCCTAATTGGCTCGTTGACATTTGTCGGTCAAGTGTTCGCAATGTAACGGAAAGGTTATTGCGTTTTGCACGATAGCCTCAATACTTAAAGCTAAAAAATAAAAATTCGATTATCGAAAAAATTGAAATACTTTTTACAAACAGATAATTGCTGAGAAAAAAAGTTGGTTGACATATAGTTTCGTAAATCGAAAATTTTTTTTTATTCGTAAAATATTTGCTCTCGTAAATTGAAAAGCGTAGCGTTAAGCAACGAAAAAAATAGATGATATTTAAGATTTAAGATAAAGTCCTCTCATGAAGTTTGTTTAAAAAAAGTAGTTGAAAGCTCTAGAAAAGCTGAAAACTCAAATTTTAATGAAGTAGGGAAGTTTTATTTTTCCTTTCTTTGCCAAAAGTACAACACAATAAAGAAAACGCTCTGAGTTATTGGAGGGTCCGCGAGATTGCTGTTTCTAGTCTCGTCGAGGTTGAACTAGCCCTTTGTCCTTTTAAGTCGCCAAAGGCAAGAGTTGCTAACAGCGGAAAAGCTCGAATTTTCGTCAAAAATATATCGAGAGCAGGAAAAAAAAGTTCTTCCAAAAAGGCTTTTATGGCTCATAGCTAAATCCAATAAGCTCAAAAAATTAATTAAACATGAGGTTTTACATTGATAACTGTTTTTTTCATCAAAAAAATTCGAACTAACGGATGAAAAAAATCATTTTGTTGAATTGTAGAAATGAAATACAGTCAGAATGTTGAATAGATGAAGATAGGTTGAATGACCTCAAGAAGTTTTCAAATGGAATTTTTCTGCAAGAAAAAAGGCTATGCTGCTGGGCGACAAGTGCGTGAAAAGCGTCGTCAACGCAGAAAGTGAGCTAGTTCTTTGGGGATTTCAAGAAAAGCAAAAGGGAAACACAGGGATAATGATTCCAGTTTTTGAAATGATTTATGAACTACTTCTTATTTTTCATTTCTCAAAATTTTGAAAAAATGGAAAAATTTGATGGAATCTGAATACATTTTTTATTTTGAAAGCTGCAACTAAAATAAGCAGCGCTTTTCTGGAATTTACGCGTGTTTATATGTAGTTTTTGATTGGTTGGAATTCTCGATATAGAAAAGAGGAGGCGTATTTGTCGGTTTTCAAACTTTCGAGTTGATTGACGTTCAATGAAAAACAAGAATTGAGTAAAATTTGGTTGCGGAAGTTTTTGGAAAAAAAAAGAGTTTTCTCTTCTCGAAAAAATCTCAAAATTCAACAGGAACATAATCAAATTGGAAATGAGAAGTTTTTCGGAGGTTTTCCAGCCTCTCAAGCAACGAAAATTAAAGCATGGCGCTCAGAAAGTAAATGATGTAGTAAATGTCTCACGGTTTTTGAGAGCAGTTAATGGCTGAAAAAAGGAGTTTCTACAGATTGCGGTTACATTAAACGCGCAGAATGAGTTTTTCAAGCGCAAAAAATTCTGCTTCTGACAGAAATCCGTTCGCAGAAAAATTTCGAAAATAATTTCGTTTTTAGAGGTTATTTTTATGTGGAAGCTGATTCTAAGAATTCCAAGGTCCAAAAAATAGATGAGCAGCATTAGGATAAAAACTTGGAAAAAAATGCAAGTTATGAAGACGAATTTCTGCTTGCATTAAAACTCTTTTTTCAAATCTGTTTTGGAAGGAAAAACTCCGAAAAGGAAAAAACTGATAAAAAATAATAGTAAAAAATCACTGATTGGTGGAAATTTTGAGTAACTACATGTAACATTGACAAAAGAACATCTCAGAAAAATGTGACGCAAATTTCCAAAAACCGCAATTTGTAAAGATGAAGTCATTGGAAAATTGAAACGATGAGAAGTTTTCGCTCAAACTTTTTAGAATCATTGGGAAATTAATTGTAAATCTCAAACGACCTTTGATAGATAAACTCTGTCTTATCGCAAAAAAATAATTTTTTTATTTGAAAAAAATCTGAATTTTTTTGAAAAAGGTCGCTTCATTAGAGATTCTTTCAGATGGAGTTTCCGTAAATGAAAAAGGTGAATGGGTAACCTCATACTCTATCATTGAAGTTTCTTCCAATGAAAGCAAACAGAAAATTGAATAAAATGAACATATCCATTGCGCGGGAAGGCGCCAAATGAACGCATTCCGAGGCGACGCCTTCTTCGAAATTTCCAAACAACGTTCCCCGTGTTATTCTTGTCTCGGCTCTTCTTTGTTTTTCAAAATACTAAAGTGCGACTTTCACAAAAATAAACCAATTCAATCCTGAGGAGCTCTAGAATGCTCAGCTGACTGCTGAAGTTTTCCAAAAAAAAGAAAATCATGAATGAGAGTTCAAACTGACCTCCTTTCAGAAGATTTTCGGCTGACTCATCCTCATATCTAAAACATGTTCTTGCGGCAATTCGTCGAAAAGGCTATTGGAGAGGGCAGAAATTGTAGTAAATGAAGAAGGCAAGATCAAATTTCGGCTCTCGTCAAACCAAAATAACCAATTTCCATATTTCCATAATTCGATCCACTTCAGCGAAAACTTCAAAAATTTAGTTTGCTTTGATTTTGCGCAACGAATGTGCAGCCCTCGAAGTGAGAATATGTTTCTATGAACTGGATTTTGCTATTGGAGTCAATCAATATGACGAAAGAAAAAACAAACGAGAAATATTTCGCTAGAAATTCATAAAAAAAGAAGGATTTTAGAGCTCTTCATGCACATTTTCGACATCTGTTTTTTTCCGAATCGTCTGAAAATCAAAAAGTTTTCTTGAAACTCTTATAAAACCTATCAAAAATCTAAACCAGAAAAATACGATTTCTCAGAGTTTTTCATTTGAAATTTTCATCAAACAACGAATTCAAAAAAAGAAAAACTTCATTCACTCTCAAAAAAATTGAAGAAATGTTCTGGAAACCAAAGAAAAGTGAGAGGAATGCGCCCGCAAAACAAAAATTGATTTATTAATTTTAAGAAAGATTCTTATGATTTTGAGAAGAAAAAAATGGGGATCCGGTTAAAGTAAGATAGAAGTTACACCTGCATCGGGAATCTGATAAGAAAAAAAGAAAAATTTCAATTATGAAAAGTTCCTGCTGGCGGAATACTTTTCTCCGTGAAAGAAACGGGGACTGTCGCACGTGCTTTCCTTCCAGTCTCCACTAGGTAACATTCCCCGGAGAAACCCAAAGTCTTCACGATTTCTCCAGCTCGTAAAGAAACTCCACTTGTCGGATCTGCAAACCGATAACTTTATACAAGTCAAGAAGTTGGGATTGGTTCAAGGTTCATTTTTTTTTCCTTTCTTTTTGTCTATTAATCTCTTAGTGAACCTCAAGATGTACTCTATGAACTTCTTGAATTTCAATAACTACGCAAATTTTCATGTTTATGAAAAGAGGCTTTAAAATCAAAAACTCCTAATTCTATTAGGTTGTCCTACAGTTTTGAATTTTCGGTTTTCTAAACAATGCAAAATTCGAAATTTTTTTCTCCTTCCAAATGTTTAGAGAAGGTTTGGAAACGATAGTTTTTAAGAAGAAGAGTTTTTACCTTGAAAATCAATGACAACATTCCTTCTCTGTGGAAACCTGTGTTTTCTCCCGTCTCGTATTTCATAACTACGAGGGTTCGGAATCAGAGGAATAGAACTAGGATCTCTTGTAGACCCCAATCTGAAGTCGGTTTTTCAAAAGTTGCTCCGAAGCTGTCACCTCAATGAAGATCGGCTTGAGTTCGCGATTACTAATCGATAGAGTTCCAGTTGTCCTGTCAGCGTGAAGTCTTGCAGCCGTGCATACTCGAGGTGATCATTTGACTGACAAAATTGATGAAAGTTTAGTCGTCAGACTTTTACCTTCAAGCAAATAATCTGCTGTGTAGTCGCATCAGAAATAACAAACTGCAGCTTTTTGATTGACTGCAGTACGTTTTGTATAACTGAGACACCCTTTATTGGCCAATCGATAGCTCGAGATTCATAATTCCTATCGATTATTTGCCGTTCGACGTCATTGCAGAACAGCTTGACTGCGAAAGCGAACGTGCATGATCGGATGTCAAAAAGGTCCACCTAAACGAGTATAACTTTTTTTTGCAAATTATTTTCTTTTGATGCTTTAAAATTATCGAACATCTTTTTGAATTTGAAAAAAAGTTAAGGAAAAAAACTTTCTTCTAAATAGCAAAAAAATCGAATTTTTTTGAAAAAAATATCATGTTTTTTTAATATTCTCACTTCAAAACTCCGTGGTTTTATATTTTACCAAAAGTGCAAGAGTCAAAAAAATTTTTTTTTGCTGAAGTTTTCAAAGTACATTTCTGTAACATTTTATGAAATCCCGAAAAAACAAAATTCATTTCTTTTTTTTTCTTTTTAAAATTGTTTCGTTAGTCTACGCGCGTTTCTGAAGATAACCGCTGGGATCTTACCAACTCTCGGGATATAATATTGCAATTTCTACGGATCAATCTCCTCGTGTCGTATTGCACTTCGAAATTGTTATCACAGTGTGGAACAACTGTGGTACCGCCTCTTAAAACGAATTATTGTTGCTTTCAGCTCAAGGGGAAAACCTTTGCCAAGATGGATAAACTTCTCCCGACTTACTTGATGATTCAATATTCTGCAGAAGAATTGACGTCTAGACATTTGAAAAGAGGATTACTTCAGGAAAAAAGAACTCCCAACTCACGGAATCTGGGTTGGTTGCTTGCAGAATGTCGTTGACAGAGTTGACGAGCAACTCAGCCAAGGAGTTATTGTTGGATCGGACGTAGCCAGGAACATCCACAACATGTATAGTGTGAGAATCGGTGCTACTGTTACCAACACTGACGCCTGAAATCGAATCTTCGAACTGGTTAGCCACATTCATCTGACCAGAATCGGTTATGAGACTTCCATTATCGGGAAAAGAATCCAGCAAATTGTTGATTTCTTGTTGCACGTAATGAACAGTTCTGGCGTAGATTGCGGACACAAAGTTGTCCCGAATAGTTTGACACTGTAAAAGAAAAGTTGAAGGCTTAAATTGAAAACAAATCTTTAGTAACAGTTTTTTGACTAATTGAGATGGGCTCTTCTGGTCTGATACATGAAGTCACTCCAAATTAACTGAACATACATCCATGACGGAATGTCGACCGAATCCATCTATTGACGAAGTCACTATTGCTCGATACATTGCTAGCGCCGAAACTCCAAGAAGCGCAGAAGCGTCTTCAAGATCTGGAAAAAGGTCTGAAGGTCTGAAAACCCAAAAACTTTATTTTTATACCTGGCAGGTTTTCGATATCCACCATGTTATTTTCTTCTCGGAAATTCAGGTTGTTGAGCAGTATGCAAGAAGCTAGAACCTGTATGAAACAGCGATTGAAATTAAATGAAGGTGTGACTTTCAAGCCTTGAAAATGTCGTTGACCGAGAGACCCAAGGTTGTCAAAGCGGCGCTGACGTCTTCTAAGTTACCATAGTTCGAACAGTTGTCTCTTAACCGAAAGCCCGCAATACGGTACTTTTCTATAAGTAAACCTTTCGTTTTCACTTTTGTTCAGATTGGCTTTTACCCTTTTCAGATTCTTTCAAATCATTTGCAATCATGGCGAAAATATTGGCTCGACATCCGCGACTAGGAGATTCAATCAAAAAATGATGAGTAGCAACTCGGGAAATCCGTCCATCCCTTATTTGAAGTTCATAGTGAAGCACCTTAAGAATGATTTTAACAAAATATTCAAAGTTTCACTAACGGCTTTAGATGCTTGGTTGTTTTGAGAGTTGTTAGTGGAGAGAAAAGGACGCAAAGCTATGAGTGCAGCGTATAAAATGGCACTGATGCTCCCTTGGGTGTCCATGCGGTCAACAACGTCTAAGCAAACCATTTCTGCTAGTTGCGACTTTCCCGAACCCGATATTCCTCTGGAATAGCTTTGATATTTTATGCCCGAAATTTGCTTTTGGAAACCGCAATCTTCAAATGTCCACAGTTTTTTAGAAGGGACGTTTGAAATATCCTACTCGCCTGTTCTAAAAGTCTTCTTTTTTCTGTTTTTCATTCAAAGCTTCAAAGATTTCCAAGCAACTGTTTGAGGAAAGAGTACCAAATGAAAGAAAGCTTCTTCCTGAGATTGAAAACCTGCAAACCTCAGTAAAAGAGCGCTTTGCTTCGTTTCGATAAGCGAAGAAGTCACTGTTGGGATAACGGAATAGGAAAGATGTCGCGTTGCAGAAACATCATTGAATGGATTTACAAAATAAAGTTGTCCACCGCGGGAGAACTCAAGTAAGAGAAGTTCAAAACAAGAATGTATTATCAACTAACCCAACATTGTCCTTGTTTGAATCTTTCTCTTATGGCTTCAAGAAATTCTTCATGGCTGCACATGGACAGCAAAGCAACTGAGGACATTGTGTAGGAAGATGGTGTGCCTGAATAATACTCTCTTCCCGGATTTCTTTCCGATTTACCTTCATTTCGCGATACGCTTAGGCGTAATAGACTCAGCCCTTGAGGTCTTCGAACTGTTTCTTGAAAAGTTCTCAAAGGTTTTGGCGGAGGTCGAGGTGGCGTAGCCAGAAAGGTCAGTCCAGTGGTCAAAGATTCTCAAATCAAACTATTCATCTAACTGGATTTCATCAATCGTTCTCTCACTGCTGTCTCGACTCACCAGCTCGTTTCACCTTTGTAATTCTGAGTGTTGACTTGGACTTTTGCAACAAATCATCTGCTCTCGTAAAGGTTTCTCTCCGTTTAACACGAGGCATGACACATGACGAAGATGGCAAACATAACGACATCCTGAAAAAAAATGATGCAGAGTTCCTTTTTCATTTCCAAAACCTCTTTTCGACAGCTTCTTGGAGGGGCGATTTCAAGTGCGCCAAGTGAGAAGTAGACATTGAAAGCGGTTTTCTCAGTTTATCGTTGCCTGTAAGACTTTTTTACGCTATGCTTATTGATTTGATTTTCACATAATTTTCAGAAGTTCTATAGAAACCTATTGGTATATTAATCAGAGTCGGTTTTGGCGTAGGAGTGTGTCGCATGGAATTTGGCGAAGTTGGTGAAAAAAGAACTGTAGAAAGACGGGAATCGGTTGAATCAACTCTGCGTATCTAATATAGAACCGGAGATGTAATACCTCCAAGGAAACCTTAAGAGTTGTTGAACGGAGTTTTTGTTCGAGTTTTCCTTCGAAATATCATCTTCTTCAACTTCTTCTTGTAAGGCAAGTGTTGATTCCAATCGAGCTTTCACCATCATTAACTGCTGAGATAACTGAAAAAGTTTCACATTCAAAAAAAGACTTTATGAAAAACTTACAATATCGATGTCACATCTCAACTTGTCGACGTCCACGTTTCTGTTCTTTCTGTGGAGCGTAACTGCCCGATTTTGAGGCGGTGGTGGAGGAGGATCCGATGGACGAAGCCTTGGCAAAGTCGTGCTATGCCACATTGGGCGGGAAAAGCTTTATGATTGATTTTATTGCTTCTGAAAAGTTTTAAGATCGTTTGGACATTTTTTGAAAAAACATGGATGAATTGACAGAACGGATCTGATTTAGTTATTAAAAATTTGTTATAAACATGGAAGGTACAAGAGGCAATCTGGTGTGAACTGTTTGGGGAGGCGATCTCAAAGACAAACTCTTGAAAAATAATTATCGCCCAAAATACATATGGTATCGAAAATTGTTTTCTTTGGAATGTCCGTGAATTTTTTCCTAAAACTGCTCACCACAAATATTTAGACATTGTTCGCGATAAGTAACGTAAAAATTTGACTAGTTAGAAAAGAAAGTCTTCCGACCGGGAAAATGTGTAAAATCGATCAAAGCAATCAATTGTTTGTGAACCGAGGTTTCCCAAAAGCAAAGGATCAGAAGGCAGTGCTGACCGCTTTTTTTCTCTTTTGTTGTCCGCCGAGATATTTCGCTGCACACAGCGTCTTTGACAGTTGCTTTGACAGGCTCTCGCCGACTCATGCGCTCAGCTGAAAAAAGAGAAATCAAACCGATTGAGAGGATGGAGGGATGTGTCATGTACATAGTTCAAAGATTTGTCATAAATTTTGCCTGAAATTAGAAATGATCTGCAGTTGGCCCATCCAACCAGAGTGAAATATTTTTTCTCAAATTTGAAAAGCGTTTTTCCGAAAAGCTAAAATGATGTGAAGCTCAAAGCTTTTCTTAAACTCTAGTAGTTCCACGCTTTGGCTTGGCGCAGAGAAAAATTAGGAAACTTCATTTCAAACGTGGAAACTTGAGCAGGTTTCCCACGACACTTTATGTTACTGTCATCATTCTTTACTCGTTCACCAGATGTGGAAAAAGCAAGCCAAATTTTACTTCCATTTTCTTTTTGCGCTTTCATCACCTTTTTTTTCTTTTGACCTCGAAGCGTCATTTCCTTGTGCTATCTTATGGGTGGCACACCCCATTACAACAATCCAAAATCAGATGCCTTTTTTCGCACATGATGATATAAGAGAATAAATCCTCTTCGGGAACGCGACTTTACTGTAACGAAAAAAAGTTTTTTTCCTTTATTCTTGCAAATTTTTTTATGTGCCTGGTCTTCTTTTTTTCACATTTAGGTGGTAAATCCAACAACAATTCTTCAAAAAAACTGTCTTTTTTTGGTTAAAATGATACGATTAACGGGAGAAATCTAGTACAAAGTTTGAGAGGAGGAGTCAAAAAACAAGTAATTTTTTGAGCACTCTTGAAAACTGGTAAATTTTTCTTTGGCCATTGAAGGCGTCCTTCATTTTTTTGTTGGTTTTCAGCATTTTTTCCAAGTTACACAAAATTTTTACCGTGATTCATCGTTTTATCGCGTTACAGACCTCCGCCCTCAAGTGAGTTCTCCGCGCAATACTTATTCTCGTTCTGTTTAGCGTCGAACTTACTTTGCCGTTTCAACCTCTTTCACAACCTACGAAATGTCGTGAGTTTTTTTTCCAACGAGGAAAAGTAATCTTCTTGAATTTTTCAGCTATCTGCCTTCGCGAATGGTTCTACTAACACCTCAAGGTGAGCGTAACAAAATGTCAAAGAGGAAGCGTCATACTGTGCTCAGTGCTCGATTTTTTGAGATTATCATGTGAAATGATCAATCTCTCAATTTCATTACTACAATAATTCTTCTATCAAAGGTTTCTTGAATTTAAGATAATAAGAAGAATCTGTTTCTGCGAAAACTTCAACGAACAGTTTTGGATAAACTTTGGTGTCGGATAGCGTAAATGATCGTGAATTCTGAGAGAAGTAACCCCTTTCCAAAGACCCGGTTCTTGAGGAGAACCGTAGTCGTTGTTTCAATCCATCCTTAAATTTTCACTAAAAGAACCTGGTTGGTCGAGGCTTTTCTCTTTAGTGATCCGTTACACAGGCCAACTACTTCGCTTAACCGCTGAGATCTGAGAAGTTATCCAAAAACATTGAGTTCGAATTTTTCAACTGGAAAATTATTTTTATCATGATTCCCTCTTTAATTTCCACACAAATTTCAGATACACTGAAACTTTTTTTCTGTAAAAAAATTTCCATTCACCTTTTTTTCCTGAAAGTTGTTTAGAGCTCATAAAAACGACGCTTTTCGAAAATCCTGTTCGAATCCTTTCAAACTTCTGATATGACTCATTGAAAGATAGAAACAGTTTTATCCTTTTTAATTTTTTTTATTTTGTTCCTCTCGTTTATGTTGTTGCGAGGCTGTTAAATGAACTGAAACAAAAGAAGTATAAATGAGCAATGAGCCGTGAAAGGATTGTTTCTTTCGCGGTTTCCTTTCGCCCACCACGTGCATCCGCATTTTCGATCAAGCGTACGTAATTAGTGAATAACTATGGCAAAGGTGAAAGAATTTTCTTGAAAAGGACACACGTGATTTGTAAGATGTTTTTTGAGACGCTGTAAAAAGACATAAAAGGATGTTCGAGGTCATTAAAAAAAAAAAGAAAAGGGTGATTTCTTCCATATAACTTTTTTTGATATGACAGATTAAATTATCTGCTTTTTAAAAAAATCTTATTTTTTTGAAAAAAACTTTTTTTGACTACAAAAGGAGTTTAGTCAAAAAAACGTTTTTTTGAATTGACAAAATGTAGATAATTTTCTATTGAAAAATTATTGTTGTTCAAAAATTATATACTCAAAAATTCTAGTGATTTTTTTGCAATACTGTCCTTCCGGCGAACAAGGCTGCTTATTTCCTTAATTCACCTTGTGTTTTTTTGATCCACATTTATCTTGAAGCCTTATAGTTCTTAGTCTGCTTAGCCTATATCATTTTTCATTCCTCGAAAATGAGAAAAAGAATTTTTTTGAACTTATTTCTATTGGAATTGGATACGACAGGGCGTTTCCAAATGCAAGAGTCAGATTTGTGTACCGAGAAAACGCTGTAATACTTCATCATTGATGGAAAATAGTCAAAAATGGCAGCGGAAACTGAAAATTTGGACAGCAACTTTAGCTTTTGAAAGCTGTTCCAACAAACTAACGAAAGTTCATTAGAAATGCTGAAAAATTTATTCCAATTTTTTCCTTCATCAAGTTTTTCATGTTTCCTCAGCCCGAAGAAAAAATTCCGTATAACATTGCCAATAATTTCCGAATGAATTGGACTAAAATTTCAAGACAGAATTTTGAGAAGGGACACATGGTTTTCGTTGATGACACGTGACTCGATTTCATGTTATAATTGGAACATGTGGAAATGTTTATGATTTTCTCCACGACGAAAGCACATCTGCCTTCTGAGGCAGGCGACGGCGCTTCTGGGAGTCTGCTCTGCCCTCAATCAAAGTGCTCCCGCCCCTTTTCACAGCTCGCCGAGCATGGCCTTGCTCCCGCATATATAGAGACGAACAACGGCAAAGAGCATTCCCTGCGGCTTGACTTAATTGAAGTAATCATTTCGGAAGCTCGAAATGGCCATGATCGTGAGTCCCATCAGTCGTGACATCATCTGTCAGCGATACGTCCTTGACGATAGCCGTGAGTTTTACTGTTTTTTGAATTTGATCAAGTTCCGTTTCCTGACCCTCATTCGCAGCTTTTGACTTTTCCTTCTTCACAACGTCTTTTCGCTCTAACTTCCAATGTGAGGAACACAAAAAAGTAACTTGAAATTTTTAACAGAACGAACCTAGAACATTGTATTACTGCGATTTTCATATTCTATACTGTGAAAAAGCTTCTCGACAGTCAGCTTTCATTCCACGCCATTTTTCTCTTTCTTGAATAAAACTTCCAACTTGCCCAGATGGCCGACAAAAAACTTTGCATTTATAAACGACTTTCTCTTGGCAGATGTTTTCACCTCAACACTTGCTCGATCCAAAGCTGACCCAAAAAACAACTTTTCTTCTTTTTTCTCGTCTTGATTGGATGCTGCTTCAATAACAATACAAACCGGCAGCGAGATTCCCTTATAAGGCGCGATTCTTCGCACCACTGCAATGCGAAAACGCGAAGATGAGCTTCCGTTTGGCGCGTCGCAAACGAGGAAGAAAGAATGCCTCATTTCTTTTTTTGGCCACTTTCCGTACCCTTTACTCGTCCCGCTTCAACCTTCGTTTTCTTCCCGAGAAAAAAATCATTTCTATCTCCTGGAAAACGCACAGAGAGAAAGAAGATTGAAGAAAAATGAGGCAGACCTTTGATCTTTTGAAATTCGTGATGTCCAAAAGTTGCCGGCGGGCAATTTGACTAGAAACATCATTTGAACGGAACATGACGGGGGCGTCGCCATTTTAGGTCACATTTGAAAGATGTTTCTCTGAGAAACGTTCTGGTGTTTGGATTAGGAAAAAAAAAGGAAAATGCGATTATAGGCGTTTTTCCTTAGAAGCCGATGCTTTTTGAGAGATGTAAAAAAATTAATATTTTTGATTAAACAGAAAAGTATGATTTTCTAAGAAAGACGGTTGTTTCAGCTTTATAGCATTGCACGTTCCAAAATCTCTTAACTTTTTCATAAAGCTTTATAAAAATTTTTTGATCAAGAGAATTACAACGAGGCGATTCGCTTATGATAAATGACGCGTGTGGGAGACAGCAAGATGCTCTCAGACTCGGCAACAAGTGAGCCACTGCCAACAGGAATCCGCTTGGGATTCCACAAGCTCCTTCACAAAAATCTGCAGGCTGCCGTTTCAACAAATAAACACAACTTTTACGTTTTCAAAATGAAGTATATACGACCAAAAGCAAAAAAAAATGTTTTTCTGATTTCAAAATTTTTTCTAAAATCATTTGACTCAAAAAATAATTAGGTAGACTACTCATTTGAGAAAGAAATTTTTGAGTAGAAAATACTGGATTAAAAAAAAGAGAAAACCCTAAGTTTGTTTCAAAACAAAATTCAAATGAGGTGAAAAATCTCAATTCCACAAAAAAATCAAGTTAATCTAAAAAACTAACGTTTTTTTTTTCAAATTTTAGAAAAAAAGATTGTTAAGCCGAGTAAGCAAACTTTTGCAAAACCTTAATTTTTTTCAACAGAATAATTTCTACACGTTTTTTTCTTTCCTTTCTTTTTTTCACATTACTTCAAAGTCGAAAAACATGATCCAGAACCATATTTCAGTGGTTATTCATTAAAAAATCAGTCTATTTTTTCATCCTTTCCTCTGTAGAAACGTCCCAGAGATTTATTCTTTTTGCAAAATAATCCAAGGCCACTTCCAAAAACCTCTTTTTATTTTGTTGTTGTCCCAAGGGTTTCGAAAAACGCTCTGCACGGATGAATCCCTCAGGAAATAACCTGAAGAAGAGACCGCAGAAGCTTGAACTTTCTGGTGCTTCAGCCTTTAGAGGGCATTCCCAAAGTAATGAGGAAAATGTAATTATGCCCATATCGCGGCCGACGCAAGGGACCCAATAGCCGACGAAATGAGCCATTTTGCATACAGCCAGCCGCCGACACGAAAAAGTGACGCGCATGTCGCTCTCGAATTCAATTTCTCGTATTTTTCAGTAAAAGAAAAAAGTTGTCCTTGAAAAGTTGTAGAAACAGTAGAAGCCAAAGTCTTTCCAAAGAGTGTTCCACAATTTATTTACGGGTTTTGGAACTCAGCCTTCGTTTGTTCGAAAGTATCCAATTGTACTCGCTAAGAAAGCGAATCTAGCGCTTGGGAAATCTTGGTGAAAGGGATTTTCAGTTTTTTACGCTCTTAATGCTCAGGTATGATGACTTTTCATATGAAGTGACATCAAATAGCAGAAATCGTGAACCGTTTCTAGTCGGGTGCATTTGATAGATCCGCTATGCAACACTTCATCAAAAAACCTAAATCGGATATTTTTGAGTGGATTGAAAAGTTTCAGAGCCATAGTCATTTTTATAAGAATTCAGTAGAAAATTGCATTTCTTGAAAAATCGACTTGAAACATCATAAAATGGGAAGAACAGGAATTCCATTAAAGTGAGCGGAAACGTCGGAGACGCTTTTTGATTGGTTCTACCGTAAGACTGCCCGTTTCCAGAGCTCTCGGAGACGTTCGATTTGCTCGACGTCGACAAAGACGGAAGACTTTCTCGCAATGAAATCGCCGCCCTCCTGCGCATCATTAATGTCGAGCCGACGCGTGTGGAACTCGACTTCATCTTTCAAGAAATGGACATGGATCGTCAGTTTTTCTTTTTTTTTTGTCAAAATGTCTTTTTGGAATTGGAGGAGTCCTTGAGTTAGAGACGCCTGATTGGAGTCACAAAAGGAATCATGTGGATGACTGCTAACATGATTAAGTTGGAACTTGTTTTTCAAGACGGCAAAGAACCTCAAATGATTAGGCACAATTTGGCCAAGCGAAAAAAAACCAATTCATTTTTTATCGTTCGGGTCGTCCGCAAGATTGGAATCAGAAAAACACAAATTTTTTGATTTCTCGCTAAAACAAAAAAAAAGAAAAACCTTATATACTGGTTATAATTAACTTGAACGATAATTGAAAAAAAAGTGGAAAATCTGCACTAGCTTAAATTTATTATGATTAGGTAAGATGTATATTTTAAACCAAAAAAATTTTTTTAAAAACCATGCCCGGCATAAAAAAATATGTTTGAAATTTCAGAAACCGGAAAAAAATCAGCAAAGAAGAGTTCATAACGTACATGCGCTCTCCGCCGGTGCATCGCACGACCCTCAAAGAAATCGAGAAACAGTTCAAGAACTTCGATTCCGACGGCGACGGCGCCATCACCGAAGGTATTACAATCTGCCAAAGTGCTCTGCGAACACGAGTTGCCGTTCATTTTTTGACGCCAGCCTAACGTTGCGTGAGAAAATTTTTGGCAAATGGCAACCACAAACAAACAATTCACCAATATACACAAACAGCAACGCATAAGAGGGAAGTTGAAATAGAAACTTAGTATAAACAAATCAAATTACAAGCATGACGTTCTACAGACATTTTCCAGGAAGTGCAACCTTAGATTTGAAAAAAAAAAGTAATGAATTTTCTAGGCGGAACCTATCATATGACACTGAACGTTATGCTTTCAAACAGGTAAACACAAAAAAAAATGGAAACATTTCCAAAGATCTTCTTTGAAACGGAGATTCTGAAAATTCTCAGTTTGCCCCTCGCATACTAGAATCTATTAAATGAACGCCAAGTATACCGAAAAAACTTATTTAAATGAGAAAAACTAGAACTACTTTTTTTAAATAGCAAAAAAATAATTTTAATATCTGAAAAAAAAAAATTAATAGAAAAACTTTCTCAATTGCTGAAACTTAAAAAGTTTCTTCCGACAACCAAGGAAAGCATTTCTCAAGTTTTTTTTTCAAAAAGTGAAAAAAATTTCTTTTCAGAAGAAATGGCGGGGATTCTTCGAGCAACAACGGATCTTACCGATGCAAAGGCCATCCACGAAATGTTCAAAGCTACCGATCTCAACGGCGACGGCAGAATCACATTCTTTGAATTTGTGAAAAATGATGCAAGAGTAATTTTACGCAATTATGTTAACTGTAATTGGAAAATTAGAAGTTGAAAATTTTCAAAAATTGAACTCGAACTTTGCAAGTCTATTCTTTGATTTTATTCACTGTGATTTCCCAAAAGATTTTTGGAGACCCACAGAAGGAGTTTGATGAAGTTTCACAAATCATCATTGCTTTTCATTAGATATAAGAATAGATTTTTTACAACTAGCAAAATAGTATGGATCGAGTCAAAAAAAGATGTTTTCACATATACCGGTGGATAATATCTTCAATGAATCAATTTTTGGTCTTAGTTGTATTGTTGATAACTTTCCTGTAACTACTTTTTGTTAACCAGTGCGTATCTTGTATTGAAAATCTTTCGTCGGTTGAGATAATAAAGTTTTGAAAAATGCGTTTCAGCAAACAAGAAAAGTTTACCCCATAACACAGACTCCATCATTGCATTCACATACTTTCTAAAAAGCCAAAAACAAGAAAATCGACAGCTTTCTCGTGTTCTCACTTCCTATTCAAATATAAGCAGATAACTGCTTTTGCTGCGCCTACGACGGAAAAGCCTAATTTTGGGCAAGGAGACGCGTTTTTTTCTCGACTCAAAAACCACACAAAACCAAAATCCAGTGATGGATTGTTTATTTAGAACCATAAATATCTTCTTCAGAGGGCGCCCATTTCTCCAGCGAGCAATGCGTCAAAAAAACGATGTGATGCACTGATATACAGCCCAAGGGGATCGCCAGGAAAAAAAAGAAGCATGATTGAGAACGATGATACGTCGCATTTGAGGTCTTTGAATGTAGGAGAAAAAAAAATCCATCAAAGTCAATTTTTTTTGGAACCGATACACGAAAGTTCTTTCCTTAAGAGAACAGAAAAGGTTAATTCAGTTTCCTTTCTCATAAACTTCATTCGAACAAAGAAATAAATTAATTATCAATGAATGAGTTGGATGTTTGGTAGTAGAATTACGCGTTCCTCCTGAAAAAATCCGGTAAGAAACTTTCAGCAGACTACCAACCAAGAAACACATTTTAAGGACTATAATTTTCCAAAAAGGGGAGTTTGGGGTCTTAATATGGGTTTTTAATTTGAGTTTTCTCTCAGTCTCAAAAGCGCTGAAATTTAGTTCGAGAATCAATATAATCTACTTAATAAAAATCTAAGAAATTTGGCAGGCTGCAAACTTCAGAATTTACCTCCAGTAGATTCTAGAATTCTTTAGAAGTTTTCAGGTATATCTAAAGTTCTGATTGGAATGACTTGTTAGATGACGATTCAGTGATAAGTAGTGCTTTATATTTCAGTTACTTCATTGTTATCGATTGGTTCTCTGTGTGGTCAACAACGACGTTTGCTTCACTGTTATATTCACAACAGTAAAAAAAAACACAATTTATTTCTTTATTGTCAGAACAACGCAAATAATTAAGATACAGATAGAAAGGAAATAATATAACAATCATTCGTTTGGTTCGAAAAAAATTCAAAAACCCTCGCTTTTCACAGGCTAATCTAATCACCAAAAAAAAGCTTCGAAAGCAAAAATTTGGCAAATGGTGGAGTGATTTTTCAATAAGTCTCATCTGGTCACAGCTCTTATCGATGCCGATTCAGCGAAAGTTTTTGAGTGGGTTGGTGTACATGAAAAAGGAAAGGACTGATAAGCTCAACTTAGAAGGGTGCTTCCCCGTCCTCAGAGCCAGTTTGTCTCCCTCATAAAATGGTCAGTTTCCTAGCTTTTTCAGAAAATTTCCATCAACTTTTTTGAATATACTTTGAGCGCCAAACCCTTCAGAAGCAGTTTTTGACCATGAAAACCGTTTGAACTATTTTCAGACAGGAGTTTTTAGAATAAAAAGCTTTATAGCTTATAACGAGTTGAAACTTGAAAAAAAATCTGTCTTATATGAAATGCGTTTCAGATTTGCTCCACTGTAGTTTCGTCGCTTCAAAACCTTCCTGCTGAAGTTTTGGTAGAAATTCTTAGCCGGTTGAACCCTCACGACGTGCCAAACCTCAGAAGTGTTAACAAGATGGTATCCGGAGGAGTGCTCTTTTCCTGGAAGAAATGGGATTTTTAGATCAACAACGTTATTTTGAATAACTACAAATATCTTCCCAGAATCGCCTACGTTTTGAACATCAGCCTAGACGACGGCGTCCCAATGATCCATATTCGGAAATCAGGATCGATTTCTGGAATCAGCGAGGTTCGCATTGCTTTGAAAGTATTCCAAAACATGAAAACTATAATTACTGAAAACAGAAAAATGTTTTCAAACCAGTTTCCTTAATGTTCTGAAAAAAATTCCGCCCAAAGATTTCAAAGTTTTTTTTTCGAATTTCGAATAGTCGATTAACTGGAAAACTAAATTTTGTTCGGAAAAGTCCACCAAATCAGTGAAACAGCCTCAACTATCAAAGGGTACAAAGAAAATTAAATGTTCGGTGTTTCTTGGTCAGCTTATCGCATAAATGGCCGTTTTCCTTTTCACTCGAAGTCACTCTTTCGTTTTTGATAACGAACAAAAGCTTATCAGAAATAATGGTCAATTGGAGAAGTTTGATCCTACAATGTGCCAGGCTCCTCGTTGCACAAGCGCACCAAAAGATAAACAGAGAGGTCATTATCAGAAGCAACGAAAAAGGGAAAAATTAGTGTTTTTTCGATTTTTTTTAGTTCTGAGTTCTAGTTTTTCGTTTCACTCAAATCAAACGAAATCCATCAAGAAAAAGTCTATTTGAATCGAGAAAAACTTACAAGTAATAAATGTCATCAATTCAGAAGTACTGCGAATTCGATTTCTCGCGTTTGGAAGAGATTGATATCGTTGAAGTTGAAGTTTTTGACATGAATTCCGAAAAAAGCGAGCAGTCGATGCTTGTTTTGAAAAGCTTCATGCATTTTTTCACAGTCTCTCGTCAGAACTCAGTCAGGTGAATATTTGAAAAAACAAAAGAAATCTAAAGAATCAATTTAAGGAGCGTTACTTTCAAAAACGTGAACTTGGACAGCTCATTTAATGAAGTTTTATACACTTTCAATCACCTGGTTACATCTAACAGTGAGGTGAGAAACTGTTGAAATTCTTCGGAAACTCTTCTTTTTAAGAAAATTATTGTTATCGACTCTCAACTGCCATCGCTTCTCGATTCTGATCAAATCTCATCCTTCGCTTTTGAACATTACAAATGCATTGGAAGTGCTGTTGGGGAAGAAACGCAAACAATCTGTGACCTGGTCCTCCGTAAATTCACACAAGAAATGACGACCGCAACTACAAAGCTCTCTTTTTTGGCAGAATTCAACTCGGTTTCCGTGGGAAAAATCTGCGATTTTATCGAGGTACAATTTTCACGCATTTTTCAAATATTTTTGATGAAAACCCAGAGATCGCTTAACTGGAAACTAGCTCAATTACTTTTGAAGCACTAAGTTAATATCTTGGAATTAGTCTCATCTTTTTCCTAAAAATGGGCGCTCCTTTTCTGTGAGATGAGCTTTGAGATTTTTTTGAACCTATGCAAATCAAAACTCTGAGGAAAAAAAACTAAAAAAAATATTGGATGCAAAAGTAAAATGAGCTTTTTTTCTGAACAGTTTTATTTCTGCTCATTTCAGACATGGCTTTCTTGCTCTATCGCTCCCTATTTCAATATCTGTCTTCACGATTGCGATGAGGACTGGAAAACACATTTTTTGGCAGCGTGTTACCAAAGGAGACTATCTCACAATAACTTGGAATTCCCTTCCTTAAAAAATGAGACGGCTCATATCAAAGTCAGCTTCTCCATGGTTTGTAAACGAAAGAAGGATAATGGGAATGTGTTCCTTTTGCAGGAAACAAAAATGTGTTGCTTCTGGCCAATTTTCGATGTCCCTGCACGTGCAATGGGTCAAAATTCTTGTTATTCTCGATACTATCGCGATTTTTAACTTCATATGGATAATCATTTTTTTCATCTCGACTGTTAGCTTTATTTTTTTATTCATTTATCACCAACCATGCTTAACCACTTTTTGCCTCTCACGACGGCTCTCATGACGGCTAGCCTAAACCTTTAGGTTTTCATTTCATTATCTCTATCGCTCACATATTAGGAAGTTCACCGGGTAATAGTAATACTTGTTCATTTTTCTTTTTATCACAGGGTTTTGTTGATTTATCTGAAATATGTAACAGATAAAAACATTTGAAAACAAGAATGGTTATGTTGGAGAAATGTATTTAGTCAAAGATCCGATTCTTCTCATCAGATCGACATTTAGAGACGGCCAATTGAAAAATGTGATCGCATTGATTTTGAAGATTGAATAAAATTTGTTTTATTAACTAACCCGCAACAAAAAGTGTACTTATTCTGAAAATGCGAGAAATGCGTGATTGTGGGATACAAAAACTTCAACAAGCGTTCAAAATTATGTGACAAGAAAAATTATGTACAAAACCCTGTGAGACCAAGCGCGTGTCCACAAAAAAAAAGAAGCTTATCACAAAAAAAACAAACAAGCAGAAAAAGTAACCGTATCAATTATTGCAATTTGATTGCGTTGGTCAAATTACTCTGAAAAAAAAAACGAAAATTGACAAGCAAAAAAGAAAGAAATGGTAGGAAACTGGATCTAGGACCGGGTTTCTTTTTGAAAAAGTTGAAAATGAAAAAATGACAATGGCGCGGATGGGCAGGCAACAACGGTGAAAAACAAGGAGACTTGAAAATTCAGAGAAAAAAGTTCGAGTCGATTGCTTTTTGGGGGGAGTGATTGGAAGGGTAGAAACTTCGAAGAGCCAATCAAAGAAGGTTGCGATGAACGTCATTCCGAACGTAGGTGTAATCGTCGGTTTCTCCAAACTGAGCTGGAAGGCGAACAATTCGGTAGTTGTTCTCGTTTTGAGTAGGAATCGAGGGATCACTGAAAAGTGGCTGTTCTTGGTAAATATGTTTATGAGTTTTTTTTAGCTCCGTCCAGATTGAATATTCAGACCACTTTTCCTGGTAAGGAAAAAGTTTCAGTCAATTTTTTTTTAAAGTCACACAGTTCTTTGAAGGGTATAAAAGATTTTTGAGACCTACAAGTGTATTTGCTTTCTAGGAGTGTAGTCACTGGCAGCGGAAGGTGGTGGCATCTTAGGAGGAGACGGCGGGTAGAACTGAGGAGGCTCAGGCTTGTAGTCAACACAGTTCGTTGAACTTTGCTGTGATGAGCCTAAGACCGAGTTTTCTTCTTTTTTTTTGTTTCAAAACTACCGACATACCTTTGAAAGGAGTGTTGGATTGGATTTTCTTGCAACAGTAGCATACTGCTGCTATTCCGCAGCAACAAGATAAAATGACGATGGCTGAGAGAAGAAGGACGACTAGTCCGCTGACTGATGTTAAAGGATCCAGGCTCACGTCTGCAATCGTTTTTTTTTTTTTTTTGAAATAACCGATGAATTTCCAAAGTTTCATTCAACGATCGACAATCCTTACTCAGACAATTGGCTTCCAGCTGACGAGAATGAACCAAGTCAGCGCCGTTTGCGCAATCGGGGTACTTGTCACAAGCCAGTTCTAAGGGTATGCATTCGTCATTCCCGCAGGAGAACTCCTTATCGGGCTGGCACGTTCCTGCAATTGTCGGTTGGATGCGTCGCAAGATTGATGCTCTTTTTAAGGGAAATACGCCCAGTTGCAGTTGTGTTTCTACACCAAATCTTCATTTTTATGAGAAATTATTTTTTGTTGAACGATACTAGTTTTGTCGCCTGTTTCTATAACATCAGGTTGAGTTTGAGGAAATGTTCAATATTGCTTTTGTGAGTGTGAGGTGAAACTATTTTTAAAAACCAAGGTAAGAAAAATTTTATCTGGCTCCCCTAATTGTAAAGGAACCTCGTCAAAATGTGCAAAAAAAGAACGTGCTAGATTCAAAAAAATATTGAAAAACAAATGTGCAGAAAGATTCGAAAAAAAGGTTAATCATTAAAAATATGAGAACGTTTTTTTGGCATTTTGAAAAACTATTTTTTTTATTTTTTTAGCAACCTTTATGAGGTTTGAAAAATATTTGAAGGTTTGACTCTCTCAACCAGTCTAAAACCAGTCAAGCTGGTCTAAAAAAGTCTTTTCCAATTTGAATCATTTCATTCTTTTTCATACGGAAGATCTGCAAAAGTTGTTTTCAAACTCAACGTTTCAGGAAAGTTAAACTTTTCACCTGTTTTAGCGGCTCGGAAGGCATTCCAATGTAGTTTGAAGCCTTTCGAGGGATTTCCGGCATTTTCAGCATTGGCGTGCCACCACAATGTCATCGCATTGTTGGTGCTTGCGTTGAGCACGCGATTTGGAAGATGTCCGCAAAATTGGCCTGTAATCACACTTTCTTTCTCTTGCTCTCAGGGCAATAATTACCGATGATTGGTCCTGGAGAAGTGATGTCATCAATTCTTGGAGGAGCAAAGCTTTCCGGATCTACCATTGTTTCGTGCTAAACAAAAAATTCCTTTTTTTCGAGAAAAACATTCAAAAAAACAAAAAAAAGATCACTGAAAAGTAGCCGACCGAAAATGTGTATAAACTCAACAGCCTGATTTTTCAGTCAACAGTTTTTGAAAATTTAGGACTTGATACTCCGGAAGTAAAAGACAAATCTGCTATGTTCCTCACCCCCCCCCCCCCACGCCAGATATTTCCCTCGTCAGTTTATTTTCACAATGAAACGTTTCAAACAGTTTGAACCGTTTCTCATTCCAACCACTTTGTGGGAAACTCACATCGAAAACATGAAGAGTGTCTTTTTCGCAGGTGGCTGAAGTATTGGTGGGGACGTCAAAAAGAAGTGCTCTGACGCGAACGCGGTAGCCGATGGGCGCCACTAACATGAGAACGCAGTTTCGACTGGCATTGTAAGCTTCTTTCCCGTATTTCGAATGCGAGTACAAGATTCCAGAGAACCCTAAAATTTTCCTTTTTTTCTCAGAAGGAATGGAATATTTCAAAACAAAGCAACTTCAAAATTTGCAATAAATATCAGTAATTTTAAATCGAGCATTTGGTTTTTTTTTTGAACTTTATTTTTTTTTTTGTTTTCAGGGAAAAAAATAGAGTAAGCCAAAATAAGCCTGGCTATTCTCTCCTTATGAACCTTCATCATCGCATTCAAAAGAAGTTTTTGAACTTAAGACCCTTGATAATCGAGGAAATTTGTAAATTAATTCTTGCTGTTACTTATTAAAACCGAAAAAAAGCCGGAAAAATAAATTCAAAAAAAGATTATTTTTTTGTTCAGTTATCAAAAAAAGTTTTCTATTTATAAGTCAGAAGCCTAATGTTCAAACCTGAAGTCTCCAAAAAAGATATGATAATGTAAACTTTGAAAAGCCGATCGCTCACTCGAGTTTTTATTAGTGTTTAAAAAAGCGAAAATCTTAAGATACTTCTTTATTTCAAAGACTTCCGATAGGAGAGCCCTCAAAAAATCTGCGGAACGAAAATCTGTTGCAACATCTTTCTCTTCTCTTAAAAAAGTGGTTGTACCAATGCTTGGCTGGCTGTCACTTTTTTTAATGGATCTTCGGAACAGCCGATTCATCTTGTGGGAGAAAAAGTGCACACCTGTGATTCGTCGGTCAAGTCGCGCCTTGCACTCGTTGCGACTGTCGAGCCCGTCAAAAAAACCTGCAACTCTCGTGATGAAATTAACAATACTAATAAACATCCTACTCGAAAGAGGCTCTGCAGGTATGAGCATGACGAGTTGCGTTAAAATCATCGTCATCAACTGTAGCCATATTTGAAAAGCCTTCATTACCTGAAAGTTTGGAATTTCATCCATAAAAATGGTTCACCCGAAAGTTCAAACAATGGAATGGAGCAACAAAAAAGATATTTGAAATATTATCGAGAAGAACAGAAATCTTTGCTAAAAAAAAGAATTGAAGAGCTCGTAAAAACATCATATCAACATCTATCTTATCAGACAAGAGGTATGATTAATTAATCGCAAAACCGACTGAAGTGAGAAAGACTTATGAAAAATACAGCTTTTTCTATCTACTCAGCAACGTCATTGAATTCAAAGTTATGTCATTTTTTATTTGGGAAGTTTCAAAAAACGTTGCAAAGTTTCAAATTCCAAAGTTTCAAAAAACGTTGCAAAGTTTCAAATTCCAAACTATAAAAATGATTCGGAAATTCACGAGTCACACGTCATAATCACTTTTTTTGACATGATCTTCTGCTAATTTTTGCCTTTGCACTTCTACCACAAATATTATCATAAAGACGGCATAATCGGACAAAACCTGGACAGCTGGATCGCGAAAAATAGAAGTACAACAATGAAAAAGGTATAGCAAACAAGGGTACCACCAAACACGGAGTTTTTTTTTGATTGGCCGCGCTTCGCCGACACGGTAATAATAAACCATATTTGATAGGCGCGAATGAATTTATTGGGTGAACGGAGCAGCGATAAGCCATACGTGGCAGGTTCAGGCCGCTTATTATCGCTGATATTGAAGACGCTCCAGCTGATAACAATGCTGCATATCTCAAAACTCACAATAAACAGCTGGAACAGGTTTTTTTCGATAATTTAGGAAACTGTTTAAAAAAAGAAAGTATAAAGTTGTCCGGTTAAAAACTGAATGAAACTCACCGAGAAATATTTCAAAAAAAAAAACACTGATTTCAAATAGGTTGAAAAAAGATGACATCTTTTTTAGTGAGATCAAAACGCCTCGAAGTTTTTACTATGCCATTGCAATGGAAAAAGGGCGTCTTTAAGGATCGTAACTCTACTGAAGGCAAACACGCAGTTTTTCCAGTTGACTTGAAATCGGGGTTGTAAAGGACCTCTCAACAAATTTACACCAAATTCCCACCCGTATACCTTCCCCGACTCCCATGATATTTGAATTTCGGAATGTTTTATGATGCTTTCGCAGATAACGTTCGGAATAATTCATTCAAAAAAAAAGTAGCAAATAAATCCGACCTCTTTTCTCTCTAGAATATTGCAACAAGTTCACCTGGATTTTTTTTGTAGTTTTCGAAAAAAGAAAGAGAAAAATAATGAAGTCAGGGCAAAATCAAAACGGCTAAATTTTTCTTTGTGAAAACTCACTGATGGTAAGCAATTCAACGATTTTTTGCAGGCTTCAATAATGTGAAAACTCTGATTTAAAAATAATACTTTTTGGCTTGATCAAGCGAGGAGAGTGTGTTCCCGAGGCAACTCGTTGTAATAAGCTTTTATTTTAAAGATAGGTTTAAATAGAGCAAGAGCAATTATTGAAAAGGTAAGTTAAATTAACCGATTTCTAAGTTAAGGAAAAAGAAGACATAACTCAGAGCGGCACCTACTAAACATGTAGTCGGGGATTTATGGTTGGGCGGACGCGAGCGGCTGGCTGCGGTCGCACGCCCCTCGGTCCTGCGACCGCCCAGTTGCTCTCTCGTTGGTTATGGTAATGCTTGAAAGAGCATTCCGTTTGATGCAAATCGAAAAGTAATGTGGAGAAACAAAGAATGAATTGTCAAAAAAATGAAAAAAACATTTAAAAAGTTTTGATGAAAAATCCTATTATTTTATGAGTTTTATCTAAGTATCTCTAAGAATCAAAAAAATAAGTAAAAATGTCATTTTGAAAAATGAAAACTCGATTAATTTCTCTGTGGTTTTGTTTTTGGTAGAAACCGTAGAAGGTTTTTTTCTTTAAACTTTCAATGGAAACTTTCTTTTTCTTAATTTTGCTAGCAGAAAAAAATTATGATTACTTACAGGAAGAATCAGATGAGATAACAACGAATTTCAGAAAAAGCGATAGGAAATGGAGAGATTATCAAGGCAAATAACGGTTTTTGATGTTTTTTTCAATGGCGATTTCCCTTTTTTTGGATGAGGAATGAAAAATAATGAATTTAGAATCTACAAAATGCTCTTTTAACATTATTACATTGTTAGGTCTTTTTTCGGAAAACAAAAACGAAAATTAATTCATTATTTTTGAAAGTAATCTTATTCTTATTGTCACTCTGACCCTCAAGATATTATCCGAGCATTCTCAATATGCAAATTTTCAAAATTATACTTTATGGTCTTCTTGAATAGGATTTGACAGGTCGAAGAGTGACTAGAGCTGTGCCAAGGCCGCTTGAGCGTCTTAAGCTGACAGCTTGAGGGTCACGCATGATACAGATCCATCGGTCACGCGCCAGTCAGTTTAGATCAAAAGACGCCGAGTCTGCGTCTCAGCCGGCTTTGCCCTATCTTTACCTCATTATTCCATCAAACCACTATGAAATTGAAGTGCCTTTATTGAAACTATGGGAAAAGATAACATTTCGAAAAACTGAAATATTTTTCTTGGTCGATGATCTTGTTGCGCTTTGATAAGCTCTACTCATTCCACTGGAAATCTAACAAAAACAAGCGACGAACCAGTTCGGAAATCTAATTCTTGCCTATAAATTAGCTACTTTTTCAAGAAAAACTTTAACAAAAGTTTTATTAAAGTAACGGTGAACAAACTTTTCTTGTCTTCATAAGAAAATAATGATAGCTTTTGAAAAATCCCAAATTTACGAATGATAATATAATTTTCCAGTAGAGAAAAAAGCTTTGAAATTATTGTGCAGAAAAAGTTCAAGGGTAAAACTTTTTCATTAAAATTGTCTTTGTCTGCCAATTTAAATATTTCGAAAGTGTATTTTGGAATGAAATTTCAATTTAAAACAGCTTTTAAAAAGAAAAAAATACGCGTCAGAAAGCTTTGAAACAAAATTCTTTCAAAGCCAACTGATCGTTCAATTAATGCTTGAAGTGACCGGAAGCTGGCCTGAATTAGCAATAAATCTGTAACGATTTGTACAACAAACGGCGATAATTCATGCAATAATGTCAAATGTTGCGTTGCGGAGGGACATTTTTCAAGAAAACGAGCTGAAAACGGTCTTGTAATGCGCGCGGCAGTGCATCCGAGTGATTGATGATGGAGGATGAGACAGCGGCGAAGATGTATTGCCGAGGCAGTGGGGAGCACCCTCAGCCCTCGGAAACATCTTTCCAACAATATCAACCTTCAACCACTCTCTGTTCAACTTTCCCGATTCTCTGAAAATCGTTTCGTGAAAAAGCGGACAAGCAGTTTGGAACAAATTCCAGGCGTTGAAATGACTAAGAATTCAGTTTCTTGAGACCATACAGTAAGAAAAAGAAGAAAATAGTGTAATTTTTTGACTCAAGATAGTTGATGAAATTTCAATCAATTTATCGATTATTGGAAGCTTGAACTTGCACTTCCTAAAGAAGAAATTCAATTCAAACTACAAAAGCTGATTGAAACGAATGAAAATCGTTGACCTGACACATTTTTCCCACAAAAAAGCTTCAAACGTCTCAGGAATTTTTCATTATTTAGACACGCTGTCAAATACTTTCCAGAGTTTTTGAAATCAATTCCATTGATTCTATGGAACATCCCCCTTAAAAAAGATTTCTCTGAAAACTCAACCTAGCGGTGAACCAAATTTGTAGAGAAAATTACGGGGAAACCGAATCCTGAGTCAACCATCTTTTAAATTTGAGGTTCAAAGTATTTTGCTAGGAGTTGAATGATGGATGAAGCTCCTCCAACATGCTAGTCTCAATGACTGTAGTCATAAAGGACTGACAGTTGGCTATTCGCCGTTTGTAAAAGTGCGTCTCCTCCTCGGCGGGGCAGCTGTGGCACCACGAAGATCGTGTTGTTTTTCGAGACCACTTTTTGCTCCGCAGACGCGCGTCGAAAAGCAACCGTTCCATCATTCCGAGGATCAGCTATAACTCCCTCGCTATCAGTTTCTCCTTCGTTTTGTAACATTTCTTCGCGAAGTAAACCTCGATGCTAGGGGAGATCGTGAAGTAAGTCACAAGCCAGGAATAATCCAACGCTTTTTTTTCTGAATATTTTCAAAAGGGAACAGGAATGAGTCCGTAAAAAATGATATGGTGGTTAAAACTGAAATTGAATACTTAAAAGCAGAAAGTACGTTTTTGTTTAAGAAAATTTCTTGAATGCATAGTGGGAATTTTTTCCGAATTTTTAAATAGTTAGTTTCAAATAAGTGCAATAAAAATGTTTTTTCAGAGCCCCAAGGTATCAAGGAAAAAGAAAACTGAAAAATGCAAGAAAAATCAGAACAACTTTTAATCCGATACTTCACATCAATAAACTACAAGTGGGATCTGATTTTGGCAAATTTCCGATAAACTCAGAACTACTTATCAGGGATACAAATCAGATTACCACCGACTGGAACAATAAAAAATTCCAGATTTTTTTCAATTCAAAGTCTCATCCAAGACTACAAAACGCTGCAAATTTTTTCTTGATAAATTTCGGCCGGTACTGTAGTTGCGACGGATGGCGCAAGATGAGCCGCTTGTTCATTACAAATGAGTCGAGAGTCCTTTCGTCCCCTCGTTAATCACCGACCGACTTATTCGTTGCGCAACGATCCACGTGCGACATCCCCGCAGTTCCGACCCGATTATTGAGCAGATAGGCTTGTCGATGATTGCAACCAGTGTAACTTGGAGATCGCTACTAACATGGATTTGACAATTGAGTTTTATGAGAAAATAGAAATTCGGAAATTAGTAAGTCCGATGATATTCCTACAGAAGTACTGGACTGTGTTCTATAAATTATAGAGTTATAAGTTGTTCGAAAAGCTGAAACGTGTTTGGAAACTCAAATTCGGTTCAAAAATATGTCAAAACTTTTTTTCAAATTGTGTTCTTGGGAATATAGTTCGATTTCATGACAAAAAATAACGAGTGGAAATTCGGAGAATGAAATGACCAACTTGAAAACACTATGATTTAATAGGGCGGAGATGAAAAACGACCCCGAAAACACAGCGGGAGATCATTGAGGACTCGATTTTAGAAATTTTCTTTTTTGTTAGATGCAAAGACCCATTTTGGTACATGGAAGCAAAGATATTTAGTTAATTATTTGTTAAATGAATTTTTTTATACATGAGCTACTAAAAAAACTGAAAAAAATTACGAAGCTTTTGCGCTCAGAAATAAAAATTGATAATCTTAATAAAAATAGAGGTAGAATTAGACCTCATTCACAAAGAAGAAAAGAAACGTGGAAAACCCGAAGATCATAAATAAAGTCATTCCTATCGGAATATCTAAAAATGCTCTAAAAAATTTTTTTTGACGTTTTGAGAACGTCTTCCCACAATGACGAGAAAATAATTTTTTTTGTGGTTCTTATGTTTAAAAATAAAAGAATATCCGTTGGCAATTAAAAAAGTTTTTTCGATTAGTAAAAATTCTGAGCCATCTGTGGGATGGACTTTCTTTTGAAAGAATTCAAGCGCTTTTTAGATACCAACCTTGGATAGAGAGAAAACAGAATCTGGAGAACCCTCAAAAGTCTCGCTGTACAATATTCGAAATTTCGATAAAACTTGACGGTTTGGAATGGAGAAAGAACAGGAAAAGGAGAGATAAAGCAAACGGGAGAAGTTGACTCTATCTACATATGTTGACGGTTGGGCACAAGGCAGAAGGAGCAAAGCCCTTGGGGCCTCGAGGCTCATAACCATCGATCCCGAAGCCTTCGCGGTCTGTCAATCACGTACTCGCCATCCGTGGCATCCAGTCGGCCTTGTGCTTTTTCCAGCTTGAGCTGGTCTTCATACTTTTCAAGCTTGAGCAGGTCTTCAATTCTCAAAAATGTTTGTTTTGTTATGGAGAATGAAAAGAACCTTTGCAAAAAAAGAACTTTTAGCTTTCTGATCTTCAGATCAAGAAGTTGATTTCAAATTTTGCGCTATCGTGTTATGCGCTTCAAAAATCAGTTCTCATACTCTTAGGATGAAAGGATTTTGAAGTTCTCAAAGAAACCAAACTCTTCTAAACTTTGGAAACAGCATAAATTAGACGTACTGGTAACAAAGAGATCTGAAGGATGTTTTTGCCGAATCGTATCAAAACCAGGCCAACATTTTCATTCTCTCATTAGCTTTTTCTAGAACTATTTATTTTTCAGCTTGAGAGGTAATTGAATTTAAAAAAACCCGGAAAAACCGTACAGTAGTAAACTTTTAATCTTGAGAGCTCGGAAAAGAAAGATTTTTTTAGCAAATAATAACATTTTTTTCAATTTCTCTGATTTTCGATATGCGGAACAAAAAAACATATCTAATTATCAATTTTCATCATCACAAAAAAATTGAACAAAACACAAAGATCACAAAGAAGAGAAAAAAGGTTACGACGGATACGAAAGTAGCTAGGGAAGTACTATTTCAAGCGTAATCTTAAACCCATCGATAGAAAAGATCAATTTCTTGGTTGGAATTGTGGTGACCGACAAAGACGTGGCGATCTCAGAATAGCAATATCAAAAGAACGTGGAAAACAACAACAATACCCTGGTTGAATGCTTCAGTAAGGGCTCTATTCAAAGATTGGAAGTCACTACACTATTAGGCACTAGACCAACACTAACAGGAAACACAAAGAAGTTCAAAAACGATCGACAAGTGGAAACAATTGTTACAAGTCGAAGCACACCGTACAAACGATGTATCACGTCATTACCACAGCGGATTATGTATAGGTATGTATAAGAGAAAAACAAAGAGCAAAAAGAAAAACGAATCAAACTGAGTTTCCATCAAATAGAGACGTTTGTACTTTGTTAAGGAATGTCAAAACAGGAGAATTCAACTAGCGCGTCATGAAGGTAATAATCACAGAAATCCAAAAGACTGGGTGTGGAAGAGTTTCTCAGAGGATTAGTTGGCAAGCAGAGGCCCGGTCGTCTGATGGATCTCGGTGCACTTGGAGTGATCCGCGAAGATGGTGTGGGTCGTGAACATGTACTTCTCGCCGCAATCCAATCCGCACAAGGAGCAGCGCCACGGATTCTTCTCACTGTGCAGTCCCTTGTGCAACAAGTACATCGTGTTGTCGAAAAAGACGATTCCGCAGTGAGAGCACTCCTTAAATAAAAAAATGAGCAATTCTTGTTACAAAGTTCAAACGAAACTTTCTGCAGAAGTTCTCTGGAATTTTCAATTTTTGAACTAACAATTACGAGAAAATGAAAAGCTGAATATGACATGAGACCAATTGAACGTTCGAAAATAGAGATAGTGAATGCCACTATGAAGTCAAAAAAGATTCATAAAACGCCATATTGAATTCTGAAACATTTCATATCTCAAAACGTGTTGAAAAATCCAAAAATTACAGAAGTTCAATTATCAGAAGGTCTCTGTGAACAAAATCTTTTCCATTCAACCTGACTTTCACCTGAACTTTTGCTATATGTATTAAGCAAGAGTTCCCTTGTCACAAGAAATCCTCTTTTTGGGTACGAAAAAAGAGAAGATTTTGCGTCACTACGGTTCACACCCGTGAAATTTAATTTTTTTTTTCAGAGATAGATCTTCGAAAAAAAAGCTTTATTTGTTTAATCCCTGACTGGAGAAGTTCAAATCGCAACTTTCTACTTTTTTCGAACAAAGGAAGATTTCTCAACTTCTTCGTTTTCATTACATTGTCTCATTGTGGCAGCGCCGCTTTTCAAATCGCTCAGTGCAAAGTTTTTTTCAGTTCTTCGCGGCTTTGTCTTTTCCGGCGCAAAATCTAAACAACCGAACCTTTCCGTCAGTAGGAGCTGGAGGAGATGGTGCTTTGTTCTCCTCGGAAATCAAACTTGCGCGGCTTGTGCTTTCATTCGAAGGAGAGAACGACACGTTGATTGGACTTGTCGCGCTTGCTGATCCACAGCTCATCGCAGAGCTGGCTTCTGGCCAAATCGGCGTGTTTGGCTCTGGCTCTGCAGAGGCAGCTTTGGAGACCTGAAAGTTTTTTGAGATAGAGAAAAAGTTCTGAATAGAAAATTACCGTTGGAGAAGCGCTGGCGGATGACTTGGTCGGCTCTGTGTGCATGGCAGCTCCAGTCAGACACATCATGAGCAAGTCTTGACTAGTTATCGGATAGTTGGTTGTTTGAAACTGAAAAAAGGGGATACTAAAAGAAAAAAAAAGAAAAAGAAAAAGTTTTGATGCAAAGTTAAATTACTAGAGCTTGCAAAAAGTTCACATTCAACATTCTTATTTAATAAATTTTTTTCCTTGCTAAGTGTAATTTCTGTCTGTGTGGGTCATTCTTTTTCATAATCTTTGAATTTTCGGTGAGCTTGCTCAAATATTTTCATTAGAGGTAGTCTTAAAGATTTCAACCTGCAAAACTTTCCAACTTTCAAAAAGAGAATTTTTTCAGAAAGATCCAAAAAGCGGATTGTAATAATTTTTTTTTTCTTGCGCATTGTTAGTTTGTTAGTTGCTGTGATGTACTGCTATCATGAGCTCACCTGCTCTTCGTACTCCGGACTGGAAGAATTGTCGGAAGAGTCAGTGTTGGGCGGACTGAGCTCTTTCTTAGTGATTTGCTGCAGCTGCTCAGAAAGGATCGGCTGCGGAGAATGAACGGCTACTGGAGCTCCAGTGTTGAGTCGGCGTCTTTTCGCACTCGGCTCCTTCTTCGCGGACGGGGAAAGTGCGGCTCCCTGAAGTCTTTCTTGATATTTTCTAGCAACGGGTGTTAATTGCTTTGTTTGGCTTTGAAATTTGCATGAATGGCTTGTTATTTTCATTGGGAACGCGTCTACAATTCTATACGAGTTTCTTATAACCAGACACATTTGTACAGTTGTCTCTTTTAATTTCGAATTTTCAGGCACATTTTCAAGTTGATCTACTACGCAATGATGTTGAGATTACGTTCCCTTTCCGAGTACTTTACTTAAGTTTGAACCCGTATTGTGAAAATTTGTCTAATCTGATTTCTTGGTAGATTTCTGCAGCTCCCTATTATCAATGTTGAATCATTAAATTTTGCTCAAAATATGTTTATGAATATAGGGACTCCTAGTCCGTGGAATGATTATTTCCGAAAAAAACAAGGAAAAGCCAATTAAGGACGGTCCTCTTGTTTTCGAGCAGTCGCTAATGGCAACAATGAGACCGAAAGATGTTATCACCTCGCTCTCGTCATGTCTTGTCTGATAGTGGAGAAGCAGGCGCCTGGCATTGGCGAAAAGCAGCGAACAGCGTTTGCAGGAAGCTTGCGAGCTTGGCGTGATGTTGTGCTTCTCATCGAGATGCGACCTGAAAATTTCGAAGTTGAAAACGGAAGATTGAATCTTGATTTTATCAAAATCTTCTCTCGGAGTATTCTGAGGATTTCGTCGAGATTTTGAAGTTTTGAAGCCTACTCTCAGCCATTATCCTATCTGATCTTGTTTGAGTGCTCATCATTGAGCTGAATCCGGAAAAAGGTCAAATATTAGACTACTGGTTTGAAACACTGCTCTACCAAATGGCCCAACTCGAAAAATCATTATTTCGCATCCTCCGAAATCGAAACATTCAAATGAATTTCAATTTATTCACCGAAGCATGGCATGTTGACAGAACTGCATCTCACAGTTAGCCACAGGACAATCGAAGCCAAATCCTGTCTTGATGTGCGTCATCGAATGCTCTTGCATCTGAAATAGTTTTTTGTTAATTTCAATTTTTTGGCTCTTCTTCTTTCACCATTTTCAGGGAACTTCAAAGAAAGAGAAAACGCGGAAATTCGAAAAAAAAAATCGCGCACTTCAGTTTAACAATTTCTTCTCCCCCGTTTCAGAATCACGTGAAAGATGATTTTTTCAGAGTTGCGAGATGGTCTTCTTTCAGATTACAGTAGAGAAAAACAGAACTTCTTCGAAAAAAATGAGAAATCTTCAGGGTTGGTGTTGAAATATTCAATTGATATATTTTTTTTGAATTTCAAAAAACTTTCAATTTTAAAGAAAGAATTTATCGGTTGATCGAATTCAATAATTTCCTCAAATTTCGCTGGAAAATTTCTCTACCTAAGTCATATGAAAAATTCTGTAAACTTAAAAAAATGTTTGACTTGTTAAAAAAAGTAAAAAAAGCTGATCTAAGTATCATATTCATAGCTAAATGTTTAATTTTCCCCTTTGTGAGCTTTTACTTTTGCTTTTTGTGTGATACATTTCTTTCCGTCCCTTTTTCATCTTCTGAAACCGAGTTCAAAATCGCCTTCATCGCCACCGGCTGAAGAAGGAAACGAGACAGGCGTAAGACAAATTTTTTTTTTCGGAAAACCTGGGGGTGATGGGAGAAAAAGAAAGCGACGGCGGCAGCGCCAATGGCGTCTCCGAAGTCCTGTTCTTCTTTATGAGCGTGCTTCGCTTAGCGTCAAGGTCTTCCTTGCGCAATCTGGGAGCGACTCCTAGGGTGATTCCGGCGTCGCGACCTTGCTTCCCAGAGAAAAAAACATCACGCGGCTGCCAGGAGGCGCAGGCGCAAACGAAACTATGTGCTGCTCCTGGAAGACCGTTTTGCGATGGATACGGCGCGCACACATTTCGTCCTGTTCCAACTTGACCTTGGACCCGCGCAAGCATTTAGCTGCCGTCTCGTTTTCTTTCATTTCCCTTTCTTTGCGCCTTTCACACCATTGGCAACAAAAACTTCTTTAACGGAACATGCATAAATTGGCGCCAAAACTGAGAGAGTCGCTAGAACTGAAATTTCAAAAATCTACCTGATCTTTGCGGAAGAAACGCTTCTTGCAGAAACGACATTCGTATGGTTTGACACCGCTATGACGCATCCTATGTCGATGCATGTTGGCCTAAAAACTGAGCCTTGAAAACTCTCAGATTTTTTCTTTAGGACCTTCTGGCTGAACTGCATCTGACAAATGTCGCACTGGTACATCTGACCTTGATGACGCTCGTGGGCTTCCTGAAACCGACATCATCAAAATATTGATCGTTGATGGATGACACGAATAGTCAGTGTTTTCCCAACTCGAGAATCCCAAATTTACCGTCTCCGTGAAATCAAGTGACTTGTTTACTTTATGGCGAGGCGTCTCAATATTGTTGTGTCCATATTCTGATGAGGGATTTTGGACAAACGAGAGAGTGCCGGAACGCTGGTCAGAAGCTCTTTAAACAATACTGGCGGAGAGGCTCGTGAAGAAAGGGAGGGTAAGACACGGTCAAAAGAGAGTTGGCATACAAAAGACCCTTGGAAGCTGCCGAAGACTTTGGCAAACGATCTTATACGAGAATTTCCAATTTTTTCCAAATAAAATAAATTTTATTTACCAAGTGGCTTTTCATGTGTTGCGACATGCATGTAGTGAAGTTACAAAACGGGCAAGTGTGAGTCCTTTTTGCACTTTTGGCCGATGGCGTACTTTCCGGAGAAGAGAAAGAAGCTGAAAAACACTTTCAATTTTGATCGACTTTCCAGAAATTAACATTTGATGACAGTAGAAACTTCTGCGTCTTCGTCAATTTTCGGCGGAGACGGAGTTTTCGGGAAATCTTTGGCGTCTTCTGCCGAAATTGGAGAATATGGAGGGGAAGGCGACGGCGATTGATCTTCCCAACGCTTCTAAAAAATGAATTTTTCACACAACTTTTTCAAATTAAATTATAAGTAAAAATGGCTGCTTGAAGCGTCCCTTTGGGGTTTGCTACGCAAGTTTTTTTCTAATCAATTTACTTTTGTTCATTTTAAACCAAGTGAAATTCACCTCTTCTGTTGCCTCTTTCACGTCATTGTTCATCTCACACTCGTGTTGTTCTGAGAATCATACGGTTTGAAAAAAGAAGAATGCAATTTTTCATACCAATATGAGAAGTGAACTCGAAGAAGTTGGTGGTTGTGAAGCCGCACTGAGCACACGCGTTCAGCTCCATCGCGTACTGCTCTGCAAAAAGCTGTCTTAGCAAGTTATATACAAAATGGAAAAAAGATTATTATGCGACTGATTGAAATTAGGCGCATAACAATTTATCCCAGGGCGAAATCAGCGGAAAAAACACAATGAGACGAGGTTCGGAGGATGCGTCGTGTTTACGGATGGCATAGCGGAAATGTACAGCGGGGGCTACTGTAACCGGCTGCCAGAACTCTTACCAGTCACTGGATAGATTTAGGTAAGCCTTTTTGGCGTGACGGATCAACTCTAACTGTGCCGAAATCTATCGGGAAACGATTAAAAACAGACGATTTTGTTAATATTTCAGTACAAGTTTGAGTTAAATAAAGAAAAATGTTTTAAAAGCTATAAAACCGGAGTGGCAGAATGAAGTTGTTCCGAAAATTCACTGGATGTTGGAAAGATCTGGAAAGGAAAAAAAGAGGAGTGACTGGATTGTATTCAAATTTCGAATGCCAGGTCCAACCTTCTTCGTTGTCCCCATCCATTCTATTCAGACCGCGCACAAACAATGGAGGACTATCCAACAATGTGATAGAAGCAAAGGGTGACGAAATTCAGAATGAACAGGGAGGATGCGGCTTTCGTGGAAAATATCGGGCAATTAGACGGTGATAAGAGGTAGTAGTTGCCGGCCTAAATTGATGGTTTCGCTCTGGATGACAACTCGTGGTGCCTTGAGCACATAACGCCAATTGTGCGTGTCGAGAAGTCGCAGTTTTTCTTTCATGGATGCTCTCAGACTGGTATTCATTATTTTCGAGTTGTATTTTTTGGATTGCGAAAGGTGAACAGAAATGAAGTTATGAATATAACATAGAGAAAAGAAAAATAAGATGATGGGACAGACAAAGTGACTTCAGGACCATGCGATGCTCGGGAAATGGTCCAAAAGGACTGAAAAGCCGGGTATCGGGATGAATGAAGGATGCGAAGGAACGTCAAGAGTAAGAGACAAGGTAAGTATGCGTGGTGGTAAGAAGAGTCGACCGATGGGACGAAGTGTTGACTGAGAAAGGTCCACGCTTTGAGTGACCCCGAGCGAGGCTATTTGCCTACCGCGCAAGGTTTCCGGGTTCGGCCAAACATCGGTAAGCCGTCGCCTGGATAGACCTCGACAGCCTGTGGGAGTGCCGGTCTTCTTTCCTTCTTGGCTCCAAATCGCTGCTCCATATATGATATATGGGGCTCCTAGAGTTCAGAACTCCACAGACTCTTCCGTATGACTATCTTAACGCAAAGTGAAGCAAATTCTGAATGATAGTGCTTGTGGATTCCTAGCTGATATTTTCGATTCGCAATTTTCGTCAACTCGTGACAAATCAATTAGACATTACAGTAGCGAAAAATATTTCTAGGATTAAAAGATGAGAAAAGAAAAAAAATCTAAGAGCTTAATGAGCTCGGCAAGTTATGATTTTGCATCTCCTCGCTCACCTTTCTTAGAAAAACCTCAGGAAAGAGCAGCACGGCCCGCCTTTTTGGGCGTGATTTGACCGCTTCGAGGCGAGTTTGGTTTCCAGCTAGAAACTACAACTCAAAATTGAATGTTAAAATAGTTGAAGAAACTCTGTAAGTTGGTAATTCTAGGCAACTCAGCATAGTTCAGTCACATGAAAAAGTTTTTAGAAAAGCTCAGATGGTTGCACGTGTAGGGCTGAGAAAGAAGTCTTCGCTGAGAGTTTTTTCCGATCCGATTTGTATAGATAATTACTTCGAGAGTATACTCGAACAAGTGTGAGACGTGTGACTAGTTGTCTTGCGGATATAGCCAGCGATCTGGCGGTAGCCAGTAAAAAAAGCTATTTATTACAGCTTGAATATATTCAGGAAAACACGGTAAATAACAAGTGTGGAAAAAACGTAGCCGGCCAGTAACTAGGTTGTGGATCGTCATTTGTTTACGAAAAATGGTCGCCCTAGGGCAACATAGTTGAAAAAATAAAAATAAGCGACACCAGAGTGCGATACCGTCGTCAAAAATCTTGGGAGAGGCTTTTCCAATTGCCAAAAACGCGTCATTCCGCAAGAAGGCACAAGCGAAAGCTAGAGGTAGGAAGTGAAAGAAAAAATGCCGCCACACTGCCGGTGGCAAACAAGCTTTTTTGGGAATGAGATACGGTTGCCGATGAATCTTTCCCTCCCCCAGGTCCAAAGCATACCACCTAAAGTGTAAGACCAGTGAAGACGACGGTGGAAAAGTGACGAGAAAAAACGGAGAAGACGGCGGCTGGCAAGGTTAAGGTGAAGATCCACACAATGATGGGAAACGAGTTGTTGGTGTGGGCGCCTGAGGGTGACCTTCCGAAAAAAGTGAAAAAAAAGGCTGATAGCAGGCGAAGCGCTTGCAACTTCACTTCTTCCCACCTAAGACTTTCGAAAGAATTCTCGGTTTTTTTTTCTGAAGAATTATCGAAAAAAAAAGTTACTGAGGCGGGTTATCACAGAAGTCTTTAGTCAATTGACAAGATCTGATTGCTACAAGAAACTTTGGATTTCTTGAGGCTTGGCTTGCAAAAATACTGAGTCAAGATTCAGGAAGCCAGCCTGCGCAATGTTCTAATTTCTGAAATATAGTTTAAAACGTTAATTTCTTTTAAATTGTCCAAAAAGAACGACTTAAGACATTCGTACAAAAAACGAAAATCATTCTCTATTTGCAACTTCTGAATTTTTAAAAAATGTGAAAATTAAGCTTTTCTTTCATTCAGAAAAAACAAGTAAAATCAACCACTTGTACAACTTGGTGACTTTCAAAGACTATCGACTTTTTTGTAAATTTTAATTTTCAGTTATATCACAAAATGCGAAACAATTGAAATGAAAAAGCTCTTTTTCAGGACTGCTTAAAAAAATTCAAAAAACATTCTCGCCTGCTCAAAAAGCTCTTTAGATTTTGTAAAACAGGTGATATCTCAAGGATTGCGGAGAAACTAACGGCGAAATTTCTTCCCGAGACCGCGCTCAATTTGATTAACCTTGTTGGAGCACGGACAACGTTTGGATATTATGGAATTTATGGAATAGGCAAAAGTTGCGGACAAGCTGGTTTCATTACTTCCGTAGAAGCTGGCGAAGTTGATTACACGGTTAAGAGACTGAAATGAACTCTGCTTTTTTTTTCTGATCAAGACAAAACTTAATTGTATCATTTCAATCTTGGAAAGTAGGAAATTTGACTAGAACTTGTTCAAGTAACTGCTCTCATTGAATGGATAAAAAATTCTTTAGAGTATCTTGTCACTTAGCCGAGGTAGTGAAACAAAAACGAAACAATTCAAAATTGACAATTTCGAAATTTAAAGATTGCGAATTAACGATAGCGAGCGCATAAACATTCATATATTCAAAAAAAAGCGGAGCGTGTTCAAACGAAATCCTAAAGTTCATACTTACTCAGGTTTTTTGTCAGCTCCTGACTGCCTCAGACTGTTAGGGACGCGATAAGATGAGCGAGACGTTTTGTCAATTTCTAATTGCGTTCGCCCTGAGGCAGCTGAATTTTTCCGGGAAAGTCCAGGACATTGGCCCTCGCAGGTGGATGACAAAAGCAGAGGTTGTTTTTGCCGAAAAAACGGTGGAAACTCGGCCCTCGGGATTCGATGAGAACAAAGGACGGAAGCTCATTAGCGAAGGATTCGAAGAACTCGAATGTGCACATGATAAGGATTTTAAGGAGATGTCGACCAGAAGAAAACCCGTTGGAGCATGAAATTATGTCGCCTGATTAAAATGACGAAGAAGCATCCAAGTGAGTGGGCCTCCGTTTTTTGAACGGTCGACGATGACTTAGGGTGTGTTACTCAGGTCCATCAACATTACGAACGGAAAAGGTAGGACCGTACCCCCGTCTGTGACATTTTTTATATGCTTTCTCAGACATTATGTGATGATGCATACGACTTTTTCATAGAACAGTCACAGAAAAAAAAATATATAAAGGTTGTGAGATTTTTCGAATGAGCGAATGATGGTAGCTATTGAATAAGTTTCAAAAAAGTTCAAAAAAAAACGTTTCTGCTGTACTGCATACTCTATTAAGAATCGTCTAAACGTACGAAAACAATAAATATTTTTCGAATTTCTCTGATGGCCCTAATATACAAGATTTTTGAAGAAAAATATTGAGTAATCCAAGTAAACTGCATTCAAATATAAATAGATGTCTATTGAAAAAAACGAAAAGATAGACAAAAAAACAAAAATATTTGATAAAAAAATAATCATAATTGAAATTCTTTTTCTCAAAAACAGCAATCGAAAGGAATCTGAAAAAGCAGTAGACAATTTGAAAAAGAAGGAAACTTTGTACAAAACCATCTCTGCGAAGAAAGGAGCGGTTTCAGAAGAAATATATAAATTGATGATACAAAATTCAGAAAAATCCCGAAGAAATGGAAATTCTCCGGTGGCATGCCCACCGAAGGGATGCGCAGCCAGGTGCAACAACTGGGCGTCCGACGGCGTCTGTGGCGGATTGAGGATAATCCCCACAGTCGGAACTCTGTTGTGCGGCGTTTTCCTCTCCACAAACCAACAACGATCCGAAATCCAACAGGAAACCGTAGCCGAACATCCCTTGCAACTCGCTCAGACCGTGCCGACACGTGTTTTTACCAAAAGCATCTCCCAAATTGGTTTCTAGTTGCGAGAAAAAAGATTCAAAGCCTCAGCTAGTTCAACAAAGGGCCTCTTCAAATGCTACTTTCTGAGCAGAAAAATTGAATTCAAATGAGGATTAGATAAATTTCATCGAAAAGATAAATGAGAAGAAAACTGTTGGGTGGTCTATCGCAAAAATTGCCCGACGCGAAACTTTGAAGCGGCCAGATTTTCAAGATGAAGCCAATCCATAAAATTTCTGAAGATCTCTCAAACCTCACGTACGTTACGGTAAATGAATTTCCCGTTAAAAATAATGGATTTTTTTGAAACTTCTAAATTGAAAAAAAAAAACTATTTGTGATAACCTAACAGATATTAGCTCAAGTATTGAAAGCTTGGAAAAACCTGAAGCATAATAATGAAAAAAAGATATTTCAAGTCGCGCGATTGAACTTTTATGAAAATTTGTCAGAATTTTCCTTATATATATCTGATGAAAGTGGTCTCCTGTTGTACAATATTAGAGAAAACAGATGGAAAGTAAATTCAGACTGTTTCCAAATTTTAAGGCTTTTCTGAAAGACGCAGTCATTTGGGCTGAGATTTCCAGCATGTTAATCTGGCATAGAAAAGGATGTTCTGGCCCATTTAAAAAAAAAATTATGTCCACAAGAATTATTCATTTAAACCTTCCCAACTTTTCTATGTGAGTTGATAGAAAGCTCAAAAATTTATATGGAAAAAGCTTTCTCGGCTATGTTAGTACACGATGGAAGCTGAAGACGGAACTGGTATCACCGGATAAAAACTTTCCAAATAGCTTCAGAAGTAACAAAAAAACAGTATAAACCCTTTGAATTGATCTTCTTAGAAGTATTTTGAAAGGACGAACTTTTAACCGATCAAAAAAAAAACAAATTAAAAACGAAAACAAAAAACTAAGAAAAAAAGAAAGGTTAAACGGTCGCTTCGCATTGAGCCAAAAGAGAGTACGGAGAAGATGGAAAGATTGACCTTGACGTCCTAAACCTTTCTAGCAGAGCCGAGATCAACCTCCAGGAAGGAAGTGAGATGGACAGATAATGCGAAGAAAGGTTAGATTTGTGCCGAATGGAGCGATACCCGGAGCCAGGGCGGGGCGGAACTTGGACTGTCCGCTCGGTAGATCAACTCATGTACTTGCCACTGGCACCAACACCGTCATTGTTATTTGTTCTGAGCGTTTTTGAGGAGAAAGTGACACTGTTTCGGGAAGTCCATGCGAAACTGACAATAAGTAGATGAGTTTACTTTTCCTTTCCTTTTTTTTTTGGTAACTGTGAAAACTTCGTTTAAAAAATTTCTCAATAAAAATTGCTCACCAAATCTTGATAGTTTTTCGCATTCTTCTGAAAGATCATTACTTTAAGAATCGACTATCATTTAATTGAAAAATTAAAATCTTCAAGAAAAACTTTTGAAAATGTCTCATAGTTTATTCACCGCAGGCATCTGATAATCGACTTTTGGTAGGAAGTGGAAGAACTATATATATATATATATATATATATATATATATATATATATATATATATATATATATATATATATATATAATAATCATCATTTCGCTCTTCGATCGCAAATTTTTTTCTTCTACGCTCTAAAAATCCCTTATTTAACTTTTTGAAAATTTTTTTATTACCTCAAACAACAGAGCTTCGAGGTCTTAAGAATTAAAAAAAATTTTCGATCATTTTTTTGAATCTTAAACGAACATTCAAGTACTCAAGATCCAGGTATTCCTTTTTTTGGACGCTTTTTTTCCACTTTTTATTTGAAATCCTTTTTAACAAGAAAATCGTAAACATATGACAGAAAGTTCTATCAATTTTTTTCGAAATCAGAATTACGAGGAAAATACAGAAAAAATATGATTGATCAGTATAGGAGACAAATGCGATCAATTATTCAAAAATTTGGTGAGATCGGCAGTGATTGGATAACGGCCGTATGCAAAAAATCTAGTTTATCCGAAGATGGCATACACGCCATCCAGCCTCGCCCCGTACAGACGCCACACATATGCATGAAACTTCCAGTTCCAAAATCGGCACAAGATGCTTTTTACAATGCAACCATCTCTAGTGATACGTTTCGCAGTGGATAAAAAGTTTCGATTTCAAAAATTTCAAAGAATGTCGAAATTATAAATTAAAGAAGCAAGTATTGCTCAAAAGAGTTCTTTTTCAAAATGGTAATTTTGTTCAAAGTTTTGTAAGAGATCGATCAAAAAAATTAACAAGAGTTCAGTTATCAAGAAAAATATGGTAGCGTGTTTGAAGTCGTTTCAACGCAATGAAAATCGTTGAATCGTAATTTTTCCCCGCTTTTTTCGTGCACTGTTTTGCTCATCGGGAAAACTAAAAAACTCTCATTGAATATTTTCTCAGTCCAGCGTCCACAGAAATAAAAATCCATTTGCGACTATTTCGATTCAAAAAATATAAAAACTTCAAAATATTAATGAGTTCTGAAGATTGTAGTGCCTTCTCCCAAAAATAAAACGTTTTGTGAGCCAAAAATTAGAAAAAAAAACAGCGTAAGTTTGCTCATTGCGCAAGCAGCGAAATTTGCTGGGAAGCAATTTTAAAAAAAACATTGAAATGAAAAAGGACATTTTTCCATAATAATTCAACAATTTTAGGGGAACATCTTTCAATGAGAATTCGGAGATTGACTGTTTGAAACTGGTAAAAGTTCCTAGACCTGACTTTTAAATATTTTTATTTTGTATTTCACATTTTTTTAAGGGAGTTTGTGAATTCTAATCAAATGAATAGGGTTTTCGTTAATGATAGGGTGTGGCCTTTAGTAAATAGTCTACAATGGTCCTCCGCGTCGATATTTTCAGAGTTAGGATGTGCGACTTTTCTAACACATTGTAAATTTTTTTTCCCTATAAGTTTTGACACATTTGAATAAATATAGGCTTGGGTCATTCTGACACCCCGAGAGCGGTATATTAACACATTCTTTCCTTTGCGGCTGCTTTCACCTCAATGACACGTTTGAGAGGTTCAATCACTTCGTATCTTCGAAAGACAAGACTGACAAGGGAGGTCTCTTTTGCCTGAAGCTTGAAACTGTCTTCAATTCGCTCAAAAAGTGTTAGAATATCTAGGAAAAAATACTTGCTTTGGAAGTTTTTGAAAATTTTCAGTAACAGTTTTAGGATTCTTTCTGTGTTCAACGCAGATTATAAACGTTCATATAATGAAGACAGCTCTAAAAACTGAAAGTTAGCCCAAGTTGCCACCATCCATCACTTCAATCTGGATCTTAGTGTTAAAACTTAGCAAACTTGCCAAATTTCATAGTGAACAATCTTTTTTAGCATGCTGAAATTAGACTTCATTCCTTATAATCTGCAAATAATAAGTTCATTGCAGAGGCAAATGTTTACTCCAGTGCTGAACAGGAATTTCTTATCAGAACTTTTCATATGACAGCGTTTCTCGCAAGGCATGACGTCAATTCCATTTGGTTTTTGAAAAAAGGTTACAGTCACCCGATATTATAAGTGATGTCTTCAACATTTCATGAAATACGACTGAATTCATTGATCAAAGGGATTCGTATAAAGAAATAATTTTTTATTAACAAAAAAGGTTTTGTGAGCACTTTTTGAAAATTCCTGAACAATGAGCAAAATTTTTTTTTTCCAGCGTTTTATTTTCTGTCATAAATTTATTGGCCCTTTGAAATTTTCAAATAAGTTGGAGGATCGCTTTTTTTATCATATCTACCCAGATTATCGGCACATAACTTTAGAAACTCCTAGTTCTTATTTCTTTTTGATACGAGAATGAAAAATTTTTTTAAGAGAAGTAACGGATTTGTCTACTGATTTCAAATTTCCGCGGTTCATTCAAACCGATATAAATTGAGCTGAGTGCGACCCTAAATTTGAAAATCATGTTATTGCTCGTTTTTAGTAACCTTCAGCAGGGCGAGTCTTCGACGGATCTGTTCTTATCACTTTGAAAGCAGTTTTATGGTTTTTCGCTAGCCAGTCGAAACAGTTTCTCTTATCGCAAGAAATAACGATTGCCGCAAACGAGGCGTTGTAATTTTTGTTGATGGAGACGTTCAGAAAAGACACAAGTGGGAATCGATTACATTTTTCCCGTAGGTATATAATCAACACAAACCTGTCGGTCAAGATATTTCAACTTTCTGACTTTTTTTTTCGCTTTGAAACATTCCAATTTTTCGGCTTGAAATTATGCTACTAGAAACAAAGTTCCCTCGAAAATATGAAATAAGTTTTTTAGGGACATTATGTCCTCTCCTATCTGACCGATTTGAAAACTTGCCAAAAGGTCAGGATCAAGGTTCTCGATAACGGAAACAAAATCTAATTTATTGTCATAATACTCAATCCTGGTCACGCGTTGTTTCCTCGTCGAGTTGGTTGAGGTCAACGATTGCATGTGTCGTTTTCTGCTGCAAGACGCTTTGCACTCGCTATCAGTTTGACTTTTCTGCTGTTTGTTTCTTCTCTGCCGGGCTATCATCTCATTTTCCATCCATCTTAGTTGCATCTTTGCGACTTAGTTTGAATCTTTTCTTGGTAGCGCATAGTAATTTTTAAAAAATTATTCTATTTTTTAGTGACTGTGTACTGAAATAAAATCTCCAGCCGGTATTGTCAAAGTAACTTCGAAATAAAGAAAACCTCTATTTGATGATTGGACCCAAAAAAATATGAAATTTTCAATTTCCAATAGGGAGATTCATAATAGAAACATCAAAAATTTACAAAATTTTACTCCATTTGTAAGAACAGAAAAATTTAAAAACTTTACATTCTTTTTTTGGTATCATTGATCGGAACTTGGTCTTGGTCTCTCGACCTCACTGCAGTTGTAGAACTTTTTTTGGTAGGGAAAGTAAATGCGCCCCATCGCACAAAAACAACTCCCGCGTTCTTTTTTTTTTTGAAATTTTCGAGAATGTGACTTTCCAAAATTTATTACCTTCTCATTTCATTCTACAACTTTCTAAAATCAGGAGTCTTGCCAAAACTTTCTCTATGGAAGCGTGATGGAAGAAGTCGACGCCTACATCGAACAGCAATGCAAAAAGCTGAATTGGTTAGTTTTTTACTCAAATCACTAACGCTTTTGTTTTAGATGAACTTTGAAAGTGTGAATATATATATTTTTCTTTACAGCAGCTTCGTTGAGAACGCTGATTCGAAAGACGTCGAATTCGATACTCGCAACGCTTTTGAATTTTTAATAAGGTTGGATGCGATGAGCTTTTTTTTGTATCAAAATATTTTGAAGATGTATTTGGCAAATTGAACCATCGAGTGAAGCAGAACTTCCATCATGCGAGCTGCCTCGCCATTTGCCGACCAGATTCCGTCTGGCAAAAACGATTTCTGATTATCTGGAAGTAAGAAATCTGTTTTTTCTTTTCTGGAATGATGAAAGTTAGCAAGAGGTTCTTTAAAATAGTTCTTCTCATTTAGTAATAAAAAAACTTAAAATTTCCAGAAACTTGGCATCAGAGGGGACATCGGCTTTCAAAACTTGCTCTACGGTTCTCTGAACAGCTTGAGAAACATCTTTGTCGATCTTATACGTAAACTTCCCAATGATTCTGGGGATGTTGATCTGGGTATAAATTGCAAAAAGCTGTTATTTTAATGAAAACTTTTTTTAGAATCCACAAAAACAACCGCAACCGAGCAACTTTCCACTGAGCCGAAATGGGTTCCAGAATTTTGTAGTCGTTTAAAAATGAGCTACGACGGAAGGTTCTGGTGTCCTGATGAATTGGTGAGTTTTCCAATAAATTCTGAAACAAATATCTTTTCAGGGCATGCCTGAACTTTTTTCTTTCGTTTCAAAAAGTTCGAATGCTAATGGAATGGTAGAAGACCCAAGAAACTGGATTGCAAAGTTGCTACAGGATACCGAAATTGATAACGAAGCAAACGTTCCAAAACAGAAGCGGTTTTTAAAAGTTATAACTATGGTTATAAATTTGCGTTTGCAGCCCAAAGCCAGCACTGCCACCAAAACCGAAAAACCTGTCGGCGACGAAGGAAGACGATCTTGCTGCAAAAAGAGCCTTGTTGGAAGCAGCGCTCGAAGAACGAGAGGCAAAACGCATAGAATTTCTTAAAGTAAATCTTTTATGTAAATATCCTTTAAAACAGTTTTTTACAGGTTCAAATCGAATCAGCCAAAGTTAAAAGCAGTTTACTACACTCCAAAAGAAAAAAACTGAAAGGCTTCGATCGGAGGCTTTTTGGAAGCATTGGAAGATCCAAACTTTTATAAGGAACAGATGATTTTTTTGTACTACCTCTCTTTATTACTCCGAAAAACTGAAATTCAGAAACTAGAAGAGATGGATAAAAAGGCGATGCCGACGCGCAGAAGGCGGCGGAGGCCAAGAAGGACGTTGAAAGTCAATTGAAGGAAAAAAATGAACCGGATGGATCTCAAAAGTTCTGATGTAAATGGAAACTGTAAATTCAAGTATATTATAATTTTTACAGGCTCTAAGAACAAAGAAAAAACAGCTATTAGAAACGCGAAACAACATAAACGCATTGAAAGAGGAAATTCGAGAGCAGGTCGATCTATTGGAAAAGATGGTGAGCTACCAAGGCATTGAATATTGAAATATGCTTATCTTCAGGAAAACCGAATTAAAAAAGGTATCAACAGCGATTTCTCTCTGATGGATCGACGCTGTAGAGACATGGAAGAAATTGTGAAAAAACAAGAAGAAAAGATCAAAAATGTGATTTCAATCTTTTAATTGTAACTTTCAACTTTCTTCTTCCAGACGCTCGAAGAACGAACGGAAGTTTTGAAACATCACTTGCGCCAACAAGAAAAACTTGACAGATTGTTCGCCATCATCTACAATTTTTTGTCTCAGGTTTCATTCATTTTACTGATTAAAGAAAACGAAATCTTGCAGTCCCAAGAACAACAGAAGGGGAAAAACGCGATGCTTCTATTTCTGCGTTTTCAATTAGCTTACACCGAAATTGTGGAGCGTTTAAAAGAAAATGGGGCTGCAACTGCTTTTATTCAAAAAATTGATGATCAGGTATATTACCTCTTCGAATCGTTCACTCTATGGAAAACTTTACTCTTTCCGCTTTTGTTCAAAGAGAGATAAGTCATCGTGAAGGTCATGCGATGATTTCGGTTGTTTGATAGGGAACGTTTTGTTATCACTGATAGCAAGACGTTTTAGATTTATTAAACTGTACTGGGAGTACATGTGAGAGACCGGACTGGGAAGAAGGAGAAGGTCTGTTTAGACTGATAGTTCAATACTTTCAGATAGTTGCTGAGAAACAACAAAAGTCAACGGAACTTCAAAGCAACATTGATCAGGACATTCGAGAAATAGAGATGGAGAACGATTCGTTGATAAAAACGATTACCGAGCTCAAACAAAAGTCGATTTCCGTTGCTTAAACCTGTCTTATATGAAGTATTATTTGTGCTTAGTCATTAGCCTCTTAGCTGATTCCAGTCTTCTTTTTATGACATTCTTGTTAACTTCAGCCTTTCTATTGGTAGGACTCACTCTCCCCTCCTGGGTGGGTGCATTTCAACTCTAAGCTGCTACTTCTTTGGGAATACGCCTGAGAACCCATTTACCATTTCATTTCTAACCAAATAACAGTGCTTGTTTTCACAGAACTCTGTCTTCGCTACATTTCTCTATTCATTGGACTCATAAATAACTTTTCTCAAACTTAAATCTTTTCTATCGAATACTTTTTGACAGTGTTAGCCAATTGATTGTCATGCACCTTCCATGCTACGCAGCTGTCATGTTGGGTGAGTTCCTACATTTTTTCATTATCACATCGGTCATTTTTTAATTGTTGTCATTTGGCACAATACTGCTTCCTGCTATCTGACGGGACATCTGTATTGTGTTTGCCGTCATAGTGTTGCTGAGAAAGCTACACCAATAAATGATTCATTCTGCTTTTCCCATTATTTCCGATATTTTTTGTAAGATTTTTTTACATAAATATGATTTGTGAGAGTTTCTTTCAACAGAAAAACAGAAATGAATAAATTGGAGCGGAAATAGATTTTGCAATTTCAAAACAAAACTTGTCTTACTTTATGGAAAAAAAAGAAGATGTATGGCAGCTATACCACAATCAAAACAAAAAAAAGTTTTTTTCAACGATTTCATAAAGTCTGCTTTTTTTACAAATTTTCTGAGCCTGTATTTCTGGTTTCCACTTCAGAGGAGTAATATGGATGGGAAATTCTGAAAAATCTCTATAAAAATGACGAAATTTAGGAAAAAAAGTTTAAAAATTTGAAAAAAATGAAATAAAACGAAGTTGGATGTCAAAAATCAACCAAAAAAACTTGATTTATTTACTTTTTTTCTTGTGGGGTTCTACTCGAAAAAAATTTTTTTCAGTAAATCTTGAACGTCAATTACATGTGGAAGTGGTTTATCGAGTTATGTGACGAGTGGGCGAGTTTCATGTGCATAGTTTTATCACTTTGAAGCCAGCGGAGGCACATTTGAGATAGGAGACTGCGAAACTGATATTTGGGCGTCTCCCTCCGTCCGACCGAACTTGATGATTATCCACGTAATTTTTCGAACTGTATTTTCATTTTAAATAATTATTTGATATTTTGCTCAAATTTTATAAATAACAATTTTTTTGCTTGCCGCCTCTAAAGTGTTTTAATAACGCTGAATTTGAAACCTTGCAAAGAAATTTTCAAGCTGAAATTCACATTTTGTCTTTTGATGAATTCTTTCTCGATATTTTTTTTTTGGAATTCTTCAATTTTTCTTGTTCATTGTTCTATTTTTTCGGCACTCCACAATAAAGTCAAATAGTCAGAAAAAGAGAAGTGTTAGAAATATTTTGACTATGCCTCTATGCACCTTATATCTTAAATAAAAACGTTTTATTTCCATCTTTTTGCTTTCCAGCCGAATTGTGGTTCACAATCAGAATTTTTCTAAGTCTATTTTCAACATTTTTTTTTATTTTAGTTTCATCACAAACATGCACGCACCTTAGTTTTTGTCAACTTTCTATTTTTTGAACTTGCACTATTTTGTTTGAGGTCCATGCGGCTCATTTTATTGCTGAATGCACTGAGCGTGGTATGGGCAAGTGAAAACTGGGATAACTTTTGGAAAGATGAAGAAACGTTCTACGGTAGTTTTTCTTTTCATTATTTTTCAATCATGAATTTTTCTGTTGCAGATTTTTCTGCCGCCACTCAGCAAATCAAATGCGCACACGATGGATTTTTGAACTCAGCGAACTCTAGTTGCACATGCCTTCCGGATTTCTCAAACTCTGACTGTGGACGCCGAGTTTGTAATAATTTTGGCATTCCGGCTCCCATTGGTTCAATTTCGCCCACTCATTGCACATGTCCACCTGCTTTCTTAGGAACTAATTGTGAACCCGGTAAGAACTTTTTTTTTCAAGATTATGTGATGGAAAAATATTAAGTGAAATGCATACCTGATAATAGTAACTCTTTATCCGCACGGAAGGAAGAAAAAACCATTTCTCTGCTGGTCACTTACAACGAGAGGATGAAAGAATTTTGGGATACGGGTAAAGAAGAACTGTTCGAACTTATCTGCGAGATCGGTCAGGGATATTATCGGAATTTTGTGATGTCCGAAACTGCAACGATTGTGGTGAGTTTTCAAACTGCAACTAAGGTGGAATTTTAGAAAAATTTGGATTATTCTCTTCACATTTTCACCTATTTTCACGTTTTTTACATGTTCGCTATTTATAAGGGTCGTTTTATATGCATATGAACAAAATGTGAAGGAGCAAGGGAGAAATGAAACGATTTTGATCAATTAGAATTACGAATTCATTCACCAGAAAGCTTCTCGGAATTGAACCGTCTAAGCTGGATGAACTTGAGCAGAATTCATGAGACACCTTTGCGTAGAAGCCAAAAAGCGTCAAAATAGTGCATAAAATGGAAAATAGCCACAGTATTAATTTTTTTCGTGTGTTTCAAATAAAAAAATCTTTCTTTAATTTTATTGAAAACATTTTCAGGATCCCACGGCGGATAAAGACCAATGCAAACAAAGCATTGAAGACACTTTCGTTTACGAACTCATCGACCCTTGTCAGCCAACTTGTAAGAATGTGGACGCTTCGGAAATTCAAAATTTGATCTCGAAAACCGCCCCCAACAGCATAGTGGGACATACTTATCTGAAACTGCCACATTTTTCTGCTAGGCTTACATTGTCACAAACGTCAACGTAACGGGAGTGACGCCGGAAATGCAAGAAAAGATTTGGTCAGCAGCCATCGCAAACAGAATTCAGGTTTGAAACTACTCAAGAGCTCATTGAGCTCGGTTTTTTTTTGCAAAACATTCTTTTTCAGATCAACGTTATCGTCTATGACTTCACTCCGTCTCTTCTCTCCTCCCAATTTGACAACGATCCCACTTTGCTGTGGTTGAAAAGTTTGGCGTACGGTACTTTGGGAAACTATATTACTGCTAATGGACTAGACAAAAGTGGCCCTAATGCTGAAAACGTTTGATCTTTTCTTACGAGCTTGAGTAACAATGTTTGGAATGCTTGCAGACTATCACTGAATTGACAAGCTTGTGGGACCAAGGCTATCGAATCGCGGCAGTTTTGTCAAATGGAACTACCTTCTTGTTTACTACCACCAGTGACATTTACGTTAGCGCAAGGTTGCGCCTTGAGACAACAGGTTTTTCAAAACAAAAATTTGGAAGAACCTTGTTGTTTATACAGATCTCACAACGAGTGCAGGAAATTTGACTCCGATTATTGACACGAAAATGTGGAAATTGTACAAGTGAGACAGTTTTTTGTCTTTATCGGACGATTTTTCGAATTTCTTCTTTTTTCTGATCACTAATGAGTAAAATATCATCTCTTGTGAAGGAAATGTGAAAGTTTCATGGTCGGCTTATTGTCAAACTGATAGAAATTTTCAAAAAATTTTCCTGATATCTTTCTGCAGTTTTTTTATTTCAGTCTTTCGGTTTTCTTGTAGTTCTTTTTTTGAATTTAGAGCCTTTGTTTGAGCATAAAAAGATTTTCTAAACTTGGTTTATATATTTTTTTTTTTCTGTAAGTTTACAAGGACTCCGGATTTCACAGAAAAAATCAAAGCAATAGGGGTTTTTTTGAGCTTATATGAAATCTGGATTTTATCGAAAACCGAAGTTCTGATGCAGTTGAAAGCCGGTTTGAAGTTAATGGAAGGGGCCGCGTAGCGTGTGCAAACGTAGTTCTTGGTAAAAGTTTAATTGATGCGTGATCGACTACTCAAAAAGCTGGGTCATGGCTTATTTTTGTCTATTCTACTATTTTTTGGTGCAAAAATGAAAAAAATCATTAGTGTAATAAAGAAATAAAAGAGCGATAAACGAGCGATAAACGAGCTCTCCGGATGGTCGCTGGCGTTTGAATTGAGCTGTTTAAAAAACCGCGTACGCGCACTCTACGCGTCATTCCCTCGCTTGTCAAGTGGGGATAAAACTTATTATATGAGGTAATCATTAGTTTTGCAAGGCTTTTTCTGTAAAGTGTACTCTCATGTCAACCGTTCCTTATGCGATCATCGTGATTTTTGGCCAACAAAATTTACAAAAGTTCCAATTTTTTAGATTGACAGTTTCGTCCCAATATCTGAACTTGGCTTTCTATGGTCTGAACGATGGAGAAAGAGCTACAGTGTACACGAAAGACGCTTTGAATGTTTATTCGGCATTTGTGAATGACGTCGAAGTCGATGCCGCTTTTCCCTTAATCATAAAAGGTAAAAAAAAACCGTGGAAAGTTGCATGGAAAAAAGTCGTGGAAAGTCGCTTGGATTCTTAAGTACCTTAAGTTTCCTTAAGTTCATTTTTCCAGGAGCAACCTACAGCTTGGTAATAAGGGCGGAGAACGGCGAGATTCCAGTTACATCAGAGACCATAAAAGTCGGACAACTTTTACCCAACGCTGGTATAACGTTGAAAAGAAACTTGTCTGACCGACTAAACTGCCAGTTCAACATATTCTTTGGTAATGTCACCTGTAACACGGCCGGTCCGGTTGTTCTTCACGTAAGTTTTGAGAAAACTGTATTTTTACTTGAAAAACGACGGAGGAAATATTTTCTCACACCTTGATTTAAAAAAAGTTCAAGTTTTCATATAATCCGATTGAATTACAGTACCACCCAAAAGGATGTGAACTTTTGGTTTTTCAGGCCTAGCGCGCTGAAAAAACAACCGATCTTCATGAAACTTTTTCTGGAGCTTCGAAACGCTGTTTAATGAGTTGGTGTACGGTAGTTTTGAGTATAGAGCGGAAGAAAATACCGATGTCGGTTAACGATACCTCCTCGGTGCCAAGCTGTGATTAGTTCTCGGGGTTTCGTGACCAAGTATTAGACTTGTATAATTTATGTACACAGTGAATTCTTATATAAATGTTGTTATTTACAAAAAAATAAAAACTAAAAAGTTCACAACCTTTTTGGGCGGTACTGTATGTGTGCCATTATTTTAACATCACTTTGATTTTCAATGCTCTAACATTCCTTATTTCAGTCGTCCGACCAAACGTCTCACACGGCGTCGTTTCCAATCATGTGCGCTTCCAAGATTGGTATTGAGAAACAAAGAGAAAGATTATCTTTCTGATTAAGATGCACCAAGATCTTTCGAGGAACTTCGGAGGTTACCAGATCAAAGACCTGCCGCTCAAGTTGACGATGGTATCTTTTGAAATCTTAGTTTTAGTTAATTATTTTTTCAAGAAACTTGCAACAATGTTCCTGAGCCTCCGGTCGAAGTACGAGGATCGAGAAGCTTTGCAATCGTCAACAGAAAATGCGATAGTAACAAAAAGTGAATAGTCCAATCAATTGAGTCAATTTTCACCTGAAAACATTTTCAGCATGACGGATCAGCTCTTCAGACAGCCTGGAAATATTTTCGAATTACTTGTTCCTTATTTAAAATCAAATGAAAGTTTGTACGATAACTATGTTGCTTACATGGGTAACCTTTACGTAAGTACCCTGAATTAACTTTATTGGAATTTTGTCATTTCTAGAGGTCTGATCACTTTGACATCTTTCTGACAAAAGTTATGACTAATCTGGACGACTTTGTTACTTGTGATGCAAACTGGAGTTTGCCGACCGATCTCAAAAACACGCTTGGTTTTCTGAATGAATATTCAGGTAAATTTTCTTGAGCAAAAAAAGTTATTGTGCTTGGAATCCGGGATGTTCTGATAATCCCTCGAAGGCCTTCTAATTGTTTTCAATAAGGGTTATGAATTTCTTAACGGACAGAGCTTCCTGGTTTCAGAGAACAAAGGCATCAATCTACTTTTTTCTTTTTTCTTGCGATTTTTTGTAATTTTAAAAAGTTCAATCTTCAAAATGAAGCCTGTGCAGATTGAGGTTTTTGAGATCAACGCAAAATCTAACCGATTGGTGGAATTTCAGAAATTCCAAGAAAACTGACCGCTAATTAATTTTTTTTTTCAGACGTATTCATCATTGTTGATTCTGCAATTGATGGAACATATGTGGAGGAAATTTACAGCAGAATTTCTGATAACAGGGCGAAAGTAAGTGAGATCGCGTAGAATCGACAATTATCTGGGATTTTTCAAGTTGTACTTCATAATACTCGAATCAAGCACTTACAACGCTTCAACGGACTACAACTTGCTGAATGATTTAGCTGTGAGAAGTGGAGGAGTAGTTCTCCGAGTTTCTTCTGTGACCGACGTTGTCAAGGTCGGATTTTCAACTTAAACTAAAAACTGTATTATAGTCTGTGTGCCATGACTTGAAACTTCACCAAACGACATTCCGCTGTTCCGCTGCGTTGCGAAGCGTCTTTGCGAACCACAGTCTCGCTTTGAATTGGTTCTCATTTCTGATAGATGGACTGTTTCACTAGGAACACGTGTTGATCGAGTTTTTGAATAAAATGAAAAACTAGAGGCGTTCAAAGGCACGCAGCGAAACAGAGGAATGTCGTTCGGTGAAATCCCAAGTCGTGGTACACAGACTATAACTCAGCGAATTTTATCTTGGCTATCAATTGTTTATCGGTTTGGGAGTCGACTAAGGAAGTTTTTCAGTTCATCGGATTACACCTTTCCGAAGGATGGGTGGCCAATGACATTGCGGCTCATGCTGTCCGACTTCAAACAGTTCAAGGAGTTAATATCCCCAACATTTTGTTGGATTCAAGCGAGAAGTATACACTTCTGATTGCCTACCCTCCTCAGACTTCCAATTATCCAAACGGTTTGGTTTTTTCTTGAATTATTTGAATAATAAGAATCAATGATTATGTGATTGGGGGCGCGCCGTAGCGCAACAAGTTGTGTGCCTGTCTATGGTCCACAGGGTCAAATGTTCGACCCCCACCTCGACCCAACCAAGGGGTTCAAGAAATGTTGGTAGTCGGAGACCACGACTTCAAAATCCCCAGCCTTTACATACAAGGGCGGATATGTCACTGGAGCCAGTCCACTGATATCAGGATAGGACCTCGGCTAATCGACTTGGGGCGCCGACGTCGCTCATGCAGTACAAAAGCGTAGGAAGAAAAAAGAAGATGAAGAAAAATGATTGTGTGATTGAATAATTGAAACATTGATTAAAAAAATTAAATAAAGTGGGTTGATTTCACGCCAATTTGAGAAATTCGAGCCCTGTTTACGTTTAATTTTTTTCTCATTTTTAACGAAGCGACAAGTGTGACAGACAAGCCAAACTGTTTCAACACTGGATAATTAAAAGGAGCTGTAAATTTTTCAACAAATCGTTCAGCTGTTGTGACATTCAATCCGGATACTTGTGGAAACGCAACGTCGTTCACCACTTTCAACGAACTCCAAATTTTCAACATAAACGTCGGAACTAGTGGAACTGTGTGTACCTTGACTGTTCAGACGATCTTCCCCATGGCTTCGGTAGTTCTTATTCTTCACTGTTTATTTTGATCTAGGAGAATTTCAGCTCAACGTCGTACTTTTAGCGAAATCCACGAGTTTTGTGAGTTTAGCTTTCACGAACAGCCCAACGACTGAGTACACCTCGACCTCGATTTCTTTCGGTATTCAAATCGCCGTTAATTTGGAAAAAATTTGGACGATGAAGGTACCGGCGTTTACCCTGTGCTCGCAAGTGTTGACGGCTTCAATACCAACTCTCAAATGTTCATTTCTCATTTGAACAGTTCAAACTCGGTTTTCTTATTTTCCCAGGACAAGTCCAATTGTTTTCTCACAGGATATCTACCAAACGAATGTATCCCCAGACGAAAGAGGCTGCAACAATTTCACAAAAATCGTAGATTACCAATGGTTCTGCGACATTCCCTCGGGTATTTATCATGTTCAGGTGGATATTTTTGTTTCTTTTATTGTGCTCATATGACCTGACTCTGTACACCAGTTTCAAATTTTTGGTTCAAATTTACATATTTCGCTTGTTTCTGATCGAAAAATTGAGCTGAACTCATTATTGAGAATGATAAAATATTTAAATATGCTGAATCTATCGCTATATTTTATAAAAACTGTACAGATACATCAAAAATTTACCTTTTCTCTGCTAAACTTCTGAAGAATTTTTGTTAAAGTATCTCAGCTATGTAATAATCGAATTACGTTGATTTCGCTTTTCAGATCAACGCAGAAGTCGGCAGTACAAAAAAATCGAGGTTTTTCCCGTTAACTTGTCTTGGAGCGGATAGTGGGAGCTGTATCAATGGAAAAGAAGCTGTCAGTTAAACAGCATTATCAAATTTGGGGAGAAAACAACTTTTAACTTTGAATTTATTTCAGCCGGATGACACATGTATCTGCAATGTTGGATGGACGGGAAACAAATGTCAATTGCCCATTTGTCTTAATGGAGGTATTTCCGTCAATTATTTACGTTCCAGTATATCAAAAAAACTTCAAAAAAGTTCATATTTGAAAAAAACTTTGCGATATGTAGCTGGAAGAGCTCAGATCACATGTTTGCAAAGTAAATCAGTTTTTCAACCAATTACTATGTACACTTTCTTTGTCAGCGTAACCTTGAGACTAAATATTTTTTATGGCATTTTAGTCCACTTCTCAGAAATTGGAACAAAAGTTGCAGTTATGATGCTCAAAATTTTGCATATAATATCTCGGGAAGTGTAATCTCAATTTGGCTACTCATGCGCTGAATTTTTCGTTCTTTTCTTTTTCGACCTGAAGCATGAAAGTTGATACTGCACTGCCGGCTGCGGGACCCTTAAAAATGTAAATAATCTGTTTCGATTTGAGGAACCGTTACTTCGGCCAATGTCTGCAACTGTCCCCCTGAATACTCTGGCATGTTCTGCGAAATTTGTAATAAGATCATGATCAAAGAGTAAATAATTTTCCGAAAATAGGGAATTCAACGTCAAGCTGTACGAACTCTCCGAACATCCCGGACTTCCGAAGCGAACTGGGATCTCTTATTTTTGTTGTGGACGTTTCTTTGCTGTCTTCGACAAGTTTGTTGGATTCTGTCCCAGACTTTCCAGGGACACAAATAGTTGTCCTTTTATGTTCGTTAGAACTCATTTATACAACTATTTTCACAACAATGATTAAGATGGCAACAGTATGAATCCAACTATCGTCCTCTCCACAACGAACTCCCAACTTCTCAGCGGAGCATTGACATTCAACGAAACAGTCCCAACTGGCGGACCAATTGCATTGCCTTATGAGGCCATTAACAAGGCCCTCGACAGTCAAGTTTGTCGTTTGCTTAAATTTTTGTAAAAGGTGTACTGTAAAAATAAGAGGTGAAAGTAAGTCTGATGAAATCTAGAGCATGATAGGAAAAAGTACTGGGGCGCGCCGTAGCGCAACAGGTTGTGTGCCTGTCTACGGTCCACGGGGTCACAAGTTCGATCCCCGCCTCGACCCAACCAAAGGGTTTAAGAAATATTGGTAGTGGGAAACCACGACTTCAAAATCCCCAGCCTTTACACACAAGGGCGGATATGTCATTCGAGCCAGTCCCTTGATTATCAAACATCAGGATAGGACCTCGGCTAATTGACTTGGGGCGCCGACGCCGCTCAAGCGGTACAAAGGCGTAGGAAGAAGAAGATAGGAAAAAGTACTCAAAAGTTGCTGAATGCTTATATACCGCTAATGAAAAAACTTATCGAACCCGACAATAAGCTCGAATAAAGCTTTTAAAAAACCGGAAATTTTGAGCTATTTTCTTTTCATGATTATTTTTGCTGCTGAGGGCAGTTTATTTTTTAACCGATGTTTCAAAATTCTCACTCAAATTTTCGTGGGTTTTTTTCGGGTATTTTTTTTTGGGCGCTTCACAAAGCCTCAATTTTGTTTCAAAAATGCTCCACCTATATCTAACTCCTACCATCTCCGTGAATTCCGAATTCGAATTCGATTTAATTTTTGAACACTATTAGATAGTACTAAATCAGTTTTTATTCTTCAAGTTTTATTTCAGATTACTCGACGAGCTCTTGTTGTTCTGGTTTCTCAAAACACTGATTTTGATTTCAATGCCGATGGTCAAAAAATGGTCAATCGGTTAGCAGCTCAACGCGCCGAGTTGAGAATTTTTGCAAGCAAAAAGTCGGATGGAGTTTCTCTACTGGGGCTTCTTGGAAACAGCGTTCCATTCATCTTCAAAAAAATAGAAGATTTCCCATTGGTGCCTCAATTGAAGTCTATGACATGCATCTATTTTTTTAGTACTTCAACTCCTACATCGTTAATCTTTTCTCCACGGGAAACCCACAACCGATCTTGAATGTCTACGCGAGCGATGTCGTCAATAACAGCTTGGAAGTGGATGTGCAACACGACGACAACGATAACCAATGCGTTCTTTTTGTTCATGTTTTGAATGGAAAGCAAACTTTGGCCGCAGGTGACCGTTCACAATTTTCAAGAGTATAAGACTTATTAGTTTCAGTGAATATAGCTGTAGTCGGAAACGGATCCAACATCTACACCTCGAAAAACTGCAAAGGTTTGATCTCCTCAAGCTGTCCGAAGTTTTTATTTTTCTTTTTCATAAACTTGATAAACGTCCAAAAACTTTTTTTGAGTCATAGCCTCAATAACGATTAAAATGTGTTCAAGAATTGTTTTCTAGCGCAAATCGACCAAAAAAATCTAACTTTTTTTTTGTGAAATCCAACGGATCCGTGGGAAACAACTGTAGAAAGTTTGACAATAATCAGAGAACACCTCGAAAAGTTATGACGCAAAAAAGAATATTTTATATCATATTGCACGGTACTGTATCTCTGACGATATATTTGGAAATTGGGGTGATTTGGATCAAAGTTTTTTTGAGTTTTTTTGAATGTTATAGTTTCGCTTAATACCATCACGACTTGAGTAAAAAAAATCAAAAAAATTTTTGAAAGAATTTTTTTTGTGGTTTTTATCTATCGAGCGCATCTTCGCAATATTTTTCGGCTATTTGAGTTGAAAGTTCTGAATTGAATGTTGGAAACTGACTCACATAGACGCTCTTAATTTTGTTTCATGAACTATATTTTAACGAGAGGCTGAATTTTATTGTACTATGAGAAATGCCTGACTTTTCAGTTTCTCTGAGATTTACACAAGATGATGCCGCAGTACCAGTCTTTTACTCAATCGAGAAGCTCAGCATGTTTAAGGTAAGCACCAATAAATTGTTTTCAGTTAAAGGAAAAAAGTAATAGTTTGAGTGTCGTTACATTTGTACTTTTTTTACAGTAACATGACTCTTCTTTTGAAGACTGATAAAAAAATAGCTAAATTACTTCAAATGTTTCTTCTTGAAATTTTTTTGAAAAAAATTTCCTTCTTTTTATTTTCATTTGTTTGGGTTCGGACTGATCTGTGAATAAATTAATTTCAATTTTTTGCAGAGCGCCTACGGATTCAGTTCTGACGCATCTGGCAAAAATGAGCTCCTGAACACTGGACTAGGGCAGAAAGAAGGTTCAATCTCGATTTATGCCATAAATCAGCTCGCCGATCAATCGACGCCTGATCAACGTCCAAAGATACAAATCCGACCTTTGTATTCCAACGGAACCTTTGGAGTTGCTTCTTCTTGGTTAACAACTCGGAAATCTTCTAATTGCACCTATCAGTACTACGCTGTCACTCAGCCTTGTCTTGACAATATCGCCTACCAAGCTCAGGTTCTTTTGTTTGAAAAAAATGAACTGATAAAAAAATTTTTTTTTAATTTTTTTAGTTTGGTCTTGTTTGATTGAGCAACTTTTGATCCGATTTCCGCCATTTTTTTATTTTCAGAACCGAAGTGCCGTTAAGCTTTCCTCTCGCAAATTTCAGTTCAAAATATATATTTTTTTAAATAGACATTCAAAAAAATTAAATAATATTCGATAGTGGTTTTGTATCTTTAGGTTTTGAAGCGTGGCTCTGTTACCGTTACGCGTTGAGCCTTGCATTTTCAAAAAGAAAACCGAATATAATTCTCAAAAATTGCATATTCAGATCATAACGAAGTCGACTGGTGGTTTGATTCGTCAGCAACAAGTTATTCTTGCCTGTTCATCGGCTGGTAAGCCTTAGAAAATCAACATCAAGCGAAATTCAAATCAACTTATTGAAGACCGTGATTGCCTGCATGGAACGAACCAAAACGGGGAGTGTAAGTGCAACGTGAACTGGCAAGGCATCGCCTGTTCGGAGCCAATTTGTTTCAACGGAGGAACTCGGGATGGAAGTGTTTGCCATTGCGTCCAGCCTACGACTGGCGCCAACTGTGAACACGGTTTTTATTAGAATTATCAAAAATTTTGAACGCGCATTTTTTGTGCTTCGGATAGAAGAATCTTGAATTGTCGTATCCTCGTCTCACGGCGTTTTTGTTAGTGGAAGATATTGCAAAACCCAAAATTGAGGAGGCGTGATCAAAACCTCCGCCGTTCCCATGTGACGTCACGGGAAAAACGCGTAAACAACAGAAAATATAAGAAGCGCATCAATGGGTCCCGAGACGAATCTATTTCTCCTTTAAAAAAACGCAAATTTCCTGTTTAATTTTTTTAAAAAACAAATGGCGTGCGCCAGAGCGCCGCAGTGTATGCACGCGACACACTACACTTTATGGAAAAAAAAATGGGCGGACCGTCGCCAAAAAAACGCCGTGGTCTTACTGAAAAAAATTAAGTAACTTTGAGAATCCACCGAATTTATGTTCAGAAATTCAGAGAAAACCTTTTTTAGGATAGAATTAACAAAAATCCATTTCAAAACTTAGTGTTAACAAAAATCCATTTCAATTAACAAAAAAACTTAGTGTTAACAAAAATCCATTTCAATTAACAAAAATCCATTTCAAAACCTAAAATCCATTTCAAAACTTAGTTTTGGGGAGGGAATATTGTTTGAGCCTTAGTTTGGAGGAAAATTGAGGGTTAGTTCAAAGTCCAACTTAAGCTGTTTTCATTATTTCTTTGTTTCCGGTTCGGCGCCAATACCGACGACAACTTCTTTTGCACCGCCTTCAACAACGACAGGTGAATTGCCAATAAAATAATTTCGACCATGAGCAAAAATTATTCCCTGACTGCAAAAATAAGCGATTTTTCGTTCCCTTCTTTTTTCAAACAGGTAGAGACTTCCCAAATAGTGGCTCAACAGTATTATTCCTACATAAAAAAATCAGGATCATTTGGCAAACTGTGCAAATTGAGAATCTTCTGGAATAATCTGCTTTGTTTCTTGCCACAATAATTTTGAACTATCCTGTAGTTTTGGTATTCGAAAGAACATTTTGATTGGATTATGAATTGTGCAACACATACATCTTATTTCCACCCCTCTAAAAGGAGGTCAAAAAGTTTTAAAACTCCCTGAGTAATTTTTTTGGAAATTTTTTTATTAAGATGAGGTCTATCTTCAACACAAAAGGAAAGGTCTTTTTTGTACGAAATTTTCCGGAAAATTGCTACTTTTGAAGTGACAGAAAAACATTTCGGAAAACACGATCCGCGCAGATCTTTGGTTTTGGAAAACTGTATTTTTGGAATCTAGAAGTTTCATCAAGCTTGTTGAAAAAAATTTTAAACTTATTTGTTTTCTCTTAAAAAAATGAGACAATTTTAGTTCAGAAAATAAGCAAATCCAACAGTTTGCGGCTTAGTTTCCAAACTTCTAAAATGCAAAAAAAAAGACCGCTCTCCTTGCAAAACTCTTTCAGTAGTGATAGCCACAACAACATCAAACTTGGCAACTACTGCTACACCTTCTCCAACTTCGACCAACACAGGAGGTTGGAATCCAATTATCTAAAAATTGTATCTAGTCTCCATCAACTTTCTGTTTTCGTAATTATTCAACTTGATTAGTACCCAAAACGACCAACCTGCCTACGATGACTACCAAGAACTCTGCCACCACTACCGTCACTCCGATACCAACGCCTCGTGTTTTTGTTTTTATAATCGATGTCATCGGGAGTGACGAAAACGCTTTCAACACTACTTTGGTATTATAAAACACTCAAATAAAAAGTTTAAAATTTTTTTCAGGATGCTGTGAACCAATTTTTCAGTTACTATGATCCCCAGACCACTTTGGTGATGCTAATTTCGAACAGAGGCAGTGAGCCGTCCCTCCAGTTTGACTATCAAACATATGATAAGAAGAACATTTCTGTATTTGACTCTATTTTCCGTAATATCCGCGATAGCACGGCACAACCGAATTTGCAACTGTATGTTTTATTTTTTCAAATTCCGTCATTTTTTTTCCTTAGAACGTTTGACATTATCTACAACTCCACAAAATCGTCTGAAGACAAGCTTGCCGGAGCAAAATCTAAGAATATTTTCTATGTCACGCAAGTCGGGTTTGTTAGCAACTTTCCTGACCGCAAATTGGTTACCGGTCGCAGTAAAATTTTTTGACAACTTTAACATAATTCTCAATCTTTAGTTTTCGTCAGAACTCTTACTGCGACCGTTGATCATTTCTCCGTGACATATTGATTCATAAATCTTTTTAGGGGTGACCTTGCCTCAAAAGATAGTTTGGACAAGCTGAAAACCGAATACAAATTCAATATGAGGTGAAATGGTTTGGAGCGACAGAATGAAAATTTTGAGCCTACAGTAGCGTGGCAATAACTCCTTTCATGAAGGATGTGAATGGAACTGTCGAAGCCCAGCTGGAAAACCTCTCACCAGACGTCACAAACACTTACTGGACATTCCCAGCTGTAGCAGCCATGGTCGAATCTGTCTCAGGCGGCCAGACTGACAGACCGTTCAACAGCACACCTCGTAAGAGAAGCTTTAATTGAGAAAATTTTAGTTGGGAATTAAAGTTTCAGAGCGCAGTGAAAAATGAAGCGAATCATGAAACTCCAAAAATATGATTCTAGTATATTCAATTTTTTTCGACTTGGAAGGCAGAGAAGCGGGACGTGTAGCGTTCACGTTCGCGGTTCTTGGCACGAGTTCAATTCGGCCGCCAGCGACTGGTTGGGAAGCTCGTTACTTGCTCTTTCCATTTCTTCCTCATCATTTATTGACTTTTTTGTTCATTGTAAAATAGAAAAGATACAAAAAAGCGGTGACCGAGCTTTAATTTGACAGTGATGCTTAAAATGAACTCGTGCCAAGAACCGCGTACGCGCACGCTACGCTTCCCGCCCTCGTCTTTCAAGGCGGCATGAATTGACTACGATTTCCAACAAAAATTTCCCACAAAACATCAAGCAAAACGTTTTTTGACAGTCTAAAATTTCGGAGCGACTAAAATTCTCTAATTTTGAATGAAAATGTTGTTTAAGCAAGACAGCCTTCGTGCGTCAACGGCTTGCAAGCTAACATCATGGTTATTGCCGATCTTTCCAAGCCCCGTGTGGATTCTACCGTTGACCAAGTAAATTAATCTATTTTCTTCACTTCAAACATAATCTTTCCAGTTCAATTCGTTTATGAGCCTGTTCGTCTCAGGCTTCAATTCTTTGCTTAATGACGCCAATCGCTGCTCGAAAAACTCTCCTCAGCCAGTTCCAACATATTACAAAGGCGAGATCCTTTTCTAAAACTATTTTTTATCCCCTAATTTCAGAGCACTCACTTTTTGCCGGTCTTTCGTTTTTCGATAATTACGTTGTTACTCTACCAACTTTCTGTCCCAGTTCATACAGCCTCGTAGTTGATAAACGATTGTCTGAAAATTCAACTGCAACTTTTAGCCCATCGTATTTTTTGCCGTAATTTGAGGAAACCTGGTAATATGTATTTCAGTGTAGTGTCTGTGATACACAATGCAGTCACTAAGACGACTTGTTCATGTTATCGATTGGAAGATCCAACTACTCAAACTTATATTTTGTGGATGCCTCGAGGAGGGTCAGCAATTTTTTTTTATAAACTGCATTTTTAATGTTTTTTTAGAGTGCCTTCTGAAGGTTTATTGGAGCAGTTCACGTCGAACTACACCCATTTAGTGCTTCCTTTTGGCTATACACCAACTGTAATTTCTTCCAAACTCTCGATTTTCACAACTGTTTAATAATTTCAGGTTGGAGACCTTTACTACGATTTGACAAAGACAAATAAAAATCAAACCTTGTTTGGACCCGAAAATGCTATATTTGGTGACGGACAAACGGGCGGTCAGTCAGCTTCGCAGCTTGTCCAACTGGTTTGGACTAGTTTGTGCAGGTATCTCTTGACTCTTCTGAATAAACTTTTCTGCTTTGAGAAGAAATCAAGATGATTTTCCAGATGGGGCGGTTTGATCACTTTGGATACGACTGCACAACCGCCTTTTTCATGTGGGGAAGACGCTGATTGCTTGAAGTCATCAACTGAACCTTTAGAGGCTTTCTGAGCCGGAAAGAAAATGTCAAACTAATAAAAGTTTAAAAAATGCGGCTCAGAGGTGCTTTCTATTAGTCATCAAATAGTATGATTCGAAAATCAGAAGTGCAATCAAAACTTGAATGTTCATGCTTGTCAATAAATTATTATGTTCTGAAAGTATAAAATAAACAAATGAGAGTGGAAAAAAAACGAGTTTCACAAAATAACTCGAAAAAAAGTTGAACGAAAGACAGAAATTTTAGACGTTCCACCTCCTACTACCGAATCTCCTCGAGCTGTACTTTTCATCATCGATGTTGTCGCCTCAGACAAAGCTGTTTTTAACGAAACAATTGTAAGACTTTTGGTATTGCGGTAGAGTAGTTCGAAATAACTACCCTTCAGAGCTGTCGGAAACGGAAGAATTTCAGAATACAATCACAAACTTCATGAAAATGTTCAACATGGCAATTACCCAGTTTTCCGTTATCGACAACACTGCGCAGCTTCCGTCTCCTTTTCAACTGTACGACTCAATTTCTCATTTTTCGGATCAGATATACAACGACTACTATTTACTCATTCCTCAAGCAACGCCTCTTCTCGACAGGTTCCGCTGCAACTCGTCTTGACGTTATATCAATTCTCAGAGTTTTCGACAATATTTATCAAATGTGTGACCCGAAAAGCCTCTCAAAGGATTCTGTTCTAGCGCAGATCAGCTCTCTTTACAACAACATTTTCTATGTCACTCAAACTGGGTATGAGGAAAATCTGATTGATAAAAAAAGAAAATATTCAAGAGGTTCTTTCGACAATTTCCAAACGCTGAGAAGTCTCGAAGGCGTTTACCACTTCAAAACTACGTAAGATTTGCTAAGGAAGTGCAAAAGGAAGTAATTTGGAAAACAGTCGAACTTCCCCGTCTCGAGGGGACATCAAAATAAAACGGCACCTAGTAATGCTGATACCAACTCAAGTAAAATGTTTCTATGAAGTCGTAATAAGTGTGATACCGGGAAGATCTCAGCGTATTTTCATCGGACCCTTTTGCACTTTTCATTTCAAAATCTGAAAATAAAAATAACTCGCAGGTCTGTTGGAATGGCAAGTAAAGGAAACGAAATACCCGAAAACGTTTATAATCAACTGGAAGTCCTGGGCGACGTCATCAAAGCAGACAATTGGTATGACGCTGTGAATGCGATGGCTGTCGACGCCTACGGATCTTTGTACACACCTCCGCCCACCAAATCCATGTTTGAAACATGATTTTTTTGAATAAAAAAATTTTTCCGAAAAAAATTGGTGTACATGAGTCTTTTTTTCAAAAGGATAGATGTTCAAGAAAAAAAACACATTTTTCTGGAATATGTAGTTTTGGCCCTGATAAACTCCGCTTTTTATGTCCAAGGTACTAGCGACTTGGTTCTAGTGAATATAATCTCAGAAATCCTCCTTGAAAATCAAAAAAATTCAAGGACGGAATTTTTACAGAAAGTATTCTCCTTGAAGCGAAAAAAATTTCCTTTTCACCCTATAATTTTTTTCAAAATGCAATTTTTTTCCCAAGCAAAAATTTCATTCAAAAAAATATTGGAAAAAAGCAATAAATAAGTAACACCAGACTAGTTGAGTTGAGCAAAAAGGAACGGTGGATACCCGTATGAACGGATTTTACCTGTACTCGAAAGTCACGGGATACTGAGAGGATTGTGTACAAAAAAATGAACAAAAAAATTTCTAAAACTTCTAGAAGCTCGCAAAAAAACAATCTAAAATATAAAAAAAATGCCTATGATAGAAAAGAAAAAAATAACAGCAAAAATATTGAAGAATATTTACAACTCATTCTTCGAATTCAAAGTCTTCGTCTTGATTGATAGTCGAAACTTCTCTTTCCATTTCGAACTTCATTTTGCGGTCGTAGAAAATAAATGGCCTGACAAAACTGCGAATCATGCTCAGGCACCTGGAATTATTTAACGTGTAGGCTTTTTTAAAAAGGACTTTCTTTAGACCTTATATCTGGACAAAATAATTAATGAAAAATTTTTTTGCGATAATAAACTAAAAAAACTTTGAAAAAAACATTTTTGTTTTATAAAAATTTTATGACAGTGGCTAGAAAAAAATTTTTTTCTGAATCGAAATAAGAGGTTGAGTTGAAGACTTCTTTTTTTATGGACCTAGGGAATTTACAAAAAAGGCAAAAAAGTAGCCCGAACACATGAGAAATAATGACTTACTTGCACTTGCACTCATTGACAGGACACTCTTCTTCCATGTCAAACCAAGCGACGAGGTGGCGTGTGTGACCTCCATGATTGCAAACCTGAAAAAGTTCAATAATGAACAAAACTTTTTATTGAATCCGTGATTGAACTCACGCTGCAGACGCAAAACTCGTGGAGGATGTTTCGCTCGGATGCGTGGTCAACTTCCATCATTTCGAGTTGGTAGTAGCGGGCGCAAATTACACATCGCGGCAAAGGTTTGCGACATCGCTGGCAGGCGCTGATTGATGGCGGCTGTTCCTGTACAAAACATTGATAACTGTTTATTATGTACAACTTTTCCCGCGAAATCTAGGGTATTTCTTGAAAAAGTTCCCCCGCTTCAAATTATACTTGATGAAAACGCCCTAAAGTTCACTCGTACTATTTTCAATACTCCTATTGAAAAAATTTGATAATAGTCATTTTTTTCTGCAACTTTCATCAGATTTAAAACTAGAAGCAGTTGTGTTTTATCTAAAAAAAAGTTTTTCAATAATTCAAATTCGCAAAACATTTGGAAATTCTCACATCTTCATCATTGTCGTTTCCATTAGCGTTGGTGGAAGAAGAAATGCTCAGAGGCAAAAACTCCATAGAAGAGTCGACGTCGCGTCCGATGCTCTGCTGGTGTCTTCTGATTCGACGTTGCTGCTCCATTTTCGGCAACTGAAACGTTATGTGTTCTCGAAATAAATTCAGTTGAATAAACCGAAGCCATCGTCAAGTCTTGTCCATATGTAGCCAAAGTCACTCCTTTGCCAACAGTGGCGCCGCAGAAATTACAAGAAACCTCGGTCTGAAAGTTCTTTTAGAGTAATGGATTGTTTATGTTTTTACATGTTCTTTTTGAATTGAAATCGGATAGTTCAAAACCAGTTTTTTTCACTCAGATTGAAGATCTCTGATAACAATTATCGAAGGAAGTATAAAGAAAATGGAGGTAATTAAAGTTAAAAGGAAGTATTTTTGATTTTACTCATTTTCGAAAAGTGAAACTGGCCACAACTAAGATGCATATTTTTTTTTGCTTTTCGATGTTAATCAAGTCAGATATGCTTTTTTGCATTCCCAAAATTTGATATTGATCCTTTTATACAAACCTTGAATTTTTTGGCTCCCCTCGCCAAGCTCATGCTTTCATGCAGCAAGTTTTGAGTGGAAATCGGAGAAGTGATCAACTCAACAGCCGAAGCGAACTTCGACATTTCTCCTTCTAGCTTTCGCAGCAAATCCTCACTCAAATTTATCGATTGAAAAAGTTTGAAAACGGAAAAAAAAACCTGGTATCATCATAAGGGTTTCCGTCGCTGTCAAGTAGACAAGCAACTGGGAAAGCATGTTCAAGAGTTGGTGCCACTTTCACGTCGGTTGTTTCGTCCTCAAGTTCTTGGGCAAGGAGCTTGCCAATGTTACGGTTCATCTTGTAACCAGACTTTTCTCCAGGTTGCAACAACTGGAAAATTTCAAATTCGCAGGTGAAACTTTGTTAGTAAATTTACATCAAGTTGTTCGGAGTCATCGCTGAAGCATCGCCCAATGACCAGCAAATGACTTGTGAGCATGCAATCCGAGCTTATCATCGCTTCCCTGAACACTGTTTCAGTTAGAAAATGTCGGAAAAGTCTTACTCGTATAGAACTCGCAGAGAGTCTGGATGTCTACCCAAACCAACAAAAACAAGCCTGTCCATTCCTTTAACCTGTAATTTTTTGAGTTTATTCAAATAAAAAAATAACGAAGCTTGTGTGAAAAAACAAAAAAAATCCTCGTTTTATCACCAAAGCTTTAAATCAATTATCTCAGCAAGAAATATTGAAAATAAGTACAGAAAATTTACAAACCTTATTGACAAGGATTTGAAGAGGCTCGAGAATATCTGAACTATTTGACATACACACAATAAAAGCCACCTTTATGGTAAATTCGGCTTCCTGAAAAAAGTGTTTCAAAAAATCGACTCAAATGCTAAACACGCACCGATTCCAGAACATGTTTTATGATAAAATCTGGTTTTTTGCCCAAGTAAGTCATTTTCAAGAACAAAACACAAAGGACAAGAGCCGGGCACACGTGAGCGTTTTCTGAAAAAAAAAAAGTTGTAAATAGGCATTTTTAATGGTTGAACTATTTCAACGTGTTCAACTAGATAGGCTTGAAAAATGTTCCATCCTTCCTCGCAACTTACAGTACCTTTTCTTTGGAGAAGAGATATGAATAACTAAACCAAGTGGTATCTTGTAATTCGCCACTCAAAAACCGAAATGAACAAATGCAACCAAGGTAAAAAAAAATCGTACCTTACAAGTAAAAACTCAAGCTTTCTCGCAACCAAGAAAATTTCTCAATTAAAATTTTTTTCTTATAAAAATTCCGGAAATGCGAAAATTGAACTTTTTCATTTTTTTTTCTACTATAACTTTTATAGAAACCCTTGCCCACTATTTTCTACACTTGATATCCGCAGTTTAATTTTTTAAGTTGAGACAATGATTGAAATCAAATAAATATAAAACTTACGTTCAGCCACTTGCAAGAAGCGATCAGCTGCCTTGATCCACTGCTCCGGCTTCCAGGGAAGGTCCTCGTAGGGCGAAAACTCGCAAGGCGATGATTCGGAATCGATAGGCTGGACGGTGGGCAGATTGTTATCAGTAGCTCCAGACGAAGAAGTTTGGGGCAAAAGCCGCAGGAGCTGCTCGGCTGTTGGCTGCAGACGCCACTTTTGCTTTTTGGTCCTGGACCTGGTTTTGAAAGTCCAGTCGGTCGCGCGCTTGTCCAAATTTTTTTCGCGGCTTTTCTTGAAAGTCGAGTTCCGCTTTTCGTAGCGAGTGCATCGTCCAAAAAGTTTGAACTGAGCTTTATAGGAAATCAATGACCTGAAATTTTTCAATTATTTTCATAAAATAAATTATGTAGAAAAATAAAGATTGCCGATCAAGATAGAACTTTTTGTACTGTATTGACTTTTTGGGAAGTAATTGAAAAAAATTAAGTGAAAAAAACTAAAAAAATACTCAATTCATTTAGGGCTCTCAAATTCAAAAAAATTCCTGTGAAGTCTCTATATTTTTTTTACTTTCACAAAAAAATATCTGATTTGTGATGTTAATCCCAAAAAAACATTCTTAATGAATATTGAGAAAAAGTTCTGTCTCATCTTTAAATAGATCTTCACTGCCGGTTAATTAATAAATCTTCAAAAAAAAGAACAAAGGAGTTTTTTTCAAGAAATCGTGAATTTTTGAGGAATTTTTCAAATAAAGTTTAATCGAAATCTTAAAGTTTTTTCTCAAGTTGAAACTGTGATTCTTTCACCTGGCACTTTTTTTGAGAATCGATTTGGGGATTCTTGTAGCAGAACTGTTTTGAGGAGAAGTCTCGTCGGATTGGTTTTCAGTAGATGAAGCAATTTCGAAGGAATCGGCTCTTACGATCTGTTCATCGTCCAAACGAGACTATAAATCTTTTTTTCATGGATTTGAGTTTGACGAGTATACCAACCTCGTAATTCATATCACTCCTTTGTATGATAAATCGCTTTTTTGTCTGTGATTTCTGCCTTGCTTGTTTCATTTCCCAAACAACGCGAGTTCTTCTTTCCTCGGGCGTTTCGTTCTCTTTTTTCTCAATAACAACCACCGGTTCCTCTTTTTCTTGACCGGTCTTGATAGAACTCATTCTTAAAAAAAAGGTGCATGAACAACTGCTATCAGTTTCTCACTTTCTGAAAAGCTTCACAAGGACCCAGGTTTGTTGAACTTCATCCATTTCTTCGAAAGGAGTGTCTGGCTTCCCGTACATAGTGTGAATGTTCAGAAGAATCTGTAAAAAAGTATATTCAAGGGTAAGAAAAATTCGAAAGCAACCTCATCAGCGACGTCTCCACGTCCATAGCAAATTGCAATGAAAAATTTTTCGAAGAGTTTTTCCGGTGGATCCGAGTAAAGAATGGTGTTTGTGAGCATGGCAAGACGATCCAAGGTTGGCAGCCCCACAGAAAGCATCATCAATTTTCGAATCGGAGATATATGAACCTGGAAGAAATTGTACTGCTGCAAAACCATTGAAACGCAGAACAAACCCTTTTGCTGTACTTCCAAAAGGCATCGCCAACAAAGAACTTCATATCCTCAGCGTCCGCGTCAACCCCGTCGTGGACCAACTTTGCCATGTACAACAGGCCAGGTAGTCTTAAAATATCAACTAGTATCATGATTCTAATTATATGTCCAACCCTTTGACATTGAACGTTGATTCGAGTGATTTTTTCTCTCTGAGGACTTCATTTTCATCAATTTCAGGCATGTTGAGGGGATTGCTGAAGTTGTCATAGAACTCATCTTCGCTTTCCGAGCTGTTTTCTGCCGAGTCAATGATACTGTCCACCTCGTTTCGCGACTTTTCGGGATCAATTGTGCGTTTTTTACTTTTCTCAGCGCGCACGACTTTCAAATGGAAAGCCTTTTTGATGTTGAAATTGTTCCAGATTGGCCGTTTTGTCGAGTTGTAAAAATTTTGCTGCATCGGAATCGATTGAATTCGCTCGAAATCGACGTGATCAATGTTGGTTGCCCACTTCCAGAGAGCGTTTCCTGGTTTCAGATTGCTCAAGTTTTCTGCCGCTCCTTTCTGAAATTTCAAATTTAAATTTAGCTTATATGTGAGATATACCTTATTTCTGAGAATATCAACAAGCCTCAAAGGACGCTTGACCTTCTTGGCTTCCTTCAATGTGAGCTCTTTCCACTTTGACTGATCTAACTTCGCTTCTTTGTCCATCTTCAGCCACATAAACTTGTTCTCTCCCAGCCACACCATATGACACTTTCGAAGAAGGGAAAAGAAGTGAGCCATCATGAACTTATTATAGTTGCGAAGAACAACTCCATTTTTGGTGTAAATGCGTCGAACTGCTCTGAGAGGAGTTCCTGTTGCTTTGGAAGTTATGCGAGCGGCTCTACGAGCTTGACGGAGCAGCACGCCAAAAGTTGTAGTTTGAGGGCTCATTTGCAACTGTTCTTCGTATTTTTCCACAACTTCATTTGCACTGACTGCAGCGGGATTGTAATTCGGCCGGAATGGTGTTTTGACATTTTCGAATCGGATGACGGTTGCTTTTTCAGGTTTATTCTCTTTGACTACCGGAGGTAGCTCTTTCTTACGAGTCACGAGTGTCCACTCCTCCTCGTTTTCATCTGCGTCGGGTGCTTTCAGCTCAACCTTGCGCCACTGCATAGACTTCTTTCCGGTCTTTTCATCAGTGACCATAACGAGTTCTTCTTCAGTTCCAGTGCTTTTCGAGAGGGCGCTAGCTGCAGCTTGTGCTTTCTTCAGATCAATTTTTGCGTCTCTTATCAGAGCTTTTTTGAAATCGTCTTTGGCCAGAATCCTCTCTTGCTCATATAACATCTCGTCTCGTTCTTTCGCTTCGTACTCTCGCTGGGTTACGAAATGATCCATTACTGTATTTTTCCGAACAGGTTGATAAGGCTTGTAAGGAGCGATTTCAATCAGGCTTTCTAGGAGATCATCATTCCGTTCTTCAATTGGCGGTTTGTACGTTTTCTTTTTTGGCATCAACTTTTTTTGACGTTTGGCTAGAGCTAGCCGACGCTGTTTGCTCATGCGAGTACAAGTGAATTTCACTGAGAACTGACCACACTTTCGACATTTCTAAATGAATTGTTTTGATTCTCCTCTTTGAGAAGTTCTATACCTTTTTCTTATTGATTGAAGCTTCGAAACACTCCGGAATACTTCTGACATTGGCGCAAATTACACACAACTGAAAACCGCAGTAGACGAATTCAAGAATGAAATAACGTACTTCTTTTTTGCGTGACCATTTCTGGCAAAAAGTGCAGGCCGGGAAATGAAGAGCGCGCATAGAAGACTGGGCCATTTTTCTCTAAATATCCGTGATTTAATGAAAAATCTGGATTCGCATCTTGAAACCTTGGCGTTCAATTCAACGCTTTGCATGCGTTTGACCTGGTACCACTTTCGAGCCGAAAACTGTCGGTGAGCTTCAAGAAGGCACATCTCACTTCGGGATCGCTTGATAGTGTTCGGGTCTTCCAAGATGACGGGCGTTTCTTTCTTCTTAGCTTTCGGAACAGAAGCTTTTCTTTTTTGCTTGCTGTGCTCAAAAATTTGGCTTTTCGCAAGCTGTTGTAGCAGGTAGTGCGGAGGCTCGCTATCGAAGCAATTTCTTTGAAAAGTTCCAGAGCGTAATCCATCTTCCATCAAAGGTTCTTCTAAGCGCATGCTTCTGTAAGTTCCACGTCCTTCTTCGAACTCTTGGAACTTTTCTTTTTCTTTGACAGAAGCCGATCGGCCCGTGAAAAAACATTTTGACGCTTCCACCGTAAATGGAAGGTCGTGCTCCGATTTGGTTCTCCTCGGCACAAAAAACTGTACTTCACACGTCTTTTCTTTGGGATACTCAATGGCATCAGATCCGTAGAACTAAATAATCAGTTTTTAAAACATTCAATCTTATATTCGTCTTTACCTCATTCGCCTCTTCTGTTCCGACAGGAGCTTTCCTGTTTAATACAGATGTCTCTGAATTCTGAAAAGCTCCCGAAGGACATTCCAACGATATAGCGCCGCTGGAACTCTTGAAAAAGCCACTTAGTTTAGATATAATGAAAATATTGCCCACCGAAAGTATTTTTTCGAAGATGTCAGGCGTGTGAAACTTATTGCGAGAAGTTCCAAAAGAGTTCTAAACGTCAAGCATTGAAAAGTTGAAAAAACAAATTGTCAGACCGGTGGGTGCAAGCGAGAACTTGATTGCAGAAGCGTGGGAGACTCGGCGTCGCTTGAGTAATCCTCCAAAAAAAATTTTTTTTTTCTTATTTCAGAAGGCTTACTGAGTTTTCCGAACGACCAGGAGAAAGCTCGTTTGCCCAGACCGAGTCAACCCTGAGCTGTTTTTCTTCCTAAATAGCTGTGAATAGTTTCAATTAATGTTCGCAAAGTTTAGAAACAATTTTATGACCAGTTCGCTAACTTTTTGAAAATCTGATTGAAAGCCTTCGTTTTGTTACTCATCTAAAGTGAGGATTCAGAAGAGAAATTTTTTGCCAACTTTTCAAAATGCCAAAGCAGCAATTTGCAACTTTAAGAAAATCAATAATTTTAGAGAAAATTATAGAAAAAATGTGAAATTTTGTAAGTTTTGTTAAAACTCTTATCAGCTCAACTTTTACCTGATTCCAGTTTTTACAAAGTGTTTTTCCTTGATTTTTTTCAAAAATATCCTAATATTTTACAAATTCCCCATTAGCAAAATCCCACCTTCAACTTCACAGCATGAGGCTTCTGTACAGTTGAACGGAATCTTTGACGTTGGTTTTCCAATGCGGGCTGAAATTTATTCGGAGAGTTAGTTTATCATTTTTATTGAATCAATACCGTCTCAGAAAACTTTTCCTCGTTCCTATTAAGGACTGTGTCATCCATGGATTCAAAAGAAACGTCGAGAATATCGTCATCTAGGCGCTCGCTTAACTAAAAGCAAAAACGAATAATTCAGAATAATGAGGCCCTATTACCGATCGAGATGAACTGGCGTCAGGATCGTATGAAGTCGAAGTTGGAGACAGAAATTGCATTTTCTGATGTTTCTCGTAGGAAGAGTCTTCCTCAAAGTCCACCGGAAAATCGGAAAATACTTTTATGTTTTGTGGTTTTTATCACCTCTCTACTGGAACGGTAGTTTCCAACACAAATGGAGCTGGTTGACGGCTGATCTCGAGATTCCGCTGAAATGTCGAAAACGTCTGCTGTCGAATCTCCGGAAACTGATTTACTTGTTTTCGATGGCTGAATTTTAACTTTGAGAAATCATCCAGCTGGATTTTCATACTTCAAACATGCTACTTGAACTTTCCACAGCATCGCTCCAATCATATTTTTCGTGGAGTTTATTCATGGATTTCTAAATGTTTCTCAATTAGTTCTAAGGTCCGTTAAAAGCTAAAAACCGCTTCTCTTGCTCTGATCCAATCTGTTGCAGAAAAATGCGATACCGATTCCTTTGTGTCAAGACTTCCAAGACTCTGAACAAAAAATAGAGAAAGTTAAATTATCAGAGCAAGTGAAATCACCTCCGAACGGCGGCGGAAGCACGATTCGGGCAGTGGAATCGGCCCATTATTGCTGTATTTGCTCGTGGGTGTACCAGAAAACTCAGAAAACTCGTCTTCTTCCTGAATAAAAGTTTAATCCTAAATCCTATTTTCATCAACAAAAATCACCTCATTCAAAAAGCTAAGATTTTGAAAACCAGTTGGAACGAGATATTGTTCAGGAAAAAGGTACGGAAAGGTTGGAAACCTCGTCGACTGACTGAAATCTTGATATTAAACTTTTAGTGAATCGACTGACCGCGCGTGATGTCAAGCGACTTTGCCGAGAGAAACTTTTTTCCGTTTTTTCAGGGGACTCATATTTCAAACTCTGAAAAATTTTTTAAAACTAAAGTTGGAGATTGAAAGTACCAATTTTGGTGAAGTAACCGATTCGTTTGCAATAACCAACACTGGAACTCCTTGCAACGGTCGCGTGACAGACTCATATGTCAGATGAGCAGAATGAAGCTGAAGAAATAAAAATAGGAAATGTATATGATAAAACCAACCTTCTCTGGCAGAGATGAACTGCGGGTTAAATCAAACTGGACGCTATTTCCCAAACGCAAGGAGCTTACAATGTTGGGTAAAGACCGGAATCGTTTCAGGCCATCTTGCTGGTCCATAAACATCATCGTTCTTTTATCTTCAGCGTCGAACACTTCTTCATCCAGAGAATCACTTCCTTCCGTATAATATTGATCCTGAAAATTGTCATATTGGTTGATCATCACGACAGAAAAGTGGAACTCACAGAGAAAAAAACGGGTTGAGGTTCCGAATCTTCAGAGTTTTTTGACATGACTTCTGAAATGCTCTCCGACACGGTCTTTTCTTGTTTTTCGACTTTTCTTGATTCCGGTGATTCATCCTCTTTTACTTCTTCCTCTGATTTTAGATATTCATCAATGGGAACGATGCGTTGGAATTTGTTGAGCATTTTTACATGAACGTCCAAAGTTGGAAAGTCTTCGTGGCGTGCGAAACTGCCTCGCGCAAGTTTTTGCACTTCGACGATGTCAGAAAGAAGCTCAGAAAATGATGCGACAGAGCCATCCGACACCCAGGAGTGCCTGCTGTAGAACGTGTGCCATCCGCTGAACAAGGCTCGTTGCAGAGCTTCTCTCAGATTCTCCATTTCTTCGTCGGTGACATCGAGAACTGGCACTTTTCCGTCGGTTGAAATTTTCATTTGCCAGTCAAAAACTTTTCTACGGCGCTCACGAAAAAAATCTGAGCGCACTTTTTCCAATAGGGTCACAATCTCAAGTTCGGTGAGCCTTCTTGGCTTGTGCTCTTCAACATATGGAGGTTCCGAGGCTATGATCAACTTGATTCCTTGGCCTTTTGTTGTTGGCGCCTGTGGCTTCGGAATCGGAAGAAGCCCTCGTGGGAAACTTTTTCCGCCTTTCTTTTTTGCCGGTGTTTGTAAAACGCCTGATGACAGTTTAGTAGAAATGATCGGCTGAGGACTTGTCTGCGTGAGTTTCTGTTGTCCAATTACAACTGAACCATCCTCGACATTTTCGTCGGCTTTTCGAATTGGATCACTAATTGGTCTGTGGAAGAATATTTGACACAAAGGACCCATAAGCTTGAAAAATTGTTTGTACGCGGCTCTTTGACGTGAAATAGATACAGTAGGCTCTTTCGGGGTATCTTCGTTAAGGCTGTCATGATCAGCAATGAGCAGCCATTCTGAAATTTGAAAAGGACTCTGAAAATGAGAAAAATTCTAACCTCGAGCAGAATATTGCATGTGAACCGCCATTTGAAGCCAACTTCCCCAAAACGCAGTTGTTGTCTCTACCACACGGTCGGTTATATCCGGAAGGTTGTGGTTTGCAACTTTTAAATTGTTCCATCCACTTGTGAGACGATCAAAAATTATCCAGTAAATGTAGGGAGAAGTGGTCTGAAAGAGATCCATATAATTCGAGTGAAACTGATAATAATTAACCTTGTACCACTCGGCTGCTCGAGTGAAATTGATTTTCTTAAATGTTGCAGGCTCCTGATTCGCAATTTCGTGTTGAACAGGACTCTGAAAATTTTTGTTTAAAAGTTTCAGAAATGAGAATTATTGACCGTGATGAATTCGAATTCGTCACTGTGTTTCAAAAGCACCAGACCAGTCACGCCAGGAGTGGGAAAATCAAAAGAATGAACCTCTTCTTTCTAAAAAAAAAACACCATGAAACAAGTGAAAGTAACTAATGAATACCTCATAAATAACGTTCATTTCTGTGTCCGGAAACTTGCAAACTTCTTCTTCGATTAGATCCATATTCATGACGTCTTCCAAGCGCTCCGCGGAAACTCTTTACAAATTTTGTTTGAAAACGAATATTAAAAATGAGCTCACAATTTGTGCGTCAAATCGGTCAAATTCTTTTGATTTTGTTCGAAATTCTGCAAGATCTTGAATTATATGAATACACCTATTTAACCCACAGATATAGGTTCCGCCCAAAGTTTGGGAACTTGCATGTGACTTTGAGGTTTTTTCGCCAGTTCAAAGTGCTCGTAGTAGTCGTAAAGAGGCATTTCAATAGTGAAAGGAGGAAATCTAGAAGTGAAATTTGAAAAATGACATATAAGTTTTCTACAATTGTGCACGACGCCTTCTCTGGGCCTCCGTGAAGATCTGTCCTCCGATGTGTTTGAAAGTGCACGTTTGGTCTTCGGTCATAAGAGAATCGCAGACAATCTGAAAAAAAACTTCTATCCAATTTGTCATCGAGAAGCGTTTACTTTTTGAATCAAGTTAGTGTTTTCTTTGATGTCGAGGGATTTCATGGTGCCAAACGCCGTTCCGTAAACCAGTTCGTTAGGCATAAAATGATTCCAACGAAGATCTGTGATAGTGTCGCCAATTTCCTAAAGCGAATGCTGATACGGTCATTCAATTTTGTCCCTTACCATTCTTGTTGGCATTTTGGTAACAGGATAGCTCATACAGCGCAAATCAAAAGTGAGAATGTCATCCTTATAACAACCCGCAAATTGACAAGGTCTGTCAATCAGAAATGACAAACTCGTTAATGGTTCAAGCAAACCTATGGGGATTGAAAGTCAAATGTTCCAAAGGATTGTTCAGAAAAAGGGCTTTGTATTCCCGAGGATCGCGCATGTCGCAAAGTCTGAGGGCAGTCTCTGAAGATATCATGAACGTTGCAGCGCTGGTCCTGAAAAGATTTTGCTGGGGGTTGTGAGAGACCAAAGTTTTCTCGAAGCATAATCGTTTTCAGTGTATTTCTCGGTTACCTTTCCTCGAGCATTTTCGGAAAAAAAACTTTCCGAAATGATTTAAAAAATGATATTTGTTGAATTACTCTGTATGGTTGAGAAATTATTGATATTTGAAACATACCATGTCCAGGCAATGGAAGAGATGATTTCTTCGGTGTCATAGTGGACAATTGGACGATTGTTGTTTGCAATATCATACACAGAAACAGTGGATTCAAAGCTGATATTTTAGTTATAAAAAGAGAAAAAGTTTATCAACTAACGCTTCTTCCGAAGAATTAATGCAAAATAGTCCTTTGTCCAAATTGGAAGCTCGAACGTGAGAAATATGTTCGTTGCGGACGTCCATCACCTTCAGAATTTTGATTCGATGTCTAAAACAGCTCCTTGCCCAAAATTTCGCTAATGAATAACTCACTCGCTCAGAAAGCTATCGTCATTTCCAGCATGCACAAGATTTACGTTTCCATTGCTAGTTCCGTAAAGGAAATACTGACAGTGGAAATGAAAATCTAATGCGGATACGAATTCCGGCTTTTGTGTCATTTTAAGAGTACATAAAGGCTGAGATCGTTCGGGATTTGTAATATGCACAAACTCCAGCAACTAAATATGAAGATTTCAAAGAATTTGCACTTCTAAAACTAACAGAAACAGTGTCATTAATGTCGTACTCGACCACTGCAACATCGCCTACGACGCGAATTTGACGAGTGAGTCCTCCGGGACTCCATCTAAAAAATGCAGCATCATTCTAGTTTTGATTAAAAACAACAGTTTAATCTAATTTGTAAGACTATAAAAAATGTTTAAATCACAAAAACGAACATTTTTTTCTTGCTTCGCGACGACTTGGGGAACGACACCGTGTCGGTGTCGTCCGTTTCAAACTTGAGAAAATCCAGAGTTGGCACGAAGGTTCCCTGCAAATACAACCAATCAAGACAGTCACCAGATAACAGAAAAGAAAGCGATAAGACTGACGATTATCATAAAATTTGAGTGAAAATCTAAATGTGTGACTTTTTAGGCCAAAAAAAGTGGAAAAACTTCGATAAAGATTTAATTTAACACATCTTTTGTTACATCCAACATAATTTCAAAAAAAGAATAATTTTTTTGAAAAAAATACTTGACAAAAACTAAAAACAATTGAAATAAAAAAAGAGGAAAAAAAGAATTTTCAAACAGTCGGAGGTGGGAGAAATCTCGGTGGCGCGCAATTTCCCCTTTTCTTGCCTTCTAATGTTTTTGCAACAAAAAAACGTTTTTTTTATGGTAACATCATTTGGAATTTTCCAATTTGTTTATCAAAAGTTTTTAAAATTGTTTATCGTTCAAAAAATGACTTTCAATTCCTTTTGAAAACGGAAGAAAATAATTTTTTTATTGTCACGCTTACGCAATAAGTATTAATAATATGGTCGCAAACCTTCGACTCAAAGAAACTTTTTCTCAACTGGAGAAACCTCATCAAAATTTATTTTATTTGTTGTTCTTATTACTGTGAACACGCATTTTTTTCATTTTTTTGAAGTATTTGTTATCTTGAATAATTAAAAAGCGAATAAAATATCAATTAACAGCACATCACAAAAATTGAAGACGTATAACGATTTTTTGAAAAATTTTTTGAAACTACACGCATATGAGAGCTACTCGAACGGCAAAAGATTCGGAAAAAACGAAATTTTCTTTGATACGTGAACACTGCCTTTGCACTTGGCGCCAAGAAGGTCAAAAACAACCCTTGCACTTGTAGGGCAAAATCTGCGACTTTGGCCCTCCCATCAAAATTCATTTATTGTGAAAAGTCTTTTCACCTTTTTTTACGACGTTTTTTTCTTTTTATCAAGTTGTAGACTATTTTTTGCGATGGTTTGAAACAAATTACAAATCATCTCATCGGATTTCTTTCATATCAGTCAATTGAAAAAAATGTATTTATGCCGGCATTGAAGATAGAGCAATAGATGTGAAATAAGAATGATATCGATGAAATTAGTGAAACACAGCGAAATTAACCTAGAACAAGTAACATGGGAAATCGTGGATTATTGAGAACAAATAACAGAAAAAATTGCTAATAGATTCGATAATCCGTAAATTAAACCATAAAAGAAAACCAAAAACTGTATCTAGAAAAATTGAAAGATTATGGGTCATCAAAAAATAAGAACCCCACATACAAAATGCTTGAAAAATGTCATGATGAAAGTTGGAAGCGATTAACTGAAAATAACTTTCTAACAAGTTTTCATAGATAATTTGGGTGATAATTGTGATATTGGGTTATTCCATATTTTTTTGACAAAAAAATAAAAACGTTTTTATTTCAATTTCGTATAGTTGGGTATGCTATTTGAACCGGCTATTGCATCGGGATTGCGTTAGACGTAGGTTTCCAAACGATGGGACGCCAAGAAGCGGATTTCTGAAAACAATCTCTTGCCAAAATAGTTTGAAAAATGTGTGTGAATTGATTAATTGATTAATGGATGTTAGTTAGGCAATTGGTGGGTTTTGGGGGTGTAAGGCAGACAGACGTGAGACGAAAGGATGCACAGCGACTTTTCTCCGTTTCCAACAAACCAACTAGGACGACTTGTCCTTTTTCCGGATGAATGAGAAGAATCCTTTTTTCTTTTTCTTCTGCTTCTCAGCGCTCGTTGTCTGAAAGAAAGCTGGTTGAGTTCCAGTTTCAAATGGAAATATTACCTCGTCCACAGTGTTCAATGCGGAATGCGAGGCTGAATTACCTGAAATCCCATCATGATTTCGGATAATTTATCTGCAGCTAAGAAAAAAATTGAAATTTTCAATAAATCTATCTATTTTTTTCAAAATAGAAATTCAATCAAAAGTTGATTTATGACGATTGATTCATGTACTTTTGAAGGAGAAATAGGAAAAAAAGTAAAGCGTTTTTCAACATTCCCGAAAAATTATATTCCACGAAACAGAAACAACCAAAACAGGGAGAACAAAATCACTTCAAATCATGCCTTCACAGAAATCACTTTTCTTATCATCACTCAACAACGATCAAGTTTTGATTTATCTATAATTTTATTTACTGAAAGTAGAACAACGTTCACCATCCACTTGCTGTTTTATGGAAAATGCTTGTGTTCTTACCATTTTTTGAATTATTCTTCTCACATCTCATTTGAAAAGTTTTCTGAGTTATTTATCAGTGCGAAATAATGAATTCGCTTCATTCAAACTTTGAAATTCTTATAAAATGATTGAAAAGTTTTGCAAAGCTAATGATTTTTCAAAGTTTCTATTTTTTATTACTCACTTGCTCGGGGCAAAAAAAGTAGACAGAAATAATTTTTTTTTGCAGTCAGTCTTGCTAATCTTGGGAAAAACTTTCAATAAATCTTGTTCGAGCCGGAGGTGGATGAACTCTCCTTGGCCATTAATAAGGAAAACAAAAATCTAGAAAATTACTTCAGAAGCACATTCTCTCATCGATAGAAAAAAATTTTTACAAGCAAGACTTTTTTTTGTTTCTAAATTCCATAGTCTTTTTTTCAAATTCAATAAAGTTCTGAATTTATGAACTAAACTCGATTTCGTAAAATTTAGGTTCAGCAAGCTTTTGGTAAACGAAGTGTAAGAAAACCATAAAACCAACCATTCTGGTCGAACGGATCATTATCAATAGAAACACGTTCGACAGTGAATCGGCGCCTGACGACTTCTTTTGACGATGGCTCTACACACCACACAATAAAGAGCATTAGCAAGGTTTCGTTGATGATCTTCTTTGGTGCAGATGCAAGCACAAGCCAAGCAAAAGTATTCGTTTTGAATGAAAATTCGGAAGATTGCGAAAATAACTCAAAATACACTAAAAGAGCAAAAGTGAATCTTTGAATGCGATGAACATTGTAACTTTTGAACTGATGACTCAAAAAAAATACTTATTCACTCTTCCGAATTTCTCATTTCCAAATAATGGGGAAGTGCGGTCAAATATTATTGGAGGCTTAGAGTTCTGATTAGTTCAGAAAAACTGACTCACAAGGAAGGTCATTCTTTTCCCTTTTTTCCATGACACATTTCAGAAATTGATAGAAGCCCGTGTTGATGCAAATGTAATTTTGAAAACGAACAACTCCTTTTAAAATTCAAAAACCCTGCTTTCTTGATATAGTAAGCGATTTTCATCAAGGGATCAATGTTTGTGTATTAATCACTTTCAAAATTTTATTTGTTTTGTGAAAAAAAAAAATACAATTTCACGAAAGATTCAAAAAAAAAAGAAGGACCTTCATTGTAAGTTTTTCTTCGAAGTTTTTTTTTCGATTCACATAAAATTTAGAAAGAAACCATCAACCAGAGGAGTTCCCAAAGCACACGTCTGCATGTTAAATAGAACTCAAATTATTGATCTTACCTTGAACTTCGGGAGAACGGGGTACTCCGGTGCTGCTTGGCGCTGAAACGCGGAAAATAGTCCATAAAAAAGAAACGACACAATAATCACACTAGAAAAGCGAAAGAACAAAGTTGGAATTTTGATGAAAAAAATTTCATAAAAATCAGGCGTTTTTCTTCTTCGAATTTTGAGCTTCCAAAAGTTCAAATACCACGCAGAAAATGTTTGATTGATGATTCAAAATTTACTTCAAAAGGAGCATTTAGCGATTTTAATCTTTTTTTTTCCGAAAATTACCTGTTTCAAAGAACAACTTTTTCAAACAAGACTTACCGTTGGATTTGGTTGAGGCGAAAGAAGAATCGGCGATCGGGTCCGCAGATCCGCTCTTGGCTGACATCTGATGTTCGCGGATTCCCTGCATCAGAGAAGCCGTGTCTGCCAAATCTGTTGAAATTCCAAGTTTCAACTTAAAGCCAAACAAACCAGCATCAGCGTCGAAAGAGTTTTCAGTCCTTGCAGATCTTGCCGTTCGGTCGGTTGGTGTCTTCGCTTTTGGCGACTTCGATTCGACCTGAAAATTTTTCTTTCCTTTTTTTCTTAAAGCATTCTATGACCTCCTGTATGTATTTCTTGATGTTCTCGTCTGTCTCAACGGAAAAGGGGTTAGGAGCATACAGTTGCTTGTAGACTTGTGCGTTGTGCTGGAACTGTCTATCAATGATCCCTTTACTAGCGGTTCCGATGAAAATGGCACGATCTTGAGGGGAGCTCTGTCCTACGAGACCTTCGCTGTCTGGCTGCAAATTTCATTTTCTTTGTGTGGAAAATAACTCTGAAAGTACCACTCTGACAGTGATTGCAATGTCGTCATAATTCACGCCGTCTAGTATTTGGCTTTGAGGTCCTGCAGTTGTTGCTCCAAGTCGTCTGATCTCCTTTAAAATCTTTGTTCTAATGTTCTTCAACGTTTCATACTTTGATTTCTTTCTGTTTCTCCTTGAACTCTTTTGGATTGTGAGAAGCTGGGCTAAACTGATGAGCTCCGTTGATTTTTGTTGGTGTTCCGCTAGCGGAAGGAGAATTCGCGTCTTGGACCCACTGAAAAGAACATTTTGATTTTTCTTTTCAATAAAATCGGCGCTCAATGATTGGTTGAAAAAAACTGCCATGTCTGCTCAAAATTGGAATTTACTACTTTTCTCTCAATTCCAACATCATTGAAAATTCAAAATTATGGACATGATTCCTTGAAGTTTGATAAACCAATAGATGAATAAATCAACTTTTCAGATATTTAAGTTTGTTTTATGGTCTTTTCTCAAACCTTCAGAGCGATTGGTTTCATCAAACTTGAAGTAACTTAAAATGAATAGGCTCTCTGTTGGCTGAATAAACAACCTTGGTAATCTTCTTCGGTCGGTCTGTTCCGCTCTCTAAGAATTCTATTTTTTGATATGCGTTGGGGCTGTTCGTCCAACGGACTTGATCTTTCCTCAGTAGCGCTAATTTGTGCGCTGCCAGGCTTTCGGGATCAGACTCGTCTACCTGAAACTTTGTATTAAATTGGAATAGAGCCAAAAAACAACCGCTCCGACAGAACTTGCTGCTGGAGGTGTAGCCACATCGCTCCTGTTAGTATTCGATTGAGCAAGAGCTGACTTTGGCCGGAGCATAGGTTGGCGATAAATGTGGCCGGTTCGCATACCCTTGACAAAGTACAGTTGAGATCTCGGGCTCAAAGTAAGGCTGTATTTTTTTGAACACTTGATTTCTCAGTTCTGACGAAATAGCGATTAACACGATTTTCGAAATTTTCTTTTCTTGATAATTAAAATATCAGGTACCTTGGATTTCACTTCATCGAAAATCGCAATGAATTCAAGCACGATAGTTATGGTATAGTTAATTGAATATTTTTTCTGTTTGGAGTCCTTTAAAGATATGAATCTAACCCTGCCTATCATGAAAAAACCATCAGAAATTCCAAAAATTCATTATGTCCTTACCGCATGATCCATGACTCGCATCCAAGCCTCCCATTCTAACTCTCCAACTTTCCATTGCATGCCACTGCTTGAAAGTCTCTTGAGTGATCCGGAATTGGCTGAAAAAACTTTTTATTGAGTCATTTTGGCTCAAACAGTTATCTTACCATTTTTCGCATCACGATGTGCCCTTGCAATGGCATTTTGATCAAGAATGACCAAGTTTTCGATTCCGGCTCTAGCAGCGCGAACCTAGAATCAGTTGAAGTTTCAGGTTGAACCATCGGAATATTGAATCATAAACTTTTTCATTCTTATTTTTTTACAGAAAGTTTTTTTATCAATAAAAAAAGTTACCATACAAATACAAAGACATAAGTACGCGTAATTAAACCAATTGGAAAAAAATTTACGAGAAACTTTTTTTATTGCCTCTCTCCGTCTCCATTTCTAGCTTTTGAGCTTCAAAGGCGCAAACGCTTTAAAAAAGAATAAATTAAAATTCATCGATGATATGTCAAGAGACCGTGACCTGACTTTTAGAAGAGAAGGATATAAAAAAATTAAGAAGAACCTGAGTTTCACAGGCGACCACCGTGTTATGAGCTAGATATGTAGCATGTTCGACAGTATCGCCAATCACCAAAAACCCGTGGTTTCTCAGAAGCATCACCTGAAAGTGAAGGTTTGCTTCAAAATTGAAAAATAAAATGAATTAGAAGCGTCGAACTTTCAAATTTAATTACAGTCCAAAGCTTTTTCACTATTCTGGAGTATGAGAAAATCTCCAATCTAGGGCTAAGAAAACTTCAATGTTTCTTTTTTTCTCATGAAAACTGAAAAAGAAGTCTCACATTCTTGTCGCCAAGGCTCCTCACGACTTCTTCGACGGCAGAGTCATCGTCTCCAATTTCCTAAAATCCATTCATTGTCGACAATAAAGCGCCGACGACGCGCTGATTATGCAAAGAACGGCGGCGGCCATGTCAGTGATGAATTTGCTGCTGCGCCCGGCTTTTGACCAATTCGTGTGTGTTATGCTAATTGGCCGTTGTTTGTCTACTCTTAGATGGACTGCCATAGAGCAGATATTACCTTTTGTTGGCTTTTTTCGAAATCCCGAAAAAGAATACATTTTTTGTTTCTTCTTCAATTTAAACAAGCCTGCCATAAAAAAAGCTTGGTACTTAAATTTGACTTTTTGTTTTTTAGTCTAATGAATTTTCAAGCGTCACAGTTTGAATTGTTTAGGCGTGTTATTCGTTTTGAAACGTTTTCAAAGGCGTTTTCGGCATTTTTAAATTTTGAATCAGCCTGTGAAATTTAAGTTGATAAAGCAAGTTTGAATTCTCACTTCAAGCAGAAAACAGTCGTGAATGACTAACCAAATACTCGTGATAGGCGACAGGACCGATGACCATGGCTTCGTGGCAAATCGGCAGGAGTCCGCACTTCATGCTGGCCACGGCGGCGACGACGGCCGTGTGCATGTGAAGCACACATTTCGCGTCGGGTCTTGCTTTATGGATTGCGGCGTGCAACCGGAAAGCCGTCTACAAATCTTCCTTGATACTGTTGGTCATTGAAATTGGCACTTACGCTATTTATTCCTAGTTTTGTAGTTCCTGGATCAAGGACGTTTCCTGTCTCGTCGACTTTCACAAGGGCACCAGCTGTTATTTCGTGGTAAAGCAAACCGAATGGATTCACTAGATATTCTGGATTCTCCTCAGCCATTTGAAACTGTAAAAGTTTTGATAATAAAGCGAATTTCCAGAGATTCAGAGAACCTAATAAATTAAAGCGAACGTTTTGTTAACTTCAAAACTTTTGGATTTTTTTTTTAATTACAAGTTTATCAGCAGATAAAACGCACTGTGATGTCGTTGTAAATTCCTTGTGACCACTGGGAAAAATCGGCAAGCCGGAACAGCGATGCAAGTTTGTTCCTCTGCATTCTTTCAAGTTTCGTGTATTTTTCATTGCCTCGAAGATCCGCGATAGGAATAGTACTTCCTAAAAAATTTCTCGTAAATAGAGGGTTTGAGTTGCTCATGTCGCAATTTCCCGCTGGGAGCACATTTCACCGTGCGTATATTGCTCTAATGAGACAGGTCGCCGCCCAAAATAACAATAAACACGAGATCGACGTCACATCAAGCCATAAATTTGCTCGAGAGAGGAGCATTTGCTTCTGTTAGAACTACAGCTAACCGCGCTTGAAAAAATAATTTTCACAGCCATTCGTGAATGTTTTCAATATCTCCAAGCGTAGATAAAAATTTCCGTAAGTGGAGAAAATTTTTGAATAAAAATTAACAAGGAAAGAGCTTTTGATGGTCTTACAAGATATTGATACAAATACCGCAAAAACTCTCTTCGATTTGAAATGTATTTGTTACTTGAATGAAGAGAAGGTTTTTGGCTTTGTTTACGAAAATAAATTTGTTTAAAGAAAGACTTAATCCAAATGTTGTAAAAATGTTTCGATGTGGTAATAATAAAATTGATTAGAAGGAAAAATGACAAAAAACATCGAAAAACTATTCAAAATATTTGTATGAAGATTTTAACTGTTTTTCTTAAAAGGCAAACGTGATTATTTTTAAGACGTCAAAGGTCCAGAAAAGATGTGGTTAAAAGAAAAATAACGGAAAAATGTCTTTCAATTTGTTTGTCATTCATTTGCCATACGCATGAACTCACAAGAGGTTAAAATAATTGACTGCTCACCAGAAGAGTAAAGATTGCCAAGAGACATGTTTCCCTGCGAAACAGTGAGTTCAGATAGCCGTTGCCAAGTCTGAAGGTGGTCTGGATCAGAGCGAGAGCTGTCGAAATCCTGGCGAATGACGCCTTCGAGCTCCTTGCAAAAAGAGTGCGACTTCAATATCTCTTGAACTCGTTTGCGTCTCTCCATCTCCGATAGGTCTTCCTGAAAAACGTCCCAACTTGGATTATCTTCATTTCTGGCAAAACAGAGAAGCTGTCAAATGCAAGCCTAGAAATGTAACCTTGATGACGGCGGGTCGCTGCAGATCTTTTATGTACTCGGGATCTTCCGGGTCCACCAGAAATTGCCGCTCTCGTTCTTTCTTGCCGTTCATTGCCCTGCAATTGAAACATTTCCAGTGAGGACTTTCTCACGGAGAAAATCACTTAATGAGTCACGCAAATTGAAAAAAAAACACTTTTCAGGAAAACAAAATTGATTATTATATGAATGGACCAGTCTAAAGTGTTTTGAGTTTGTCATTTTTCATTCAAAGTAGCTGTTTTCACATTTTTATTCACGATTTTTCCTACTGGTGGAAAAAAAAAAGTGGAAAAATTAAATTGAACAAAAAATACAAAATTTACAAGAGGCAGATTGAGAAAGCACAATGGTCTGGACGTAAAAATCGAAAGAGCGAAAGATAAATTCTGCGCCGGTGGGGGCGTGGCCGGATCGTTTAGACACATTGCGCATGCAAATTTCGGCATTGTCCTTATGATTCAGAGGCTCCAAACTGTCTCCTACGGACAAAACTCGCACAATTCAAAAGGCAGCGGATGTCAACATTCACTTTCTCCATCATGATTCGAAAGATCTTCGATTAATTGCGCGATGGATCATGTCAAGTCTGAAGAAAAAGAAAGCCTTTGTGACGTTTTAGCTATTTTTCAGTACAAAAATAACCATTTTTTTTGAATTTTTTTTGGAAAAGTTAAGATTGCCCATTTAATTTAACATGGTTATTCATAGACCGAAACCGTTCAAATTCGAAAAATGAGAAAAGAATAGAACAAGGAAATGACGAGGCAAACACGAGAGTGTCACTGAGTGAAAAAAACCAGATAAGACAGATTTATAAGAAGTGGCGATTGAAGATCGCATTTCCAAAAATACATTAGCCACAAAGTTTCCAAAAACTGTTTTTTTGTTTTCTTTAGTTTTCGTGAGCCAAATGATCACAAACATTAAAAAATTGACCCACAGTTTTGCGATTTATAAATATTTTTGTAACATGTCTTTGATATTTTATAAAAAAATGGAAAGCATCTGTAAAGATTTTATAATACTGCGAAAATAGGCAAACCTCTTGAGATGGGAAAGAAATCCGAATGAAACAAAACCAATGAAAGGACGCAAAGAAGAAAATTGTGCCGAAGAAAGGACAATCGTGAGAAAAAAAAAACGTTCACGAGAAAATTTAACCAATATATCGGGGGAACAAATTTGAAGACTTTTTTGATCAGACGCTGGGAGCCAAATTTCCTCAATAGAACTGTGAACTGAAGAGGAAAGTAGACTTGTTGTTTTTCTTTATTGTGAAGGATTAACTATACATATTAACGCAGATTCGAAAATCTATTTTTTTTTTCTGATGGTTCATCAGGTTTCTTAGGGAAAAAAGAAACACATGTTGCGATTTGAAGATCAGTGAGAGAAGCGACAAAAAAGAGATCGCTCCGAGTCAAAATAGGAAATAGATCTTTCAGGTCGAAACGCCAAGGTCGTGCGACACATGAACGGCGTGAAATGCAGAAACGGCGAGATAAACCGAGGAATTACCTCAAAATTGTTTTTTTGTTAGATGAATACTGCTCATAAATTTTTTTCGCTCAAATTATTTGTTTAATCAAAAAGAAACCGTTTTTTTCATGGATCCTTCATTGTTTTTGCAAGATTGAACTTAGAGAATTTTTTTATTTATGAATCTGCTTCTAAAAAAGCTGCTTTTTAATTCATTACAAATACTTCTTTTCAAAAATAAATAATAAAATTCAGTCAAGTACACTTTTTGTTTTTCACGATTTTTAGATGAATAATTTCGTTTTCTAATAGCTGATACAAAAAGAACTGCAAAGAGATTTACGCTTTTTTTCGCAATTCGTTTCTCTTTCGAATCTTTCCGAATTAGCAAAAACGTTCGTAAATTCAAACCATAACTTGAAAGAAAAACGATACCATAAAAGTTTTCGATGTTATCAAATTTCTCAATAAACCAGCAACTGATTTCATAAACCCAAAGAAAATGTAACTCTTATCGAAAATCTTGTTCAACTTTTGCGGGGCTTGATGGAGACTGAAGAGTAGAAGACCAAAAAGGAAATATGAGGTTGCGAGGACGTCGCCTTACTTGCATTCTTCACTTTTTTTTCTCCTTTTATTTCGTCGCAACGTGCTCTTCGCGGGCCGCGCACCCTTGCCGTCTGCTTGGAATAAACAGTGGACAAATTGCATGTCGCCCTGAGCACAAGTTTCACTACTTCGCCGCCTATCAGGTGAGAGAGTACCTTCACGGATCGCTTGGACTTCCATGCAATTGAGAGCACATCGGCAACATATTGGCTGCCTTTGTTTCCAGGAACTATAGTTTTAAGTTTAACTTCTACAATGAAATTTTTAATTTTTGAACTCCAGTTTGAAATCGTCGAGTAAATTATAGAACTGAATCATTAAACTAATTTAAGCGTGATGTTTTATTTTAATTAATTAAATTCACATGGAAGTTGTTGGGATGTTGGTGTTTTCATCAAAAAAAGAAAACGAAGGTTTGCTAAAAAATTCAGCTAACTAAGGAACTACTCGGACTCGGGTACCCGTTTCGAGTTGAAACTTTTGTGGCTCATAGACCCGGGTAAGAGTACTTAGAAACAAGAGAGATTATCTGCGAAACCCCATAGGCTTCTGAGAAAAAGCTTTTTGAAAATGAACAATTTAGGCTTGAAAATTATCAAATTTCTGCTTTTCTCCTTCTTTTGACTGGAAAAAAGTTTTTAGAGTGTATCATAGCCGGATCCTCCAAGGCGAGTGTATTAAAATATGAAAAAAGGTAAAAAGCAGTATTCTGAAAATTTTCAAGCCTAATTATAACATTTTCTACTAATTTTTTCTCGGTTCTCTATTGGGTTTAGCAGATATTCTCTCTTGTTTTCAAGTATTCTCACTTAGGTCTATAAACGACGAAAGTTTGAACTCGATCCGCGTACCCCAGTCCGAGTAGTTCCCTAGTGAGAATCATTTAAGAGCCGATTATTTATTCTCTCACTGATATATCTCACTCAAACAAAAACGTACAAGATACACAGAGGAATAACCTTGATTCGAGATAAAAAATTATATTATCTCAGTTGTGGTCGAGATATGCCTCTTTTAAGTTATCAAGAATTTACGAATCAATTTCATAAAGCGGAAAGCTTAGGCCCTTCGAATTTTTTTCAGGTTGGTAACAGGGTTTTTAAACTACCTTTTCACAAAATTGCATGAAATTCTCAAACGACCATCAAACGCATAATCCCAATCAGTTTTTGAAGACTCCTGTTCAAGATTTTCGTTTTGGAGCACTCCCTTTTTGAGCCATTACTTGTGCGATTTGTTAGCTTTCAAAAATTCAAAGCACTTCACTTAAAATTGTTCATTTCCAAGTTTCATCATAGAAAAAATGAAGTATAAGAAAAAGAACGAAAAAATCTGGAAAGCCTTGTTTGTCATACAAAGTGCACCCATAGGTTTTCAGCACATCATTAACAGTCGTTAAAAGCTGCCGCCATAAAAAAGCGCTATCGAGAGCTCCCGAAAATGGGATTCCGACCAAATTTCCATTTGTCACCGAGAAGCTTTAATGGACCTTTTGGAGCCATACTGCGTTTGAGGACATTTCGCGGTAAATTCCAGAAACGCTGCCACTAGAGAAAATTTTTGTGGAATGGTGATAGAGTAAAAGTCTGAGAAAACTGAAAAGGCAGGTTTTGACGGGCGGAGACGTATGCAAATCAGGTGCAAATTTTTTTTCAGGGCTTATTCAATTTCCGAGAACAAATGCTGCCCTTTAATCAACGAAAGAAACTTTTTAATGAGGACGATTTTTATTGACAAAGTAAACAATTAGTAGCCGGATTTTTACAATAAGTATCATTATTTAGATCTGCAGGGGAATGAGTAAATTCTCAGATTAGGATATTCCATTCGTTTTTTTTTTCAAAAAATTGGAATACCGGCTTCGTGCGGAATGTTTTATAATAAAAAATTACTGCTGTGATTCAAAATTTTCACTTGCCTAGTATTCTCTATTCATTTGGCTGCATGCGAAAATTTTTTAGAAGGTTATTGCTTACTTTAAAAAAGCTTTTCGAGGAAGTAGAGGTAGCTGAATTCTGCAATGATTTCAAAAAAAGTACAAGTTTTTTTTTCAATTTGGCCTCTCTCAGAATGGAAAAAGTTTTTGGAAAGGCTGTCTTAAAAATTTTTTGAGGATTAGAAAAATTTCAAAGGAATGTTTGAAAAGCAAGGAAAGGAGAAACTTGGCAAGAAGTAGCCGGAGCCGCGAGCCAACGCTGCCTAGAAGGAAATGCCGCGGCTTTTGTTGACTGTAAGTTTGATGAGCCTCGAGAGCCGCAAGGGTGTCCCGCAGAACCAGCAGATCGGACTGCAAATACCCATCTGTCATCGTCAACACTTTACTTGCAGTATCATCGACTCTGTTTTTGCCAAATACGGCTACTCTCTGTCGCTCATTAAATCATTGTTTTCAAATCTGTATTTCTTGCAAAAGAAGGACTATTCGTGACGGATACTTCAAAATTTCGCGAAGTTATATTTTTGCGCTATCATTTGTGATGAAGAAAATTAGAAAACTACAATTTTGACTATGAGCTATAATGGTGAAATTAAAAGATTTAACATGTCTATTAAATTTTTGAAAACGGACTTATCATTTCCGAAAATTTCTAAACTTTTCGAACCAAAAAAATTTTCTTGTTGGAACTCTACAGATAGAATCTGAAATTTTAGAAACTAATGAAAACAAGAGGCGAAATGAATGAGGAGGTTTGAAACAAAATTGTTTATAAGCAACACGAAAAAGAGTCCAAAAAAATTCAATTATAAAAAAATAGGCTAGTTATCACACCTAAACAAGAAATTTCGGACTTGCTTCACATTTTCATTATTTTCTCGCGAACCAATCATTTAATCATTTTCTAATTCTTCCGGTGAAAGAGAAAAAAAAAGTCATATCATCCAAAAAGATGAAAAAAAAAAGCATTTTTGAATAGAGGCGCTACCGTACCAAATGCCGGGAAAAACTCACAATTGCTTTTTCAATCTTTCCTCTTCTGAAACATTATCTAGTTGATATGCAGGCAGATTAACTAAATCCTTTCGATGTGGGGCTTCAAAGGTCGTATGCACTTTTAGAGATTTTTTTCATAGCTCAAAAAGATAAGTCAAACGGAAAAAAACTGATTAATAATAAAATTTGTCTATTATTCATCACAATTGAAAAATTAATAAATTTTCTTGGTAGTTATAAAGAAAATACCACAGCCAGAAAAAAAAAATGAGTAGCGCGACCGTAAACTTTACGTCAAAAAGGAGGCAGCAAGGATAGGGAAAAAGGACGAACGAGCAAATAGTGGGAATACAACCAAGAATAGCAATCAAAGTTATTGATCCACGCTTGAAACAACTCGGCAAAGTTCCTTCCACATCACGGTTCGATAAGAAAGTTTCTGTTGACATTTGGCACCAAATCGATTTCGTATTCGACATTTGACAACAATGATTTTGTGCTTATCGGCTCATTGTTCATGTTAAGACGTTCTTTCTGCGCTTTCCTTGCACTTGCACTGTTGTTTGAAAATTTGATGATCATGCGAAGTTCTGAGGGCGATGAATCTCGACAAGAAGTTTTTTTCAGCTGCCGATTCATCTTTTGGCTGAGATTCAACCCAAAAATTTTGCTCTCAGAAAACTTTTTCGCAATGGATCCTGACTTCTTTGAAGTTTGCTAGTTGTTGAAACTATAGAACAAAAGCGTCCTGCAAAGCATTTGGAGTGTATGAGCTCAAAAATAAAACCTATTACGACCGATTTTCCTTTTTTAAACCCACCTGTCTTAGACACTGAGTTGTAAAAATGGAATATATTACGAATGAGAAGATAAAAATCTGAAAAGTGCAGAAAAAGAACACAAAGCCTAAAATTCGTGGAACAAAACAAGCCGTCCAAAATGCCTCGCAACAACGAAGGCGTACGCGGGACTGATAAAGACGAAAATCGAAGAACAAACATCGGACAAGAACTGTGATTGATTCCGGCTGAGGGTCGATTTAAGCTCCGTTGGACCGGCGGAAAGGCCGGTGCTTGAGATGACACCCGCGGAATCATCGTCAGTCGGCGGAAGTTATTGTGATGGCAGTTGCTGATCCGATAATTCCTAGTTGGTATTTGAAAAGGCCAAGGATTGGGGACATGGAGTTCCAATTCCATTTGGGATTTTCATTGTTATGTCCAGTTTTTCAGTAAGAGATGAAGAAAACGCAAAATAAGTATAGTCCATTCACCGATGACTTGAGGGGTACAATCAATCTGCGTTTTATGAAAAAAATATTGCGCTAAAAAGTTCAATAATTTTTTTCTGCTGAGAGTACTATTCAAACGAAAAACTGTTTTTCAAGCTGTTTAAGAGTACCAACGTTAGAATCGTGAATTACGCGTTATTTTTCCGGAAGTGATGGAATTATATGTCTAGCCCAAATATGGACCTTTCTGAATGACTCTTCAAAACGCCTGATAAAAATGAAAGAGTAGCTCGGATCATCAATGAAATGGAGAGAAAAACTTTTGATTTACATTTGAAAACATCTGATTCCTGAGATTTTAAAATAAAAAGACCGAGAACTCATTTAGAAAAATAGGAAGCTACTTCTCTCATTCTTCCTCGTTCTATCCATTTCCACTATTCTAAAGTAGAAGTGCAAGTACAAAAAAAAAAATTAGAAAGAGATGTGTGCTGAAAACACATCGACGACTGGTTCGAGTTTCTAATTGGAAATGGAAACTTGAAGCCGCTGGAGCCGCCTCACGTATCATTTTTGGAGTGTATCGAGACGAACACAAACTCTATCCGTCTCTTATCCGCTACAGATGAATGTTGACGAAACATTTACTCAAAACCTGAGATTCGAGATCGAAAAAAAGAGAAAAGGAAGGCGTCAGCCACTACAATTTCCCAAAATAGGCGGACGCCGCGGGTCGCAATTGCAGTCGCCTGCCTGCCGTTCCGACATTCGCGCTGAGCACGAATAGGGATTCTCAAACAAAATAAGAAACCTTTCTCACGCTTTATCACCTTTTTAGGTGCCCTTGGGAATTGAGGAGAGAACGTAAAAAATGTGTTTTTGTAATGAAAAAGTCTCGTATACATTCATTGCTTTTCGTTTCTGGAGAACAATCATGGAGATTCGTTCATTTTTTTATTATATTCTTGTTTCGAAAAGGAATTACGTCAAGAGATTATTATCTAGGATTGTTGAAAAATCCACGAGAGATGTTAACTTACACGTTCCTGAAATCTCCCGTGTCTTCGAAGAAGGCTTGCTCAATTTTTTCTTCAAGAGTGAATTGGAAAAAAACCGGGAGACCTTTTGATACACTGATCAGCAATTTCACTACTTATTTTCTATTCTTTGTTATTTTCTTTTTGAGTTTCTACTTGAAACCGTTTAACTATACTGTGCGCTCCTAACCTAAACTTTTTTTCTTTCCGAAATCGGAAAAAAAGTGGCGTTATTCAGAGACTCAAAAGGCATGAATATAAAGATCTTAACCAACACGATTCGTTGTTTTAAGGTTCCCAAATATGACAGAAAATATTCAAATAATTTTTCAGCAATTCTTTCAATTTTCTTATCGAGAAAATAGTCTACAAATAATTCTTCATTTCAGACGAACGGTCGTCGTGTCCATAAATTTGAACCAATCATCTTCCCACTCTATTTGCCCTTTTGCCGGGCATTTTCGCACTGATTTTCAACAAAAAATGTATGAGTTCCTACCAGTTGGGAAATCCTTTAAGTGAAAAAAAAAGTCAACCTCTTACGTTTATAAACTGGAATAAATCAAACTATCTTGCTTTTTTTTTAGCTTTTTAGAGGTTATATTTTACGATGATTGGTTAATAATTCAATCGAAGTTTGTGAAAATTTACTTTCAGATCTCAAGAATGCAAAAAAGTCGGGACATGTATTTTTTGTAGAGCTATCGAGCCTCGAAACTTGTGCGCTATCAATTCGATGAAGAAAAAAGTTACAAAAAAGTTTCATTTCCTTTCGTACATTTGTTATAATTCTTGGGAGACATTACTCTGAAAAACAGGAAAAGACGGGAGAAGTAACGATTCAGAGGAAGAGTACATTTCTACAATTCCATCAGAATTCATTTATTTGTTCAAGATTACGAAGCAACAGCGCTTGAGAAGTAAGTTCTACAGAAAAAAAAAGAAAAAAAAGTGTTATAAAAGTGCATTCCCGAAACGTATCTTAAATCGAGTCTGAAGAAATTAGTAGGTGTGGCTTTGAGTAGAAATCTGAGTTTGATCAGAGTAAAGTTAAGAAAAAAAAGAATAAAAAAAACGAAAGTGAAGGAAGCGAAAAAGGGCACAAAGAATAAGAAAGGAATTCGGAAAAGGCGCGCTTCAAAGCACGGAGCATTTTGAGCCGCCGAGCCAAAGACGGAAAGACCCGAAGGAGCGTGTCCGGCCGTGCGCAGATGCACTCGTTACTTGAACGAAGCCTAATGGAATTAGACCAACAAATTGCACTGGAGCGTCCGTGCACAGCTTCATATAAGCACTAGGTGCTCCGACAATTGCTCCGCTTTGTCGGCGGCGACATACGTATTTCTCCTGCTGGTAGTAGCTCACGAACTCTGATCCAGACGAGGTGAAAAGCTTCAAAATGAAGTTCTGACATTATTTTCAAAGATCCAAATAAACAAATCGAAATGTCATATAAAAAAATGAATTTATGTTAGTTTTATAGTGGAAAAATTTTCTCTTCAGAATCGCCCCACTGAAAAAACTATCATTTTCGAAGCGTCGATTCGGTATACTTCTGAAATTGAAAAAAACGACACTGTTTCGTTTTCAAAACAGACATCTAGAAGTGACAAAAATCTTTTTTTCTTGACTCATTAAACAACTTTTTTTCAACAAATAACAGTTTCGACAAGTTAAAAACTTTCGAAAAAAATTTAAACTTCAATAAGAGAATGCTAGTATTCAAAAACTTTCGAACAGTAATCACAAAAAAAGTTTCAAAAATTTTTTTAAAAAAATCAAATTGAAGACGCTTAAATTGTCTAAAAGGGCAAAAGAACTTTCAGGGTTTTCAAATAGCAAAAAATCAACTTGAAAGCAAGAATGCGATAACTTATTTGTTCTTTAAAAAAAGAAAAACTCATGTGAACATTTCGCATCTGGACAGTTATATCTCATGTATATAAATGAATATGTCTGAGAACCGTTTCTTTCATTATTTTTTTCTAATTAAACTAAAACGAAATCCACTCTTTAAAAATTAAAAAAACAAAAATTAAGAGCAATAGCTTCGAAAACTGGAATAGAATAGGATGAAGTTGTATCATAACTAAAATAAACGGTGTGACATCGAAGCCGAATGCAGAGGAAAGAGATTATGAGTGAACGATGGGCCAAAAGAGACAAACGCGTCCTTGCGGCCTGGAATCCCTAGGGCTCTTTGGTGCAACCGGTCGGCCTTCGAGCTTCATTCTATTTTAGTACGAATTGTTCCAATGTGTTGCCCTTTTAAACGAACTTGTCGAGAAGTTTTTTTTGATAGTCACACATCGAGTTGTGAAACAAAAAACCAACGCTAAAAATCAAAGTGAGGCAAAAGTTGAGTTAAAAGAAAATCTTTGTAATATGATTTTTCGATAAGTTATTGAGACATGAGCAAACACCCTCATCAGATATTTTCCGAGTATTTTCTTTCAAAGGAGTAGAAATTTCCGAAAAACTATATTTTAACTTAAGAATTCTTCATAAAGGAGCTGACCAGAAATGAAAATTATCTTCCTCAAAAAAAAAACAGGATTTTCTTCGTCGAATTATCTTCTTAATGACCTTGAAAAGGCATTAGAGCAGTCTCAATAAGAGTGCGATTAAAAATTTGTCTTTTTTCCTTTTCCAAATTCAGGGCATGCGTACTTTTTGGCTTTGAGAAAATTAGTTAAATTTAAGAAATAAGTCACTTTGTCGTAATAATTGTTAAAACAGTTCATTAAAAATAATACAAAAAGTTGTAATTTTTTTCGAAATAAAATTGAAAAAATTTCACGTCAAACTTTTAGATGTTTTTTTTATAGATATGTCAATTTGATTAGATGACTTTTTCTAGTTTTTTTGACTACACATTTCTGGTTTCATCTCAAGAAGTTGACGTCATCTTCAATCAGAGCCGCTCTTTTCAGGACGTCAGGTAGTCTCCGGGAAAGAGTACTTCGAAAAAACCGCTTGACACCATAGAGTATCGAGGAAAAAGCTTCTTGGAATTGTGCGAATCAGCAAAAAACTACTTTTCTGAGGATTTCGTAGAGGAAAAGCTTCATCTGACATTCCTCATTATCATATCTTTTAGGAAACTTTTGATTTGCAAATCTGAGCCTTTCTTACTGTTTTCAACAATCTTTCGGGATAAAAACCATTCATTCTTTTGTTTCAAAGACTCAACCCAAAGACTAACCATAAAACTAATTCTGAAAAAAATTTAAAAATGAAAAAAACAAGCAAATTTATTGATTAGCACTTTCAAAAACTATTTGCGAACAAAAACATATAAAATAATTAGAACTAACGAGAAAAATAATTTAACATTGCGGTTGGCTGTTTCCTTAAAGTTGCCCAAAAATTTTCTACTCAAACCTGCGGAACTTTCTGGATTTCATAAAGGATACTTAATAATCAAAAAAAACATCTCAAAACGGGCGCGCCGTAGCGCAACAGGTTGTGTGCCTGTCTACGGTCCACAGGGTCACAAGTTCGATCCTCGCCCCGACCCAACCAAGGGGTTTGAGAAATGTTGGTAGTGGGAAACCACGGCTTCATAAATCCCCAGCCGTCAGACACAAGGACGGATATGTCACTGGAGCCAGTCCACTGATATCAGGATAGGACCTCGGCTAATCGACTTGGGGCGCCCACGCCGATCAAGCGGTACAAAGGCGTAAGAAGAAGAAGATCTCAAAATCCGTAAAAATGGAAAATTGTGTAGGTTTAAACTCACAGTATTTTCTTTTCGTAGAAAGAGAAGTTTTTAAAGCGATTCCAAGGAACTCCCAACCGCACATAAAAATGAATTTCCTTGTGAATGTTCGTCATCAATAAATTCTTCTGATTCTGAAAAACTCCAAGAACGTTTGTTTCCCCAAATAGCTCAAAGATATCTATCTTTGGATTTGCCGTCATGGAAGTGTTTTATGGTTTCACAACACACGACATTATTATCTACATGTTGTCACGTTGAAATCATAACAATTGCGAATTCGCACTCCTCCGCGAAACCTACTCGACCCGCCCAGTCAGATTTGTTCTCCTTTTCCAAGGACTAGATCTGATGGCTGAGCTGGAATAACAGTTGAATTGACGGCTTCAAAAAAGGGGCGGGAAGTTTTAAGCCGGCAGGGCTCGGCCTCCTTCTACACGTGTGGATACGACTCCTGCGATTTCACTTTTGTCTCAACGGACATGCGAGGAGCTTCGAACCGGTGCGTTTCGATGGCTTTGACCTATTTGCTGATGATCAGCGGTCAGCTCGTCACGGCCTGCTTCCTCAACTCGTGCCCCTACCGACGCTACGGCAGAACACTCCGATGTGCCAGTTGTGGTAAGTCCTCAGACGGAATCACACTCAGCTCTGAAAGTCCGCTCAAAATCTGAGAGAAAAAGGACAGCAGCTTTCAAGATTTTGGTTCTCGATGGAAAAATTAAAAACGGTTTTTCTAACTGGCACAAATAGTTTATTTCTATTTATTTCTTGAACTTGATTCGATGAACTTGTTTTTCCAGTAAACCCACAAGTGCCATAGAGATTACAAAAGATTTAAAAGTCATAACTCGATTCGTTTTTTTTTTCGAGTTATTCTGTTCAAGCGCGGGCCAGTTTCAATTAAAAATTTGAAGACTTCTGATAAAAAAACTTTTTCGAAACTAGTCTGGCAAATCAAAAACTCCTTTAACACTCCATTTTTTTCAAATTATTTTTTTGGTATGATTCATATTTAGGGAATTCATTTTTTTCCATTTTTTTGCAATATACTTCTTTCTCACATACTTGAAAAAGAAACTAGCTGAAAAAGAAGCTTTTTTTGGGGAATCTTTAGAATGAATAAACAATTTTTTCCTGAATAGTGGAACCAAGTCTTTCGAGTCTATTTTAAAAGCCTGAGTTTGTTATTCCGGCTTTAATTCTAAGACAAAAATCATGGCACAAGAAAAAATCTTGTGAATTTCTGAATGGTCTTTCCTGAAAATTTTTGAGCGGTTTAAGAATTTACATTTTTTTTTCTGAGTGCCTGTTCAAAACGTGTGAAATACTTTCCTGTGTTTGATGAAATGAAAAAAAGGTTTTGTGAGGAACGGAAAAACGCTTGACTTCCTACTCTTCAAATGAATCCTCGCGGAAATTTTCCAAATTATCAGCGCAACACAAAGAAAAGCACGGATTAGTTTTTAAAATTGGCTTCTTTCGTACGAAATCCCTTTGACCAAAGCTGCAGAACACATTCGGTAGTTGTACTTTCTTTTACGATCTTTGTTGTTACTATTTATGGCTTGACATGTCGAGCAGCTTTTGACTCTGAAAAGAAAAGAAAATAAAAAATTTATTATGGACTACGGTAGGCAATAAAAAACTTGTTTCTAGGGAGATTGAGCTCAGGTGAGTTATGTGCGGTGTTGTAAATCTTAGAGAGTTGTTTGGTTTGTCTCGAGGTACTGAGTGAAATTGAATTTCGACCTGTTGAAAGATTGAGATTTTTTTTTCTGAACAGAGCCACATTAATTGGAAAAGCAACAGAACTGATTAGCAAATTAGTCGTTTTTATTGAACTTTTTGACTCATTTTGGAAATTATGAGACACTGAAAATCCAGAATTGTTGAGGGTTATAAAATAACTCAAAAAATTCGAAAAAAAAAATCAGGAATTCAGTAGGAATGAAATAAAATAAAGATTCTACACTTCAAAAAAAAAGCGCTTGAAATTTCAAGAAACTGTATAAGTAAAAAGTTTTATTGCAACCTCGAGTTTATAATTGGCTTGGAATATCTAGTAAAATAATTCTTGAAGTGGTGAAACGCAAAAAGAAAAACAAAGAGCTAAAGTAATTGATCTCCTAATCATAGACTTTTTTTTCCCATTTTCAGAATTATCTGCAGTTCCGAAGTACGTCGGCTCATTCAAATTGAAACATTTTCAGGCCCGGAGCTGCAAGGAATCTGCGTTCAGGACGGCAAATGCTGTACAAATGAAGACTGCTTTCCGGACGACGAATGTACTTCTGTTTCTGTCTGTCCGGAGCTCTTCTGCAAAGTGAGACTTCATTCCATTTATTGAGAAAATTTGCCTTTTCTCAGATTGCCAGGCATCCCGGGTACTGCATGGAAAAGAACTACTGTTGCACACAAGGTTTTATTTTTTTTCTATTTCCTGATATCCAAAAAAAGCTAAAGCATTGTGATCTACGAGCAACCTTAAGCCGATTCGAAAGAACCAATGCGTATCCGCCCACTATATCCACGTTTACAGGAGGCTGTCAGAAAAGCGCGATGTGTATCTGAAGAAAATCCTCCTCACGCCTTCATTTCGAGCCAGCCGCTGACGAATCGTCATCCCACTTTAATACAAATCTTTTTTTTTGCCAATAATACTTATTATTTTGTCACGGAAACAAAGGATCAAAACGTTATTTAGTTGATTATGCGCATTTCATTCGAGGAACAAATAAAAGAAGAAGCCTCCTTTATCGGACAGTGTTTGCGAGAAAACACGAGTTTTCGGAAATCTCCGAAATTTCAAGGAGTTTGAACGATATAGTCTACAAAAATAGTGCTTTTTGGTAACCTATTAGAAAAAAAAAACAGAATTCGGAAAGTTTAAGCTGAAGCTTTCTGATGTAGGAAAATAACAATAATCAATACTTCCTTCTGCGTGGAAGACATGGAGAAGCAGTGATTGTCGGAACGCATATTTTCCTAATGTTAGTATCCGAAAAAACACAAGATGATCTACGAGCCATTGTTGGTCAACGCGATCCCGCAAACCGACAACCAAATCTTCATTTATTCCATGATTCGGCAGAAATTCTTCTCCAAAGAATGAATAAACTTGTAAACTTGAGCTTAAAAATCCAAAAATCAACATATTTATTTACAAAAAAGTTTCGAAAAAAGTTCAAAGACAACAGTAAAGCACAGAAGTTAGAAAAAAGAAATGAGTGAAAGAATCGGAGGCAACGACGAAGGCAAAACCCTAGAAATGACGTGCATGACAGTGTCAGCTCTCTTTGAGCCAGAAGAATTTTGTATAGAGAAAAAATGATGAAAAAGAAACCAAAAAATTAGAAGATGTCAAAGCACCAGAATCATGTATGGCAAATTGAATATGCTTACTGCTAAAAACTTAAAGTCACAGGATTTACAACGTTCTGAATCGAAAAAAGACAGAAGAAATATCGATTTTCTATAGTTCAGTCCCCGGCAGCTTGAAAATTGAAGACTTTGAAAAAGTTCAGAAGAATTCATTTTGATGTCTCTGATCGCAATAATCGGACTATAACACAGTCGAGAAGTCGCAAAAAAGATAATTATTGGCTTTGGTCGTTCGATAACTTTCATATAGAACTAGTCGAGCCCAAGCTCTTTAAATTGTTGAAAAAATCACCGTTTTAATCACTTGTAAGAAATTTTAACTCATAATTAGTGGATGAGTTTTCACTTTGTGACAGGAGGTGCTGAAGGTTTCTGTGGAACGAGATCGGATTGCTGCAGAACCCATTGGTGAGTTCGACTGTTGGCATTAGAAAGGGCAGGCCCTGGCGGAGCTCCGCCGTTGGCTTTTTTCCGGCGTTGTCCTGCCTGATTTGGGTCGGCTGCTGGTTTTCTTGTTGGAGACGTGCTTGTATTCTTCGACACTTTGCGAGGCACGTCGCAAGGCGGAAGTGGCGGAGGCATGTCTGGAGGCTTTGGACGAGCCTGAGAACGTTTTTGATCGCGTTTAACACAAAATTTCATGTATAGTAGCAAATCTCTTATTTTTTCAACTTTTGAAATTTTCGAGTATCCGCAAAGAATGACTTTTCTGTTAATTTAAAGTAATGCAAACTGCATTTTCTAGAATAACTTACCGATTAACTATCTTGGGTCAATCAGAGTCGTAGGGCGTGCGGTTGCAAAACCACTCTACTATTTTAAATGCTTCTTTTTCTGATTATTACTATTTTTGAAAAGTCCAGCAATAACCTTGCAGTGAGCTAAATTGAAAAAACTTTCTCAGGCTCGTTTGAAAAAGAAATCAACTCACAGTGGGTATCGCAGGCGACATAACCCCTTCCTCGAGCATGTCTAAAGAATTCATCTGATCGCGGATCCTGTGGTCGCGTTCTCTCTTTTTTCTTCTCTCATGCCTTCGTGCTTCTCTTTCCAGTAAAAATCTTTGATGGTCGACTTGCTTCGCCAAGATGTTCGTCAGACAAACGGATATGCACTGAAAACGTTCGTCTCACAACCTGGGCGATGGAAAATAATATATCAGCTTAGAGATAAATAGAAAAGTTGTCCTGAACCGAGTACGATCCTTTCTGCCTCACGATTACGTTATTATCACACGTTTTTGAAAAAAAAAAACTGGAGCCTCATCCTTTTGAAGATCGAAAAAAGCTTGCTAAAAATCGCAAGAAAAGCTTCACTCTGTCATCCATGGATATTTTTTTCCAACAAGAGAGCGGAGTATTCGAACTTGTGTGGGAGAAGTAGAGAGATAATCACTCGAATCATAGTTTCACGTTTTGCGGCATCATTCACCCACTCCACGTGTACCTCTTATGGAAAATAATCCGGGCAAAGACTCACAACTGGCACGATGAGTAGAGCGACGGCGGCTCCGATGTGGACAGCGTGTGACTCGAAAACCGTTCTCAGAGGTTGAAGACACCCTCTCGTGTAGATGTCGTGCTCCAGCTCCGACGGTCGCTTTGTCAGAGCGTTTTGCCAACATTCCAAAGATCTCATCGCAGGGAGCAGAGGATTTGAAGAACCAGCCTGGATTTTTAAGTTTATATCATTGCCCTTGATGGATACTCGAAAAAGATTGTTAGAAAATTCTACCAAATTTTGAAATCACCATAAAGTTTTCTTTTCCAGAAGTCTCATTTTAGGTGCAAAAAAAGAACTTTTCAGTAAAAACATATACATCTTAAAAAAATCTTTGACTGTTTTTTTGATTTCTTTTTGAAGGAATTCCTTGAATTTATGATTAATTACAATTGAATTTTTGGGCTTGTCATTAATGTTTCACTGGTAATCTTTAATCAGATGTTACAGAAATCTTTCAAGATTCGAAGAATTTTCTGACTTTCAATTTCAAAAGAAAAGTTTTCTCTCCAATTTTTGAAACCAACCGCTTCAGAGATGACAGACTTTCGGCAACAGGAGAATGGAACTCCGCACTTTTCAGGCTGTGGATTGGACGTCGTGCAGTTGAATTGATAGCTCATGCTCCAATCCCTGTATCCTTGAGCAATCGATGACACTCCGCAGCATTGCAACTGAAAAAAAAATAGTAGGAAAGTTCAAATGGGCTCAATTATGAACTTTAAACACTATAAACAAGCATCTCACGTTTTCCTGCAATGAATCGACAATTTCTGCTAAGTTTCGATTTGTGTGGTAGTTCTTGATGGCATACAATAACAAGGAGTGGGCAGACAGACCCTGAAACAATCATTTTTCGAAAAGTTTCTTTTTCACGAACCTCTGTTGTGTCCGTGTAGAAAAGAATAAAAAGTACAAATGTGGCAACAACGACTAGTATATAACTGAAGAAAACGGATAGGGCGAACTGAAAAATCAGTCATCATTGGAATATCGGAATGAAACTGAAAAACTAACACTTTTGAGCAAAAATATGTTATCTCGTAGAGCACCCAGGGAGCCAAGTAATGATATCACGCATATAGAAACACCTAAAAAAGAATCCTTTTTTTGGAATCGTATAGTCATTTTTGAACTTACCAATAACACTAATAAGAATAGCAGGATTCAAAATGATGTCAACCAATTTGACTTCCCGGAAATCTTTGATGAAAAGATAGACTCCAAGTGCAAGTATTGCAACGCCGATAAGCTGAAAAATAAGAATTAAATAAAATTTTGTGAAATCCCCTGAAAGAGGTCAGATTAGAATAAACCCATAGTGCAAGAACCAACGAGAACATAAGTGATAATATTGACTACATAAATATTTTAATAACGCGAAAAATTCTTTACATGACAAAACTTCCCGTTTTCTTTTTTTGTGATTTGATCATATTGGATGATTACATGATTAAACACATTTCAGAATTTTTTTCAAAGAATATATTAAGTTCAGGTGAACGGATAGTAAAGCCGGATTACGGAATGACCTGAAAACAACAATTAGTGTTATTGGACCTTAAAAGGTTTGGATGGAATCATAGCCACAAATATTTTCATTTAAAGGTCATAATGCTAATGATGCGAACAATATTTTTCAGCAGTTTACTAACACCCTTTTGGCCGAATCGATAACAAATTTAAAAGTACTGAAAGTTCGAAAGAACTTTTCCAAAATTATTTTGAATTCTCCAGTTGTCCAACTAAGTTTCTCGTTTTGCGATTATCGCGTTCTTCGCGCAGTCCAATCCAAGTGTGGATAATTGGGCAGGAAAAGCTGTGCAGAAACGCGATGATAAGTTGATAAGCCCGAAACGGCGGCACAAAGCGACTTATTCGGCATTTCGCATCACCATTCCACAAAAAGCCATTCCACTGCCTTCGTCATTCCGATTCGGGAGAAATCGGTATAAGTTATATGAGAAAAGGCGATAGTGATAAGCCTGAGAGATGTTTGAAACAAGTTCGAGTTTTTTCGAACTCTCAAGCTGTTCAGATTCCTCCAGTTTTCAATTTCTTTTTCCCTAGAAAAAAATTTCTTCAGTTCAGCCACTCTTTTCATACTCCAAGGTCAAAAAAAAAGAAGAATGAACATGTGAAGTCGCCGGCGTTGAAACTGTTTTAGAAAATTCAAAATTCAAAAAAAAATCGGCGGAAAGGTGGCCGTCGGAAAGTTCCCTAGCGATATGAAAAAATCGGAAAAGTGGCCGTTTGAATTTTCGTTGGTCATTTTTTCATACCCCCAAAAAAAAAACTTGGAAAGGACATTTCGAAAACAGCATCCCAAGTCATAAACGTCGAAAAAAAAATTTTTCACCTGCTTTCTCAATTGTTTGAATGGTCCCATAATCAACTTCTGTCTAGCTTCCAAAAAAATTGGCTCGGAAAGTTTTCGTTACGCTTCGAAAATCTGTCCTTTTTAAAAGTGTTTTACGCAATTTTCGAAGTTAAAGCATCGGGATAAATCGAATCTAGTGATGCTGATATTACTCAGAAGGCTCGGACTGTTTTATATAAGAGAATTTCCCTTTTTCTCAAAAATATCAGTGAGGTTCTTCATGAACCTCATTACAGATGCCAACGTCCTTGGCGCCATGCACGCCATGCGTACAAGTGCCTGCCTGATAACCACTTTAGCGGCTTTCGTTTGACTTATTTACCGATTCCATTCGATTTGGCCGCCGTGTTGATTGTTTTTCGCGGCTTCCCCTGAACGGCACGGCAGCTGAAGAAACCAAAACAGGCCGAGGTCAAGAGGCTTGGCATCACAATGACCGTCAACCGACTGGCAGAATTCCGTTCTCTGTTATTTTAATTTCACAGCTCATAGTTTGAGTTGCAGGATTTGGAGTTGAATTGAGGATAAGTCCTGGTTACACCTATTAGATAGAAGATTTCAAAGAAGAGAAAGAAAAAATTTGAGCAAACCACATTCCCGAAATAGTGACGCAAAACGTTGCCTAATAAAAAAGAATGATAGACTCGAATGGCAGAGATTTCGGGACATTTCTACATATTTGGAGATCTATCAGAAACCGACTTCCATCGGGTTTTCGAAGAAAAATTGCCGATTCCGTGAATTTTCAACTTTGAGAGTCTTTGCGCGCTGTTATTTATATGAACGATCGAGTCTTGATTTTTGCTTTCTGGAATTAGGAGCCGATGCTGAGGTGCTTACCCGTCTATGAAGTTCAAAATTTGAAACTCAGTATTATTCGAAATTTTATTTTTGAAACCTTCACTATCTAAAATGAATTTTTCGCAAAGGGAACAGTCATATTCGTTGCGAAAAGAACTTTTAAAAGGCGTGCACTGTTTTTTTTTCCGAAAAAACTCTAGAGAAGCAAAAAACAAAAAAATTTCATACACAGACTGAGGAATGTAGGACGGAGAGGTCTTCATGAATCATTTAAATCTCCCTTTCATAACTTCAACTTTTAGACTTCAAAAAAAGTCCAATTCTGCAAAGAAGACCTGGTGAGTTGATGTCAGACCAGCCGGAATCGCACAAAGGACATTAACAGGGGCAGCTGCACGCTTGAGTCCCTTTGCCTACCCGAACGACCTCGCTTCCTTCTCTCTTGTTCGCAGAATAACTAACAAAAGGAAACTTGAGTGATCCTTCCAAGTTCATTATTTTTTTTCTCGGCTAGGCACGCGTAGAAATTGCTTTTCCGCGGTGTTCTTGAAATGCCTGTTGATTGGAAACTGTTTTCCACAGCTACTCAGTAGAAGAGCGGTTAACTGTAAACTGGAAAACTGCAAAAAAAGTGCTGCTGATGAAAACTGTCAAAAATGAGAAATAGAAACTTCACCACTGTCCTAAAAGATTCATCACAGGTAACATAATGAATAGAAAATTATCGGTAAATTCTCAATCTGTTGAAATCTTTCATGCAATAAAAAATAGGTTTCATTTTTTTTCCTAATGATTTTTTCTAAAAATTGAAATTAACGCTTAGAAAAGATTCTAAAAAAATTTTTCATCCTGTAGAGTTTATTTGTTCAAAAGAATCTATACTCCAGAGGTTTCGCGGCTCACTTCCAGTACTTAATTTTGAATTTTGCGAGCATCTTTGCGGCTAGCTCATTTCAAAAAAATTATTGAAATTTGAAAAAATGTTCAAATAAATTGCAGCCAAGGACCTTTCAGAACGCAAAATCAAGGCATGGAATTTTATACTCCAGCTTCAGGGTTGAAATAATTTTATTCCGCATTTGAAAAGCCGATTCTTGCGGCACACGATGAGCCCTATCTATGTCAATTTTCAAATTCCAAGCTGTTGTCTGACGCGAATTGCAATTGCATTGTGCGCGCCGTGAGCTTCATGCGATTGTCACAACTTGACAATTCAAATTTCCGCTTCTCGTTTTGGCTACGCTTCTGCCACTTGCCGCACGCTGTACAACTCTTGAAACGGGAAAGCGAAGCTTCCGAAAGTCAAAGGATCATCGATACTTTCCCCGCGCAAGGTTGAAGGGTCACTTATGAGAAAGTTATTGTATTCCACCGAGAAAAACGGCAGAAGTAAAAAACAGCCAAGTGATGAAAAGAATAAAAGATGAACATATTGAAGAGTTCCTTGACGGAGAAAAGTTCTTCGACTTTCAAGTTCGATAATATTGCTCTAGAATTTTTTTGATTTTTTTAATAAAAAAATTACGCATTGGGGGAGAACGAAGAGTGCAAAGCTTCACACAGTTATGAGCCTTACCTTTGGAGCTATTTCTGTACGCTTTCCTATATTATTTTTTTGACAAAGTGGCTATTACTTCGTGGCTAAGTGGCTATTTATACCCTTTTTGAAATTTCTTAGAAATCTAAACAAAAAAACCAAGGAGTTTTTTTCAGTAAACATTTTTTTGTTGATGTGAACAGTTTTCAGAAAAAAACTCACGAAAAACAAAAAGAGTTGAGCATGAAGACGAGCCATTTGAGGCAAGCTGATATCTCCTGACGCGGCTTGCGCTGCTTGCCGTTGCCTTGCGGTACGTTGCGGGACCGCGACGGCTCAGCCGCCCCCATCAAAAGACACCGTTCCCACTCGCAGGCGCCCGATGCGCTGAAAAAAACATTGTAATTTGAAAATTTTCGAAAAAATAATTATATAAGCGAAATTAAAGATTATCTGAAAAGACAAACAAGGACGAGAAAAAACGATAAAATAAAAGATTTTCTTTTCCAGTACTTTCCAAAATTATTTGGGAACTTTTTATAAAGTTTCCCATTATTGTAGAGGTTGATACTCAAAACTCAAAGTTTAAAAGGTTGAAATTTCTAGGCTTTTTACCCAGCACACTGAGCAATAAATCGAAAGTTTGGAAGACTTCTTGAAAAATATTCAGAACGAACTTCCCACTGCCAAGAAAACTAACGGGCTCACAAAAACTCTGGATCTTTTCCAAAACGCGTGGTGAGAACTATTATTTTCACATGCCCAGGGTATAAAAAACTCTGTCGAAAAAAAAACGGGCTGTGAAAGTTTTCCTCTGTAGGAGTTTTTATTCAACCGGTTCCGCAAATGACGAAAAAATATATTGAGTATTTTTCCACGAAAAAAAGATGTAAAAGTTGTCCCAACCATTTTCTTCGAAACGAATCTTCTTCTTATTTTTTCTCAAAGTTAACGTCATCAAAAAAGGAATAAATGGTCTGAAAACACGATCCATAAAAGAAGCTGAGTAACTAATCAAAGAGACACTGATAAAAAAGGGAACGGTCAGAAGAAGAAGCGGTCTGGAAACGTGTTCTCGGAGGCGGAGAGAAAGGAACAGGCCGACGATGACACCCCACGAGGAAGACAGACAATTTCGTGCTGCGGTTTTGAGATTCAACGAGTCTCCCAATTATTATGAATTTATCATGAAGATTTTTGGAACGGCAGGGCAGAAAGCGGTCAGCCCGAAAATGGCACTCTCAAAGTGAATTGACGTTAATGAGGACGGACATCGCGTCGGGGTAATTACACGGCTCGCGGAGCAACTGCCGTACCCTCTCCACGAAAGTCAAAATTTTGGACAAGACAAGGTACATTTTTGGTTGATTTAACCTTGTTGATGCTACAGGTCATCGATTTAGAAACCAACTTCTTGAAATAAACCAGAAAATTCAGAAAAAAGGAGCGAATTGAAATTTAAAAAAGTTGGAAAACGTTTCAATCTCGAAAAAAAATCTAAAATACATTATAAGCACGCGATAAGTTATAATAACTCCTTTTTTAAGTTTTTCTGTTCCTACTTTTTATGCTAACGAAAGCCAGCGTTCCGGAAAAAATGATGAAAAATATGAGCCAATACTTTAGGTACAACTAGGCGCGCCTTTAGAGGAACATTTTCCTTTTTAAATTATGACTTTTTTGAAACCACAAAATGTTGAGTAAAGTTTTGTGAAAATAAAGTTATAAAAAAACTAATCGCAATTCGTGATATAATAAATTGACGTGATCAGAAACTTGAATCAGAACCTTGTTATGCCTATCGCCAATTTTCTTCATTGCGTTATTTTCCTATTTTTCAATTTTTCATCATGAAAAGTTCTGACATCATATGCAGAGCGTCTGGGACATTCGCTGAACGAACCCTATGAAAAATAGAAGGCCCTTTCTTTGTTTCCTGCCAGCTGGCCTTTCTCAGTACCAGGTGGGAGAGTTTTTTTTTCCTTTTTGAGGTTGAGAAATTTTGAGTATTTTTGAAATAAAAAAGTGTTCAACGATCTGAAAAAGTTCGAAGCTGGAAGAACATTTAGAAAAGTTATTTCGAAAACAGAATGAAATCGGTTAAGAATGAAGAAATTCTCATCAACTTATCATTTCTGATGAAACATTGTGCGAAATATGTCCAAACTATTTGAATCAGCACAAAAATTTGCCTGGTTTGTAACAAAAACGGTACGAGTAGGAAACTCGGCAGAAAACGAGGTAAGACGCAAGTAAAGTATCGAGTGTAATGGAGTAGACTCGCGAGATCGACGCCGTTGATAGCACCAGTTCCAGATGGACCCAAACAAAGCGCGGCCAAAAAAATGAAAGAAAACGTTGGCAACTTGTTAGTTGCCGCGGCTAGCATCAACAGCCTGTAACTGACGACCGATACCCAAGCGTCGCTTCAAAAAGTTGCGGACGACGGCAACCCGTCTGCAGTCGGCGACTTCCGAAAAGCCATTCCGTCTGCTGCAGACGACGTTTTTTGGGAGTAGAGAAAAGAGACAGCTGTGCGGTTAACCAGCTGTACTGACTCGTACCAGAAAGGAGCCGCCGAAAATGTTCTGATGGAAGGAAAAAAATGTAAACTTTTTCAACCATCTACTTGAGCAATTTCAGAATCCTTTTCTCAGTGAAGATTAGATCCAACGATATTCTGAAAATTTTCCGGTTGCAGGTTGTTCAAAATGAACAGGAAGATATATCAGCGTTTTCTTTGGTCACTGAAGCCATCTCAAATCCTGAGCACAGCTCGATAAAAATATCGAGTCAATTCAAAAAATGAAAAACTCACGAATGGATCCGGGAAGCGACCCGTTGCATAGGAATCCTTCTGCTCTAAGCGGTCGAGCCGGCCATTGGATCACCCAAATACCAACAAGCGCCGTACTTGGAAATTCGAAGGCTAAGCTCAGCCGTTCGCGTGAGTGAGGCACCCACTTCAGGCGCGATGGGTTGGGCAGTGCGTATAGACATTTCCATCAACTCGCAAATAGAGGTCAGCGCTGACCAGGGAGGCCATAAAATTTATTCGCCATCTTTCCTTGTCAAACAGATCCTGTGAAATGAACACCTGCAAGTTGTCCAGCCACACTGTTCAAATTGAGGACAACCTTCCTTGCACCTGTATCATTGAAAAAAATGTCAGAAGAAAGGTCGTCCCGCTTCCGTTCTAGTTATCTAAACGCCATTGTCGGCGAACTAGAACTTTTCAGAAACAGATACTAGGATGGGCCTTTCAATCTTTCATTAGATAGCGAGGCTGTTTGACTTTTGAAAACGATCTTGAAAATATAAGCTTTGTTGAAGTTATTACTTCAAAACGCCTTGGCGCTAAATAAATTTTAAAAAAACGATCTGCCTCTATCAAAAATTTTGATCAAAGAGTCGGACAAAGAGATAGCGAGAGAAGAGAACGCAGACAAGTCATGGCAAAAAATCATTTCTGTTCACTAGCCTGATTTTTGTCTTACTTCATAAGTATTAACGAGTTTGATAGACATGGCAGAATCAAATTGGATTTTTTTCCAAAGTAACAACGAGAAAATATTATTGCTGCCCACAAATACGGAGAGAAATGAAAAAAATAATTTCTAAACATTCCTTGAAGGGGTTTAGAAATATGAGGTTTCTGGCGAAGGTTCATGAGGCGCAATTAAAATCATTGAGCGGGCCATAATTGGTGACCTGGTATCGTGGTTGGCACCAAGGTGAGAGCAAAACGGTGCTGCTCGATGATCGAGAAAAAAAAAGAAGAGTAAAAATGGTCCGGGAAATAAGCTTTTGGGAAACGAAAAAAAAAAATAGAAGCTGTTCACGAGAATAATTACTTCCTAAGAAAAATAAACTTGATGATAAAGTTAAAATTCGAGGAAATTTTTAAGCAGATTAATTCAAAACTTCCTGATCCAAAATTGAATTTTTTCCTTTATTTTTATTCACAAAAACTTTTAGCGCCTTTGTAATGCCACAAGTAAACTAAAAGTCATAGATTAAACTATGTATGATTTCAAAACTGAATGTCCCTAAAACATTTTGTCGGTTTCTATTTTTTTTTCCTATCAGCCGATTGCTAAATCCTCATCAGATGAAATTTTGATGTTTTCAGACGATTCGCCCAAAAGATCTGAAAATGAAGAAAAAAAAAACTGAGAGAGTTGGAAAACTTCAAAGATTTTCATCACTAGAAATGACAGTTTACTCAACTGTTCAATTAAAATTGGTTTATCAAGAAAAGTATAAGACAAAAAAATGTAAACTCTCCTACCTCATAGAAGAACACGAAGATAAGTCCTCAGTCATTTTAGGATATTGGTAGCCACGAAAATCGTTCTTTTTGGGGTTTCGCGCTCGTAATCACGAGTTAGAAAGGGCTATAGCTGCGACCCGACAACCAAGGTTTTGAGGCAAAAAAAGGCATTGGGAAAAGAAAGACCCCCGCTGAGTAGGACGAGTTCTGGCCTCGAGTCATGAAATATGAAGATTTTTCGCACGCTCCACTACATCTCGTACTTCAACGCAACACCTCAAGGTGAAAGATCTCCGGAAATGCAACTCGGCCGCTCAGAAAGGCTCAGATTGGGTCATGGTTAAACTATTATATTCTCAATGACAAAAAAAAAAATAAACCTCATGATCTCAGTTTTCAATGAGGACAGAAAAAGTGTGTTATTGGCATAGAGCTTGAGTACGTTTAGTTCTTTTTTTTCGTGAAGAAAAAGGCACTTCAATCTTTAAACTGATTTTAGAGATAAAATAAAAAAATACTGTTTTGTAATGAAGTTTTCACGAAAACAAAAACATGTAAACTGAGGTTTAAAATTACTAAAAACCCTTGAAAATGTAAATGGACATAGTTGGGTTTGTCAGAAAAAAAGGAAACTTGGCAAATTTTTTTCAAAATTATTAAAAAGAATTTGTTAAAAAATATCCCTAATTTTTAAAAATCTTTGAAAAAACGGCCAATGTTCGAGGTGGTATTTTCAGCACCAAAAATTTACGATTTGGCAAAGAAAAACGGGCGAAGCAACGAGAAACAAATAAGAAGGGGCTCGAAGAGCTCCAAGATTGGAAATACGAATCCAGGGAATGTTTCGTCGCTTACACCGCCCTCTTGGCGCCATCCTATATGCGGCAATCGTAAAAAGCGAGACGCAGTGAGGACGAAACGCCGAGCAGCGGAAGGAAGCCGCCGGACCGTGGCAAGTCGGCTACCGCTTTGAATTATTCACTTAGCGTCTTTTGGCTATGTTAGCGAGAAACTTTAGGAAAAAAATCAGCGAGAAATGTGGGTGGCATTTGCAAGAAAAAAAAGGAAGTAAAGAGTTTGAAAAAAAAAGTACCGGAAATCTTGTAGCTCACGAATTTATTTTTGCTTGAAAGCGCAAAATGGCCGACTGAAATTTCCTCAATATCATCTGAAAAAACTACAGTTCTATTTTGTTTTGTCAAACGTAACTTCAAAGGTTTCTGAAAGGTGTCCGAAAAGCTTCTGCTTTTCTAGGTTGGAAAGTTTAACACGCACAAAATTCCGAAATCATATCGAATAGACAATGATGAGAATTTAACAGCCTGTAACTTGAACTCCAAGTGTTCCAAATTTTTTAAAGTAGAACTGGGAAAAAATTGATACATTTTTACTCATTAGCATTCAAAATTTAACTGCATGGGGAATTACTGAAACGGAATATCTGAAGACGTTCTCTCTCCCCTTTGAAAAAAAAATTCTGTTGCAAAATGTTTACCTAACTTGACTAGTTGGCAATGAGAACACGCAATTTGACGCCGAAATTGGTTTCCACGCTGCCAGACACCGGAGCTAATTTTCAAATTTGTTCTCGCAAGAAAGCAATAAATCGTGTTTTCAAACACCCACCGGCAAGGTGAAGTAAAAACACTCGTTATACATAAAACACGGGAAAAAACTGAAAAGGAGAGTTTTTGATCCATGCGAGCAAGTGGCACGACGCGTAAAATAAAACGAGCCTATTGGCTTCAGAAAAGCACGTCTCTCAGTGCTTAATTTACGGGAAAAAACTATACGAAAGAATGAGAAGAAGGCCGAACAAAAATTGGCGAAAATAACAACCAAATAACGGGGCAAAATCTTTGTGAGGTTGCCTTCTCCAATAGTGAAATACGTCTTTTGTTGGAATTTTCCGACGTTTTATTGCAATCGTGACCCATCCTGAAATACAAAGGAAGGTTAGAACTGTCATATCTTTCAGGAAACGCATGAAATACAATTTTGTGCGAAAACGATGCGAAAATAAAATGTGAACACGCAAAAAAGTTGGATGATTCTTTCCAGGTAGCGAAAAAAATCTCACTCTTCAGGAGGAGTCTGGTCCGGAAAACCTCACTTTTTGAGAAAAATCTCAAAAAAAGGAAGTCTAAATTTTTTGGGCGTAAACGAACTAAAAATATTTTTCGAAGCAGCTGGACAAAAAATCAAAAAATAATGATCCCAATTTTTAAAGGTTCAAAAAAGGTCAGCGAGATTCGGAAACAAAAAAATGTCCACATTTCACTACGAACTCTAATTTGTGAGAACACACTTAGTCTATTTTTTTCGAATTTTCCAGCTCTGATGGTTTTTTTATGAATATATTCATATCTGCAAAAAAACAAAAATTTGAAAAACTAATCTGAAGTTCTATCAAGATCAACGGCTCACGTATCAAAGATCAAAGAAAAAAAGCCGTTTAGCTAGCCATAAAGACCCAGTAAAAGAAGAAGGATCAAGGACGACTCAGGTCTGATATGAATGGAGGCGCACCGAAGATGACAACGCTGCGTCCTGAAGGACATGTTCGCCGTGAGCAAACAGATGAATTAGAGCTCCGGATCGGTGTCCGGACTGCCACTTGACACTTTGGGATGCACCTGTTTCTGACTGCCAACTTTCTTTTTGTCTTGAAAAAACAGTACTTCCTCATCTAACAATTCAAAGGTTTTGAAGGGCAATGAAAAATCTTTCCGGATTCATCAAAAGAAGAATAGGAATCTATACTGTAGTTCTCAGATGATAATGTTGACCACAAAGATAGAAGGATTTGAAATGAAGGAATAGGGGAATTGTTATGAAAAAAAAAGACGCGGAGTAAGTTTTTATTGCAAAATTGAATAGAAGGAGTTGCTAGCAAGAAAATTTATTATTCGAGAAGATGGTCTGAAATATCTCCAGTTCCATTGGAATAGCCTAGAGAGCTTGATTTTGTGAAACCTTGAAAATTTCAAGCCTCAAAACTATAATAATGAAAATACTTCTCTCTTCTTTTCGTGAAAAAAGTTTTCAACTGAACTTTATAAATCAACTTTGAATAGCAATTTTTTTTTTGGAAGTTCCGAATTTTTGCAAATTCAGATTACCTCAAAAGACTTTTTTATTGATTTTGATTATTTTGAAGAAGCCCCTAAAAAATAATCCTGAGAAGCAGCAACATAATTCAACTTCGTGGTAAAAAAAGACTTTCCCTTAATGTCTCTGACTCAGAAATTCGAAAGGAAAAATAGCCACTCGACCGAAATATCAGTTGCAGCCAGGAAAGCACTCGAGAAAAGTCGCCGATGGACCTTGCCGAGGTGCGGACTGAGGACGCCATGGGTGCCAAACAGCGCGTAATTAGCAAACACGCGAACGCCGGGGCGATTCTGGTCACAACAAACATTGTTGATTAGTTGCACTCTGTGACAATTATCGCTCGTTATGGGAGGTCCGTGAGAAAAAAAAATTGTGAGAAATTTTCTGTTGAGCGATCGACGCGACAAAAAGTTCTGGTCAAAAAGGTGGAATTGTCTAGAAAGCGAACTCAAGTCTGTCATTATCAAATGAAAAATGCGCAGAGCTTTGTTTTCTTAGACTTGACTGACTCGTATTTTGGAGCAAATTTTCAGAAAAAAAATTTGTTTTATGTCGCAAAAAGAGGCCATGAGAGGTTAGCTTCTTTGAATTTTTAATAAATAACTTGACTAGAATAATTTTATTAAAAACGCTATGCAGCACGTTTCAGCTGAATTCCTACAAGTTCTCAAAAATTTTTTCAACCTGTTCAAGATAATTTGAAGCTTTTTTTCGATAGTAAAAAAATCTTAAGTTTCGACATGAATCTCAATTTTAAGCTACGGTGATTGTGCTCACTTATGATAAATGTTCCATCAAAAAATAGTAAATTTCCATCATTCATAAAGTACAACTCTCACAAAAAAAAATTAAAATTGCTCTCATTTTTTTTATAAACTGTTACGGGGTACAGTAATAAATACTAATTATGTTTATCAGAAACTTAGCATAAGGAGTTGACAGAGAGTGGAAAACCTGAAGAGATGATACTTGTATTTTCCGTGTTATGGCGTCCTTTTGTCCATTCTGAGCCTTTTGTCCACAAGGAGCCCGAGCAGCTGCCATTGACATGTTAAGCGAAAACGTCTCTAGCTTTTGGATTTATTTGTTGGGAAAGTGGCGATTTAGAGGATGCGCGGTATTGTTCAGGCGGCAGACGTCTTAGATTTGAGATTAACGGAGCGACATTATAATTTATGGTACTCAATAATTATTTGTGCATTTAAAGACGCGTTTCAAATATTCAAAGAAAAAAAGGTTTGAATCTTTTCATCTCGCTTACGGCTTTAAAAATTGATAATGAAGTTGCACGGAAAGATTTATAAAAAAAAGTCAGTTTTTCATTTTAGAAACTGAAGCTTTTGTGGTTTTTACTTCTCTTCGGTTCATTATTCCTTTCGAAAAAAAAAAGCGCTAACAAAAAACTTCAAAGTGAATGAGGGCTGAAAAGGGGAAAAAAGCCGATGCTAAGAAAATGCAAAATCGCGGTTGGCCTAAGGGCGGCCGAGAAATTCGCGACAATTTGCGGCGGCGAATGAATGAGGAGGCCCGATTTTCAAAGTAGACAACTGGTTGAATCCGTATGAGAAAGCGAGCGACGGTGTTCCGTTTCCTTCGAAAGCGAATCTCGTGAAGAAAGCAGGCAAAAAAGCGACGAAAGCGGCTGTAAGTGGTTTCCCGAGGAAAAAGTCAACAATCAGCTATTTCTTCACAAAATAAGTGAATACCCTAAAAAGACGAGTAGCCGTTAAAAGAGGTCTCAACTTGAATAGTATAATGAACTGTCGGAATTGGTAAAATAGGAAGTTTTTTTTAGAAAATCTCTCGGTTCTTGAAGCCAGAACGTTGCGAAAATTGTGATTTTTGTTGGTGAGCGCACGAAAAATTGAAGATTTTGGAGGAATAATCCACTAAAAACCTGGTTTTCGCCTTCGAATGTTAGTAAGCTGTTCAATGTGAGTAGATTCAGCTTCTATGATAATACTAAAATTTTTGAAATTCGCGTTGATCAAGTGAATGAAAACGCAAAAGAACAACATAAGGTGGACACTGGAAGATACTCTTTGCTTCGATACTTCGATCAGATATTTTCTTCTTCAAATATCTCAGCCAGTGTGTTTTTTGTTTTTGTTTTCTTTTTATTTCTTTATTTTTTCGTAGCTTGAGGTCAAGATCAAGATTTGATCGGTAGAAGCTGAAAACAAACAAAAAAGGTGAGAACCGGGAAGCGGCGGCTTTCCGCGTCTTTTTCACCGCCGAGACAGCGGTCGAAAACACGTGCGGCAAGTTTTAGGCCAGCGGGCGGTCGGAATACATCAAAAGCGGAATGGCGAAAGCCCGATGCAAACTTCCCAGGACCACACGTCTAGATGATTGAGAAGAGTTCGAAAAAAGGGATTGAAGTGAATATTTTTTTCGAAGTGCCATCAAGACACTGGCAATCCAGGGATTTCAGGAAGTTCAATTATTGATTCAGCAGAACACTTTGAATTGAAAAACAATTTAAGGATAGTCATGGATTTTTTCAGGAAAGCCACGAGAGAAAATTAATGAGTTTTCAAAAGCTATTCCTTCCTACAAAAAATGAAACCTCATAGAATAGAAATAAAATTGAACACGGACAAACAAGGTACTTCTAATTTGGGCTTGAAAATTTCCTGAAACTTTTTGGATGTCTTCAACTTTGAAAAAAAAAAACCTTCATCAACATAGAAAAGTTAAATTTTAGCAGAGACGCAAACACTATGAAAAAACCTTTTTAAACGCAAGAAATCTTGTCAAAACCAATATACTCCGCCGTTAGCTGGAGACAGTGCAAAGAAGGTATTCATTTGATAAGCAAAATAACGTGAGAATAGGAAGATTAAACAACTGGATAGGTAGTATTTCTGTCCCAAGCTAGCATCGAATAACTATGAAAAGAAGAAAAGGGAAGAGCACACGAGTTGGAAACGTCGGCGTAAGAAAGGGAAAGGGAGACGGTGACCAGGTGCCACACTGATCGACGCGCGAACACCGGCTGGCTGGCCTTTCAGAGCAAGACCTCGCTGGCGGAGACGAACACGTATGCACAGCCTCGTCCATATGGGCCGTCGGGTCGTATTGGTTGCCGCCGACCGATTCGAGGTCACGCTTACAGTGGGGAAGCGGCCTGGTTGATGTATTGCCGAGGCGTTATGAAATCAATCCGACCGGCGATTTTTTGTCCACCAGTTCCTGTGCCAGATCTCTGATATTTGTGTCATTGGCGGTCCCGTTTTCAGGATCTCAATTCAATCCATCACCACATGTTCCTTTTTCCGGGCGGTGAGAAATTCAAGCTCCAATTTGAATTGAATTACTCAGAATGTTAAAAAAAATTTGAGATACTTTCGGGAATAAAGTTACAGGACTTTGATATTGATACATGATTGAAGATAAACCAGGAAAAAATGACCAAAGAAATTTAAAAGCTCAACGGAATCAACTAAAAGCACATCTTTCTAGGTATCTGAAAAAATCTGTGCACTAAAGAAGATCGAGATTTTCTTTTAGAAGTTTTCTGAAAAAGTTTTTGAACGTCGCTTAAGATCTGTTAAAACTCTCGAAAGTGATTTTTTGGGTTTTCTAGTGAAACACAATCTCCAATAAAAAACTCCTGAAAAAATAAATATTTCTCTAAATTCGAAAACTTAAAACTAGGACTAGATAAATAATGCGAGAGGAAGGTGGAGAAGCAACTAAAACATTGCAGTATCGATGACCGGCTGACCAACATACTGGACATAGACACAGGACAATTGGAGGTCGCGCGAAAAAATGAGCGGGAGTTACGGCTCGTTGCTGCGCCGTTCTTGTCCACCTCCTCTCCACTTCCAAATTGCAAATCGATCTGGCAACTACAGGTGGATGACGTCAGAGATATTTCCATCCAGCTAAAGTTCATTCACACGCTTTCTTGAGATAATATGCTTTAAGAACCCTTACAAAACGAAGGCGTAAGTATAAATATTTTAGAGCTTTCGAAGTTATTTTAATCATAATTTTTCGGTGAATGAATTGTTTTCTTACATAAGGACTACTTTTTGTATTCTTGTGTTAATTTCTTAGCTCAAGATGGTTTTGATAAAACATCAATCTTCCAGTTCCCTTCTTCCAAGCTGTATCAAGTCGAGTTTGTAAAAGACAATCAGGAAAAAGAGTAACCTTAGCAAATCAAAAAACGAAAAATCAGATATAAAAAATGACGGAGATTCAACACACTCCCTTGATACATTGGTAAAAAGCATCTTACTTATGAACTTATTTAAAAAAAAAAATTCTTTGTTCTGAACTTAAGCGCCCAAGGATGCAATGAAGAAAAAGTATATGAAGCCAGCGGCAAATGAACTATAAGCCGAAACCTTTTTTCTTATGAGAAAAGACAATCCAAGAGCGACAAAAACGTGTAACGACCCTACGGAGATAAAAAGACAAGGCTAGAAGAATAAAAGAAGTTCCGAGGACAATATACGGGACAAAAAAGGCATTGGTGGCGGAGGAGAGGCCGACTGTAGAATCTGCTTCCCACAAAATCGTGGTTAACCAGACGCGCGCCTATTTTGGGTGCGTATCCCGCACGATCTCAGCTTCTTCGATTCACTGTCGCTGATCCGCAATCTGTTAGAGTTTCGCAAGAGGATACCTGGACATGAAACTGATGGAGGAAGATTTGATTCCCGAGGAAAAAACGGAGTCAAAAGTCTTTGAAGTTTTATTCTGAAGCTAAAGCTGAACTACAGTTCTCGTGGATAAAACCGCAAAAATAATTTCATAGAGCGAATGATTTTTTCGTGAAAAAGAACAGTATTCTGAAAACACCTTTGAGAAAAGTTTTAAAACTGGGTCAGTTTAGTAGATAAATCGTGGTTCTTCGTCCTTCCCATCCTTTGTTCAAATCGAATTTAACGGCGGTCATTTGGAAATTCAACAAAAGTTCAAGGTTTTCTTCTAATGAGATACTCTCTTTCTCTTTGAAAGGTTCGAATCTAAAAAGGAGCGATTTTATTCTTGTCACTGTAATTTAACATCCTGAAAAAAAAACACAGGAAATATAAAAGGATGAAACTCGCCGCCTAAAAACTAAATTCAAAGAGGTGTGAGGACCTCGGCCTTTTTCGAGAGTTTCGACAAACAAGTAACGGGGATCGTCACGAAATCGGTCATTGAATTGGTTATTCAAAGGGATGCAGCAAGATGATTGAAAAAATATTAGGTAGTGAAAATCAATAGAATTTTAGAAAGACGAAGTATGATTTTTTTTAACTTCATCGAACCTGTTTCGAATTTCAACTTTTTCAGAACACATTCAGAAAAAAAGCAGTTACTGAGCAAAAAGCAAAAGGAGAGTTTCAGGAGGTCAAAAAATGACGAAGAAAGCGTGCATCAGCGTCCTTTCCATATATGTACTTAACCGACTGTGCGATCACTCAACACACAAGAGAAGACAGTCCCAACAAATCAGCTTGTCCCTCCTCAGCCCCTCAACACGCGCTTTCCTTTCTGCGCGAGGTCGTTAAGCCTTTTTTTCGTTTTTTATTGTGGAAGCTGTTGAAAGGTGTAAATGATGAAGGGAAAAAAGTTGGTACTTCTCACAAGCTCAACGCAGTTACTTCTACATAAATTAATCATTGTTGGTTCAAGACCACACTCAAAGTGAATCAGTCGAAAAATGCGAATAAATGAAACGAAGGATATAATCTACAGCTAATCAGTCAACTTTGGAACTTCGTTCTCTTTAGCAAAAAAATAGTTGTTTTGGAAAGTTCTAATTTCAATTTTCCGGTTTTCATTTTAAACCATCCGCATTAACTTCAACTGGTTGTACTTGAGCCTGAGAAAAAGGTTTTTTTGAAAAAAAGGATAATTTTAATGCGCTGTGAGTCGAACAAACATGCACGATATCCGCAGGAATTTCAAGCCAGAAATTAGAGCAAATTTTGGCCGATTTGTAAAAGGAGTTTTTGGCAAAAGTTGTGATTCTCAGAGCATAATGGGAGAAGCTGAATAATTCCCAGAAACAAAAAATAGCGACTAGATTTTAAATCATTCTAATGACGTTTCAGTGAAGTAAAGGGAAATTTCCCATCTTACGCTAAATTTACCTTCCTTAAAAAAATTCGTCAGTCATTCGGCTTTTTGATCAGTTTTTGAGGTAAGCATGTTATTTGAAGCCACTCAATTTTCCGACTTGCCTCCTATTACCGTAAAAAAACTTGATCATCAAGAAGCCTTTACACAAACTGACTAAGCGAAGTAGAAGCGAAGGCTTACCCGCGCTTGAAGACGTTCATACCAAGGCAACCGTTAAGTCAATAGGACAAAATCGGTGAGAAATTGGCGACGGCGACAAAAAAGAAGATTCGAGGCAATTATTTGTGCCAATGTCAGCCGCGGTACAGGTTGACACATTGACAGTTACCGGTTTGGCGGAAGCTGCGTTTCTGCCGCTACTCGGCTTCTGATAGTAGAAATTCAGATTCTGCGGTAAAACTTATATGGTTTCCGATTTAGTAACCCTACTTTTAGGTGAATTAGGTCCGAAGATTTTTTGATCTATATGTCCACTGAAAAACTTCTGAGGGAGAATCGTTGCTGAAGCATTAACTTTAATTTTCAATTTCGAAAAGAGTTTTCACTAATGGAGAGTAGAGAGAAAAAGGTTTACATAGTCAGAAACAAAAAAGTGTTTGTTAAGCTATTATGCTAAAAATATAGAGATCGTACATGTATTCCAAAAAAAATTTTTTTTTTTCTAAGTTTTTTTCTAAGTTAAAAAAACGTTCTTCATTCAGTTAAGAATAAAGCGTAGTAAAGCTTCACAGAAAAAGAAACTGACAATTCCTCTTTTTATTATAACTTTTTATTTTTACTATGAAGCTCAAGTAAATTAATGAAGGCTATTCTGAAAAAGATGCAAAAAAAATTTCGAGACCTTTCGGTCCATAAAGAAAAAAAATGGACTTCCATGCCTTCCTTCACGAAGATAATGCTCATGACGAGAAGGTCACTGGCAGAATCTAGTTTCTTCTTATTTTTCATTTTTGCGGTTCTTTTTTAGAAAAATGTTGTGAAAAAATTTATCCAGGTGAGCAATGGGAAAAAACATCCACCAACAATCAATAATGAATTTAGCTTTTCAGCGATCGGCGTTAATGATGATGGAGCCGCCGAGGGCACGGAACCGCTCATTCGGTCGTTCGGGGATCCTGATGAACCCGTCGTTCGGAATGTTGTCGTTGACGCTGTTCTCAACGTGGCTCTGGACGTCATCGCGGACGCTGTTGTTGTCGATGTGCGTGCTGTTCTGAACGTCGTTGTTGACGTTGTTCTGCCCATCGTCATGAACGTTGTCAGACACGTCGATATTGACGTTGTCTCCATCTTGGCGATCGTTGTTTTCGGGAACGACGACATCGGTGCCGATGACCCTGCGCGATCTGATCGCGGATTTGATGAGCTTCTGAGCCTCAGTGTACAAAACGAATGTAAATCCTGAATTACTTTTCTTTACTTTTGAAATAATCTCGATCTTCATTAAGAAGCTTTTTGAAGATTTCAATGAATTAGAAAGCAGGTATTTTAGTTGTCGGACTTAGCTAGGTGAGTACAAAAACATTGAAAAAAAGTTTTTTTGGTATAATTGATTCTTGGATTTCTTGATGAATAAATTATGAAAAATGTCAAAAAAATTTAATCAATAATGAATCAGTTTTGTAAGAAAAACAAAAAAACAAAAACAAAAAAACCCCTACTAATTTTTTTGCTAACTTAGTAATTTATGGCTAAAAACTTACCAATAAGAAAAAGGACCGCCGTGTAAAGGAGCTTTCGATTGTGAGGATCTTTTTCGCCGGTGGCCGAAAGAATTTCTGTCAAGTTTGTAATTGCCTGAAAAGATCTATGAACTAATAAATTCTGAACAGACTGACCATTTTCAACTTTTCAAAGTTAGGAGAAGAAAAGTTCGAGGACATCTTATCGGATGAATCTAAGCCTAAAAAAAAATTTTTTGGGAGCTGAATAGTTGAGAAAAAAATAATTTCAGAGCCGAAAAGTGGGGAATGACAGCGCCGCGGAATGAATCACCCTCATCCGAGACAGTCGTTTCCGTGCGTCGAAGATTATCATCATTTTGTTTTTTTTTTGAGTTTCGAAACGAATTATCGCTTACTGTATTCAAATTTGTTTCCGTAAAAATCTATTATCCCCTCTCCCAGAAAAAAAAAGTAGGCGACATTTCGAGACGCGGAAATCATACTGATATGTCTTGAGATAAATGAACGATCGTAGATGATTCATTCCGTTGTTCTTTTCGAATTTTCTGCTCCGATCTTTTTTCATTCATTTCTTTTTTAGTTCTGCACGTTTATTGTGATTTTGCAGCTTTCGGAAATCAGCAAGATGTCTTCGAATTCAACGCTTTTACCTCTGTTGAGCTTCGATACTGAAATGGAAACAGTGAGTAGGCTTCGATTTCTAATATTTTCTAAAATTTCAGCTGGCGGTGAATCTCATCAACAGCCTCACTTCGGTTGCAAAGAAGAACGCCGCTGATCGTCAGATCTTCTGGACAATTTTTGTTTTGGTGTTAAGTGAGTTTACTTTGATCATCTCTTACAACAAAGGTTGACTTTGCGGTGGGGATTTCCCTGAAAATTGGTACAATGCTTGATGTACCAGATGAAAGTTTCAATCTGCACAACTTCATATTTTTCGAGGAAAAAATCTTCAAAGCTTTAAAACAGCGTAGTCTGATGATTTTTGAAGGTCTTGTTTGAATTTTTTCAAGAACCAGAAAGTTGTGCAGGTTAAGGCTTTCAGTATCTCCATCTGGTGTATCAAGCAGTTTTCTAGTCAAATTTCAGAAGGATAGTCAGCTTTAAATTTTTTAAGTGAACCTCAGGACTGTTGTTATCAAATCTTATGTAAAAAATTTTAATTGGTGACAAAGGTAGGTTTAACAAACGCCAGGTTTTTATGAACAGTGAATCGACCTAATTCAGAGGTATTTTTCGTATCGCAGAAGCATTTTTTCCACTCGAACTTTTAAGTTGTTGTTAAAAACGTCATTTAAAAAGTTAATGCGCAAAATTTGATGTGAACTCTTTGATATTTCCAGAAGATACCATTTTTGTGAAATATTCGATTTTTTTCGCTTTTCGCATGGTTTGAAAATAAAGTTGCTTGATTCAAAATTACTTGAAACGCTGTGGCCTCCGACTCACCTTAATGTTTATTCAAAATTTAAAAAAAGGCAAAAGTTCCAACACAAGTAAAAAATGAGTCCTGACACCCGGTCAAAAAAACTAGTTTTGACGGATTTCAAAAACGGAACAAAAAACAAGGCTATCTGAGCTGGTTGAATTGTCATTTGAGGAAGAAAAGCCAATCATTTTTGTTTAATCTTCAATTTTACCATAAGTTTTCGTACAATCCGTTAGCCTCTCTACCACATTTCTTGCCTGCATTTATATCAATTTCTCTGTATTTTCGAGGTTTTCAAGTATCTTTGTATGAACTTTCATCAAACTTTAATACATCAAAATTTTGCACTGTTCGTAGCAAAAATTCAGCAAAAAATTTCAGCTTTTGCTGTCGCCTTCACTCTCGCAATAAAAGAACTCGTCAAAAAGGAAGTCGCTCGTCAGATGAGCGGCGTCTATGGCATCATAGTTTTTGATGAGCACGAAGAGAGAATCTTCGAAAATACCACGAACGACGATCTTCTGCTCATCGGAGGACGAATGATGGAATCTGGCAGGGCTATTCTTCTGATTACTTTCGAATGAAGTTTCTTTTTTCAGCCAAATTATGATTTTGAACTTATTTTCCCTTTCATTTTTTCTTGTCGTTGTGTAATCTAAGCGATTTTTAAATTTTTTTTCTGTCTTCCTTCCCTTCTTGGATTGCTCACTCACATCTTTTTTAAATGCAAAATCTTCAAACCAAAACCAGCAGATTCTCTAGCTTTTTTTTGTAACAGACGCTTGAATTTCTTGGCTTACAGATTCTTGACGTCGTAATTAACTCTGAGAGATTTTTTTGAGGATTACATTGCGTGCTCCGAAAAGAAACAAGACTTTTTCTATAAATACCCATACAACCTTATCGCCTTCGTTATATTTCTGGAACATTTTTTGAGATCTTATCTGTCTTCAAACGAGTTTCTAATCTTCTCAATGTCTTTTTTGAATTTGCGCTTCTTGATTTTTCTGCATACACAAAAATAATAAAGTTTTATTCCCGATAATTCCATCCAAAAAAACCATCAAAAAACATTTCCACCATTGAAATTTGTAATGGCCACAAATTTTATAAGGCGATAAATACATTTGAAAACGCACCATAAAAATTTTAGAATCAAGTATAAAAAAGGAAAATTTTCAAAACATCAAAGATTTATTAGGGTTTGGGCGGAAACGGGAAACGTTTATAGGCCATGTAAATCTTCAAACAAATCGGTTTTTTGGAGCGGCGAGAGCCTTGTCTCTGATCCTCTTCTTGATAACTTCTTGCGGCAAGGTGTGCTGCATGGCGTCGTAGGCAGTGTTGAAAGCATGAGTGAAGGTTGGAATGGGACTTCCCGTAATAGTCCAGCCCTGCGGCGGATACTGCGACCGAGAAGAGGTGGCGCTGTTCTCAGGCTCCTGATCCGTCATCTCAATGCAGGCCAAGTAAGGCGTGTTCTGGAGGAGGTAATAGAAGTCTTCGGCTGGTCTTATCGCGCCTCCGCACAGCATCCGTGTGCAAGTCTCGAGAGAGGCTCCGTGAGCCACTATTAGAATGTTTCCTGAAAAAACTCTCAAAATAATCAGTTTGTGGGATGAATACGTTCAAGTTAAATTCTTAAAGATAACACAAACTTTTTCGATTTCTGACTGAAACTCGATTTTTTTTTTCAATAGGATCACAGGAAAAATTAAGAAGACCGCAATTAATTACAACGTTTTGACTAATATTTTCAGCTACTTCTTTTCTACAGGTAGATGCTGACATGATTCAAAATGTTTTGGAATTGAACTACGTGCCTGAAAACCGGCTAAGGATGTTCTGAATGATCCAAAACGAGCGCTCGTAGTAGGAAGCCAGAGTTTCAGAAAGATCAAGGTCGTCTTCCTTCATAGCAGGCTCATATGTGGAGTTAACTGGGTAGCCTGAACTGAAAAGGTTATTATCATTTTATTTTTAGACTCGACCAAGCTTTTTGAGATCGTCGATAGCGATCCAAGAAGGTCGCGCTCCTCTGCACCACAGCAGCCATTCAAACAACGCTGGTTCAATATTGACAGTCCGTTTCTTATCTTCACCTGAAAATCTTTATATATAAGCCGAAAATGAAGATTGTTGTCTTTTGAGTGAAGAATTCAACGAACCGATTCCTTTGAGAATACCAACGGTGGTCTGAACACATCTCAAAGCGGGCGAACACAGAATGTGATCAATCTCGACGCTAGAGTCTCTCAGGGCCCGACCTTAACATTTTTCTTGTTGCTTGTGGTTTTTTGCTTTCTGCCTTTGTTCTTTCCGTCTCCGACACTGTTCAGAGTGTGATGCCATGCAATCTTTGATGTATAAAGAACCAAGGAACCTGTTAGTTTGGACTGCAGATAGCCAATCTCAGTGAGTGGCGTGTCTTTTTCGTAGGCCTGGTAGCCATCGCGTCGCTTTGGAACGTTCCGTGGCATGTTCACGTCAAACGGCCGGTATCTAAATAAAAAAAAACTTTGATGAGGGCCTTACTGATTAAACAAGACAGGGAAGTTTCTTCCGGTCTTGTGATCAAAAAAACGCCTTTGTGAAAATTCCCTACTCATTTTCAACTCAAGTTTCTAAGAGTTATTGCTTCATACGCCTCCTATTGTAAAAAAGAAATTGTTTTCTTCTCGATCAGAAAAAAATAGCTGAACTTCCTCTCATGCCCTCTAAATTAGAATTTTATCCTGAAATCGTTTTATCATCTTAATGAAAAAAGAATGTTTACATACTGCAGGGTTGCTAAAAACTGATAAGAAAAAAAGGTTTATTTTGACTACCAAGAGCAAGGTAGCAAATAAGGGGAAAAGTCCGTTGTTCAATAAAACAGCTCCCTGTTTGAACAAGACTGCACAACAAAACAAAAAATGCGTCACGTTGAAAATGTCAAGCGACGCGCTACAGATTTGAGTAATGATAAGACGTCATAGCAAAAAGCTTGAGAACCGTACAAAAATTTGCGGACTTGGCTTTTTAGCTACACCTACAATGCTTCTCATTGAGTGACAATGATTAGAATGAAGTTATTATTAAACTTCTTTTCTGTTTTTTGTGTAACTTTTTCTCTGGGGCTCAAAATGATGGATTAAGGAAGCTGAGCCAATTCTGTGAATTCTCAGAAAAGTGACTCATACACTCTTTGATCTACTAAGTAAATATCCTGAGAGTTATGACTCGTTGTTCCCTTTTTTGAGAGGTCTTTTTTCAGAGATAGAAAAAATCTTTAGGCCTATTGGACGGTTCGAGCTTTTTTCTTTGTTGAGTGGTAAACCAGGCAAGTTGAAATTTTTCGAAAGATGTCTTCCCATCGATTAAGAAAAAATATATCCCTCTTTGTTAAAGCATCCTTGAATTAAAAGTAGAAAACAAGCTCTCAGAAATAAAGTGATGATGAATTGATTTTCTCACCTGCCAGCGCTGTCAAATGCCCGTTTGACCCAAGAGCCATTGTACTGGTTGAACACGAAATCGCATCGTTCCCCATGTCGAACGACAATCACCCGCCGGGATTCCATTCCGGAAACGGCCTAAAGTTTGCTACAAATGTTGTTTCGTTGAGTCGAACTGCTTTTTTGGTGTTTGAGACGATTCGGTCAGGTGATCGCGACAGAAAAGAAAAAAATACTTCCTCTCTTGAGTGCGCAAGATCAAAATGTTGATAGAGTTTTTCAAAACAAACTTGAGTCTGGTGAAGTTTCTTTTTTTGTTGTTTTTCCAGTTCCAATAATTGCTTGGATTTAAGTCCAACAGACGGAAATTTTGGGCATAGAGAAAGCTGATATTTCATATCACAAAAGTTAAGCTTCTGAAATTTTTTTTTTCTCGCTAAGAAAAAGTCTTGCGGATAGTGAAACTTTGAGAAAATGGAGAAATTACTCCATCTGATGAAGATTAAAACTGATAAAACAACGAGTTCGGAAACAACCATTGAGACAGTCAACTTTTTGAAAGTTAAAAATATCCTCTGATTGAATTGATTAATGAAAAAAACTCGAAAATTCAATTCTTTCACTCAAAAACCAGTTTTCAAAATGTATCCACCAGTAACTCATTTGTGTTGCCTGCGGACTCTCAACCGCGTTTGCAAAGGCTCTGCGGCCTTGAGACTCGAAAATAAAGTTCAACAAAACAACTGAAGAGACATTGTTTTGCTATTCGCGTGAGCATCCTAATTGGATATCGCCTCAAGCAAGCTATGAATCAAGGATATTCTCAAAAAAAAAAACATATTTGATTAGGATTTGACTAGCTTTGCTTTTAGTAGCGATAGTTTATTCGAGAGTACTGGAAGCAAAATCAAAACTCATGAATGAGAGAAGAATAAATGCGAAAAAGCCGTCGGGTCAAAATGTTTATAAAACAAAGAGAAGCAACTGCGTCCATCGGAACCAACAGTAACACAAGAGGCGGCAGACCAGCAAACTGGATCGCATGGAAGCGCGGCGAAAAGGTGCCTCGTCGTCTCTCCACCTGCCTCTCTTGGTTAAAGGCAACTGGGACACGCCCTTCGGCGAACAACCTCTCGAGATCTCTTTTTTTCGTCTAGCTTTTCGTTTTCTGAACTTTTCTCTTTCCACACATGATTCGGCGTTCGCAATCGGACGTTGACCGGTCGTGGGAAATCTGCGGCTTCCTTGTCGCAATCGGAGATTCGTTCTCGATCATTGAAAATTGGATATTCAGGATTTTCAATCATTCATACATCACTGTGCCAGAAAAAGAACATTCTGCGACAACTTTTAACTACATGATGAAAATGTGGATTAACATACTTTCAGATTCTGAGAACGAGAGAAATACTAGAAAAAAGATGCTACATAGGATTCAATAAATGATTAAAGTTTATCCTCAAAAATAAATTTGGCCAGTTCGTTTGAAACGTGAAAAAGAAGGACGAAACTCAAAAAAAAACATACAAATTATATTTTTCGCTTACGTTCTTCTCGGAAGAGTTGAAAACTTTACACAGTTTTTCAGTCAAGTTAACGGTAAATGAGTCCTATGATTTTCTCTCAATGCCTAAATCGAATCTCAAAGAAAAAACCGTTACCCGAGTCAAAACTGTTAAGAAAAATCCATAGGAAACTAGAACTTCTCATTTTTCTGACCGTGTCAAAAACGATACGCATTGAACTGGAGACTATCGAAACAGTGTTCTTTGATTGTTCGAAACTCCCGACTGTGAGATCAAGTTCGGTTATCGGAGGATGGTTCAAAAGGCGTTGACCGTAGCCTACAATTCGTGCAGCCCTATGACGTGCACTTTTTCATTATCTTACACAGTTATTCTGTTTCAAAATCTTCATTATTTCGTAAAGACAAAAAAGAAATGTGAACTGCATTTGAATATCCGCAAAACAATGAAATTCACAATTAACCACAACATACAAAAAACGCAAACAAACCGCGTAACGTTGAGATGATTTCACTACACGTTATGTATGAAGTTAAAGACATTAGTCACATTCTTAAAATTAACGAGATAACAAGCTTTAACTCGTCGAAGATGAAATAACACAAACAGAATAACTAGCAGATTTTTACAAATTATCAGATTAGTTTAATCAATTTCAAACACATTCACAAAAAAGTTAGGGGTTCTTTTTGGGACGAACCATTCAGAAATCAATTATGCAGTAGTACTAACGGGTTCAGCTACTGGTTCACACGCTCCTTCAGTAATGTCCGAAGGGTTCATTGGCTCCGTGTCTTTCTGAGAAGCACTTTTCTGAGCGGGTTCCTTATGAGGAAGCCCTTTTTCAGTGTTTCCTCCTTCAATGTCCATACTCTCCTCCGCAAAGCTTTGCTCATAGTTTATATTTTGGTATTCAGAAAAGACGCAGTCTTCCATACTCTCCTCAGTCTCAAAGTCTTCAAGTGATTCTTCTTTTAGAACGTCTTCTGCCAAAAAGTCGTCCTTTATATCTTTTTCTTGAACGAAATTCTCCTCTCCAACATCAGCTTCATCCAGTTCTTCGTTCTCTTCTTTGAGATCTGCATTGTCCAAGTAGTAGTTGTTATGGTATTCTTCTCCAAATCCGTCCTCTTCGAGATCGTCTTCTCCAATTACGACTTTTTTGGGACGAGAGTCAACGTACTTTTCCTTGTGAACACTTGCATAACTGTCACTGATGAAGTTCGATTTTCTTTTACGCAAATTGGTTTGGTCCACGTTTGTAAGGTTTAGAGCCTTGGTTGGTGGAAAACCGTCAGTTGCTGCGGAGAATTTCATCGCCGATGTGAAATCATTTGAACCATTTTTTTGTGCAGGCTCATCCGATTCAAAAACATTGTCTTCGAGCTCTCCAGGACAGAATTCAGGATTGAAATTATTGTTCTCAAGCGCGTCAGACTTCGCGCGAGCCGGAAACTTGTGTCCTTGTTCCCTTTGTTGTTTGGTATAGAAATACGAGTCTTCGGGCCTAGTACGAGAAAGGATCCCGGTTTTGAACTCGTCAAGGAGTGTGCCAAGATAGTTTCCAGAGTACCAGAAAGGCAGAAAAACAGGCTTTTCCGAAGCATCTGCTTCTGAACTTTCTTCCGAGTCCGGGCTGTCGTTATAGTAAATATCGTCACGCAGGAGAGCTTCCATCTCCGCCTTGTCTTTTGCAGCTCGTTTCTCTTCCGCTCGTTTCTTGAAAACTTCTTCCACGGTCTCGTACTCACTGCGATTGTCTGCCCGCTCTTCAGAATCGTGATCTTCCTCCACTAAAAAGAGAAGATACTAATATTGAATAAATTTTGTCACTTACGTTCGGCAATAGTGTAAAGCGTGTAGATCTGGTTCTCGATTGGAAGATGAAACTTTTCTAATGTTTCCAGCACGCAATTGACAGTTGAATTTTTCTTCAATCTGATACGATCAGCAATTTTGTAGATGGCTTCTTTTGCCCGAGAGACATTGTCAAGCCCGTCAATGAAATCAGCTCTGAAAAAGTGATGGTTTTGAAAAAAAAAAAGAAAAACTTACTCTTTTGGAACACAAGTGCAGTGGAAAATGTATGGCATTTCCGGAAGAAGTTTTCGAGCCAATTTCTCCAAATAGTCTCTGTTGTTGATACCGTCGCACCATCCACTGTTTACCAAAAGATCTTTCACCTGAAAAGAAAAGGGTTTTTTGAAATTGTTTGTTTTTCAGCTTACGTTGGGGTGGTTGGAAAGATCAAAGCACTTTTCCATGATCTGCAGCCCTAGCGGGAACGAATCCAAGTCGACTTGACTCATGATAAGAAGAGGAACGATGAGCGGATCAATTTTCTTCCATTGACGCGTCACAGCACAGGTGACTAAGATATCTCGGTATAAAACGCATAAAAATTGAGCCGCATCCTCTTGCTCCACAAAATTTATTTCACGTTGCTGTAAATTAATTTTATTTGTCTGTTTATTCTTCGAATGTAATGCACCTCAAAATCCCCGATGAAGAAGGAAATGCAATATTTCGAGAACACTTTGCTTCTCAACTCGGTGTGGCCGTTCTCAACGCAAAACCGCAAACAGCGCATCACAACTTGGAGAACTCCGGAGAATTGGCCCAGCTGAAACTATTCGTTTAAGGGACTAATAAATATAAGTGTGCATTTTTTTCACAGAATTAGAACTAAAACAATGTGATTTATTTATAGATCATAGTCGAATTATCTCATAGCGATCTAAAAAAACCGATATTATCAAAAAAATAATCAAGATTTTTTTGCATGAATCATGAATTAATCAAGTAGACGTCATTGAAACGTCAGCAAATATACCAGAATCTCACTCGTTTTCATCGAAATTACTTTTTTTAGTACTTTCTTTTCCTTCATCCTTTTACCATTGTTCAAAAGAAAAAAAATACCATTCTCTTGGCGAGAATCCAATTCAAATCGAAGGCAAACATCGACATTTGGGTTGTCAATCTCAGGGTACATCTAGATAAAAAATAAAGTTCAAGCACCAAAAAACACTGAATACCAATTTATAAAAATTGAGAAGTTCTTCATATTTTTTTTCTACATAGCTCAGAGCAAGAATCATCCCGTGAGCCAGTTCATCAAGCCCTGTAAATAGATTTCATTAAAAAATCTTCAAATCAAAAAGAAACCAATGTCTTCCAACAATTGTAGATGAGTTTCATCAGAAAAGTCTATGAACTCCATGATTCGCATAAGCAATTCAAATTGACTAGTGAACAGGGTCTGAAAACCTTCAAGTAAAAAAAAAGCAGAGGAAGAAAATTCACAGTTTTCGAAGAAAACGGTGTTGGTGGATTTACGCAAAATCTTTCGGTCAATGGCAACATGGCTGTCTTCAAATAATACGGCACAAGAACACCGCCTGAAAATTTGAGCATAAATTTGCGTTCCTGAAACTGATAACCTTTTGTCAAGTCGACCATTCCTGTTTGAAACAATGTGAGTAGATAAGTCAAAGCCATTCTTCGCATTCCTCCAGTCAAGTTTGGTAGGATTTTCAAAACATCCAGCGCGGAGGTATTTGCGTGATCGGGATCGCTTCTGAAAAAGTTTCCAAGTTTGAATAAATCATTATTTCGTGAGGCTTCTGAAAGAAAAGAAATTTCGTCGAAATTTTTTTACACGGAAATTTCATTTCTATGGATTAATCAGAAAACTAGCGCAGAAAAAGCTGCGTTGGGAAGGTTAGGCCACATTTCCGCAAGTTGTAACTCACTTAAAAACTAGTTTAAACCGATGTAAAAATATTTGCATCAAGTTCTAATTGTAATCTAAGCTGAAAGTATAAATTTTTAAAATTGAATGTCCAGTTTTTAAAAACTCATGGAAATTTCGCATACAATTTTTAGGCGGATATGATTCAAAACTGTGAAAAAAACGTTTTTCAAAACATTGAATCGACAGTTCGTCATATTTTTCTTTCTCACCTTTCGAGAAAAATGTCAAAATGAATCAATGTATTGTAGAACGGAATCCAGACGTTGTAAGCGTAATCGTTCATGTTTGCTTGCAGATTCTCGAACGACGATGTTGACATTTCTTTAGGTCGATACTTCATCCATGTTTGAACTTTTTGAAGCATGTGGTCAATAATTAAAGCCGTGTAGTTTTCCACTTCTTCCATATGTTTGCGGTTGCTATAGTTCATGGTCAAATTGAGAACGACTCGATCTGCAATTTGCAATTTTCAATTACAAATCCAGGAAGTAACGGTTTACTGTATCCAGGTGGCCTGTCCTTCAAATTGAGAAGCGCCTCCACCAAATGATTCTGAATATAAAGGTTATCAATTAGAACCAAAGCTCGAGAAAACCTCATAAACAGTAGTCTGAGCGGGGTACAGGGCGGCGCAAGCATATAAGTACTTTTCCGAAAGTTCCGGATCGCTACCGGCCAAGTACAAAAGAGTGTCGCGTAGACTTTGACTATCTCCGTAACCGTCACCAAAAACAACTGAAAATAATAATTTTCTCTCTTAAAAATCACGTTTTTTTCGTTTCATTTTAAAAAAACGTTTCCAACGTACTTGCATATTTTGACGAATAAGGATGAATTTCGTGTCGATTTAGATAATCCGCCATGTACACAACAAACTGTTTCAAGAAGACGTGCCCGAATTCGTTGTTACTGAAAAAAAAAAACCAAAATTCCGTTTTCAAAAAATTATAATTACCAATCGGCGATATATGTGACAATTTCTCTTCTCGAACAGTTAATGATCATACTGTGCAGTTCAACCATCTGTAAAACAATTTTTCAAAACTAAGAAAAACGCTTTTCCAACCGCCAAAAATTTTTTGCGGTGTAAATGACCGCCATAAGTACGGATGTCCAAAATACGTCGACGGAAATTTATATCCAGAACAACCGCGTAATCGATAACTTCTGGAAAAAAGCACGAATGAAAACTTTTCGAGCCGAAAAAGTACCGTTTTTTGTCTCCAGACGTGGTAGAGACAAGTTACTGTATTCCGACGCCATCTAGATTCTTTTTTATTACACCATCTTTTAAAAGCGGAAAGAGTATTTGAAGGCGAAAACCCGTAAAAACTGGAAAAACGGAATAAATCGAGCAAAAACATTTATTTTGATTGATATAGGAAATAAAAACGAAACTTAGGCAAGAAGTTAACTATTTGAAAAACCGAAAAGCTTTTTGAACAAACAGGGAGTTTCAAGTGATATCATTGGGATACTCCGTAGAAATTATTAAACAATCACGTGGTAGAAGTCATATGTGTGGAAACCCGCAAAGGATAAAACCGAAAAGATGTTGATATTTGTAAGAAAGAACGATAGACGTTGGAAGATTATAGCATAAAACAGGAATGAAAAAGATAGACGAGGTCTTGAAAGGAGGGTACCAGAATCTGGTCCTCAAGAAACAAGCTTTACCAAAAAGTCGTTGTTTTAGATGAGAGAAAAAAAAAGTTGCAAGAGTCTCAACCCTCTACCAATCCTCCCAAGGCGCTTTCCGAACATGGTCGAAAATTGGGTGCACGTTCGTTGTTGGAATCGAGCCAATCAGAACGTCTTCCGATCTCAGGGTTTGACGCAGAATTCGTCTACAAAAGAATATTGCAACAGTTCACCCAAGTTGGGAAACCCCGTGGATCCGCTCACAAAAGCAGCAGGAATGTCGGCCTGACGGAGGGTTGTATCGGTCAGCATGAAAACGTAGTCGTTACCACCTGAAAGTTTGTATCAAATTTTCAAATTTGAAAAAAAATCCTTAAGTTGCTGCACTTTCCGAAAAAGAAATCATTTCCCAGCCAAAGGAGCGCGAAATTGATAATCATTAAGAACATTAGGCAATGTTTTTTTCTAGATCATGTTTCATAGAAATTCGATTTTTTTGGCTGACCTCCTTCTGTATCCGTGACGAGAGCAACGACAGCTCCAGCGTTCTGAGCGTTCATGACTTTGTCGATGAAAGGACAATTACTGAAACTTCTCATTCCAAACTCAGATTTAGCAAGTTCAAAACCCCCGGTCCATGAGCATGATCGTTTTGGTCGACACATCATTGATCAAGGGACTACACGCATCTCCCGGATTCGCATATTGAAGCGGAATGTCCTATAAACTTTTGGTTTGAATCAATTAATGATCAGCTAACATAATGAGAATGATTGTGCAGTCGTCCAAATTTGGCTCCAATCAGATAAGCCGGCTGCATTTGGAAGGAGTACGCGATTCTCAGAGGCCATTTAACCGTAAAAATTAATAGATCGGTACCTGCAAAGTCTCTTTTACTGCAAAAAAAAAAAATTCAGACTCGTCCATTTTTTCACTAGCTTCTAAACAAAATCCTCACTAATTTCTTCGTATTCCGGCGGAATGACGCTTTGAACCACAGAAACCGAGAGAAGCAACTTCAATACGTTGAACATTTGACAGCTGCAAAAAAGACAAATAAAAAAAATTTCTAGAAAATATCAGGCAAACGCGTGCAGAAATAAAGAAAAAATAGGATCTATATTCTGAAAGCAAAAAACATAAAGATTCACAAAATACAAGCTTTGAAAAAAAAAAACAGTTTGCGCTGGAAAAGAAAACAATGATGAGCCCTCGAATGAGAATAACAAGACAAACACAGTGCTGCGTTCGTTTGCCGCTCTTCCGCATTGCGTACTTTTGATTACCGTATCCTCGACTTTGACTCGAAAATTTCTTGTTTTCGCCAAACTTTTCGCAATTGAAATAAGATCCGCAAAAAGTTTTCAAATAAGGTAAGAGGTGAAAAACACTGCGACGAGTTTATTGCATGCAGTGAATTCCAAGACACAGAATTTTATACATTCCTGTCAACAACTTTTTTCAATTTTCATAACAGTTATCTACAGTAAAAAGACGAAATTCTGGAAAATGGTTTTTTTGGCTAAAAAAAAGTCTAAAGTCTCAAACTCTACAGGTCGCGTTGACTCAGGTAGTAATCGATTTTTTTTTACACTTTTTGCTTTTTTATTGCTACTTTACATGAATTCCTATGAACGCCGATTTTAACTTTCAAAAAATTCGAATTGGGATGCTCAACACAATTAACCAAACGCTACGTATCAACTTAATAATTGGTAGTCTTTCTTTCAATTTTACGGTTATCTGGAGAAGCAAGGAGTTTGCAATATTGGGCCAAGCGTGGCCGATAAAAGTAGCTCAAAAACTTTGTTCTAGAATCAAAGTTTTATTCAAAAAAATAAATTTACAATACAAAGTTTCCTGATGAATTAAGATATGAAAAATTGTGTCAGTAGAAGAAATCGTTGGTTGAGAGTCTCTGAAAAATTTTTTTATTTCTTGAGTTTGTAAAATAGAATTCTTGAAAACTCACAAATCCTCATTAACAATTTCTTGCATCGTGTGCATGACTTTTGCTTCGGTGCGAATTTTATTCGCCACGACGGTTAGTTTTTTGCTTTGCTTTGATGACGTTGGAAGCTCTGCATAAAACGGATACTTGTTGAGATGTTGCAGCTGAAAAAAGAAATTAACAAAAACCTACTTGAATGAAGTTACTTGAGCTTTGTTAGAGAGACTTCTCTCTTTTTGGTCCAGCAAAGAAATCGCTTTATCATGCCTACTGAACTTGAAAATAGGGTTATCCCGAGGGTCGTCGCTGCAAACAGAAGATATATGAAATAGTAATGTTTTTTTCCATAACCTGACATCGGAGTTCAAAAAATCGACATAGGGCACAGTTCCAATAACCACCGGAACGGTAATATCGATTACATCAACACCTTAGTTTTTTTGAAATTTATCTGAGAATATTTGGTTTCAAATTCAATTCAACATTTCGAAACTGCTCTCTGAGATATAAGAACATGGCATATGATAGTCGGTTGAACATTCTTTTCTGCTATAGTCCGTCCGCCGTGACTTGACAGTTTTCCCGTGTCTGATTCTCTCTGTTTTCTCACCGGCAGGTCAGAGAAATATGAAAACAGTACGTAAAAATGAGAGGGTTGTCGAGAGTTAAGGAGAGCGCAGAAAAGTCTCGCCCTTTCAAGTCGCGAAAAACCGACTATATGATCAAAAACACGAAAAAAATCTTTTTTGATCAGATTCTATCTAATTTGATCATATGGCAAATTCGAACCTTTTTTTAACGTAGCCAAGTTACGGTAGGCAGGTGTTCTTGTGAGTTAATAAAATATTTACCTCCTGTCCTGACGCGGAAATTGAAACTGTAGGAAACGATCATCAATCGTTGCAATGTTGATCCAGAAGATATTGAGAGGCAAGACTTTTGACTACTCAATGATAGTCGTCCAAGTTGAGACTTTCTTCTCAGAGTCGCTCTGGCGTTTCCATTTGGGTGACCATTCATTACCCTGGTAGTGGGCGTGCTAAAAAGACACTTTACTTTCAAATTTGCAGATAAAGTCGATAGTTAGAATGAGACTTGAAATTGAATTCAGCAGACAGATACTTTATGCTTTCTGTTTTGAGGCGTCACAACTGGAACAATAAACGAGCAGCTTAAAAAGTTCTCAAAGCCAAAAAAATAAAAAATTTTTTTTAATATAGTTTCTGTTGATTTTCAACAAACTACCTTATTCTACGTAATGCACTTGCTTGAATAAAACTAAAAACAGAAAGCTGAAAAATTTTTGAGCAAACATATAAGGAAGTACAGTCTTGACTATCAACCACTTCATGAAAAAGACCCACCTGGGTGCCACGGGAGGGATATGAATCATTTTGTCGATTTTGTTCACACAACTTTCTTCTATGTACATGGCAAGCAGGTCTTCTTGCACGTCGTAAACGTCGTACACGGAATCCTGAAAAACTTTTCATTTTTGCTATTTTTGGAGGCAAACCATTCCAAAGTCGTTTTCGACATCTAAGCCGATCTTGATTTTTTGTTGAAGGACCGCCGACACTTTTTCAATCCGATTCACGCTCTTGTTTTCAATTTTCCCTTTAAAAAACCTTGAAGGTTTATGTAGATGAGGAAAAACCTATTACGCTGACTGCTTCGCCACAGACAAAAGCTGTTCTTTCTATGGTTAAACTCAATCGAATTTGGCCTCCGGTGCATGCAAACCACCCAAATTTGCGTTGTTCGAATTCAGTTCTTCTTTCGAAGTAAAACTTTGGAATTTTATTAAGATCCATCGATTCGAGAACTGTAAGCCCTCTGACAGCTTTGACAACGCTCGAGTTCCCATCTTAATTTAATTTTCAGGTCGCATCCCAAAATGGCAAATGTGAATATATTCTAACTAACAGTTAGTTTTGTATTCCATTGTAGCCATTAATAGATATTGAATGTACCCTTTTGAGCAGTATATAGAGGTAGGTATCTGATCAGGCAGTTTTTCCTGAATACTGAATACTTTTTCGATTTCTGCACTCCAAGAAACACTCTAATTGCATGTAGAATAGCTCAAAGTTTTTCAGTTGCGATAAAGTTGAGACTATAGTCAGTTTGCGTTTTCAATCTATCACTCCGCAACAAAAACGGGTTGATCCATTCTTCATGCGACCACATGTATCAAAACAAGTCTAAGTGATTCCCACAACCTACTTCGATGGCGAAGGAGTATTCAGGAGCAGATATTGTAACAGGTTGATGAACGATTTCCGAATATTTCTTGATGTAAGTCAAGTTCTCTTGAATCATGTCGTTGCCCTTAATCGGAAATTCATACAAAAAAGTGAGAAACAATGTATACCTTCCCTTTGCAGTTCACCTTTGCATAACCATGGATCATAACGCGTAATGAGGTTATTTCTATTGAGCCCTCGGAGATTCTTAAATGAAGCTTTCCGAGTATCTTTTCTCCCCAGGAGTAACAAGCTTCCTTTTTGGTCAGCTCGATCATACATTCTGATAGATTGTCGGTAGAATTATCAGGCTGAAAAAGTTTTGAATCAACATGCAAGGAAGTTAGTCTGAACTAATCATCTCGAGGAAGGCCTCGGAAAAAATGAAATACAGTTTTTCAAAAAACTTCCTTTTTAACAAGAAAATGTGTCTGAATAAATAACGTAAGAAATATATTAAAAAAAAATGAATTTCGAACATGTTCAACTCACAAAAAAAGAATTTTCTCATCAACTTCTAGTTCTAAGAATTTTTTCTTATGTTTTTAGTCAGCCGCCCAACAAATTTACTTAGTCAAAAGATTCGAAAACCGAAATGAAAATATAAAAATTGTTCTACCAATAGTCTTGCAAGGAATATAAAAAAACTCACGGTATTGATCATGTCGAAAAGAGGGCAACAAAAAGTATCAAGGGCCAATAATGTTGAGAAAGGACCGCAATAGCTGGAGGTCGGCTGACAAACCTTTTCCGGTGGTTAGAAGGCTCGTCGATGAACTTTCGGAAACGCTTGCTGGCCTTCCTCTCTTCATGCTCCTACGACTAGACAGGTCGCCTTGCTGCACTCGGAAGTCGATTGAGAGTTTGATTGTCCTTTCAGACAGATCCTAGATTTGCCTTCGGACATTCCATTATGAAATTTTTGCTCTCACGATCTCAGTTTTTGACTTTACAAGATTTTTTGGTTTAAAAAACTTTTACTGAGATCATTTTTAACTTTTTCTCAGCTTGAATGGAAACTGTCCGACTTTTTCTGCGCCTTCTTCTTTTTTTCACAAAGAAGATGATAGGAGCTTGAAACCAGCTCACATCAGCTGGAAGCTCGTGAAGGAAAAAAATAAAAATAAGATTGAAAAAAATAAATGATTCCAAAAATTTTTGAACGAGAAATTTTTTTCATTCTTGACGATGACATTTTTTTATCTTTCATATTTTCAAATTTTCATGACTTCATTCCAATTCATTGTTTGCTGTTATACAATTATATAATATACTTCTTTGTTTCAAACAAGTAGTCTGTGAAGAAATAATCAGTTTTCGCAGAGCTCGTTTTTCTCTTATTCTGCCCGAAATAGGAAAAGAAAAAAGCTAACAAACGTATACTAATACTTAAGTGACCAGTTGTGGCTACCTGTGCGGCAGGGCAAACTTGCTAGTATTTTTCACCGCAGTTTAACGTTTCTTCTTTTTATTAATTTTTTCTTTCTCACTTTTTTCGCTTTTGGTTTTAATTTATTTTTTCTAAATTAAATTTTTCTTTGTGCAATAATAAGAAATGAGGCTTTTACCGATTACTTATTTTGATCCCCTCTAATCCGGTAAACTCTCTTATTCTGTTTTGACTTGCTTATTTTGGTTTTTTTTCAATTCCCAGTGGCAACATTTCGGCGTGATAAATTACTCTGCATGTCATTTCAGATGAGCGGCGTTGCATTGGAAAGCAAATCGAAGCTTCCACTCAAAATGCTCGAAGTATTGTCAGACGCATCGACTCTCGTCGCCTCTGCAACGCAAAGTTCAAGCACCTCTGAGGTTTGACTTTCCATTAATTAGTGAACTCGTTTAGCTCAAGATTTTTAGAACTGCTATAAAAAAATAATTATGGGTATTTTAAAAAAATCCTGAAAAAAACTCAATTATCGAGTTCAAAAAAAGATGATTACAAAGTTTTCTCGTTGAAAGCTGTGTTCTTAGTGGATACTTTTTTTGTAGGTGGTTTTTTTAAATTTGCACCTGGTTCATTGAAAATTTTTTTGGAAGTTATAAAAAAATATTTAAAGTTTTTCATGAAGGATTCTTCTTGTCAGTTCTATTCCAACTTTTCATTAAAAAAATTTTTTTACTGTAAGAAACCCATAGCCAAACTTTGAAAAAAGTTTTTCAATCTTTTTGTTGCAATCCACTTCATTTATACCTTGAAAAATTTGAATAATATGCAAATTTCTCTATTTTCAAATTTTTTAACATCAAGCTTATGTTTTGCTTTGAAAGGGTTTAGAAAAAAACAAAAATTTTACAATAAAAACGAAACATTTCATTTTTTTACGAGTTTTTTTTCCAGATCATAATGACATCGACAAAATCAATTTGTGCTTTGGAAGGAATTGTGGAAACGTCAGCCAATGTAAGGTGAACTTATTTATCAAGAAGTAAGAATTGCTTGCAGAATTTGGAGCTGATTGAGAAATTCATCGATGAGTTTTCTGAAGGTTGCGGAGATGTTCCTATCCTGTGAGTTGATGAAAAAAATATAAACTTTTTTTGAATACTTGAAAAAAATTGTCTACACATAAATTCAAGATGCCTTTATGTTATTGTATGTTTTATCAATTGTAAGCAAAAACCGATTTTTTTTTTCTAAAGCAAGATGACTTCTGTCTGACTAAAAAAATATCACTGATGTTAAATTGAAACTCAAAAAAATTTCGTAAAAATTTTTTTGATGTTTTCTGTTTTCGAACAACTTTTTTTCAAATAAAACTGTTGTTCTTTTTTTTTGTTATATTACAAAGTTTTAAAGTCCGTAAGCTAATAAATGAGCATGGAAAAGAGAATTTTAAATAAGTTAACAAAAGTTAAAAACATTAGATTACAGTTTCCCGACTTCGAAGCTTAATATCCACCGATCACAATTTTTTCTAACTTTTCTTTAAAATCTCTATTCTAAGAAAAAAAAAGCACACATTACAGACTTCTATCAGACTTTTCACTCATTTCTAAGTCTTGCAAAAAAACTTCTGAATTTTATAAATTACAGAATGGACCCTGTGACGGATGTAAATCATAAGTTGCAAGACATCGAACGTCAGAACTTTTATTGCGCTTCCGAAGTTGGTAGTTCGATCGGGTCTCCGTCGGTCGATTCATTTTCGGACAGCGAGAAAGACGTTACCTCTCCTTGAAATCTCATTGTTATTGAATTATTTGTGAAATTCTTCGGCAAAGCTGATTCTCTTCCCCTCGACACGGTTTTTCATTTCATATTTATTTTTTTAAACGGGTTTTTTTATATGTTTTTTTGTGTACTCCAAAAAAATAAAGACTCTATTTTTTTATTGATTTTATAGTTGATTGTTATACTTGCAGCTTTATTTTTTTGACGTTTTATTTTTTTAATTTTTTTAATACACCGGTCACGCAGTTCACCTTGCTTTATGCTAGCAGAATGGGCGGTCCTCCTAGCCCTGGCAAGGCAACGAGGATAACCAGACCACAAAAAAGCTAAAACACGTTCAACAAGACGGCCCCAGTCCTCCGCCCGTCGGTCACGCGCCTCTCCGGTATCGGGGGCTGCCTCTGCCGACGAGGGGCGATCAAATCTCGGAGCAACAGGATACCATAGAAACGGACTACGGACGCGCCACGGTTACTGTCTACGTTTCGGAACCTTCAACTGCCGCTCGCTCGCTTCCGATGCAGCAAAATAGCAATTGCTCGAGGCAAACCGAAACGCACTCATCGACATAGTGGCGCTCCAGGAAACCAAATCTCAAGAAACCAGCTGCAAGACTTGGCCAAACGGTGAACTTCTCATCCTCGGCCACAAAGTCCCTGGGAAGAACGTCGGCGGCGTCGGCTTCCTCGTCAATCGCTCGGTCCAACACCTTGTCGACTCGCACGAAATCGTCAACGCCCGCCTCGGCATCCTCCGACTCAACCACGTTCTGGGTGACTTCGTTCTGGGTGATGGGCAAGTACGCCACTCCCTCGATTCGTCACGGGAAGCACGGACTCGGAACTCGGAACGACAACGGTGAACGCCTAGCCGAACTTCTCGACTCCAGAAGGCTCTACCACGGCAACTCTCTCTTCGAGAAGCCTGATCAGAGACGCTGGACCTGGAAATCACCCAACGGAGACACCACCAACGAGATCGACCACATTCTGGCCAACCGGAAATGGTCTCTCCTCGACGTTGCCGTACTACCCAGTTTCGACGTTGAATCCGACCATCGACTCGTTCGCGCCAAAATCCGCCTGAACCAGAAGCTTCTGAAGAAAGACTACCACCAGCCCTCGAGACCGAGAAGACCAACCTACGACATCACCACGTTGGAGGAGAAGATCTCGGAGCACGACTGGCAGCTTCCCGACGACCCGACAGCCGACTACGAATCCCTCTGCAATGGCCTCATCAGATGTGCAGAACCTGCAGCTTGACCAACCTCTTCTCTACCGCCGCGACTCGACCAACGAGCGAAAGATCTGCTGCGAAGAAGAGGAGAAGTCAAACGAGACCCGCAGGCCACGCACCTCGAACGTCTGACGATCGACAAAGCCTGCAGAATGACCGTGCAAGAGTCCCTCGCCAACCGACGCAGGAGTGCACTTCTTCAGACAGCTGAGAAACGTCAAAGCCTCAAGAAGAAGAAGTTCGAGCTTGTCGACGAGCGAACGGTGATGACAGCACTGAAGGACGAGAACGGCCAGCTGAAGTCGTCAAGGAACGAGATGGAGCGCCTGACGGTCGACTACTACACGAAACTCTTCCGAAGCGACGTTCCCGTTCCCAGAACACCAACGCCGCCTTCAACTCCATCAAAGAAGTCACCAGCCAACTGAAAGACCCGAAACTGCGAGCTCACATCTTTGAAGCGTCGATAATCCCTGCCATCTCCTACGGTACCGAAGTTTGGCCTGACACGAAGAAAAATGCAACCGCCCTACGAACTTCCTACCGCGCACTGGAACGTGCTGTCATCGGCACCACTCGCTTCGAGAAGTGGAAAAAAGAACCGACGAGCATAGACCTCTGTCAACTGTCCCAAATCCGGGATCTAGAAGAGCACATACAGTGCGGGAAACATCGTTGGGGCGGCCACGTCATCCGCAGACAAGACGACCGCTGGTCCACGAGATTAACACACTGGATTCCGAGAAACAACAAGCGCCCATCGACCAGATGGACGGACTACTTCCGCAAGAACATCAGTCAGCCAGGCCGCCACTGGATGACCGTCGCGCAAGACCGAGCCGCCTAGAGAACGTGTGGTTCACGCTGAGAAGCGAAGATGGACCATCAAAGTATCAAAAAGTAAGTATTTTTAATTTGTCGACGGTCGGAAATTTCGGAGATTTGAAACAATTCATATCAGTTTTCAAAGTTTTGAAGTTTGTAAGAGGATTGTATCAAAAAGCGAAATATAGAGTTTGCTTATAAAGCTCTTTTTTTCAGTTCTTTTCATTTAAAAAAACAGGCTTCAGTAAGAAGAGAGCTTTGGAATTATTCAAAGATATTTGGACTCCAATTTTCGCAATTGATGCGTAAAGTACCAAAGTTCTTTTTATCACTCAAAAATGAAACTCATCCGAATAGGTTTTTTGGTGCTTTTTTTGTACAAAAATGTTTTTTCTCGGCTTCTATAAAAATGTGCTTTGGAAAAGTAATGCGTTTTATTTCCCATTTTCATGTGTTCGAAAAAATCGTGACGTATGTTATTTCACCAAATCTACTTGCGATAAAAAAATACCCGTCATAATAAAGAGGAAAGATCCTCAACACAGTGAATTGGAAGATAAATGCTAGAAAAAGTTAGGTAATTTTGCTTTCAATCTTGAGGTCGAGGATCAATGTATCTACCAGTATGGTAATAATTTGATAGCTATATGATATCTGAAATGTCAGGAGATATAAAAATTACGTAGTTTGAGAACCATATATGTGAATGTGAAGGTCTAAATAGGGCAAGAGATTCGAAAAAAAAAATGATAAAAATTAATGAAAATAGTGAAAAAAAAAACGAGTTGTGGATTATCAATGAATGCTCTGGCTCCAATTCGTTGCTCTGTTGTAGAACTGCGTCGGATTGCAACGGAAGGAAGGGTCTATGGCGAGAAGAGAATGGATGATTTTGACAACTTCTGGATCTACAGTTGAGGGGATTTCCGGAAGATCGTAGGCTTCATAGTTGGCACAAGCTGTGTACAGAAAGAGGCGACAGAGATAGCCTTCCTCGAATGGAACCTGTCAAAAAAAGTTATTGATCCATCTATTGATTCCAGTTAACCTCTCCGGCGACGCATTGGTACAGAAGACATCCAATGCTCCACATGTCGACTTTGAAGTCGTATTGGCAAGTTTTGAGCAAGTTTGCCCCGACCTCTGGAGCCATATAGTAGAAAGTTCCTGCTACATTGCACAGCTCGGCGCCTTGCTCGTCATCGAGAGTTCGAGCGATTCCTGAACAAAATATTTGAAGACAATCTGGAAAAAGGATAAAAGGTGATGAACAGGAAACTGAACATTTAGTCAAGTCGAATCGAAGATTTTTTCAAAAAGAAGTGAAGGTTTGAGCCCTTCTTTAAGAGTTAATTTGAAAAAAAGTGAAGATTTTTTTAGAAAGCAGGTTACTTGGAGAAAAAGAGATTTGATTCGTTTTTCTCGCCGAAATTCGCTTTTCGATGTGAATTTCCTCAATCAAAGAAGCGCCCATTGTATTAACCCTTTTCAAAAAAACGAGCACGGACGTCACCCCTTCTTGGGCTTTGTGCTTTTGTGCTTACTTCCCTATTCTTGCTTTTGCTTCGTGTTCCAAGCTGCTCAGAAGCTTGTGAGTATTGCCGCAAAAACAGGAAATGAATAGAATCGCGGACACAGCAAAAACAAGGTGAAATAATAAGATGGGAAGGCCTGAGGATAAAAAAGAAGAGAGTGTATTCTTCTACAGAGGTTTTGAGCCTCACTTGAAACGTGTTTATTTAATTGAACAAACACGTATTTAGTTACGCGATTTAAAACTTTCTTCTTCTCGAGTTTTTGTTTGTTAATGAACGCTCTTCGAGCTCAACACGGTTGGAAACTTACCAAAATCAGTTATTCTGGCCACGGCTATTTGCGAAGGGCTGTGATTACGGTAGGAGACCAGAATGTTCTGCGGTTTGATGTCACGGTGCACGATTTTCATTTCGTACAACGCTTTGTAGCCACGTGCAATGTTGTCGAGAAGAGTGCTGAAAAATTAACTCAACTTCTATTTTTCTTAAACTTGTTTGAAAAACACATTATGAGATTTTTTTTTTTGGCTCTTCTCGGCTGCCAAGGCCAACGACTAAGCCAAAACAGCGGTCCCTTAATAAACAAAATTTCAAGTTGATTCCCCCAAATTTTTTTTTTTCGAAAAGCACAAAAATCAACATGATTGGCACAAAAAGGCTCCTCAAAAATTGTTTTGCTCATGTGTCATGTTTTGACTTCGCTCGAGAAGATGATGGAAAATTGGCAATAACCCCACAACAAGTGGAAAATGCGTTCTTAGAACCGAAAGACAAATTTCTCAGCATCGAAAGCTGAAAAATTTAGCCTGAAGCAAAGTTTATTGGAGTTCCAAAAATGAAGCTTTTTCTACTTTTTGAAGCCCTTCTCAACAGCTTTCTTCGCATCAGGAGAAAAACGCAGAAGAGTCTGACGTCATCCCAGGAGAAGCACTCATTCATGAAAAATTACATGAAACCAAAGAGCGAGGACTTGACTATGGGAAAAAACATTCGTTCGACGCCATCTCTTTCGAAAAGCTCAAATTTACCGGAAATTTGAGGGACTGAGGCGACCTTGCGTGGAAACGTTCCTCATGTGTTGGTCGAGGTCGCTGTCGCACAGTTCCATCACCAAACAGCAGGTGACGTCATCCATCCGACAAATGTCCAAGACTCCGACCAGATAGTCGCTTTTCAAGGACCTGAAAACCAACATCAGATTTCTGTTTCAAAAATTTTTTACAAACCTTATCATCTTGAGCTCATTCTCCTTGACATTCAATTTAGGGATTCGTTTTATTGCAACCTGAAAAAAGAAAATTATTTGGGATGAGAAAACCTCTGGAAGACACGACTAGTTCCTTCTCTCATTTTTTCCTTAGATGAGACTTTTTTACTTTTCTCTCAAAAAAAAATCTTCCTCCAATGACTGGGAGCGAATTTCCTCGTTTTCTCCAGTGAAAAGCCTTTTCAAAAAGCTGATTTCCGGGCCAAAGTCTTCATTCTCAATTCTTCTCTCAACTTCCGAGAAAGACTGAAGAACACGAAAACTATTAGTGAGTCTGAGAAAAGCCTAGGAGAGTTACTTCCTGGTTCCTATCAATCTCACTTTGGGCCTTTTTGGAGATCTGAAGCACTGTGAAATTTTTCATGTTTTTCAGGTTCATAATGTCAAAATCTTCCGTGAACATAAATTACAAAAAGAAGCTGGCTTTCACGAGAATGAAGTCTGAGTTTATGAAGAAAAAGTGGACGCACTCGCTTTTGAAAACTCTCAGCAGTAACCAAAATTTCTTGACGGATCGTCCCAAGGTCTATTGTTTATCATTCATTTTTTTAACCCCATACATTTGTAGATTCAAAACGCAGACTATCAAAAAAAGTTGTGAAAATGAGTTGAAAAGCTGCTTCCAGAAGATTTTTTTTCGATTTGAAACTGCAATTTGTCTGAAACTCACACTAGCATTTGTGACGGTGTCTTCTCCTTTGAAAACGATTCCGAAAGCGCCCATGCCAATCATGGCGTCGATCGAGTCCTCGTACTCGTATCTGCCACCCAGGACGATATGTTTGTTGGAGAACTCGGGCAACAGAAGCACCCCGGCCGTAGAACCGCGGTGAGAAGTGCAAGACACAACCATCTGAAAAGTTGAACAATCGAAAATTGAAATGAAGTGGAAATAAATCCGCAGAAGATTGAAATAAATGCGTCACAAAATGTTGACCTTGGCGCCACAGAGCAGCGTAAACTGTTGGAAAAGCAAGCAAAGATTCAGAAAAACTCAACCATCAGAAAAAAGAGAATTTTGTGTGTGTTTTTTTTTGTTTGAGGACTCACTGTTGACGCATCATTGCTTTGAAAAGGGTGCTCAACATGAAAAAAGAAAATGAATTTTTGGCCTGAGCATTTCGGGAATGTTTTTCATAGGTGGCAGTTGAAAAGCAGAGAACAGGGCTCAGAAGACTTCTGGGATAAAAAAGAACGAGGATGCTCCTCCAAATCTAGTCAACGAATTTTCGGCAAGGAAGCTTGCGGCAAAAAAAATGTGGAGAAAAGATGGAGAGAACCTAGAAAATCAAAATTGCTTGCAAGAGCGTTTCAAAACTCCTACTTAAAAATGAAAAAAATATATAATCAAAAAATAATTGAAAGATTCGACATGAAGTTTGTGATGGCTGAAAAATACATAGTTTTTTTATTGTAAAAAAATTTTCACGTTTATTATAGATGTGAATTGGAAAGAAGAAAGCAGACTTCAAAACTTCAAAAAGAAGAACAATGACTTTCTAATCTTTTGTGTCGACAATTTTGCCTGAAATGAAGTAAAAAAAAATGAGGGAAAAAAACCTAGAAAATTCAAAAAGACCTATTTGAAACAAGCGGAAAAAACGAACTTGTCGTGGTCTCTAGAAACGAAAAAAGCCTCAAAGGCTTCCCAACACCCATTATTAAGACTGCAGAGAGAGCCAGAAACATCTTGTTGAAAGAAGATGTATCTTCAGAAAAGAATTTTGAAACAGAGAAGGGTGAAAAAATCTCGCGACGTGGCGAGACCTGGAATGACACATCCAAAACAAAAAAGAAGCCATATGATTGCAATAATGAACAAGTGTTGATGAAAGAGGAAGACAAAGAATGCTTTTCGTTTTTGTGTTGTTTTTTCGTCCTCCGCCTCTCGCTCCGAGGGAAGTTGTGACGTAGTGAGAGCGAGGTATAGACTTGTCTGCGTCTTCCGCTCTCTAGCCCTCCTGGAGAGCCTTACTTATGGACTGCTCCAACGGTGAGATCGCTTTCATTTGGACTTTGATGGGATTTTGAAAGACCCGGAAACTGGCCACGCTTTCAAAATGGGCTGATTCATTTCACACTGGGAGGCTCATTTCTGGTATTAGTGGATATTTGAATTTCAGACACCCCATTTTTTGTAGCATATTAAATTTGGAAAGGTTTTTTTAAATTTTTCTTATTTGTGATGAGAAAAAAATCTTCAGCATACTATTAAAAAAAAAAAAAAAACAGTAATTTAAAAAAATTTTTAAGTTTTTTTGACGCTTCAGGTGAGATCCACCTCAGTAAATCACGAATTTCGATGAATTTTTATTTTTGTATCGCTAGCCAAAGTCTTCGAAAAAGGTCCATTGAGTTCGTTCATCTGTTTCCAACTTTAAGAAAGCCTCAACTCCAACTATTTTCGTATGAAAGTCTCAAAAAGCAAAAATCCAGGGGAACGTCCAATTTCGTAGCAGCAATTTGTTTTCCAATTTATAATTGCTACTTTCCGTGGCTTAAAAAATAGCCGACCAAACATTTACTAGGCGATGAAATATAAAATTTTCATGAAATAACCCTGTGCGTTGAGCCGCGAATCAAACAGCCGACACGTTTTGTGTTATTTGTTGACTTTACTTAATAAAAAATATTTAGGTGGCCATAAATAACTTCAAAGACCAGTTGTATGAAGCAGAAAGCTAGCACACTTTCGAAAATTGAATGTGGGTTTTCAGGTTTACGGAAAGGACTGCTCAAAATTAAAAGAACCATTTTTCAGAGCAATCTTTTTTGTTGTCACGGAAGTCCGACACGTTGTCTGTGCACTATCTGACCGAAGACTAGATATCTTTTCATCTTCGGCCAGATGTTTCAGATCAATAAAAAACGTTCAAAAAATGCTTCTCCGATTCAGCTCTAGTATTTTCTAAACTAAACTTGAATTAAATTGTGTGTATGTCCTCAGGGACGACTTTTAGAATGCAAACTCTCAATTTTTTGCCCATAAAAATCTGAAATGTGTAGGTCGTTTGGCTTTTCTTCCTCCCCAAAGAGCAGCCATTTTCTCATGCACCGAGGTGATGTCATTCTCAAAGGAGAGATTAGCAAGTCTTCAAGAAAAAAAATGTACTTTGGTTAAAGTCTTAGGATTCACAATTTTTTTGTTCCCAATGCAATCGTACCGTAACCCAAATGTATTCCCCACCTTATCTTTCGGAGCTTCTTCGTCCGCCGACGAGTTAGTTGATTTGAAGCCGACTTTCTCTGCGGGAATCGCCGGAATTATTAAGGACGGATGCGCAGCCATAGCCATACTTTCTGAAAAAAAAACAGCTTGAAACGCCAGATGGTGAACAAATTTCAACAGAACAAATTGAAGCTTCGAATATGTACAAAAAACGAGCAAATTCAGTCGTCTCCAATTACAATTTTTTTTTCAAAAATCCGCTTCCAAATAAGAGCTCCCATATAAGAATATTTACTCTCGATTTTTTTCTTGGCCGTATTTCAAGAAATAAAAAAATTCCGTCAATTTTTTTGGAACAAAGTAAAAAATTTGGTGATTTTTTTTTCTCCCAGGCGGATTTTTAGAAAAATTCTAGCTGTAGTACGAAGCTTTGAAAGAAAAATACTTAAAAAAATAATTATGTGAGAATAGCAAAGTACGGATGAGAAAACTGTGAAATACAACGAAAAAGCTGAAAAACTCAATTCTTTTGATTTATCAAACTGAAGGATATTTTTAGAAAGAAAGCCACAGCGCGAAAGCCGCAGAAAAGGAAAAAAGAACCGCCTGTTTACCGAAGTGTGAGGGAGGTGGGTTCTGGAAGGAACGGCCCTCCCATTCGGCCATGTTTTCCGACAGACAAAAGAACGCTAGTTTTCTACCATAATTCTTTCGAGTTGGAGTCTCCCACGTGCGAGTAACGAGCCGGGTATTCCAAAAACCAGGCCGTGCTTTCGAGTAACTCCCTCGGCTGGCTGGATAATTTTATGAGCAAATGCTCTACAATTGAGAGAAATCGCAGTGAAAAGCAGGGGTGAATGGAAAAAAAATGGATGGAGAGTAAGGAAAGGGGTAAAGAGAAGCTCTAAAAAACTACAAAATAGCATTCAAAAAATCATGAAAACCACTTTTTCAAAAGTTAAAGATCGCTGTGAGAAGAGTTTTAGTTTTAAATTTTAAAAATTTTTTTTGTTAGCTCTTTTTTCTGGTGCTTTTGAGTTGAAGAAAACAGAAATATTATAATTTTGGTCCTCTGATTTTAATTAATTTTACAAAGATAAGAAAACAGTGCTCTGAAAGATCGGAAGGTCAAATTTGCGGAAATGCAGTATCAACAGAGAGGAGGAGGCAAAGGCAGGTAAATGTTCTTTTATACTGGCCCTATGACGCAGGCGCTCGTTCGTAGCGCGCAATGAGCCCGCAATAATCTATCAGTGATCAGCTCATCGACGATGCGCGCTTTGACCAATACTCGGTTCAATTCCGTTCCGATTTCTATTTTAAAATCGAAAAATAAATTTATCAGTGAATGATAAGGAGCTTGGTCTACAAACGAAGCTTCAAAGTTTTTGAACACGATGGTTAGAACTCACAAGAGAGGCAATTTTAAAGGCATAGGGGCAGTAAAAAATGGGGTTTCAGGTAAAAGCAGTATCTTATATAGTTTTTCTTTGCGAATCGAATGGTGTACTCAAAACAATTAAAGATGTGACAACTTTAGAAGAAAAACGCGATTTTACTTTCCCGCCTTTATTTTTGAAAAAAGCTTTGGATCGGTCTACGGACAAATGTTTACAGTAGTCATGCACGCGATGTTGCGGACGTCTCATTAGACTCGCATTTTGTGAGAAAAAACCGGATATCTACTTCAAATTAAGGGTTTCTTTTCTGAAAAAAACGTTTAGTCAAACAAAAAACACACACCGATAATAAAGGAAAACACAAAATATCGCTATCCCAATCGAAACCGATGTAAAATCATCATTTTTCACCAAAGAAGCATTTTTGCGATCAAAGTTTGCAAATTATACATGAATAGAAAGCTTTTGGGACAAAAAGAACTTTGGTGACAACAGAAAAAATTGAAAATTGAAAGAAACGAAGAAAAAAGCGAAAATCCGGAAGATGGCGAAGCCTGTTGTCCATAGAGCAACTTTACTGCAAAGTGCCCTTTTTGCGGGAACTCAAACTTTCCTCTCTCCAACTTTGAATTATTTTTCTCCAAAACTAGGAAGTTCGGTACGTTTTCAAGTTTACCGTTCGATTCGCAATGAAAAACTCTACAAATTACTGCTTTGAACTGAAACACCGTTTTTTACTGCCCCTATGCCTTTAAGAACAACTAAGAACAACTCAAATTTTTGGGGAATTTCCAGAAAAATCTCAGAAGTGTTCAAACCTGAAAATCATCTGAGCCTTCACAATTTCTTTTTTAAAGAAGTGGTTCTGAGAGTTTCAGCTAATATTACAACGGCAAAAGTACAAGAAAAATTTGGGAGATTGAAAAAAGTAGTTTTTCTCTGATATTTTAAGATTTTCTTTACCAAGGATTTCCTTCAAAGCTCAATAAATTTCCAACCACTTTAACTGAATAAAAAAATTTGCCGAGGTATACAATTTTTCAAATAAGAATGGAATAGAGTGAGCTATGTTCACCAACAAAGCTGGAAAATATTTCGTCAAATCTGATCTATGAAATATCCAGAAAGGTGTGTTTTCCTCAAAAAGCTCAGTGGAGTGATAGGCTCACTTAAAATTCTAGGCGGCTCCTGCTTTGAATATCGAGCCTCCTGAGAGTCACATGCTCTTCGAAAGTTTTCCGGTTTTGATACCGAGGCTGTCTATTTCGATTTTTTCGAAACAGGTGTATGATAAGAGCTATCAGGTATGATAAGAAGAAACGCGTTCCCATCAAAGAAACCCAAAAAAATGAAGGGTAAGTTTCATACTTTTGGATCTCAAAAATATTAAAAAGAGTCATCCAAACAGGGATAACATGAGGAATGACTTTTGGAAGACCAGAATGACTTTTAAAAGTCACTTGCATCGTTTGAAATATTTTTTTTCCTTTGAGATCAAAAACTTGAATACTGGCCTTCCTGCCCAGGAGATCAAAAAAAACATTACCCGACATTTGAAAGCGCCTGGATAATTTTAGGTTTTGTTTTATCGTTCCGAAAATAATTAGGCTCGTAATTTCTCCCTTTTTTTCATTCGTTCCTGTCTCGCAGCTGTTATTTACGACGGTAGTAAATCTTTTGAACGTTGATGATTATGTTTTTTTTGTAGGATCGCATATCATTCGCTGTGAGGATGTATTGACGCTCGTTTTCAACAAGATTCTGAGGATATCTCCTGGGGATTAACAGAAAAAATTTAATTCTCAGGTGTGAATACTTCCCAAAACAAAATTTTGAATCCCAATTCAATCACTTTCCTACTAAGGCATTGATTAGTCTTCTTTCAAACTTTCAGATTACTCCAAAACTATTGGCTCGGCCGGCTGGAATCGACCGGTTCTGTTGGAGTCTATTTCATCATAGAAACACAATAAATTCGATTTCAAATGTGATCTTTCACCAATTTCCATGCAGATGATGGATTCTTTCTTTCATTCCTATTCTGGAAATTATTCGAATCGAAGCACCCAAGTTCCTTTTCAACCCCATGAAAATTGTAAGTTTCCTTGTGAAATTACAAAGTGTTTTTCATCTTCTCGCATCCGGCAGAACATTATTCTCGAAAGGATCAAATCCGTGATCTAACCACCCAGATGTAATTATACTGTCTTGGGGACAGCGAACACGCGCCGTAGAAGGGCAGCGCGGCCGATCGATCGATTGCCGCCTTTGTATATGGCAGGTGTGCTCTCAAGTGCTTGTTCCGCATAGCCGGGTGTCTTTTCTGCAACACAACACCGACTATACCACGTCTATTCAAACGAGCGCAGAAGCGTCTTCTCCTACGACTTGTAAAGTTCTTTTTTTCAATTTTCCCGGTTTACTTTGATTTTCGCGCCCTTTCGAAAAGGCCGTTTTCAACAGTGGATGTCGAAAAATCGTTTTTTTTTCTGCAAGCTTAGCAAGAAAAGATTCAGTCCTGCTCGGATCTGAAGTTTTTTAATCTGAAGGTAAAAAAAAAACCTTGTGCAGTTTTTACAACCTCGGTTTATTTTTTTAGTTTATTTTTTTGTTTTCTGAAGCCTCCCAGCTCCTACTTTCTTCCACTTTTCGCTTCAATTTTTCATTTTTTTCTGAACTTGATATGAAAAAAAAATTCATCAATTTTTCAAGTTCCGACCCTTGACTTGAAATATGGGCTCGATCATCTTCTCACAGAGGTTTTCCAAAAAGGAACGCCTTGTACGGAGAACTTTGTTTTGCGCTTAGCACTGAAGCGGAACAAAACCGAAGCGAGTTTGTGGCGACCGAGGTGAAGATCGCGGGTGACTGAGGGAAACAAGTGAGTTGACACGTGTTGTGGGCATCCGGTCGAAACGCTTGATCCACTTGCCCCATCTGTTCCATTTTTCAGGCTTTTTACACGCGACAACACGCCTCATACCGCCTATTTTTTTCGAATTTTCTTTGAAATTTTTTTGGACTTTGAAAAATATCAGAATATAACCTTTTTTTCCACAAAAAAAGTTTCAAAGCCACCGTAATCTTTCTCTTTAAAAACTTTTCTACAAAAATAATTTCTTTTCATTAAATTCGTTCCTTTTTTTCTGAATTTTTAAAAAAACAAGAATTTCGCATTGTGCAAGTTTTCTTATCAGTAAAAATTGAAAAATTTTACTCATTTCTGTTTTATAAGAACCTTTTTTTCTTTCTCATTTACACTTCAAGATATATAGTATTGAAATTTTAATCATGATTTTTTTATTTCATTTTTTTCTCAAATCAATCCTATAAAAAAATATAATCAGTCAATATTTTTTTAAGGCTATTTAAGATGAACTGCTCGGTGGCTATTTTGGAAATAAGATGATCTTCAGTTGCCCAAGAGCAGTTTGCAGAGCCCTTCACGCCGACGGCTCTTTATTTGTCCAGTCAGAAACATCTCCACTATCACTTTCTCGGGCCTCATCCATTTGATTCTTCTGTTTTCTTAACGTAGATGAACTTTGGTTGTGATTTTGAAGCTGTGATTCATTTCCCGATCAGTGGAAGATTGAGAAATTTTTTCATACGTCCGTTCACAGGACATTTTTTCTGTAGAAAAATGAGGTCAATCATGTCTTGATTTTTTGCTCGGTTTTGCATTTCACTTTCAGAAATGATCTGTCATTCTCAAAATCAACCTCAGTTCAAGGTTGCGATTCATATAACTTCCGCCATTCGGATGTTTGTCCGACGCGGCATCTGTCACTAACCACTGGGTCGTTTTTTTTATTTCAAATTATAGAGGCTCTGCATCGTCAACACAAGGTCACATAACCACCGTTCCAATTGTTTTTTTTTCTGGTCGTTGAGAACTTTTTTGAACTCGAAACATCTAGTTCTTGACGAAAACATGTGTTTCTGTTCCATATAATGGGCTAAAGGAGTTTCTCAAATGCCTTCTTGCGCCGAAAACTGAGTCCTAAGCAATCTCCAAACTTTGTAATTTTTTGTGGGTTTTTGATCGAAAAATGATGAAAAATATTCATTCAAACTCATTTGTTAGTACTTCAAGTTCTATCCCTACTGCGAACCTTTTTTGTCAATTGTGAAGCTCTCAGCTGAATCAATAATTTTCCTTATTTTTTCTACCTTATTTTTTGAGAAAATCCTCCTCCTCGAATAAAATTCACTTTTTTCTTTTATCAACGACATCTTTTGTTTCCACTGGAGAAGCGCTGGCCATTGCGGCGGACGTAATCTCTTGTTGGATCAAGTCGGAGGAGCCCACCCGCAGTGCGTGGCGACCTCTTCGGCGCCTATTCAATTCCCATAAATGTCCGTTTTGTTCAAATTTGAGAGCGGCCGGCAGTAATGAGGCACATCTTCACATCTTGGTTCTTCTCGTTGGGACATCCCACTTTTCGATTTTGTGCCTATTGAAAACTCTTCTTGCTTTTTTTTTCCATAGCGAATCTTAATGGAAACGTTCAGATTTTTTCTTAAAATATGATCAGAGTCCAAATTCTGGAATCTACTGAAAAAATTTTCATTCAAAACTACTCTAAAAACTACTTTTGCGGAAGATCTAATTGCTTTTCCTTTTTTAAAAATTTTTATCTTCTTTTTTTAAAATTTGCTTTTATTCTAGTTCAATATTCTGTTTGCCATTGTTTGAAACTTTTTAAGCTCACACTGAACGGAGTAAACGATTCTTTATCTTGTGTGATCTATTTTTTTTGTTAATAAACGAAATGTTCTTTTATTTCATTATCATCATTTTTTCCATGTTGTATTTCAGCGATGGAGCTGAAAGTGTTGGTAGAAGGAGTTGAACGGAGCGTTTCCGGCGTCACAATGAACACGACGTGCTCCCAGATCATCTACGCCCTGGCAAACGCCACCTGCCAGAGGGGTCGTTTTGTTTTAGTGGAGAAGTTCCGAACAGTGGTTTGTTTTTTTTTTCATTTCTCACTGGAAATGTGTGATAGCAATTTTAAAATTTTACAAGAACTTGTGAAAAAAAATCTATCCTGATTAGGAGTTGTTTCTTATGTTTTAAGTCGTGTTATAGAGTTGAAAAACGTCCACTTCTTAGTCTTACTGATAACATAAGCTTCGAGACATTAAAACTCGACAAGCTAAAGTGGTAAATATTTTTGTGGCCTGGAGTCATAAAGGCTCAAAGTACAGCTGCGCAATACTTTCGTCCATTTCTCCACAGATCACAAAAAACCCTTTTCTAAAAATGAAATGTTCGAAACTTGATAATTTTCCATGAACTGATGAAACGAGAAAAACTTCTAATGGATCTGTAAATATGATTACTCTTGTAGGAGCGACGAATGGCGCCAAACGACAAACCTCTGCAGAATCTTCGTATGTTGCGAGATCATGGGGCTAACGTGACGTTCATAATGAAGAAAATCGAGAGAGATGGAAGTGACTCTCCATCGCCAAGTAATAATTTTCATTCTACATTCCCCTGTTCCATTGCGCGAGTCTTTTGCTGAGTTATCGTTCCCCTGGATCGAATCTTAGGGTTCAACAAAAAGTTGATCAAGAGGTATTATCTTGATGCGAAAATTCATATCAGATGAGGAAATCTTGTAATACATTCAGTAAAGACTTGAATAAAATTTGAGTTACGAACAATAAAAAATGAACTAAAGAAAAAGTTACAGACATTTTTGCAATATTTTTCCTAATCTGTCGGTAAACGAGCCAAAAAAAAATGGATCACAGCCAACCATTTACCGTGATAATTTTCAGAACATCCAGAATACTTGACTTCAATGTCCGCCGGAAGTTCTGTTCGCCACTCTTCCGTCCACAGAGCATCGTCAGGTTTTTTTTTTCTTTATCTGCAGACCTACATTTCAAGTGAATTTTGTGATAAAAACTGAAAGCTTCGAACATTGCCATGAATGGTTTCAGTGGAAAATGGGCAGGCGGCGGTTACTGTCGACGCCGGACAAAGAAGCCAAGGCACGTCGGCGTCTTCTTACAGCAGCGGCACCTTGCCGCGAAATCGCCCTCCCCCTCCCGGTGCGTCTTCTTTTTTCTTGTTCATTAAGTACAAAACAGAGCATTTTTATGTTTTATCTCGAGATTCCACAAAAATGCCCCAATAATTCTCATATTTCTCCATTAAAAATTCTCTCATTCAAGCTTATCGGTTGCACAGGCCTAAAAGCCTAAAAATTTTTCGACTGGGGTTTTTTTTTTTTTGATTCTCCGATGTTTCAACTGCCGCGAGTTTCAAAAATATCAAATTTTTCAGATTACAACTCAGTGATGCAGAAAAAGCAAGCTGGAGCGACGAGGAGAACTGTTCTTTCCGATTCTATGTTCCAATACGACTACATTTCTCTTATAGATTCTAGAGGGTAAATTCCAAAATTCAAGTTTTTTTTTTCCATTTCCATTTTGTTCCAGTGAGTTCACTGAAAAATACAAAGCGAATGAAGCACGTCGATTGGCCGAAGAGGAATGTGCAGCCGCTGAAGAAGAACTTCGTCAGATTATCAAGCAGCAGGTGGGCTATAACTGTTTTCCGTGAAAATCGACTAACTAACTTTAGAAGAAAAAAAAATGTAAAATTTCAACTTAAAAAAAGCCAATTTACCTGAGTATTTTTTAAAATAAGAATTGACTATTTTGTGGTTAAAAACCGCCTTTTTTTTTGGAGTCCAGTTGTGAGTCAAAAAAAAATGCTTGGATAAAATTTTTTGAAGTTTTGAGATCTTGGCTAAAAGTTTCGAGAAACTTCATCTCAGTTATTTTTTCAGATCAACCTCCGCGCCATTTTGACGCCGATGATTTCCGCAAACTGGCCTCAAATCTACTTACAAGAAATCAACAGGTCACATAAAATTGGGGCGTCTGTTGAAGCTACTCGTGAAGCTTTGGATAAAACTAGATCGTGAGTTATTTTTCTAAATGACAAGATTTTCATTATTCGGAAATTACCTCTTTCAATCTGTAAAAAAAAATCTTGAAAAAAAAAAATTTGAACCCATTTCCCATTAACTTTGCCGCCTTTTTTCCTCTTGAAACACAAAATTTGTTTCAAAGGGAATCTTCTATACAATTTTTTCAGAAATGTATTAACTCATTCTTAACGGTTTGCAGGGACCTGCAACGAATTCTGGAAACCGAAAAAGACCTGCTGTCCCAAATCTCGCTCATGGATGAAGAAGAAGTTTTGGAAACTTCCCTAGACTTGAACACTTCTAACAGCAGTACCCCACAAAAACTTGCCGTCTGATCATTATTTCCAATTTCTCCCCATGGATCTCATCATTAAAAACTCGCGCTTTATGCCTTTCATTTTTCATCTGTTTTTACGATTTGTGAAATCGTTTCTTTTATGTTCTGTGAGTTACAACTCTTCAAACTCGGTGCGACTTGTGAAAAATCAACAAAAAGCTGTATCATGTGAATAAATTTTTTTGCATTTTGTTCTCTGTTTTCGGTTAAGGCAACTTCAAATAATTTTCCAGAAAATTTCTGTTGTTATACTTTCAAGAACACAACTTATCGGAGGTTTTTTATTAGTTCAAATGGGAAATCAAAATGTTTGAGATTCCTCCAAAGTTAGAGGATGTACAGTTGACAAGGGAAGTGCATAGGGTTACTTTTCAGAATTTGCTGAAATTCACTTTTTAATACCTTATCCAATTGTTTTATGTTCAATTTGTTGTCAAATTAATTTCGAACTTTCGAAATTATTTTTGGGATTGTCTCCAAATAATGTTTGTAAATAGCGTTTCACGGATCACGTCTCTCAGAATATTTTCAGCGAAATCTAAAATTCTACTCATGGGATCCTCCTTCGTAAACCGTTTTCACGAAGAAAACTTTTTGTAGGAAATGTGCGAATGCGGGAAGCGTGCAGGAATGGCAAGCATTTTATAATTGGAAGAAGAGCATGGACATTGGCTTTAGTAAGGCATAATTTGAGACAATCAAAAGCACGGATTTCATTATTATTATTATGTTTTGCGAGTTGATCAAGTATGCGATGCACGCTGGCTGTGAGAGGCGCGTTCCTGAAAGATTTAGCTTTGGAAAAAGGAGTGAGTGAATTTGAAACCTCTCCTTCCTTGTTGTAGAGAGTCGTCTGCACGTCGCTTCCGATTCCGAAGCTGTCTTCACCATCGTAAACCAGACTGTCTGGAGGAGAGTGGACTCCTTGGCCGCGAGCGAAGATCTCAAAGCTCATATTGAACAAAAATGAATACTATATATTTTCTTCCAAAAAGTGCGTTTTTCAGAGTATCACTTCACTTTTGTTTAAAGATTGAAGAACAATACAATTTTACACAATCCGCCTGAAACATGTGACCCTGCAAATGTCCAACAATAAGAATTGACCACGCCCATGTTCAATCAGAACAGCGGTGAAAATATTTTTTTCAAATTCCAAACAGGAGAAGCTTCTTAGTGTCAAATTTTGATAGGAAAAAACCTGATTTCTCTGCATTTCTCAATGAGCAAATTTTTTGGGAGCCAAAAGATGTTTTTTAGCTTCAGAATTCTGATTATCTTTAAAATGTATTAATGAACACTTTTAAAAGGCTTTTAAGCTTTGAGAAATCCCGACCACACCCAATCAAACCTTTCCTTCTAACCCACCTTGACAGTTTTTTGTGCCCTTAGAATGAAGTCCCGAGGGAAATGGTACACGATTTCGCGTTTTCCAGAAATCTTGCGACGCAATTTCCAGTCTCCGATGGTCTCGTCGCGGCGAGAAATGTTCTCTATGACGATGTAACGGCCATCCGGAGCGACTTCCTTGAGAAAAAAAACAATAATTTAAAACTTTTCCTCAATTTCTATTTTACCTGGATTACAACGTTTCCCTTGGCAGAACGCGAATAAGAAGTGTGACTGGTAGTTTCCCCTTTCAGAGTTCGCATCGTTTCTGAAACAGACATTCTATATCATAAAATTGGAAAGAAATATTGTTCATGATCTATATTAACCTGGTCGAGGTCGGATCCGATCTCCGACAAGATAATGGCTGTTTGGGACATCATCATAGTTGACAACTTCGTACAAGTTGCTAATAAGTTCGGGCATTTTTTGAGAAACGGAAAATCAGGTGGAATGAATGCCAGAAGGGCGTGCCGTCTCCTTTTCTACTTGCTGTTGTTTTTCGACCAGCAACATTACATTACTCCAAAACCGGAATGGAATCGAGAAAAACTTGCCAAGCTCTTTGGTTTGTGAAATGCTGGTCGTTTTGACGACTTGCTCGACGAGCTGCCGCAATCCGGCCCGGTTCTCTTCTCCTTCCAACATCTTGCGATAGATGGCGATTTCGGCATCGAGAGTCTGAAACGCAATTTGATGTTTCGTGTGCCAAATTGAAAAGTAATATGATAACCTAGTGAGTCGGACTTTTTTTTTTAAATTGTGTTTGACTTCAACGTTAATTTTAACAGCTTTGAATGAAATTAAAACAAAGAAAATCTTTTTTTCGGCCTGTGAGAAAAATTTTCAAGTCATTTTGAGTTTTTTTCAGAAACCTGCTTGGTGTCGATGAGCATCTGCAGCTCAACCATGAGCACTTTGCTCTCATCCCGAAGTTTGTTGATAGTGACGTCACGATCATTTAGCGACTGTTCGTAAGATCTCATGTCTTCCTCCATCTGATAGTTCAAATCCTCGATTTGCTTCTCCAGAAGGAGATTCTGGAAATTCCTCGATCCTTTCGAGTTTTGAAGAAAAAGCATACTCTGCCTTCCAGATCAGCCATTTTGCCTCGTAGATCGCCTAGAGTCGTACGGACGCGTTTCACTTCTTCCTGAAGCATAAAAAATGTGTACATTTGAAAATTTCGATAACCTTGGCGTAGTTTTGCTCCATCGAGCTGCGAGTTGCTTGCGTGTGAATCTCTTGAACTTTCAGTTTGTACCACGACTCGATGTCTGTTCGGTGTACGTTGTTCATCTGAAGAAAATACTCTGTCTGACTGCAAAAAATTGCGAGCTAAGTATTCTTTTTTAGAAAAATGAACAGTCAGTTGAAGTAGGCTTGAATGCATAACTCATTGCAAGTTCGCATTCCCTGATTTTTTTCGCTTTTTGTTACTGTGCGACTAACAATGCCTAGAAGTTTATCCCTTTTAAAAAATTGCAGGTTTGTGGCTTTTTAAAGCCTCCAATCTAAATTTCATAGGTAGAAATATTTTTTTATGAGGGGAACCATTTTCGACGGAAATATCCAGCTTTTCATTTGAACTTAATAATATGATTTTCCGTTTGAAACCTTATCCAAAAATGGTCTCACCTGGTCGTATTCGGAACGGATGTCCCGAATGGCCGAAGAGAGTTCATTTTTGAAATATTCGCGGTTTTCAATCGTTGTATCACGAGAAGCCATAGCTAGCAAATCATGAATTTCCTGAAAAAAATTACTTTTTCAAAATTTATCTCCAACGTCATACCGAGTCGTGAACTCTTTTGACGAAATCGCATTCCTCCAACAAGGTTTGAACTTGATTTTGGTAGTCGATACGGTTCAAAGTCTCTTGTTCAACAGCCTGAATGTGGAAAATTGTGAAATGAAAGCTCGAAATGGCAAGATACATTTCGAGCCCGCTGCAACTCGCCGATCATGCGGTGGTTTTCACGTTTCGCGTGGCTGACTTCCTCTTCAATAAGTTGAATTCGCCGCTTCAGAAGTTCAACCTGTGAGAATTGATGAAACTTGAAAAGAAATAAAATAAGAATTTCTCACTTCAGCTTCAACAGCGCCCAGTTTGGCCAAGATGGCATCAAGCTCCTGTCTTGTCGCTTCATGAGATTTTTTTGAGCGTCAGTAAATCTTGAAAAAATTTTATGTGAGAAATTAATTCATTCTTCACTTTTTTTCTGTAGGCCGTCAGTTCGTCTGTCAGTTTTCGGATCTGATCCTCAAGGCTGTCGCGTTGTTTGTCCGAGTCATGAATCAACTCCTGGGCGGTCTGAAAAAAACTTTTTTTGCTTGAGTTACCATCCATTTAGCTGTGATTTTTTTATCATGCTGGTTGCACGAAGAATGGCTAAAGAGTGCCTTCTAGCCACTCTACATGCGACCAGAAAATTTACATTTTTGAAAATTGAGTACATTATATCAATTTTGAAACCTTGAGTTCACTCTCGAACATGACTTTCACACTGGTCGAATCACGTCCCCATCGGCCTCGCAAAAGGTCCAAATCTTTTTCCATTTTGCGATTCTGTGCCTCTAGGAAGCGAACCTCAAAATTATGAAGTTTAAGGAAAACATGACGGCGCTATCTACCTTCTCAATATAACTGGCTAAACGATCATTGAGCTCGCTCATCTCTTTTCTCTCGCGAACTCGCGTTTCTCGGATGGCAGATGCGGCGTGGTTTCCAAAAGGAGACACTCCAGAAGTTGTGGTAGAACCGCCATATTCGGTCAGTTTGTAGTTCCTTGTCATTCCATTAGCTGAAATGTTGAACTTTTTCTGATAGTTTTAATTTGAACAATTAGTGTATTTTATAGCAGGCTATGACTTGCTTCAAAGTCACCTAGAAGGAATGCAGTCTCGTTTTTTACCTACTCTGAGATTTTTTTTAACTGAACTATGTCAACTCATGGTTATTGGAAAGTTCTTGTCTTTCCAATAATTTTTCATCCTAGTGTAGTTCCTTTTTTCAATTCTCTTTTCTTGCAAAAAAAGTTATATAAACCTTAAGCAAACAGATTTCAGTGTTTACATTCTGAATTTAAGGGCGAAAAGTCGAGAAAGATGCGCTCCAAACTAAGTCATAAGGGCAAATATGCACAACGGCCAGAAAACTTTTTCACGTTTTTGAATAGGTCTTTTATTTTTTACAGCTCAAACTTACTCATCGAGCTCATAGTGCTTCCAAACGCGATTGTGGACTGCGAATGAGCGGTTCGATTGTAGGTCGGACGCAGAGTGATCGCGCTTTTGTACTCACTTTGCTTCGCCATGACTCTGAAAAAAATAATAAAAAAATAAAAATAAAAACCTCTGAACTTATAAAAACTCGAAACGTTCGAAAAAGAGATTGAAAAGTTTTGGGATAGAGAACAGCTGATAAAAAAAGGATGATGGCTTCAGCAATGTAAAAAGGGACTGCACATTTTAAAAAAAAACTTTCAAGCGTAAGTTTAGACATAAAAACCTTATTGTTCATTCACATATTTTTCAGAGATATTTTTTTGTACATAAAATTATAATGAAGAAACTTAATCAAACAAAAAAACAAGTTTCACCGTCCTTCAAGCTTAGTTTGTGCGATATTTCATTTTTTTGAAAAATCCTATCTCGAAAAATTAACAATTTGAAAAATATATCCACTAAGCCGTATCAAATCATAGGTTAACAAAGGTTTTTCATCAAGTGCTAGAAAAATCCCACTACGCTGGAATGAATCTTCATGCGAACCTTTAGAAAAATCTGAGCAAATTCACAAAAAATTCAACGCTACAAAATTGAATTTTTCTGTCAATAATTCAAAAAAATTGTGATCAAAATCATCGAGAACATACCATTTGGAAGGAGTTGAGGGTAAATGACAAGGTGTGAATAGAAGGATGCGCTGGGATAACACTGGCAGCAGTGCTGGTTTGCTTTTCCACTCAAATACATGTTCACTGTCCGCAAAGCATTTTTCGCGCGGCTCCGAGAGCCTCTTTAACACTTGTATACGCGCCTCGGTCGGCGGCTAAGTTCTTATCCATTTTCGTCTGCGGTTTTTTCGATTATTTCTTACATAAGAGATTGTTCTAATGCAAAATTTGGCGCCAGCTCCTCAAATATCTTAAACTTAGTTGATATAATAGTCTGGAAATCACAATTTAAATTATACAACTTTAGAAATTTCAAGACAGGATGCCTTTGAGCCAACAAAAAAATGCAATAGCAGGGTTTAATGTGTTATCTCAAAACTGCTCTGAAATGTTCCAGACACATTTCAGCGATTATTTTCTACTGTTCTTAAATTTACCGATTTATTCGCTCGCCACCAAATCGTTGTTTAATTCTTTCCATTTCGTGAATCAAAAACAAATTTTGCATAAATCAAGATGAAAGTTCATCTTGTTGAGGAAAAAGGTCAAAAGTTCGAAAGGACGGAAAAGACAGTATAAAGCCAAAAATATGAGTGATCCTACTTGGAAGTCAAACGAAGCATAAAAGCAGGACTGGGCGAATCGAATGAAAAAAGAGGAAATTGTCCTCGGGCGGTGCGCGTCGGTTTATAGACTCGACGGTTTGAATGGAACTCTATTGATGGCTGACCGACTGGTAACTGAGCGACGCGAGAGGAGCGCCGGTCGCTTCGAATCTGCATAATCTTCAATACTCACAAATAGTTACATCGGAAAGCCGGCCGCCCGTCATCGCACCGTCGTCGTCGCTGTTTTTACTGTTTTGGGCTAGAAATGGGCTAAAAAAGCGGCTTTCTTTCGCGTTTCGCAGATTTTTGCTGGATTACCAATGCGCTATTTTTTTTTTATACTTGCAAAAATTGAACTGAACACCAAGCTCTGTTTTCTTCCGAGCAAAACTACACTGAGAAGATTATTTTAATCAGTACTTCAAAATCTTCCTAACTTAAAAAAAAGTTGTGGAATAAATTATGTTAGGATCAAAACCTACGAGAAGCTCTGGTTTTTAGAAAAAAAACTTGAACAGATTTAAAATTTAATATCCAACTCATAAATTAAACGAAGAACAAAAGAGCATCATGAAACATTTATAAATAAAAAAAACAGTGAACGAAACCAAACAAATATTGAAGGAAGAAAAGTTCAGAAATTATGGAAATACAGTACCACGACAAATAGTGAGAGAACTGCAAAAAACGAAGCAAGAGGCCATAAAAGGGCCTGAGGAATGGGGCGGAGCCTATTCCTCAGGATGGAAGACGGTTTGCTCTGCTGCGCGCAATAACAAAAAATAACAATTGATATGCCTTGATAAATATTTTTTTTCTTTTTCTTATCGTATTGCTCACAAGACGTACAGTCGAAACTATCTGAGGTATGACTCATCCTACGGACAACCTGAATTTTCCAACTTTCGAATTTCTCATAAAAAAAAGAAAACCAAAAAAAAATGATCGATTTTTGTGTTGGAAACCATTTTGACATGACTTAAATGGGAAAAGGCAAAAACAGGTTGACGAGTTGTGTCACAAAAGACGAATAAGCCGCCCGAGTTCCAAGGATTACAGTAATCTTATTGAAAACTCAGAGTTTCCGCTGGAACTTTATGCAAATCCACGCGTATCAATAGAGACAAACAGTTCTTTTTCGAAACTTCAGTTTGAAATGGAAGTTGTAGGAAGTAAATAAAATATCATGTTTTTTAAGAAATCTCAATTGCCAATAATTATTAAAAAAAAAACCAAGATACAGACAAAAAGTCCCTCAGCACAAATGAAACTCAGTTTAGGAATATTTTCTCCCGTCGAAATTAAAAACGCTTTTTTGGCATGATAAGTGGATTAATGTTGAACGTTAGTGGCTGCCTATCAATTTTCGGTAAGGCGTGAACCGCTTTGCGGTCGTATTAATATTATGATTGTTTCTTGAAAACAGCGCTCTAAGGAAAGTCCACTGTATTTCTTTATTTATCATATTCACAAAGTATCGAAGAATTTACTCAATGATTGACGTCACAGTTTTGCACGGTAGGAAGGAATTTTCGTTGGTCGTCCGAGGTTTTTGCATAAAAAACTGATTGTTTTCTCCCAAGCGACCCCTTGGCTGGCCCCATGTATAGAGTCTTCACCTCCATAAGCTTGATGAGAGGCTGAAAAAAGAGTTTATCGTCGTTAAAAAACCGCTTCATATAAATACCTATAAAACTGGAAAAAACAGTAGGATGTGCGGGGAAGCAGGGCGGGTCCATGAGATGTCCTCCAGGCAAGTAATGAACTTCGACTTTTCTCCCGAGTTTTTTGAGTTTCTCAGTTAGGAAATTGGTGCAGAAAACTGTCGGAGTGCTGAGATCATCCAAAGAGGACTGTAAACAGACTAAAAACTTTTCGGAAGCAGAAGTTTAAAAACAACGAATCGAAAAGCCGTGTTTGGTTGCGTTCTTTCCAAGGGGAACTGTGCCTTTTCCGGAACATCCGAGTATCTCACAACTTTTGCGTGAACGTAGAGACCGTTCAAATACTCGTTGTGCGAAAAGTCGAGCCTGAAACTCTTTGGAATTTTTGTCGCTATCTTCTTTTTAAATTGTTTGCTTTTGAATAAAAAAAACGTTATTTGCATTTGCAATGAATACGTCTTCAAGTCTCGACGGAATTCAATTTCAATGGGCCGTCTTTGTAACATTCCAGCGATTGTTCAAAATGTGACATACGTTCCATAGGGCAAGTCAACGCCGTTCTCTTTCAAGAACGTCGCCTCATCCAAGTTGAACGATCCGTTTATCGAAACAACGGCAGCAATCTTGAATAGGAGGGAGTTCAAAACTATTTCGAAATAAGAGAAAACCCGAGGAAATCTTGTTGCAAGCAATATCGCAAGGGTTCCTCCAAAAGAAACGCCTTGGACAGCTACCTTATCTCCCGTGAACGGCAATGAGTTCATATAATTGATTGCTTCCTGAAAAACTTGTTCCTATAATTCAAAACCTTCTCGCTCTAACCTCAAAGTATTGAAGATCCACGTTGTTCATCCAAACCGGCAAATCCTTGTACTGGAAGAAAGCCAAACTCAGAACACAAAACCCTCGGCTGGCCAATGCGGCTCCTTTTTGCTCATGAAGTCCTCCTCCTGTCCCAGAAATGTCAATTACAGTCGGAAACGGGCCATCGCCTGTAACTTGATGAAGTTATACTTCTTGTTTCTATTCAACTTTTTTCAAACTTGATAAATCTATTTCAAATGTAACAAAATCAAGAAAAACATAAAAAATTTGCTTGAATTAAATTTCAAGGAAAAAAATTCAAGTGTGAATTTGGCATCTTCCCTACTTCGGGTGAAAAAAGTAATAATATGAATATATCAAACGATTCTAAATTATTTCTGAGCTTTATTTTTTTGTTTAACTGTGGTAGAATGGAATAAAGAACACCTGGGGGTTTGAACATCGTCCCCCTCACTTTTCCTTCTTGAATTTCGATTCGCTGAACTTCCGGATGAAGCCATCTTTTAACGATCTTTTTCTCAAGAATCTTCTTTCCAGCTTCATCAAACACTCTTAAATTGTTCTTTTTTTCAAAAAAATTCTTTTTCAAGAATGTAGATACAATAAGTTATAGTTGAACGGTTCGGGTGGTGTACATTTGCAGTACCAGCCAGGTTTTACTTGATCTGTTGGAGCGACACTTTCGAACAAACCCATTGGTCGAGTGGCTAGAATGAAGTCAATATCATTATCAGTTCCACCAGGTACACGTGCACTTTGAAACCTGAATATGTCCCTCGAATTGGTTTATTTTTAGCCAAATCAATGGATCCACATTCATCACTTCTGAAAACGCCGTAGGATCGATAGATTCCATTGCTATGAAGAAGCCTGGAAAAGTTTATCTTACAATAAAAGTTGTTTCATGTGGTCGGCAAAGAAAAAAAAACTTTGCGAAAATGTACTTCGAAGTTTCTAAGTCACAAAAAGTCACTTTGCACTTTTGATTCCAGTCAAGGAAGTTTTAATTTTACCTTCATCAATTTATCAAACAAAAAAGCAGCCTTTACCGGAATAAAAAACAGAAAGAAATTATTCATGATTTTCAAATAAAGCAGCTTAAAGTGGACGTAAACATTCATACAATCCTAAATTTTCACCAAAAAATTCTCAAATATTCAAGAATCTTCAAGTTTTCCTTAGCAAACGAAAAATTATTTTGAATCGTTAAAAAAAAATTATTGATTTACCTGAGCTCCAGACGGAAATTTCTAGAAGACGGCAAACCCGACAAAGATATATGAACGACTTCGTGGACGAGAGAGTCCGCAGGTTCGACGATCAATTGCATACTGAAGAGCGACAGACTGTCACCTTTCTTTATCACTCTTGTTCGATGGTCACAACAGGCGCTACAGAAATGTTTTTAGAGATCAAATTATTGGTTTTGTCGATGCAAAGCAAATAATAATAACAGATTTTGTTGTTTGCAATCATATCGATGGTTAATATACACCTGTTTTTCTGAAACCGAGTACTGTACTAGGGCAAAGGAAAATGTGGGAAAATATGGCTGAAAAAAGTCATTTTCTGAGAATATTTTTGAAAAAGAAGGAAATTCTCCATCCAAAATTTGAGAAACTAAACCTTTTATTTCACTTCTCGATTCGAGCCTTTTTCTTATTGAGCCAGAATAGCCATTCGAGGCCAAAAAAAGACTTAATTTTTATTTGAGACTCCGAAAATCCTCTTCAATTCTTGAAAACCTTCCAATGTTCGGACTCTGCGCGGCTAACGCACCTTCTCACTTTCCCTTACAAAAAGTTGCACAAATGCAAGGGAATGGGATTTCATTAATCAATATCAATATCAATATTTATTGGTTTTTTTAGTCAGATGGAATCGACAGGACGGTGAAAAAATTGCTCTTTTGAAGGGTACTAACACCCCTTGGCGTTAGCAAAAAAGAAGTCAAATCGTGTAGTCGACTGAATTGAAAGCAGGGTCTAACAGTCCTTCGCCTTGTTCTTCCACAAGTAGATCCCTCTGTTTTGAGGGTACGGGCACGGACGTCGTGTTCCCTCTAGGGCAGCCTTGGCCTATTGAGAGCTGCCACTTCGAGTGAAGAAAATACACGGAATACAATGGCTTTCTGTTGTCAAAATTGAGAAGCAAGTTTTGAAATTGTTCCTAATGCGCAGAGTAACTTATTAGGCGTGGAATCTAATCTCAATGAGACAAAATTTCGGTTTCAATTAAATATTTTGATTTTTTGAGTAAATCATCTAGGTGCCTTGGAATCAGAACGATACAAACTGTTTTGAACCGGTGCCTTGGTTTCAGATCAGAATTTCACCGCGTGAACAAATTCACCGACATGATTTTTTTCGTGCTCCCTTTAACAAGAAGTTGAGTTTATATTGCAGTACAAAATCCGCCTTGAAAAAACAAAACTTATACATTTTTGCATCTGTATATTGTGTGAAAATTTTTGTCTAAACCTGCATTTTTGTTTTCCAAGCAAGTTGTCCAGCTATTCAGAAAAAAAAAACTTTTGTGAACAAATGAAACCATCTGTAGCTAGATGAAAAGACAGTGTTGAATTCAACTGGCGGACAAAGGTTTTGTTTGCCGCGAAGAGCTGCGCGCCTGCTTCCCATCTGGACGCTTCGTGACTCTGCCGTTTCAGTTACGAATCTACTCTTGTAGTCTTATTACTAATCCGTCTTTCTCCTAAAGCGAAACTGATCTTATATAAGAACTGGTATGTCATTTCCGTTTTTTTCATTTTATCCTATCTTATGAGAAAAAAATTTAGAGAATTTTTTTGGAGAATTTTTTTCTTCGATTTTGATTTTTTTCTTTCGTTCATTGGCGTCCTAAAAAAAGAAAAATTGTAAATTTATTTTTCTTTGCTGATCTTTTTTTAAAGCTTTTTCACCACACTTCGGCATTTGATATTTTTTTGGAATAGTGTCATCAGAACTTTTTTTAAACGTTTTCTACATATTTTTTTTCTTTTTTTCCTTTATTATCCCGAGAAAAAAATTCGGAGAATTATTTTGATTAACTCCGCTTAAAAACCTTACTGAAAAAAATAACTTTTACATCATTTTTTTATTACCATTACCTAGAGTTTTTAAATTTCATGATTTCAGAAAAATCTTGTTTTTGGATTTAATTTAGCTTTTTTTATAAGAAGTCCTTCAAATTCTAAAACCGTAGTTTCCCTCACCAGATTTTTTTGAGGTATTAACACAAAGCTCATCCAATATTTTTTTCTGAAATGGATTTGAAAAACTTTTTTTAAAAAAAGGCGAAGCGTCGAAGTTATTTTTAATCTGCTGAAAATTCCTTGTTGGTTCGATTGATGAAGAAAGAAAAGACCTCATGGTGAACAGATTTGAAAGAATTAAATGCTTTCTGATCGAATTGTAAAACTCATTCAATAGACTCGAAATCACGTGAAAACTAAAATTCTTTAGTTCAGATCCGCCAGCCTTGAAAAATCCTTCCAATGCTTTTCAGTGAAAAGAGAAAAGCTCTCCTTGCACGGATCAGACCAAAACCGTGGCAGCGACGATTTAACAGTTGCGGAATGAGAGTGGCGTGCGCGACTCATTTGTCGCAAAATAGCAGGCGAATGAGCTAGCGTCGCAGACAGCGCCGACGGCACAATCGATGCTTTCTCGGCGGCCGGCGTTGGCTTCGCACGGCTCCGGAGACGTAGAGAACCAGAGTGCATATGCAAATGCGCGTTCGCCGTCGGGCTTGCCGCTGGCCACTGGTCAGGTGTCATCCGGAATCGGCGCGTCCCCACGTTCCGACGCCGCCCTCCGACAATCATCTCTTCCTTTCTTGCTATTTTGGGATCGCTCTTTCTTGGTATCCCAGATCCTTTCAAACTCATCTAATTTAGAAATGAATGATGTGTAGGTTCAATTACAAACAATTGTTCAGAGCCGTCTGTGGTTTTTCATTAAGCTAGAAAAGCTTTTTATGAACTTTTTGTCTCGGAAAAGTCAGCTTCTGTCGAAATAAAGAAAGGAGATTCTCATTCTTGTTCATGAACAACATTTCATGACACACCTACGCTTTTTTTTCCGCAGCAAGATAAAAATATCACAAGAAGGCACTTTGCTGAAAAGCCTTTCCTTTGGCATTTCCTTGTTTTTAGACGTGATAAAAATAACGATACTTTGAGGTTCCCTTGAACAGAGCCTATCGAGTTTCGAAATGTTTCGTTTTTCGCAGGATCCCACTGAAATACTATTCACACAAATGTGCCTTTGCCATGAGCCTATTTAGGAAGTTCTCATAAAATTTTCGAATATCACAAACGAAAATGTATTGAATTATTTTTAATTGGTCTTCGTTTGAAAAATGTATGCCTCTTTTCTACTGCCAAAATGTAATTGGGTTTCATACTTTCAAGCTTCCGGAAAGTTTTTCATAGCGAATTATAATCTTCTGGCTAGGTTCATCAGTAGTTCTCTTAAGTCATCAAATTCTGCTCCCTTCGCAGCTTTTCATACTGTATCCTCAAATTTTTTCTTTTGAAAGCCCATCTCTTTCGGAATTTTCATTACAAGATGTTCCCGGCAAGCGGCTTTTTTTTTCTAACGACTCCTTTTGAGTGATTCAAAGAGAAAAAGCAGTTAATTCGAGCTCATTTTGAATCCTTTTTTGCTTATAGTTTTTTTAACTTACGCTTGAGAGGATTGAACAAACCACCAAAATAAAAATTTTAACGGTTTATTGGGATCGTTTCCGTGTCTTTAAATGCCGAAATGCCATTGAATGAATAAAAGGGCTAAATCTAAAAAAATGGATTGTACTCTGCAAAGGTGTACTGTAATTCCTGTGGCTTACGACTTGAATGAAATTTTACGCCTTTTGCCTTTAGCCGAGTTATGACGCTTTCATATTTACAGTGTTTCGCAGTTTATGGCTGTTTTACAACCCTTTTACTGAATTTTTTCCGACTTGAGCTTTTGAAAAAAAAAGATATCTTTTTACTTTTACAATGGAAAATTTTCATTTTTTGCTTATGCTTAATGAAAACTTTCAAAATTTTTCAATGTGCCAGATCTAAATATTAGCAAGCCTCTTGTTTGAAAAAAACGGCTCGAAGTTGTCAAATCAACAAATAAACATACAAAAAATGAGTCTACAGTGTATTGAACATTGTGAAAGCGTTTTTCTTGAGCGGAGACTAAAATAAACTTTTCTTCAAGTCACTAATCATGTAAAAAATTCACTTCGTATCAAATATTTAAGTTAATGAAGGTTTGCCGAAGTATTTGTGAAGTTAACTGTCCAGGCTAATATTTTCCTATATTCTATTCGCCTTCTAACCAAGCGATCCGAATAGTAGCGAAAAGTTCTGCTGAGAGTCTTTCAATTAACTTTCATCATAATCGTTTCTCCCACTATCACCTGCTTTGTCGATTTTGTTCCGCATGAACCAGACGAACCTGGCTGGAAACAGTTTTATCTGACCGGAAGCGTGTGAATTTTAGTGGTGAACGGCAATTGACGCAGAACCTGGGTAAATTCGGCGGCCGTAAGTCTCTGTTGACTCGTCAGATTTATTTCGCCTTTTTCCACGTTACGACCCTTCACGATTGGAATTATTGTGAAGCGACGAATTTTGACGATCAGCTCCGCCGTTTTCATTTTGCCGATCGTTCTCCAGAAAGCACTAAAAAAAAACTCCCAGACGTCGTTTCGTTACGATCTTATTTTGATGGCCGCGTGAAAATTCGAAACATTTTGCCAGCCGCTCTGCTTTCCTCAACTCGTTCTTCTAAATATGCCTTACATTTGTGAAAAAGTCTCATGTTCCGAAACTTTTGAAAAAAACAAAAAAAACTACCAAGTTTAGCCATTTCGCACCATTACCGTTTTGTTTTTATTCACTAACTGAAGAACGTTCCCCCCGCTCGAACTTTGATGAAACTTTGCTGAAGTGTACTTTAGGACCTCCTGATTCCAGAACAAGAAGAATATTTCTCGCAATTGATCTCATTTTCGAGTTAGGACACTTCAAAAGCTTGAAATGGCGCTTTTTTGTCATGATTTGCGTATTTTGCGGACTTTAAAGCTCAATAACTCGAAAAAGGGATCTATTGCGTGAAATTTTTTCTTGATATGCAATCAGGGGGTCCGTACACTTCAGCGAAGTATCAGCAAAAGTTTAATTAGGGGTGAAAAACGTTTCCTAGTGAGGATCGGAAAAGTTCGATAGATTTTGGTAAACCGCAAAATAAAACAAAATGAAAAAGCTCAAACTAAAATCATTTTTTGAATTTCAATCAACAAAAATTTCTATCAAGTCTGAAATCAATAAAATTACTTACTTTGAACATTATTTTTTGAAACTAAATTTATGAAAAAAACTGAGTTCATTTTTGTCAGAAAAATTCTTTACAAATCAATTTTCGAATTTCAACAAGTTTCTCGCACTTTCTAAAATCAAAATTTCATATATAAGTACTGTTATTATCTTTTTCTTGAACATCAATTAATAGATTATTTCTGAGTTTAAAAGAAAATTTGAAAAACGTTGTTTTGAAGTCCCCTATATTCTTCCATTTTTCATCATTGTTATCGATACTGAGAATCTCGAGAGGGCGTCGAAGCAGATAATCTGTTATTTTTAGATTAGTAAGGAATGTCTGCTGAATCATTTGAAAATATCCTCTGTTTCTCATTTTGTACTAACAGGGAAGCAAAAAAAACTTTGCTGCTACTTGAAAATTGGGCGAGGATTGGAGCAGATTCAGTGGGGAGAAGACTCCGAGGGAAGAGATATCTTGTTTCGCTGTGTTATTCTTGTCGTCCTCAACGGGACTGCGAGGTGGAAAAGAGTGGGAAAACTCATAAACACAGAGTGAAACGGCTAAAAGTGTCACTTACCTTCAAGCTGGCCAAGAATTTTTCTTTTAAATTTTTTTCCTGGATCGTTCATCGATTTTCTAGTGTGATTTACAATTTTTTTCTTCGAGCTTTCAGTTCACCACATTGATAGAAGAGAGCTAAAACTCAAAAAAATTCATTTTTTTGAAAAATCAAACCAAAAAAATTTCCAAGAGGAAAAAAATTGTTACTTTTTAAAAAAACGTTATTTTTTTCTGAAATAAAAAAATATGAAAGACTTTAAATAGAGATAGTTGAGCGCCTTATGTTCAGAATCATTGAAAAAGCTCCATAAGCCTTCATTTCAGTTTTTTTCCGTTCATTTTACGAAATTTTAGTGAGTCTTTTTGTTTTTTTAACATGACCTCCTATGAAACTTCATTTTTTTCGTTATTATAATCGAAAAAAATTTTTGGAAAAACGCCATTTTCTCATGTTTCAGTGGGTCCGAAATGGCCAGCAGGGGCGTCGCCTCCGGCGGAGCACCAGAACGGCAACCTGCCAACGGTGAGCTCATTTGATCAAAAACAGAAGTAAAAAAAGATAGTTGAACTTAATTTTGTTTTTCTTTTTTTAAGCTAAATTTTTTTCGAATTTTCAGGTTGTCATAAGTCAACCAGGATCGCCGGACACGATAGACAAACAAAGTGAAGAACGAAACGGTAGGTTTTTACTTTGTAAACTGGAGAATAGGTACGAGAAGGACGGAAAGAGAATATGAAGCTTTAGAAAAAAATGTTTCTCAATCAAAAACCAAAAAAAAATAGCTTTAGATTGACGCTCTTTTCCTTACGAATTTTTTCGGCGTTTTGAAGGGGCTCAAAAATCTGCAGAAACATAAAATACGGTAGCTTAATAAAACGAAAAAAAAAACAGCTCAAAAATATTGAAAAGGCTCACTGTGGGAAAAGTTAGCTCGAGGCGGCGAATGTCAAAAATGAACTGTAAATCACTGAAAAGATAACTTGGAGAAAACTGATATCAGTGCTCAATTATTACAGTCCCTCATTAGTTCCTGAGATTATTTGAAAGACATGTTGCGATTTTGTTATCAGTTTCTGGTGTTGATAAGCCCTCCCACTCAACTTCAGTGTGTCGCAACAAGTGTGAAGCGATGCTTCGAATTCGGATTTTCTTTTCAGATTGATTACTCATTTCTTCATTCTGATGTGGATCTGCCCTAAAATTTCTGTTGTTTGAATAGAAAATAGTAAAAGATTTGGTAAAGTCGTTTCTTATAACTTGACGTAGAATAAGAAAAAAAGAAGAGTTTCGAAATCATAAAAAAATGACAAGAATCCTTGGGTTATTGGGGATCAAATGGTCAGCTACTGAAAAAAACAGGAATTCATTGCGGATGACGGTGATTTATTATCCACTTAGAATACCCTTTCTATTTGATCCATATCGAAAAATCTTGGTTATTCTAAATTTCCTTACATCAAGAAATTTTTTTGTTGATGTCTTGGTAAATTTTGTTGAACTCCAAACTGTGATTAATTTCAATTTCTTTTTTTAGTAAGAAGTTATGAGATGATTATTTCTTGAGAGATCTCAGCTGTTTGTTCAAAGTCTTTTTTTACCCAGAGGTTCCCAAATTTCTATCAAATCTGAGTTTTCATCATTGAATAATTTTAATTATCTATCTTCAACTCAATCTCAATACTTTTCAACGCTTCAAATGTCCTCCAGCCTGTAAGAAGTTCACTAGCCTGAACAAATATACGAACAACCGAAGTTTTATGGATTATTTGAAATGACACTCTCCCGAGCGTTGTGACCACTTGTCGTCTGTCTGCACAAAAAGAGACACGTCATCGGGGTGTCCTTCAGCCCCATGGTCCATCCAAAACTTTTTTTTCCGATTTGCCGTCGTTTTCGAATCTCTTCTGTCTTGACCACGCTTTCCTTCCTCGTATCTCTGAAAGTCCTCACTGTGAATTGGTTCATGTAATGAGGGAAATGTACAAATTAGACTTGAACATTGAGAAGCAAAAAGACACGCCGTCAACTTTCAGTACCTCTAATTGGCACGAAAAATCTCTTCGTTGATGCTCGCCATGAAGATTCTTTTTTTGCACTCTCAAAATTCTCGTAAATCCGCAAAAACGTTTTAAATTGAACAAAATGAGAAAATATTTGCGCAAAAAAATTTTTTTAGTTTCTAAGAAAGGGTTCTTCGAAATTACTCGATCCAGACAAATATTTTTGATTTTTTTGCGTTCTTTTGAAAAAAACTTACGAATGATGAAATTTTTGAAATCTGCAACAACTACGGTCAAAATTCAATGTTTTTTTGGAATCTGTTCGGTACGTTCCAAAAAACCCCTCGGAAAATTTTTTTGAAGAAATTTGTTTGAAGCTTTTTTGAAGGAGCGAAACTTTTTTATAATCTTCGAGAACTGTTGAAAAATGAGTTATGAGCTTTGCTTGTTCCGAAAAAAATTTCTCGATCCAAAAATATACATTCAAAACAAATTTTTAGTTAAAACGACATGGAAAGTTAGTAATAATATAATTTTCAAGAAAGAGTTTGAAAGGAGGATTAGGTGAGAAATTGTCGGATTACTGTTATCGAAAATGATTATCAGGCGATTTTCTCATTCAAACATTTTCTTTCGATTCAGTACGTAGAAATTGAAGAAAAAATAGTTTTTGAGGCACATGAGAGTCGAAAAAAGGCTTTTTTGAACAATGAATCACTCACAAAACTATGATCTCATGAATCGAATTTCAGCATCATCCATGTTAAAATGTTTTTTTCTCAGAAGTCAATTACAAACAACAAAAAAAGCATAAATATTTTTTTGTTATGCACATTAATTGGTTTATTCAAAAAATGGAATAGAATAAAAAGGAGTGATAGGGCTTCATCCGCCGGCTCTCTGTTACAATTACGAGTTATTGCCAGCTGCTTTGCCGCGAAGTTTTGTCTGTTGTTGTCACTAAATGGGTACGCGGCTGTCCTCTCATGATAGTAAATATTGATTTCCGGGATTCGGACATTCCCATCATTTTTTTGCCTGACATATAAAGGAGTGACAAGGTCACTTCGAAGAAAAGCAAGAATTTTTCGAATCGCAACAGTTCCAGAAAAAAATTTTCGATACTTACTTCACTCACATAAAGCTTGAAGCATTGTGTTTTCTTCCGTTTTTTTAAAGGATCTAATAACTTCAATATACTTGCGAACTTTTTGAAACAGGAAACTCTCTTTTTTCAATTCGTTATTCCAGCTTTAGCGTGGCTTTCAAACAACCTCAACCAAAAGTGTCCGGAAGTGCATTCAAATCATTGATGAGGGGGTACAGCTAAAGTTCACTTATTTGCAACCTAAAAAGTTTTCATAAGATTTTACCAGATAACATCCATTTCAAGCAGATTTTTGATGCTCTGATAGTTTTTTTGTTTGGTACAGGTCCTCAAAGTTATAATTCACAATGCGAAAGTTCCCATGCGATCATTTCTTGAACAACGAAAATAGAAACACGACGTGTGTTTTTGACTTTCTTTGTGTTTCCAAACCTTCAACCTTGCTTTTTAACAATATTCGATGAAAAAGTTTTCAATAGGAAGACATTTTACAATCGGCTCATTTTTTTTCACTAGCGTTTTCGTTTTCTATTTCTCTACAAACGTGGCGTACTGCAAATTCTAAAATTGTTTTCTTCTTTTTTTTTTTTAACACGTTTATTTTCCTTTCAAAAGAGAAAAACGAAATGTATCCTTGGATGAATGCCAAAGATACCGAGGGAAAATTTTCGAATTGGCTCCCACCCCGCCCATCAAACCTATCAGCTCACTATCAGTTCCCGAACACCATTTCACATTGGGTTTATGACGTACTCTTCAGTCTCATACTCTTTTTATTGTTGTAATAGGGCCGCGAAATGCGATCAAATTACCGTATTTATCAACATACTGATCACCCTTTATGCCAAGTTTCGATGGTACAAGCTGCGCTATAACACCAAAAAAAAGTGGAAATTCTACCATTTTTATCTGAATTAGAAGAATCTCTCACTTCCTAGACAAGGAAGAGTGTTGAAGTATACTACGAAGTACGCTGGTTTCGAATGTATCACTCGAAAAATCTCAACGTGTGTCAAAAGATTAAAAATGGTTTTTTGGGTTTCCTAGACGTAATAACTTGACTGTACCGAATGAAGAGTTTTCTCTCAAAATAAAATAGAGCGACTTTGATTTTAATACAGAAAACTATCAGCGAAGGGTCTTCCACTTGAACATTTTTTGAAGTTTCAAATTTCTTTTTGTATTTTCCCAGTAAGCAACTTAATGAATGTTTCCTATGAAAAGTCTCTAACCCTAAGCTTTTTTTTTCAGGAAGAGCATTCTATATCGACGACGACAACGATTGCTCGTCCTTCGACGGCAGCCAACTCGGAGTTATGAACCACGAACTGGATTACTCAACGCTGTCGATCAATATGCCAGGAGGTTTGAAATTTCGTTTTTGAGCTCCTCTGGAGTGCTCGAATTGAGATAAGAATTACAATCCGCTTTGTCCAGTTTTACACTTCTTTGTTTGAATAATCCTGGATGACGAAAAGCCTCGCGAGTGTAGCGGAGTACAATGCGTACTCTATTTAATTTGATTCTTGAGAAATCAGAGAGAAAAAGGACTCGTTCCATTTCCCAGTGAGGTGAGATTTTTCAGTCCACGAAACAGTTCAGATACATAAAATGATAACCCTGAAGTTCTAGCTCGCGCACCTGTTCAAGGAGCATTAAGAAGACTTTAAAAGAAAGAAAAAAAAATGTTCCCACTCTGGAAATCAATACTTTTGTGTATATAAGGCATATACCAGCAATTTTTCAACAAATTACGAACCTAAACGAAATAGTCAAATTAAAAAAATCGAATGTTTACATTCAGAGAGAAATTTTTACAGCGTTCAGAGAGAGTTATTCTGTAAAAAGTTGAAATTGGTTTTTTTAACAACTTTTCTTAAATAAAAAAAGGAACTTCTTGATGGATACTGATCCGAAAAATAGTTCTCTCTGAAGTTTTTTCTACCTTCCGCTTTACGTTTGTCAGATAATTCTTGTTTCGAAAAAGGAAGGAAAAAAGACAGGTTTATTCATCGATGAACTTTCGTGGAAAAAAAAAATTAACAAACTTTCGAAAAAAATCTCTCCATCCATCAAAACAAAAAATTTCAAGGTGCTACGGAGCAGCTATGGCCAGTGGCTCCTGACGGTGGATATGGCTGGATCATCGTCCTGGCTGCTTTTTTCTCCAATCTCATCGTCGACGGCGTCTGCACTTCTTTCGCTGAATTCAAAAAATCCTACTCGGAGCATTTCCATGTGAGCATTACTCTTTTTCCCATCTTGTGTCATAAAGCCCCTTTTCCAGTCTTCCGACGCTGCAACAGCCCTGATCGGCTCGATTCTTATTGGTGTTTACTTACTTGTCGGTTCGTTTCGAGCCAGTTCCACAATAAAAGAGAATTTCAACTTAAGGACCTATTGTGGGTGGTCTCGTGAACAAGTATGGAGCACGAGCTGTCGTTGTGGCCGGAGCTGTGGTTTCTGGAATCGCCTTCATTATCTCAGTCGCTTCTCCAAACATCTACATTTTCATGGTCATCTATGGCGGACTGGGAGGTGCCGGATTCGGAATGATTTACCTTCCTGCCATCGTCGTCGTCAGTTATTACTTCGAAAGCAAACGGTCAGTATATCGATCTTTGATGGAAAACTAGTAATTTTTTTATTATAAAATCTAGACGTGCTATCGTGTGATCAACTTCTTTCTTTTACTTATCGAGATCTTGAAAAATCCTGGTATACAGAAACTTATTTGGTTATGAGACAGTTTTGAACTTCGCTGAATAACAGTGACTAAACACGCTAATGTTATAAAATGTTCAACTATTGTCTTTTCTTAGTTAAATTCTCATCAATTTCAGTGCGATGGCCACTGGAATTGCTGTGGCTGGCTCTGGAGTTGGAACTATTGTGATGCCGATTCTTTCCGAGTACTGCATTGCGAGTGAGTGCCGGAAAAGCTTTTGTCGGGACATATGACTTAATTTCAGATTTCGGATGGAAATACACGGTCTGGGTGCTCGCTTCCCTTGTTTTCTCGTGTTCCCTTTTTGGACTTCTCTACAGACCGCTTCCCATGCCCAACGCAGCTGAGATCAAAGATCAAGAGCTTCAACCACTTCGTCAAGCTCTCTCGAAAATGTCAGATGGTGAAGAAGAGGAGGTTGCGAGTTTTTCTTCCAAACTTTCACTTTCAAAAATTGTTTGCAGGTTTCTTCAAACGCAATTGAAAGCCCAGCAGCTAACAGATGCCAATCAGTCGCCAGCTCGGCTATACCGCAAGGCGAAGACGACATAGGCTCGTTTTTTGATACTTCTGTGAAAAAAAAATAGATCATCATATTTGCTCAGTTCACGGAGGTTTTCTTAAAACTGCTTGTAATCTTGGCTAATTTATGTAACAGAAGATCAAATAACTGCGAGTTTTAGAACTTTCAATTATTTATACTCAACCATTCTGAATAGCGAGATAAAAATGAATTTCATAAAATAATTATTTTCTGAATCGTTGGACCAAGAAATCTTTTACAGGGAGTGGTTATGGAATTCTTCCAAGTAGAAATTTTCATTTTCAGACGATCCTCAGAGTGACCCAACTCTGCAAAGGCTTCGAAATGCTCTGTCCGAATGTGAAGGTGAAGCTCCAGAATCTCCTGCGACTCAGCAGAAACCTCCCCTCTCCCCTCTTCCCGAAAACACTGCTAGCAAAAGCAGAGCTTCAACCAACGTTCATGCTCCTATTTCGGCTTCGAGCTCGCGCCCAAGAAAACTCACCCTGACTAGCATGACCAGTGACATGGCGTCTACCAACGACCTCAAAGCTTCTCGAACGAATTTGAACAGCCAATTGAGCAGAATCTCCGTCCGCAGCTACGCTAAGTCTCTGAGCAAACTCAGCCGCGCTGGTGATGCCTCTACTCTGAGCATTGCTATGAGCGTGAGTTCTCTCAATTGAAACGAATCTGATGATTTTTTTCAGGGCGTCGATCCGAAAGAGTTCTCTCGCCCTATGAACCGTCAAGACATCTTTTATGGCGGCTCCATTCGCAACTTGAAAGAGTTCAAGCAAGAAGGGGGACATTTGCCGTCATATCGAGCATCAGTGCTATCGATTCCTCGATCAGTTGTGGGACAAGCCGCATCTCAGATGAATTTGGCTCAAAGTCAAGCAGGTTCAGTTGTTTCGAAAACTATGAGATATTTTAAAATAATCAGGGGATCTCGGAAGCAGAATGGGTGGCTCAAGAATGTCCAGAAACGCTGGCGGACTTGCAGAGGAAGAGGAAATCATTGATGATTTTTATGACAACGGGTGAGTCTTCAAGTTTTTTGTCCCGACTTCTAAGGCCGCGGTAAAGACTTCACTGGAATTTAGCTTTTTCCAGTTTTTTTATGTTTTATATAAGGTTTTAAATTTCGCCATGTGCCGTTTCTGAGGACTTTCCAAAACTCCATGCTTTGCAAAAAAATTTCAGAACAGCAACTTTTTAAGTTTTGGTTTATTTATTTATTCGTCAACTTCTAGAATACACTATTAACTTGAGCTGAACACCCGAAAAATATTTTTTTTAAACATTCGAAAAATAGAACGTTACCAGGTAACTTTGGCGTTTGGAGCCATGAATGCGCTTTTTCTCCAAAACTGTCAACTCTATTTTTAAATTGAAGACGTTGCCGATGGATCCCGTTGGCAATAAGGAACGCCTTCTCTGAGATGATCGATTTTGAACTTCTGAAAGACCCAGTCATGCTTTTATTGTGCATTTCCAACCTGCTCGGCATGATGGGTTTCTACATTCCCTTTGTGTTCCTGAAAGATCTCGCTAACGAGAACAAAGTCGATCCGGCCAGCAGTCGCTATCTTGTTCCTATCATCGGCGTGACCAACACCGTCGGTAGGAAAATATCTCTTTTTCAAAATTTCCATCACTCAACATTTAAGGCAGGGTCTTCTTCGGCTGGTTCACAGACCAGGGTTATATTTCGGCCTTGAACATCAACAACCTGGCTCTTCTCATCTGCGGCGTGCTCACTTTGGCTTGTCCTTTCATGCCGTCGTTTGTCGGTCTCACTGTTTATTCTTCCTTGTTTGGTTTTTTCATTTGTGAGTTTCTCTAATTCATGAAAAAAGAAAGGAAAACTTTTCAGCTGCTTACATTTGTTTGACGTCTGTTGTTTTGTCCGATTTGCTTGGTTTGGAGAAGTTGACCAACTCCTTCGGGCTTGTAGTTGTTGCTAGGGGTATCTCTTCCCTACTTGGATCACCTTTCGCTGGTAAGATTTTTTTTTCGAGAAAGAATCATTGATTTCGACTTACGAAGACAAAAATAACCAAAAAAAAGGCAGTTCTCATCTTCAAAATATATGAAAAAAATAGCTGAGAGGTTTTTGGAGTGAATTAAAAACGAAAATACATAAGAGGTGACTTTTCAAAAGCTTGAGCGATAATAATTTTTTTCACACTCTCGCGGAAATTTTTGAGCTAAAATGTAGGTTTGACGGGAATCTATTTGAAAGTTTCTTTTTGTCATACAATCCTGAAATTGTTGAAAAGCGTTTTTTAAAATACCTATGGATTTTTTTTGAGTCTCATCATTTTTCTCAGTGACCGGGTCAAGTTCGAAGTTCTGAAATTGCAGGCTTGGTTTACGACATGACTCAGTCCTACAGCGCTGCCTTTTACTTTGGTGGAGTCGTCATTTTCGTGGCAGGACTGATTTCCTGCGGGATCCCATTCATTTACAAATGGAAAAAAGATGTGGATGATAATGAAGGTAAAAAAAATAATCAAATCTCAAATTGGGAAAAAAGGTCCTGTGTAAATGTTTGTATCCGTCTTGGGAAAGTCCTTGTTAATTATATTCAAAAAGAAAAACGATTGATTGATTAACCTCAATTAGGCGCTTGTTTGTCCGTCCCATAGACCTCTCCTGATGTTTTTTTAGGCGACGAATTCACCAAGTTCCCAGACCAGGACAACATGTCCGGCAAGTTGTCAGTGCTGACGGAACGGTCAGAAGAGAATCTCACCGAGTACCAACGGACCATCCAGAGTTTGCGTCAGCAGTACGCACTTCTTCAAGGTGAAACCCACCCTTGCGCTTCTTTTTCGCTGTCGCTCACTGAGGATTGGTTTCAACTCCTAGTAGAACTTTTACTATGAGAAAGTAATGGCTTCCAAGGTTGAAAAGTTAGTATCTTCAAAAAAAAAAAGCTAACAAAAGGTCACTTTGCTTTCAGGTTTAGAAATTTTTTGAAAATTGGCAAGAGATCATCATTCGGATCAGATGAAGATCCTGTGAATATACAACTGCAAAATTTTTCAGTTTTTGAGAAAAGAATCTCAGAGTCGAAGAATAACAACAAAAACCGCTGAAATGAGTATTTTTGAGCCTTTCATACAGTGGTCTACTAGGAGCTGCGACAGTCCTTAGTTACTCTCGCTAGAATTAGTATTTTTGTTAGCCGCAGATCATGTTTCGACCGAGGTGTTTCTTCAGTAACATGTGAGAAATTTATCTTTCAAATGATCATGGAAAGAATAGTTCATATACTTTTCTCACTGAATCTGCCTCGATCAAAACTACGGTCATTGCTAACATTCGCTTCTGAAGAGTCGTGCTCCAAAAATTCAATTTTTTCTCCATTCACATTTCTTTGAGCTATTTCAGCTCAACATCTCATAATAACCTGAATTAAAAATTGAAAATTTTTGAAGCACGACAAAAAACTCGCTTTGCTGCTTCACTGCTTTTTTTTCGCTTTAAATGTTGCTTCTGCTCGTGATTCTAGTCTTTGCACAACTAAAAAGAGCACTTCTGTCAAGTTCTACTTGTGATCTGATTTATATTCGTGGTATTAGAACAGAAACAGGAAGACTATTTCTACTTGAATTTTATTAAGAGATTTCATTCTATTTTATTCTTGTTCTGAGGATCCTTCGAATAAAAAAAAATGCAACTCTTTTGAATTCACTAGTGATAGAAGTTCAAAAAGTTCTTGCTTTATTTTCTGTTTCTAAAAAGATTCAAAAAATTTATATAGAGAAATAACCTTGATTGAAGATAGTTCACTTATTAACGTTCATTTCAATATTTGGCGTATTTTCGCAATGTATAACCAGTGGTGTTTGGTGGTTGGTGGGCAATTTTGTGGTATTTCCTGTTAACAAGACTTATTAAACTTGTTCAGAGATGGAAGATGAGAAAAAGAAACAGAAGAAGATTTTGAACGGGACTGCCGTTGAAGAGGTCAACGAAGAAGAAGAAGAGGCGGTTCCTATGAAATCCTTGAAGAGAAACAAAGAAGACGACAAGGAAAACGTTGAATAACTTCCTTCTGAACTATCTTATCAAAGATCCCTAAATAGCCTTTTTTATGTATCCGAGCATCCTCAAAATTTTGCAAAGCTTTTTTCTTTTTCAACTTCAATGGCTTCGGTGTGATTTTTTTGTGATTTTATCTTGGAACATTGACAAGGATTGAGTAGATTTCTTTTTTTTCCGAGTTTAAAGAAATATAACAGACCTCAAAACCCATAAAAAGAATTTTTTTCGAGTTAAAAATTTTCAAAAACCCAATTTTGTTTTTTTTTTTCACTTGAACAACCTTTAGAATGAAAACTATTTTTTGGTACATTTTCCCACTCTCTTCATTTTCTCGTTGATTTACCTAGATTACTAAGGTTGACACGGGTTATCCAACTTTCCACTTCAAACCATTACAGTTTTGAAAATTTTTAAAACCAAAGCGGTTTGAAGGCTTCGTTGTTTATCCAATGAGCCCCGTAGTTATATTCCCTCTCTTAAGACACTTTTCCCACGGATTTTTCGCTTCCACACGGTTTTTTTGGTTCCAAAATATTCAGTCAGACATGTATCTAACAATATGTGACGGTCTTGTTTTTGTTTTGCTTTTCAAATTTTGTAATCGGAAAGAAGAATAAGCTTTTGATTTTTTATTCACCGCTTAATTATTTTTTTTTTTCGAACGAAAAGAAGCAATTACTCTCCAGGATTGGGAAATTTTTCCTCTTCAATTATTCTCTCTCATCGTGATTGATTTACATCTCAGATTTATTACGAGAGCTTTTTTTTTTACATTCATTGTTATAAGCGTTTTCCGATTTTTTACTGCAAATTTATCGACTTTTTTCTTCTTTTTTTTTGTATCTCATTGATTAGTTCTTTTTCAAATCATTGTCCCCGTTTTTTTTCATTTCTTCTTTTTTTGATTTCATTTCTTTACTGCATTTTTTTCTGTCAAATTTTTGCTTTATGCCGCTGGGCTTATTTTTATGGATACAGAATTGTCAACTGTTAACTCTTTTAGATTTTTTTTTTGCCTGTGATTCGGTTTCAAGTTTTCAAGCTTTGGCTAATAAACACTTTCTTTCTTGAGAAAAATATAAAAAAAGAACTTCAGATTTTATTTTAAATGGAAAAAAATAGAACTTGCATTTGTGAAATTTTCATGAATCTCCCTTTCAAAATCCAAAGCTGTTAGTTTTTCAAGAAAAAAATCAATTTTTATTTTATGTTCGTTATTTCCCTTTTCGTTTGTTCTCATCAAAGCTAACGTTTAATAATTTTTCGAAAAAAATTTTTTTCTAATTGACGGGCTCTTCGTAGACTTTTCATAACACAAAAACTGAAAGAAATTTTTTTGCAATTTAACAAGTGTTCAAAGAAAAAAAGCCACCGCGCGCTTTCAAAAAAGTCTTATAAATGAGTTTTTGCAATTATCACAAAAAAATGAAGGTATTACTCATATCAATTTCTAGCCCTAAATTATTTTTTTGAAAAAAATCAAGTAAAAATTGAAAAATTGTGTTTTTTTAATGGGAGATATTCAAACATTAATTTAACCCTGAAAGAAAGAAAAAAATCTCTCCAAGAAAAAAATGCCATTTCAGTGTGAAGTATGAATCTTCTTAAAAAAAGATGTTCTTAATTTTTTTCGAGTTTTTAAACATAACCAGAACCGATAATTAGTGCGATAAAGCAATGCGAACTCTCGAGGTCGATATTTTTCACAGTGAAAAATCATCAGGAGCTTTTTATGTATATAGAAGTCAAGAAAAAAAGAAAAACTTGGGCCGTACGAAAAACCTCCGGAGTACACACCAACATGCCCTTTTTTGTTAGAATTATTCTAACTCGTTAAATGTTTTCAAAAAGTGCTTACGCATGACGATACTCAAAAAACACGGGCGATAGAGAAGCAAGGAAGAATCTGATTCCGCTCCGTTTTCAGCGACAACCCTCTCCTTAATCGTTGTGCGGCCTTTTTTGTAATTAATCAGCGCATTAGTCGCTTCTCAGCTTCTTAGGCTTCTCATTTTCCTCCGCTCCTCTTTTTCTCAACGCAAAAATTGGCTCGAAACGAAAACCAATTCATTTTCTCTGCTTCTGTATTGATTGTAGAAAAAAATTGTTTCATAATATTCCGTTCATCAATCAGAAATATTTTCTTATTGCTCTGAAGAGCAAACAATTTTTTCTTGTACTTCATTTGCACGAGTTCAAATGAAAACAGTTTTGAAGTTTTTCGATAGCTCCTTTTTAGAGTTGAAAAGCTTCAATAAGATCAGATAAAGTTATTTCCATGATTTTGGTATTTTGCAAACTTCGAAAGATCACAACTCGAAAACAAGACCTATTGCAATTTTTTGTGAGCATTCTTCGGCCCAAGCCATCAAAAATTCGTCCGGTGGCTGAAAAAGTTTTCTTTTCATGAGCTCTTTTTATATGTTTCTAATAATTAGGCAACGTTTCTCATCTGACTGAAACTCGAAGCTCTTGAGATTTCGGAGCAAAGCGCAACTCCCATTAATTGTTGCAGTCTTGCCGACCAAATTATAAAGTTAATTGTTGCATTCAATTTTTTCTCCTAGCTTCTTTGTTCTTCCTTTCGATTCGTGATCATCCGAATCGCTTTCTTTCGTCTTACAATCATCCCCTTTAATCCAGGATTTCCGTTGGCTTACAAAAACTTTTTTGTCGTCGTTTCGATATTGAAGACGTCGGAGAGTGGGGTTTCGAGAAAAAAGCATAGAGCCGCGCTGAAATGTGTATTTGAACTATGGCCGGCCGAAATTTCATTTTGGAAAAATCTATTTTACCACGCGACTTTCAAGCCTCCGATTCCTTCGAACACTCTTGCTGTTTTCCTTGGATTCTCAACGGCCTCAAACTTTTCGATCCAGGAGGAGTATGAATCATTTGAAAAGTTGCGTCTCAAGATAGGTTCAAGTTTTTTCAAGTTTCCTGCTTGCTTGTTTTGACGGATCTTTTAGAAAATTTTTTTCAGAAGCAGGTTGAGAAATTAAAAACTCCGAAGTCTTCTGAAAGCAGATCACACAGTAATACCTTTTTGATTGCTTGAAAAAAACCATTTAATCGTAGATTTTTGTAAAAGCACATTTTGAATTTCAACAACAAAATTGAAAAGCAAGAAGGATGTTTATTTTTTTGATTTGAAAAATTACATTAAACACTTTCCTCGTCTTCTCCATCGGACAACTAAAAATATTCTCCTCGTCATATTCCACTTTGTACGGCTTCAAACTATTCTCTTTCCTCTGATGTCCAATTTGAAACCATAGCTTCCGAATGTCTTCATCTTTTCTAAAGTTCCAGAATAAATTTCCCACGCATAGTAATAAAGTGTGTTGAGCTGTGCAAACACCAACGCTGCCCAATGGTGAGACGTCCAAAAAACTTACTCGTTCCAGTTGATGCAAGAAAAATTTTGAACTTGAACTTGAAACTATTTTTTTCCACTAACTTGATAGTTTTCAAGCGAGAAGATGATCAAGTAGTCAATTCATTCTGTTGTCTGAGTTGCTCTCCGTTTGGAGCAAAAGTCTCTAACCGTTATCAGTTTGAATAAATCAAATCAATTTTGGAAAGTTTCAACGTACCCAATTTGACTTTTTCTTTGAGCCATCATTATTATTTTTCCCTTTTTGCACTATTTTTTATGGAATGTCTTGATCTACAGCATGAAGTGAGTTTGTAACCAATTCGTGAAAGCAAAAATGTTTTCAGCAGAAGCGCAACCAGGAACAAAAACGGGTGAATTTCGAGAGGCATGGCCCCGTTGTCAATCGAGTCTAAACGTATCTCGTGGGGCGTAATCCGGCAAGATTTCCTTGTAGACATTTTTCCTCTTGATTTTTCTTTTTCCTCTAAGCCGACCCGATGTTCTTCGTACGTCAAACACACACTCACAAAGCTATCCCAGTCTTAATACTTTATTCGAAAAAAAGTTCTCATTTGAATATTTCAGTGCCGTTACTCGTCTCAAGTACTCTTGTGCGCTTCCTTCGACTGCCGTGCAACCTTTGTTTTGCACTTTGAACGCTGTTTCATTATCCATTGTCTTTTTTTAAGAATTTGGCTCAAAAAAACTTCCAGTTCGAATCAACCACCAGTTTTCATATTTTTTTGAGTTTTCTCACTGTTTTCAGAATACATAAAAAAATAATTATAACGTCATCTCAAGGGAAGTTCGCCTAAAAATATTTCAAATAGTTTTCTTTGATATCCTTCTTATTCGACTGAGAAATTGAGATCTGTTTTTTTACTGTTATAACTTGTTCAGTTTTTTTGAATGTCACGCGGATAACTCCGCCTTAAGGCTACAATATCTATCGCGTCAGTTTTTGATCGCAAGTGACGATAAAACTTTAACATGGCTGGAATTTTTTGACTTCTTTTTCTATCTTTTAGAACATAAGAAGATCAAGAATCGTCAGGCGCAATGAAACATCGACGCGAAAAGGTACTGTGGCAGCAGGGGCGGAGTCAACTGGTTGACATTCAAAACCTGAATAGACTATACTGATAGGAATGGTCTGGTTTGGAAATTGATCTTTTTGTTTGTATTTTCTATTAATAATTCACGTTAGAACTTGGACCCAAAATTTTGAAAAAAGTCTCAGAAAAAAAGGAGTCATTTCGAAATCACATCAATTTATTAATGACCCCTCCTCCTCATTTTTTAACCAATTCTGCATTTTTCTACTGAAGTTTTGTTCATTTGAACTGTATCGTACAGAACTCTTAATCCTTCAGATTTTTCTCAGAATGCCACAAAAATATATTTTACTTCAAAGATCTTTTTGAAGACCCAGGATGCCTCCATGCTTCCCGCGTGAGAACAGATAAAAATCGAAATTTCGTGAAAAATTCTATGAAGTCAACTAAAGTATGGATAGATTATTCTTTATGCATTGTTCTTCTAAGTAAGGCTCATCCTAATATTTTTTCCTGTTGAAAACAAACGCAAAGTCATTTATATTCTTATTTTTGTCTCTTCTGGCGGA